CGTCTCTGTAAAGATCCCTTAATTCCTAGCCTGTCGTCTCTGTAAAGATCCCTTAATTCCTAACCCGTCGTCTCTGTAAAGATCGTTTAATTCCTAACCCGTCGTCTCTGTAAAGATCCCTTGATTCCTAACCCGTACCTAATAACTCTAATCTCTATCCTTTTATTAGATTCCGATATATCCCTGAAAAATACGATAAGGGACTTATTTCTCAATTATTGCTCCTTACCCCTTGACCCTAATCCTTAAGCTTTCATTTGATTCCGAAATATCCCTATAAAATACGATAAAAGATTAATCCTTTAGTTCTTAATCTATAATCATTAACTCTAAACTCTCTTTTTACGAATTTCTGAAATATTATCAAATTATATATATATATAAGATTAATCTTTTAATTCCTAATCTTTACCTTTTTAAACAGTAATCTTCTTTTTTCAATTAGATTCCGAAATATTAGCAGAATATATAATAAATAATTATCTTCTTACCTTCTAATCTATACCTACTTTCATAGACTTTTCTCTTTATAGAATTTCGAATAGTGTATCGGAAGATTACTGTAAGGTCTATGAAAGTCTAATTTTCGCCTACCGTAGCTGGTCAAGATGCTTTGGCTTCTATTACCTCTTTTATTATATGTAATAGTCTCGACTTTCTTCATATCGCCTATCTATCAATTTTCATGTTTCGTAAGCATCATCAGAATGACCTATAGAAAGATTATAAAGAACCAATGATATATGATATATGATAAATACGATAAAATGATAATCCCGCTTGGTCTACATTATCCCGATTCCAAAAGCGGAGACAAGAAAGCATCTATATAAACTCGCTCGTTTCATTTATACTAAAGAGTCAGATCATCTAATCAAAGCACGAAAAGTACGTTACACATGCCGGATCCTCATTTTTGGCGTGAGTAAAAGTGGGGCTCTGGTGTAGAATTTGGCTTTCAACTTTCCTCGGTTTTGCGCCAATGCCACGCTAGACCCACACACAAAAAGATCGATTTCATTTATGATTCATCTCGGAGAGACTTTTATTTTTCTCTTCTTATTGAAAGAATCTAATGTGAGCACGGGATCAATAAGACTTTTTGCATGGATCGTTTGCTGTAATGAAGAACGGATTCCTTAGAGCGAGATAGCATGTGGGGTAAAGTTCCAACCTGCAAAACACACAATTCACTCTGCATGCTCCCCCGCTTTTCTCATACAAAGAACCTAGGCTGGTTCGCCTTCATATAGCAAAGACAGACATGGTGCCTGGCTACATCATATAAGGTAATCGTTTCGATCACCTTTGTTATAAATAGTATCACTTCAATGTTCCCCGGTTTTTGAGAACTAGTTGACACTTTTAATGGAGAAAGTGGCTTTGAAAATCACCGGTATTAAGACCGGTCAGCGGTGGTATGAGAAGCGGAAATTTAAAAGAATTGCGGAGAAATGTGTATAGCCTCTAAGTAGAATACGGACGAACTATTTGACCGGCTCCAAGGCTTGCTTGCATTGTTTGTGATCGGATCGCTTATTCTTCTTCTTCTTTTCTTAGTCTCACGCACGGCAAAAGCCACCAAAAGTTTTTAATGCGTCACCGCGTTTTATTATTTTTAAATTTCCGTGGAACTGCATAACACGCAAGTTCTTCTATTCGGCAAATCCGTTGCAAAAGTTTTTTATATATGAAACAGAATACTACCGAGAGTCTATCGGATCAACATTCTGCCCTGTTTTTGCAAAGTCTTTCCGAGCTAAGAGGTCAGATCATAATATGATTGATGTGATTGATAGCCAAAGTTGTTTATCTCATTGTGATTAGTATGAGAATTAATTCAATAATATGCCTTTTCACACAAGAGGACAAACATTCAAAATGACGCCTTTTTGATCGGAGTTTGAAAATAGATAGGCATTTGGTTTAAATGAATGAAAAGCGCGGGGTAAGAAAAGGGGAGGAGCGGGAAATGAGTTAACGCTATCTCTTTTAAAATGAAAGCACGTTCCGCAAAAGACCGGAGTGTGAAATTTGACAATACAGACAGATTTGAAGATAAGCGAATACAAAAACAGGAACTCTTTTGACCGAAACAAGGGAACTCGGAGAATAAGGCATGAACACTAAGCGATTCTAGACTTGCATTCGGTTGTGATCATTCCGGTATTTTTTGATCACAGTAATTACCAATACCCGCTTGAGCCATTGTCATACTTTCTTTCATTTAGGCTAGTCCTATTCCGGCGTTGTGTGAATTGTGTGTGTGTGTGTGATAGCGGAGCGAGCAATCGACATTATCAGCCCAGCCTGCCTCCGTGGGATAGACGGGCTGATTTGATTTGGCATGTGAATGTGCGGCCTCAGTGCAGAAGCCGAGAGAAGGTTGCGAAACTTTAACGCACCAGCCCACAATAAAGTGAAAAAACTTAATTTCTTATCGAATTTCAAAAGGGCGTTGTGTATGAAGGAAGCAGTAGATCTGTCTATGTTTATACTTATTTCCCCGCTCTTTAATTACCTTTGGGTGCATGTGTAATCCGGCGCGCGCCAAAATAAAGAAAAAAAACTATTGAAAAAAATAAAAAACTTTTGCCATTCTTGCCAATGCATTTGGTTTCTCTTACGTACACACATTCACGCAAAACGCGGCGCACAACTCAGGGCCCCTTTTTTTCTGTTCTCTTCTCGTAGCTTACCGGGCCAGACAAACGTTACCCCAGCTTATAGGGTGAATCGATCAAAAAAATTCTAAACATTTCACGCATGTACGGACATCGCTTCTTCGCCGAAGGTTCCGAAGCACGTCACATAGGGATATTTCGCCCTTCTTTTTAAAACTTGATTGCTGTGTAAGAGAGAAAGTGGAAATTTTTCGCCATTTTTTGTGGAACCCCAGGTCAACCCTCCATCTTCATTCCACTTCTTGCCCCATATTCCAATCCATCCACATTTACTCCATACTTTCTCCATCACCACCATTACGCCATCCTGTCAACTTGTCAAAAAGTATACAACAATCAATCGAGAGAGATTACCGACATTCTCACTGAATCAGCATAATCAACAACATTCTCCGGCAATCTGTCAAAGCCACCTTTGACAAAAGATTACCGAATCCAATTCATCAACTCAGCTTTGTGGGGAAAGCCTATTATTCAGGTACGTATCTTGCTTTATCTTGCGCCTTGTGATTCTCTTCTTCACGACATCATCATATATGCATTCATTCTCGATTCAATTTACGACCTATCAATCCATCATTTGAAGGTAAGGAAGTTTGGCATAGCCATCTGCGATGGATGCATTGGCAGACAGTATCCGGGCATGCTTCCATCCATCAATCCACTATGATTCGGTCTACTTCGGTCTAGTTCGCCATGGCTTCACAAACAGAAGAAAGTTCTGTCAACCTCGGCATCAATCCTAAAAGCCCAACGCCGCACTTCCTTGGTTGAGGCAGTGAAGCAGATCGATCGACAGGCTGCGATTTGAACACAATCACAGCATCAAGATCAGATTTTCATCACAGCATTTATCCGCCTATCGCACGCAAATGTCTTCCCTTTTGGATTTTCTTTTGCACAAAGCCGTGGAGATATAACTCTTAGCGTTATCAGTGCGCATCCTCCTCTGTGCAAAGCTATCTGATGAAGGTCACCAGATCTCTTGCATCCGTTCCCTCCTGCCAATTTGAACTGTCTTGTTGATGGCAAACGCGCTATGCCGATTACGCTGTGCCTGACGCCCACGTTGAAGTTCAAATTGCGCCCGCTTCAAAACAGGATGCATGAAAATAGAATCCGAATGAAAACAGGGGGTTCTGTTGTTGTTGTTGTTGCCTTTCTGCGGATCCTTACTTGGCGCGCTTGCGCATCCCAGGAGAAGGAGGAGTGAAAGGCGTCTTATTGAAAAAGCGATGACTCCTCTCGATGTGATGCGCCAAATGTTATACACATATTGTCAAGTACGGATTGATAATATTCGCTCCGCCTTTTGGCTTTTGCTTTATTCACTGTTTGTCCGTACAAACAACTCTCATTTGAAGGGGGGGGGTCAGGTGGGGTTTGTTCGTAAGCGGGGTGCGTTTTGCGGAGGAGTGGGGGGTGTACTTTGCCAAAATATTTTTCAAACCGGATCGTCCCCTAAACATATTTCTATTTTTGACTTTTTTGGGGAAATGTTCTGTGAACTGACTTTCTTTCTTACTTCTTTCTTTTCAGTCTTCTTACAACCAACATCGAAGCAACTCTTATTTGAACTTCATTATCATACAATCTTGCCATCATGGCAGCTGTTGAAGGAATAGAGGTCAAGCCAAACGCTGGCAATGACGCAACTGCATCAGCAACGATGGGTAACGTGGACAAATCACAAATTCCAAGACCATACAAATGTCCACTATGCTCTCGTGCATTCTATAGATTAGAACATCAAACTCGACACATTCGAACACACACAGGAGAAAAGCCACATGCTTGCAACCATCCTGGCTGCGGAAAGAAGTTCAGCAGATCAGATGAATTGACCCGTCACGTTCGTATTCATACAAACAAAAAATCAAACAATGGAACCAACATTTCAGCCGACGGAATGATGAACGGAAACACAAAGAAGAAATCTGGCAGATCGGCAGGATCTTGGCAAGTCGGTGGTGGTGAATCCAGCGATTCAGAAAACGAAGATGGATCGATGGCTTTGCATCCTGCTCAAATCAGACCTGGTCGATCGGAAGAAATGTCTGCTTTGGCAATGTTGGCAAGTGATGAGCTCAGCTCGATCGAACGTGCAGAGCGTGAAGGAAAGAGGGCATACGGATATGGTCCCCATAATGTTACAACTGGTGCTTATCCATCTAGCAGATATCCTTCATATCCAGCTGGCTATGCAGCTCATCCAGGCGCAAACGGAACTGCTTACAGCTCATCAACTGTTGAGCAACCACCAGGATGCGAACATGCAGATTGCCATAGAAGTTACAATCAACGTGTTGCAGCTTCTTTGCAATCTCTTCATCATGGATCGGTTGCACCTGTGCACTCTTATTGTCCTCCTCTACCGCCATCTCATCATCAATACTCTGCACCGCATCCTTCAAGTCGTTACCCTGCTCATTACGCTCCAGGACATGGTCATCATTCTATGGCAGGACCACACGGTTATCCTTCAAATCCAAGCAGCGTCCCAAGCAGCCGTGAACACTCTCCTCGTTTCTCACCAAACGACAGTGCAATGTTGATGAGCGATGATTATCCATCTGACGGTGAACATGAACGTGTAAAAGCAGGAAGGCTTAATGGTTCTTTGGCTCCTGAATGGACGCCTTCAAGCAGTCCAGTTTTGGGTCCATTGCGCAATATGAGCTTGATGGGACATCGAACGATGCCAAACAGTCCTTACACTTCCAGACCCAATTCGCCTACTGGACGTAGTCATGCACTTCCATCGTCTTATTATCACCATCATGGCGCTTCACACCATGGAGCATCGCATCATTCTCCAATCATGGATCGCGGTTTGAGCAGTCGCAACAACTCACCGCCTCAATTGCATCACACCGGTCCATCTCACATTGCTGGAGCAGGACATCATGGATCACATAGACATCGCAGTCATCCTTACGGCCCTGATGGTCTTGCAAGTCATCCACATTCACGCTCTCATCATCATTTGACATCATTGGCAAATTCTTCTGTTCGTTCGTCATCCTCAACAACGATTCCAACAAGCACATCAGGTGAAAGGAGCACGGCTTATGACGGAGAATACGGTTACGGTCCAGGCTCAAATGCCACTTCTCCAACCGGTGCAAATGTCGCACGAGGAGCATACGAAGATGAGAACTCTTTATCAAGAAGAAGCAAAAGTGCCGTCAGCTTGAGCGCATACCATCTCAACGGTGCTGTTCATCCAAATGATGCTGGTAGACATGCACGCTTTGCTCCTGATACGTATGACCATGAGGAAAGACTTGCACGCATGGGAGAACGAACATTACCTTTACCATCTACTTCTGATGTTCGACATGCAATGCCTCATTTGCCTTCGGCTGCATGGAGAAGGAGCAATAGTCGTTCTGCCCCTGTGAGCGTTGTCAATAGTCCAGTTACATCACCGCGTGTTGAGCCTTTGGGCTTGCATGGCATTCAATCTGTGTCTCACTCACGTTCGGGATCATTCAACAACTCAACAAACGAAAGCAGTAGTGGTTCATCTACTCCTATCTCTATCGTTCACAATTCTTCTCGTTCGGGCAAATTGGGTGGATTCAGTATGACCCCTATTCATCCTCAAAGTGGATCAGCTGGCTCTCACGCTTCTCCCCCTGCAAAGAATACCTTACCTCCAATTGGTCAAGCGATTGCAACCAGCCGTGAATCTTCGCCAAACGCAAATGTCACACTTCCACCTCCGATGTCATTGCAAGCTTTAAGCAACCCAACTCCAAATGATGAAAAGGATGTTGATATGGCAATGACTTCATCCACACAAGCAGCCAATTAAAGGTTACGCTTTCCAACAACCATATACTAGCACTTCTTTCACTACTCATCTTTACACACATGCATTCATCATATAGAGCTCTACAATTTTCTTCTTCTTCTCCTTATATACACAGCACATTCTCCTCTTCATGTTACTTTTATTTTACTCGTAGATAGAACGTATAATAGACAAAGATTCGGTATATTCTTTTGTGTGATGATGATGCATTCATTGATTAATGAAATATGATAATATAAATAGCAAAATAGTACAAGCAAAAAAAGGTATCTGATAATGCATAAAGTAAGTTTATAGTACAAGTTATAGTAGGTAGGCCACCCCTTCTACCGCCTTCTGATCGGATCATTTCGTTGACGTAATTGAGCACGAGCATCACTTAATTCAGTTGTTAAATTTGTCAATTCTTCCATTAAATCGATCCTTTGACGACTTTCAACGTTTCGAATTTCTTCCATTTCCATTCGATTTGATTCTAATTCGTTCTGCAGAGCGATCAAACGTTCATCCATTTCACCACGTTCAACTTCTTCGGCTTTTGAACGATTTGAATGAATTTTTGCATAGGCTAAATCAGCTTCTAACGATCGTATTCTTTCCATCATCTCGCTCGTTCCCATTCCCAGCATCATCGTTCGTGGTGTTGCGCCTGATGCCATCGTATCCGTTCTCGTTCGCTTGGGAATCGAGGATGGCTTTGAAGGTGTTATTTCGCTCAAATTCATCGCTGTTCCATTGCCAGCAACGGAAGGCGACCAAGCAGGATGAGATGGTGCGGGTGTGGATGTGGTTTGAAGTGTAGATGAAAGTGAAAATTTACTTGAAGAAGGCGATACCAAAGGTGGATTAACAGGCAGTGCCGTCGTTCCTCTCATTGAAGATGGCGATTGTCCGTTTGAGCTTGCATTGGAAGGAGCAACGAGCATAGTTGAACCCTTGTGCACAGGCATGATGTTACGTCTTTGCTGTAATGGTACGATGTGGCTAGCTTGACTGTTGATCATCGAAGCAAGAGAAGGACTGGTTTGCATTGTAGCTGAAGTGGGTGTGAGACTTGTTTGAGCAGATGCAAGCTGTTGACGCATCTGTTTTCGTGTTTCTTCCAATTCGACTTCCAATCCACTCAATGCAGTTTGCAATTGTTGTTCTCTCGTCTTACTTGCTTCAATGATTTGCATTTGACTTGCATGTCCGTTTCGCATATCTTCCATTGCTACCTTCATTTCTTCATGTTCGCCGTGCACGGCTTCCAATTCTTCTTCCATATCTCGTTTCTCCATCTCCAATGCCAACAATTTGCCGACCAAGCTGCGACTAACAGACAATGCAGCTCTCGTACGATCGACAACGATTCGACAAATCTCTTTGGCATTTGAAGGTTTCGTGTCAATACCTTCATTACGCGGCATGGACTCTAGTTCCTCCTGAATTTCGTGCAGGTCGGTTGTACCTTGATCCAATGCTGGTAGCAATTCTAGCAAAGTACCAACCGTCTTCGTGAACAAATCGGTAGAGCCACTTGATGATTTAGGACTTCGCAATTTCATGCTATTGTATGCGGAATCTGCATTTCCAGCAACTTTGGTGAACGAGGAATTCTCTTTTCCCAGAGATTCTGGTGTTGTATCGATAGATGTACCTTCCTCGCGTGCATGAGATAGCTCAGCCTCCAGAGCGGCATTCCTTCTTTCTAACAATGTGATGCGTGCCTCAAGTTCAGCTGCGGATCTCGAAGGTCCACTTAATCGCATCAAAGTTGATGTTCCATTAGAAGGTCTTCTTCCAGCGAATCCACTTCCGTACGATGATTGACCAGCATTCCAACCGGTAACACTGAGCCTTCCATTCGTGGTGGACGTCATACTGATCGCACTTTGACGTTGAATGTTTGCCAACCGTCTCTTTGCACTTTCTGCTTGAATACGCCATTCTTCAGCTTCACGTTGAGCACCGTGCAATTCTCCGTTGAGCTTTTCAATCGTATCTGCATAATCGCTATCATAAGAAGACATTCCTCTTGGCGCTGATCGTTGTTGTCCTTCACCATCACTTTCGCCGGCATCACCACGTAATCCGTTCATCGTTGCTCTTTCCAATTCATCTTCCATATCATTGATATGTGTGGTGAGACTATCGATCAAGCCATCAATATCTTGACCGGCAGTCTTTTCTTTCTTTGGTGCTCCAGAAGTTCCGTATTTGATCTGATTCAAGAGATCATCCATCTCTTCTCGGCCTTCCGCTTTTCCAAGCATCCGTGCACATCGATCATCTTGTTCACGCAAACGTTTCTCAGCACGTTCTAAACGTTGTTCGAATGCACTGAATAGCTGTTGACGTTGATTCATGATGTTTCTTTCTGCAGTTGTCTCGAAGTCCAATTGTTCCATCTGCCTTTGAAGTTCTTCATACTTTTTTTGACGCTCTTCTAGCTCTTTGTCTTGTGAATGAATCCGTTCTTCCAAGCTCTGCTGCGTCTTGTTTGCCGTTGTCGAGTGTTTTGAATGTTGATCTTGTAGCTGTTTGATATTCCGCGAATGATCGTCTTGAAGAGTTTTATGTTGATTTTTGAGCAGTTGAGTATCTTCGTCATACTTCTTACGCCATCTTTCAATCTCTTTTTGACGATCTTCTTGTTCATGCTTCAAAGCCTGCTCAACCCTGGCATGCTTATCACGTAGACGGTCCAATTCATCAGCAGCAAGAAGTGCACCCACTTTAGACTCTTCCTCTTTGTCGTCTTCCTGCTGACGAAGTTGATCATGCTGTTGTAAAGAAGATTCAAGCGTTTCGATTCGAGTCGCAAGAATTTTGGCATGATGTTCGAGTAATTGTCTTCTCAACTTTGCCGCTTCCGCATGTAATTCTAACAATTTTCGAGAGATATGATCGACTTTTTTCGTTGCAGCAGCAGCATCTGCTTCGGATTGTTGGACATCGCTAGGTGTTACACCGGCACTTGTACTGCTAGAGGATATCCTTCTAGAATGATTACCGAAACTATCCTTCATTGTTGTTGAAGAAAAGGACGGTGTGATAGGAGTATTGACTGCACTGCTGATGCTTGCCGAATGAGCATGACTTCCGCTGCCGTTTCTTGGTCTAGCCGAGGCTTTGCGAACCTTGTTTGCAGCATCACGTACTCGAATATGTACTTTGAGCTTCAATTGAACATCACCAATATCACGTTCGACACGAGTGAGATTTCTCTTCAGTATTTCAACATCTTCCAAAGAACCCAAAGCTTTGAAAGATTGCGCATCCACCAATGACATGGATGCCAGCAACTCCATTAGCAATGCATCCTTTGTAATTGGCGTTGCCATCTTGAAGGCGCTTCCAGTTTGCGAATTTGGTGTCAAGGGTGAAGTACTTTGAGTAGCCCTTTGCAAAGGAATTCCATTAGCAAGATCATAGGTAGATATTCCAGGAGAAGATCCAGATCGTGCAGATGCTACTCTGTCTCCCATCTTTGACAGAATCTTTTTCATTTCGAGTGTTTTCGTTGCGCCAAGTTTACCTCTTTCGGCGCCGCCATTTTCACTGGGCGCATCAATCGTGAGTTTGAAATCTTTTTCTGTTGTCGTGACCGATTTCGTTTCATCATGAGGAAACCTCATACCGGTAATCGACAGGAGTCTTTCCTCTAAATCAGTTGATTGACCTGATAAATTCGAATTTCGGCCCCACGTTTCACTTAGAGGATCCAAACTTTCGTTTGCTAAAAGGGAAGTTGCACTTATTCCACTAGGTGATAAACTGTATTTTCCGCTCATTCCATCCAGATTGGAATCAGAGATTGCTGAAGACACTGAGCTTATCGATTGATTGCTCTGGCCTGAGATTGTGCGATTGGCACGAGGGATATCCAAAGGCGTGAGTCGATCCATATTATTCTTTGTTGAAGTCGAGCCAGACCTTTCTTCATTATGACTTTTATGATTTGCTCCCAAGCCTTCTTGCATGGCCGTAGGGAAGCGAGGCGTAGCCGTAAGCGATCGCTTTGTCGGTTTCTCGTTCGATTTCGAATCGTCATTATTAACACTGCTGACCCCTATCTTTTTGTCATTCTGCCCCTGATCTGAATTGGACGTCATGCTCACATTAGCAGCTTTCTCGGATGGAGCACTGCTGTTACGATTGCTTCTTGGTCGTCTCTTTTCGCTACTTGTAGATTCACGACTCTTCCTTCTAGTTTTCACACCTATTCCTTTATCCACACTAGGTCCTTGTGCGGCTTTTGTAGGTCTTGACTGTGCTGCTGTAGCATTACTTGCTATCGTTCTTGCCGGATTGGCCATCCTTTGTATGCTGACAGCATTCGCAGTCGCAACCACCACATTTGCTGAAACACCTAAGCTGGATGTTGTGCTATAGACAGACTCTCTGGACAAATCTTTTGTAAGAGTAGAATCCTGACCATCTTCCATCTTTTTCGATGAAGCACCTAAACTTCTTTCACCGAGAGATCTATTTTGTGATAAGCGCGGAATGCGAGATTGTTGACGTGCAAATGTGCCATGACTGTAATCTTTCTCAATTGCCGAAGGAGTTTCACTTTTGGCGGAAGATGGAAAATTCAGTGCAAAAGGTGTTTGCGGAGCGCCGGCTGACAATTTTGGTGGATAAGGCTTGATGGGTAGTAAAGGAGGAGAAGCGGATGCTGTTGTGTCGCCATTTGTCGTGCTAAGCTTGCCGGCATCGGCCTTGGTTGGCTTTTGATCAGTAACATCTAATCGATCTACCTGCTTCCTTCTCGATGAAAGTAGCGAAGGCTGCTCGGATGGCCCTCCTTGCGATGGTACAGATTTGGATGCTTGATTCTTTGCATTTGCGGAGTTCGCCCTTAGTCTTGCTGCAGTGTAAGGCGAAGGAGGTTCCTCTTGTTTCGTCATTGTGCCGACTGGCTTTCGAGTTGGAGTATTCGATGAGCCAGCCGAAACTTTTGGATAGAAAGGAGCATTGATCGGATGAGAGATGGAAGGATCGGATGTCGAAGCGGAAGAGGTTGGAGGCAGTTGAATTGCAGATGATGAAGAAGTGTTTACGATTGCACTATTACCCAAAATTGTGGCTGAAGATGAAGATGAACTACCGGAAGGATAAGCATATTTATTGTATACACTTTGACCTCCTCCTAAATTACTTGCGCTATTCCCGCTTCCGTTGTTGCCCAAGTTGGCAAACATGGCCGCTTTGGCCCGGACGCTAGACGCCATCTTTCAAGATGGGGTGGAGGGGATTGAAAGCTTTACCTTCTTTTGTGAAAATGCATCAGTCCTTTGTTTGTCGTTATGGATATGGATGATATGCAACAAAAGCAAGAGCAACCAAAAAAGCGGAAAAGGTATTCACAAGCAATTCTCCAGCACGTTTTGAGCCTTATAGATTCGGATGAACCTTTCAAGACTTTGTCGGATTTGAGATTGTCGGAGGAATTGATTGATTGAAATGATCGTGAAAGGATGATTAGGAAGAAGATATTAGTCGAGAATAGGGGATAGGTGTTCAAGATCGAGAAGAGGAGAAGAGAGGGGGGGAACATTTAGCAATGAAACTACAACTACCACCGACCAAAAAAAAGAGAGAGGCTCTACAGCAGTGTTACTGCTAAATTAAATTTATTGAGTAGTAGCGTATATGCATTAGTGAACATACGCGGTATGTATTTCTACAAGCAACTGCTAAACGGCAGACAAGACGCGCCAATTGAAATCAAATCGGAAGAGAAGCGAGTCAGGTCAAGCACTCTCTTGATTATAACCCACAAAGATGTCTTAATAATTTGATATAAGCCAAGGATTGATGACAACCACATCACATTCAATCATTTTAATACCTGTAAACAAAACCGATTGGATGCAATATGATGCAGGTTAAGCGCCGGTCATCTTTTTACAGTTGTTACCCGCCGTTGTTAAGGCACAACCGTAGGGTACATTAATTTACCACACTGTCCTCTCCCACATGCACAAAGGAAGGTGTGTATAACAACGGTAGCGCGACGCGTTTTTCTTTTTGGGTTTTCATTCGTTCATACTGAAATTCTTCCAAAGAAGGAATTCGGGACGCAGCTATGTACCTGCCCTGCCCTGCACAAGAAGTCCGTTAACTGTCATCTATGCAGGCGGCTAAAGAAGATTCTGTCATGTTTCTTTAAATACATCTCTTTCATGCAGCAACTTCACACTCTATGTAGATTGAGAATAGTGATGCATTTCGTTGCAGATGATAAAACGTGCACAAGTTTGAAAGTTTGATTTGTGGATATAAGAATAAAAAGACGATTATAGAGAGAGAGAGAAAAAGTAAAGAGAAAAAGCAAACCTTGAAAGAAATGGTTGTGCAAACATGAACAAAACAAAACATAAGCAAATACTGCAATATAGTACACTGAAAAAAGGATGGGTATCAATCTCTTCTCAGGGAAAAAAAGAGATCAGGAAATAAGGAAAGTGATAATACTAAAAAGTGATCGTTCTTCAAGCAATTATACAATCTTGCTTGCTAGACAAACGTCTGTTGTGCTTCTTGTCACCTCGAACGTCATGATGATGATGATGATTGGCTGGCGACTTTTGATCAAGATTACTTCCTCTTGCCAATGCCAAAGCTGCTGCTCCCATTGAACGATCTACAATTTCACCATCTTCAACCGAAAAACCTCCCGAAGTTGAATATTGTCCTCGAGACCATGGTAATCCTTGACTGGCATGTCTGCCTGGAGTTTTAGGTTGACCGTCAGAAGCTTTGGTTCCGTTCGAATGGGAAGAATGATGGGTAAAATTAGGCGTACTTCCAATACTCAAAGCAGCCGCACTTGCTGAAAGATGTCTTTGTCTGCGATTGGCTTGTAAAGCTGCTCGTGAAATTGGTACGTCATGCGAAGATGGTTGTGGACTTTTATTGTTTCCCATTGCCCGAATTTCAATCGAAGGAAATTGACTTCGACCGGCAGATGACATTTGTGATGTTGGACTGCCCAATTGGAAACTGCTTGACATACTTGATGCACTGCTGCCATAACCAAGCGAATCATCGTGAACACTTTGCGAACTACTGGGAGATCGTATCATTCCATTGGAAGAGTCATTGGTTCGATTGTGCTCATGTGTAGGCAATTCGATCGGAGTAGATGAAATGATGATCGGTTTGCCAACTAGAGGTGAAGGAGAAGGTGATCTTTGTCGCATAAGATGAGAAGGCAAAAGGGAAATCCTTCTTGGACGTTTTTGCCTCTTGTTTTCATCTTCTGTATCTTTCTTCCCTTGCACGTTGTGTTCTGGTGACATCGGCGTCAATGGCGGTGATTTTGAGATGTCGGGTAGCACGATTGGATCAGCTTCAATCACTGCCGTTCGAGGCGAGGAAGAAAGAGTAGCGGGTAGATTCAAATCACTTGCGCCTCCTTTACTGTTCCTCTTGTACTTGCCAAATGGGAATCGGAAAATTGTTGGGCTTGCTATCGAAGTTGGTGTAGGCGGAGGAGGTGTACTGGCAGAAGGTGTAGGGCTCAAAACACGAGTCATATCCAAAGAAGAACGATGAGTGGCCAACATCAATAATTGAGCACGTAAATTGCACGGTGTGATAGCCTTCTTTGCACAACTGGCATGACAAATCAAACCACAATCTTCGCACAAGACCGCATGCTTTTTCACCGAATCACGGCAAATCTTGCACAGAACGGGCTTACTGAACGTACTTTTGACGAAAGCATGTGTTTTATTGAGGGATGCCTGTTCGTCCAGCATGAAAACGTCATTGGTAGGAGAAGTCAAGTCCAACATGCTTGGGTCTAAAGGCATCCCATCTCCCAGCACGTTCCTTTCCTTCTCCATTCCTGCCATCGTACTTGGTGAACGTAACAGGTCCAAGGAAGTGTTTGTCGAAGTCACGTCACTTCCTCTTCTGCACATCGATTCAGAAGGCATCATAGCGGGCGGAGAAACGGAAAGAGCTGTACTTGCTCCTGCTGGTGAATAGAAAGTTGCATGACTCTTGTTTGGTTCTTCTTCATCTTCAGAGAATGTGACTTCTTTTATCGGTTTAGCAGACCAAGCGTCAGGGGCAGAAGATGCACGCATATTCTGTAGATGGGGTCGTAACGAAGCACCAGCAGAAGGTGAGGATGTACTCCTTTCCATTTCATTTTTGATCATTTCAGTGATCGCTGTTGGCTCAGAGTTACGGGCTGGCAAACAAGACAAGACGTCTGCTTGAGTGACAGTTGCTTGTCTAGTCCTACCAGCAGTTCCTTTGCGCTCTAAAGTACCACCATTCTCCATTGTGCTCTTTCGAATACTTCCTTTCCTTTGATCTCCAGAAGCAATTCTCTTGAAGAACGGAACGCTGTCTTGTGGCCTTAGTGCCTTGTGATCACCCCAAGTGGTACGTAACCATGCATGTTCGCACAGCATTGCAGCACTTGGTCGAAGAGCAGGATCTTTCTGGAAACAATGCGTCAAAAACTCGTGCAAAGTATTGGAAATATTCTTTGGCAATGGTGGACAATCATCTTCCACAATTCTCCACATAGCTGACATTGCCAACATATCACCGTAAGGCGGCTTCCCGGTTAGCAATTCGATAATTGTGCATCCTAATGACCAAATATCAGCTGCAGTAGAAGCACCTTTCAATTCAATCACTTCGGGCGCCATCCAATTGGGTGTACCGATTGCGTCATTCTTCTTCAAATCTTCAGCTGCCTTGAGGTTGAGAGAAACACCAAAATCGGATAATTTAACGTTACCGTTCTTCGTCGTAAGAATATTTGCAGCCTTCAAATCGCAATGCACAACCTTCATCTCGTGCAAATAATTGAGACCTTCCAGTATCTTGACCACATAACTTGCCACCAACTTTTCCGGGAAATTGCCAAAAGCCTTGAGAGTGTGTAGTAAGGATCCATTTTCCACATATTCCAACACGATCGAAACCACGTCTTCTCCACGTACCAAACCTTCATATTTCACAACGGATGGATGGACAAGACTTTTGAGTAATTCAACTTCGTGCATCAATTGTGTTACTTCATCTTCTGACCTATTGTTCAATTTGATTCGTTTCACGGCTACCATTTGACCAGTGTTCAAATTCAACGCACGATAAACGGAGCCGAATTGACCTCTTCCAATACAGTTGCCCAATTGCAAAGTGACATCAGCCTTTCCTTCTTCGGTAAGGATCAGTCTATGCTTCGATTGCTTCACAGACGGATCACGGGTATGCTTTACGCCAGACATGGAAGCTGAATCGTCCAAAGTGTTTGCATACAAACTTCCAGCTTCCGAACCAAATCGTGAACGTGAATTTTGTTCGAACGAAACCTCTGACCGTGAAGTAGTAAAATTTGGTCTTGCGATATGTAGATCGGACGAATAACGAAAGTGAGATTTACGTGATCCTCCTGTCGCACCTGCGGCTGAAGATCTTGGCGTTGCAGGTACCAAATCGGCAAATCTTGGCGAGATTGGTATTTCATCAATTGATTCGGTAGATTGTGCTGCTGAAAGAGATAAATGTCTTCCGATCCTCCTTGCACTAGGGGAATCTGAGCTGAAAGTTCCCGAAGTGGACATACTACGAGGGAAAGGTACACGTTGACTTGTTGTTGTGACGGCAGAAGAGCAAGCTTCTTCACTAAAGCCATCATCAGATCGAACGCTGAAATAATCATCAGCTGTTCTATTCATTGCCGGCACGCTGACTCCGCCAACCGACATACTCCTGACAGGATTGCGAGGAGTAGCCAAACCGTTGGTTGATCGACCGCTATTTCGCCTAGAAGGTGCTCCAGGATGTCGGATTGGCGTGATACCAATTGCATTCCTATTCTCATCCAGAATCGTTGGCGTGCGAGGGCTGCTCAAGCCAGTTCCACGAAGATTAATCTCTTGACTGATCCTCCTTTGAGATGTCGAACGTGCCATGGGAAGTGCTGAAGCTCCTGGCCATTGAACGCTAGATGGGCTAACAGGAGATGCTACATTTTCTTGATCGCCATTCAAAAGCATGGAAGGCGTCACATTCTCTTCCTCTTCAACAACGTGTGTCAAACTGACCACTGATTCGCTCAATTTTCGATCACGGTAAGGCATCCTATATTCTTCATCGATTGGATGTGATGAAACTGCTTCGGAAAAGGTGATGGTAGAATTGACACGAGCTCGCGAACCTGAATTTGCAAAAGATGCTCCATTTCCAAGTCTTGAAGAAGAGCCGTTGGAATGATTGTTACCGCTACTTGTTGTACTGCTAATGCTGCTATTCCCATTACTACCAATCGAAACCGATCCACCTCCGTTTAATTCAAACGTTTGACGTCTAGGAGATAGGATCATCGTTGTTGATCATCAAAATATGCTCCAAGCGTAAAATATTGCGGGGTAATGATTCTTATCAGGAGCAATGCCGTGCTTGAGTGCGAAATGATAGGGGGAGATTTGCAGAAAGACGGATAACGGTTCCGTGCAAAGCGTATAAGTTGAAAAAGGATATGATGCTCAATATTGAAAAAGGAGCTAGCGGTCAAATGAAATTGAATGGGGTGTGAGGTTCCGTTGATTGTCGGATAGGTTCACCTTTCGGATTGCGGATGGGTATACTGTGTCGTAAATTAGACTGAGATGATAAAGATACTTTTTGTCTTTTTTTGATTGTCGTCAAAGGGTTGCATAAGATTACCTTTCGCTTCTCATCAAGAGAGACGATTGAAATAGGGTTCACGTTAAATTGGATCGACGAGATATCTTTTGAGATTTAGGAGTACCCTCTCTATTATCCTTCTTAGGTGCGCACTTTTGCGACGACCCAAAGAAGCGGATAACAAGACTTTACTCCATAAAAGCTTGTCTTTCCTATGATCACGACTTTGTGTTCGCGTGATGTATTGGGGAAAGACAGTGACCGCTTGTAGGTTTGATGGTGATGAGGTATTGGGAACAAGTAAGCTATGATGACGATGAGTGTACCCTAATCGTACGGTATCAGCCAAAGAGAGAACAGTAAAATGCACTATTGACAGAGATAGAGCCAAAAAAAAGAAAAAAAGAGATTTGATGAAAACGTTTAATCTCAAAGAGTGAAGTACACTTCTCATGTACCTGTTGCTTGAACTGCAAGAGAAGACCATTGACCCCTTAAGATTGATTAGTGACTTTGAAGAATCAGTCGGGCATAAATGTCCTTGAAGGTAGGATGAGTGTGCATATATGCAGCAGCATATAATCTGCACTAAGCGTGACAAACACAAAGAGAGAGAGAGAACGTACGTGCATGGGTGCATACAAGAAAAAGGTGTGCAAGTGGCGTGCAATATAACTTAGCGTGTAATCCTTTCTTTGATTGTATCACAGTCTGAGCGAATGATGTGCTGATGCTGTTGCTGCATAGCATCAGACAAGTATGTTTGTAGTGTCGTAGTATGTACATACATACGATGTTTCCACCCTTCCCGACTAAACATGTACCTTTTGTAAAAGGATCAGTGCACTGCATGACATCCTGTAATTCATCGGACACAGAGCGTTTACAACACAACAAAACACTTTGACCTTTTCTTTTTTCTTGACGCGGAGATCCAAAATGAGCAATTCGAAAGGGCCCGGAAATGAGATCGGATGATTTACTAATTGATAATAGGTCAAAAAAACAGGGAGAGAACCCTGAAAGGAGCTTCAAGGAGGATGAGAAATCTCACGCTCATCAATTGCAAAAAAAAGAAAGATAGCAAAGAATGGGCAGTGCTCTCATTCAATTGTCTCGCATTGTGCATGGACCCTGCATTACAGACAAGGAAGCAAGCAAATCTGTCTTGAAGTTATTGATCCTCTAAATGATGTTCAGAAGAAGTACAGCAGCTATGTATTGGATCGGTGTTATCCCTTTAGAAAAAGAGGTCAAGTGGCTTTTTGCCCTTTTCTCACACACAATATTACCCCGGATCTTTTTCTGTTTAAAAACGCGTGTAGAATGGGAGACGGCACGCAGCGGACGGAATTCCAGCACTAAGAAAGACTAAAAAAGTCTTGTTTGAGTGGGCACGTTTATAAAACTGGCCAAGACCTCCTCTTGATAAGCCAATTCTTAACTTACGTACGGTTCTTGCAGTAAATTGGCTAGCGTTTGTTATGCTGATTGACAAGTCGGATCAATATTGTAGTACATGTGCATAAAATGCAAGCAAATGCATAACTACGTCAACAAACTACATCACAGAAAGTCCTCTTGCATTTTTATGTTTTTATATTTTTAGTTTGAAACACTTTTTAACCCACTGCATACTTTCTCCAAAATAAAAAATATTGACTAAAGTTTCAAAAGTAGCATATCTTTAAAATATTGTTCTTTAGTGTAAGCATTAAAGTTTAATTTATTCATACCTTTAGGGTTAGGGTAATTGATCAATCAACTTTATCTTGTTAAATAAGATTGATTACTATCAAGCCAAAGCGGAATTGGAAAAATGATTGCTTAATTGAAGGCCCACTATATCCCTTATAAACGGTCAAAACGGCGAAAGCGGGATCGAAAAAGTGTGATTAAAAGCCACGCTAGTAGTGATTGGGTTGGTGTAGCGAGTAATAGCATCTCAACGGTCAAACTTGTATGCTTCTCTCAATAAGGTTTTGGTGCCATTCCGCACTAGAAATGCGGGCTTGCGTGGCTGTGTGTGTGTTTGTGCTCGATCTATGCAATCAAATGCACTTTACCATAAAAGACCTGCATCTAACAGCTGTAAAAGAAAAGTGAACGATATCTATTGCATGTCCTACTGCTGCTTTATGCAAAAACCGTTGAATTTGTTTCTTTTTTGCCGCCTTTCGATCATCGGTGCCTATTGCATGGCTTGCAGGATTGTGAGAACGTTTTAGTATAAAAAATCTTACTTGATCTCGATAAGAAAAAAAAAAATTTATGTGTAGAAACAAAAGATGTGGCTGTGCGAAAGACCCTTGTTCTGGAATTCATTTTTCGAACAAAAAAGGGACCGAAAGGCTAGAATTGTATAGCGATCGCCATGCAAGAGTAGATGTTTTATACGGACATTTCAAAAATATCAGACAGCAAGTTATACCAAAATATTCTCATGATAGGCAATTATGATCGGATCCATGCTTAGATGAAAAATTACGATAGATTGAAAAAATGTCAAAGCGGTGCTTTGATCGGATTGAAAAAAATAATGGGCTGTGCTTTTGAATCTTGAGCAAAAAAAAAGTGGCAACCCCTTTCAGGGTCCAAGCTGCGATCTCATGCTATTGACCGCCGGGTAAAAGCTTTATATTGAAAAAATGGTGCCCAAAGGGTGAAATTGATTGAAAACGTACTTGGCGTTATTGAAACCTGTAAGCCACAGCTTGTAATATGGTGGTTCAACCTTTTTTTGCAAATAACCACAACACTGGGCTTAAAAGCCACACGAATATTAATTAATCTCTTTTTTTGCCGGCTTGATCGTCAGGTATGCATGCATGTATACCTTCTCAATCGATTTTAGCACCAGTATGCCCGATTATTACGAAATAATTGTCACTCAGTCTTACGTGATCATATCATCGAATACATTTTACGGCACGTTCTTGACATAGAACAATACAACTTAGTGTTATCAGATCAGGCTAAGGAGATTTTCATGTCCACTAAAATAATTCCGTGACATTTGTTCGGATCAATCAACACCCGATCATTCTCTAAAGAAAATCTCACAACTCCAATAAATCGGATCCGGGTCTTGTTAATCAATAAAATTGAATGGTAAAAATACATAAAAAGAATGAGAAAATTAAAAAGAAATAGTGTCCATTTAAAATAAAGAGATAAGGAATTGTTCAAACCGTAAAGAAAAAAATTGTTCATCTTAACGGTATCGCGGATATTGCTGTTGTTGTTGTTGTTGCTGCCTCTGATAAGATTGTTGACATTGTTGATCATATCCGTTCATCCTTTGAGGTGGATTATAGTTTACTTGAGAAGGTGCAAAGCTGGCCTGTAAAGCAGCGGGCGTTTGATGAAGAGCAGGCGTATAAGCATTCATGCCGGGAGTATAAGGTCCTCGAACGCCTCCGTTCGGATAAGGTGTAAAAGGTGTGCCTGGTGTACCGGGCGTGGCAAATTGATTGATCGCAGGCGAAGCTGGATATCTTCTTTGTTGATATTGCGGACTTTGTGGTATTGGTTGCGGTGGTGGTTGTCTTTGCATTTGCTGCGGTGGTTGTCTTTGTGGCATTTGTTGTTGGAATTGTGGTTGGAATTGCGGAGTTTGTTGCTGGAATCGTTGCGGTGATTGAGCATAGCCTAAATTCTGCTCACTCATGGCATATTCGTCTGCACCATACAATGAACTAGATGAATCTGACCATTCTTGACGGTTCATCGGACCTGGTCTAGGGCCAGAAGCTGGTCCATACCCTTTTCCAACCCGTTGTGCGCCCATAGGAGTAGGATCTGCATACATTGCTTCATTTTCACTTGCTTCATCTTCGTCATCGTATAAGGCTTCATAGCGTGTACCTTTATTGGAGGAAGAGTTAATGTTATTGAAACCTACACTACCATCCTTCAATGGAACTCCACTGTTTGCTAAAACGTTATTACCATTTTCTCTTTTCTTGTAACGTCGGAAAAGACAAACGCATAATGCCCACATGACAGCTAAAGATATTGCACCTGCAACGACTGGAACTGCGATACTCAATGTTCGATTATTGGCTAACCATCCACCTGAGCTATTGAGATTATTGCTGGTTGAACCTTTTCCGGTAACGTCTTTCTGGGATAAACCAGACGTATCACCTGATCCATCCCATGCGTTGCTGTTCGACTTGGTGAAAGCAGATTGAACAGAGTAGCCAGGCAGACCGGGAGGAGCATCATCTTGAGGTGACGCGAGATAGGAAATTGGATCATTTGAAAGTGCAAATTGAGGCTCATTATCGCTCATTTGACCGGTGTATACCCATGAAGTAGTTGTATTTCCGTTTCCAACTGTGGTTTCATTGAGGTTTGATTGAGAGGCGCAAGTCGTTTGGAAAGATCGGATTTCAGCCGAATAATAACCTGGACTTGTGTATGCACTGCTGGTCCAATCTATAGCACCTCCTGCCCATTGGATAACTCCGGGAGGATTGGTTGAATTACCACCTGCCCAAACGGAAATTTGAACTCTACTTGGACTTCTTGGATAATTTGTACCTGCTTGACTTCTGGTTAATGTTCTAACCACATTTCCATCGATCGACCATTGCAATTGATTTTCTTGCCAATTAAGTCCATATGTATGCCAATCAGAAACGCTAGATGAAGCATTGATTGATTGTGCACTTCCTTTTACCGTCACTCCTTGTGAGAAGTAATTCGTTTGAGCGTCTTCTGCGTTTGCTGTTGTGAATTCCCAATCGATTTCATCTTTGATATCGCTCATGGTGATAAAGGCAAAAACTAAACCTGCTAATGCATTATGTCTTGCTGAAAGTTGAATGTTTCCGTATAACATATAATCCGTTGTAGAAATCTTTGTTTGACTTTGTTCTGTAAGTTCGAGTAAGACACCTTCTGGACCTTTACCCAAATAGCCGTAATCCAAGGTAAAAGGTGCATTACTCGAGTTACCGTTGTATAATAAAATTGGCCAAAATTGATGTGAATTATTGTAATCGGATGGTGCGAATGTGATATTTTTATCTTGACAGATCGGGTTTGGTAAACAAGAAGAAGGCGCAAAAGACATCATCGGTTGACAACCACCTGCACATTGAAATGATCCACTTCCACACGTTCCACCAACTCCGCAACAAGGACTATCTTTTGGACATTTTTGTGTTGCCGAACACGCTTCGCCTGCTGCTGATGCGAACGAGATTGCGGTTGCTAGCAGTGTTGATATAAGAAAGAATGCTCTTTGTTTTCTCATTTTATTGGTGTGATTTGTGATGTGATGGTGTTCAACAGTTGAGATCGGAGTGATTGAGGTGATGATGTAAAAATAGATTTATCAGAGCCGACCGATATAGCAAGTGTGTCCTAAATTCTACTTACCAACAACACCTTTTAAACTCGTTCCTGAATAGAAGTGGAACGCATAAACTGTTAAAGTGCCTTACTTTCAGAGCTTGCACTGCCGCTCCCTTTTGTTTTGCTTCCCGCTCAAAAGAATACCCCTAACTACCTAAATAACAGAATAGAAACTTAAAAAGGAAAGAATGTTGGACTTCTATGCTCGGCATCATGCATGCATATTAAAAATTACGCGCCGGCGCGCGAGCTGAACGCGTTTTATGAAGCAAAGTTCGGCTCAGTTGATATGTTACGGCTAACGATGTCGAAAGTAGGGTTACACCAATCTTCGATAGCTTCCCCGCAAATAAGAGAGTTCGGGAAGCGACATTTGCATTTGTAGCATTGAAGTGGTACATCACCAAAAAAGTTGATGAGCATCAAGGTTGGTTTAAAAGATCTGGAAATCTGTTCCTGATTTATCAATCAATCCATTATTTAATTGTTAAGCTCATGCCTGCTCCATGGAGTTGTAAGGCTACTTGTATCTCTTCAAGATTCGATCACGTTTCTCACACTATTCCTCCGTCTTCATCCGAAGTGACAGATAAGCGAGATGTGGGAATGATGAAGGATCAGATTAAATGCATGGTAAACGGATAAGTCCGACAAGATCAAGGTTCATGCTGTACCAATGACTCGGGCTAGCATACGGAGATCTCCGAAGAATGACGTTGAGCCTGTATTGTGGCAGTGATTACGGTGTACTAAAGTGTTGGATGTCTGAACATGCGGACAGGAACAAAAAGGGCAACAGAACAGAGCAAGAAATGTTGTGGGCGTTTGATGATGATGACATGCATGAAAAACAATGTGTGCCAAGGTTACAGTACAATCAATCACTTACGCTAAAACCAACAGCTGAGCTTTGGGGGAAATGCCCGCTTGTCAGACATATGATGTCCGAATTGCACTGCTGTGCAGGAAAACAAGCTACTGCCAAGCTAAGCAGATGTCTAGCCCGTACACATACACTGATAATGTGTGTTCGGCTTGATGCCGGATTGTGTTCAACATTTGCCGGGTACAGTTCATGTGCCTGCAGAAAGTTAATTTTCTCCACTGTGGAGACTGCTGCTTTGTCACCATATGGTCATCCTTTTTAAAAAGAAAGTATAATTTATGCACTAAACCAGGGTTAAAGGTACACTCCGCCGATCAAAGGTAAAAAATCAGCTCATGTGTATATAATCAGGGCTATTTTGGCAAGCTTGACTTTTGTTCACCTCTTCAATCCCCCTTCCATCACTTCTTCTAACAAAACATGTCTGGCATTAACGACGATACAGTAAAGAGCCATAACGGCCAAATCAACGGTGACAATGACTTTGCCATCGATAATGATTACAACAGAGCAAGTCCATCAGGCAATACAGCCATCCCTCATCCACCAAAGAAGAACGATGGTGGTTTGATCACTGTGCAACCTTTACGCAGATCAGAAATGCAACCTTCTTACAAGCAAGATCTTGGTTTGGCAGAAGTCAATCATGGATTCTACGGTAGTTTGATTAATGGCTTGGGTGCTTGTGCAGGTTCGATCGGTCAATTCCCATGTTGTCCATGCCCTAACCCTTTCAAAGAAGTTCGTCAAGGTAGCGTCGGTTTGGTAAGCAGATTCGGTCAATTCTACAAATCCGTCGATCCAGGTTTGGTAAAGATTAACCCTTGCAGTGAAAGTTTACGAATTGTTGATGTCAAGATTCAATTGACCACCGTTCCACAACAACGTGTTACAACAAAGGATAACGTCAGTTTGGAAATCGATAGTGTTCTTTATTGGCACGTTAGCAACCCTTACCGTGCTGCTTTCGGTATCAATGACGTTCGTACTTCTCTGATCGAACGTGCTCAAACGACATTACGTGATGTTGTTGGTAGCAGAACATTGCAAAGTGTGATTTCCGACCGAACAGAAGTTGCAAGACAAGTAGAAGAAATCGTTGAAGGAGTTGCAGAGAAATGGGGTGTTTCGATTGAATCAATTTTGATCAAAGATATCGTATTCTCACGTGAATTACAAGAATCACTCTCTTCTGCTGCTACTCAACGTCGTATTGGTGAAAGTAAGGTTATCGCAGCAAGAGCAGAAGTTGATGCTGCAAGGTTGATGAGACAAGCAGCAGATATTCTTGCTTCGCCAGCAGCAATGCAAATAAGACAATTGGAAAGTTTACAAGCAATGGCCAAACAAGCCAATTCAAAGGTCATCTTTGTTCCCATGTCTCTCGATGCAAGCGGAGCAACTGCTTTGACGAATGCAAATCAAGGTAGCGCTGGCCAAGGTTCAACAGGACTATCAACCGGTGAAGTTAGTCAACTTGCTCAATTGAGTACAATCTGAGTAGTGCAATCAAGCACTTTTTCTATTGACCATTGGAATCATCTCTTATTTCGCTTTCATTTCGATCGTCTTTAATTCTTTGATCAATTCCTCCTCTTTTGTGTAGCTTATTTGATCGACACAGATTTATTCTGTAGATTCTTCTTTTTTCTTGATATCCATGCTCTCAATGATACCGATTCAATTATGACACTACACTATCTGACTTGAAAAGACAGATTCAAAATGAGAATTTACCTGACAGGCACATGAAGTCAATCTACGAGCTTGCCTGGAATTGCTAGTGTGCTATTGATCAAGAGAGAGAGGGAGAGAGAGAAGATACATGTGTATGTAAACAGTGTCGTTCCAAGTTGCCGCTACCTCATTAAAGCGGAAAGTGACCGCTTGAATCGAGAGATATGGAACGAAGATGACCCTTGAATTGGCTTGTTTGGACATTGCTTGTAATCTTTCGAATTGCCTTATTTGCATAGCTGCTGGCGAAGCAAGGATATCGGCTGCTTGTCTCATCAACCTTGCAGTATCAACAGCAAGAGCAGAAGTTGATGCTGTAAGGTTGATGCTGTTGATGCTGCAAGGTTGATGAGACAAGCAGCCGATATCCATGCCCTCAATGATACCGATTCAATTATGACACTACCCTTTGTGACTGAAAAGACAGATTCAAAATGAGAATATACCTTGACAAACACACGTGAAAATTATCACTTTTCTTAACAAATCCGAACATAGCCGTCATGTCGGGTTGGGACTTTGGGAGGAGTGTGTAAGTTGCATAACAACAGAATGGCCCATGCAGATTCATTCATTCATCGTCGGCTTGACCGTTACCGCGAAGGTACTCAAATGCACTGCGCTACGCCCGCTAACGGTTTTTAAAGGGTCTTTGTGGTAACCACACACACTTTATTGTAATTGCGAATAGGACCGATTACACAAAGCAGTGAGCAATGATACTGTCTGTTGTACACAGCAGTGCAAAACGCCACACAGTTTGATTGTCAAATGCATGTGCATTTAGCGTAAACGATAATAGAATGGCTCGATGATTGTGATTCTAGAAAGACGGGCTGTCAATCTATGAGCCTTGCTTGCCTAGAAATGCTAGTGCACTATCGATCGAGAGAACACACGTTTCAAATAAACTTATCTTGGGTAAGAAAATGATTCCTTATTTGTGGAACAGGCACTGATTCTACACCACACTCTTATGGTGTTGTTCCGTGCACAAATGCAAATAAACTGCTCTACCCCCCAACAACAAGTGCTATTGTAATACATAAGATCATACTTATCATGATCTCCTTTGATCAAAGGCACTTCCGATGTCATTTTCCTATTGCCCGAAAATTAAAATTGCCCCACATGTGCATAAAAGCAGTGTAATTCATTACGTCTTGTTTGGATTTGATCGGTAATCTCTCTTTTGTGATGCCCTTATCCCAAACAGTAGTCATCATTCTACGCCCTTCAATTTAGCAGTGTTGCGGTGAAATGATAAATATAGGGTCTGACTTTGAACTTGTTGCTCGCACAGACAATCAAATAACCAATCAGATAGAAGAATGTTTGTCTTGCTGGCCAAAAAGAAATGATGCTTGATCAAAGCGTTCTCGCAGTTATAAAAGATTCTAAGAAATATTCAATTTCATTCCTTTTCCCCCATCATCAACAAAAAATGTCTACCGATAAAATCACTTTCTTGTTTAACTGGCGTGCAACGCCTTATCATGCTCCCGTCTTTCTTGCACAAGCAAAAGGTTATTTTGCCGAACAAGGAATCAAAGTTGCACTTTTACAACCACAAGATCCAAGTGATGTAACTGAAATCATTGGTTCAGGTAAAGTGGATATGGGAGCAAAAGCAATGATTCATACGATTGCCGGTAAAGCCCGTGGTTTCCCAATCAAATCCGTTGGTACAATGATGGATGAACCTTTTACCGGTTTAGTTTATCTCAAAGACAGCGGTATTACACGTTTCGAAGATATTAAAGGTCGTAAGATCGGTTATGTCGGTGAATTTGGTAAAGTTCAATTGGACGAATTAACACAACATTTCGGTTTAACACCAAACGATTATACTGCCGTTCGTTGTGGAATGAACGTTAGTAAAGCGATCAAAAAAGGTGAAATTGATGCAGGTATCGGTTTGGAAAACGTTCAAATGGTTGAATTGGAAGAATGGTTGAAAGAACAAGGTCGTGATCCGGCAGATGTGCAAATGTTACGCATTGATGAATTGGCTGAATTGGGTTGCTGTTGTTTCTGTTCGATTTTGTACATTGCAAACGAACCTTTCATCAACGCAAACCCTGAAAAGGTCAAGAAATTCATGACTGCCGTCAAAAAGGGTGGTGATTACTTGTTGGCAAACCCACAAGAAGCATGGGAAGAATGCAAGGATTTCGTTGCCGAACTCAACACACCATTACAAGACAAGGTATTTGAACGTAGCTTCGTTTATATGAGCCGTGATGCAGCAAACGTTCCACGTGATTGGAACAAAGTAACAAATTACTGCAAACGTTTGGGAATCGTTTCACAAGATTTCCAACCAAATTACACAAACAATTTCCTCTCTTGGCAACCAGACGCTGAGGTTGAAGACCCAGACGCCAAACAACGTCAAGTTGCAGCTTATCAAAAAGATGTTGCCGCTGGCCGTCAAGGTGTTTTAACCCATGCAGTCGCCGTCAAGGCCGCTTCATGAGAATGTTCTCGTGTATATACACACAATGATGTTTGAGTAGATTTATAAATACATATATATACATATATTTAGAGATATAAAAAATCCATTGTTCATCGTGACCAGCTGCTAAGAGGAGGAAGCTTCCCCCTCTCTTAATCTCTTATTACAGGGCGCGACCTTCTTCTGCCCGCTTAGTCTAATTTTAGCTTTGAGTAGTAACGTTGCTGGCTTGCCTTGCCTTGCCTTTGATTGAAGCTAGCGTGCAGATTGCCGAATCCCTTTTATTTAAGCGGGGGGCTGCATGTGGTCAATCAGGTAGAATTGCACCGCTGGAAGGTATATTATATACATGTGTATTGTATGAACACGCACCTTCTTCTTGCTTTTCTTACAAACGACACTCTCCTCTTCGTATACCACCACAACTCCCTCCTCTCGCCAATCGGATCATCTCGGCAAGCCTTGTTGTGCTGCTAGTAATCCTAACAAGATGGGTAGAAATGGCATATTCGGTCAATTGAGCGGGATAGATGCTTTTGGAAAAACGATGGACGATGTTCGAATTCGAACGAATATTGGTGCAATGATTACGTTGACATCGTTTATTTTGATCGTATTTTTGACATTAGGAGAATTCATTTCTTATCGTAAAATTCACGAAAAGACTGAACTTATCGTCGATGTTAGCAGAGGTGAAAAACTCACAATCAATATGAACATGACTTTTCCACGTGTGCCTTGTTATCTTCTTTCGATCGATATTATGGACATCAGCGGTGAAAGTCAAATGAACTTGATGCACGATATCACAAGGACAAGATTACATGCAAATGGATTACCAGTACCCGATGGTCAAACATCAACAATGCATCTAAACGGACCAGTCGAACGTGTCGCAAAGACACATGATCAAACATATTGTGGTTCCTGTTATGGCGGAGAACCGGGAGAAAGTGGATGCTGTAACACTTGCGAAGAAGTGCAAGAGGCATACGTAAGAAAAGGTTGGAGCTTTGGTGACCCAGAGCATGTAGATCAATGTGTCAAAGAGCACTGGTCAGACAAGATTAAAGAACAAGCAACCGAAGGCTGTAACGTTGCCGGAAAAGTACACGTTAACAAAGTTGTGGGTAATTTGCACATGTCAACCGGAAGAGCGTTCCAAAGAAACAGTCAGCATATGCACGATCTGGTACCTTACTTGGCCGGCAAAGGTGATAATCATCACGATTTCGGACATCACATTCATGAATTCTCATTCGATGATGATAGCGCTTTCAAATGGTCAAATGCAGATCGATTGGCCGCTCGTAAATTGATGGGAATCGTTGATCCTCTTTCTGGCGTGATGATGCATACAGAAAAGAGTCAATTCATGATTCAATACTTCTTGAAAGTTGTGCCAACCGAATTACGTTTAAAGAGCAAGCATCTTTTGAAAGGACATCAGTACAGCGTTACTTCTTATGAACGTGACCTAGACATGTCTCCAGGCCATCTACAAGTAGCAGCAAAAAAGCAGAAAGAAGTTCCAGGAAAGGTGCAACATGGATTCATGGGAATGCCCGGTGTCTTTTTCAATTTTGATATTAGTGGCTTAAAGATGGTTAGAGTGGAATATCGTAAATCTCTCTCCCACTTTTTGACATCTACCTGTGCAATTGTTGGAGGAATTCTTACCGTGGCAGGAATCATAGACGCAGCCGTTCATGCCAGCAGGATTCGAATGGGTATTCAAAGCGCATCAGGAGGTGGTGCAAATCATTGGGAAGGCGGCGGCATTCGATTGGGAGGTAAACTAGTCTAGCTTTTTTGCGTAAGAATTGCTTTCTTTTTTTCCCCAATTCATCATCTGTATCACTTTTCAACAATTAATCTTGTACACGAATGAAATATTCAAACTTGATCCGAATAATGATGTAAGAATGACAATTCCGTGTTATTTACAGAGTGTGGGTAATATATACAATAATACATCGATGTAGGTTGACCGATTCCTGTACGAAGGCATAAAGTGAGCAAATGAAGCAATTCTGGCATAAGAGGTAGCACATTAGAGAATAATACAACACATACAACACAAAGAGTGTATTTTATAAAGGAACGTCTTTTATCTCAAGATGATACATGACCGTCAAGGCCATCACGAGAATCTGCAAAAATTCCATCAAATACATCACTGCCATCGATTATCAAATCGCCCAAATCAGCTTTTTGAATTAAAATTTTCAATTGTTCTTCTTCTTGAATGCCTGAATCCTTTGCCTGCTTTTCAGCTTCACTCTTCCGTCTTTGACGTTCACGATCCCAAATCTCTTCAAAACTCCTTGCAAGATGCTGTAGACCAAACAAATAACCGCTATCCGGTCCATCACGCCATTGAGGCGGAAAACGTACGATCGGACGACCTGCCGCACGAAGAGCTTCCAATTCCGCCTCATCAGCTGCATCTTCGTCTGGGTAAATGTAATCATGTCCAGTCGTGCAATGTGCGAAGTCAATAATACGAATATTGATTTCACCCTTCTTTCTTCTTCTGTTCGGAGGTGCGCTACTTGGAATTGTTCCTGTAGCTGAAGAAGACGGCTGCAAAAGAGGACTTAAACTTGCCCGACTGGAAGACATACTACTTGAAACATTTCCTGCACCGTTGTTCAGAATCGCTTCTCGTTCTTGTTGCACAGCAGGACTGGCCATGATTGCAGCAATAGATGACTCTCCGTTGTTTGAAGTAGAACCAGCAGCATTTTGCGCTCTTTGCTGCTTTGCAACTTGCTCTAAAGCATCCCAAATTGTTGGTGAATAACCAGCTTGACCATGCCTTCTACGATGTTCGAATTCGCGCAGCAAGCGAGATTGTGTTTGTTCATCGCCATCGTAAATGAATAAGAGGCTGCTTGCATAGAAACGATATCCTTTCAATCGAAAGATGATACCAGCCAATCTGTACAATTTCTCCAAGATGATGGGTATATGATGAACCAACAAACATTTACCATCTTCGAAAAATCGTGCAAGAGCAGTAGAAAATTGATCAGGCGCAATCTGTCTTCCGTAATACTTATCTTGGAAAAGATAATTATCCTTTTTGCTATCGTATACTTGCATACCACAAATGCGCACACCATGTGTTCTGGATGTTGTCTTATCGCATTTCTTCGTTTGACTCTTTCGCTTTTTGTCCGTTGCATCTAAACCGTATTGTCTGGTGCCCATTTTCAGATCAAGAACGCATGGGAATTTCAATCTGCCCGTCAGATCTTCCATTAACAAGAATTGCTCTTGTCGAACGGGCGAAGGTTCTACTTGATCAACAGTCATGTCCGCGTGCAAGATTTGGAACGGTCTTGGCGTACGTTGACGAGACTCATCTGACTCTCCTTTAGGGTCCGCATTAACGATCGTTGTATCAGATGGTTGTGCATTGTGCTCAACTTTTGTGAACGCATCACCTAAACTCATTGGCTCCATTTTCTCAGCCAATGAATTCACTTGTTCCTGCTTCTTATCACTGCCCTTTGTCGAGCTGGCAGGAGAAGTTCCCATTGGCGTCATACCCATCATGAGACGATTCTTTAGGGTTAAAGCTGCATCACTGTGTACCCGACGAGGTCGTCTAGCAGAGTTACTCTCTGCGCTCTCAAGCGCTCCATCAATCGTATCAATCGTTGCATTCGGATCGGTAGCATCAAGCAAAGGGCTGTTCGTATTGGATACAGCTTGATAAGAATCTTGACGATCAGGATGTGATACATCCTGCAATTCAATTTCCTCTTCCAAATTCGTCATACTTTTGGTCCCTGTTGCTTCTTTGCCGATCTCCAAAGCACGCGAAGGTGCATTCTTACGTCCTTTACGAACATTTCGTCTTGCCCATCCTTCATGACCGTTGGCCATTTGATTGGACGTATGGAAAGGCGAACTAAACACTTCTCGCAATACCTTTTCTTGTAGTTTGCGGTTGACCAGAGTGCAACCTCGTCCAGCAATGTACCCACTAGACATCAATGGCGTTGCTGAGCGGCTCGACATATGCGGAGAAGCACCATCAGATGTATTGGTCCATGATCGTGATTCAAATGGTGCTGATGTACTATCCCGGCTGAAAGCTTTTGGTGAAAATTCCAAGATTTGTGAAGTTGGGCTGACAGATAGCGGAGTCTCAAGTCCTTGAGCGGATTTGGGATCCAAGGAAGGCGAGAAGGTGCTCTTTCCGTGAGAAGAATGACTTTGAGCTTCTGCACTTGAGCTCAAATGGGATGAAGGCCGTTCAAGCGATCGATGTTTTCGTTCTGCGATACGATCTCCACTTTTACCTCTGCTCGATGGTGTGCCTGCACCACTTGAACCAATCCCACTTCTGCGCAAAAGCCATTCAGGAATTATATGACGATTCATATCCAAATCGACTTCTGGAACTTCATCATCATTGTCTGTTTGACCTTGAAAGATCCTGCGTCGTGTTGGCACATTCGCTTCCGATGTTCCACGAGACACTTTTGGTCGGCCTCTTTGATTGTCGGGTGAAGTAGCCGCTTCGGTATATGTGATGTTATTTTGTGCATCTGTCACGGTATCGTCTTGAGTATGCTTGTCAACATGTCGATAGCTGACGTTAAGAACACCAAGGTACTGAGGTACAAAGGATAGCAAAGAAGGATGCTCACGTTCGATCGCTTCGTAGAATTCATTCTCCCTACTGACCAAAGGCTTGCAGACAGCACGCTTAGAAAAGCGGAAGATATGGCTATGTCCGCCCACCTGATTATCGAAAGGTTGTAGTTGGACTACTGACGGAATCTCGGTCTCATCATTTGATGGTAAAACAGCAACTGTTGAAGGCCTTTTCTCGTCCGAATTCCAATCATCATCAAACATTGGTTCAACATCCTCGTCCGCATCTTCAATATCATTCTCTCCATCTTCAGAACCTTCCTCATCACGACCTGAATCATACTTGAAGCTATTGTCTTCATCGTCATCATCTTCGAATTCATCTTCGCCATCAGTGATGACAGGACTCGCGATTGCTTTCTCAAAAGCGGAAAGTCGACGTCTTTCAACAATTGCAGTGGGACTTTGAGGTTTGATTGGATTATTCTCTGCATTCGTACTTTGACCAGTAACAAGACGAGAGGGTATCTGACCTTCTTGCATGAGCGATAGAGGTGTTGCAGGTCTTTGTTCAGCCATCAGAGCATCCTTTGCCGGATGGAGCAATGATTTCCGCACTTGAGCAGAAGGTTCCACACCTGGCGAATCAGGAGATGAAGTTCGAAATACTGATGAAGGCAACTCATCTTCGGTCGTTTGTGAACCTTGTGTTTTACTGCGTAATAATCGCTTTCGAGATAAATCTCTTCTGAAATCTCGTGTTGATGAATCACTCGATGGTCCTGCACCTTTACTGGCTTCTTTGAACAATTGCAAACTAACACTTGCCTTTCGTCCTGAGTTCAACATGGCCGGTGGAAGTGCTAAATCTGCTTTTCTGTCGATCGGATGAATTACATCTTCATCATCCTCATCTCCATCTGCAATACCCAAATTCGAAGATCCGCTTCCGGGACGCCAAGCGGGTGTACTCTGAACAGATCGTGAAGGAGAGGCAGTACCGGTAGACGTTGCATTTGGCGAAAAGGGCGGAGGTGTTGGACGAATTTCTGCTGATCTAGTAGCGCTGGGATTGGTGGTACGAGAAGATGTACCAAATGCACCGACAGCTTGATCATCTTTGCGAACCCTGAATGGTTCTTTAAATACGATCGTACCTGGACTTTTGCGTGTTTCAGCTGAAGAGCGGGAACTAGAGGCAATAGCCTCTGACGTGGGGTCGTATGAATCAGAGCCATCTGTTCCTCTTCTCCTTATCATCGCGGGAGGTGGCATCGTGGTTTTGGCACGTACCATAGACCGATCAATTGATCGCCTTTTGACATCTTTTGATGTTTCGCCTACATCATTTTTACTTTCTGGAGGTCGCGATGTAGAAGATCGTGGCAGAGGAGGAGAGAATACACTCAGCTCTGGCGTGGGAATTCCGGGCGGTAAACTGATATGTATTCCGCCGCTAGAGATCTGATTTGGGATAGTGCCTGGCGCATAAACAGCATGAGAAGTTGATGTTGAACTTGAATCAGCAGTGATTGGTCTGGGACGTGAGCGAGGCGAAGTAGCTGTCAAGCCATCTTGACCAGATCGTTCTATATGATGCCTAGAAGAAGAAGCCACTTCGTTTTGTGAGGAACTGCTTGCCCTTCTATGCTCAGCTATTGATGAAGAGTGTGGGGCTGTCATTGCGTCTTTGTTGGATGTGGAATGTACATCGTTGCTCGTTACTCCTGCTGACATTCCATTAAGAACTTTGTTGTTTCAATGCCTCCACACCGCTTCAATTGCTGCTTCTTGATCACTAGGTGATCGATGTGAATTGGTAAGATGAAATGAATGATTCGATGTGTTTTGAATCTGTAGTTTGAAGAAAGAGTCGTTATTCGTGATGCAAAGCAAGTTGGCCTTAATAAGATGGCGTTCCGCTTTTGAATCGTGAGAAGGTCTGAAGATAACGGTGAAAGCAGAGTGTCCAGATTCTTAAAATGTCAATGGTTTCCGAATAGAATTGTTATAGTGAATGATGCTGCTGCTTTGGATTGCGGATTTTGTTGATTGAATATGGTAGTAGGAATTACTTATGATTGAGGGGATGATATGTTATATCGTAAGTTAGAAAAGATAAAGAGAGTAACATTCTTACACAATATAAAAATGCCTATACGCGTGCAATACAAATAGTATTATTCATGCCCTTGCCCTGGCCGCCTCTTTTTAGGTTTGGCTTGCTTGCTGCCTTTCTCTCTCTCTCACTTTGGATGCCGAACGCGATGCTATGCAGCCTACAAATAAAACAAAAACAACGCGGTCGATTAAATCCTTCTTTTTGGTAAAAATACAAGGGCAGTTTTGCCTAAACTTATTTTGAATAGTCCACCTTTTTGCGCTGTGCAGCGCAGAGCAAGGCGGAGCATTCGCTCATCAATCATTCATGCCCTAATTTACTCAAAGCCACGTTCGCTACAAACAAGACACTCATAGAGATCTACGTAGCAGATGTTTAGAGGTATTTAATGCGATATGTCGAGCGACACACATTCCATGATACACAAAGATATAATTGTTTCATACCCGGCAAATCGGTTCAGCTTAATTAGCTTCTATTTTTGTTGTTTGGACCGTGATTTTGGGTTTACCAATTTTTCAATTACACCTCCAGGACAAGCAAAACAAGTTTAAGGTTTTAATATCAGCATCTATTAAACGTAAAAAGTCAAATGTGAATGGCATAAAAGAATTTGTACCCGAATCATATTGCATCGGGCAATTATGCAATCTAGAAGCAGGTTCTTGATCTTCTAATTATAAAAATGGTTTTTGTATTTGTCGTGAAATCCATTCCCAGTCTTATTGCTCTACTTTTTTACACGTTTGCAGGCAATGAAAAGCGGTCTTACCTAGATGCATGCGGATCAATTGGAATGCAATCGGGCAACGGACATTTTCTTGATCTAAAATTCTTTTCATCTGCAACGCGGATCTACAGCAAGATTCTTTAGACCTTTACAGACTGAGTCCTGAGTTCGAAAAAGGATCAAGTTTTCAGAGATGTATGCAAGATTTAGCTTTCTTTTTCATTTTGATCCAACATACGGCTCAACGCTTTAAGCGTAAGCAGACTTTATCGCATCGGGATTTTAATTGCGGGGTGCATCGCTGCGCAGGACACTAACGAATTCTTGACCAGATCAACGGCTACCGAAGGTTAACGATAAATGCTTACTTATAGCAGAATAAATTGTGCATGTGCATTGAGCATATGATAAGATAGTGTACAAATGCTAAAGGGGGAAAATAATGACAGAGTAAAGATATCGTTCCATAACCAAAAGCTTATAAATTCTCAAAGAAGCTTAAATCATCATTTGTTAAGGTGTTGCCCTGACTGAGCGTTTTTGCTTGTGGCTTAGCACTGCTTGGCGTGATTGGCGTTGGGGTAGATGTTCGAGAGGTGGATTGTAGTATCGTCTGCGAATTTGTGTTCACGCTTCGTTGATTAGAGGAAGGAGGGGGTGGTAGAATACCGGCTTGGTAACTCTTCCCTGAATTGCTACGCAGAATTGGCTGAGATTGTTGTTGTTGCTGCTGCTGTTGTTGTTGCTGTTGTTGTTGCTGTTGCTGTTGTTGTGTAGGTCTTGCAGATCTAGGCGGTAAGGTGGATTGTCTTGTGTCTTTGTATTGGCTTTCACCTGAGTCTTCATAAGGTGTATCTCGAAATGCGCTCCAGCTCTTGTCCCTTACCTCCTCTTCGTCATCATCAAACGTATACGGCTTCACTGGTCTTCCTCCAGCGGAGAAAGAAGATAAGAAATTTGTTTTCTTTCTCTGTTGCTCTTGTCCATTGCTCTTCAACAAAGTATCATCGTAGCTATCGGGATCATCACGGTAAGAAGCATTAGAGTTGGGTGACAAAGTGTTAACATCCTTAAAGCTACCAAACGTTTCATCTGGATCAGGTGAAGTAGTAGCAGCATATTGAGTTGAACCTACTGGCCTGCTTGTGTTTGCATGACTTGGCGGAGCGCCAATACGTGGTGGCGGGCCCAATGGGCTAGGTTGCTTTTTGGGAGACGACAACTTGGCCAAATTGGGTATGACGAAATTCTCGCCAGCTTTGGGAATTTGTCGTACGTTTGTAGAAGGTCCAGATTGATTAGTCACATTACCAGGCTTGCTTTCTACAAAGGCTAGCCAATCATCTTCATTAAGGCCATTGCCATCAGATTTTTGCGATACTGTGCCTTTGGATTCACCGATATTCTCTAACCATGAAAGATCGTCCTCTTGTTGCTTTCCATCTTCTTGCCCTGGAGCTGCTTTGCCGCGGAATCGACCAAAAAGTCGGGAAACAGCCGATTCTTGTGGAATATCGTTGCTGAGCAGATCTGGCGGTGGCTTTGTCTGTTTAGCTTTGGCCGAAGTCTCAAAAGAATCTCCAGCATCCCATTCTAAGCCAGTCTCTTCGATATCTCCCGAATCATCATCATCCTGAGCTGAGACAACAGGAGGTCTCTGTAGAGGCTTACCTAGACGTGATAAAGCAGAGCCTTCTTTGTTTTGGCCTGATCCCAGAAGACCTTGTATAAATCCTCCACTAGGACCAGCTTGTTTCTTCGTCTTGACTTCCCAGCCCGGTCCTTGGTCTGAGGGTGAACTAGCAGATGCAGGAGCTGATTCTTTCACACCACTACCTTGTGTACCATTTGAGCCAGTTCGGTCGTGTGCTGTACGCAAGGTTGGAGCTTGCCAAAGACGTGGTGCAGCAGTTGCGCTGTCCCTTTGTACGCTTTTGATCTCACTACTACCTCTTGGAGTGGTGCTTTTCTCCGTCTCAACTTTATCAGAAGCAGATGGCGCTCTTGAAGTGTTATTCGGTTCCGCTGGAGCAGCAGAGCGGGTGAAGAAGGATCGCCATCCTCCAGCTGCTGTAGATGCTGTGGTAGACGAAGAAGTCGATTCTTTCTTGTCTTTATCATCCGAACTTTTGGCTCCTTTATCATCTTCTTTTTCTTTATCCGCTTCTTTGTCCTGATCTCTCTCTTGTTGCTCTACGCTACCTCTTCCCTTGGCTTCCTCTTGCAATCGAATAATTTCATCCCTCTGAGCAATGGCTTCAGCTTTTTCCCTTCTTGCTTGTGCCCCTGAACCCCAAGGATCATCTTCATCGAATGGCTCTGGTTGTTGTTGTTCATCCTCATTTCTGGTTATATGCATGTCATCTTCCACCTTGTCGGCTAATTCCCTGTCATCATCAGATTGTTGCCAATTAGACTCCCTTCTAATTTCCACTTCATCTTGCTTATCTTCTTCTGTTTGTCTGTTAAGATAGATATTGTCATGTGCGCTTGTTGTAGTGGTCATAGGCACTGAACCTCCACCCCAAGGATCAAAGTCATTCCTGCTATTGTTCCCTTCGTCATCATCACCACCACCATACTCTCCCGATGATCGTTTCTCATTTGTATTGTATGATGTTGAAGGTAAATTGAATCCGATCGGAGCCGAATTTTCAGCCCACGGATCAACAGGACCTGAAGCTTGAAAAGTAGGTGAAGATGTGGATTTGGTATTTGTTATTTCGTTTTCTCTGTTTCCGGACCAAGTCGGACGTTCTGCTTCATTTGTCGGCTCACTACTTCCGCCTGCATCACTCCACGGGTCCATATTGAATGGGAAGTATGAGCTTTGAATCAATTGAATGAGTTCAAGCTTGATATCGGATTGATGACATATAAACAAGAATCAGATGTGTGTGTGTGTGGCTGCTTTCGAAGCTATTGTAGCCAAACAACACTTTCCCTCTTTTTGTTCGTTGAGTTGCGCCTGCTCTTGCGCGTGAACTGAGCGGACGAAATTAATTAGGGTTTTAGCCTGGGCGGGCGTATGTGCAATGCAGTAGGTAGGTTAACCTCCTAAGCAGCCAGCCTCTTTTTAGGCGAGTGCATACATTCGGAAATAAACACCTTTCAATCATATAATATAATATATAATGTTATATCCTCACCCCTTTTTTATTCGCCTTATTGCCAACACCCTTCAATGGATATGAGCTGAAAAGGCTTCGCCGGAACGGCAAAACTCCTTGATTGATTTACGCCTCTTTCACGTTGAGATCACAAGACCGGCAAATTAATGTTGCATCGGACAAAGGAGTACAAATCAACTCAGCACAATTCACTCAACTTTGATTGGATCTTGATGCAAGCACAACGGCTGCTGGCATCAAGAAGCTATTAAAGACTCACGATAGGGAGATCCTCTTCCCCTTTGACATTCATTACCACGAAAAATAATCAGAATGTCAGATAGTGGAAAGGTCGTAGACCTTGCTGAGGAACGGCAAGCTCACGCTAACGACAAACTTACATCACAAATCGCATCAATCTTCCAGGAAAATATAGCCAAACAGCAAAAGCAGAAGGAGCTTAATGATGGAGAGGCTTTGAAGGATGGTGATGCATACTTCTTTGATGAAGAAGGTGTACTATGTATGCGGGCTGGCAACTTTCTTGCTCTTATAGAACAGTACGAATTAATGGAAGGTCAAACGATATTGGATGATTCTGGAAAGGCAGATTTGACAAGTCTTTCAAATGCCAATCCCGAACATCCTGTGCATCCAGAGCATGTAGTCGAACTGATCAGGCAGATGACATCCAATCCAAAATTTGCAAACGAAGCAGAAGCGCAACACACAAATGGCCCATCGGATGGAGAATCTGATAGTAGTTCAGAAGGCGGAATCATAGAAGATTCGTGTATACAGCCGGCACCATGGGAGAGATCCGGCAAAAGCTCTGACCCCGTTGATGGTGATCACACAATAAGTCGCAGGGATGAGTCAGTATTAAATCCAGAAGAAATTCGACGCAGGACACCGCGAAAGTCCAAAAGTAGAACTAGAAAAGGCTCAACTGGACCGACTGGTAACGATTCAAGCATGATATCAAACAGCTCTTTCCGAAAGCCTCTACCTCCTGCTGTTGCTCTACGTAAGAAAATGCGTCGATTGAGTGAAGCTGAAGCAAATGCCAGCTATGGAGTCGGATACGAAGATGAAGAAGGCCAGAGCACGGATTCAGTACAAATATCAAATATGCCAGATTCGCCTCCCGCTTATATTGGTGAATCGTTACCCAGAAGTATATCATACCCCAACACAAGCACACCTGGCGGACGTTCAATGCGCAACGCAGACCTCAAAAATCGAATTGCAGAAAAAGAATTTCGGATGGGCTTATCAAACGATTCATTTGAGGACTCATTTGTTTCACCGCTTGGTGTTGCATCAAAAGCACTCATGAGCCCTTCTTTCTCAGAACATTCATTCAATTCACTAGCTCTAAAGTCTCCGACATACGGTGCCACCACACGTGGAAATGAGCTCAATTGGCAGAGTCCGCGTGATACTGATGTTGGAGATTCTACATCAGCCAACGACGAAGAGCGCATTGCCGCCTTAGAAGCTGAAGTAGAGAACTTGAAGAGAACGATCAACGAAAAGAAGCGGACGATCGAGAATCTACAAAGAGATATTGACGAGACCACATCCCGATTGCAAAAGGAAGTGGACGACTTGCAGTCGGACCTTAGTCTTAAGCGCAAAGAAGACGCATTGAACAAGGTTCGTGAGAATGGCCACCTCGCCACTATTGGAGACTTGGAAGCTGAACTTACGAAAGAGTCAAAAGAGTTGGAAGAATTGCGCACCCAGCATGCCAAGCTACGCACTGACAATGATCAACTTGCGTCTACGTTGGAGACCGAATCGACCAATGGCCATGAGCAAAGATCAACGATCAAGCATTTGACTGCTGATAAAACGGCATTCATTGCTAAGGAGAAGCAATGGGAATTGCAACGTCAAGAGATGCAAGAACAAGTTGGACAATTGCAGAGCGAGATCATAAGCTTGCAGAAAGAACTTGAAGATCGCGAGTCCGACAAGCGAACGATTGAATATCTCCAAAATAATGTTGATCAATTGACGGCTGAATTGAATGATGTACGCAATCAAGGTAGCAACTTCTTGAATACTTCAGCACCAAATTCACGTCAAAATACCCTAGGAAGAAGCCTAAATCAAGATCTGGCAAAGCAAATCCGACAAGAGCGAGAAGAGCAAGCAATAAGGGCGGCAGCGAAAGCAAGGGCTGCCGCCGCTGCAGCATCTGCTCCTGCATCTACATTGGATGAACATTTAGGTGATCCTGCAGATACTTCATTGGTTGAGCCAGATACGAGCGTTGATTCGGAAACTGGCAAGATTATGTTGGCATTGCAAAAAGGCGAAATCAGTCTTAGTGATCATCTTGAAGTTCCACCAGTAGATGGTTTGCCACAAACAGAGACGGAACCGATCTTCGGTGATGGATTACCGCGAGCAGAAAGGGAGTCAGTATTTGGCGATAGCTTACCGCAATTGGAAAGGAAACCAGTCCATGGAGATGAATCTGGAACCGTTGTTGAGGTGGGAGAAAGCAGCTTGCAAAAGAATGAAGAGCCAGGCACGCTTCCGACATACGATGAAGCGGAAGTGACGAAAGCTGTGATGGAACGCATGCACCCACGCTGGAATGCCAACTCAAGGCACGAATTGCAATTCGAATTAAAGGGAAAAGCAGCAAAAGCGTATCTGCATTTTGCTCAAAATGTGGGAACCCGTTGTCGAGAGATAGAAGAGAGACTTGAAAATTTCACCGAGCCAGAGCCGGAGCCTGAACCAGAGCCAGAAGTCGAAAAAGTAAGGGTTGAGAAGGGGCATCTTTCCGACCACCTGACAAAACTTGTTGACGCTTTCGCAGAAGGCTTCCGTTCTTCCAATCTTTCAGGTTGGCTACTGGTTGGCATAATTTTGAGCTGGGCTACTCTGGTGATACTATTAAAGATGAAGTACGAATTACGCAATAAGGCAATTGAAGAGGCGGATTCATGGCGTATAAGCAACACATTGCAAGTTCCTTGGTCTATTGCTGGTAACTTTGAGCCTCCTCCATTTGACAAAGTGCCATTTTCCCTTTCTTGGTCAGAACGCATTTTTGGGAAACAACTTACTCCACAAGTTCCGATTTGATTGTTTGTTGTACTTGTGTTACCTCCTTATACTGTACAAAAACTTGTACTATACTACTACTGCTATACCTACTACTATCTTTTTAAATTGTACAACATTCAATGCATTAAGAGTACAGATGAAATAAACAATGCTATCCAAATGAAGCACATCTCTAAACGGGTCTCTGTAGAGATTCACCGCCTTGAGGAGCACCTCCCGATTTGATCAATTCTTCCCTCTTTACAGCTTCTGTGCATTGCCAAAGAGCTTTAAGAGCGGGTGTACATCTTTGAGTGATTTGTTCATCATCATCCGATCTTCCCGCCAATAAACAAGCATCATAAGCACGTATTTGTGATTGACATCGACTTTTGACTGTTGCTACCAAAGGTACAGCATTTGCTGCACATTTTGATAATGTTTGTCTTTCTGCTTCACATGCTGATTCCCCTCCATCTTGATCTCCTCTATGTGATAAAATGCATCTTTGGAAAGAGTCTAAATGGGGGCATTAAAGGTGTTAGCTGTTATTTCTAAGTATTATTCATGAACCCAATGGCAACTTACTCAACTCGTTTCCGCAATTCTTTGCCACTAATTCGATACTTTGTTCCATAATGTTTATTGTTATGAAGATGATGGGAAGGAAGTATAAAGAATTCTCCAAATATTTCATAAGCGTTCTTCTAAAAAGGCCCGAGCTAAGAAGGAGGATTATATAATTCAAAGGGGATATCTGATTCACGCTGCAAATGAATGCATTTGCTGCCTATCTTATCGCTCGCTACTTTTGTTGACTTTTTCGCTCGCGTACATGGAAATTATCTGAATTTTAAAGCTTGCGTGGGGTTAGAAGAAAAGAAGATTCATCATTCCATTCACTCTCTTCCATCAACTTTGATTCGGGAAAATGTCTTCTCCAAAACAACAAAATGGCTATACACTGGCCATCATTGGCTGTGGTACGATGGGTGTTGCAATCCTTTCGGGTGTCTTGGACAGCAAAAAGATGATGGAAGCACGTAGAGCAGCATCAGCAGTATTATCACAATCCATGTCAAACGGTTCAACAACACCCGTCTCAAATGGTGGAAATGGATCAAGCTCTCAACAACAAGAACTCTCGGCTTCGATTGCATCTTTGTTGGAGTTGGAAGATGGTGATGATGCAACAACTCAAAATGCAACTCAATTACCAACCAAATTCTTGGCTTGCGTTAATAGACAAGAATCAGCAAGAAAACTCAAAAAGACGTTTGAAGATCATGAGTGTGTTGAAGTGATTTGTAAGGATAACTTACGTGCTGCTCGTGAAGCAGATGCTGTCATCATTGCATGCAAACCACAAATGGTTGCTGATATCCTTCAACAAGAAGGAATAAGGGAAGCTTTGCGTAATAAATTGGTTTGCAGTATTTGTGCAGGTTTGACCATCAAGGGTATCCAGGCTCATGTGGACAAAGAGACCACAGTCGTACGTGCTATGCCCAATACACCATCAAAAGTGAGTAATACCATAAGCACTGCTAGTATACAATATTGACCTCATTCAGCCTCCTCAGATCCGAGAAGGTATGACAATTCTGACACCCTTGCCCGCAACGATTGAAGGAGCGTCTGAATCACGCAACAGATTGGTCGCCATCTTTTCAGCAGTTGGAAAATGCAGAATTCTTGATGAGAAGCACTTTGACGCAGCAACAGCGCTAGCAGGCAGTGGACCTGCGTTCGCATGTGTATTTTTAGAAGCAATGGTAGACGGAGGAGTGATGATGGGAATGCCAAGATCAGAAGCTTTAGAGCTCGCAGCTCAAACGATGCAAGGTGCAGCAAGGATGGTATTACAATCAGGAATGCATCCTGCCGCAATCAAAGATAGTGTTACAACTCCAGGTGGCTGTACGATTGCTGGCTTGATGAATTTGGAAGATGGTAGATTACGATCAACCGTTGCAAGAACAATTCAAGCCGCTACTGAACATGCAGCCGGTTTAGGAATGCCCAAAAATTGAGATTCTAAAGCAATGTACACTTTACAAAACAAAAATTTCTCACACACACCCAAAAAAGATTGATCATTTGTATTGTTGAATTTTGCCCGAGACTATTTTTCACATAGAGATAAAGAATGATGGATGTTGTACTGTCGACGGCGAATAGAAAAGGAGTAGGAAACATCTGACAAACGAAATAATTGGACAGGTAATATGAATGGACAATGTGGCGGGATGCGAGGAATTTGTGCAGCAGAAAAATTGTGATAATAAAAAATGTTGATGATGGAATACTTGAAAAAAATCATCGTCTGAAGAGAAGGAAAAAGAAATCGTATACAAGAAGAAGAAACAGTATAATATTGATGATCATCGAACATTCTCACCAACATCTGTTCGATGAAAGGAAAAATAATTGGATCATGAAAAAAAGACGATGCTATAAAGATTTTACACAATTGTTTTCTCTTTCTTGGTAGTTGTTTCGAAGACATTTTCCAACCCAGTTGATCGACCATAGAGAGATCATTATCCCTTTTCTCACACCATTTTCAGTCCAAAGAAACACGCATACTCTCCGCCGGAATTGGTGTGAAATTGTTCACATCAATACCTCGGGAAAGCAATTCAGCCTCAGCATGTTTGGGCACCAATCTGTGAATCAGATCTGGTCGCACAGAGAGTTCCTCTTTTGTCCAATTGAACAACAATGGCATCTCCCTTCCGTTTGGCATACGCATATCTCCTGTTCTTAGTTCATCAAAGAATGGATGGCATAATGCTTCAACTGCTGTCAATCTGGCTGTGGGGGTGTATTCCAAAAGTCGGCTGATCAAGTCGATTGCATCTGGTGGAGTTCTTGGTCTGAACACTTTTGTGAATGGATGAGGTCGTATTTGAGGGAATTTATGCTCCATGTAGTTTGGATTCATTGTCTTGATTTGTTCACGCGTCGGTGTTCCCAAAACTTTGATAATTTCCACCAATTGATCGATACCACTCTCTCCAGGGAACAAAGGTTGTCCTTGCATCAATTCTGCCATCACACATCCTGTTGACCAGATGTCAATGTATGTGGTGTAATTTGTTGCGCCAAAGATCAATTCCGGTGCACGATAGTACCGCGAGCAGATATAACTGACATTTGGTTCTCCTGCAACCAAAATTTTGGCAGATCCGAAATCGCACAATTTCAAGATTCCCGTTGTGGGATTCAATAGCAGATTTTGAGGCTTGATATCACGATGGCAGATTCCGATGCTGTGAATGTAAGCCAAACTTCTCAACAATTGATACATGTACAGCTTGATCAAGAGCATTGGCATGGTTTGCTTCAACTTTGCGTAATGTCTTGAGGCCCGGTACACAGTCTCTGGAACGTATTCCAGAACGAGATTGAGGAAAACTTCATCTTTGCGATCTCCGTTGGAATAGAAAAAGGCTCTGAGATCGACGACATTTGGATGTGCAACGATACGCATGATCTGCAATTCTCGATTTTTGAAACGTTTATCTTGCAAGACTTTCTTGATAGCAACATCTTCTTGTCCTTCTTTTGGTGCTTCGCTTGCCGCTCCTCCATCTTGGCTTGCTCCTGCACCTTCCACGAGGTTACCATTTCCTCCTGCTACGAGTCTTGCTTGGAAAACAACACCGAAAGAACCATTTCCGATCACTTTACAGTTGGTGTAGCTCAATTCTCTTTGTTCTCCAGTTTTGCCGTCAGAAGCGGTCACTTTAATGACCTTTAGGGGATCGTCCATCGCTGTAAAGAGGCAAGAGAGTCAGAAATGTTTGACTATGTTACAAACACAGTAAAATGTACTCACGTACTAGACCGTTAGAACGGGACATCGAACAATTAAGATAAAGATGGCCAGCAAAAACGCTTGGCAATGATCGTAGTGATGCTGGTTTTGCCGCCTCCTACTGAATTGTAATTTACAAGGATGATTGGGCAAATATGTTTCGCCTTGGATCCTGTTTGTAACCTGAAGTTGTTTTGAGTGAAAAGCGAAGGACCTTTTGTTCAACCTGCTTCGAAAGGGTTGATTCAAACGAAGAATAAAGATGAACGCGAGCTTTGATCTCTCCACTGTCAATGCCAACTGATAATAGCAGCTTAATACGCAATATTCACGCTTCCGATCGAGATGCGAATAGGTTCGAATGCGCGACCGAGACTGATGAAGATGACGTTTAGGTCGTGTGATATGTCTTTCGAAAAGAGATCAAAAGAAGTTGTTTTGATGATGAGAGATTTCCAACGATCCTTCGTTTGTTCTCCCGATTGATCTTTTCCTATAATGTGAAATCAAGGTAAGCAAGACAATTGCTCGATGATGGTGAATGTGGATGTATGGTAATAGGTACAGCGAAAAACAAGCAAAAATGCGCCCCCGTTCATTTTTGGTGTGTGTGTGGTCCACTTCACTCACTCCCTCTACTGTACAGTCAGCGCACCAGCCAACTGGAGTGGGTTTTATGTGTATGTGCAAGTGTGCTAAAGTGCCTTAAAACAACAAAAAAACAAAAGCCAACAAAGACCTTGCTGCTTTAAAGATGCGTCAGACGCGCTGCGCTGCGCAAGCCTTTCTCGGTCTAGACTACTACTACCACACTTGTTGTTACAAGAAGGAATGGCATGTAGAATTTGATTAACCGCCTCTTTCATTAATATATATATTCAATCATCAAGAGGTCAAAAATGAAAGGATGAAAAAGAGAATAGCATTGACCTAACTGGCTCTCTGAAGAAAGAGTTTGAGCTCTTTTTACCCTGCTAGACCATGTTTGGCGGCCGTCTTGCTGGGGTGAGAGAGACGCATGTATCCAGATCGAGTCTAGAATCGCTTGTTAAAACCCAACATCTCTTAAAAGAGGCACTTTATCAGTATTTTTTAAATGTGTGTGCGCACGCCTTTTTACTTGCTTTCTTGCTTTGCAAGATATAATAAATAGTGGGGAAATTCAACCTTTTGGCGCAGTAACAGTACAGCGGAACTTTTATTTTTTGCTTACAAGCTTTCCCCGCCAACGGCAACATGCACTGCACACACATCAGCCTTGTTTTAAGCTTTGGGCAGAATGAATGTTCCTGTTGAATTAGAATGTATGCTAATCTTCCTTTCTCTATCATAGACCATGTCAAAATCACCTATCACTTGCCACGTACTGGACAGCACACTTGGCAAGCCGGCTTCAGGGGTAGCTGTATCTCTCGAAACACTCTCAGGGGCATCTTCGGGGCAAGCAAGTGTTCTAGCAAAGGGGTGAGTAAATGCAGCTGTTTAATACAACATAGGTACTTTGAATTTATCTATTCTCCTTCAATAGACAAACGGACAATGATGGAAGATGCACAACACTTTTAGATCCAAGCACTAAGCTCAATGGCGGTATATATAGGATGACATTTGAGACCGGTTCATATTTTGCCAAGGATAATCGACCGACATTCTATCCTCGAGTGGAGGTGAGTCATGCCGATCCTGATCACATTCAATATAGCCCAACTGACTCTTTGTTCCCTCTTCTCAGATCCTCTTCACCCTTCCTGATCCACCAGATCCACACTATCATATTCCTCTTCTCTTATCCCCATTCTCATATACCACATACAGAGGATCATGAAGTTGTGATTAAAATCAATAATATATCAATACAAGCTAATGTTAAATCTGTGCAGTTTTGGATACAATACGAATTGATGCAAGATTAGAATCGACCACCTTGTTGTTGCTGTTGCATCATCTTTGCGTTCTCTTCTTGGAATCTAGCTCCGACCCGTTCAGAATGTTTTAGCCATTTTTGTGTACAGTTTTCAACGCAAGTTTGTTCTTTCGAACTCAATGCCTTGCTTGTGAAATCGTTGCAACAGCTATCAAAACACCTCTCTACCAAACCGGTATATAATCGCATGAAGTCTTTCATCTGTTTTTGTTCAATCAGCCTTTGCATGGCTTGTTGTTCGCCGGAAGATAAGCTAGAGACTGTAAAATAAAAGGGAATTGATCGTCAGATTGAGTCTATAAAGCATTAGTTTGCCTGCCATACTCACAATCCATCTTTGTTGTTGTGTATCTATGTGATGGTGGTCTTGAATTAGCAGAGAAGGCCTGTGCTTTTGGAAATTATTTATCCTTTGCATCGTTTCAGCACAAAAAACTATACACGTGATGCGTGGCGCCCGCGTTTTCAAATCTGCAAGAAGCATTCGAAAGAGGCACGGGAGAACACATCTTATTCTCCACTTTGATGGCTCTGACAAGGTGAAGAATGGCATATACCGGGTAAATATCGAGCAAGAATCGGTTTAAAGAAGCAGTGACAATGGAAGGAGATACTACAGCAGATGCAATGGCGGCTATGGGCTTGCCAACGAGCTTTTCCACGCCAAATGCTTCGCGAACTCCACCATCTGGCCCTTCGAATCCTTCTGCTAGAGGGAATAATGCTGGTTTTCGAGGTCGTGGTGGTTCTCGAGGAGGTCAGAGAGGACGCGATGGTGGCTGGAGAGGTCAAAGTAGAGGAGGAAGAGGGAATGCACGAGGTCATCCATACCCGCACGCAGACAGGAATGAGCCTTCATATTCCGCCGAACAAGGACACCCTTCCTCGCATACACAGCGTCCTCAACAAGGGTATGGAGCCAATGGCGGAAGGGGAGGTAGCCGTCCTAACAAAAATGATAATCAGAGACAGAGGGGCACTGATATGAACGCAATTATGAATGAGCCTTTACTACCGCTTGAGGAAGTAGGTGAGTGACAAACAACGGTAATGCTGCATATACCTGGTGACTAATTTGCAATCTTACTACAGCCCCAATCATCAGGCCATCTTTCACAATTGCAAATCCATGGGCACATCTTGAGAAAGAGGATTAGTGAGAGGCTTGTCTCCTGGTGTCACGCGAGGCAACGCTACCGCCATTCAATCAGAGTATACGCCTCCTCAAGACTTTGAATTATTCTTTTGAATTCTTCGTTCAAGAATTGACTCTGATTTCGAAATAACCGTTGTAGCTTATCTCTATCCTCTTTTACCTTTCGTTCCTGTAAGATAAGGAGTTTTCCGAAATGAAACGACGGTGCCGACGCTTGCGTGCTTTCTAAAAATGTGGGGAAATCAGGCAATTCACTATGAGCTCTGCACTTCTTCCAAGACGTCGTGGTGGATGACGAATAAAGATTACCGAAATTAATTAGACGGGCAAATTTTGAAAGTCATGCCTCGATACTTGATATAAAAGCCAGCTTCAAGGAAAGCAAACGGCAAATATTCCTCCCCGTCAGATTTTGGCATACTACTCTTATGGGCTATGGTTCGATCAAGATGGTAATCGAAAAGGAGATATACGAAGAAGAACTTGATAAGTCAGCTGTACTACACGAGCTGGCGAAGACACCACCAGATCCTGAAAATGGTTCTACGGAAAAAACGCCAGATAAGAAGGAAGACGCTTACAATGAAAAAGGACTGACGGAGGCAGAAAAAGCAAATTTTGTGCTGGAAGATGAAAGCGAAGAATCCGAGTCGAATCATATGATTCGTGATGGTCATGATGTGAGCCAATATCTGTTACCCATCCGAGATGATGGAGACCCTTGTCTCACTTTTCGCTCTTTGTCGTTGGGCCTTGTCCTTGGCGCATTTCAAGCTACCATGTCGCAAATCTATATGTTCAAACCTACGCAAGTAGGTATTGGTGGTTCATTTTTGGTTTTGATCATCTATTTTATCGGAAAGGCTTGGGCTAGGTTTTTACCATCAGGTCCTGGTTTACGTGCGCGATGGGGAGATATGCCTAGCTCGAGCATTAAAGCTTGGATGTTGATTTTATTCGATTTCATCAATCCTGGACCGTTCGGATTGAAAGAGCATGCAATCGCTTCAATCACAGCAACATCGGCAAGTAATTCATTAGATTCCATTACACCTTTCACGGCTCAAAAGTTGTTTTACGATGTTCCACTGACAGCGACAAATGTGACATTAACAACGCTGTCGATCGGAATGTACGGGTATGGATTGGCAGGCTTGTTGCGTCCTTTGCTCTTGTATCCGAGTAGTATGGTCTATTGGCCAAATATTCCTCTGGTACAGTTATTCCAGCGCTTACACTGGGATCAGTTAGCAGACTCAAGGCCTTTGAGATGGTTCTGGTATGCTTTTGCATTCATGACCGTTTATGAATTCTTCCCTGCTTATATCGCTCCTATTCTTGTGGCTATCTCTATTCCCTGTCTAGCAGCTCACAATGCGCCACAGTCCAGACGTCAATTGATCACAAACTTATTTGGCGGCTCTCAATCAAATGAAGGCTTAGGCATTTTTAGTCTTTGCTTTGATTGGCAATATATTGGCTCAGGCGTGACCAGTTTACCGTTGATTTGGCAAGTGAATACTTGGATTGGTTTATTCTTTTGTTATTTTGCCTTTATCGGGGTATACTACGGGGGTGCATTTGGCGCAAAAGACTTACCGTTTATGTCCCTAAGTTTATGGACGCAAGAGGGTACGAAATATCCAAGAGATCAATTATTTGCCAATGGCTTACTCAATCAAACAGCTTTGGTCGAACATGGCATACCGAGGATAACGGCAACTTTTGCTTGGGGTCAAATCATGGCAATGGCAGCCGTTGGTGCTCTGATGGCACAAACAGTCTTCTTTTGGGGACCGAAAATTGTTCAAAGTATTCGTGAAGCACGAACCAAAAAATTTACTTGTCGTCATCAACAAATTATGATTGAACGATACGATGAAGTACATTGGGTATGGTATGCAGGTCTTGCAATCATCTCCGTGATATTTGGTTTGATAGGCAATCTACGTGGTGATACAACATTGCCTGCTGGATCATTCTTTTTCGCTTTAGCCCTTGGCAGCTTCATTGCACCTTTAAGCGGAATGTTGTATGCTCAATTCGGTAGTGGAGTGAACACGCAACCAATCATGAAAATGATCGCGGGTGTCTCGCTTCGTGGAAAGCCATTAGCGATCCTCTATTTTGGTGCATTTTCTCATCAAGCCGTCTCACAGTGTTTATCTCTTTTAGGGGACCTCCGGATGGGAATTTACTTAAAAATAAAGCCAAGAACAATGGTGAGTTTTGTCGATGTAGCGAAATGAGTTTCATCTTAAAAGCTAAAAAACCGCTTCTTCACCTTTACAGTTTATAACTCAAGTTCTAGGCACGCTGATGGGTACATTCGTTAATTATATCGTAATGGTATCGATTGTGAACAGTAAGAGAGATATTCTGTTGACGAACAACGGATCCGGTCAATGGTCTGGTCAATTCTTCCAATCCTTCAACCTGCAAGCAACAGTATGGTCACTGGCAAGTGACTTATACACCGTAGGCAAGCCGTATGCGATTGTTCCGTTTGGTATTTTGATTGGCATTGGCTGCGTTGCAATTCAACGAATCATCTTTCAATTTTGGCCAAGAATTGGTAGAGTCGACGTAAGCTTCATCAATTTACCAATGATATTTATGTATATGGGATGGTTCTCACTTCAAACACAGACGTGTGTCATTTTATCAATCGTTCTAGTTGGCCTTTTTGTGCAAGGCTATTTACGAACATACAAACCGGAAATTTTCAAAAAGTATGCTTATCTCGTTCCTGCCGGATTGGACGGTGGCTCGTTGCTGGTCATCTTTGTTCTCAGTTTCGCAGCTTACGGTGCTGCAGGTACGGCCAAACCTTTCCCGAATTATGCTCTCAATCCAGCAAGTGGATTTGTTGATCGATGTCCGGATCCTTCGGCGTAAGAAGTTTCGTACCTTATGCTGTTTCAATCAATCACACCATATTATATACTAAGTGCCGACAACTCGAATATTCCTTTGATGAAATAGCGATTCGTTTATAAATCTTATGAGAATACATCTGGAGTGATGTTGTTTAGTACATATTCATATCTTGCTTTTTCTTCTAAATCAGGTGAATCGAAGCCTGAACCGTTCTTTTCGTCAGTACTGCCTTCACTTTCGGGCTTCGTATTATCTTGATTCGTATGAAGAGTAGGAGCTAAAACAATATCGGAGATAATTAGATTGACAGTTTCATACCTTTAGTACGTCGGTATTTTGATTTTCGCTTTTATACTTGGTCTCATTGCGAGCATCCGTGAAGGAACAACAATGCCTGTTTAGGCCTATATCATCGCTTTGCTGATCGGATCTACCATCGCTCCCTTCAGTGCAATCCTCTACGATATGTTTGGTAATGGAATAAACACCAATTTGCTCTTGAAAAAGATTTGCGGGAGCAGCAGTACCAGGTCGTCCACTTTCAAATTTGTACTTTGGAGGTCTACTTTTCAACACTTCTGCAAGCGTTCTTGAAGCATTTTTTGAGAATACTGAAGAAATACATCTTGATGCTTTGCAAGATGGATCACTTGGACACTTCCTGCAGCAATTTCAAACAGGTCTGCTCCAAGTGTTGATTCAATTTGTGTTCACATTTTACGCAATTTCCTTTATGTAAATCAGGATCAATGACCCCACACCAAGCACATTTTGTTCGAAAATAAAAGTGTTGTGATTGCACGGTAGGATTCTGAGCCGTCGGATCAAATCGTTCCATATTTTCGGCCGGTCGCATATTTTAGAAGTAAATTGTTTTTCACCACACAAACATATCGCATATAGTCATATAGTTTTATATTTCGAATTAACGATTTAGAAAACAAATACCAACAACTGACCGGTCGCGTCATGAACGAGTCATCTGACCATTCTCTGGGTTCACCACCATTGCCATACTTCAATTTGGTGCAAGCGCCTGCGATATTCTAAACGTATGTTCACTTTCACTTTTCGCACTCAAGACTGTCTTTGTCGATTTGTCTGAGCATACACAATCGTAAAAGAAGTCAAATGCTTCTGGTCCGTACAACTATTTATGGAAAATGGGTCTATTCGAAAACCATTCTATATATGTAGTTGCACGTATAAGTCAAAACTTCATTGGGGCATCACTTGCTATTAACCCTTAAAGTTAAAATCTTTCAGGCATTTATGGCATTCTTGAAATTCTCCTTATACCTTTTCTGAAGAGTCAATCTTGCTACTAATGAAATATAACGTTTTACCAGATATTTATAATATACCCATTTCATTAATTGAGAGTTTGACTTTTTGTACCTCTTCTTCACGGTAACGAAAATTTAAGCTGATATCCCTACCATTATAAAAATCAACTTTACACCTAATGAAACATAACAAATTGCTCCTTTTTTATAATACAGCTATTTCACTAATAGGAAACTTGACTTATTCACCCCCCCCCCCCCTTCACAATGCTCGCCACACAAACGTTATCGGTAGTCTTTGGCTCGTTTATCAATTACGCCGTGATGATCTCGGTAATCAACAATCAACGCGATGTTCTTCTGACTAATAACGGCTCTGGACAATGGTCAGGGCAATATTTTAGCTCGGTAAATACACAGGCAACCGTTTGGGCACTCTCGAAAGAATTATATCATGTTGGAAAACCATATGTGATAGTTCCAATCGGTCTTGCAATCGGCTTCCTTGCCGTCTGCTTGCATCGTGTTATCACTCATTTCAAGCCAAAGATTGGTAAACTTGATTTACGGGATGTGAATCTACCAATTATTTTCCAATACAGCGGTTGGTTTGCATACAATCAAACTCAAAGTTGCATTATGCTAACAACCGTTTTCTTGGGTGTATTCATTCAATACTACCTCAGAAATTACAAACTCAAAATCTTTAAACGATACAGCTATATTGTCGCTGCAGGATTGGATGGCGGTACTCTTCTTACCATTTTCATTCTTTCGTTTGCCGTCTTTGGTACTGCTGGACCAGCAAAACCTTTCCCTACATGGGCTGGAAATCCAGCAGACTATCCTGATCGCTGTCCAGACCCTTCATCTTCGTAATCTACTAATTGTATATCACTCATGCAACAATTGATAATTCATGTGTCACATATCAGACAATGATTGCAATGATCGTTGACACAGCTACCATTAAACCTTAGTCATAAACAAAGAAAGGATGGTACTGCCTGTGTAAAGCAAATGGTCCCAACTCCTCAATGCATTCTTCCCATTTATATCTTACAGTATAAATACAAGGCTCTTCTTTTCGGGTAACTCCACTCATCTTGGTCCATAGCCAGAGCTGCGTACATTAGCATAACGATTATTTAGTCCAGACGAAGCAGTGGATTCTGTTGCACCACTTCCTGCTGTTGCTCTTCCTCGCACAGAAGCCGTGCTAGCTCCTCTTACTCTTGCTGAAACAGTTCCCCTTGTTGGCAACCCGCTTCCCCTCACGGCAGTACTTGCTCGAGCTCCTCTTGTAGCTGTAGTAGTCCTTGGTATCTGTTTTTGCTGTTGTTGTTGAACCAATTCAGCTGCTAGACGAGCTTGTTCTGCCTCCCTAGCTCTCTGAGCTGCCATTCTAGCAGCTTCTTCCGCCTCTTCCCTCCTTCTCCTTTCTTCTCTTTCGGCCAACTCGAGCGTCAGTGCATGCATGGCTTCATCTTCAGTCACACCTTTCCAATCTTTGTCCATCAAAAGTTGTTGTGTACGCTCGGTCTGCCTCATTAAATCGATATAATTATCCAGTAATGCATTCGTTTCTCCAATTCGTGTTGTGAAATCGTCCACTTGATCAGCACTTTGAACGAGCATTTGCTCATATGCATCAAAGACTTTATTCAGCCTCCGAACTTCGGCTAGCTGTTCATCGAAATTGATGCTTTTGGAGCTTTTCTGCGGGGTCGCTTTTGCCAAAAGGGCAGCCGAAGCATCCTTTGTTCGTTCCAATGATGCAACTCGTTCTCTCACACTAGACGTACTTCCTGTGCTCGTTGCCAGAGCTGGATTCTTCATGAATGAATCGTCACCGATATCGTCCCCTGCATCAGTTGATTGACGAGATTTTGCTTGAGATGGCGCTGATTGGGTAGGACGAGCGAATATACTCTGCCGTGCTTTTTGAGGTCCTCCTTTTGCCGTTCGTCCGCTCGTCAAAGCACCGAGTGTTCTTTCCTTCTTTTGAGTGGAGGAAGAGGTAGTATGACCATTGCCATTCGGTGAGCTATTTGATGCATCTAATCCTTCCAGCAATCTCATCTTCCCTTTGGTCGGGCTAGCTTTGGGACCCCAACTTGGTCTTCCTTTGGGTTTGCTTGGTGATGTGTTCCGCAAGCTAAGTCTTGCTTGTGATGGTCTTGGTCGAGCAGAAGAAGATGAAGATGCGATCGCTCTAGGCATTGGAGATTCCATCAAGTTCAAATCTTCCATTCCCCTTCCCATACTAGCAAGATCCAAAAATCCCGATTCATCTTCATCCAACAAACCACCTTCGCGTTCTAATTGATCAGGATCTAGAACAGGCGAATATTGAAGACTGGGTGAAGCTGCCTTTCGTGGCGAACGACTTGAGCTTTTAAATGGCGATGAAGACCGCCTCGAAGAAGAAGCTTGAGCCATTATGATCACGTTATATGGACCTCGTGATGACGATCATGTCAAAGTGTTGTTCTCCAAATGTGTTGTGAATATAAACGCGGTTAATTGTATTCACTATACGCGTTTGTATGCTTTGGCTTCCCAAAGAGGTCCAAGCTGATGATTGCCAAAGCACGTGAAGTAAGCAAGATTGCATTGTCTGATTCAGCACTCTTTAGGCGTCCGGGGATTATTTCCAATTTCTCAAAGCTAAAAAAAGCCTTGGGCTTTGGCTCTCCCTTTACGCCCTTTTGCGCCGCATCTTGGCCGTATCTGAAAGCAGGCACAAACGCAAAAAAAGTCAATTGCTTATACAAATGTCGTATGCCTTCTTTTACCATCACCATAACAACATCCTATTCGTCGCATCTTTGCTACGCATCGGACTAGGGTACCGTCATTGTCTCTTGACGATCACAACACGTTGAGCAAGACAATCTCACACAACCGCAATCAATCTAATTCAGCCGCTCAGAACGCTCTTCAACAAGAAGTAAGAACTTGCAACAACTCTTTTGCCATCTTACATCTTTCCTCTTTTCTCTCTTTCGATCTATACATCGTCGATCTCGCGAGGATTGTTCATGTTAGCGTCGCTTCACTCTTCTATCGGAAATCGACCATCGCCGCATTCACGCAGGCCCAAACCACCATTCTTGTTGCCGTGTAAGGAACCCTTTATAGGTCCTTGATACAGCATTTTTGTTCTTTCTTCAAGAGAATTTATCGCAAGCTTTTTTGTATTGCAAGAGCATATATGCATATATTCTTATCAATACGCTCTCAGAGAGAAGCTTTGAATATAGCACGCCACTAACCGCATTCGAATCAAAGTGACGTGCGCCCCTTTTTACGCAAATTCAATTATTCAACATGGCTGTCGTCAACGTTCGTCGTGATGTCGACGATAAATTCTATCGCTACCGCATGCCTTTATTGCAAACCAAGATCGAAGGTCGTGGCAATGGTATCAAAACGGTTGTCAGTAACATGACTGACGTTGCCCGTGCTTTGAGCCGTCCTCCTACTTACCCTACCAAGTACTTTGGTTGCGAGTTGGGCGCTCAAACTTCTTTTGACGAAAAGAATGAACGCTACATTGTCAATGGTGCTCATCAGTCTGATCAATTGCGTAAATTGCTTGATGACTTTATCGACAAGTTTGTCCTTTGTGGTAGCTGCAAGAACCCCGAAACAGATCTCAAGATTACCAAAGATGGCATGATCTTGCGTGACTGTAAGGCTTGCGGTGCACGCAGCGATGTTGATATGCGTCACAAATTGACAACTTTTATTGTCAAGAACCCTCCACCGAAAAAGAAGAAGGGATCCAAGAGCCAAGGTCAATCTGCTGATGACGGTAATACAGCAGATGGCGGCGGTTCTGATGATGAATTGACTGCGCGCATCAATGCTGAAGCTGCTCACATCCCTACTGCTGAGCAAGTCAAGACGGCTGACGATGACTGGTCCGTCGATACTTCTGAAGAAGCTGTCAAAGCCCGTGTAAAAGCTTTGGAAGGCAATATGAACACATTAAGCCTCGGCGGTGACGAAGAGGAAGAGGACGAAGACAGTCCTTACAATCAATTCGGTCTCTGGTTGATCGCCAACCGCAAAGGCGGCGAAGAAGGTCGTGAATGCACTGCAGCTGAAGTGTACAAGAAAGCACAAGAATTCGGTATTGAAAAGAAGCACAAAGCCGTTCAAGTATTGGTGCAAGGTTTGTTCACTGAAGATGCTGTCAATGAGCTCAAGAAGTACGGTGCTGTGATCGCAAAGATGACCACAAGTGAGAAACATCAAAAGTCCTTGTTGGGCGGTGTTGAGCGTTTGGCTGGTATTCAATTCCCCAACTTGGTCCCCAACGGTGTCCCAAAGATTTTAATGGGCTTGTACCAAATTGATGCTTTGGATGAAGAAGTTGTTAAGAGCTGGGCCACGCATGTCAGCAAAAAGTACGTTGACAAGGAGACCAGTAAAAAGGTTCGTAAAGCCGCCGGTCCATTTATCACTTGGCTCGAAGAAGCTGATGATGAAGAAAGCAGTGAAGGTGAAGATGACACCGAAGAAGAAGCTCCTGCTAAACCTGCCACAAACGGCAAAGCTGCCCCAGCCAAAGCTCCTGCTGCCAAATCAGTTCCATCACCTGCTGAAGATGATGATGACAGCGATTTGGACGACCTCTGATCTGTCCGTCTTTCTGCGTACGTAGATTTCTGTTTTTTTTTACCTCTCTCGTGTTTGCTGCCACTTTTTTAATGACTTCGCTTTGTTCGTCTCATATATGGTTCCAATTTATAAATTTTGACAAATATATGAAGAAATTGCTTACAAGAATACTACAAAATAAATTAAGAAGACCAGCTTTCTAGTCCCTTATATTCAACACCACTGCCTTTGATAATGCTACCCATATTGATGACATCCTTTTCACCACCCTTTGCTAACAGTTGCAATACTTCATCCACTGCACTTGCTTCTACGACAAGGACCATTCCGATACCGTTGTTGAGTGTTCTGCACATCTCTAGAGGTGCGATGTTTCCCTGTTCTTGTAGGTAAGCAAACAATTGCGGTCGTTTCCAAGCTGCAAGATTGACTTCAGCTCCCAAACCTTGGGGTAAGATACGTGGAATATTATCAGTGAAGCCACCTCCAGTAATGTGTGAAAGTGCTTTGATGTGTGGCGATGGTACGCTGTTTGCACCTCCTTCTAATCCAAGAGCATGTGTGAGAGCTTGAACGTAAATACGTGTGGGTTCGAGCAAACGGTCACCAAGGGACAATTGACTGTCTTCAGCCCATGGACATTTGTCTTCATATTTGATTCCTGCTCTTTCGATCACCTTTCGTACCAGGCTGAAACCGTTGGAGTGTAATCCTGAACTGCGAAGACCCAACAAAACATCTCCAGCCTTGATGTCATTGAGACGTGGTAGAAGATCCTTGCGTTCAACAACACCGACTGCAAATCCTGCAAGATCGTAATCATCTCCGACATACATTCCTGGCATCTCTGCTGTTTCACCACCGACTAAACCGCACTTGGATTGTTTGCATCCATCTGCAATTCCTTTGACGACGTTTGCAGCTGTTTCGACATGTAGCTTTGAGCATGCAAAGTAGTCAAGGAAGTACAAGGGTGCAGCAGCCTGGACCAAAAGATCATTGACAGACATGGCAACCAAATCGACACCAACAGTATCGTGTTTGCCGAAATCTTGTGCGACACGCAACTTTGTACCTACACCATCTGTTCCGCTGACCAAGAGGGGATCTTTGTAATCGCCTGCAGCCTTCAAGTCGAACACACCACCAAATCCTCCAAGCTTAGCATCACATCCAGGTCTGGCTGTACTCTTTGCGTGTGCTTTGATAGCTTCTACAAGATCGTTACCCGCATCAACGTCCACACCTGCAGCAGCGTATGTTAGACCGGCTGCTTTTTGTGCTTGTGCTGGTTTGAGTGCTCTATGTGCGATATCTTTTCTGAACGTCTTCCCTTCAAAGTCGATTTGTGCAACACCTGCATAAGCAAGGTCTACAGCTTCTTTGAGTGAAGGTCCAGAAGCTGAAACGGCCAACACTCTTCCTCCGGCTGTGACCAAATCATTTCCAGACATCTTTGTACCTGCATGGAATACTTCTACGCCGGCGGGTAATTTACCGATGGTAATCTTCTTTCCGGTTTCGTATTTGCCTGGGTAGCCAGCAGATGCCAGAATAACGCTGACAGCATGGAAATTTGGCTTGAGTTTGACATCGAGAGCATCAAGACGGCGTGCAGCACATGCCTCCAGGATGTCTGCCAATGAAGGACCGTTCTGGATATCAAGTAGTTCTAGTGCAGCTTCAGTTTCTGGGTCACCGAATCTGACATTGTACTCCAACACTTCCGGTCCATTTTCTGTAACCATGAACCCTGTGAAGAGAAGACCGACAAATGGGAATCCATCCTTTCGCATTCCAGCAATCGTTGGCTGAATGACATTCTTCTCGATTGCGTCTTCTACACCAGGAGCTTTTCCTTCGGGTGCTGGAGTGTAGGCTCCCATTCCACCTGTATTTGGTCCTGTATCACCCTCACCGATACGCTTATGATCTTGCAAAGGTGGAAGAGAGTAATGCGAATAACTATCTGAGAATGTCAAAACAGACAATTCGGGACCTTGTAATCTCTGCTCGATGAGTAATGAGCTTCCTGCATTTCCGAATGCCTTTTTGACAAGGATATCTTGAACGCCTTGCTCGCATTCTGCATCACTCTCGGGAAGCAAAACACCTTTTCCAGCAGCCAAACCGTCCGCTTTCAAGACAACCTTTTGTGCACCACCAAGTTCTTTAACGAATTGGATGCATTCATTCACCTGTTTATCATTGAATGACTTGTACTTTGCAGTGGGAATGTTGTGTCGGTCCATGAATGCTTTTGCGAAATCTTTTGATCCTTCCATTTGAGCAGCAAAGGGAGAAGGTCCAAAGACGGGAATACCAACTTCTCTGAATGCGCCTTCAACACCATCCACCAATGGCTGTTCAGGACCTGGAACGCAAAGGTTGATCTTGTTTGATTTTGCCCATTGTGCGATTTCCTTGAAGTCGCCACCAGCTTTAACGTCAGTCAAATTGGAGCATCTTTTCACGTCGATTGTACCTGTACCTCCATTTCCTGGAGCAACAAAGACTTGTTCGACACGTTTTGATTTTAAAAGATGCACCACAATAGCGTGTTCACGACCACCAGAGCCGAGAACAAGGATGCGAAGAGGTTGAGGTTCAGGCAACATGACTGATACCAATCACACTGCCAGTTATGATCAAGATTGTGATGGCTACCTAAAAAGATTTCATGCAAGAAGAATCATTTTTATCTAGATCTTCTTTTAATCCTTATCACTCAACACTGGTGCCGCCCTACCAAGCCTGTCAAAATTTTGGAACTTCTGGTAAAGTTTAAAGCTTTGGAGAAAAAACACGCACAGACGAAACACGTGCTCGACCAAAATTTTCCTTTCTTCCAAAAAAATAAAATTTAGCACGAAAAATGGAAGCGGTAAAAAAAGAAAGTCCAATTCAAGGTTTACCAAAATCCATCACCTTCACTTGTGCATCACTGAAGAAATTCATTGTGATCATTCTTGTTGGTCAACAATGTCAAACAAAAGAGCTGCATCGCCTGAAAGGGCAAGCAATGGCAAAGCCAAAGAAGTTGAAGTACAACAAAATGGCATAACCAAACAGCCAAGAACATCAGAGGCAAACGCTCAAAGAGCTCACGCCAGAAAAGATGAAGATGATGGCATGGGCGAATTTGAAGATCCATTCGAGGACGAATTTGAAGAAGAAAGCGAGGCAGGAAGTGAAGATGGAGAAGGAATGGAAATTGACGGCGTCAAGGTTGATGGTGAAATCCAAAGACCTGAAGGTGATGATGACGAAGAACAAGAGCCAGAGACAAAAGTGTACATTCCCGGTGTTGGAGAAGCACTACCCGAAGGTCAACAGCTAGAGCCTGATCAGTCGGCATATGAGATGCTACATCGTCTCAATGTTACATGGCCTTGTCTTTCGTTTGATATTCTACAGGACCATCTTGGGTCTACAAGCAGACGGTATCCCCATTCTGCATACTTTGTTGCAGGAACGCAAGCCGATACTGCCAAGAACAACGAGCTCATGGTCATGAAAGCTAGTGCTTTACACAAAACACAGAAAGATGGAGGTGAGTACTTTTTCTTTTGAGATAATATCGATGATGTCTGAGGCATTTGGCTGTATGAGCGCATCCCTTTTGGGATGTTTGCTCGATGCCGAAAACTATCTCGCTACCTTATTTTTCAACTTCTGAGCTTTTTATGTGCACTTGTGCATTCTTTTTCGTCTTTGTGGGCAACATACTGACACGTATCTCGGATTTCATACTACAGATGATGAGGACGATGACGAAGAAGATGACGACGACGATGACAACTTGGATGATGATGCAATCTTAGAATACAAATCAATACCACATCTCGGAGGGATAAATAGAGTGCGTGCTGCTCCAGTGGCTGCACCTACTGTCTCTTCTGAGCCAAGCTTGGACCCATACCCAGTCGCAACTTGGTCAGAGCTCGGTCAAGTGGATATCTGGGATGTCAGACCGTTGTTCAATGCTCTAGATAGACCTGGAAGCAGCACATTTGACCGTAAAGGATACAAGCCTATGCATACCGTCAAATCTCATTCTATTGAAGGATATGCAATGGATTGGGCCGGATCGGGAGGCGGTGCATCTGGAAGAGCATCATCTCTGAGATTGCTAACAGGAGACTGTCACAGCAAGATCTTCCTCACAACATCCTCGCAGGCTGGATTCACCACTCATCCCAATGCTTTCCTAAGCCATACATCTTCTGTGGAAGATCTACAATGGTCTCCAAAAGAACCAACCGTGTTCGCAAGTTGCAGTGCTGATAAGAGTGTTCGCATTTGGGATGTTCGGGTGAAGAGCAAGAAGAGTGTGATCAATGTGGAAGATGCACACGATCAAGATGTCAACGTGATCAGCTGGAACAAGACCACAGACTACTTGCTTCTGTCTGGAGGCGATGAAGGATGTGTCAAGGTTTGGGATTTGAGAAACTTCAAGCCTGCCACTGCGGGTTCAACGCAGGCTGAGAAGCCTTCTGCCGTTGCCTCATTCCAATGGCATACAGCACCCATCTCAAGTGTTGAGTGGCATCCAACAGAAGATTCCGTCTTTGCTGCAAGTGGACGAGATGGTCAAGTCACACTTTGGGATCTGTCTGTGGAAGAAGATGAAGAAGAGGCAGCTGCAAGAGAATCCTACAAAGGACCAGATGGAAAAGATGTTCCCCATCAACTGCTCTTCTGTCATCAAGGTGCAAGTGAAATCAAAGAAGTTCATTGGCATCCTCAAATTAGTGGAATGCTCATCAGTACAAGTGCTGATGGATTCCATTTGTTCAAAACCATCTCTGTATAATATCATTTCAGTGCTTATTTTTAATGTATACCGCATGCTTACTCATTTGAGTCGCATCTTTTATCACGGAAAAATTGGGTGTGAATCATTGATAGATTATAAGTACATGTGTGATAAAAGCAGATGCATTCATTCTACTCTTGCTGCCCTTGTTCTTGCTTGGCAGATTGATTTTGTTCTAATCGAGCTTCTTGTTTTTGTGTACGTGAGATGAAGCTATAACAATGTGCGCAAATATGATGGGCAAGTTTTGGCTTTCCGCAAGCAGGGCAATGAACGAAATCTACACGGTCCTTTAGACCTTTGTTTGCACTTCTCATTGCTTTTCTTGAATGACTGATTTTGGATTTGGGGACTGCGTGTAACATACCATCCCATTCGAGTGCACCCTGCGTTTCTTCGGAGGCAGAAGCAAAGGATTCACCTTGAGCGCCAGCCAAAGCAGGCATGTGAGATGCCTCATCTGCTACAGAGGGAAGTAGTCTGCTGAGCCATGCTGGCAATGTTGGGATCTGAACGACTGCCTTTACGTTTGCGAATCTGAATTCGATTTCTCTTTGAGCGGCAGGAGAAGAGGTCGAGAATAGTCTAGAAGAAGACTGTCTGCCGCTCCTTGATTGAACAAGTGCAGATTGTCGCAAGACTGTTCTTGATGTTGATGCAATTGGTGATGCCATCTTGATGCTTTTGTGACAGAAGGTCGTGTGATGTGATCGTGATGATGAAGTTTGCATGCGCTAAAAGGATGGATTTCTTCTAAAATGAAAAAATAATTTATCGCCTTGCGATTCTTCCTAAGCAGGGCAAACAAGCCTACACGCACACGCGTATTGATTGCACTTTTCCCAAGCCAGGCTTGCAACAGAAAAGCTGCCGCCCAGCGAAAACGTGAGTGGCACAGACTGTGGGCGGACGGTAATGCAATCTCCGCCAGGCGTGAAGGATGTGTTGGAGGCCAACAAACACACTCTTGAATGCAGGCACAACACACTTTTAAGGGAAGTCGACCAACACATCAAGAGCAGATCTTGGCCACCATATAAGAATGATGTCTGCTCGACACGATATGTTGTCAGCCTATGGCTCGAATCCTACTTCTCTAAAAGATCGAACGGCTGAGTTTCAACAATTGATCGCTGCACAAACATCCGGTGGATCAACATACATCTCTCCAAGAGAAAGATTGCTACAAGGAGGATCTTCGGGACCGATTAGTAGAGTTGGAACGCCTTCATCCCAGACGGGAGTCAATGGACAGCCATCATCACAAGGAGCAGCAGCAAAGACACCAAAAGGAGAATTCGCACGAAGAGCGCAGGCGATCGGAAAAGATATCAGTGATACGACAGGCAAGCTAGGACGACTAGCACAACTGGCCAGAAGGAAGACACTATTCGATGACCGGCCTGTGGAGATTAGCGAACTAACGTACATCATCAAACATGATATTGCAGCCATCAATAAGCAATTGTCTGACCTGCAATCGTTCAATAAACAGCAAAAGCTGCAAGCCGGAGGTGGAAAAGGGAAAGGAGCAGAAAAGGCTGATGAACATCGTGGAAATGTGGTAACACTACTGCAGACCAAGCTTGCAAATGCAACGACCAGCTTTCAGGATATCCTTGAAGTTCGAACACAGGTAGGTAATGAGCATGGTGGGGTAGAAAGGAATGACATACTGACTTGCCCAACACTCTTCCCAGAACATGAAAGCGTCACGAGACCGTACAGAGCAATTCGCATACAATGGAGCACCGAACGGCCAACTTGGAACTAACTCAGGTGAGTATTTGATGCTCAAATGTTGCAACCCCAAAAACATATGAGCGGCTAACTGATTCTTGTAGTATTGCGATCTCGTAATCCTGTTCCCCCTTCACGACCAGATTCGCCGCTTTACAATCCGAACCGAGCAGGACCTGCAGGCACAGCTGTTGCCCATCGAACACAGCCCGGCGGAGCGACAGCAGGAGGAGGAGCGAATGCAGTTGCACTGGATGACGATAATGGCAAGAATAAAGGAGGAGAATTCTTGGCATTGGATATGGGAGCAGCACCGACGAATGGGAATCAATATATGCAAATGCAACTTATGGATGGTGGACAAGATTCGTATATGCAACAACGCTCTACTGCGATTGAATCTATTGAATCAACAATCAGTGAACTGGGACAAATCTTTGGACAACTTGCACACATGGTTGCCGAACAACGTGATACAGTTCAAAGGATCGACAGTGACGTTTATGATGTTGCAGACAACGTAAGCGGTGCTCAAAGGGAATTGCTTAAATATTATGCGAGCGTGTCGAGTAATCGTTGGCTAATGTTGAAGATCTTTGGGGTGAGTATGATTGACGTGAGGAATGTTGACAATCTTAAGCTGTGCATATACTGACCTCATCTCTTAATAAACAGGTCTTGATTGTCTTTTTCCTAATCTTTATCTTGGTAAGCTGAGCACACAGCCGCTTTCTACCACCAAGATCGACCGCCGTTGCGATCGTAAAAGCAGAACAATCAATCTATAGATAGAATACTTCAATCAAGCTACACGTGCCCTATACCCTGTTCTTCACCATTGACAAATAGGTAGATATCAATGCATAGATCTCCTTGTCCGTCGTTGGACTCTCATCTGTCCGGTGATCTGAGTTTATATTAAGATTTTAGCGTTTGACATTGTTCCCCCGACCTTCGGTTGAGCGATCCTACCGCCACCAGACGGCAAAAAGCAGTGTGGTTGTGTGCCCCAACGGTGAAAGGCCGTGATCGGACAGGCGTGTGTATCTTTTGGCCTAATGGAGTTCAACTGAATGAAACGGTTAATCCTTGGAAGCGGCTAAACAGTGTTCATATGCACGGCGCTCTGTTCGGGGCTTTAAGCGCCCGTAACAGGGGAGGAAATGATGTAGTTTTCGCTTGAGAAAAAGGTAGGAATTCCTCTTGCGCGGAGCACATTTGTTGTCTTTTTTTGAAGTTTTTTCATTAGTACCGATCAAGGCAAAAGTGCTGCTGCTGGGAACGTTTTCATTGGGTTTTTGCCGTGCGTGGGCTGCGCGCAAATACACTTAGATTACACTGCAGTGCGTGTGCGTGTGCGCTGCGCTGCCCCCCGGCGCATACAATCAATCATCAATCAATATCTTCGGTCTTAACCACACACACACACAAATGTGAAAAAAAGCCGGGAGAGTCATCTGCGTATATATGCGTGCGCACGCTATAGCATAAGCCCTTCGGCCGGAGCGATTCGTAGAAAATTCAATCTCCATATAAGTTTACCTTCTTCCATCATTTTGATCTCGAATCGACCATATCAATCACAAACAATAGGGCGAGGCCACTCCCTCTGCTCAGTATACCAACTAATCAGACGATTCAGATCGATCTAGACTCATTCAAATCCTATTACGAACTCTTGCGTGTGGGCAAGAGTGTCGTGCGCTTATCATTCGATAACATACAAACCGCATACATTCAACATTAGCAACAATGTCATTCGAAGACTCTAACTCGTTCCTCTTTGGTTTGAACCATTTCGCTTCTCCTGGCGCAAATGCACCTTCTCATTCCAACGATCCTAATCAGCATGGCAATATCGACAGAGATGGAGGTTCGACTAGTTTGCTAGACGGCTTGGGCGCTTTCGGTGCTCCAGGAAGCAGTGCACCAGGCCACGATCCTCAAACCAGCAATGATATCGTCGAAGGAGGTAGCTTTGCTGAGCAATTGGCACTTTGGACCAATGCAAACTTTAGCTTCGATGGTCCAACCGGTCATGCTCTTTTGGGAGATGAAGAGAAGGACAAAGACGGTAAAGATAAGGAAGACGATCAAGGCGATGCCGACCGTCGTGCTGGTAAGAGATCTCGTAAGAAGAAGAACAACGATGATGCTCCAAACGATACGCCAAATGCGGGGCGTAATCCCGGTAATGGTAAACGAAATGGTAAGGATCGTCTTCGCGATGAGAATCAAATGTCAGCACCTCAATCGCCCATTCAACAACGCGATCCAGCCGGCTTGCACTCGCACAACTACTTCGGCCAACAATCTAACAAGGCAGATGAGTCTCGCTCCCATAATGACAACAAATCGCCAGCTGCTTTCCCCGGCCAATCTAACGGCAACTTCCCATTCGGTGCTACACCTTTTGCAAACGGCCACAATGGTGTCCCGCCTACATCTCAACCCGGCACAAGCGGACCATTGGATTTGACATCATTGCTTGCTTTGCAACAATTGTTGAGTCAAAACCCGTTGGCATTGGCATCTTTAGGCGGTTTCAACGGTTTGAACCCACAATTAGGTGCTTTGGGAAGTCAATTGAGCGGATTTGGAGGCAACTTGAATGGTCAGATTATGCAACAGCTCCACTCACTTCAACAGCAGCAACAACAACAGAACAATGGACCGGCTCATCAGCAAAACGGTATCACTTCAGCTCCACCACCATCGCCTTTCCCTGGTGCACAATTCTCTGGATTCAACTTTGCCAACGGCAACGGCCAAGGAGTCAATGGTCATCACGCTCCATTCGGTAATGTTCCTCATGGAGTAGCACCGAATGGATTCAATGGTGTCAACATGCACAATTCCATCTCCCACTCCGCCGCATCATCCAACAGCGAAAATTCACCTGACGATGAAGGCACCAATGGTGACAAGATCCGCATGACCGCTGAAGAGCGTGCTGATATCTTATCAAAGCGTGCAGTCGAGCGAGACAACATCCCACCATTGAAGTTGATTGATACAGGAAACCCAGAAGCTGATGCAGAATCTAACCGCAACGCAATCGAAGAAGATAAACGTCGTCGTAACACTGCTGCTAGTGCCCGTTTCCGCATGAAGAAGAAGCAACGTGAAGCCGCTTTGGAGTCCCATACCAAGGAACTGCAAGACGAAATGTCCGAATTGCGTGCAGAGCTTGAAAAGGTCCGCAATGAAAACCAATGGTTGAAAGGTTTGATCCAAGTCCGATCGGGTTCGGATGAGGAGAAGAAACTTTCTGACGGTAAAGGCGGTTCTTCCGTCGAAGCTTTGCAAGCAGCACAACAATTGCAAGCATTGCAACATGCAGTCTCCACACAACAAGCAGCCCAAGCACAATTGCAACGATCCAATTCCACAAACAGCAATATTGTCAGTGGAAGTCCTCATAGCGCCAAAGAACGCACAAGAGATACAGGTATCCGTCCTCGCGGTGTGGGCACGCAAACCAACTTTGCAGAAGAGATTTCTGCTGCTGGTCAAAAGCGTAATCGCGAGGTGTAAAGGAAATGAGTGCTTTGTGTAGACTTAGATGGGTTTATGTGGGACGCAATAATACACAAGGATGGAAGGTTCTGCACACCGATGTACATTGTCCAACACATCTGTCAAAATGGTGTCATGCTTTTGAGCCTTTCGGATCCGGTTGATGTTCTTCTCCAACAAAGGAACGGTGGAATGATTGCACTCAGATTACCCGTGAAAAATAATGGTTTCTTCTCCCTTTTAACTCAAGATCAATAAAAAATTACCCTCAAAACACAAAAAACATGGCTTCGAAAGGATTGATTTTCAAGTTCTTTTTCTATTCCATCTTTTATCAAGTGTTCAAAATCCTCGCTTTTTGTCGTGCTTTTTTTTCGCTTTGCAGAAAATCAAAACAGACTCTTCTTTTCTCTTTCTCTTCTCACCTCTTCTTGCTTTATCTTTTGGTTCTTGTCATATTATAGATCAAGATTCTCCTCTCTCTTCGGGATTATATCACCTGCCTAAAGAGGAGGACTCTTACCCCACTTCTTTGATTTGTATAACGACCATGTGATGGTACGATTGCTCCACTTCTTATTGATATTTATGATCAAATGATGATACAATTCAATCGCGAAACAGTACAACAAAAGGTCTATGAATTATAGCCGTGGAAGACGGAATTGGCATACTACTTTGCACCAAACACCTTGAAACGGTCAGCATCGTCGATGTATGTCTTTTCGGGGGGAGTAGCGACTGGAGTGCCAAACACCAATTCGGCATGCAAGGTCCATTCGGCTGGAACACCATACTTTTCCACAATGGTGGCAGGAGCTGCTTGGACGTTCTGTTCAGAGATGGAAGAGTGGGATGTCAGTCTTTTGTTCATCAACGTGCTTTTTGCAAGATTCACTCACATGTTGAAGGTTGGCACCATATCCCGCCACTTCTAACGCAGTCCAAGTGTTCAACTGAGCCATTCCGCTCGCATGTGTCGACCATTGTGGGAAGAGTTTCGCAATGGCAGGCCGACTTTCCTGTAGTTGTTTAATCGTCCTTTCATCTTCAAAGAAGAGTGCAGTTCCATAACCTTGAGCAAACATATCATATCGTGGACCAAAAATTGACCAAGTTGCTTCATCCGTGATGGCTTTTCGCATGGCTGGCTTGACGATATTTGACCAATAATGAACATGGTCTTCGCCCAACAGAACTACCACACGGGATGTTTGACTGTTGAATGCGGATGGCGATTCACGGACGGTTGATTTGATAAGGGAAACCAACTCTGCATCAGGTAAGATGGGCGTATTGTTCAGTGCATGGATTGATCGACGTTGTTTGATCAATTGCAGAAATTCTTGTACTTTTTGTGATTTAGACATGGTCACGGCTGGTTTTTCGGGTGCAGTTTGGGGTTGAGATTGGGATGTAGGCTTAGATGGGGTGGCTGAAAAGGCTTTTTTGATGGAAGTGAGCATTGAAATGTGTTTGTTTGATGAAGGAATTATGATGACAGAAAGTGTGTTGTGGTCCTTTATTTATACCTTTCGTTCTTGTCTCATTGGACGGAGTGAATGTTTTGAAAAGCCAAAGAGCAATTCGTCATATCTTGCCGGGCTTGATGCCAATGGACGGCAACATGCTGGTGACACTTCTCAACGGATTTTGCCAATATCAACTTGCAAGGTCCGCGGAAGATTTGTTAAATCGTAGCAAAAATAGTAAAATATTCAAGATATTCATAAATAATCATACGGCCGATTGCAGATAGAATGCTGAGCCCGACATCCCAGGAAATAAAGGTCTATCAACTATCACATTCGGTCCAATTCATACGTCCAGTTCCTGATTGTATGCAACTGGGCCCGATAAGGTAGGCGGTTATCGCCGCCCGGCACAGTTATGGCACTACACCAGTATAGATTATCTCCGTGTTATTCCAATATTTGTGTATATTTATATAAAAGATCCGATTGACTTCTCTTGACGTTTGAGACAACATTTCAAGCTACAAGAGCATAATGCTTCTATACTTGACACTTAAATTGACCATGAATGTGTACTGACTTCTATTCACATTCAAATACTGTATGATATAAGCAAATCAATCATTCGGACTGAAAGATTAGGTAAGCAATGTTGCCCTTCACATCAAATCCACATCCAACTCCTTCTTGTTCATGATATGGCATTACTCAACATGATATGATCCATCTTGACCATCTTTTGAGATGATCTAGTGATAAGCATGATCATTGTTCCTAGCACATTCCTGCTCGAATGAGCCCTTACATTGGTTATAATGCAACTCATGCTTCTTTTTTACGCGAAAGAATCAATGACAAACCGTAACGCGTGTTCAGTGAGAAGGATGTGACAAGCTGACACTGATCAAGTGCACTTCACTCACCCGTTCTGTGGCAAGCAAATTTTAAAGTTCAACATTCAATTTCACTCAGATTAACACCATCACTTTCCTGTTCTCCGTCAAAAAGGGTCAACAAAGATGACATTCTTGGATCTAATCGGAAGAAGGCCTCAAAGGCTGATCATGCTGGTGGTGATCTTCTTGTTATTCTTGTCATTATCAACTTATTTCACCCTCACGCCAAACAGTTATGAATCCGTACGACAAAGCTGGAAGAGCATTCCAAGACCTTGGCAGAATGGCTACAAAGGTGGACTTTCAGATGGAACAGCATTGCCATACAGTCAGGACTTGGCAGACATGTACACACACAACCCCGGCAAACCAACATCAGCAGAAGATCTGATGAAATGGGCAACAAAAGGTAGTGATGGAAATTATTATCCGCCAACCTATATTCCACAACAGAACAATCAAGCCCCACGTGCAAAGGCTGGTTTCGTCGTCTTGGTTCGTAATGGAGAATTGGAGGGGATGAGATCGGCAATGTACGATGTTGAATCGAAGTTTAACAGAAAGTACGGATATCCATGGATCTTTTTGAATAACGAACCATTCTCGGAAGAATTCAAAGAGGGTGTCAGACAGATGACCCGATCCGAAATTCGATTCGGTCAACTTCCAAAAGAACATTGGAGTTATCCAGATTATATCGATCAAAAGAAGGCAGCCGACGTTCGTGAAGAAATGCGCAAGAATAATGTCATTTATGGAGACAGTGAATCGTACAGACATATGTGTCGTTTCCAATCAGGATTCTTCTTCCGTCAACCCGAGACTTTGGATTTGGACTATTACTGGCGTGTTGAACCTGGAACGAAATTGTACTGCGATATCGATTACGATCCATTCTTGTTCATGCAGATGAACAACAAGACATACGGCTTCACAATGGCTTTGCATGAGTTCCCCGCAACCGTTGCTACACTTTATCAAACAACGAGAGAGTTTGTTGAAAAGCACCCTGAATACGTCTCAAAGAATGCAGGCATGCACTTCTTGACCGATGAGCCAGACAGATTTATGGACCCCGGATGGAACATGTGCCATTTCTGGAGTAACTTTGAGATCGGAGATTTACGATTCTGGAGAAGCAAGGTGTACACAGAATACTTTGATTATCTAGACAAATCAGGAGGTTTCTTCTATGAGAGATGGGGAGATGCACCCGTTCACAGTTTAGCAGCAATTTTGTTCCAAGATAAGAGCAAGCTTCATCACTTTGACGATATTGGTTACTACCACGTTCCATGGAACCATTGTCCTACAAACCCGGCTTATCACAAGAACGGAAGGTGCAACTGTGATCCCAAAAAGTCGTTTGACCGAGAGGACTACTCATGTTTGAAACAATGGTGGGCTGGCTCACCTGAAAAAGAACCGAATTATGTGCTTCCAAGATCACTTAGTGTTCCTAAAACTTTGACCGATCCAGATGCTCCTTACTAAAATTGTACTGTATCTCTTTCTGCAATCCACTTCGTTTTCTACTTTGTCTGTTTTTATCATCATAAATGGGAATTTTTAATTCAATTGAACAATTATCATCTGTAGAGGGAGCAAGGCTTGCCTGTTCGAACAATGGCAAGAGCATTCGTGATCCGCTCGATTTGAGTGCTACGAATAATTTTTCTATATAGTGATGCTAAAAGTCTTTTCTCTTATTATTGAAAAGTAGAATTTGCATGATTTCGTATAATATATAGATACTTTATTAAATAGCAAATCGACTTTTTTGACCGGCATGCCAATTCAATCTTACCGCGTTTCCCTAGCGCACCCCCTTAAGCTGTTGTTGAGCCAGCAAGCAATAAGCGTCTGTGCATCATCACCTTCGCGAATTTAAAGTTTGTTGCTTTCACCTACTCTTCGTATAGTTCATCACCATCTCATCGTCCCTACATAGCAACGAAACTATCATCAGTAAGCAGCAGGTTGCATCACTGTACCCTCAGCTTTTTCAATATAAGCCACTGAAGCAAACCACGCTCTGAGCATTTATTCGACCAAAGGAAACCTCGTTCGGATATAGCTCATCTTCCTCTTACCGCCTTTTAAACCTCTCACAAACTTCAACGAATGGCATCTCATTACGTAAATAAGATCGCACCAACAAACCTTCATTCGCCTTTTGGAATGTCGAATCAAGCAAGTACGAGCGGCGGCGGTAGTGCAGCTAACGGAAACAATGGAGAAGGTGTTGATCAATATTTCACATTCACTGTCGGAAAGCTTGATGCTGGAATGGCGATCTTGATTGGTGATCGTGCAAGTCAAATCGAGTTCCCTTCTTTGCTCTTGCCTTCGGAATGTACGACTGGATCTGTTGTGAGAATCTCGGTCGCCAGGAACCAGAAGGAAGAACAACGTAAGAAGCAGGAGTTTGACGATTTGCAGGAGAATGTGCTGGAGATGTTTGGAATGCGTGGACCGGTCACTCCTTCTTTGCAATTGAGAGCTGTCACACAAACGTCCATCACTCTGGAATGGGATAAGCTGGACATCGCAACGGCTAAGCTTTTGTCTTTGGATATATTCCGCAACAATGAACGTTTGGCTGCTATTCCAAATCCGCTCCACAACACATCAACAAAGTTGTCTGGATTGGAGGTCAACAAACCATACTCATTCCATCTTGTCATGCGTACCACAGCGGGCACATATACCTCCAATGTGATCAAGACAAAGACGCATGATATGAATGATACTAGTGGTATCAGTGTTTGTTTCGGATTCATGGATGGCAGTCACATCAATCAAGATGGAGACTACGTTGATGGCGAGCTCGAAGCAGGGGCAAAGGAGCTTTTGCAACAACTTGGTGCTAAATGGAGTGATAAGATCCAAATCGATACAACGCATTATGTATGCACTCATCCAAGAGGAAGAGCCGCACCCGGGATCGGTGAAGGACATCCTGCTGGACAAATGCGGGGAGCGATGTTCAGCAAAGCTGCTCAGCTTTCCATACCGATCGTATTGCCACACTGGATCTATGCATGTGCCGAGAGCAAGAAACTCGTTCCAATCTCACAGTATTATATGGACAAGGAGCCTCCGAACGCTGCTCAGCTGCGCAAGAGCATCGGTCGCAAATCAATACCATCAACGCCCAATGATATTGCAGTAGGACCACGTGATGAATCCGTACCCCCAACGCCTGCGACCAAGGATGATAACGTCCCTCCTCCTCCGCCACAAAAGGAGGAAGAACCTGTCAAAGAGGCAGAAACGCACCCAAACGTGCCAGAAGTTGAAGGACCAATCACAAGTACAATCGCGGTTGCAGATGGAGAGACTGAGAAGAACGCAATTGAAGACCATACGCCTGCAACAGCTGTTGAAGTACCATCAGAAAGCGTTGCAGATGGCTTGCATGCGAGTGAATCGGCAGGCGGCTTGAGCGCATCAGAAGATAAGATGGACGAGATCAGCTTGGGAGGCGAGAGTGGTCGAGAAGTTGAAGAAGAGATTGATCTATCTTGATGTACTTGTAGATATGAATGATTGTATCTGGTAAAAAGCGAGTGTACTTTGTGTGACTAGATAGTAACAGATAAGAAGATTGAAAGTCACGGCCAGATGTTGTATTGACCAATGAATCGGACCCAGCGAGCCGTATGCATGCACGCAAGCCTGAAGACTATGAAATGAACCTATAAGCTCATAATTTGATCAATGCCATCAAAAGTGCATTTAAAGTGCAATCATCTTTTTCACATCCATCACTTTCCTATCTAGCACTCTAATTGATTAATACCATTTCAACTTTCTCGTCCTGACGTCTGATCGCGAAAGTCAAATTGAGCCTTCTTGAAACGAAAGTTGAATTGTGTAAGTCATGGAGCGTAAAAGATCTCCTCGAGATGCTCATCGCCATCATAAAGGTGAAGGAGGAGTAGGTGCAGTCAATCTTCCTTTCCTCCATCAATGGTTTATAGAGCATATAGACCATCCTTTTCCTACACAAGAAGAGGAGAATGAGCTTGCCATGAAGATGAAAGCTAATTTGCGAGATATTGAGACGAAGATTGGCTTATCGTCATCATCTGTTTCATCAAGAGCCACAAAGCAATGTCAAGCTTGGTTCATCAACGCACGAAGCAAAAGTACTTGGACTGAGTTTTACCAAAAGTATGCATTCTCAGAAAAGGCAGTAATGACAAAGTTGGTCTCAATCCTGAAAGGTGAAAGTGAAAACACAAATGAGACAACCGATTCCCTTGCACGGCTTTGGTGGTGTGGCAAAGACGGTAAAACCAGAGGATGGTTTGGAGATTCGTTAAAGGAACATGTTGCTAAGTGTAAAGAACATTGGATGAAGATCAAAGAATGGCAAGAACAGCCACAACGTGAGAATGATACCTGGCAAAAAGGTTCAAAGCCATCAAGGAAAGATTCCCGAAGATTCTCGGAAGAAACTTTAACAATCTTGTTGGATGAATATGAGAGAAATCCACATTATGAGAACCATCTTGATCGTGATAGGATCGCAAAGAAAACTGGTCTCAAGCCAAGGCAGGTTACTGTGTGGTTTCAGAACAGGAGGAGTCGTTCCGAAAATCCACCGTTAAAGGAGGCAACGGAAAAGAGACGCAAACGTGAACAGGATAAGTGTCAAGGTGGAGACAAGAAAAGACATGCGCCGATCAGAACAAAATCCTCACAACGGTCTGTCAATCAACCCGTACCTGCATCGCCATCGTTACCGGTGTATGACGACGATGTCGTTGCGCGAATCGATCGAGATGTGCTTCAATTGAGAGCGATATACAATGAATCATTCTTTAAAGATCTAGATTTATCTTCTCAGCGGTCTTCGAGTATCCGTCAGGACCTCTCGCCAGATAAGTATTTGTTGGAGCCGGCAGCGCTTCCTGAGCCCACATCAAGCGGCTCCATGCTTCTATCGCATGACATGTTGATGAACGAACTTTATTCGGCTCGATCGCCGTTGACATATCTGGATCCAGATGCAGCATCATATTTCGAAGCAACCATACATCAGGACCTCTCGCCAGATATGTATTTGTCGAACTTTATTCGGCTCGATCGCCGTTGACATATCTGGATCCAGATGCAGCATCATATTTCGAAGCAACCATACATCAGGACCTCTCGCCAGATATGTATTTGTCGGAGCCGGCAGCGCTTCCCGAGCCCACATCAAGCGGCTCCATGCTTCCATCGCATGACATGTTGATGAACGAAATTTATTCGGCTCAGTCGCCGTTGACGTACTTGGATCCATTTGCAGCATCCTATTTTGATCCGGTTATGGCAAGACCAGTGGATTTTGAAGAAATCCAAAATGCACTTAGCAATTGGCCATTGAGTCAAGAGATGGCACATGAAATGAACCTGGCTGGTGTGTCTGTATAAGTATGTATCTTATAATTATGTGGTATTATTGTTCAAGTTTCACCGTCATTTGTATACTATTGCCTATAAAATGTATTCTATGACCAATACTTTTCCGCACTTGAATATGATTTGGCGGCTCTTTGCCCGTGTAGTACTGGGAAATTGGAAAAAGTCTGTAAAGAAGATTAGTTCTCCAGCATGATTTTATCAACTCAATCAACGTCATCATACTTGCCACTTACTCCAATAGATGCATAGATCGTGCGGGAATTCGAGAGGTGTCTTACGGGATATTGCTCCCCGTGTAGAATATGACCAGCTTAGCATGTCACGGCCACAAGAATGCTACTCACATTGACAAAAATGGCGAAATGCAACTAAATAAATCTGACGATTTATACATCATCTCTTTAGGCTATCAGCTTCTTCTGATGTTTGTACAAACATGATCAGCATTAGAATCCTTTCTAGAATGAGATCTGCAGAAATTCATAGCTGTACCATAACACTTAAAAACAGGGAGGATGACGCTTGCCGTGCAAGTTTCCAGTGGGTGCAAGGGTGCGGGAAGACATGCGGCGCTTAGGTGTAAAGTGATCGAGAAGGGTTGAAAGAAGAAAGGCACGTGAACTTGACTGAGAAGTAAGCATGTCTTCCCGCAAATTTTGACAGCTCGTAGGCGCGGAGTTAAGCCATATGCAAGTATGGCGTGCTCGACGGATAATTTTACGTGATCACCCTTTTAACGGTCATATTATGCACAGACATCTTCATAGATCTTCTCGAAAATGTTCGAAGAAGCGCCACAGAACGCAATAGGGTTTGAGCTCCTATGAAGCCGTTGGAAAAATCTTCTACTATCACTCTCATTACCGCCATCACAAATCTTTATTGACTTTAACATAATGGCTGACAACAACTTACGTCTTGGAAGCGTCGTTCCAAACTTCTCTGCTGAAACCACTCATGGTGACATCCAATTCCATGATTGGATCGGTGAGAAATGGGCCATCCTTTTCTCTCACCCTGATGACTTCACACCCGTTTGCACAACCGAATTGGGTCGTGTAAGTCAATTGGAACCCGAATTCACCAAGCGTGGTGTCAAGTTGATCGGATTATCAGCCAACAGTGTCGAATCTCATGACCGTTGGATCGCTGATATCGAAAAGCACACTTCAAAGGGATCCAAGGTTAACTACCCAATCATCGGTGACAAGGACCGCAAGATTGCCACCGAATTCGGTATGTTGGATTACCAAGACATCACCAACGTTGACCAAAAGGGTTTGCCTTTGACCGTCCGTACCGTCTTCATCATTGACCCAAAGAAGACCATCCGTTTGACAATCTCATACCCTGCTGCTGTCGGCCGTAACTTTGACGAAATCCTTCGTGTTATTGACTCTCTTCAAGGAGGAGACAAGTACAAGTTCACCACACCAGTTGACTGGCAACCAGGACAGGATGTCATCATCCCTCCACCAATCAAGAACGGACCTGCTGAACAACTCAACAAGCTCTTCCCTGGTGAGAAGCGTGAGGTTTTGCCTTACTTGACCTACCACAAGGACCCAACCGCTCAAGCTTGAACAAGTTGGAACACCCAAAAAAAATCTTTTTGTCTTATTATAGATACCACTCGGCCATCATTTGATGATGCCGGTGTTTAATGCGAAATGTGAAAAAATACAATCGTGTGCGATGTGTTTTGTGTGACAAAGGGGTACATGCTTCTAAGACTAACGGCTGACCCAAATGAATGGAACAATGGGATCAGCATCGCGGCTCCGAATCCTACCACGCAATCGTAACAGTTTCTACCGATCTAGATCAAAATTTATTGAATGCCTTCGTTCAGTACAAGCGTTCTGCTGTGTGTTGTGAAAGTCAACTATTGACACAAAGCCAATCTACATGTGGAAGATGTGCGGGAAGGAAAGAATTGCATACCAATGCTCTGATGCTCTCGATCGATTCAGTCTGTTCGTCTTAGCAGACGATATGTATAACAGGTACATTGCTTTCCTCTGATCGAAAACTAGCAATCACAACTGTGGTTTCACTTTTGTGAAGGTCAAGGGGTGAATATATGATTGCCAAACGAGAAACGAACCGAAACATACATGAGGGAACAGAAAAGTGAATACATAAATACAACAGGACGACAATATACAAATGTGGAAGCACAGCTCGTGATGTGTACAGCCAGTGTATCACCAAATTGAGCTTGATATGTGAGATCTTGGTCTTGGTTGGGATCAAAAGAAATTGAGTGAGAGTGGTGAATGATTTACAAATCATACTGTGGAATTTGCTGTGGAAATATTTGAAGTGAGCGTCCGTGCAAAGCATCAAGATACATCTTTTCAGCATTCTCAAAGAATGCTTCCATATGGATGCGTTCTGCTTGAAGTTTGATTTACAAATGGATTGTGTTTGGTGCTGCATTGAGGGAATAGCAGACACATTGAAAGAAAAGCGAAAAAAGTAAAGTTTCAACACCATGAACTATTGCCCTTCGTTGCCCTTTTTTCATTGTTCAATTCAATTTACCGTCATCGCCCTGCTGTAGAGACAAGCGAGACGGATGTTGTAGCGTAGTTGCTGATACTGATGGTGCTGTAAGACGTAACAAGAGTCGAACTGATGCTTTCCGTCACATTACTTTTTCAACGAACTTTTGGATGATCGACGTGCATTTGTATTTGCACCATCGCGAGATCGAGAATTTCCAGCTTTAGTTTTTTGGTCGGTACTACTTGTGTTGGTTTTCTTTGCACGTTTGCTTGAACGTACTTGTTCTGCATCATCGTCATCATCATCTGATCGATGAGCAGCCGCTTTTTGCAGCTTGAATTCCTGCGTCTCACGATCCAGGTTTCTTTGACGTTTGGACATTCGATTGTATACAATTGTAGCGTCTTCAACTGCTTCTGACAGCCAATCGGATTTTTTCTCAAACGGTCTCAACTCGAGATATGCCACTATGCACGAATAATGTTCCCAACAGCTGATCGATCGCTTTCTGAGTGTACCATCGAACCATTCTTCCGTTTTACCACGTTTGCCAAACGACCAAAACTGGGCAAGCGCTTCGGATGTCCAAATCGTCTTTTCGCTTTCATTTTCCAAGATTGCGATCAATTTTTTCATTGTTGTTATGTCTGACTTTCCGTATTTGATAAAGAATTCTTTCCAAGTGCTTCTGTTTCGTGTATTAATGAACCATTGATTGCATTGCTCTCTCGACATTGGCTTGTTTGCTTCTTTCAAGTTTGCATTCGTCAACTTAATAAGCTTTTCCTTTTCTTTAGCTGAGGGGTAAGGATCATGGATGTGCTTCAAAAACCAGGAACGGAGAGGTTGTGATTCGAGCCGTTCTCTCTTGTCTTTCACTTCAGGATTTTCATGTCCATCACAAATTACTTCGTTCACGTCCTTCACAGCCTCTTCACATATGTGACTGCATGCCTTTGAAAGTAACAATAATGCTTCAGAGATGGCTTTGATCCTCTCCAACGCACTTCGGGCTTTCGAGACCATATTCTCTGAGACCGTCTTGTCTTTGATCGATTCGGTAAGCAACGTGCTAGCCAGTTTGTATTCTCGAAGGAAATTCTTCAGCAAGCCGTCTTTGAGAAATGAAAGAAAAAAGCTTTCAGCATTTTCAATTAATGCATTCAGAGAATTGGCAGAATGTAAAGACATCTTGAGATGAGATGATTGCAAGGAAGCAAACGATGGTTCAAGACTCCGGTATTTCAAGGCAAGCGCGTGCAGAATATAAAGGGCAGGACAAATGCGAGTTCGCCACCCCGATCGCATGAAAGGTTGTTATCTTTCCTCCGTCAAACAAGAATTCACCTGCTTAGAAAACTGGCAAGGTCTCCTTTGGTGAAAAGCGGGAGGATTTGCTTTACTTGATTTACCAAAGGGCTCAAGTGCTCAAGCTAAGAGAATTTTGCGAGCAAATCATGACCCTTGCGATAGATATTTCTCGGCCATCCTTTGTTGTTTCTGACATCTAATTCGAACCATGAATCTGAACGAACGCTTGCGATGTGTTTGTCTGTAGGAAGATGTGTTTGTGTGATGAAAAGACATTTTGCTACTAAATTAAAGACCGACCCACATGAATGGAATGATTTGATCCGACAGCTTAGAATTTCACCATGCAATCACAATACTACTCTTTTCGAACAAAATGTGCTTGGCGAATGAGTCATTGATCCTGATTTACATAAAGGAAATCGAGTAAAATGTGTATACAGATTGGATCAACACTTGGAACAGACACTCTCAGGATATGCTGCAGAAAGTATACAAGTGATCCATCTTGCAAAGTATTAAGATGCATCTTTTCAGTATTCTCAAAGAATGCTTCAAGAACGCTCGCAGAAGTGTCGAAAAGTAGACCTGCTACTAGTTGGTTGGTAGGCTGGATTGCATGAGTCGTAAAAAACACAAGTTTATCACTACGCCATCTTGCAAAGTATCAAGATACATCTCTTCAGCATTCTCAAAGAATGCTTCCAGATCGATGTCTGTAGCTTCACGCTTGATTTCAGATCGGCCAGGCTTGGAGCAGCATCGAGTGCGGAACAGTCAACTTGATGTAAGAAGCGAAACGGATAAAGCTTAATTCCACGGACTATCGCCTTGCTTTGCCTCTTCAAAATCGTCCAATTCAAATTCACCATCATCGTCTCCCATTTCATCATCTCCATATTGTAATGGTGAGGCTGGGATCGGGCTGAAAACGGGCTTTGGGTTGATGAACGAAGTCTTTGGCTCATGGTAAAGGCCTTCCAAGTCATCCGCCTTCTTCTGCTCGAGAGTTTCTTGTGCTTTACCATAGCTTGCCAGCGGAGAAGAGGCGGTCGCATAACTGCTGGTACTGATGGAGCTGCAAGAAGTGTCAAGAGTCGAAGTGCTGCTTCCCGACACATCGCGGTATTGATCGATTGAACTGATCATCGTAGAGGGACGACGAACATTCTTACGTGCACTATCGCGAGATCGACGACTTCCGCGTATAGGTCTGGCATGTCCATCACTTGTTCTGCGTTTCTTTACCCGCTTTTTGGATTGTAATTGATCAGAATAATCTTCATCATCGGATTGATGAGCATGAGATCCGTTTTCCGTACGATGTTGGTCTCTTTTGCTTTTGCGCGTTTGATTGTATTCACTTGTGGCCTCTTCAATTGCCTGTGACAGCCAATCAGACTGTTGCTCATGCGGACGTTGTTCTAGCCATTCCATGATCTTGACCCAATGATCTTGGCACATAGCTACACGCTTCTTCAACGATTCGCCGAACCACTCTCTGGTGCGTCCATCTTCGCCACATGTCAGAATACGTGCAAGCGATTTCGAAGTGCCATTTGCGCTTTCACTTTCACCTTTCAAAGTTGAGACCAATTTTGTCATTGTTGATTTCTCTGAGAATGCGTACTCGCGGTAAAATTCTGTCCAAGTGCTTCTGCGTCTTGTGTTAATGAACCAAAGCTGGCACTGATTCTTTGATATTGGTTTCACTGCGGATTGTGGACCAAACTTCGGAAGCTCATCACGAGATTCTAAATCTTTGAGCTTTGCGTTAGTAAGTTCAGCAAGCTCTTCCTTTACTACTGTTGAAGGGAAAGGATGATCGATGTGCTCCAAAAACCAGCGACGGAGAAATTGGGAGTTGAGCGAATCTTGGTTTGTGGGAGAGCATTGTTCCTTTCGGAGCCTACCAGAGAGAATTGCTTTGGTCTTCTCGACAGCTTCTTTTGCAATCATGTCACCTTCTTTTACTAGCACAATCAGAGACTTCGTCATATCTCGAATTCTTGTCGCGATTGCCGAGAATCTTGTAGCATCTTTTTGTGAAATACCTGCTGTGAGGGATGCGTCAGTCAAACAGGAACATGATGCGTGGAATTTGGCATGGAAGGACTGCATAGAATTCTCTTGCAAAGCGATGAGAAACTCCATTTCAGCATTCTCAAAGAATGCTTGCAGATCGTTTTTCTTGATTGAAAGCATTGAACGGATATTGTTTGGAATAGTGGTGGTAATTACGAGCAAAGAACTTTTCGTCTAGCTTTAGCTGAACACGCTCAAGCGCGCTGAAAGTTGATGCGCAAAGAGCGGCTCATGAACAAAGGGAAATATACTTACTTTTGCAAACGCTTTCACTTTCAGCTCTTCTCTTCCAAGCTCAGCATCATCTCAATCTACTCGTCTCTCGATCATGGTGGACTCAAGCAAGCAAAACGATTTACGTGAGATCATAAAGGTATCAAATGCGTTAATGCAACAGTTCGACATTACAGATGCTTGCTCGTCCGAAAAAGAAGATAAGGGTAGCTGGGATCCACCAAAACGCTTATCGTATCCATTAGTCAATGCTTTCGATCGATCTTTTCGACATCTCAACCTCTCCTTGCACATGAAAAGACGGTACGAGGAAAAATTCACTGAAGTATCAGATCAGCTACACTCATTGTGCTTGGCAGAGGTTGTCAAGATAGCATCATCACTTCATGGAAAATTACACAACTGTGATTTTGAGAAAATTGTCCGCATAACCGAAACTTCTCTGAGTGAGAATGTGTCGCAATTGCATAGCAGTATGATGGCTACCATTCAGAATAAGATAAAGGCGTTTCACGCTGATGCGGCTTTTAGCGATGTGGAAAGCTCAGGTGAATCTTCTGTTGCTCAAAAAGGTCATTCTCGGCGGGCAGTTGCCATTCTCGAAAAAGTCTTTTCTCAAACAACCAACATCAATAAATCAGAGAAGCTTCAATTGGCAAAGGCAACCAATCTTGAGCCACGTCAAGTCACAATTTGGGTGAGTATTACCTTTCATGCATCACTTTTCATGCGCGCAATTCGTGCGCACTTTCGATAAGCAAAACCTTTTGTTCACAGCTGACCGCTTTTCTCTCCGTTCTTTCATTTTCTCTCAGTTCCAAAATAGACGCAATCGTAAACCCACAGCTCAAGCACATTCAAACACCAAGTCACAGAAGCAATCTTCCTCTTCACTACCTTTGCGACGCAAACGCAAATCGGACGAAATGGATGGAATTGTTCCATCAACACCAAAGCATCGCCGTCGAATGTCAGATTCAGGCATGTCTCCAGGTTTGTCAAGAGACGTGACGCCTTTCTCCATCTCTTCAAGAGGTCGCAGCAGTAGTGTGGACCTTTTTGAAGCTGGTCATGCGATGTCGTCAGGAACGAGCTACGATGACAGCTTTTCAGCTTACCAAAGCATTAGCGTAAGTCCACCAAGATCCACATTTGGAGCAAGTTCGTTCGATGAACAAATCGTTCGCTTTACCAATGCAAAGAACAGCGGCAGTAGCAGCAACAGCAGTAGCAACGGCAACAGCCGTAATAGCAGCAACACCAGCAACGAAATGATGTTCAACGAAAATGGTGAATTGTTGCTCGATTGGGATGATTTGGAGTTGAATTTGGATGACTTCACAGGAACACAAAGCTTAACTCCCCTCACAGACAATCAAAACAACGGAATTCTTGCAGGTCTTGATTTGCCAAATTCTGCACATTCTACACAAGAGACAAACGATCTTGTTTCGATCTTTGCACGCAAATTAGTCGAAGAAAGTTTCAATCCAGAGGAATTTTTGGCGCAAATGCAACAAAGTGAAGAATGGAGTTCACCCGTCATGGGTCGTTTGTTCCTGGCCAGAGGACAAGAACAGGATGCAATCTCCTTAGCTGATTTGCAAAGTACACAAAACTCAGGACCATCAGCTTCCACCAGCACGCAAACATCACCAGGATCAAGCACACCAAGAAGCTTGTTCAACTTTGATTTTGACAACTTAGGTTTGGAAGATGCTATGACGTACAACAATGAATCGATTGGACAACAAATTAACTCAATTGATTTGCATGCAATGGAAGAATTGCTCAAGTACGAGCCACTTACAACAGACATGCTTGGCCTCATTTTTTCACCACCAGCATCAGCATCACCAATCGCAAACGTTGACACCGCCAGCTTGACTCTCTTAAATTGAAGCAGCGCAAGTACGCTTCTTCCAAAAAAAAAGATCTCCCGAATCGCTCCGACCACTCTAGCACGCAATTCTTGTTTTGTTCGTAGCCCTAGTTTGAAGCAGTTTTTCGTTTTTCGTCTTCGCATCTGTAAATTTCTTTTTCGTTTTTGGCACTTTGACAGTCTCAATTTGATCGTTTTGAACCCATACACACATAGATTTGATACTGCATGAACGCTTTGTCCTTTTGCTGTCATGGGAAAGAAAAGACAAAGGGTCACTGCCAAAAAGCGAACAAAGGGAAGGAGGGCTGAATGAATGAATGAATTCATTGAGAAGAAAGACAGAAGCAAGCAGACAGACGATTAGCGTATCAATAACGCTCAGGCCCCCACTTGTGCATAAAGATGCATGCAAGTGGTATCATGCTCGCGAGAACAAAGGGATTTGCGGATAGTGCCGTTTGCCATGCGCTATCTGTATGCAATGCATAACACTGCACGTAAGCTGCACAAAAGCCATGTTTTTTTTTCTGGGTATGAAATTCGCGCGGCGCTCCTTTCTTCCCTTTGTCTTGTGGACGGCTACGCACAACTCACCGTTAGCCCGATATTGACAAATGTGTGCGTGTGTGGCTTACCGATCGATCGATGTACGCCCACGAACAAAGGGGAGCAGGGCTGAAAATGAAGCATGAATAGGGCAGTGCTTTCATTCCATGCTAATAAAACGGTCAAATAAAACGCCGAGTATTTTGCTTTTGTTTTTTTTTTTCTTCAGAAAGTGGGGTAGTGTATCCGTGCTTCATTTCGGCTCCTAATTTCCCCCTGAGGAGACATGAAAAGCGGCGGCCGCGATTCAAAGACCATGCCTCGCTACCAAAATGTTGGCCGTCATCCATGGAAAGAAGACCTTGCCGGTGATGGCAAAAATGAACTTTACAGACACAAAAAGCGGCGGCCGCCGTGATTTGAGCCTAGACCTTTGCTATCGAATTAGAAGGCGTACAATATGTACAAGTGAACGTCATCCATGAAAAGAGTACCTTTTCGGTGATGACGAATAATAAAAAAAGACGGAGCGGTGAATGCGTGCATAATGAACAATACTTCTTGGCACGGACGGCTGAAAATAAATTTATGTCATCACAAAGGTAAACTTTACCGTTTGTGCATTTGAAGTACGGCCCGCAATGGCTCGGGAAAATAAGTGCGAGCCGGCTTGGCCGCGGGATGATATTCGCCATTCAAAGAAATTCTCGTGACTTTGCAATCAAAACAAATAAACTCGCTTATCCACAAATAGATCTACCCTGCATAAGAACGTCAAAGATCTTCTTTAGGGACGGCTTGACGGAGTAAAGTATAACTATTGACATTATCTTCACCACAAAGAATCTTCTTTACATCGATCAACATGTGCTTTTGGTACAACCAGCGTGAGCTTCGGCGGTTTTGACGAATGAATGGAAAATGCTACGCCGGCGCCACCTCGTATGAATCCGCCAAGTGGATAATTTGAGAAATGAGCCGAACTGGGGTAATGTCTGTTTTGATCGTGTTTGCATGATAAACAAATGAATGAAAATTAATGAAAAATGCAGAATACTTAAGTCACTTTCATGCCGTTACTTCTTCCAATCATCATCATCGATCTTCCATTATCCTTAATGATTAAGTCCTGCTCCTCCAAGCTCATTCTTCTGCAGATTTGACAAGCATTGCAACCGAAGATCTAAGGCAAACGCAAGATGGCAATCCCAGACTGCCATGGCTGCAGTAAGTTCAATTGTGATCATTCAAGCTCGATGAATCTGTTTGTCAAAGTTCGCAAAGATCTCAACTTCACCCTCGCTCGAAATAATGTCGATCATAGCTTCTCATGCCCATGGTCACCTTGCTGCCATCGCGATTGTGATGGAAAAGAAATGACGAATCATGTTCGTATTTGCAATTATCGTCCTGACAATTTGAAGCCACGCTACCTTGGCGACAATTGCTGACAATGCTGTCAGGAAAGAACAGGGACAAGGGCTTGAGCCAGCTCGTTTGCATCTTTGCCTTCTTCATACCTGCGGTAATTGGGAACAAGTTACTTTACGCAAATTGCAACTTTAATCTATCATATAATGTATCAACGTGTTTCGTCTAATCGCCCTCAAAGCAAAATCTTTTCACCTTTCAGCACATTTGCAGCAGAGGATGAAAGAGCTAAAAGTAATAAATCTCTCTGCAAAAGCAGAAGAACGTTATCATTTGGAAATATCTTGTCACTATCATATTTGTACTCCGCCACTAATTTATGACCAGGCCGGTACTTGCCATTTTTCGTGTTGATGCTGCGCACCAATCAAATCTTGTTATCCATGGATGTTATGATAGTACGAGTGAAAAGCTGTGTAAAGGCAGTGCAAATTGAGTGATTCGAGTCATATTTGCTTGCTCAGCTAATTATTCAAAGCCAATAATGGTGATAAAAGCTGTGCAAAAATGACTCGGAGAATAAATTTTTACCTTCATAGCGACAACCACGCCATGAAATTAGACAGTCCTCGGCCGTTTTTCCACTTTTGGTTGTCAGTCACACAGGGTCTAGGCTTGATTAGATTCATCTCAGTCATGCAACGCCTCAATAGCCGCTGTCGGAGTAAGAGGAGTACCGGCAGTCGAAAACGGGTGGCAAAAGGTCCGATGGATGTGCTGAGCAAGGCAAGGTAGACAGGCGTGTGTTTGCCTGCATTGGATATATGCGTCGTCGGTAGAACGGCAGAAACAACCACCGTGTCACTTCATCTTAGATCGGATCCGACCTTGTTCATTCTCTTCATTCATACCATATCTTTCTCCACTTTCAATTCATCATCACCTCTGCACATACTATAAAAGAAGCCAAAAACATTCTAATTTCATCTCTTTCTCACAATCAACCAAGATGACAGATAGCTACGACGATTATTGCGATCACTGCTGTGAGCACTTTACTTCTTCTGATGTTGCAAGCCGACATTTACACGAAATGGAAGTTCATGTAAACGTGAGCTTAGGATTCGAAGACTTTATCTTGGAGATCAAACGTGATCCCGAACTTTCTGGTAAGTGACAAAGAATGAGCTGGCCAGAAGAGAAAAACAACATGCTGACAATCATTTCACATTACAGTTTTCAAATGCGCTTGGTCTTCCTGTGGTGCCGTTTTCTGCGATTCTGATACAATCAAGCGTCATGTGTTATACTGTCCTTCACGACCAGATGGTCTTGGACCAGCCAAAAGATGACAAAACGGAAACGTCCTTTGCTATCCGCAATACAACGGGACGTGATGGAACGGAGGAAGCGAGTAAGCGCATATATTCTACTAATGGATGGTGAAAGCTATTCAACTTTATTATCGTTACTTTATTATCAAGATCCGATTTAATCTTACCATGCTGTATTTACTTATGACCGCATTGTATCGAATTCGTTTTGGCGAAAAATGTGAACAGCTAAGATTCATCGATTGCCACTGATCCGTCATTCATTTTGTGTACGCAAAAATGAAAGCTTGAAAAAGAGGATGGTGTTGACGGAAGGCTTGAGGCTAGAGAATGAGTTACTCATTCCATTCAAAAGACTGCCTTTGGACCCACAGGAGCTTTATATGCAGATTAATACTCTTCCAGAGCAAATATAACATCATGTGATCATTCAATCGGAGCCGTTCGCCGTAATGGTACCTGATGACGAAATTGGATAGATATGTCATTTTCCGTGAATGTATGCTGAGCCTACCTCTGCAGGGTCATGTGAGCAAACCTTCATTCAGCCAAAAAAAGAAAAAGCTAGTTTGAGCATTGCTTGATCGTACAGCAGACCTCAGCTTCGCCGCAATCGCCACAATTACCACCACCGTTTCCGTTCGCTGTCACTTGTCTGCAGAATTGTGGCGGTACGCACAAGCTCCTGTTGATTAGAAAGATTGTAATACATATTAGCAAGAGCATATACCTGTAAGCACTGGTAGCTCTCTTTTCGAATGATACTCACTCATGATTGCAGCTACTAGCAGAACGTTGACCGCAACACACATAGTTCTGACCGGGTTTGGGAGAAGTACAATATGATGGATCCACAACGCCTTGGGTGGATGAAGTTGAGCATTGACCAGAAGGAACCCATTGAGCGGAAGTGATCTTACCGTCCTTCTTTCCAGGTCTTGGATGTACAGCAATAGCAAAGAGTAAGATCAGAATGGATAAGCAGATGTGATTGTGATGCATGATTAGAGATTAAAGGGGGCTGGTAGTTTGTCAAAAGAACCTTTTGTGTTTGAATTTCCTAACCTTTCCTTGAGGACGAAAGGCGTTGTAAAGATATTAACCGAGCTATCACCGACTGATTCCAGCTGACCCACACATAGCAAATTAGTATCGCGATTTGTTTATGAGAAATCCATTGTCGGCATGGGGATGTTTGCCTTAAGACAAATAGACGATTATGCAGGAATGAAAGGAGTTGACGTCAGAATAATGACAAATATAAGTATGTATGCGGTTCCAACTTTTGTGTTCAAGGCGCCGTACGCCCAAACACATCATCAAATGAAGCGGAAAGAGGGCTGAACAAATTTGAGACACCTACGGAATGCTTGCGTATCGAGTGATCGTTACGCTGTCCGCTTATTGGTTGGCATCTGAGTGGATATCCTGCAGAGAAGAAGGATGATGCTAGTCAACCTACTACCAACACAAGTCTAGCCTTTCACTTGATTGCCATGAGCTCCTATGGAAAAGCATATAGACATGGCTGCCAATTCTGCTAATGAACCAGCAGAGTCACAGAGCTCTTATCTTGAGATACAACATGTGCTTGCCGGGACCATCCGAAGAAAGCTTCAATGAAAAAAAGCAATATGCAAACTTCATCAGCACGTCTTCAACGCCAAGTATGATCTGATAGCGACTGACTCTTCTTCAAACCATGTCTCGGCCTCGTATTTCACATGTGGTCATATGGATTAAATCACAATCAACGGCTCGGATAAACTATCTGACAAGGAACCAAGGATGAACTTCATTCGCTTAAACAAAAGTTTACACGAGAACGAAAAGATTCTCCCCACGCTTACAATTCACACTTCGGTATGACAAAGCCACAACCTTTGAGCTCCTTCCGTTTCGATTCGCAATGTAACTTAACCGTTGGCTATGGCTGGAGGCTAGATTGAGGAGGAGGAGATATAAGATGGATCAAGATTACCCGAATTGATAAGGACCCGTTATCTTTTCCAATTATCGTTTCTCTTCCCTTGTGATTCTCAACAAAAATCTGATGGCGAAGTACAAATGTGGATTCTGCTTTGAAGAATCAGACTCAATCACTTTTTACCAAAATCATATTGGTAATCAAACGATCAGCTTTCAATTCAGAAGTGGTTGTCATGTGACGGTTGATAGAAATTCTGCCAAGCTATGTAAGTCAAGCGCCTTGGCTTCTTTTCATCGTGAGCGCTTCGCTAATTCTGTTCATTCATCAAGTCGTATGTCCTTGGCAGGATTGTATTCATCGCGATTGCAGCTCAGACGATATGATTGAACATATTCAACAATGTGATTTCAGGCCAAATGATGCACGTTAAGCATTGGAGTGGCTTTCGGATCATGAATTGGAAATAAAGAAGTGTACAACGGATCCGAAACGAAATGAATGTTACACAATTAATTCAACGGGCGCCACATTTTCTTGGCGTTCTGGAAAGAGCAAAAAGATCAGACCACTTTCAATTTTTCGAATGCAAATGAAACGTTTAGCCGAACAATTGGTGGCCAAATGAACAATTTTGATTTGAAAGCCATTATGGTGGTTGGATGGGTTGTGGGACTTTTTCTTTCTTACACGTTGCTAAGTTGATACGCCTTATGCTTGGCTGTATACTTGGCTGAATGTGTTTGACTGTATGCGCTAGAAGAAAAGTTCTTCCGCAAAATTCTCCTTGGTCGCTTTATAAATCGATTAAGCCGGTTAAACCGATGCGTTCGTTCCTTTATCGCAGTTTAACGAGAACTACCACCGTCACTTGAATCATACTCCGTGATGCCCTATCACTGTTGGTATTGTGGCGAATCCTCAGACGATTACGAATTTTATTTGCAACATCAAGTCACAGCAAGCTTCACAGTCCATTTTCGTTCAGGTGATTCCGTTACTGTGCATCGAGCGTCTGATGAAGATGGAGGATGTAAGTATGGTCAGATAAGAAAGAGAACAGGATCAAATTTTATCTCATCTTCTCTCCACTAACATTCCAACATAGACTTTGATTGCCCATTTGAAGATTGCAGGTATCGATATTGCGATATAGAAACAGCCCGCTCACATGTCGAACAATGTGACAAATGTCCACCCGACTATTCTGCTCCCAAAGCGGTTTTGGTGTAATGTTGCCTTCTGTTGAAGCAAAAGGCATCTCTTTCAAGTCAAACACAAGCTGCTGGGAGCAATCTGGCATTCAAAAAGCAACAAAATGATTCCCATCTGCCAATGAACTTTTGGACGAACCAAAAGAGTATGACCTCATCTACTATAATGCTGCTACGGATAATACAATGAAACCTTTCGTCTTTTCTCAAAATAATGAGTGATGACTAACGATGGATGGAAAACAATGGGAAGAGAGAGAGAGAGATCTTATCGCAACAGGACATGACACGGCCTGAATGCACATCCTCTTTCCAACGGAGTACGGAAGGTAGACTGTACTCGAATAAATGCCGCTTTGATCACGTCAAAGCAGATGACTAAAGCAGAGCTGTCGATCCTAACATCGGTCCGAGCCATGTACTGCATTTTGCGTGTTGGCGAAAGCTTAACAATGCACATAAAAACGAAGGTGACTGCAAAATGCCAACTCCAGCCTCAGCAGCTACACTTTCTCCATCCATTCGCAACTCCAATCAACATGTCATCCTTTCCCACTTGTCCAGGTTGCAAAATCACTTCTCCTCATCCAGGCTTCTATCAAAATCACATCGTAACACAAAAGCTTGTGGTTTGGAATGATAATGGAATACCGTTCATTCTTCATCGCAATCCCAAAACACATGGTGAGTAAAATTGCGCGCGCGCGCATTCATGATAAAAAGACAAAACAAACACACGAAATATGTACATGAAAGCTGAAAAAACAAGAGCATTCTACCAGAGTATGCTTGTCCGTTTGACTGTTGTCGTTGGTTCGATTGTGATGCTGAAAGGACAAGAGTACATGTGTCCAAATGTCAGCATCGTTTTGGAGTGCTTGGGAGCTAGGCCTGGAGAAAGGCACAATCGGTGTTTATCGTTATCATCTTTTCCGTTTGGCATTGATAATGATCGGTGATCAAAATGCCTCCATAGCCTGATCAAAATGGCAAGTGCTTCGCATCCATAGGAACCTCTGTAGTAATTGTGTCCAATTCATGAACGTATTCTTCTGGTTCGCATGTTGGACCAGTGCGACAGTAACGGAAATAATGAAAGACTGACAAAAAAGGAAAATCAATCAAAGTCAGAAAGGTGAGAAAAAGATAATTTAAGTGCTACTCACAAGACGTCTCAATGTAGCGCCAAACAATCATTACTTGACCATCAGGCTGAACTTGAAGCCGTACTGACGGTTCCACAACATAGCGAATGACACAAAAAGAATCTTGGCTCTTTTGATGGCATTTTGGGCAATTGGAAAGGTTAGCTTCGTCCATGATGTATGGTTGGCTGGAATCTTGTTAATCGTTGATGAAGAAAAAGAAGAAAGATGATCTTGCGCAAAGATGGCTTACTTTTATGGAAGAATCGCATAAAGACATCCTGCGCATTGCGTACCATTTAATGCAACCCTTTGGCCAGCGGCGACCTTTCCTTCTTCCCACGAACAACAAAGGGACAGCAAAAGGCTAATCATTCGGATAAATTTGGCGACTTGGACAGCTATACAAGAAGTGGTGGGCAAATTCCAGTGAGTCGCAGGATTGGAAATTGCATGCCTGCCATGTGCAATGGAATTCTAAAGAGAGGCAATGAATACTAGACCAGAAAATCATACTCCCTTTCAAGCCCCTACCCCCACTCACTCTTTGTTGTCATATTGCGATAGATGAAGATTGTCGGATAGTATATTCCATTATTGAAGCAATGAATCAAGATCGTCTTGTCGAATATGTGTCGCTTTTGCAGATCAAATGTATCTAATACAGAAAGGCAAGAAGAGCATAAGCGGTTTGTTGTCATAATAGAGTCTACAGAGTAGGTAGATAAACTGTGTCAATCACAGACAAGGGAAGTTATGTAACTTACTACTCCTCTAATAAAAGTGTTGTTTCTATACCCCACGTTTTCTTTGCTACAAAGGCTGTGATATGCTGTTTTTCCAAAGCAGATTTACAAGCCGATTCTCACAGGTTATTGAAAGATCTGAATGTAATGTGTGCTTTGTGAATGAATCACACAATTCAAATTACGCCAAACTCATTGTTGGATATTAACCGCAAATAGCCTTTCCCTTTATCTGATTTTGTGGCGCTGAGTGAAGTGAAACAGAAGAGGATCCACCATCATACTCGGATTTCAAATGAGATTTGCATATCTTAGCCACACCTTTCAGAGTATATGCGGATAGAAGGAATCATGATTGAACACAGCCTTCTTGGCGTTTCGTGGCTACTTCGGTCTCGGATCGCTACTTTAATCGGCTTCTGGGATACACTTTTTGTTTTTTTCAAGTTCAAATGCAAAAGATGACGTTTTGTACGGCATTTGAAGCAAGATTTAGCCGCCGGATTGCAAGTTGCGGTACTGCAAGATGGCGGATGCCAAGACAAATTGCAATTTGGGAGGCACACAATAATCGTTTCATTCGAGCCAAAGTATGTACACAAAGATCATTGGTTAAACGAGAGCGGATTCGGACCACTTTTTATGATGGAAATGCTGACAATTTCGGGGAATGGATTGATGAATATACAAAGAAAAGCCGTAACGATGACGTATGATGCCATCTTCCATAAACAAATGCTTGATTCGTGCTCAAGACCAGCTTGTTTCAACAAAGAAGGGAGAAGGCGGAGGCCGCTATTGAGTGGCTTTATGCGGCGCAGATGCGGGTTTTGCTATGTGAGCCAGCCGCATTGATGAAAGAAAGGAGAAAGACTTCTCTTGTTTGCTTTCTCTAGTATCCAATACGCATTGGTGTCTTTCGTGGACACATGCTCATCACATGCTCGGAGAACACCAAAGCATTGCATTCACGATAATAGCACAGTGGATATGGGCAAAAGAATTCTGAAGAGGGGAAATCCTGGTCAGCGACTTGTCATCCGATTCTTTTGTTGCTCACATACCTCCTGTTTGCGGCTTTCGATCAAGCTTCATGATGGATCCGTTGGGGAAGTGAATGTGAATGACTTTGTTCAGGATGTGTTGATTAACAAATTCATCGCTGAAACCGATTCGATGGCAAGTAGGACACAAATGACCGTTCATACCGATCATATTGGTAAATTCACGAAGAGGTGGGCAATATTGATGACTGGGAATGAATGTGAATCGAGTGTAAGTGAAGGGTGAAGTCATTTCAAGATAAATCAAACCTGCTGGTGAGCGTATTTATCCTTTTCATATACAGTATCCAACAACAACGTATGGAAAGATGATGGAAACAAAGAAAGCCGCGGTAATAAAATCTTTTTTGGTCAATTGTGTTGAGTCAATTCCTCAAAGCGGTGGAAATTGCCTCCGTCACCGGATTTTGACAAGAGAAGAAGCCAAAACTGCCCTTTATACTATTGCATTTTGCATTAATGCGTCATTTGTAGGATTCAAAATGTCGAATTCTCAAGAGCGCTCGGTCCGAGGAGTGTAATGGAGTGAAATGCATTAATGTTTTGCTGGAAAATGTAGCCCGTCGATTTCTTATGACTTTTATCAATCAGAAGAAACGACAACATTGAAGTTTCACAAGCTACTAGCATTCCTTGCCATCATCATCAAGGTATCAGTTCGATTGAAGAAGCGAAGTATCAAGCTCAAATAGGAGAAAGAAGTTGGCATATGTGCGGAAGTAGCCTCTACTTCGACCATTCATACAATCATGACAAGCGCCCAAAGTCTAATTTTGACGCCAACAGTATCTCTGTCGTACTTTGAAAACGGAAATAAAGTTCTTGGTCGTGGGAGAACGATTCATTAGAGTCAATTCAACATCCGATCTGACAAATACCGGACCTAAAGTTGTCGTTGCATACCAAGAAGCATTTGATGACGTGATGATTTCGAAAGCACCAGCCACAATTTCCTGCCAAGACGGTTTCGTACGTGCGAAAAATGAGCACGGATCTATCTCTATCATAACGCAAGAGCACAAGGCGTTGCAAGAGGATAAATTAGGCAAAAACAAGAGAGATGCTACATCGGGGATAGAAGAGAGTACAGAAGAATATGGCGCTTAGCATATGCTGAGTTTTTGCCTTTTGGATGGTTGTCGATTGACGGCCGGATAGGTGCGGCGCTTTTTTTGTTCTTTTTGAATTTCGAGCTGGCTTTGATCTGGTCATGATGTGATTCGGGATGCTGAAACTTGAAAAGGTTGAAAGCTTTGTTCCTCCAATTGAGCGTTGCTGAGAACGTGAATGCATTGCATATTCACTTCCTTCTCAACGTTTGCGATGTTATTGTTTGCCGCCATGCTCGCATGTTTGGATATGATACGTCATCGCTTCAGAATCACAAGTGTAAAAGAAGCAATGTTCACTGAATGGGCAAGTAAAATCTGTTTATTGGATGGAAGGAAAACAACAAGTGGCTGGATCGTAAGTCATTCTCAAACATTGATGCAACATTCTACAATCTACCTACGATGTGTGCTGGGATCACGAGAGAGGAAGACCACTTTATCATTTCGTAGTACGAAAAGATCTTGTTCGATGATATGATGATCAAAGAATTCTCGCGTTGGACTTTGCTTGAAGCAGCCTTGACAATAGACTGGGTGCGATAAAACCATGTTTGCTGCCCAAAATGAAATCGATAAATAATTGATCAGGTAGGAGGTGGCGTTGATGATGAGAAGAAGAAGGTGCAGGGGGGATAGCATTCGGAAAAAGGCCAGCATTTATATATCCGTTGTCCAATCCAATCCCATGAGGCGCAAGAAAGTACAGTCCGAGAATGTGAGCCGGGAGTTGTTTTCATGCATCACGTACACACCGGAAACGTATCACAAAGAATATGAAAGTGCCTGTTGATTACTGGAATGACACGTTCGAAAGAGGGTGGACTATATCGCCTGTTCAAAATTGTCACATTGCTATTTACGGAGGAGAATATGACGAAAAGATATTGTAATGATCTGAATCGTCAAATCCGACCATGGGCTTTCGCTTATTCGGACGACATTTTGCTGTATTTGCAATGGAGAACATGTCCTTCCATTGCCAAGGAATCGCAATCATGATGAGAACAACCTTCCCAAGGGCAGTAGAAGCCTGAGGTACATTTCAGTCACTTGAACTTTTCATGTCTTGTACAGAAATACTCACCTCCCGTTTGAGAATTGCGAACTGCAGTTTTAGATAATTTGGAGTGGAAATGAACGACGAAAGAAAGTTGAAAGAAATGACGTTGATAAAACTCAGCCGAATCGGCCATTCGATGACAAACGGGACAACGTTGATTAGAAGGTTGGAACATGATTAGCAGAGAAGTAGGTTTCAATAAGGCATAATGAGATGGTAGAAAAGAACAACCTTTGCCATACAAGATGCCATACTTTCCCTTCTAGGTGACTCACACCACCATGATGAGGAGGATGACACAAAAAGAATATTCGAGAGGTGTTGTAATGCGTGATTGTGACTTTAACCAAAACAACTTTCCGTGTCGTCTCGCCTCCGACAAACCTCTCTCCGCTGGGGAAGTCCCTATCTTCCTACGAGTATCGCTCTATTCTGTTCCGAATACAATAGATAGCATGGGTGTATATGTGAAATTTCAATTGTACTGTACAAATTTTCAATCAAATCCATGCCCACTGCGCTCCTTCTTACGTTTGTTGCCTTTGTGGTGTTTCTTGCCTGATGGGACTACTGTAGGTTGGGCACCGGGTCTACCTGTGCTCACTACCTGTGTACCATCATCATTCACCTTGCCACGCAATGCTGATCCCGGTAACTGTCTACGACCCATAGTCACCATCCCACTTCCGGTCGTTCCAAAGAAAGCAGCATCTAATGCTTTCGATTTACGACCTGCCGTGCTTGACTTGTTGGCGGATGCAATATCACCTGAGCTTTTTGCTGAATCAGGGAAGAATCTGCCGTTCAGTTTGGAAAAGTCTGTTGGCGGTGCCAGCTTTCTACCTGAGAGCAATTCTCTGGCATGTGCTCTTTGAGATGCATTGAATGCGTCAGCATCTACACCTGGCGGTGGATGTGCAAACAATAGCTTGGCATTGACATAATCTTTGAACACATATCGTGCTGCTCTTGATTCATCAGGGTTACCTTGACCTTGACGAGCGAAACCACGGGCTATGGCATATGCAGTCAACACTTCCAGACCGGTAGGCTGTCCAGATCCTCCTTCTTCTTCGTGCTGGATAGGAATGCGGAATCCGTAAGTTCCTTCAATGATATCCTTTGGAATTCTTGCTGCTAACAGATCAGCAGGCGCAGTGTATTCTCTCAATTGATCAATCGGTAGAACACCATCCAAGACCAATTCTGCTGAAGTAATTGCGAACACTGGCAACACCAAACCCGGACAATCGACCAATGTAAGATTATCGCTCAATTTGATCGTTTGGAAATGTTTTGTTTTACCGGGTGTGCTACTGACGGACACCTTCTTGGATTTGGCCAAAGCGTTGATCGTACTACTCTTACCCACGTTTGGGAAACCGATGAAACTGACACGATGCTCGTCTACGCCGAAGTCTTCCAATGGTGGCATCGTTGCAACGATCAATTCTTCCAATTCCAGAATGTTCAGCACATGGGCAGGATCACGAGCAGTCACAGATGGCTTAGATGATCCCAGAGAAGCTTGACCTGCAGTGGTAGACATGGCAGCATCAACGCTATCATTCTGTCCTGCTTCACGTTCTTCGCGTAGCATACGTTGAATCTTTTCTCTGTTGGCCAAGAGAATGTGTTCTGCCGCCTCTTCTCCAACGAGCGGCTTGGTATCACGAGCTCCAAGGGTCACTGCTGCTGCTCTTTTTCTGGCCTCGCGGACTTCATCATCTTCCTCCTCATCGTCATCTTCTTCATCCTCCTCTCCACTTTGTGCATCAAGAGCTTCCAATGCTTCTGCTTCCGCTCTAGCAGCTTGTAGAGCAGCAGCATTAGCGGCACTGAAGAAGGCAAACTGGATCCCCTTTTCAGTAAAATACCGAGCCCACTCTTGTCTCTGGCCTTCATCCAATAGATCTGCTTTATTCAGCAATAATAGATTCCGCCTCTTCCCTGATGAAAACGTTGCGTCCTCTCCTGCCTGTCCTAGGCGGACCTCCAATTCTTCCACATACTTTTCCAAATCTTCACTTCTGAAACGAAGAGGGTTTCGTGCATCAACGATTTGAATGATCAATTGACCTCGCTCAACCACACGCCACAGCTGCTTCCACACTTCCAAATTTCTCTCAAACGGTGTCAAGATGAAGTTGTTTGCCTCTGCCAATTCGGCCAAGTTTCTTCTCCAATCCAGGAACGCATCTGCTTCCAGTCTATGTAGCTGTTCGGGGGTCGTGCTGCTGTTCCATGCAGGTCTTCTGGGGATACGCAGCCTTTGTTTGTTCTCATTCTGTCTACGAACTGTTTCATCTGCCTCTTGCTGAGTTGGTAAGAGCGGATTCTTTCCCCTTTTAGCTCCCGTCATTTGATCTGGTGCAGATACGACAGTCACATTTCTTCTCTCTGCTGTGAAATTTTGATCTGCCAATTGGGCTGTACTCAAAAATTCTTCCAAATCGGTTTGTTGTGTGATTGAACGTAAACCAACACCGCCTGTTGAAGGATTGATCAAATCTGTTGTATGATAAGATGAATTGCTCCGATTTTGAGCATCTTTTGCTTTTCGATTGATCATTGCTCGGCCTAAGCCGGCATCTTTCTTTGACGTCGGCAAAGGCATCTTGATTAGAAACCCTTGACTGATGATTGTGAGAAGTCAAGGCAATCCTTAAAAATTTACGCTAAAGTGGAGAACTTCTCAAGCAAAAAAAAACCTTGCCCACGTGAATAAAATAATTTTGGATTCTTACGCGCCACTTTTCATTTAAGGTTTTTATTAGAATACCATCATAGCCTTTCCAAGATGATGTTGAAAGGGGATGCGGCAATGCTCAAGCTGATGACATTAATCAATGTCTCAGCAGCAAAGCCTAACAAACGAAAGCATGCATTTGAGAAATCATTCGCACCAGCCAAAAAGGGTAAAGGTGTTGCAAAATTATCTTTGAATGCACTCTCACATGGTCATGCATCCTTGGCAGAAAGAACACAAGTGGATGAAGATGAGGTGGATGACTCAATCATTGCTGAAGGAAGTCAGAAAGCAGAGAACTCTCTACAAGCTGAAGAACTATCGGATGACGAAGAAGCATCTGCCGGTCCTAGCAAACCCACTTCAGCTGGAGATGCTTTCCACACTCACTTTGCTTCGGAAGGCGAAAATGCATTAGCACCATTAGCGAAAGCAATCGTCGGAGAAGAGGGAAAGAAGGCAAGCGACATTGAGTGGGAATCATCATCGTCTAATCTACCTGGACTAGGTCACGCCGCCATAAATAGAGTAAAGGGTTTCAAAGTACCACAAGTAGAGGCAGCAAAACCACACGCATCGGTCTTGGAAGCCTTCAAAGCACACGGGTCGACTCTGGAAGCACAGGCTGCTCTTGTCAATCTGCTAGGATCCTATCAAGATGTGATTGATACACATGTGGACTTGTATCAACATGACCATACGAGAAGAGCGATCGCATTACACGCCATCAGTCATGTTGTCAAAACGAGAAGAAGGGTTTTACGTAACAATGATCGATTGGCAAAAGCAGCAACCACAGGTCATGCGGTCGAAGCTGACGTGCGTGATCAAGGTTTCACAAGACCGAAGGTATTGATCCTTTTGCCTCTGCGGAACAGTGCATTAGCATGGATGAACTACCTTTCCAAACTTTCAACTTGCTCGCAAATCGAGAATGCCGCACGATTCAAGGCAGACTTCACACTACCAGAAGGAACTGTGGACAAACTGGCACAGCCTGAGACACAGGCCAAGTATCCCGCCGATCACATCGAAACCTTCAAAGGAAATATTGATGACAGCTTCCGCATCGGTGCAAAGATGACACGCAAGAGTTGGAAGATGTACAGTCAATTTTACGATAGCGATGTCATTCTGGCCAGTCCTTTAGGTCTTCGATTGGCTATTGAGAAGGATCACGATAGCGACTTCTTGTCTTCCATCGAGGTCATGGTGATCGATCAAGCTGATGTGATGTCCATGCAAAATCTGGAACATCTTGAATTCGTTTTGAACCATGTGAACAAGATCCCAAAGGAGGCCCATGATGCTGATTTCTCGCGTATCAAACAGTGGTATTTGGATGGATTGGCACCTTATCTCCGCCAGACAGTGATGCTGTCTTCGTTCGACTCGCCAGAATTGCGCAAGCTGTCACGTAATTCGTTACTCAATGTAGCGGGCAAAGTGCAACTTACACAATCCAATTCAGCAGGTGTGTTGTCGCAAGTACGTAGTGGTATCCGACAAACATTCCAACGATTCCCATGCAACAACGTCCAATTAGAGTCCAAGCTGCGGCTGGAACTCTTTTTGACAAAGACTTTGCCAACATTACAAAAGAGTGCATTGAGTAGCAGTCGTACGTTGATCTTTGTGCCATCTTATCTGGACTTTGTGCAGTTGCAGGAAGCACTTCGTACACAACATCCAGAGATCTTTGCAGTGACGGCCATGTTGACTGAATACAGTGAAGGACCTGAAATTGCACGAGCAAGAGCGCGATTCATTACGGAGAAGAAGAAGTTCTTGATCGTTACTGAACGTTTCATGTTTTACAGACGCTACATTTTGCGAGGTGCACGAACAATCGTTTGGTATGGATTGCCGGACCACGGCCATTATTACTCGGAGATGCTTGAGAACGTATTCAAGCCGGCAGATAAAGCAAAAAAGAACGGCAAAGTCAATCAGAATGATGAAGAAGAGACAGTTGACGCTGGAGACATCAGCGTGACTGGTATTTACAGTCAATATGACTTTTTGAAGCTGGAGAGAATTGTAGGAACAGATTTGGCTCGCCGTATGGTACAGGAGGAGAAGAGCTTATGGAGATTTGCTTAACAGTCATACCTTGTATTATAGCATGCATGAATAATATTGTACAAATGAAGATATCTACATGTGATCGTAGTGAGAAACCTAATTGCGTCCACCATAACCGTTGGGAATACGTGGCTTGCGGGAAGTACTGCTGGTAGTCTTTTTGCCAGCTGCCTTGTCACGTCGCTTTTGTGCACGGAGTTCCTTCTTTCCGCGAGAGTCGACCATGCGGTAACGACCTTTGACACCCTTTGGTCTACCTTTACCTTTGTTCGAGCCTCCTGCAACAACGACTTGAATCTTGCGTTCTTTTTGTTTGGCACCAGCTTTACGTAAGACTTTGTCGATATTGGCAGCTTTTTCACGTTCAGAAATATCAACATTGTCTGAAATTCCTTCAGCTTTCTTACGTGCACTTTCCAATTGTTTCATAGCACGCATCTTTTTGCGTGCTTTTGCTTCGGCCACCTTTTTGATTGGTCGAGCATCTAATGCACGTTGACGAGCAGCCAAAGCTTGAACAGCTTCTTTTGTGACGGGAATGTTTGGTTTGTAGTGGTGTTGTTCATCGTCCAAGAACCATTGAGGGAGATCGCTCTTGTCAACGAAGTTTTGTTTTGTGAAACCGTCGTCGATCAAATCAGACTTGCTCTTTTCTCGATTGACCAACTGAGATGCAAGAGAGATTGCTTCGGCAGTAGTCAAACCTTTCTCTTGAATCTTCTTTTGCTTAATCACATCTTGATCTTCGTCCTCGAAGCGCCATTGATCCTCATTTTCAGCATCTGTTGGTGGGCTGTCTGTGCCACTTGCTTCGTCTTCTGACATTTCAACATCTTCACCTTCTTCGCTAACATCAGATTCTTCTTCCTCTTCCTCATCGTCCTCTTCGTCTTCCTCTTCCTCGTCATCATCTTCATCATCTGCATCAAGCCCTTGCATGCCCTTGAAGAGAGGATTGTCAAACCAGATTGCTGCTTCTCGGCTCTGTCTGGCATCTTTGTCTTTTCCGCTTTCAAGACTCTGCACCAAATTCTCAACATCTCCTTCATCATCCTCCATTTGCACATCATGATCTTCGAAGTTTGGACCTTGACCGCGATCTAAAGCTGCTTCTCTAGCAGCACGTCTTGCCTCTTCTCTTTCCTCCTCTTCTTCACGTTCCTCTGCATCGTCTTCTTCGTCATCAGTGTCATATGTCTCTTCAACCTCTTTGCGTTTGTTGAACAGTTCATATCCACCTTCTTCACTCTCTTCTCCTTCATCCTCTTCGTCTTTGTCTTTTGTAAATCCGTACCATTCATCATTGTGCTCATTCTTCTTTCTTGCTTCTCGCGCTCTGTGTTTGGCGTCACGCTCAGAAACCTTGTGTTGGTACTCTTCGTACATGCCGTCCATTTCAGCTTCTAGTTGGCGCTTCCTTCTTTCTTCAGCTTCCAAGTCGTCCTCCTCTGACTCTTCTCCTTCACTTTGCTCGCTTTCACTCGAACCAGCCTCCTCTCCTGCTGCGACACGTTTATGTGCACCACCATTGACCAAATCAAAGAACTCTTCGCCTCCATGCAGAGCTTCATCTTGCACGTCCATACCAATGTCCATAGGTGTAGTCATTGACAATTGCATCTTGAGAACTTTCTTTTGTCTGGCTTCATTTCGCCTTCTACGCTCTTTGCGACTCCTTTTGTCTTTTTCGGATTGTAGACGTTCGAGTTCCTGATCGATGGCTTCGTCTTCGTCCATTTCAGTGACTTCGACCTTTTCTTTACCCTCCTCTTCTTCTTTCGAGGGATGATTGGCGGGAACCTCTATTCCCATATCCTCCCGCCATATCTTACGCCACTTTAGCAGATTACGGAAATCTTTCTTTCCCAATACCTTCAAATCGGAACAGCATGCTTTGATGTTGTCATCCGTTTTTGTGGGATCAGCAAATGGCTTGTCTTCATCTCTCTTGAACTGGATCTCGTTGAATGTACCAAGCAATGATATAGGGTCTTGTGATTCGATAAAGTCTTTTGCGCCTATCGCTTTGAATAAGATTGTTTCTCCTTCATCGTAACCTTCACGCTTTCTTCTTTTCTTTTCGGGCTCAAACACATTGGCCACTGCATTACTAGCGATTTTGATAGACTGAGCTGAGTTTTTGCCATCTACTGTGGATTGGATCAGTGCAGTGTCAGCCACTGGATCGAGATCTTTGAAAACGTGTCTTGGATCCAAGAACTTTGGATCGATACGTTTCGGTGCTTTGAATTCTTGACAAACGACGAAGATTTCGGCAGACACATTACGTGATGATGGTGGCTTGGTAGCTTCAACCTTTTTGAAAAGCTGATTGAAGACCCACAAGAGATTGTTGTAATCTTTTGATCTGAAAACTTTGGTGACAAATGTACCTCCGGGAGCCAAGAATTCTACAGCCAATTTGAGAGATTGCAATACCAATTCGGATTGTGCATATGCATCTTGCACCCATGCAGTACCAACATTGGGTGCACCATCGTGCAAGACAGCATCTGCTTTCCAATCCTTCAGCTCTGCTCGAAGTTGATCACGACATTTGTAACTGTTAATGTCCTCTGCGAAAGTGATACAGCGAGGGATAGGTTTGATAGGAACCAAATCCACACCAACGATCAAACTATTCGGGGGCATCTGTTTGCTTGCAACTTGCAGCCAACCACCAGGAGCGGCACACAAATCGATCACACATCTTGCTGATTCCAAAAATCCAAACTTTTTGTTCAATTGTACCAATTTGAATGCGGCACGAGAACGGAAACCTTGTTGTTTGGCCAAGTGGTAGAACTTATCCAAACGACCTTTAGCGGTCTTTTTCTCGTGCTTCTTCGGCATCTTTGCGAGATATACCGATGAAGAGAGAGGGAGATGGTGATGGCGAGGGTTGTGCAATTCAAGAAGAATGAATGCAAATCTCACTGCGCTCCTCGCCTGCCCTCCTGCACCCGCTTAAAATTCATCCACACTTTCCAGAAAAATTTTAGAAAAATCAAAAAATGGCTTACTAAGCAACTCTCGCCGCACGCGTGGATCTCTTTCTAGCGCCTGGGACTAAAGCATGCGGCTCATCTGCCTGCCTCAAGAAAGCGCGAAGAATTGCATTTTTGCGCAGCGCGCCCAACGCACGACAATTGATTTCTTCTCAAGGTTTAACTTTTTCATCTTGATCACATCGACTATACAAAAATGCCAGAGGCAATCGCAAACGGGTCCAATGGACCGCACATCGACATAGATGATGCAGATATCGACTTTTCAGATATTGAAAACAAATACGCCGTCAGATTCGATGAAGGTTTGGACGATGTTGTAGTGATTGATAACGTTCCCGTGGTTGGAAAAGAACGTGAACAAAAATTGCTTGAGACAATTGTCAAGAGATTCAAGAGTCATGCCGGTATCGACATCGAAGTGGAAAACTTCCACGTTCCATACGGAGACGACGGACAGACCAAAGGATACATCTTTTTGGAATTGTCTAATCCAGAAGATGCAAACCAAGCTTTGCGTGCAATGGACGGATATCCATTCGACAAACGTCATAGATTCGCAGTAAACAGATTCACAGATGTCGAAAAACTTGCAAACATGAGCGAAGAATATCAAGAGCCAGCAGAGGAAGAATACAAAGATCGCGAACACTTGCGTTCTTGGTTGACAGATCACAACGGACGTGATCAAGTGGTCATGTGTCGTGCCGATGATGTCTCTGTTGCATGGCATAACAGGACAGCAAACCCTGAGCCAGTGCACACTCGTGAAAGATGGACAGAATCCTACGTTCAATGGACACCACAAGGAACATTCTTGGCAACATTACACAGACAAGGTGTTGCTCTTTGGGGCGGACCATCTTTTGAAAGATTTATGCGTTACTCTCACCCGAACGTTCGCTTGGTTGACTTCTCACCTAATGAGAAGTACATGGTCACATGGGCTCCTGACCCAATCGTTGTTCCAGACAATGCACCTACAGGACCACAATTCTTTGGACCTGAAGATGAAGGAAATCGTGTTGCTGTTTGGGAAGTAAGAACGGGTCACCTATTGCGTACATTCCCAGTTGTTCAAGAGAACGAGCAAGGTGTGGTCAAGGGCTTCTCATGGCCAATGCTAAAATGGAGTGGTGATGACAAATACTGTGCTCGAGTGAACCCAGGTAAGAGCGTCAGTGTATATGAATTGCCTAGTATGAGCATGTTGGACAAGAACAGTATCAAGATCGAAGGTGTGGTTGACTTTGAATGGTGCCCTCTTGGAGATAAGGATCGCGATCTGATAGAAGCATGGGGCGATGGTAGTAACCCACCAAAGGGAGCAAAGAAGCCACGTGAGAACATGATTGCTTTCTGGGTTCCCGAAGTTGCCAACCAGCCTGCTCGTGCTACTGTGATGAGCATCCCTAGTCGTGAAATCGCTAGAAGCAAGAACCTATTCAACGTTTCCGACTGTAAACTACACTGGCACCCTCAAGGAGACTACTTGTGTGTCAAGGTCGACAGACATACCAAGACCAAGAAGAGCTTGTTCTGCAACTTTGAATTGTTCAGAATGCGCGAGAAGGATTACCCAGTCGAAGTTGTCGAACTCAAAGACCCCGTCACAGCATTTGCATGGGAGCCAAATGGAAGCCACTTCGTTGTCTTGTCCACAAATGACCCTAACTTTGGCAATGCACCCCCAGGTGTGACCATCAAGACCCAACTCAATTTCTTCCACTTGGATGCAAAGAAGGGCGATTTCCGTCTTGCCAAGGCTATTGACAACAAGACTGCCAACACTGTCTTCTGGTCACCCCGTGGAAGACATGTTGTTGTTGCAACGATGGGATCATCACAAAAGTGCGATTTGGAGTGGTACGACGTTGACTTCAGCCACGAGATTCGTCAAGGTAGTATCTCTGAGAACCCCGCAGATGACATCAAACAGATTGGAGCAGGAGAACATTACGGTATCACAGATCTAGAATGGGATCCATCCGGTCGTTTCGTTGCCACCAGTGCAAGTGTTTGGAGACACTCCCTTGAAAATGGTTATGCAATCTGGGACTTCAAGGGTACCGAGCTGCAAAAGGTGGTTGTTGACAGATTCAAGCAAATTCTATGGCGTCCAAGACCACGAACATTGCTGACTAAGGATGACCAAAAGCGTGTTCGTCGTAACTTACGTGAAGTTGGAAGAGCGTTCGACGAAGAAGATTTGGCATTGGAATCTCAATTGGCTTTACAACACAAAGAAGTATACATGCGTGCATTGGAAGAATGGCGTGCATGGCGTCAAAGATGCAAGGCAGATTTGGAAGAAGAAAGAATTGCACTTGGAAAAGAAGAGATAGTTGCGCCTCACGTTCTGGAAGCAGAAGCGACCGAAACGATCGAAGAGTGGCAAGAGACAATCTTGGAAGAGACAGAAGAGATCTTGGATTAAAAGTGTTTGGCTTGAGTGTGCCACTATGTATCAATTTGTCCCCTTTCCACCTAAAATTATCATGTGCTTTATCACAGACTTGACGAGTAGACCGGCTGAGTGAAAGAGGGTTGTCGGAGTAGACCTTGACTGGCGAATGTGTCATCAACTTAACGGAGAATGAATCCCATAATCCGACAAATGGACCTTAGCGGCCACGTTTCATGGGCGTAAAATAAAAAGAAGGAGGAAGTGGCGGACCGTCGAGTGAGTGGGGGGTGGGGTCATTTGGAGGATGGTAAAGCCGGTAGAAGCCGACGATTATTTTGGAGAGGAGGGGAACCTTTTTCTTAACAAGCAAACGAACGACTGTAAGACTTTCTTTCCGTTATGCGAATGCGGGGGAAAGAGTGATTCGATTGCAAATTGGGCTGAAGGAAAGTGACAAACTAATAAAATTGTGGGGAAAATTGACAAATAGGATCCGTGTCTGAGTGGCAAAAATACCTTAGGTGCACTATTACCCGCCAAAAGAGTGAATGTCAAATACTCAACACTAAAAAGGGTACCAATAACGGTCCGGAATTTCCTTCTTGATCAACAACAGTGATCTAGGTATGCTAGGAAAGATATATTTTCGTACAAACCCAGACCATGATCTCCTTTTCTCCGTCATCCACTTCTTTTTCTCTTCTTTTGACAAATATCTATGTTCGTCACGATGACAGTTTACACGTGTCCCGCTTGTGGTCGTGGTAGCAATTCACAATACTTTTATCAACGTCATGTGGGCGAGAGAGTGATTTTAGTCATGGATGCAAGTGGCAAACTACATCATGTTTCCCGAAACACCTTCGTTGGAGAGACGGAAGGTGAGTATTGCAAAATTCTTTGTGCAATTCGACTTCTGGTCCTGAATCCGTTCATCATTGCTTACTTTCAGACTTTGAATGCATCTGGAAAGGTTGCTATTACCGTGACTGTGATGCTGAAGTTATCAAAGACCATATCAACACTGGCTGTTCACACCGTGGAACTTTGAAGAGCGGATTGTGAACAACAGCGCATACTATTCTTCATCAACCTTTCAGCGTATTCATTTGTTTGTTTTGCTGTTCCAATCATCTGTCATGTATAATGCAAATCGAGTCCCTGGAGTGACTTTTACATATCCGCTTGCGAATGTTTGTGTATGACCTCTGACAGAACCAGCCACAAACACGTAACTTTGACAGGTGACGCATTCCGCCTGTAGGCGGAGAACGGAATATTGTACCGCATGAGATAGCCATGGCGGCCGAATAGACGCATACATCCAACTTGGTGGAACAAGCAATCGTCATAGCTTTCAAATAACCTTACAGATAAGGTCATTCATAGTGTTATTGTCGATCACCATAATCTTCTCTTAACCATAACAAGGTTAATTTCGAATCCAGCAACTCGAATCATCCCTATTTGTGATGCCGTTCCTTTGTCGCTCCTGTCAACGTGTTGGGACAGATCAAGAATTCTACTGTCATCATATTGCCGATCGTCAAATCACCGTTCATCCCTTGGATGGAAGTAAGCCTTTTGAACTTCATCGTAATCGTACGACCGGAGGTGAGTGATTGTAAAGAAAGCGTGCTCATACATGTACTGATGTATCCCCCTACCAGACTTTCATTGCATTTGGTATCCATGTCGTTATCGTGACTGCGATTCGTTCTTGTTCAAGCGTCATGTGGCATTGACATGCTCTTACAACAAGGCACATGCCAGCAACAACAATCGCTGAATGATCTTTGGAGATGCAAGAACGGTGTAGTGGTAAGAGGAAGGCTGTACAACGTGTCATTCCATTTTCGGATGGAAAAAAAGATTAATCGAGCCAGCCTTCCTTCCTTGCCGACTGGGAAGGAAATCCATCTTCCTTCTCTGTCACAAGCCACAGAGTAAGTGTGCGGTGTGTCAAAAGCTTTGATTGTTAATTAAAAGAGAGAGAATATATGAAGTTTAAAGAGCCTCTTGAAAAGGAGGGGGTTTTGTCTTTGGCCTGACTGTTATTGTACGCGTAAACAAAAGATGGCCAATGAAGTGGCCAAATATCGTTTTCCGGCGTTCTAGGCCGCATTCGCCATTGCCGAAGTCACAGCAAAGGCATCAAGACTGAGAGGAAGAAAGGGAAGATGAGAAAGAGATTGATTGAGTGTACATTCACTCTACTTAAGGGTGTCTTATCTCGACGCCATTTCTAACTAGGTTGCATAAATGCAAGCGGTATCATTATTCACTTTTGTCACAAAAACATTTTATGCGGAACACGATTAGATCCCTGACACACAAACATACACTCAATATCAGTGCAAACTTGCTTTCCGACTTTGAGTGCAAAAATCAAGTAAAAGATACAACGAACAAAATGAAACAATCTCTTTCCTTTACCTTGACTCAGCATCATCTTTTGATTCCATGGCAGCGACATCAGTTCTTCTTTCTTTTCTCCTATTCCCATCTCAACAACCCACATTGACAAAAGAAAGAAGTTCTACTTGCATGGCTCAATTTTCAACACTTGAAAGTCACTTAAATTCACCATTCAAAATACATTGTTTTGCATGCAAAGAGCCAGTTGAGAATCAAGATTTTCATCAACATCATATTCTTGATCAAGCTGTCATCTTTTACGATCAGAATGATATCAAAGAACACATTTGTATCTTACGCAATTGTCTCACTTGCGGTGAGTAGGATCAGAGACAAAATAAGACGATCGACACTGACAGCCATCATTCTTTCATCACAGATTTTCCATGTCCACATAAAGGTTGTCCACATCGCTTCTGTGATTCTGAAGCGCTTAAAGAGCATGTTATGGACTGCCAGCACAAGATTATTTCCCTCCAACCTATTTCAAGCCAAGCAGTGAACCCAAGCAACAAAGCCATGATAACCAAGCTGTAATATACGGAAAACAGCATTTCACAGGATTGAACTCTGGCTGGCTGGCTGATTGGCTGGCAGGCATGATCCGGTGACTTCGATGAACGGATATTATCCGCATTAATATAGTATTATCCACTCCTGCTATCCGTTCAACAGCTATCCGAAAAACAACAACAACTCCCCTTTCGCCGCAGCTGGTAGGCGCGCGGATTTACCTTTTGTGCAATTATGTGTTGGTTGCCATGCGGAATCGGAAAGCTGAAACAGTCAGCTTATCAACAAATTCAGCCTATTCGGCTCTGATTAACATCTCAAAATGTTGGTAGTGGATCTATCAACGAAACTTGTATTTTGGTTTGTTTATTTTATTGTCACGACTATGCCAAACAAATAAACACCTTTTTTCGCCACTTTCTCTCGCGATCTCTATTTGGGCATCATAATGCGTCACCGGTCTTTGTCTCTTTGATCTCAACTCCCTTTACCATTCTGCCTGGCTGTAGATTGCGTCACTTGTGATTTGGGGAAAATCTTTTATAAGCATGTTGTACATTATCTTATATACACGCTCAAGCTAATGACACCGTTTTCAATTTCACACTCATTGCTCTCGCCATCCGAATGCGAAAATGGTTAGTTGATGCTGCAAAAGCTGATATATTGATACAATGAACCATAAAGTACAAGCTATTCTATCCTACGACTGACTGTTCGCCCATTGCACAAGATGAATGCCCAATGGCTCAACCCTCGTCTTACTCTTTGCTGCTTCAACGATCGTTTGTGGAAACAAAGTGCACTTCACTCTCATGAAATCCGTCTTGGCAGTTTGAGCTGCTTTCTTTGCAGCAGAAGCAGCGGCGGCGGTTGTTGTGGATGCCGTCAAAGATAGCGAATTTAAAATACTCTCCGGCTGAAAGAGCTCTAACGACAACAACGTTCGGAATGCCATCATCACCCTCTTGCGATCTGATAATCCACACCATTGAACGCTCAAACTACCTGAGCCCATCCCTTGTCGTCGGCTCGGCGAAGCTTGATCGCTCTCGTATCTGCGTATATCAACAACAGCCGTACCGGCACCAATCCGATCTCGTTCAACACGAGAAACAAACTGTTGAACCTCTTCAAAGCACATTGCAAAATTGAATATCTCGCAATCTTTGCTCAACAATTGCTTTGCAGCAATCAACAGCGCAAATTCTGGTGTCGTTAATTCGTCCAGCATGGTTTGTCGAGGTGCCTTCGCTTTACGTACTTCTTCAAGCAATGCAGCATAAAGAGAAGGCTGTGCAGTAGAGGTTGATGCCACAATAGGATACAAGACTCGATACAAACTTCGAATGTCATTGCCCATACTTTCCCAAGCGCTGAGCAATTGGTTCACTTCGGCGTCCTTTCCGATCAACTGCAGTTCGTCTTGCACTGCCTTGTTGAATTGCATTGCTTCTTTCGACTGAACGCTCACCTGGCCCAATGTCAATGTACGCTGCATGACAGTCGGCCACTTTTCATTCGCCCATACATTGATGATTCGCCCACTGAATCTGCTTCGAACACGCTTCTCCAACAAATCTGTCGTATCAAGACGAGAGGTTGCACCGATAACGCATAGACCTGGTGTGTAGGACCCAGCCTGGACAGCATCTAAGAGGACGTACAGCAACGCTTGTCTCGGTCTTGTGGTATACAGGTCAAACGATGAGAGCACGATCACGAGAGGAAGGCTTGATTTGCTCTTTGCTTGTTCAGAAGACAGCAATGTCAAGATTGTGCTCGTTGTGTTTGCTAGTGATGACAAGATTGCATTCTGCAAGGCTGCCGCTTCCTCATCCTCAGTCGCCTCTGTGCCATTGGCGCCATCTACCGGTCCTACCGCGCCAAAATTTTCTTCCAACTCCTCCTCCTCTTCCTCAAGACCATCATCTCCTTCCAGATCTAGATCAAGACCTCCGTCTTCTCCTTCTTTGGGTAATCTGATCGCACCTGCCTGAATGAGCTGTCGTGCCAACTCACGAAGAGACAGTCTATCCGTAGGCTGCATTGCTGCGTCCAAATGCACGACATGAAATGATCGTTCCTTCTGCTTGCTTTTGAATGATCGCAAGACTGATTCCAACAGCATATGTTTGCCTGTTCCCGGTGTACCAACCAGTAAAGCGCTATTTCCTTCACCTTTGATTGTTCCTCCAATCGTCGAATGCAGGGTTCTCCATTGTTCTTCTAGTCCGATACATTCGCTGCCATCGAATTTACCTCTCTCATCCTTGCCTGCCGGTGGAAGCTGTCCTGATAGAACGGATAGCATATATGCTCGTGCTTTAGTGAAACACTTCTCTTTGACCTGTGATGGTAGTTCTTGCAGTGGCGAGTTGACCTTGATTGGCGCCAAAGCTGCTTTTTTCGTTTGTCTATTCCGCGCTGGTAAGGGAGCAATCTCTAATTCAGGCTCGTCAAAGATGGGTGAAGATGGCCTTCTTGATGCATTTGAGGGACCAGCTTGTGCTTCGATATCGAGCTCATCATCGCCATTCTGCTGAGCTGCTTTCGCTCTCTTCCCTTTTGGTGTATGCTCTAAATCTTCTTCCTCAGCCGATGAAAGGTCCTCATCCGAAAGAACACTTTGTCGATTGGAATCTAGATCGGTAGATGCTCTGGCAGAATACCTGCGTCTCTTGGGTGCAACCAACAATGATCCATCAGCTGCCACTGGGGCCTTTCGAGTGCGTTTCGAGCGCATGTCTGTGATCGCAATCTGCGGCGCTGATCGGTCTTGAGAAAGTGGGCTGATTGATAGGAAGAAGGAAAAGAATGGCAACCATTTTCCAAGAGCAACACTTTCCTAGGTTGGCTGGTGCGAGATTTGCTACGCGTGTAATGTATGTGGTTTGGTTCATGCCGGCTAAAGTCAACGGGTCAAAAATATATTAATGGGTGCTTGTTTGCTTGTACGCACGCATGCACAAAAAGACCAACACTTTTACTCGAATTGCGAAATCGGGCAGCAGAAAATGAGTATGAAAGTGCAAACCCTCACCCTTCTCCGCAAGATAGGCTTTTTATTTGGTGTACATTCGGACAATTAAGCTATTCTATGTGTGAATGTGCATACATCAGAAATTAAATCACTTCTTCTTCCCCACGACCAAAGCTTCTTCTTCTTCTTCCTTTTTGCCACCTGACTCCAAAAGCCTTTAGCACTTCTCTGTACGAGCGAGGCTGCAACAAATTGTGTTTGCAGATCTGAGGTATGTTATAACGCACAATCTTTTTATCATTATACCATCCCCATCAATGCAGGCCACCTCCAAAGATGCAAATCCTCAGCAATGGAAAAATGAATTCCAATATGCCAGCTCTCGTCTACTTCATAAGCTTTGTGAGTTATTGTACACCACAACAGAGGATGGAGTACGAACGGCAACTCACAAGCTCACCAAGAAAACAAGAAATGGAGATCATCCTTCTGATGCAGATGTGCTCAAAATTATCATTGAAGAAGTCGAAAAGTCATGCACTTCTCTTTTTCAGTCCGAGCGAATTCGAGAAGCAAGGAAGATGGCATTACTTTTCACAGAGCAGCCAGACGCTCATAACGTACAGCCATTCACACCATTGATGCACATTTTTGTTAAGGCATCTTCGCTAGATCGAGAATATCACAAACGAACAATCTTTATCTGCGTGGAAATATACAATCTTTATCATGACGCAATCTATGATGCTTGCGAGGCAAAAGCAGCTTTGATTATTGATGAATCTTCCAATTTGTATAGAGCCATCAGAAGTCTAACAAAGGTTATCACGCAAGCATGTCTAGAAGTTGAGATTGATTCGCTGGATCTAGTGAAAAGAGCTTGCAATCTCAGCAATTCTCCTTTTGGCATCAGATCTTCAGAAGAAAGCTCAGTTCCTTCGTCTTCTCGAAGAAGTACGAGCGAAAACATGGACGAGAGATCATCACCGATCACTGAGCAATCCTTGCCAGACCTTGATAGCGATTCGCGTTCTGAATCCACACAATCCTCCATCGCCTGGAAGAAGCTCAATGGCCATGCAGAGATGACCACGAGTAAGGACATAACACCTGCAACGTACGCTGAAGGTAGCAAATCAAATACTTTAGGGCGAACACCGAAAGATCCAGTGGTGATCAGCGATAGCGAAGACGAAGAAGCCCAAAAGACTGTCGATGACACTGCCATGCACTACCGCAGTGAGCCAGAGGAGGTGACTGAGAATTCAATGGAGAGTAGAGAATGCATAAACGATGTGATCAAATCGATGGAGAAGCAGGTCTTAGAAGAAGACAACCATAGAGGAGCTCGGAAAGGCAAAGCCAAGGCGAAAGATTGTGATGACGAAGATTACGACTTCCTCATTGAACTGCGCAAGGATACGGGTGACCATTCGAGTGATTCCGATTACGCTGAACCAAAAGCAGGAAAGAAACGAAAAAAGCGATACAAGAAAGCATTGGCTAGGATAAGGAAAAAATACCAATTTGATCTGGGCAAGCCCGATTTGAAAGCTTTAGAAATCGATTACGAACAAGTTATCGAACGTGCATTGACAATCGTAAAGTCAAAGATCGACCAATACTCTCCTCCAATTCAAACCTTGTTGCAAATACGGTCTCGCGAAAGCATTGTAGAGCAAATCAAAAACGGCATATTGACGGGAGCAGTGGGCCTACTCCAATCCTTTGCGAATGGTGAAATGGTATCATTTGAAAGCTTTCGAATTTTTCCTTCCCTCTTCCCGGATAATGATCTTCCTGTGGTAATGCTCACGTTGACAAATTGGGACAGCCCAACTTCAAGCACGAACAGTAACGATATCGCCAGATTTGGTAATGATCAATCTGCTAACGCCGCAATCATTTCCAGTACAACTTGCCCAAAACGAAGCATATTTGCACTGAAAGATAAAATTTTGGAAGCAGATGTGGTGCCCACGCTACTTGGCAAATGCAGTGACGGAACTCGACTTGGACAAATTGCACTTTGGCAAACACCGCCTTACGAGAACGATTCGGTTTCCGCAACTCAGAGCACGGACTCAAACTCAAAAGAAGAAGAAGAAGAAAATTCTTGGCGTAAATTACCTTTTTTCCTTCCGAGCCAAGATGGACTGTTGTCGGCTGAAGAAATACGGGATGCTTTGATAACAATTGTGGAAAACGTTTTCATTGCTGCTTTTTGGCTTTTTCAATCCGACACTTCAATTAATCAAATCTCGCGTACTGCATTCCCACGGGCTAAACCTGTGATCGGGTTGAATGAGAGTTTAAAAAAAGATCCTTTTAGCAGAGAAGCGGAAGAAGTATACATGAAGAGGAGAAAGAAGACCAGATCGCAAACCCGGTCAATGATGATGAGAAATCGGTAACATATTTTCATAGACATGAGCTGTATTGTAGAACAATGATTGTAGTAATCCATTTGCCCTTTTTATGCCCATGAATGTTGTGAAATCGAGATACTCCGCCACAAAGCGGTGCATTTCTAAGCAAAGCGGCCCGCAGGAAAAGGGTACTGAGTGGCGCAATACATTTTCGGACCTCAACTTTCGATAAAGTCACATCATAACGTAAAATTGTACACAAAGATGTATCCCCTCCCCCGTCTTGACAAAAGTGTACTTGCGGAGCCAATCACGAACTCCCATCAAACCAATAAGACGAGGAGGGGAAAGGATAAACACGACGCGTGCAGTATATCAACCGTCCTTTGGAGTCGCTTAAAAGATAAAAAAGTGTATATATATACAATCATTTATTAATTCATCAACCTTTTTAAACCCAACTTTGTTTCTACCATCTCCCCTTTTTTCTTTTGCTCTCTCTTCATTGAGCATTTGTCTTTATGCAAAAATGGAAGTGCCTAAAGAAGGACCCTCTTTACCATCACCTTCTCGAACGCAACCCATCACGCGTTCTCAATCTACGCCACCATCCGGTGGTCCTCCTTACAATCAAGCCGGTATAACAGTTGATACCTTGTTGGAAAATTGGATGGAATCATCTGCTTTGGAAACATCTGCATTACGTTCTACCTGTGGAAAAGATAAAGCAGCAGCAATGACTTTGGGAGAATTATTTCATGCCGCGGCTACGCTGAGTCGCGTATTTTTGTTTCACATTGCTTTGGTAATTCAAAAGACATTGGTGGAACATATAACGGCATCCGCTGATGAAGAAAAGTTTATTGAAACTTTGATTGTTAAACTTGTCAAAAACTGCTCGGAAATCACTTGCAGAGACAAAGTTCAAATGGCGGCTGATTCTTTTGATGGATCGGAGATCACTCGCGTAGTTTTTCCCGACGGAATGAACTTCCATCCAGAAATCGTCATCGAAGCGGCCAATGTACCTGATGAACATCAAGTGGCCGTCTATACTTGCATCAAATTCTTATACACAAGCTATCGTACGACTGTTGTGGATGCATTCTTCAAAGAATACGTTTTCTCCTTGGATAACCTGGCAAATGCTGATCCAATAAATGCCATCGTGAGCGCATTTGCCGATTTCGTTGAAGAGAAATGTCAAGACATGGAAAAAGATCTCATTGCTGTTATCGAAGAAGAAGTCAAAGGTATCGCTGATTTTGGTGGCGTAAATGATTCCGGTATGCTGATCCGTCCCCGAAGCGTACAGAAGAGAAAGGATACAAACGGTCCCGAATCTACCGTCAAGAGAAAGATCCGGAGACTGGTAGCTCCATCCGCCGCTTCGGAACTTGAGGATGAAGACGACGAAGCAACTCCAATATCTTCTCCCTCTCCTTCAAGTCGCTTGGGCTCCTCTAGCAAACGTTCACTCAAGCTCAACCGAAAGACCGATCGCTCCACGAGACCCAAACCCACACCCAAGAAAGGGAAATACTTCGACAGTGATTTGGAAAGTGACACAGGCATTGAAAATGATCGCATTCTTACGCAAGCAATTGATGATATTTTCAGTCGAGTGAAGAATTGGCACGGTACAATGTGTGTTGGTGTTCGTCTTTTACTGAAACACTGGCCCCACAAGCTCATTAAAAAAGAGCTGAAAAAGGGTGCCGGTCCTATCGTTCATGAACTGATTGAATCATTCCACACGGGAGACAGCATCACAGTTGCAACTGTAACCGAATTGGCCAAAAAAGCCAAGTTTAAGGATGCATGCACGATCATGTTGGCAATCAATTGGAACGATGACTATTTGAGCAAACTCAAGAAGGTTTGCGAGAATGACAAGATTCATGCTGCCTTTTTGACAGCAACGGCAAACATTGATGCTACCGTTAAAGCATTGAGTGAGAATTGCCTAGAACGTCAAGCCGAATCAATCCCGCTGTACTCCGAAGAGGGTATTCGTGATAACGACTTTTTCCCGGTACTTGTCTGGAGTCCCACAGATGACGTTGATTTCTACAAAGGTAATCAGGCTCTCAAAACCTCCAAAGAGGTTCGTGAAGCTATGAGCGTGCTTGCAAAGAGCGTGTTTATTGCCTTGTGCACAAAGATGAACTTCTCAGGTAGTTTCCATAAGGAATTAAAGAACATCTTACCAGAAGCCAAGGCTCTTCACGGTTTAAATGATACTTTCGGTCTAGAACATGCTTTCAGCCGTAATGAGCCTTTACCAATCGTAAAGAGTGATGCAAACCCGCGAACAGCAATCGTTCCGACACCCAAAAAGACTAAGCAAGTTGCACCTGCTTCTTCACCCAGGAAAACATCACCAAAGAAAGGAAGAAAGAGTGGTACGATTGACTATGACTCAATGCTGAACGATTTCATCAATCCTGATACGGGACTTCGATGTGATTTGCAGACGTACGGTGCTGGCGGTTTGCGTGCTATTGTTCGATTGAGTAGCAAAGAAAACATCTTTATGCCTTTGGACAAATACAAAAAGGATGAAAAGCTCTCTGAAGGTGATTTTGTATTTATCAAGATGGTACCCGAGAAGAGCAATTCTTTTACAAAGGATGGGAAATTGAAAGGCGCAAAAGTCTTGATTCGCAAAGATGAAAAGGGATCAAGTTGGTTCCCATTCTTGTTTCCCTTTAGTGAGAAAGGTGGTGCTCTTTGGATTCAAAAGTTGCTCAAAGAGCACTTCAAGGATTGATAGTACAAAAGGCTACTGTATTCGTGTTTCTCATCGGTTTCGTTCTCTCTTGTTCAACTTGTTCCGATTGTCCCGTCGCATTTCCCATCACAGTAATCGTTGATCGATCAGTTTCGGCATTTCTTTCCCGCAACCAATGTTTTATAGTCATGTTCCCATGTTTCGTTCGTTAAAAACCAATTCATTTCATGATTGAGAAATAATAGTATGATAGTAGCAACAAGTATGATACGAGTACAAGAAGTTTTAGTAATGTAAAATTATTTAACTTGAAAATCTAGCTAAAAGGCCTTTATGTTGTACAGATTCTGAAGCGCCATTCGGAAAAGAAGGAATATGTCTTTGATCATCTCCGTCTAAGATACCATAACCACCTGAACCCATGTGTGTGTAAGGGAGCAAGACATCTTTGTTTGCACCTGAAGAAGCTGCAGCATACGTAGCAGCAGCACTAGGAGGATGAAAGGATGTACTTGGTGCACCGATGTGAGCACGAACGAAACCAACATGACCTTGCACGTCCGGACCGGCAAAAGCCAAAAGTGGAAAATGTGGATGGAAAGCCAAAGAACCCATCGAAGGTCTGAAAGGCGATGGTGGTTCATCGATCGCAGGAGATAGCAAAGATGTGTTGGATTGCAGATTGGCTTGTTTGGATGGTGTTCCGTTTGGACCATTCTGATGGGAGGCTGGCTGTGCGATTGGGAATAATGCTCCTCCGACCGGTTGATGCTGATTGGCTGCGACTTGTGCTGCTTGTGCAGGTGTAGCAAATTGACGTACAATCGGAGCAACATTCGATAAAACCTCTTGTGTTTCAATGTTGCACAACAGTGTCCTCTGTGCACTCAATCCTTGACGGGTAGGTCTAGGATAATTGGAAAGTGCAAAGATTGGAGCACCGTCATGCACTTCCATTGCACTTAGCTTGCCTTGCAATTGCTCACTCCAATCTTTCGATCGAATACTCTTCCTGCCTCGAATATCCCACACTTTCACAACACCATCCGTACTTGCAGATAGCAATTCACGATTACCCCGTTTCTGCAGACGCACATTTGTGATCCAATTTGCATGTTCTTCCCATAGTCGCACAAGTGACAATTCAGGTGGAATTCTGCGATCATACACTCCAATTGCACCATCACCAAAACCGCAAACGAAGATGTGACCAACGTCAGACTCGGATGAGATTGAGGTGACACAAGACGAAACTCTTGTTGGGATATCGCAAATGCACAACTCACGATGAGCATCCCAAACACGAACGTATCGACTGTCTCCACCGGTCAACAAGCTTCCGGTGATCTGTTGCCAATCTAGAATCAATCCACTCGGTCTTTTGCTTCTGACCAGGTGTGGCAAAGCGCGCATACTGCTCACCAACTTTGGTCCTCTGTTGGATGTCCAGCTTGGCTCGTCATAATTTGCATAGATTCGAACATCTCCATCGGCCGATCCAACAAGCAAACGTGATTGTGCTTCTTCGTTGGCAAATGTGAGTGAAGTGATGCTTGTCTTTGGCGGGTTTCCATTATTGAATCTCGTCAACAGTTTACCAGTCGTCCAATCCCAAACACTGAGCGTGTCTTGTTCACTTGCAGTAATCAAATGGTTTTCGAATTGATGCATATGCATGAGGTATGCAGGACCACCAACTTGAATACCCGTTGGTTGCACTTTTTGTGACCATCGAATGTTCAACGCACTTTCCACATCCACTTGCGCTTCGTTCATCAATCGTTCGTTGCGTTCCCGCTTCCACGTTTGGATGTTGTATTGCACGCTTCCTAGCTCATCTGCCTCTGCACATTTCATCTGTGGTTCAGTATAGTATTCACTACACCATGCGAACAGCTTGCTCTTCAACGGCAACACCTCCCTCACAGATCTTGGACCGCTAGCACCACCTTTACTGGATGAAGGTGTACCAGGACTGACTGCATCGCCTGCGCTACCTGTTCGGTAGATCGATGGGCTATGCATAGGCGTATTGCCCGCATTCGTTGTATTACTCTGAGCAGCAGTGATTTGTGCACGTTCTCTGAATCTATGCAAATCCTGGGCAACAATCGTGGCTAATGCATCTGCCATCTTGATATCTGCCATTCGATCAATCTCTTCCGCAGGTGATCTGCTTCGAGTAGACAGATCGTGTGGATTGCTTTGAGAAGATGACAAAGACAAAGAACCAAACTTATCCACTAATGGAGATCTTCCTGCTGGCATCAAAGACGTTCCAACAGGTGGCGTGCTTGATAATTGATTGATAGTTGCATTCTGTCTCAACGAACCAGTTTTTGAGGATCTTCTTTCTTGCAGTCTGCTGATATGTGCTAGGCTTTCTGCACTGGCCGATCGATGAGCAACTTCAGAAGGCGTACTGGCAGAGGCTGAAAGTGCGCCATTCGTGGGCAAAGGCGTGACTGGTGTCTTTGGTGAGCTCGGTTGACTAGCTTCCCTGCTGTTTGGTTCAGCTGAGGGACCAAATGGTGATACATATCGTGATGAGTTGGAACGAGGTGCTGGAACCCGTGGAGGAAGGAACGCAGACTTAGGCGGAACAGTTGCATCCGATTGTGGCTGTGTTTCATCGGGCGATGATGCCGAGGGTGATGGCGGTCTGGAATATCCTAGTGTGGCGATCGTCTTTACAGTTTGTGCTAGAGATGTATTCCGTCTTTGCGAAGGGTGTAAAGATGAAGGTCGATTACCAGCTGTGACAGTATTGCCACTGGACGAGCTGAACGTGCTCAAACCTCCTAGAGATGCAGCAGAAGACATGCCCAAATTGTCCCGATCCATTAATCGATCATTAGCTACACTCATCTTTGACCTTGGCATGGGTGGGAAATAGCCTTCAGTATTTGCTGCAGTACTTGTTGGTGTCACTAATCGATCGCTAGCCCCACCTGCCGGGTTGAAGGACTCGAAAGGAATGGACGTCAACATGAGCGCGGTGATGTAATCGACAACGGTGCTGGCCATACTTGCAACTTCTGGGTGGCCATCTGCACTGAGGTCGAGCAATGCTACAAAGATGGTGGAGAAAGCCGGAACATTGGCAATATCGATCTCATCTAGACCTTCCTCTAGTGATAACTTGATCAATACGCGGGTCAACAAAGCTTGTTCGTATGCTTTGGATTCAGGGTCGAGACCTGATACCTCTTCAAACGTCGTCTTTCTTCTCTTGCGCATTTTACGTTCTTCGCGATTATAGTACAAATATGCAGCCAAAACGAAGAAACCTTGATATTCACGCACAAGAGGGCTTAAAGCAATCACCAACTCTTTGCGCACGAGTGGAGAAGAATCGCACTTTGTCGAGAGCATGCTGATGGCGATACCAATCTCTAAGCTCCTCTGTCTGCTTTCCTCCATGTTCAGCATCGTTCCCGTACCCAAGCAATGCGGTCGAGTCTGTGCATGTCTGCTAGAGACGGGGTTGGTGGGCAAGGAAGAAGAAGGATCATTCGGGTCGTGGCTTGAGCCACTTGCTCCAAGTAAGATTCCCATGGCATACAGTACTGCTGCTCTGACTTCAGGTGAGATGTCACTGAGCATGCAAGCAAACTTGCCATGAACATCTTTAGCGATTCCGCGTGCTTTGCCCACTGCTGAATCGTCCCAAAGTTGACCAATGCACAACGCACTCCATTGACGCAAAAGGAAATCATCATGATCAAGATGCTCCAAGCAAGAATCCATGGCATCAGTCTGCAAGCATGCTTGTTGTCCAGCAGGGAAATCTTGGCAAAAGACAGACAAGATGAAAGCACACATTGCTCGATGCTCGGACACGTTGGGAATCGGGTAATTGTTGACATTGGATGCATCATTGACCCCATTCGGTTGCTGAAAAGGACTCAAGACTGTGCTGAAGTAGATGAAACCATTATCTCGCAACAAGTCATTCTGACAGCTCCTGTCTACCGCCAATATTCTTGCCCAGATGTAAATCAACACAGGCTTGAGATCAGCTGCAGGACTTTGCAAGAGCTTCAAGACGTACGGGAAAATACCAATACTGAGAGCAAGATTGACTGCCCATGGACCTAGATCTAAGAATTGACTCAACAAGATCAACGCACGCAATCTATGCACTTGTGACAGCAAAACTTGAAGGACGATCGGAAGCTGATCTGGCGGATCGCGAATAAGTCGAGCTTCCTCTTCATCTTCTTCATCCTGGTCTATTTCTAGTTGTGCAGTGATGGATAGACTTGCATCTGCTCTCCTTCTTCTTCCCCTTCTGCTTACACCTCCCTGTGATAGCCATACTTCGAATGCCATCAATTGCTCACTGAAGAATGTGCTAGGTTGATACTCAAAGGCAGCCAAATGAGCAGGCATTGCTGGACCGTCAGGCTCAGCGGCTTTCTCGGCAGCTTCGGTCTTTGCTAGCAAGGTCGGCAATTGTGACAGGCATTGATCGACGGCCAAGTCCCAGCTGTCCCACAGAGGATGATTATGCGTTGGCGGTAGCTTTGGATGGCTCATGGGTGAACAATGATAGAATCGCATGATTCGCTCTGCCAGCAAGAAGTTTCTGAGAAGCGCTGCAACCATTAAGTCATCTCTGAACAGCCTTCTGAAAATCGTTCGAGGCAACACCGTCCATGCGATCGTATCTGTAATGGCGGTAAAGATCCAATTGAGCTCTCCCAATGGTGTTCGGCGATCTTGTAGCCTTCCTGGAATTTTCATGATCATATCAAAGTCGAGCGGAGAAGGTAAAGGGTTCTGCAAAACGAACCATCGTAGCGAGATTTCGATTGGTGATGTCAAACATGAAGTGAACAGATCGGCTGGCAGATCAGGGTTCATTGGTAGAACATCATCAGGTCCACATGCTGCCAGATGGATAGATTCTCGCAGCGGGAACTGTTGCTCATCTCCTATAGAAGTTGAAGGTTTCTTGCCATTGGATGATTTTGATTCTTCCTCTGCTCTACGCTCTGCTAGGCGTTTGAAGTTGTTGAGAATGTTCCCCGCAGAGCTCGCATCCCAGACAAAAATGCATGGGTTTCCCAGCCATGCTTGTAAATCATAGAGTGTGACCGGAATGTATTGTGTGTATGCTTTGTTGAATACCCAAATCTCTCCGCCGGGCGTTGGCTTTGGAACACCGTATCCGTTGTAGTAGAACAATACTCGTTCATCTTTTGCTGTTCGACGTAAGCTGGTACAGAATCGCTTCATTTCCTCCACTACCGGATCCAAGTGAAGCTTGTATCTGGTCTTCATCGAGAGGTGTTCAAATTGTGCAACCATGTTCTTGCCAATTGCTTCCAAAGCTCTCGTTGGATCTAAGCTTCCCGGATCGGTCCAGCAAATCAGCTTTGAGCATGGATTGGTCTTGCTCACATCCGGTGGATCTACTCCTAAATTCAAGCACATGACCAAAGCGGCAGTCACCGTTCTGAGTCTTTCGCGCATTCGCCAATCCGGTAAATCTCTCTCATCTCGCGGCTTCGGATTACCTCCTGTTTGATGTCTCTTTTGGGTCCATTGGGTCATATAAGGTTGATCAAAGATGATCATATCCGCCTCTTCTGGTAAGAGCAAAGCGCCATGCCGCCTTCCACTTGTCGTACTCAAATCATCTTCATCGTCTTCTGTATCTCCAGTCCTGCTCGCGAGATCATCTGAAGACGTGAAGAGGGGTGCATCTGTACTGCCGGATGCGTGACCATGGCCGTTTGCCAATTCTGTGTTGATTCTATAAGGCACTGCATGTCCTGGGTTTATCGAGGAGTGATTTGTGTCATAATCTTCTTCATCTTCGCCATTGAGGAAAAAAGCTTTTCCAACTGCCGCCATGCTGGTCTAAAGAGAAACAGCAGGCAGCATATACAATGCAACAACTGTAGCACCCACGATTCTTCTTGCCTCTTATGCGAGTGTGCTAGTTTGATATGACATAAAAGGCGAACGATTTGTAGAGGTAGTGGTATAAGTGTTTGCCGTTTTGCCTTGAGGAGGAAAGCAAATGTCGAGCAATGATATGGATGAAGGTTGATGATGAATCAATCATCCGATCAACTCCAGATCTTTTTTTCTTGTTTGCTGCTTAAGCGCTGATGCACTGGCCATACACGCGATCTGTGTGGGCGTGTGTGTGTGTGTTCCAGTTTTAATGCGTCTTCATTTGGCCGATATAAATTTATTCAATAAAAGGCTCAGCCTCTGTAAAAGGCGGCCCGCCACAACACAAGCTTATCCGATAAAAATGATTATTATCAATGCGTTCATTGTTACTACCACCTCCTTCTGATAGGGGCAACCGCCATCATGTCGGCTCTATCATTCTTATCCAAGAAATCATGGCATACAGGGCTACAAAGCAATCAAGAAGCGGTATGGAAAGCAGAAAAAGCAGCATTGGAAGAACGAAAAAAGTTGGATGAATTGCGTAAAGAAAGAGATCGTGAACGTGAATTACAAGAGCTTGAAAGATTGAACCAAGAAAGTGGCGGTAGAAATGGAAAAAGACAAGAAAAGGTGGATTGGATGTATCAAGTGCCTGCAAGTATTGCATCATCATCACAAACACAATCGGCAAGTAAGGAAGAATTGGAGGAGTACCTCTTAGGGAAGAAGAGGGTGGATAAATTACTCACCAAAGGAGATGAGACGGAGAAAGTGTCCAAGGACGGAAATGCTCCCGCTCAGGCCTCTTCGTCGGCAGGCCAAGCAGGCAGCAGTGCTCCGACTTTCGGTGATGTAGGCTCAGATAGAGACGTTGCCAGTAAAATTCGAGAAGATCCAATGTTTGCCATCCGACAACAAGAGCAGGCGGCATACCAAGCTTTGCTGAAAGATCCAGCAAGGCTTCGTGCCATGCGTAAAGCGGCAGGAATGGATGTTGGAAAGGAAGAAAGCAAAGAAGAAAGACGGCGGAGAAAAGAGGAGAAGAGGAGACGCAGAGATGAGGGGGACTACTCTCGTTCGGAACGAACATCGGAAGGCAGATATCGAAGTGAGAAGGACGACAGCTACAGCAGAAATGGGTATGATGACGACAGAAAAAGGAGGTCTTCCAGACGCGATGACAGATACGACGACGATCGTAGTAAGCGGAGCTCAAAAGACGACCGTAGATCCCATTACGATCACCGATCTGAAGACCATTCCCGCTCTCGCCACTCGCATCGCCACGACGACAGAAGACGCAATGAGCGATTTGATCGAGATCGCTCGCCAAGACGTTCAGTCTCTCCACAAGATTCGCGAAAGTATGAGAGAAGGGAGCAATCTTATCGATCTTCTTCTCCCAGACGGTCGTACCGCAACGAATCATCTTCTATCCGTGCTCCAGGCTTTTCAGAAGTACCTTCCAGAGATGCAAACGCAGAACGTGAAGCCAAATTAGCAGCAATGCAAAAGAATGCCGTCGATCTTTCTTCTTCTCGGGATGCATACTTGGCAAAAGTCAAGGAACAAGAACAAGCAGATTTGGCAAGAGAAGAAGCTTTGCGTGCAAAAGTTCAATCAAGCCGAAACAATCGAAGTAACGGTAGTGGATTTGGTACAGAGGCAAAAGGTTCTTTCTTACGTGAACAAGAACGTTCTTTGTACGGTAGTGGTGCAAGTCGAAACGGCAGTGAGAATGTGGACTTGGCTGAAAGGTTAAGAAGAGGACGTGATACCCTGCAACGATTCGGTGATGAATCTTGATAGTGGAATATGTAATATAGAATACCATTTACAATTTTGATCAATCGCATGAATTGAAAGCGACAACTGATGACGATGAGCAGGGATAAATATACAAAAAAAAATAAAAGAGAGAAATATAAAACAAATTAGTGGAGGAGGGCTGTAAAACATTTTATACACTCGGCACCTTTTGAGCATGATAAAAAATATATCAGATACTGTCCTCGACATTATCTTCATCACGTATATCACCGCGTAAAGAAGAGACGGAAGAAGTGGAAAGGTCTGTAGTTGGTGAACCCGGCTCCTTTCGCATCAGTTCAGAATCAAAAGAATCTTGCAAGGATCCACGCCTTCTCTTGTTCTGATGACCATGCTCTTCCTCTTCATCGGATGTTTCTAGTAATGGCGCAGGACTGGACAGCTTAAAGCTCAACACAGGCAAAGGCGGTTGATGATCACTCGTCCTTCGACTGACTTGCGAACGTTGAGATCGACCAGCACTGCTACCTTTTCCATTGCTTTGCAATAATCCATTCTTCTGTGCGCTTCCTTGTTGTGATCTGGTCACGCTACGTTGTTGACTTGCGGATGTTGGACTTCCAAGCATGGATGATGCCAATCTCTTGTTCTTATCAGGTCTACTTGGAGTTTCTTGCATGCCCATCTGTCCATCATCTTCATCCACCTCATCACTATTATCGAGAAGACGAGCTGCTGCTGGCGTATCCAATGCATCCATGCCACCCTCTTCATCATCATCTCCATTAAATCCTGCACCACCACGTTTGCTTGCACTGGTACGGAACGAAGGACGCAAGATGCTGTCTGGCCATGGACTGTTCATAGACATGAACGTATTGCCAGCAAATGGAGTTCCCGTCAATGAAGTCAACAAGGAAGTTCCTTTTCCGGTCGAATGTGGTGCCAAACCAAGAGACTGTGTCAGGTTGAGATGTTGAGGCGAAGAGAATTGATCATTGCCTTTACCGTTTGCATCCCGTTTCAAAGGAGAAGCACGAGAGAACAACTGTGACCGTGTAGCGCTGTATTTACTACTATTGCGAACATCAAACGGTGTAAGACCCAAGATGTTGGCTGAACCCATCATTCGATCATGCTGAGTAGGTGTTGTGGCAGACATTCCCTTTAACGAAGGTGTAGCACCAGTCAATCCATTAGCAGCTGCTTTTCCACGTGTGATTCTCTGGACAGAGGCCGAAGCTAGTGAAGGCATGGCCATACTTGTGCCATTCGCTGGCGTAGGTACACCGTCCAACAGCGCAGAACGTAAAGGAGTTTTGACCAATGGTGGTAATCGGCGACTTTTCATTACTGGTGACGATCCATTCAGCACATCATAGCCATCTTTACCAGAATGACTGAGGTCCACTCTCGTTTGTAATGGAGAAAGACGGTTCTCATCTTGATTTTGTTCAATCTTGATATCTTTTCCGAGCGCACTAGAAAGCCGGGAGGATGATGCTGGTGCTTCCAGAGCTGCATCTTTTGTTCTTTGTGCGTTGCTTGTCGAAGGACTAATCTTATGACGATCAAGAGAGAATGGATTGCTAGCTGGACTTTGATGCACTCTACGACTGGACGAGACAGGTGACAGCATCGAGCTTGCACTATGACGGTTGGAGATGCTACCATTGTATGTGCCATTCTTTGTTGCGGAAGACACGAAAGATGGACTGCTTTCCAATGTCCTTTGTGAAGCAGGAGGAGATAACAATCCTGCTACATTACCATTTTGGATTCTTTCGCCATTTCCACCAAATACCTGAGCTACCAGAGATCGGTCATCGCCCACTGATGGTGGTGTTGGATAAAGCGTACTATAGCGATTGACCGGCGTTGACTTCATCGGATAATTGTGCGCTTGTGTTTCCAGACCACCTGCTTCAATCATCTCCTCTTGGCCCTTAAGTCCGGCATTAGAGCCCTTCTTCTTGCTTCGAGACTTGATTTGATTAGAATCAACAAACGAAAGCCGTCTGAGCTTTGAATCACGGTTCACTTCTGCTAAAGGTTGACGTGGAGATGTGACGGTAGAAAACATGGCCGTTGTTGATTGCGGTGGTATTATTGGCATCGAAGCATGCTTTGAGAAATTGCGTGAAGAAGCTCCACCATTCATATGTGCTTTGGCTCCGTTGATAGCTGGCCATACTGCTGTGATCGCGCCAGACGAGGGAGCATTATGGTTATCTGCATAATGTGGCATTGACGTTGTCGTCATGTGATGATGGAACTTGAGAGTCTGCATTCCTCGAGGCTTCTTTTCACCATTGCCAGACATTGTTCGTTTCTTTGGATTAGGCATCACAGTGTTTGCCATGGCAAACTTTTGCTTTTCTAGGGCGGGTGAGTTCCTTGACATGACTTCTTCATTAGCAAGTCCAGTGGCAGCCTCTGTTTCAGCATCACTCTTTGATCCATCTTCAGGGCTTCCTGCATTTGTGGACGCATCTCCTGTAACATCACCGTTTCCAGAAGCGGCTTTGTCTTGAAGACGTCTTTTACGTGCCCATCTTCTCTTACTTTCCAGCATTCGTTCACGACGTTCTTCTGCATTCTTTGGTCTGTTTGCATTGCCATCCCATCGTGTTCTACGTGGCTGTTGACTGAGCGGAATGAAATGCTTGTCCTGCAAATGTCTTCGCCAAATGCTTCGTGCGTGTTTACCTGCGTATTGTTTGTCGCAGTAAGGGCACGAAAAGATTCCCGTATTTCCTTCACTTGCAGCTTGTTGTGCTTGTTGAACGATACGCAATTTTGCTTGAATGACTGGATCATCGCTCAACTCCATCCAATCTGCGCTGTCATCATCCAAGCCCATCGAATCATCATATTCTCCACTATCGCCCACGTACATCTGTCCACCGAATCCCATAAAGGAAGCAGGGTATTCGGACATATTTACGTTGGAGATGAAAGGATTGACTTGCATATGACCATTTGCAGCAGCAAAGTGTTGAGCGTGTGGTCCTGATTGGAATGCCATCATTGGCTGTGAACTTGATCCTGCATCCATGGATAGACCTTGTTGAGAAGCAGCATGTTGGATGTTCATTCCTACTTGATTGAACATTGGGTATAATATTCCTTGTTGCATTTGTGTATTTGGTGTCAATTGACCGCCATTTTGAGATGATTGTGATTGTTGTTGTTGATAGGCAGACATGTTTGTGCCTTCAATCACGCTGTGCATTGGATGGAGAAATGACTGACTGGACGTCATTTCGAATTGCAGGCGTGATTGGGTGGAGATGTCGCCAATGGGTATTGATATGGTGGATGATGAGTTTTCTGGTATGATTGAGAAGGAAGTCAAACTTTCACTTCAATGCAGGTGAAAAAGATGCCCTGAGCGAGCAAACTGCAAACCTTGCAGCAATTCCACAACAGAATCGAGCAGACTTGTTTTGCAAAGAGATGATTGCAATCCTGACCTTAGAAGGTCGAATAAATATTTGATAATGTTTTTTGAGAAAAGAGGGAATAATAAATGTTGAGCACGCTCTACCTTGTTTTTCGGAATTTTGACGCCGTCGAAGGTTGGATAATGATTGACCTTCGATTCAATCGGCGAATGTTTCGAAATGACAAACGATGAGATTGTCAACAAGGCAAAAGTCGGGCAAAAAGTGATGTTGATGAAAGGTATGAAAAAGTTGTGATGGATTAGAGTGGAAGGAAGTGTGTTCCGAGTGTGTTTTGACGTTCCTACTTTTGTCCTTTTTTTGTGTGACTTTTGAAGTGAAGCCGGCACTCAGTCACTAATCAAGCAAACACTCACACTCACACCACACACGCACACAGTGAGAATGAATGAAAATGTCACGAGTAAGTCAAGAATAACACGCTTTCCTGCTTTTTAAGCCTGGCACTCTTAACGCGCCGATGCAGTATGGGAGGGATGTTTACATGCAGAGGCCTTTACAGTGAACAACACACACACACAAAGGGGATAACGCGTTAAGACGCGTTTTTGCACGCGCACGATAAAATCACATATTCATACTCTATGAATAACAACAACCCTATCTTAGCCACATTATATGAATAGAAGCAATTATGATGTCAATATTGATCAGCTTACGATTGTCTTGGAAGGTCTTAAAATGAAACTCTTGATGCCCCTCTGCAAAGTATCATGCAAGGTGATGCAAGCTGGATTGCAGTGATATCTTATCCATTGGCGTATATCAAATCGGTCCGTCGGAGTAGAAGGAAGAGAGCACAAAGAGTGAGTGTGTGTGTGTACTCTACTCTGTCAACGCGTTGTTCTCAAGCTGGCTAAACTTTTAGCGCGAGGAAGCCTGCTTATGTTTTTGCAATCACGTAAGCAGACACCCTTCATCATAAATTGTTCATCGCCATCTGTATTCTTACTGTCACAGATTAGGGAGAAATGATAAGTAATCTCAATCTCTCAGATGTACGCTGAAACTGTAAGTTGCCTTTTCTTATCCAGCCTCTGACTTGCCGCAATCTAGAAGTGAAGATGAGTAAGACTTAAATAATCTTAAACTTTAATAATATTTTGTATTAATTTGATTATTTGTATTTTCTGAGATACTATGAATATGAATATCACCAAATATCGAATAAAAGCTTGTAGATGAACAACTCTTCGTGTGATGAACGAATTGGCTTTGAAAGGATAATATGCTCAAACAAAGAAAATACAAGAAGAAATACGTTTATTTTGTTGATTTTATTCAACATACTTGTACTATACTTAATCTTTTCTCAAGGTAGGTTAATGACTTGCAACATTCAGCAATCTTCTGCTTCAACGACCAGACTAGCTCTACAGCATCATTTCACACTTTCATTGTGGAGACACACGTTTTCTCAAAGTATGTGATATATTTGATAACGTCATAGAACAGATATTTCGATCATCTCCTCTTTTCCACTTCGATGCCATCATCTATATCCAGATCAAATGCACCTCCGATCTCATCATCATCATCTCCATGCATTCCGTCCAAATCAAAATTATCGCCATCATAATCATCATCTCCGTCTATTCCCGAAAGTGCTTCATCAGCTTCACGTAAGATCACACTGAGTGTCTTTTGACTTCGATCCATTGACCCTGTACCCGTTGTCCCATTTCCTCCAGCGATACTTGATCTACTTTCGATCAAATTAGGGTCGGTAGTCGTTGGGATGTCCTCATCACTTTCATCACCCATTCCATTCGACGATCCACTTTTACGTGAACTATGTTTATCTTTGTTTTTTCGTCCAATCGAAAATAATTTCTTTCCTGATTTTGGACTCTTTGGTGATCCAATACTATTGGCACTTGCTTTTCTGCTCATACTAGTTGCACTCAGGCTACTTCCTAAGCTTCCAACACTTGCACCGGTATGTGTTTGACCAATTCCACGTTGAAGCATATTGGAGCCATTGGCACTCAAAGGCGGACTTAACATTGGATCGAATGAAGGTGATGCACTCACACTACTTCTGGGCACATCGATACCCTTTCGACGGTTGTAAATCCTAGAGCCTGCCGGTGCAGAAGCAGGTGGCGAAAGGGAAAGATCTCGAGAAGAAGGACTGCGTGGTGATCTTGCCGGTGAACTGATCGACAGCTTATTAGAAGCAGGAGAGCCTATAACACCTTCCAGATTACCACTTTGACTTGGCGTGAGAGGTCTTCGACTGTCATCATGAATTTGTGACGCAACAGCACTGAATGATTGCTCGAGCTCCAGCGGTTCGGGCTTGGGGCTCTTCTTTGAAATTGTTGAAGAAGTAGGTGACATTTGCACAGATGATTTACGTGGCGAAATTGGAGGACTGGCTGGCGGTGTTTTGTCTGCGCTCTCTTCCTGTTCAGCATTCTCGCTGATATCTGATTCCGACTTTTCAATAATCGATGAATCGGGTAGGGGAGGCGGAGCAGGGAACAAATCCACCGTCTTTTGTCTTGGCGTTGAATCGCCTGTACGTGTTCCTTCCTGCTTTTCATCATACGAACCGCTACCTTCCTCCTTTGTGATGCCTTGTTCTTCTTTGGCTTCATTGTCCTTCTCTTCTTTCTCTGCTTCCACAGGCGGTTCTTGGAAGCCTTCAGTGGCCATTTTTGGTGTGGACAGATCCTCTTCAGTGGCTTCCTTCTTGACCTTTTCTTCAATTTGCTCTTTCACGTCCTCCACCACCACAGGCTTAACGTCTGTTTCACTTTCTGCAGCAGCGGTCGCAGCGGTTGCTTCGATAGCTTTCTCGATTGATAGTGGTCTCTCCACTTTGTCTTCCAAGCTCACACCACCCTCCTCTTTCTCCATCTGTGGTGTCTTTGGACTTCCGTATCCTTTTCCTCTTGCTCTTTGTGCAACATCATGAGCTGCAGTCTCAAAGCGTGCTCGATCTGCCATACTTGTGGATCTTCCTAATCGTGCTCCACTTGCACCCATTCCGTCCGGTATAGAACCATCGAATAAGAATGCTTCAGCTTCTTCATCTGTCATCTTTACATCATCCAATCCCAAAGAAGCCAATAAATCATCAATATCTTCCCTTCCAACAACTTGTTCGGCTGTATCTGTTCCACTTGCCAATCTCGTTTGAGACATTGCAGCTTTCAAATCATCACCTTGTGAGACTGCTTCACGTAATTTGGTTGTCGAGAACGATCGCGATGACGCACTCGCCTGTGCCTCTGCTGCCAAAGCACGAGAAGAAGATTGACTGGCATTATAACGTGCGTGGGGAGAAGCAGCACTGGAAGATCGACTTGAATCTCCATTTCCCATCTTTGCCAATCGCAAAGGTTTCACACCCGCATCGGCAGATGGAACGTATGTTCGAGGTACGGGTGCTTGCTTGGAGGATATGCCCAGTCCGAGTGAGTTGGGATATTTGCCTTCTCCACGATCGGCACTTTCTCCATTTGCAGAAGTGTCCCCCTCAGCGCCGCTGGAAGTCCTTCCTTTTCGTTTCTCTGCCGTATCTCTTCCTGCGTCCAATACCTCATTCAATTCATCCTCCGTCAAGCTCATCTCAGATAGGCCCAGCGATCGAAGGAATCCATCTGTATCATTCTTTCCCACTCTGTCGTATCCTGCCTTTGCTGTCGGTAATGCGGGAGCCAGTGTATTCTGTGATGGAGCTCTAGGTTGAGCCAATCGTGGTACTTCTGCCACAACATGTTTTGAAGGCTTTCGCGGTGTGACAGTGGGCGGTTTCAATGCCTCTGAAGATGAAGCAGAAGCAAGATCAGATGATTGAGATGAAGAAGCTACCGGCAATTGCGGTGCTAAACCTTCTTCTGCCTCTCGCTTTGCCCTTTCCTGATCGATGCGCAGAAACAGGTCCAATTCTCCAAACTCGACACTTTCTTCGAACTCCTCAAATGTTCCTCTCCATTCGTTGTGTACGAGTAAACCTGGTATCTGTGGATCTAAAGCCTTTCTTCTCCATCGACTTTTTGCATCATCATCACTTGCTAAATCATGATAGACAAAAGGGATCTTCTTCACTTGTAAGATGGATATGTATCGTTCATGTCGATTACGTATCTTGTGATTACTCAAGATTGATGTACTGAACAGTTCAACGGCCACCGCTTGGGTGGCCATTTTGATTGAATATGGCGAGAAAGGGAGTGATTGCTTCAGGGATGTTGAAAGTACAGATCAGGGTATCCGATTTATGGGAGCAGGAATGCTGTCGTGATTATGAAGGTGGCCGTGCGTATTGAAATGGCGATCTGAACGTTGGTGCCTTACTGAAAGGATGATAAGCAATCACTTTGATTGACAAGGATTACAATAAAGTTTAAATTCTTGTTCAATTGGAATACACATGTATTAATAGCCACTTCTCTCACGCACAGGCAAGCACACATAACAATTTCACGCTAGTGCCAGAAACAAGGCAGGAGGTCATCAGGCTGAAGCAATCGCCGTTTGACGCCGGCAATTTGCTGGGCTTAACATTCAATCAAATAAAAGTGTGGGGGTAGGCGCCCTGGCTGGCGAACAGGTTTCACTCTGTCCCTTAACCTTAAATATTCTATAACATTCACACAAACACCATCTCATTATCATTATACACATCAGCAACATCTCTCATTTTTGTTCAATTCGGAAAGCCCATGCTAGATTGCCTTGTCCGATTTGAGTAGCAGTAGGATTGATCGTCAGCAATCCTTTCTCGTTGATGGTATATTTGACAATACCTTTTGCACCCAAAAGTGTAATCACATCACCATTTCGAACAGGGATAGGAGATGTAAAAGTGTAGGAAGTGGAAGGCTTCGACAATGAAATCATGTAGAACAGCCCATCTTTGGTCGTAAATCGCCAATCGCCTTCTTGTGGGGTAAGATTCCAATAACGAGTACCATAAATCGCTTCACCGTTCGTTTTGAGCCATTTACCCATGCCCAAAAGTGAGTCTTGCTGTGCTTTTGGAATCACGCCCGAAGCTTCAGGTCCGAAATTGATCAAATAGTTTCCATTCTTGCTTACCACATCCACCAACATCTTTACCAATTGTTGTGGTGTTTTGTAGGCAGAAGGTGCATCTTGTGCATTAAAGCCAAAGCTAAACGGTGCCAAACCTTCATTCGTTTCCCATAAGTTCTGTACCGTACCTGAATAGGTTGCATATTCAGGTGTTCCAAATCCATTCCATAAACAACCACATCTATTGTTCATCACTACATTTTGACCACGTTTGCGGGCTTCATTGTACCATTTTGCTGCGTTTTGACAACCACGCGAAGGTCCACCAATATCACACCACATGATATTCGTTCGGTAATCTTCCATCAAGATCTGTTGTTGTGGACTTTGAATATCATCGATAAAGTCATCTTTTTCAATAAATCCGGTATAAGGAACGGCTTCTCCCGTATACGCATTACGGTATGGACCTCCAGCGAACAGCTCAAACCCATAAGGGTTTTGAATTGGATTAAACCACTCCACCGGACTGAAGTACGTTCCAAATCTTACCGTGGAGTTCTGGGCTGCCAGCATCAATTCTTTCATCAGATCTCGTTTGGGTCCATAAGTGAGTGAATTGCGATTGCTTGTATCCTTTGTGTCAAACAGTGCGAACCCATCATGATGTTTAGTCGTCCCGACAGAGTATCTTGCACCAGAAGCTTCCATCAAAGCAACCCACTGAGAAGCATCAAATTTGGCTGCAGTGAATTTCTCAAAAAAGTCATCATAATTGAATTGTTCACCATACGTCTTGAGATGATGTGCTTTTGTGTAATTGTTCGTGCTCATATCGTGCATGTACCATTCCGCATAAAAGTCAGCACCATAAGCCGGAACAGAATAAGGTCCATAATGGAACATGATTCCCAGTTTTGCATCTCGCCACCAATTCGGTGCTTGTACACGTGAGAGTGATGCATCACTGCTGTCATAATCCGTCAAACCAGGTTGGACTAACCAGCCTGGAGAAATCGTTAACCAATGACCTGAATTTGCATCTCGGATCGTCACTGTAGCACGTTCTTTATCACCATTTCCACCCGTGACCGGTACATCAACACGAATGAAATTTCCTTTTGGTAATCGAGTCACTCTTGCAGGCTTTAATGTTTTGGCTGTGCGGGAATGCACTTCAACAGTAATCGGTTGTGCTGCATCGCCATGGGTAGGTGTATTGACCACCACCACTTCTACGAATTGAACTCGTTCTCCATCAATGTCATCCCATCTTTGAGTGAATTGCACACTTTCCACAAAGTATTGCTTCTGAGACTCTCCTTGCAATGCGGGCGTGGTGACTAAAGTAGCCGCAAAGATATGCCATGCAGGATCATTTTTGGATGTTGGAATCATTGCACTCTCCAGGTATGACACAACACGAGGTTTGATCAGAGGCACAGTCACACTCTCTAATTCAGAGTCAGTGTACGGCAATGGGATTTCCAGAGAGTGAATTTGGGTTCGGTTCTGCGGACTCGTACCATCTTTGAGCATCGGTCCTCCCACTTTACCTTCCTTTGTCCAAGAGTATGGTCCTACAATTGCCGAATTGTGAAGGTATTGCCAATTTTGCCATTGTGGTACAAGTGCGTTGTAGGTGAACGTCTTTCCATCTGTGTACTTGAACACAAAATCACCCGGTATTTGAATATCAACCGACAATCGGTTCACGTCCGAAGCAGCAAGTAATTTGAGAGCATAGTAACGCCCTTTTGGCAATGCTATTGTTGTGCCATTACACTTGAGATTATCAAACACTGGCTCGCCATAGCTATGTTGAAGTTGAAAGAGCGTATCACCAACATAAATCTTGCCGGTAGGAAAGCCCTCAGCTGCAAATGAGGCACCATTACCATCAAAGCTGCCTTTTTCCAATTGTTCAACTCCCTTTGCTACACCTTGATTGTTAAATACAGGTCTAAGATCCACAATCGTATAGGTAGAAGCGCTATCATCTCTTGGCCAGAGAGATGCAGAATAGAACAACAGTACAGCTATGATGAGAGCGATTAGAGAAGAGACTCCCGTTGTCTCGAAGTTGAGCCAAGTTGCCTTTCTTCGAGCAGGAGCTTCCGTGGTTGCATGTGAAAGTAACGGCGTACGTAAGTTGACTTCATCCTCCTCTTCATGTTCGTGTGTTTCAGCTTGTTCTTTTGCTTCCTTTTCGTCTGCCATATCTTTCATGTGATCAGTGATGTATTGTGTGTTTCTACCTTCGTCCGATGACAAAATGTCCATTTAGGAATTGCAATCAATCAATAGACTGTGGTTGCTTATGATGGCATATAAAGACGCAATGCTCGAGTAAAGGAAGGATACCCCATCTCGATCAGTTGTGTGGAAGAAAACAGCGTGACCTTGCTGGAGACGGGCACCGTTGAAGTCTTTCGGAATCGAATGCCCGTAATAACAGCATGCCAGTCCCGGCTCCGGTGTCATCAGTAATATCTAAAGCATACGGCCTGATGACCTGCTTTTACCTTCCGCTAACGGCGCCGCATCTTTATGTGAGTCTGAAGACAGCATCATTGTTGAATTTAGGATGGTAAATGATGATTATCCAGCAATGATGAGGAAGTATTCATCCTGACTACTATCATTTTGCCTCTTGTGTGGCAATGACTCAACCGGTATACGACAATTGATGACACTGAGAGAGACTCGGGAGATCTGCTTTTATCCTTTACTTTATGGAATGCAGCAATAGCAATAATCGTCGGCAAAGCAACGATGCAATCAACAACCGACGGCAAGTTGCTTGTACTGAACAAAAACAAAGGGGAGAAAAGTCTGCAAGATTAAAAGTGTGGCGTAAGTTTGGTTGGATTATGCATAGAAGCACACAAGCACTAGCGTCGTACCAAATTAACGGTGCAAAGGCCGCTTCTCGCCCTTCTTCACCTTTTGCGGACAGTGTAATGCATGCACACAATGCATACATTCAAACAATCAACATAAAGGGGTCTTTGCATCTTCAACATCAACAATCATCTACCACAAAAACAAAAATGTCAGAAACAGAAAGTTTTATCAAAAATGATCAGAGTGCTCAAAACGAAGGCGCATTGCCTACGATAGAGTCAAGATCTACACCTCAACCGCACCCTGCCAGTGTTTTAGGCTTGAGTATCGCAACTGCAATTTGGTATCTTTGTCTTTCGATAAAAACATTAATGGCAAAAGATATGACAAGATGGGTTTGGTTATTGTTGTTTTGTTTCTCATGTTTGATCTTTACTGTTAATTCAGCCGAACAAGTTCAAATTTTAACAAGCATCTTTCCGGCTTCAAGAAGGAATGAAGCATTAACCACAACCAAAAAAGCAGCTCACCTGAAATTATACTTAATAAACGCAATTGCCCTTCCGGTGGGATTATATACATTTGCATTCTCAAGTGAATATTCAGCAAACTTTGATAAGGATGCCAAAACTGAGTTGATTGGAATCGGAACAATTCTTTTTGTTCCATATTTGATGGTCGTTGGATTAAATTCTCCTAGCAATCAATAAAACAAAAAGGGCGGGACAGGTACACACTAAATTACAAACAAGAAATTTGTCGATCACAAAATCCAATCGATTGGTTTGGCTTAAATTGCCCTTTGTTTTCTTTTTTCCTCCTCAACCGGTTTTGGTTTTGATGCTGTGCCGTTGTACGCATACCTTAGCGGCAAAAAATTTAATTAATTACCATTGTGCAAGCAAGAATCACATGGTCGAAATTTTAATAAAGGAGATTTGCGTGGAATGTTTGGTTTTTTCTCTTGGCTACTAGCATTAACTAGTATCGGTTGTCCTTATATAATCTCGTCGCTTTCTTTCATCTGCAGAATTGTACTACATCTTTCTGATTGATTATGATGTTCCTCTTTCTGTTATCTTATCTTGTCCCTTTGCCTTACGCGTAAGCATTTGTTCGGTTGCCGAGCAATGGCTGTGATTTTATTCGGTTCTTAAGTTTGGCTCGTGAATGGTGGGTTAGGGTTAGTGTCTGTTTTGTGAAAAGAGCAACTTGCGGGGGAAGGTATTCCTCTCCACAACCTCATCATATGTCCCATAGCAAAGATGGTAGCTGCTGCTATCAATAAAAGCTCACAAGGGCTTCTTTCAAGATGGCGATATCAGCCATTCGTAATGCCTTGGTTTGGATTCATCGCACTTTCGTTACTCTTGATCTTTTTTGCTTCGGCGCCGTTTATTGTTTCTCCGCCAAGGAACGTACAAGCACCCGTTTTGACAATATTAAGGATGGAGGTAAGATCATAAGGCTTAATCATTTATGACACGTATGCTAACTACTATCTCTCACACAGAACGGCGAATTTTTCGCTAAGGAGAATCTCAAAAATGGTCCAATCTTGTATGGATGGTTACATGCGATCCCGGGTGGTATTTGGAGTGCATTGATGCCTTTTCAGCACGTCAAATCATTACGAAGAAAGTATCCTGTTCTTCATCGTTGGTCAGGAAGAATAATCATTGCTCTTTCACTCACCTTAGCAATCAGCTCAATGACATTTGGTCCAAATAACTTAATCTTTTCAGCTTCGACGACATATATACACAAGATGAAAGTGGGAGTTGATCGACCAATCACTGTATTGGCTTGGCCTTCATTCCGGATGCTGGTGTGGTTTTTGTCTCCCACATTGATGATCTCTGCCTTACAAACAATCAGAACAGCACGCGCCAAGCAATTTGATCGACATCAATATTGGGCAAGTGTGCTAACTGCAGTTGGTTATTCGATCCCAATGCAAAGGGTGATGATGATCATTCTCTCAATTATAGCCGCTCATTTGCAATATCTATCACCTGAACAACGTGCGTTTTTTCACATCCCAAACGACAATGCGCCAATCATAGAAAAATCTCAAGTGGAAAGAGCAGCTTTTTCCGCAACAGCTTGGGCTTCGGTTGTGGTTATGACGATCTGGTCAGTTACCCAATCATATTGCCGCAATGTGGAGTTAGAAAAGGTGAAAAAGGCAAAGGCGTAATTGAGATGAACGGAGAACGGAGGTGGGTGTACTACTATGTTTATTTTTCTTGTATTCTTACTTGTTCATAAGGAATTGTGATGGTTGTCGGACTTTTATGTTCCTAGCCGAGTATGTGACCATCAGATCGATCTTCGGGGAGGATATTCCACTTTCGGATCGTTATACTTAGCGATACGCTCGTGTGATCATGATGGGGTTCGGAAGAACGAGCCGTTGAAATAGGGCTCTTATTCAATTAGGAACGGTTGATCTCCTTTTACATTCTTCTTTAGAAAGAGACAGGATCCTTTCCAACGGTTATGAAAAGACGTCATATGCATGTATGGATAGCCTAATTTTACGGTACCGAAATGGTTGTGTGCTCATACTGTCCATTTGCCTTTTACCCCGCCACCTTGTTCTCTTGTTACTCTGGGCGTTCCAGAAGTGTAAATCTGTTGTTCACTCTTTTGTCGCGGTACGGTAAGAAGAGAGTGGGCGTTTGATTAGCGGAAAAGAGTGAACGAACGGCCTACGATAATCCGAACGCCGTGGTGTTGTGTAGGCCAAGTGTTTTTTTGTGGGAAAAGGTATTTCGGATTTAAGATGCGAAAAAGTGCTTTTGTGCCTGCCTATCCACACGCAAGGCGTCTTTTTTGGAGAAAACACTGCATATTTAACGGCCCGAATCGCCGAAGAAAAAGAAAAAGAAAAAGTCTTAGCCTCGTCCATCAAAGGAAGAGAAAGAGAAAGGAGAGGGATCATCTTGACCACTAATGATATTCTCATCTTTTAATCAAACAATCATATTAAACAGGGATCTGGATGAATATCAACTCGCTAAAGGACGTCATCTTTTGATGTCAAACCACGTTCATCGTCATCTTTTGTAACAACAACAACAACAGCAACACTCTCTTAATCGGTAATTCCGATTTCCATCCCATTCGCATTTATTCATTTCAACATCTTTGATCATGCCACCTCTTTCACGTAATCGAGCAGCTCCTTATGATCGTTTTACAGACGCAAGTGCTTCTGCCGTTTCATCAGGTTACACAGCAGCAATGTCACTCGGTCCACAACCAAAGATGAACGGATCCATAGCCGATTCAGAAGAAGGTGCAGATTGGTTGCGAAACCTCAAGCAAGTTTCAGGTATGTATGATGGTGGACCTGGATCGGGTGTTTATATTGGCGATCCGGCAAACGCACAAGATGATTCGGAAGACGAAGATGAACTTGATAGTGAAGGTGAACAAATACAAAATCGACCAAAGAAACGTACAAAAGGAGGAAAACCATCAAAACGCAATTCAAAAGGATCAGTAGCGGGAAATGAAGATTCTGCAGCTGCAACGAGGAAAGCACAGAATAGACTCGCACAAAGGGAATTCAGACAACGCAAGCAACAGTACATCAGGGCATTGGAGACGAGGGTAGAGCTCTTGTCCTCTGATCATGACACACAAGTGGACAGGTTGCGGTGGGCATTGCGTGGGCTGCTGGCAGAGAATAATCAATTACGACAAATTGTGGCAGCATTTGCGTCTTTTGTTGGATTGCAGCAGATCGGTGGACCACTGCAAAAAGCAGGCGTGTCAAGGCAAGATTTGGAAGATCTCATCAGTAACTCTGCTGAGAAGGTCATGACAGATGCATGGCAACACTGGCCAGGAGCGAGAGAATGTGAAGCATTACGACAGATTCGATTGGACAGCAACCTTCCACCTGAAGGCTTGCCAGAGAGTAACAAGATACCCGAGAGCGTCAGAGTTCGATCAAACCCAACACCTCCAACAATATCCACACTTGGGACGAATGCTTCCACCTCCAACTCCAAAAGTGCATCGCCCAAGGTGAACGGAACAACTGCAAATGAAGCTACAAAAGGAGGAAAGAAGAAGAAAGAAGCGAATGGCAAGGGAAAAGGAACACCTCTATCACCTTCTTCGAATGCTGCAACGACTGATACGACGACCACACAAGCTCAAACATCCAACGAAGCTGCCACTCCAGCAACAAATGCGCCATCATTCTCTTTGCCGCCGGGCGATAATGCTCATTTGATGGCATCCTTCTTTGGTAACGGGCCAGGAATGCTGCAAAGTCCTGCTCCAACTCCATCTGCGTTTACGTTTACACCTGGTTTCTCGGGTATGCCTACACCTTCGATTGGACCACAAGGGCAAGAATCTAATGCGATTCTGGCAAGCTTGTTTGGGTCAAGTGGAATGTCAGGATTCATGGGACCAGGTGGGATCAATGGTAACCCTAATCAAGGTATGAATCCATTCGGACAACAAGGACCACCACAACAGCATGGCGGACAAGATATGAATGGGATGTCATCACCTTTCTCTCGTCAAAAGATGAATGGTGGAGAAGAACCAGAAGAAGTTCATCGGGTAGAAGCATTGGTAGCACAATTACGCAAAGAACGTGAACGATATGGATCCGGAAAAGATCCGAACGAGCTCAACAAGATCGGGATGGCATTAAACGAATTGATTCGACATATGGCAAACTTTCGCAGACAGCCAAGTTATCATTTACCTTCAGTTTTGGAACCTAGTGAAATTCAACAAACTCGTCCGCATGATCCGTTGATTGATGCATTGCCATTCCCGGGTGTACGTCAAAACCTTATCGCTCAACAAGAGAACCTAGTGATTGAAGATGTTGTTTTGAGTATTTTGCAATTCAGCACTCTACATCCGGGAGACGTAACGGATGAACATAGTTGGGAATTGCTTTATGGATTCTTGATTGCCTACCCACAACTTGTTGATCAACGTACGTTGGATAATGCGAACAGATGGAGAGCAAGAAGAAAAGAATCCATTTTAACTTTTGATGATTTAACTTTGAGGCATGTTTAAGAAACAATAAAAATACCCCCTCTCTTTCAAAAAATGATGTAGCACTATGGGCACACGATTGTCCGAACCAAAAAGAACCCTATTGTATTTCGTATTGGGGCCGTGATGTAATACAAGTCTATCGAGTATATCATTGCATGGTGGTCAGAGCCAGAGAGTGAGAAGCATTAATAATCAGCATCACTTTGGCGTATATAATCAACCTCTTTCTTTCGTACGTAAGCAGATTATCCATGAAGCCGACGTGCCAGGTGCCTTAAAGGAGTCGATTTGATGGTGAGAGCACGTTCGCAATAAAAGCTTAAAAGTCACTTTCCGATATGCCCTGAAATGCAGCCAGCTTAACACGGAAGAACACGTTCCCCCAAAAGGTGCATTCAGATTAAAACGCGCCAATTTAGTGCCATCAGCCACAGGTGTTGTTGTTCAGCGCACAATGGAACTGTTTTAAGATGGGGATTCCAATTCAAAATTTAAACTTTTTATTGCTGCTAACACAACAACCAACGGCAACTGACTGACTGACATTGGCGCCGACATCTTCTCTCCAGCCCAGACAATGGACGGCATAACTTCAATCAGCCGTATAAATGCAATTAAGGGGCTTGTGCAGATTCAAGGCAGGCAATCTACAAGTATCGGGTCAATCTTGCATATGCTTTAACATGAATAGAACATGCTCTACCTTTAAGAAGCACACGTTGCTTCATATATGATAGTGTAAATAGAACACGGGCATGTAAGGGAATCTCAATCTTATAACAAAATTTAAGTTTTTAATGTGTTGATCTTTTATGTTGTTGTTCTTTCCATCAACAACAACATTCATCGGAACGTGTTCTTTTAGTCAACATACATATCGCCGTGACAAGAAGAAGACAGTATTGCACTCATATCTTGCACATAAAAACACATTTTTGACGGCAGGAACGAAACTCGTGTGAGTATCTTGACTCTCTCTTTCTCCGCAAATAATGCTTCCGAAACGGTCGTGTTGGATGTGCAGAAACTGTCAAACAGATACAGATTAAAAGTGAACATTTGCTCACATCTCTTTTTCCTTCCCGCCATCATCGCCACCCGTGTTACCTACTCTCCAGCGTCATTTCTTAGACGTTCGTTGATCTAGATTGCCTGCTTTGCATCATTTGCCACAGCACTTGAATTTGCAACCATGGCATCAGCTCAAACTGCTTCGGTCAACTTGAACCGTTCATTGCCATACGCAAACACTGATCAAAAGAGACCTAAATTACGCGTTGCCATCGTGACAGGTAAGTGATCACCACGAGAAACATCCCTGGAACGCGTCTAGGATGGATAAGCTTACGCGTAATCATCTCTCTCATCCAAACAGAAAACTTTTTACCAAAAGTAGACGGTGTCACTCGTACTTTGGCTAGATTGTTAGAACATCTCAACGCAGAAGGTCATGAAGCCATCGTTTTTGGACCCGAAACGGGAATCAGACAGTATGCCGGTCATGCTGTTGTAGGAACGTTTGGTGTTCCGTTGATCGTTTATCCGGGTTTAAAGTTGAATTTTATGCGTCCAAGATTCGTTAGAAGGTTACAACAATTCAAGCCTGATGTGATTCACTTTGTTGATCCGATTTGGTTAGGCGCTCAAATGTTACCGGCCGTACAAAAATGGTTACCTCACGTCCCTTGTGTCAGCTCTTATCATACAAATTTACCAACATATGCAACGCTCTTTGGTATGCCATGGCTCGAGGAGACGATGTGGAACCTTACACGCAGCTTGCATGCCCGTTGCGAGATGGTGTTTTGTCCATCAGAAAGCACGCGAAGGATGTTACGTGGAAAAGGATTCGAAAATGTAGAAATTTGGAGTAGAGGTGTTGATACAACAATGTTTGGTCCTTCTGCCCGTGATGATAACCTACGTGCAAGTTGGGGATGTACACCTAATCCAGCCACATTACAAAACACAAGCTTGAGCTCAAGTGAAGCAGAACAATTGGCTTTGGTTCAATTAGCTGCAAAATTGGGCATTCAAGTTTCTCGTGGTTCTTCAGCTATGCATCGTAGAAAATCTCAATTGACGAATGGAAACAGTCCAGATGATGAAAGTTTCATTCGTACGCCACCAACTGGACCTTCTCTTACTGGATCGCCAGAGTTAAGTCCACCGCCAAGTTATGATAGCTTGTCTGGCGTACCTGAATTGCCCGGTGCAGCATTTGAACTTCCACCGCCTGCATTGCCTACGAACAACAAATCATCCTCTCAAGTGGTCACTTCAACAATCACAGCAAACACACAACAACAAACCAGCAAAACTGTCCTTCTATATGTTGGTCGTATCTCGTGGGAGAAGAATATCAGACTCTTGATTGAAGCTTTTAGAGTTTTACCCGCCCCAGTTCGCGCTAATGCAAAATTAGTCATTGTAGGTGATGGACCAGCGCGCGCAGATCTTACTCGATTATGTCAAAAATATCAGCTCGATGCCACCTTCATGGGACATCAAAAAGGACAAAGATTAGCATCAATGTATGCTTCATCAAGCCTGTTCGCTTTTCCTTCGTTTACAGAGACGTTTGGCCAAGTCGTTCTAGAAGCTCTTGCGAGTGGATTACCAGTCATTGGATTGCATGCAGAAGGTACTTCTGATTTGGTTTCTCACGGTACAACTGGTCTTTTACTCGATGTCAAAGCATCTTCCACGCCCTCCTCCCCAAGAAGTTCGCCTCAAAAGAACAGACTAGCAGCTTTGCGAGGTGAAAGCACATTAACAAACAAGACAACATCGGATTTATCTGGTTCAGATACGACAAATGGGTTGCCAACTCCAATTCCTTCGGTTGGTGAATTTGCCTTTGCAATGCACCCAAACACACCAGCTTTCGAATCTTGCACTAGAGAGTACAGTCTGTTACTCGAACGTCTGATTCGAGATCGTAACTTACGAACCGCGATGGGACAACGTGCACAAATTCAAGCTTCCAAAAAGACATGGTGGGATGCAATGGATGCCGTTGTTAGAGGATACGAAAAGGTCATTCAAGAAAGAGGAACTTCAAACCTTTCCGATGAAGAATTAGAAGCTTTGAGAAAAGAACAACAAAAAGTTGCTCCTCTTACAGGCCCGATCGCTAAATTGTGCGTGGTTGTTTATTTGGCTTTGTTCGTTGCTCTTTGGTTATCAATGTTACGTGATTAGACGCATTTTATACACATTTTCTTATTTATTCTATACCCTTTCTTTCCTTGTCTGCTCAATCGTCACTTTTGCTGCTTTATACTATACACTTTCTAAGACTGTACCATACTCTTTCATATTTCGGAGCAATCATGAATATCATTATGCTATCTACCTTTAATATATTTGTCATCGCCCTGCTTAACGTTTGCCACCTTAATGTATACTACCACCGCTTCCGCCACTTCCCTGTGCCGGAGAGCTGTTCATTACGGGCTCCTTTCTCGGTACTAACAGTGGATTAAGCTTAGTCTGTGATGCAGAAGAAAGTGTCAATATTACTTCACAGTGACGGGGTGTACTAAAGCTTGATACTGACTGGGATGACAGCCGCTTGAACCAATAGGGCACAAACAAGTGAAAAAATAAGAAAATGATTGATCACTTTTATGAACATCATTGGTTTTTGAACTTGAAGCTTGAAAGAAGTTGTCCAATTGAAAGATTGGGGAAGGGAAGTGATCTTTCACAAATGAAGGCCGTTTATATATGAATGTTTTGTTTTCTCATAAGATGTTATTCGCGGGTAAACTCCGATCGAATACGGTACCTTTAAAACGGAAACGCCGTCCACAAATGAAGGCCGTTTATGATGTATAAATGTTATGTTTTCTCATAAAGATGTTATTCGCGGGTAAACTCTGATCGAATACGGTACCGTTAAAACGGAAACGCCGTCCTGTATGTGCGGACATCCGTTAACGGTGATTCGACGGTGATTGAGAATAGATTAAGCAGTGGATCAATTTAGTATTAATAGATTAGCTGATATTTCCTCATTCTCACAACTAGGAAATGGATTTTAGTCTTAATTTGATACTTATATAAATAGAAAGTAGAGATTATCAAGATATATCTGTTGAAATCTGGATGACCGATCCCGCCAAACAAATGCATCCGCTCACAAGGCGTTCAGCCGCCTTTGCCAGGTGGCTTACTGCGCCAGTTGCTATGTATATTATCGAAGAACAAAAATAGCATATGTAATGTACATTCAGCATTTGTCAGACAAATTTGATAATTGAAATATTCCGTACTCTGCTTGTACGTCTTAGGTCACGCAGCAAACCTCAACCCAGTCTCCTGTATCACACAGAATTCGTGAACTTCAACAATATTGAAGTAAGAATTTTAATAAAGAGATTATGAAAGTTATAATGTATCGATTTGGATACTATAGAGCTTCTTTGAATGGAAACAAGAAATACAAGTGTAAAAATATATTCATAATAAAGCTCAGTCAAAGACTTAAAAAAGTTTTATAACCCTAACATTTTCCTTATAATCATTATCAAGCTTCCAAAACTACCAGTTTGCGCCATACTCTTTCGTATTTTGCAATAATGATGATAGCATAAGACCATCAGTACATAAACATACCATGACAAGAGTACCGAAGAAAGTGTTTTCTACGCTTCTCATGTCAGAGCTTTTCTGGACCATGATGGTAAGCACCGCTTCCGCCATATCCCTCTGCTGGGGGGTTACTGTACACAGGTTTATGCCTAGCCACAAATGTTTGAGCGGACGTTGCCTGTATTCCAAATAATGTTTCAGTAACAATGTACAATAGAAACTTGTATATGATCGTGAGACTCACCTTTAAAACAGCAGACTTGACCGTCAAGGCTGAAAGCAAAAGCAAGGAAAAAATAAGAAGACCGTAAAGCGACTTTGACAACATTTTTGTTCAAATAATAAATCTTGAAAAGAGGTATTGTAAAAATAAAAGATGGGAGAAATAAATGAAAATTCTAACAATTAGACATTGTGGTTAAATACTGTTTTCCAATGAGTCCTCTTCTTTAAATTTTTAATCTGGAATGGCTCCTCAATGACGTAAGACCGGAATGTACCATTTTGATCGAGACAAAGATGCGTATAACGTAGGAATCGAGATAAGCGCGATTACTCCTATATGTCCCGGGATGATGTAAAGAAATGGCGGACACGACAAGGCGAAGGAATGAAAAGAGAATTGGAGTAAGATTTCTTATTGCATCAGCTGCTGCATGAAATCTGGCAACGATTGCGTACCTTAATCTGGTTCTGCTCTCACTGTACCCACACAGAACTTGTATTGATGACGTATGAGAAAGGGAGTAGTATTCTCACTCTCCCCGTACTTTATTGCAAGCCCGAAATCATTCAATTCCTTATAGAAAGGATCTCTTACTGTGTTATAAAATGACTTTGTAAAGATTAGTTGAATAAAGAGATTATGAAAGCTATAATCGATCGATTTAGATACTATAGAGCTTCTTTAAATGGAAACAAGAAATAAAAGTAGTATTGAACCATAAAATGTTTCAGATTTATAAAATATATTTATGATAAAACTCGGTCAAAACCTTAAAAAAACTTTATAGACCTAATTTTTTTCATCATGCTTCCAAATATACGAGTTTGCGCCATACTCTTTCATATTTTGCATCAATGATGATAGCATAATGCAATCAGTACATAATCATACCATGACAAGAGTACCGAAGAATGTATTTTCTACGCTTCTCATGTCAGAGCTTTACTGATTTAATGATGTTCACCACCGTCTCCGCCATTTCCCTGTTTTGGGTTAACATTCGCCGCAGGTGTATCCCTAGCCACAAACTCTGGAACGGACATTGTCTGTATTCCAAATAACTTTTCAGCAACAGCGCAAGATTGTACTTCATATACGATCGCGAAACTCACCTTCAAAACAGCAGATTTGACCGTCAATGCTGAAAGCAAAAACAAGAACGGAATGAAAAGGCCGTAAACCGACTTTGAAAACATTTTTGCTCAAATAAAAAATTTGAAAAGAGGTACTGTAAAAACAAAAGATAAGAGAAATAAATGAAAATTCTAACAATTAGACATTGTGGTTAAATACTTTTTTTTAATGAGCCCTCTACTTTAATCTTTGATCTGGATTGGCTCCTCAATGACGTATGACCGGAATGTACCATCTTGATCGAAACAAAGATGCGTATAACGTAGGAATCGAGATAAGCGCGATCACTCCTATATGTCCCGGGATGATGGAAAGAAATGGCGGATACGACAAGGCGAAGGAATGAATGAATGAATGAATGAAAAGAGAATTAGAGTAAGATTTATTATTGCATCAGTTGCTACATGAAATCTGGCAACGATTGCGTACCTTAATCTGGTTTTGCTCTCACTATCCCCACACAGAACTTGTTTTGATGACGTATGAAAAAGGGAGTAATATTCTTACTCTCCCCGAGCTTTAATGCAAGCCCGGCGTCATTTATCTCCTTATAGATAGGATTTCTTACTGTGTTGCGATATGGCTTCGTAAAAGATGACCACCATGCACAGTTATCTACCACTCTCTCTTTTTGCTTACCTAACCATGCAATCTTCTTCGTAATCTTTGCCCCCAACACATCATCCTCAATCTTTCTTCTCTACGCCCAGAGCAGCAAATAAAACGCCCAACAAAGTACACTGCAAATTCGCCCACGCGTTTAATCGCGTTTATTTACGCCCAGAGTGTGTAGTGTTGTAACTCTATAGAATTTCTTATTAAACGAGAAAAACTTGAGTTTGACTGCATAAAAAGAGAAAAAAATCAAAAAAGGAAGCCACCGAAAGTAGACCGTAGAGTGTGCTAATGTGCCAGCTTAAAACACGCCCTATAACGCACGGTGTACACAAGTTCCTTAACTTCAAAAATCTTCTTCCTTTTGGGAAAACTAATCAAGAACACTCTCTCTTGTCACCATCTCCGTCTTCTTTCCTCATCACAACAAAAACCAATCAACATGGCCGCTGCATCATCTGCTCGTCATGCCATGGCTAGATTGCCTCGTTTGACTCGTTCGTTACACAGTACAGCATCGGCTCCATCTTCGTCTGTTCTGTTACCACGTTCAAATGCAGGATTGGCAACAAAGAACCCAATCCGGGCAACTGCTATGGAAGCTGCACGTTTGACAGCCATCTCATCCTCTTCTTCTAGAAACGCATCAACAGACGGAAAACCACAAGAGATGACCGTTCGTGATGCATTAAACAGTGCAATGGAAGAAGAAATGTTGAGGGATGATAAAGTTTTCCTTTTGGGTGAAGAAGTTGCACGTTATAATGGTGCATACAAAATCACACGTGGTCTCTTGGACAAATTCGGAGAACGTCGTGTGATCGATACTCCAATCACAGAATCAGGTTTCACAGGTTTGGCCGTTGGTGCTGCTTTGGCAGGTTTAAAGCCAATTTGTGAATTCATGACTTTCAACTTTGCCATGCAAGCAATCGATCAAATTATCAACTCAGGTGGTAAGACTCATTACATGTCCGGTGGTAATGTTCCTTGCCCTGTCGTCTTCCGTGGTCCAAACGGTGCTGCTGCCGGTGTTGGTGCTCAACATTCGCAAGATTACTCTGCTTGGTACGGTCAAATTCCCGGTTTAAAGGTTATTAGCCCTTGGAGTGCAGAAGATTGCCGTGGTTTACTCAAGGCTGCCATTCGTGATCCTAACCCAGTCGTCTTTTTGGAAAATGAAATCTTGTACGGTCAATCATTCCCAGTCTCACAAGAAGTCCTATCGGAGGATTTCACTCTGGAAATCGGAAAAGCAAAGATTGAACGTCCAGGTAAAGATCTCACAATCGTTTCTCACACTCTCGGATTGAATCACTCAATGGCCGCTGCTGAACAATTGAAAAAGGATGAAGGTGTTGAGGTGGAAGTGATTAACTTGCGTTCGATTCGTCCTTTGGATATCAAGACGATCATCGAAAGTGTCAAAAAGACAAACAGATTGGTCACAGTTGAAGGTGGTTTCCCAGCATTCGGTGTTGGATCAGAAATTTGCGCACAAATTATGGAAAGTGATGCATTTGATCATCTTGATGCACCCGTCGAACGTGTCACAGGTGCTGATGTCCCTACACCTTATGCAAAGAACTTGGAAGATTTATCCTTCCCTGATGCGGCCATCATCACAAAGGTTGCCAAACGTGCTCTATACCGATCATAAAAGGCATGCACTAGCTGTCTCTTGCACTCATACTATACTCAGTCTATTCAAATGTAACATGATTCCTACTTTCGCTCACATTAGCGATCAAGAGAAATGACATTCTATCGCATTAGCGAATGCACAAAGTTGGTATTGGAAGTGAGTGATTTGCCTAGAAGCACATCAGGCTTTGAGGAATTTAGCATGGTAGGTTACATGCTCTGGGGCATAAGTAGAAATGAAGTAGTAGCTATGGTCGTATCCGTCTTGCAAGCGAATTGTGATGTGTTCATCGGTGTATCCTTGATCCATTGCAGCTTTTGCGAAATCTTCAGGAAGAAGTTGTTTATCATTGTAGAAATTATCTGCCAAACCTGAATCGATCAAGATGTTTAGCTTACGTTTATCAGGACCGCCGGCTTGAAGGAGTAATTCGGTTGCATCGTTTGCTTTTCCTTCTCCAACGCCACCTTGCAAGTAGTTTGAGAATGCCTTTTCACCCCAAGGACATTTTGTTGGATGACAGATAGGTGCGAAAGCAGAAGCGGATTTGTAAAGGGATGGATTTTTGAGATAAAGCGTTAAAGCTCCATGACCGCCCATAGAATGACCAGAGATGGAAGCTTTTGTTAAGTCGAGCGGAAGGTTGTTCGATTTCAAGACTTCTGGGAGTTCCTTTGTGATAAAGTCATACATGTTGTAATTTTTGTTCCAAGGTGCTTTTGTTGCATTGATATAGAATCCAGCACCTGATCCGAAATCATACGAATCATCTTCACCTTCAATCTTTGCGCCACGTGGACTTGTATCAGGGAAGACTAGGGCGATACCTTGTTTTGCAGCTTCTTGTTGGAATCCACCTTTTTGTGCACCATTATCTTCCGTGCAAGTTAAACCGGCCAAATAATACAAGACTGGTACCTTTTTTCCACCTGAGACTGCTTCAGAAGGTAAGAATACGTTTATATTTGTCTCTAAATCTCCCAATGTTTTGGATTTAAAGCTATACTTTCGTAATTCTCCTCCAAAGTTTTTATTTGATGATTTTTGTGTGAATGACATGATGTGTTGTTGTTGATGTGATGGTTGTTTGTGATGATGTCTTTCCCTCCTTCTTCCCCATCAAGTCACTCTTTTTTCTCCACATCGCCTAGCGCGCTTGTATTTCCGACAACTCAAATTCAAAAACCGTCGTAGGCTGAACTGCATTGCATATTGATTGCACTTTAAGCGCCAGACTGCATATACACGTGAACAACAGCTGGAAGAAATGAATATTCAAAGAATGAATGTTGATCAACACCATCACAACAATAAATGCGCAATGGGTGACTTTTATGTGCGGTATTAGTGAGTATTGCAGATGAAATCCAGCAAAACAGCACATGCTAATAAACACGCTCTCAATACATCACAGCACCGGACATCAGGGAAGACATGGACATGAATTCTTAGAATTCGAATATTCTCGCGGAAGGCTACGATATGCCAACAATTCCAATTATCGCAACGACAGCCTGATCCGAAAGGAGATGTTTGTAGGGCCATTGGTGGTAGAGCAATTACGTGAATTGATTGAAGAAAGTGAAATAATACGTGAAGATGATGAAAAATGGCCAGAGAAAAACGTTGGTGGAAAACAAGAATTAGAGATTCGAATTGGCAATCAACATATTTCATTTGAAACGGCAAAGATTGGTGCTTTGGTGGACGTTCAGGATTCTGAAGATCCGGAAGGATTAAGAGTGTTTTATTATTTGGTACAAGATTTGAAATGTCTGATCTTTAGCTTGATCAATTTGCACTTCAAGATTAAACCAATTTGAACCTCAAAGATGTACTTTTACGCAAATATATGCGCCATACTGTAATTGTATTCCATTAATCAGCAATAGTAACGAATTTTGCTATTAATGTCGGAGAAGAAGCACCAATCAAGATGACTTTGAATGAGAATGACATTGTGAGTAAGATTATACATTGACATGATCAGAAACAGGAGGGGAAGCTCATCAACACCCTTTACGCAATTGTGAGGGTGCGGTAGGCTAGAGAGATACAAACACTTCTATCTCTCACTTCAAATCTTCCGGTACACCCCCGTCCAACCAAACTTTTGCACTGCGTAGGAGATCATCATGTTCCTTGCCTCTATGTCCCGGCATATCACGTTTCACTTTGATAGGAGATGCAGTTTTTCCTTTCATGGACATCTCTTGACAGTAGCCTAAGTAACGATATCCGGATGGGAATGTGGCAAGCAGTTCATCATCTAACTCAGGGACCTGAAATGGATTGAAAAAAATTAGACATTCATTCATCTTTTCGATCAGTTTTCCTTGACTCACCTTTCTAGGGTCGACAGGAATCAGCTTATCCTTCTCATACCAATGACGAACAAGTTTGGCACCCCAATTTCGCTGTCCATCTGGAGCTGTATACTGTTCAAAAAAGAAGCAGAAGCGGCAGTCCGATTCGGCATCTACTTCAATTCCATCCAGTGAGAATCTTTGTGTGATTGTGGCTTTCATCTTGCAAATTGCACGATTGCCTAATAGATCAACAGATGTTCCATGTATGCGATGCATGATAAAGACACCTGCTTCCCTGTTGAGGTGAGATGGAGTTAAGATATTGTTCTAAGACGCAAAGCAACTATTCCTCTACTCACATGCCACCTTTGCTCGCTTCGATAAAGTCATCAATATGTGTTTTACCGGTCCATGTCGTATACACATAAGCTCCTTCAGGATGAAAGATTGAACGAAAGTTTTCCCATTCACGAGAATCCCTATACATTGGCCATCCTTGTGCAAGCTCAACTATACGCCAGCGTTCGAGCGCAGATTCTGGTGAACCGCTGAAGAGGAGAGAGAGAGTAGGTCAATCAAGTTGAATGCCAATTGCAAACAGAGACGTCTAAACCTCCTTTTTACCCACTTATTTCTACTTGCTCGATCTGGTCGTGTACCGGAAGGAAGGCCAGAAAGGGGTACAGATTCGCTCATTGTGAAGCATGAATAGTGGTGTTAATGGGATGAAAGTGGGGTTGATCGTTCTTTCCTCTTTTTTATATATAAATGCTTCTCCGATATACCGGAGTTGGAATCGGATGCATGCATGAGCACAGTGTAGAATATAAGGCGCACCGCCCGCACCGCTGTCATGTTTAGCGTAAAAGAGAACTAAGATCTAAACGATCATCTTCTTTGTCTTGCTTCAATGTCAACCAATCATATTCTAGTATACAAAGAAAGCTGTCCTCTCAGAACATCTACGTTCGTCAGCAGGACAAATAAGAGGTATCAGATTATCAAATCGCTCAATTTGGCTTCATTATTTCGTATGTACAGCAGCGGACTTTGGTATTCCATTGCAATTCAATTCATCTCGGGTGCTCGCCTGTCTCCACAGTTCGTTTTGAGCAGCCTTGATCTGCGTTTCTGATAGATTGACACCAGCAAACAACTGCCAAACTGCTTGTACCTGTTCGGCAATAACATTTATACCTTCAACAACTTTCCAATTGTGCTTCTCGGCCAAGGCGAAAGTGCGGGTCACACGTGGCTTATATGCCATCTCCAACAAAATTCCATTGTTTTGGCTAAGGGTAATCTTAAGTACCGCACTGGCTTGCTTTTCACTTTCCGAACTCGGTTCCAGGTCAGGTACACAGCTCACTCCGATGAGTACAGCCTTTCGTTCTTTTGCATTGACGTTGAAGTTTTGTTGAGCTTGTTCCTCAGTTTCAAGGTGAATAAGTTTTGGGATTATGATTGATGCTAGCTTGAACCCCTTTTCAATGTCTCTTTTGAGGTCATTCACTTCTTTGACATCTCTATTGATGATGTAGATTGTCTTTAAACCAAGTTTCGCTAGAGCGTACACTGCAGCTCGACTGGCTCCTCCTGCCCCCACAATCAGGCCTTCAGAATCGACATCTTCAGGTATGTGAGGCTTTAATGATTCTGAGAGAGTTGAAGGTGTAAGCTGAGTCTATTGGAGTAATGTATCATTCAGCCTTTCGATTACTCACTCAATATTCCTATCCAATCTGTATTCGCTCCCAAAAGTTTATCGTCCCTCTTGTAAATATTATTTATTGCACCAATAGCTTTTGCCGCTTCATCCATCTCTTCAACAACATCAAGAAGTTGAATTTTGAGTGGCATTGTTGGAACGCAACCTATAAAATCATCCTTGCGAATATAAGACAGAGCTTCTTCTTTACTCTTAACGTCAAGATTACTGAACGTCCAATTTGCTCCAATTTGACGTATAACTGTATTATGAATCGCTGGCGCTAAAGCATGACTTACGCCTGAACCTACCAAGTAAAGACTACCTTGCTGTTGCAATGATGGAGGTGTTCCTCGATTCATTTTTCTTATGTAGGAAGGAAGCAAGGATGGTTGCGATGATAAGCAGGAAGCAAGACGCCTTTCATGTCCCTATACCCCGCAATGATTGATTGATGGCGGCCTCCGCTCCGATTTGGATCGGACTTCTAGCGCGCTGGCCCTGCAATGCGCAACGCACGCACGCACATCATCCTTTCGAGTTTATAAGAGCTCACCTCATTCATCTTGCCATTCAATTCGAAGTTAAGGTTCATCCTTGCTATCTGATTAAACAATGGTGTCGATGATAAATCCTTTTTTGATAATCTTTATGATTTTCTCAACTTATTTATTTTTTCTATCGCTGTTAAAGGTTCTATCTAAATCTTTTGAGGGCAAGAGAGTCATCAAAGTTTGAAAGTTACTCTTCGAGCTGTGGAAATCTACTTTGCGCTCATTTATGAGTATTTCAATTATCATCTCGAGCGTGGAAGTAGTTTTGGTTGTGCGTATCTACCAAATGCACGGTAAACTGAGAAAACACAGTAGTTGTCTTTATCTCTAGAACTTGAGGCTCATTCAAAAACTCTTATAGCTAATAGAAACGTAATCAGTTGCATGCAAATTAAGTTCAAAGAATTGCATAACACAAATGAACCTGAACGCTAAGCAAGTGATACAACTCACCTTTCACATACCTCTGTATGCGTTTCTTTAGACTTTTTTTTTTGGCTATGAACTGTTTCGCTCTAGCTTGATCTAGAAAATTCTAATCTTTTAGCCTAGATTGTCCCCCTAGTTATCATGCCATTTGGAATCTCAAATATCATAGTACTTCGTCATACCTAGCTCCGCACTGGTTGTAAAGTATATCGTTCAACTTCGTTTGCTATGGCATCGTCATAACTCCTTAAAGCATACGCGATGATTCTATAAGCTCCTATCAGTAAAGCATCTAAATGAGGAGACAGTATTATACTGTCTATGATTTCTCCTATTGGCATATCTTGTGATTCAACGAATACTTCACCAACTCGTAAAATGTCTTTTTTACTGCTTAGCTATAATTTTCTCATGCTTGCTATCATCATTTTTTTTTAAAAATCTCTATATGTTGCGATCAATAAGCTCCTCTTCTACATTCTTTTATCGTTTTTCAGTAGGAGTCATCACCACAATGAAAAGTATAAAAGAACGACTTTCGTCTTGTTTTATCTAAGAAAGAGAATCTTCTCTACCATTTTCTCCTACCCGCAAAAATATAATCAGAGCTATGGTCTCAAAAATCAACCTCTTCTTTCTTCCTTTAGCCTTAAGTGTCTTCCTGGCTGGAACAATCAGTTCTGCTCAAGAAACAACGCCAGGTTCAAGTGGTGATTTAGGAGGCTTATATCAACCTCCCCATCCGGCAAAACGTATGCCAGAAGGTGCAGCCTTTGGAAACGGAGGTGGTATCAAATCACTCCGTCCGACAAAGGGAAAGCGTGAACCATATGGAAACACAAATCTTCCTCATAGGACTCCCAAAAATCATACAATAAAGCGTGAGCCAGAAGCTATGAATATCTTACCACGCAGGATTACAATTATCCGCACAGGCAAACGTGATGACGACGATGAAACACTATCTGGAAATGTGAACCCAAAGAAACGTAGCCCGCAAGAAGGCGGTGACAGCGGTGTCAATAACAAACCAGCACCACCTTCTGGAGGTGTGAACCCAAAGAAACGTAGCCCACAAAACGGAAACGGTGATGAACCCAACAAAGGAGGAGGACCACCTTCAAAACGTAGCCCACAAGGAGATGGATCTGGCTCTGCCTCTGGCGGAATCGACCACTGATAAACGAGGGCACCCTGCACAATAAATCCAGAATGTAGCACACAAAATGGTGGTGCTAACACTGGCAGCGATGGCGGTGGCAACTTTGAGGATAGAAAAGGTGGCGGAGGCAACATCGGCGGCGGCGGCAGATCAAGCAGTATACCGTGAGTAATCCTTCAAAGTACACTCTAGATCGGAATCTATCAATTTGTTTACATTCTAATCTCAAAACGATATAACGTACTCTTTTTGTTATTCTTTTTGCTATTCTTATATCTTTTTTTCTCTTATACATTTTTTTCTCTTTTCCATATCTATCCTTCTTTTTCCTATATTCAACTTTCTTATAATTCCTACTTATGTTTCTCCCCTTTCTCTAATCATTCTCTTTTTCATATTCTTTTTATCTTTATATTTCCATTTATCATCTTACTTAATGAGCCCTGGGTCCTGTATTCAATGATAACATTGATTTTATTCAATCACTCATTCAGAAATACTGCATCTCTTTGGAATACATTGAAAGGCATTACGCCATCTTAGTGAACATTGATTTTGGAAGCCAGCAGAAGTAGGCCTGTAGATAGATGATCATCAGGCATAACATACTATCCCTCTATATCAGTCTATTGGAAATCTCTTCAAGCATAGTATTGGACCTTCGATATAATTCATGTGGCTAGGATACTCAAGATCTCCTGATCGTTCGATCGTGGTGAGTAGACTAGCGCGGAAGATGTATATCAGTACCATCACACGAGCTCCTAATCGCATTCCTACTTGATTCGCTTCAACGTCGTTCTAGCTCCTTACATCAGTAGTACTATTCCTATAAGCTCCTATAAGTATATCACTAAGATAAAGAAATGCGAACATCACGTCTATAAATTCTCCTAAAAGCATACTTTGTGATCTAACAAACGATTTATTCAAATTATTCCTTCTTTATCGCTCAGCTAGAGCACTTTCATGCTTTCAACCGTCATAGTTCGCGAGTAGGAATTTCTAGATTATAAAGTTGTTCAGCTCCTCTCCTACATTCTTTCACTGAAAATTCAAGCCTTTATTGGAGTGCATGTTTAGAAAATATCAACAAGTTATCAATGTTTACTGATAGGAGGTATGAGCAGGATGAAAGGTATAAATATTGACAGATTTCTTAATTTTTTCCCCCATTCAGACAACAATTCACAACCTCAACCAAAATCGTGAAAGCTATGGTTTCAAAAATCAATCTTTTCTTTTTCCCTTTAGCATTAAGCTTCTTATTATCTCAAAACGTCAACGCTGATGGAATTCACTCGCCTGATAATGTTGCTAAGGCGGTCAAACGTATGCCAGAAGCAACTTTTTCTGGAGGAGTTGTAAAAAAGAGACAAGTTCGTTCTAAGCTCTTTCCGCGAGATGATCATGTTATAGAGACTAAAATCGGCCCGGGAAGACGTGATTCACAAGATCATGTGGTAGAGGATAGTTTCCGCCCGGTAAGACGTGATAAACAACCAGGTCACCAAAAAGGAGAGTCGGGATCAGGTAACCCCAGAGTGCACGGAAGAAGACGTGATTCACAAATAGGTCACCATGGCGGACCAGGCAACCCCAGAGTGCACGATGGCTGAAAATCAAACATGACCCACAAGAAGATGGCGAAATTGATCGTTGTACATAGCTCAAAGCAGTTTTGTACCAGGTTGATGTTCTCCCTTACTCAAGTATGCAAGGTGAAATAACGTATTCAAATTTCAACATTTCTTTTTTATATATTTGCATCCTTTTCTCATTCGATCTCTTCTATCTCTTGTCTATCAATTAATCAGCCATTAGTTTAAGCATGAGTATAGTGCGTGTGTGATTTTACTCCGATTTAAAATCCGATCTGTCTCAACGGTTAATTATGCACGGAGTTTGTGCTATTGAGAAGAAAATATATAAAAAGAAGCTAGAGCAATAACTTCTCATTTAATAGCAGCGCGTCACACACAAAAAGTTATGTCCCTTGCCAACAAAACCAAAGAACCATTGAAAGGTGCCACTTTTGGTAATCCAATCAAACATAGTGTTGGACCATTGGTACATAATCATGTAGCCAAAATACTCAACATTCCTTGGTCATTCGATCATGGTGAATATGCAAGCGTAGAAGAAGTTCATGAGCAACTTCGAGATGGGGCTTTTGGGATGGGAGCAATCACTATGCCATTCAAATCTACAATAATGCCTTTTTTGAATGGCATTGATGAGGAAGCAAATGCAATCGGAGCTGTAAACACAATCAGTCATCTCAATAAAGACGGAAAAGATTGGCTTCAAGGTCATAACACAGACGCAGCAGGAATTGCGCAAGTGTTCAATGAATGCACATCCCTATCAGAAATACCACAGCGAATCGGACTGGTGATCGGATCGGGTGGTGCAGCAAGAGCTGCTGTTTGGGCTCTTTTAATGACACTGAAGTGTACTTCCGTCATGATCGTTGCACGCTATGCCAATGCTGTGGAAGATATGATCAATTCATTCAAGGAAATAGGTAGCAAATATGGGATACCGATTCCAGAATGTGTCTTTCATGTTAAATCGGTCCAGCATGCAAAAAGATTGCTTGCTCAAGGTGTAACGCCATCTTTAGCAGTAAGCTGTATCCCTGATCCTCTTTTCGAAGCAGCTAACAAAGATGTCAAAACACAATCAGAGGGAAAGGAACAAGAGCGTCAAACTTTTGCTATATTGGATCAATTATTGGTCGGAAGACTTCACCGCAGACAGAGGCAAAGTACACCTTGCATCTTTCTTGACATGTGTTTCAAGTGAGTCATCTACAAGGAGTGCGGTGTTGATACGTTAGCTGACCTTTATTCATCCTCTAGACCAATGTATACGTCCTTAATGCGTCTAGCTGAAACAGACGGTTGGACAGTGATTGGAGGAATTGAAGTTCTTGGCGCTCAGCTGATCGAACAATGGAGAATTTGGCTTGGTGAAGGTAATTTGTTTGACTCCATTCCTCAAGATCAAGTACGAGCAAAAATGCGCGAACTGGCTATCAACAGCACATCCTTGCAAGTTTCTACCTCACAGAGTCGCCCCAAATCTCTACACGAACGACTAAAGAGTATGCCACAAGGCATCATGAGTGCTTCATTGGGCAGTGGACAAGTACACGATATCGAGTCAAAGATTCGAGCGACAAAAGAAGAAGGATTTGAAGGTATTGAAATCTTTTATGAATGTTTACGTTTGGTGTCTGTGGAAATAGCGGGCAAAAGTAGCTCAGAGCAACCAACAGATGACGAGTTGAGAGCAGGTGCAAAGAAGGTTCGACAATTGTGCGATAAATACGGAGTTTTTGTCATCGCATTGCAACCTTGGCTGAACTATGTCGGCTTAAAAGACCGAAAGGAACGTGACCGAAGATTGGAACAGGTGTTACCACTTTGGTTTGAATTAGCCGATTTGCTTGGTACGAATACCATGCAAATTCCTTCACAGATGTACAAGAATATATCGACGAATGACCCTGAAGTTGTCATTGATGATTTACGCAAGCTGGCAGAGGCAGGATTGTATGGAAGAGAGAAGCAAGGTAAAAATCCTATTCGTTTTGCTTATGAAGCAATGGCTTTTGGTGCATTCACAAGTCGTTGGCAGGATGCATGGGAAGAAGTTGTAGCTGTGGATATGCCTAATGTGAGTAATCTTTTGCAGAGCAGCATTTGGATCGAACTAACACTCTTCTTTGCATCTCTTCAATTCCAGTTCGGCATTGTTCTTGACACATTTCAAATTCTGGGCGAATGTTGGGCAGATCCTGCAAGTCCCAGTGGTGTGCTGTACGATGCAGAAATCCGATTGCAAGAAAGCCTGCACGATCTCCGCACAACATTCGCAGGCCATCTGGAAGAACAAACAAAGAATCGTCGAAAGGTCTTTTACGTTCAAGTTGGTGATGCTGAACGATTCCCAGAGCCATTGAATATGGAAAATAGTCTTTTTGATCTTTCCATGCATGCAAATATAAAGATGGCATGGAATCGATCATGTCGTACATTTGCATGTGAAGGCTATTTGCCTTTGCTACCTTTACTCAAAGTACTCTTTCAAGATATCAGGTTCGAGGGCATGGTGAGCGCAGAGTTGATGAATGTGAACACAAGTAGCAAGGAAGAAACCTTCCCATTACGTTCGGCTCAAAGGGCGAGAGTAGCTTGGCAGAAATGTGTAGATCTCTTGATTCAAGAGTCTAAAACACCAAGCGTGGTCTAATTTGTAAAGAAGTGTGGTCAACAACTTCATGCTGTAATATGATGCTAATGAAAATGTACTATGTGATAAAATACAGATGGTTGTAGGATCGAAAATGCGGGGAAGTCTAATTGACAAACTTTAAATTACACTGCTCGGCTGACGCGACCGATGAATCGCCGGCGCTTCGGCTTATCGGGGGGAACGTGAGTCAGGAAGTGACTCGAATAGCATCTATTGAAATTGTTGTACAATCTTCTTCTCCAGGAATACAGAGAGAGGCGCTTTTGCTTTTTCATAAGGCGGAAAGGCAGCACATGGGCTGAAACCAATACGATGATAAAATCGTAGAGCTTGTTGATTGAACGATCCAGTTTCCACCAAAAGCGTGTCAAAGCCAAATTGTTGTGCATGTTGCTCTAATGATGAGATCAATCGTTCACCCAGTCTGAATGGAGGTCCACGAGCTTCTGGAATGACAAACATACGCTTTACTTCTGCTCTGCTGTCATCAACTTTTCTTAGACCAGCTGCTGCCACATACTTGACCTCGTTAGATTCTTTCACTTGTTGACGTATCAAAAGGAACAACAAACAATCCTCTGCATCCATGCTTTTCCCCGGCTCTCCCGGATCTTCAGGATATCGTGAATAGAATTCATCATGTTGCATTTGTCGTAACTTCACAGCATTGCAATCGTTCCAAGGAACCGCAACAATTTCGAAAGGAAAGGTATCCTCTGTAGTCATGATGAATTCCGTGTTGAGCAGTTATTTGCGCTCGAGTGCTGCTCAAAAAAGAGGTGTTGGCTGTCAATTCTCAAGATGATGGACATTTTTCTCAAATGCTGTTAGCATATGCACATTCCTGACCTCGTGCTCAGTTTGCCGCATGCATGCGAACTGAGTCACGTTTTCCTCGTTGGCGCAACTTCAGTCTGATCAGACACAGCCTGCGTGCATTTATGCACGCATACATAAAACTCATAGACCCTTTGTCACTGTATGTACCTTACCTTCACCTTCCCTGTGAATGTCATCGTTTCCCATTAGAGTTAACAGCTCTAGTATCGTCCACTGCTCAAGTCCACAATAGGTGGCAATTCGAAAGTCTACATCAGGTAGCAATTTTAAGGTCCACAGGAAGTGGCATCAGGCAAGTCTACGCAGTAGCATTTATTCAACTCAATATTTACAACTATTTATCAACGAAACGTTAAGATGTCGAACGATTCGACAGGATTATCAACGAAAAGCGAAGAAACGCCTATGTTGGCAAAGTATAAAAGAGATTACTTTATATGGGTTCTTAAATTTAAACGATGGTTAAGCTTAAAAGACTGTTATATATATAATATAATATTCAGTACCGTTAAAGAACTATAAGCCCTAGTGAAACTAATAAAACTAGGTTAAGATAGATTTACAGATATATAAGATATAAGTATATATATCGTTAAATAAGAAGTAATAGGAGAAAACTTAGTAGGAATAAGTTATATATCGAATACTCGTTAAAGTATAGTGGTAGCTATAGTAGTAAATATATTAGTAGAAGTACTATATGATATTTAAATACTTTAAATAATCTTAATATAAATAATATAAGATAACTCGATTTATAATAAATACTAAGTAGAATTAATAATATATAATATTTTATATATTAAATATCAATGAAAAATAGCGAAAATCAACGAAGTAAAAGAGAAATCACTTATATTACTATATTTCTATATTAGTAAAGTTAATAATAGTATTTTAATTTATAATGAAAAGGACCTGAAAGTAGTATAGATAATACTTAAAGATTATTATTCTATATTATAAAATAGTTTTTATAATTAAGTAGAATACGATTTTATAAGTTTCTACTTAAATTATAATAAATCGGTTACTAATTACTATCGATAATTAAAGATTATTATCGAGAAACTTAAGGTATATAGCGAACCTATTTTAAATCATAAGTATATATAGAAAATAATTAATAGTTTACTATCGTATATATATAGTTATAAAGAAATTATAACTATTAAATATAATCGATTTATATCTAAAGAAATTATACTATAAATTATTTAAATACTTAAATATAAGTTATACGATTAATATAAAAAATATATTATTAAGTATAAATATAAATAATCTTATTAAAACTTAAAAAATCGTAAAGAATCAATATAATTTACTTAGAATTAATTAATATCTATAATATAAGTAAATATAAGTTCTTATCTAATAGTTACTAGTAGATATATAATATATTTTAATATTATATATAAAAAGGTTATTTTATAATTTTATATTTATAAGCTCGTATTAGCCTAAGTATTATCGAGAAGAATTATAAATCGATTACTAATAAACAGGCTATATATTATATAAAATTTAAGTAAAATAAAGTATAAATATAAGTGAATATTATTAAATCTATTAATAATTATATTAAATCGGCTTATAAATTATTATTATTTAATAGTGTATTAGATTATTATATTAATATAGTATAAGAAATTATCGATAAATCATTAAAAGTTAAAGAAATTATCGATCTTAATTTAAAGTATAAAGATTTACCTATAGTTAATATAATATAAGAATAAATAACTTAGATAATTAATACTAGTATATCTAATTATATTATAATAAACTATAAAGCTTTTACCGAGTTTTATCTTAAAGTAATCTCGATTTATATTAGTGATAATCAAATTATCTTTATATTTAGTTAAGATATAATTATCTTAAATAGATTTAATAAAAAGAATTAAATCTTAGAAATTATATTAAAGAATATTATTTATTTACTATAATTTATAAGTAACTTATTATTAACTTATCGATTTTTTACTGATTATAAAGAGTTATATAATAAAGAAATCTATTTTTAAAAAAACAAATATAAAGTTTTCTTTATATAGTATAAAGATAATTAGAAAGTTATTATAGGTTATTTATATAGTTTATCACTATTCTTATAAACTAAAAGTATATTTATTATATTTATAGCTTAGGCTATCTCTTTAAAGTTATTTTATAATTATATTAGTTATTATTCTTATAGTACTATATTAAAAACTATCGAAAATATAAAAAGTATTACGATTTAAAAGGAATCTATAAAAATCGATTATAAAGTATATATTTTAGATAAGTATAAGCGATCGTTATTTTACCTAAGTAAATCTTATACTCTTATATCTCTTAATTTATTATATATAGATATTATCGGTAAGATTTATATCGATTTCTAGATTAACGAATAATATTTATTAATAATTATTAATAATTATTCTTAATATATAGTTATTTTATCATTAAAGTTAATAGCTAATTTATATAAAATGATTATTAAATAGATTCGTTTTATAGAAACTTAATATTTAAAGAAAGTTAAGGTAATTTATACCGATTAAGATAGTATATTTAAGAATAGTAATTTTATAAAGTATATAATATTTAATAGTATTTATTATAAATTTATTACTCTATATACTCTATAATAAAATAGTTAAATCGAACAATTCTATTAGACTCTTTTCGATAAAGTTTATTCGTTTATTACTATCGGTAATTTACCTTATAGTTTATAAGTTTATACTATAATTTATATTTATATACTATATAATTTAACTATAAACTATAGAATTAGTTTTAAGATACTATTTAAATTATAGACTAGTTTACCACTTAATATTAATTACTATTATATATTTAGTTATTTAACTTATATATATTTATATACTCTTAATAATAATTTAAATAAAATTATATCTTATTTAAAAAGATTAATATATATTAATACTACTTAAGATAATAGTATAAAAGTATAGAAATTAATAGATATCGAAATAAAGTAAATTATATTAAGTTATAATATAATTTTTAAAGAAATAGTTTTTCCTTTATAAGTTTTAAATTTTATATTATTATTATCTCTTATCGTATATTTTTATAAAGAGATTTCTACTAAAATATATTATAATAGTTTTCGTTATATAAGTTTATAGTAAGATTCGATTAATTTTATATATAGATATACTACTTTTATTAATAATAATAAACTTAAGAATATTTTTAAAACTTATTATTATCTTAATATAGATAAATAATAAGTTATAGTTTAAGTTAAATTAAAATTACTCGATATAAATTATACTTAAGAAATCGTAAATCATTCTAAAAATTATATAATCGTCAGCTATAAATAAGTTTTTAAAGTTAAATATAATACTAATAACTTTATTAATAAATATAAAGCTTATTTAGTTACTTATAATTATTTTTAATAAGCTAGTATTAATTTTAATAAAATATATATACCTATTATCTAAATTACTATACTTTATTTCTTAATCGTATTTACTACTACTAAAGGTTAGCTTCTTTATTAAATAGATATTTATATAGCTTATCTTTACGATAATATTAATAAGGAAATCTATATAGAATTACTATTAGCTATATCTTTTAACCTTATAATAAAGAAGAAATATTATTTATTTTATAAGTTATTATATAGTCTTAAATAAGCTAGATATTAATAATATCTAAAAATCAATATATTTTTAGTTAAATATAGATTTATTTATTTTAAAAATAATTTTAGCCTTTATACTTTTTATAAAAATAATCGAATTATTATAATTATTATATTTTATATCGACGATATTATAATTTTAATATTAAATCTCACCGAAATAAATAAAATCAAAAAGATTCTTATTGATTTATTTAAGATAACTAATAATAATTAACTTTATTACCTTTTAGATATTTAAATTATATTTTTAAATATATATATCAAACTTTATTAAATAAAATATAGTTAATCAATTATTAGTTAATTCTTACTATAAGACCTTTAAATATATCTAAAAAATATTCTTATAAATTATAATATTTTAAAATTACTTTTCGATAATTTAGAGTAAGTCTTTATCGAAAAAGAATATAATACTTATCGATTAATTATTAATAAATTTATTTATCTTACGATTTATATATATCTTAATATTATATTTATAGTTAGACGATTATCTTAATTTATCATTAATCTATATAAATATTATCTTAATATAGTATTTAATATTCTTCGTTATCTTATATAATCTTCTAAATTAGATATCGATTATCTATAAAACTTTATAAATCTTATAATTACTACTTATTCTAATAGTAATTAGATAGATAATAATTTAACTCGTTTAATAAGTAATATTATTCTTTATTATACTAGTTTATCTATCGATTAGAAATTATATAAGTAAAATCTTATTATATTATCATTAATAGAAGCTAAATATATTATAATAATAATCGCTACAACTCATATTATCTTACTTATAGCTTTACTCGAATATTTATAAATCGATATTAATCTTCTAGTTTTACTCTTTATCGATAATTAAGCTATTCGTACTATCGCTTATAGTTATTATATCACTTAACGTACACGCTATATTAATATTCATTATTATTTTATCTGTTATTATATCGAAAATAACATGATTCGCCTTAAAACAATCAAAAGCTTTTATTAATTAGCCGATACTCTTATGAAACCTCTCGATTTTCCTAATTTTCGTTCTTCTCTCTCTTTATTATCACTCACTTAATATCTCCCTTCTGATCAGTCTTTGTTGCGTGGGGGGGTGTTAGTATATGCACATTCCTGACCTCGTGCTCAGTTTGCCGCATGCATGCGAACTGAGTCACGTTTTCCTCGTTGGCGCAACTTCAGTCTGATCAGACACAGCCTGCGTGCATTTATGCACGCATACATAAAACTCATAGACCCTTTGTCACTGTATGTACCTTACCTTCACCTTCCCTGTGAATGTCATCGTTTCCCATTAAATGCAAGCAAACTTTAATTTTCATTAAACAAAACACGCTAACGACTTTATTCCTCCAGTACAGCATTAATCAATTTTATAAAACATACAAGATGACTTGACCAATTGATCAATTGTTACCGAAAGCTTGCTTCTTGTTATCAATGTTTGCAAAAATATCATCAAATGTTTGATCTGGTTTACCATTATATCTGTTTGGCACATCAACAGTTTTAGGGGATGATTGTTCATTTTTAGGCATCCCTTGTAAGGGTGTTGCTGGGCCTGGATTTGATTCTGGTTGTCTGCCTGGAGGTTGATATGCTTTTGGTGGTGCTTTGACTGGTGATGCTTGAGATGCAGTGATAGCTAGCACTGCTAAAAGTACAAATAGAAATGGAGAGGTGTACTTCATCTTGAGAAGAATTGAAACAAAAAAAAGTTGAAGAATTGAGAAATAAGAATCTGACCAGCAGATTGAGAAGATAAGGAAGTCAAAGAAAGTTGTTATAGATTGGACGATACGTTGTTCAAAAAGACCTTCTTTATATATTCTTCATCTTTCATCAATCATCGCGATGAGACGAATCTCAACATATTAACAGAATTGCCAAGATGAAGCTAAGGATGATGTTTCAGATGTATGCTTTATCTTACAAGGAACGGTGTCTTCTCGGCGTTCGGAAAGGCGTTTTAGGTTCCCGCCGGCGTCAAAAAGGCCCGGCATACGGCGCAGTGGAAGCATTTGGCGTCCGAAAAGCGACAGGAATATGCGAATAGCCCGACTTTTATGCTTGATGTCATTGAAGTCAAACTGAATGTCTTGGCATTGTTTCAAGTTGATGTCCAAACGGAATGACAAGATAGATTGACAGGATCTTCATTCTCGTGTGGGTGTCAGTAGTAGTATGCGAGAGATCGATTAGCTTGGTTTTGTTGTACGCCATGATCAAAGTAACACACTTTATTTTAGCTGCATAAAAAGGTACATTTCAACATTGGGGCACACGGGGACTAAGAAGGAATGACATGACAGCAACAAATGACATCTATAAATAAAACAGTCATTCTCCTTACGCTAGCTTGTTTGTATGTATGCATGTCATTCTCCGCCTTCAGATATGATGGAAATGTCATTCGTTTTCAGACATTCTATACTCCCACTTCCATCTAGTCATCATTCACAAAATGATGAAAGATGGCTATACAACAGAACCATTCACTGGGGTGGATGTGATGACTAAACGTGAGTAAAAGATGAAAGATCATACTCTATCCTTTCAATGACACAATCCTTCCTCTCTTTACAGAGTATCTACTAGACACGCGTATGATCATCACCGGGTCACTCGATCCAGAACATCTTCTAGAAGGACTTCATAATCTCATCAACCAAAAATGGCCAATCATGGGATCAAGAGTGGTAAGTTGCAATGTGTCAATGGTATTAGAGCAAGCGCTGATCTCCCGTCATTTTCCTCCAGGCATCTCTACCGCAAGGGCAATTTGAATTCCGCATACCTACAGTGTTCGATGAAGATTGTCCTTCAGTGCTCTTTGAAGCATATGATATACCAGAACATATCGCATTGTCCGACTGCTTCACCCGATTGCCAGATTTCGACTCGATGAAATTCAAAACAGATAATGACTTATTGGCTTTCGAATGGGATATGTGGATAAAACCAGGCGCACAAGAAAAGATGATTAGACGGATACCGCAATCGAAACTCGCAAAGCAATGTTCGGCCAAAAAGTATGGTCCTATTCGAACTCTGTTTAAACAATTGGTTGATAACAATTCACCCCTTTTGACCGTTTTGGTTTATCGCTTTCCGAATTCGAATGAGACTGTTGTGCGAATCATCTTGCCACACTGCATTTTCGATGCCAGCAATATTGGCGCTCTCTTTCGGGCTTGGTCGGATAGTGTGAATGGAAGGCTAGACAATGTCCCGACTGTTCTTACCTTCTCTCAAGCTCCCGAGTCTATTCGAAAGATTGACAAAGCCGACATTACAAAACGAGGTCCACCAGCGCCTCCAACAGGATATCGATATGCTGACACGTTCAAAATTATAACAATCTTATTCATGCTGGTATGGCGCTGGTTGATTCTGCCGATTCTACGATTCAAACGACCGTCGATGATGCTAAGCTCGATCATTTATGTGCCCGATGATATTTTGCAAGGATGGCGAAGAGAAGCACAGGCAAATGCATCAGCGAATGGTAAGCCAGCTGACACGTTCCTCTCAGACAATGATCTTACTATTTCGTGGATTTTGGAAAGAGCTGCAAGGAAGTGTACAAATGTTCTTGATGGTAAGCTCAGTCTAGGTCTGGCATTCAATATTCGTACACAGGCACCTGAATTAGCGGAAAAGCTGGGGATTGATCTACAAGGACCTTCACGTTCGAAAGCATTGGCGAATGCAAAGTCAATTTATCCTCACAATGGTATCATTGCTCTTGATGGTGGTACATTTAGTTGGCAAGATATAAAGACGTGGCCGAAATGGGCATTGGCGTATAAAATTCGGGATGAAGTGACGGAGATGCGAAAGAAGGAGAATGCCTCAAAAGCATCTCAAGTCATGGCCGGTATTCAACACAATCACGTCACTCCAAAGATGCCTATGTTGCTACCAATGGATCCGAAATCGCTTTATTGTCTTACCACAAGCTGGAGGCAAGCAGATCCAACATCAGCGATTGATTTTTCAGCAGCTGTCTTACCAACGCCAAACCCAAAAACCCCGCCAACACAATGGGCAGCTTCGATCAAGCCAGGCAAGGTATCTGACCTTTCGATCACTGACGAACAATCTGGCAATAAACCACCTTTGTTTATGACAATTTTTTCGTTTGTTGTTAGGCCAGGTAAAGGGATTTTTATTGGAGTTGCATGTGATGGTAATTTACTCAAAGATGGTGTTTTTGGACGTTATATAGATTTAAGGAAAGTATAATTTTATTGCAATTTTGATCAAAACTTGGACTACCAAGAGAATGCTGGAGAGAAATCATCTTAGAGAAAGGAAGTCTTTTAGGAATAGTCATTTTAATTTGAATTTTCTGGATCAAAGTACTACAACCAATTGAAGCAACGAAAGCAAGTGACAGGGCACTGCAATGAATTGATGCTGAGCATTGTAGAATGGTTTGCTGAGCGGACCACTGCGCGGGAACAGCAAGCATAGTTAGAATGCGGTTATGCTTTAAAAATACGCACTAAAACTTTATTTTGCCGCCGCATTAAATTAAAACGGCATGACCTCATTCAAAGAAATACTCCGGAAATCCTTCGGAGAACATCATGCTAAAAGTGAATGTAAAAATCGGGCGGATACCAAAGGACCCTCTAAGAGTAATGCATTGCAGATCAGATCAGTCTAGGGTATAATCCGATTTATTGCGATCAGGAACCTGTCAATCTTACTCCAAGTCCGACTTTCGGTTTTCTTCTATCATACCCTGAACCCAATACACTCCATGAAAAATATAAATACACATCTCTCTTGCTAATAGCTTCCCCATCTATCATCCACTTCAACATTCATCATGTGGCCTCACTTTGTTTTCTTGGCCGCCGTTCTACTACTTTTGCAAACGCAACTTGCAGCAGCAGCGAATCAAACAAACACCACAAACGATGTCCTTTTGACTTCTCAGCTCGGTCCTTATCCAGTCACTATCAATTCATACGAAGTCAAAACCAATCGAACAGATCCACTTGCACCTACACATCAGCTTCGTAACTTGGTGGTGACAGTCTATCGTCCTGCATCAAAAAACCTCACTTGTCCAACACAGGATCAAGATCGTATACCATATGCACGCCCTGAAGTTCTGAAAGCTCTTCTTGGTCTGCTACCGTCAAGTGGAAATTCATCTTCGGCTGCAAATGAAGATACAGCCCTGCTACCAGCACTTGAACGAGTTCAGATTGCTAATTGCACTGCTTCAGATCTTTCGGCTTCATCGAAGAATCCTATTTTGCTGTTTGGTCCTGGCTTGAGAGCAACACATGACGTTTACACAACGATTACTATGGCTTCTGCATCTTTTGGATATACCGTTATTGCAATCGACCATACATACGAATCAGCAGCTGTTGTATTCCCGGATGGTTCAGTCAACTATACTAGTCCAACTACTTTTAAGCTTATTCAAGAAGGTCACAAAGGAATTGCAACCATTCAAGATATCCGTACTGCCGATGTTGCTTCCGTACTTGATGCAATGGAAAAAGGTCAGATTCCCGGTTTGGAACGAGGAACAAATGAAAAGCAGATTGCAATGTACGGACATTCGCTTGGTGGAAGTACGGCAACAAATGCTGCTTTGATGGATAATCGAATCAAAGCATCAATCAATTTGGACGGTACTTTCTTTGGTGCGCCAAATGAAACAATAGTTCATAAACCTTTACTGATGGTAGGATATCCAACTGATTGGCCAAACTTTTACGCTAATCATGATGATGGTTGGAAGACGTGGGTGCAAATTAACAATACAGAACATTACAGTTACACCGATTTACCGCTCATTGCTGATTTGTTGAATTTGCGTGGGAAGGCTATCCCTCTTTCATTGACTGGAACGATCAACAGTCAACGCTTACAAGCAATCATCAGTAGTTATACAAACCACTTCTTTGATTTTTTCCTTCGTGGAGAGAAGACTAACTTCTTTCAAGGACCAAGAGCGAATTACCCAGATGTTCAATTCATCGCACACAGTCAGCCAAAAGATTAAGCTAAATTCAGTCTACAAAGCCACAGGAGAGAGAACGACATAGATTAGTGCTGACTACCTCAACCATCAACAGCAACATATCACTTACCATCATTACCATTCAATATCTTTTGATAATTTATTTTGTTGAACTCTGATTACCGTTTCTGACGGATGACTCCGCGGGATTTGAAGCATTGCATGTGAATTGTTGCGCACATGCAGTAAAAGTACGGGCTAAGATTCTGATATGCTGCATTGATCGGTTAGTATTTCATCATTGACGCAGATATGACCTCGGAGATCCTAATGGAAACATTGTGGAATGATTGATTTCGGATAAAAAAGATATCGCGGAAAGATTGATTGTGGATACTTTGAATGCGGAAATGTTGCGGAATCATTGATAGCGGAAATATTGCGCCAAAAGGGTCTCGAATTCGGCTTAAATGCCAGGGACCTTTCTGTAGAGAACTGATGTTCGAAATGGTCCCTGATGCATTGAAAAGGTAATCCAAAGCTTCTTAATTATCGTGAATGTTCGAATTTTCCTATTAACCTTCCATGCCCCAGGCACCGACCCATGAACACATCTTTCTTGTTATCCACGATCACCCACTCCTCAATCCCTCATCGTCAAAACAATCATGTGGCATCATCTTCCTTTCTTCATCACCATTTTGTTTCTCTTGCAGATTCAGGTTGCAGCTGAAGCAAATCAGACAGACAATTCCAATGACGTCCTCTTGACTTCTCAGCTCGGTCCTTATCCTGTCACCATTAACGAGTACGAGATCAAAACCAATCGTACAGATCCACTCGCGCCCACACCTCAGCTCCGCAATTTGATGATCACTGTTCATCGTCCTGCTTCAAAGAACTTTACCTGTCCAACACAAAACCAAGCACGCATTCCTTATGCACCGCCTGAAGTTCTGAAAGCTCTCGATGATCTGTTGTTGTCGACTGGTAATTCATCTTTGGATACTGGTGGAGCCGCGGTTGCAGCTTTAGGTCGACTACAGATTCTCAATTGCACCTCTTCAGACATTTCTGCTTCATCCAAGAATCCCATCTTATTGTTCGGCCCTGGTTTGAAAGCAACACATCACGTTTACACTGGAATTACTATGGCCTCTGCATCTTTTGGCTATACCGTTGTTGCTTTGGACCATACGTACGAATCGGCTGCGGTTGTCTTTCCGGACGGATCTGTGAATTATACTAGCCCAATTGGTCTCAAGCTTAGTGAAGATGAAGATCAACCAAAAGGATTTGAAACAATTCAAAATATTCGTACAGCTGATGTTGCATCCGTACTTGATGCTATCGAAAAAGGTGAAATTCCAGGTATTCCAAAAGGTAAAAAACAAATTGCAATGTATGGACATTCATTAGGCGGAAGTACGGCTACAAATGCTGCTCTCAAGGACAAGCGAATCAAAGCAGCTGTAAATTTGGATGGTACCTTTTATGGAGCGCCGAACAGAACAACGATTCACAAGCCATTACTCATGGTAGGCGGTGCAGATGAATGGAAACCAATCTTTTCAAAATCACGAGGTTGGAAAACATGGGTGAAGGTTGATAACACAGAGCATTATGGTTACACTGATTTGCCACAAATTGCTGATTTGATGAATGTGCGCGATAAAGCTATTCCACTTTCTTTAACTGGCACGATCAACAGTCAACGCTTGCAAGTCATCGTCAGTAGCTACACAAACCACTTCTTTGATCTTTTCCTTCGTGGTGAAAAATCTAAGTTCCTCCAAGGTCCAAGAGCAAATTTCCCAGATGTACCATTCATCGGACATAGCCAGCCAAAAGACTGAGGCAATACCCTTCCGTAGGGTAAAAAACAACACCTTCAGTAACTTTCAGCAAGTTTCATCCATCAAAAAAAGGAAATGAACGATATTCTTTAAACCACATGTAGTCTGCATAAATTCTATTCTATTGATTCTATTCTATGCAAACACATACATATGCCTGCATAAATCGTTCATATTCGAATTTCACTACGAATATTTCTGCTCCCAATCTAGGAGACATATACAGAAATCTGCAAAAGTTTGATTAGATAAATCCGTTTTCAAGCAGAAAATCACTCTTTAGATTTTCGGAAAGAATCTTTGCCATTCCAGTTATCATAGGGGGTACGATAGTTCAAGGGAGCAAAAGTAGATAATGAAGGCACTGAGCGGAAGATAAGTCTGTAAAAGGGGAAGCATAAAGCAGGGCGAAAGAGTATTACCTCTTTATGAAGCATTTGAGAGGAAGATGAGTCTGTAAATGGGAAGTATAAAGCTGGACGAAAGAGGAATACCTCTTCATGAACTTTTGGTAGCAGATTCACAGGCTGGGTTCGATTCGTTACATTGTTCCAAACCGTCCCATTGATCTGCTTTATTATCTGCTCTAACCAAACCTGTTGAGACCATTTTATTGTCTTTTACGTCGGCAATGCAAATGCATCCTTTGCTCCACTTCTGGTCTGCCATATTGTTTACCAATCGATTACCAAAGTCCCATCCGCTGTTCAAGCGTAAGTTCTCGTCATAATTTCCAATATTACTGTCAACGTCTTGGAAATCTCCTAGGGAACCAACTGTATCTTGAGCATAGCTCCACGTAACAGGAGAAGGGTTATCACATCCTGCAATGTAATCATCATTTGCACTACCAATTTGATCAACCTCATTATCTCCTACGGGACTGTCAATGTGACAATTACGTTTCGCATGTTCTTGTTTGGGTACGGAAGAGGCGGCCAGATATTGTTTACCCATGTGTGTATGCCAATACATGTCTACCACATGGTAATGATGAAGCCAAGAATTGTAAGCGCCAACGCGTTTAGGATGGGTTTGATTTGTGCCTCTAAAGTGGTTGATCGAAACGAGTTGCTTCGTTGTTGGGTCGACAAAATGGTTTCGTTTTGCGATAAAGTTGTTATGGGAAACATCGGCATGCAAACTAGAAACATACATCAAAGTTTGATTATACAAATCCGAGTTACCAATACTTCTTCTGCCTCTTGGAGGAGGATGAAGGTTCAATGCCATGGTAGACATTTGATAAAATGTCTTTTGCCTGGGAGAATTTGTATCCTTAAAGGCTTTCCATGCTTTTTTAACGTCTGATTGACCCGTAAGGACACTGATAACTGGTCCAAAGAATGCTATTACTGCACATGGAAACTTTACCGCAGTGGGAATTTTGGGAACCGTTAAACTTGCAATTGTGCATGCGAAACTTAATCCGTTGACAGCGCCAGCATAGATATTGGGAGAAACTGCAATTCTTGCAAATTCATAAGCCAATGTGAATAATCCTGCAACACGTTTTTCTACTTGGACAGCTACGCCATCATTTCCGCTTGTCAAAGCCAAATCCGAACGTTTTTGCTTTGAGTCACTTGGTCGTTGAACAGACTCATCTCCAAATGTTGCAGTTTCGAATGCCTTTATGGAGTTGACATCTAAATGTGACAAAAATGGGTCAACATGTTGAACGGAGGCCTGAAAATCACGTACTGTCAGATCTCCTAAGACGAATGCTGAAGAACATTGCAATAATGAGATTGCACAAACACAAGATAAAGCAAGCAATAACGGAATTTTTGTAAACATCTTGTCTATCAACAATAATTGCTGCTAAAAACGTTGCACCAAAAGAAGTAATAGTAATTGCTGTTAACCACTCGATGACTTTTACTAAGACCTTTAGTCGCTTTAATTCGTTCACGGATGAGGAGGACGTATTGTTTTCTTGGTGATGTGTTCTTGTATTATTGGTATTAGGATGCATTAACTCTTTCAAGAAGATAGATGCGAGAAGAAATAGTGAGAAGGAGCGGAGAAGAAGGGGTGGTTGAGAACAAGGATGTGAGTAAAAATACGAGCCAATTTTTCTTACCTTTTATACCATTCATTTTCCTTTACTTACTTGGATATCTTTTTGTTTTGCTACGAATGATATCCACCGATCTGCGGGGAACTCAACGTGCGTTCAATCAACAATGACAAAATTCAAGACCTTGGTCACCGTTATCGAGATTTAAATTGTCAAAGGCGCTAATGTATTCAACCGCAAGGTCATTTTGGCTTCACCCATCTTGGAGAAGAGTCAGATCCGCAAAGTTTGAATTGACTGGTAGATGTCTGACTAATGCGATGCATCGTAACCCGCAAGGTTCTGTCAAAGTTTATCCTAGACAGTGCACGTTCGTTTTCTTTTTTTAATTATCTAAAGCAAGGAACGTTTATTCTTTCTCAAGGTCTATTCGAGACCAAGAACGGGCTTTTTTCCGGAGATATGTCTTTTTCTTGTAGACATTGCGATCGAAGCGATGTCCTACAAAGAAATAAAGTTATATTTATCAAGTCCCGCAAGGTTTTAACATATCAGCCTAGTAGATTACCGAGTCTATATCTTTGTGTTGTGTTCAAGGCGTAAAGCGATTGGATTGCATGTGGTTCTCTCTCATCAATATGTAACTTTCCCTTCATCTTCTATGAATGTCATTTGACTGATATGCCTCGTGCCAAACCCTGATTTCCATTAATTCACATCAAAGGTACACCACTAGCCGCCGGTGTTAGTCTGACAGCCGTTGGTTGGCGTTTGACGCTAGAATTCTTTACCGCCGATTCGGTTAACGGATAAATTAAAATCGGGGAAATCATATGCACACCTTTGTCATTCCACGCGGTCAATTGACATACAATATACACTAAAAAAAGCTAGATAATCGAAATGCATATAATCACCACGAGAAAGAAAGTAGATCGGACAACATAAGAAGAGAGGGAACCTTTTCCTTTGTTTCACTACAACCATACATAATCACTACAGTCTTGTCAATCTGCATTCATACAAAGTAGATCGGACACCATAACAAGAGAGGAAACCCTTTCCTTTGTTTCAATACAATAATAACAATTTTACGCCCTCCGTTAAATTCACCGAATTGGCTTCCGGCGAATAACTCTTACACGAAACACGGAAGGAGGAATTTTTAATCTTTAAGAACATCACCTGGTTTTATTCAGAATGGACGTATATCGCAACATTGATACCGACGAAGAAAGACGGCCAGGCGAAAGTGTTGGAAATACGATCGAATACCAGTTCGAACCTTCTTTGTCTTCCTGGTCTGGTTTGGATGGAGATTTCAAGCTACTATCCACTCTTGGTAGCGTGGGAGGAGAGGAAATCTTAAAATGTGATAATGAAGTAAATCTTCAATTACCGTTTGAAATGAAAGGCGGTCATAGAACGACATCGCAAATATTAAATCGAAATAGAGAATCAATTTATCAAATCAAAGTAGATATCCTTGCCGATACAATGCGTTACGTGATTCAAACAACAGCAGACGATAAAAATGTTGCTTTGGTTCGAGCGCCGAAAACATTTCAATTAAATCTTAATATGAAGTACTTTCAAACTCCAGGCGATTATCATTCGATACGTCATATCGAACTACAAACTGGATTATTTCAACAAACAAGTCTTGTATGCGAAGAATTCAACGTTATAGCAGTAATCAAAAGGAAGAGAATAGCACATAACCTATTCAACCCACTAGAGAGATTTACCATTCACGTCAATCATCCATCAGACATACATTTGGCTTTAATTTCGATGGCATGCATGCATGGTCAACTTCTTACTTACAAGATCTTGACATTCGTTTTGCTCATCTTTGCCGGCTTGTTCGTTTTCATCATTCTCTAAGCTATACTATCAGTGGCATTGAATGGGCACAGACCTTTACGACTGGGATCTCATGATTTAGCTCTACCGTCAAGTATGCACTCAAGAATAGCCTTTTCATCAGTTATTCGTGCAGGAAAGCATACTGCATAAAAAGGCAATAAGTTGATTTTCACAAGATTTGGCGATGTCAAGACGCTTCAACATATTGAATTGAGAAGATTCTAAAGACGTTTTACTCTCCATCTAGGGGACAACGTGGAGGAGTATCATCTACTTGAATACCACCACGTCTCGGATGTTTGGAGTCGTGGAAAGGTGTTTGCCATCCTGAAGTCCAGCCAAGGTTGAGTGGATCTTCTCCTTCCGGTGTTGCAAGCCATAGACGTAAAAGATGTCTTCTTGGTGCAGGAGCAGGGTAGTCTTTGTATGCAGTCCTGGCATGTAAGACGTGCGTGTCAGCGACAAATTGTATATCCCCAACGGCAAGGATCATGTGAAGTGAAAGACGTTGAGCGGTCTCTTCTAGCACTTTCATGGCTTCCAGCTGTGCTTCGCTTACGGGTGGCATGTGACCAGCTTCAACGTGTCTTGTAACAGATCTGATATAGTATGGATCCCAATGAACGATCAAACGATCTGCTGGTTGACCTTTTGGTAACATGAAAACGGGCATTGTATACCATCCTTTTTCACCTTTGCTCACTTCACCTTTTCTGTCAAAGTTCCAGATTGGACTAGCAAGCGTCTTTGCAACGTCAGGACGAGTGGCTTGCAATTCATTCCAAACACGTTGTGCAGATGCAATATCCGATTCACCACCTTCCAATGCTTTGTGCAAGCAGCATAATCCTACCAAGCCACCCGATGAATCAGTATGGAAGAATTGACGTGCATTTGTGCTGTAAATACGAACTTTGTCAATTTGAGTTGGATCATTACCCAAATCTTTCACATGTCCCAAAACGTGTCCTTTGTGGTTTTGACTGTTTACATTGCCCAAATAACTTCCCAAACCCAAGTAGGCAATTGCGGTAAGGTGAGGTCCCCAACGGTCTGTCGGCAAACCTTTGAAGAGGTAGAATCCGGTGCCGTGAACCAATCTCTCACGCAATTTGAGCAAAGTTTGAATGAGTGACTGTGGAAGTGGGAATGTACTTCTTTCGATTTCACCTAATTCTCTACCGGAATCTTGCCAAATGGTAGCAGCTTGTTCGAGTTGTGCAATCTCTTCCTGCGTCCAAGCGTGAACCCATTTATGTGCATTTTCTTCACCACGATAATCATCAGCTTCCCAAACTGTTGGACCTGTGATCTTTTTTGGCATTTGTTCGTATGGAGTCAAAAGTGATAGATCCACATCATGTTGACCTGATGTAAGCACGTTTGCATTGCTCTTCAATTGACGTTGAGCTTCAACGGCAGCAGAAAGGTTGCTTTGACTCGAGTGTGTGTTCGAAGCCAAAGGGGTTTGATTGTTTGTTGCCAATGCGATTGTCATTTTTGTATAGGTTGTTGATGTTGTTGAAAAGAAGATTGTGAATCTTTGAAACCAATCAACTTAGCCTGACAATATACACACATTGATCGTGCCTGGATCCGGCAACCCATTGAACCACGATGAAGCCGGAAAAAAGGCACGGGGACCAAGCTTACGACAATTCTGCCACACATCTGAATTGACGGCAAAGAGAAGGTAAGGTAAGCCTTATTGCAACCCCGTTATATTGAAATGACGTGCTCGGTGGAGTAAAAGAAGCAATTACGCGGTCAAGATGCACTAAAGCTCACAATCACAAAAAAAGCACGCAATCCTATCACGCTAACCGGGGGGGAATTTCTGATTAAACTGATAAACTGCCTTTCTTCCCCGCTTTTGCCTTTCAAGAAGATTGAATGATGATGATTGAATTGTATGCTCCCTTATCCTGTCGCACGGTGATTGATGTTTGCTAAGCCTGTCTCGGTAAGGAACGAATTCTCTTGTTTGTTGTTATTTGCTTGGCCCTCTTCATTCATCCCAAAATAGGACTATATTGCATCATTTATGCAATCATCAAAACGTTCCTGAATCATGCATTTCCGTTGTTGAAATGGATCCGAAAAAAAGGATTACATGAACCATAAATAGACCTTCAACGGCTTCACTCACATTCATCATCATATCTTCTTATTCTAACCTTCCCCTCTTTTTGGCCTTGCGTTGTGACCGTTGAAGGTCAGCGCACTAGGCATTCTCAACGTAAAGATGAGCGACATTCAAACACAAGATAGGCCTGTCTCGCATGACGGAAAGGTGGGCACAAACGATGAAAGTTCGATTAAAAACATTGATCAACCACAAGAAGAATTCGCATTCACCGAAAAAGAAGAAAAACAATTAGTACGAAAGATTGATTTCTTGGTCGTGCCAATCTTGACATTGTTATACCTCTTATCATTCTTGGATCGATCAAATATCGGTAATGCAAAAATTGACGGATTGGTGACCGATTTAAAGATTCGTGATTATTCAAGCGTGGTAATGATCTACTTTGTGGGTTATGTCATCGCTGAAGTACCCGCCAACTTGATGCTCAAGATCACCAATCCTCCTCTATGGCTGCCCACATTAACACTCGTTTGGGGTATCGTTTCCGTTTGTATGGGTTTGGTACATAACGAACAAGGAATGTATGCTGTCCGTTTCTTTCTTGGAGTAGCAGAAGCTGGATTATTCCCCGGAACTGTCTTTGTCTTTTCTCGTTTCTACAAACGATCAGAAAGAACTGCTCGTGTGGCATTCTTCTTCGGTGGTGCTGCGGCATCAGGAGCATTCGGAGGCGTGCTCGCATATGGAATCACACAGATGAGAGGGGTTGGTGGAAAAGAAGGATGGGCATGGTTGTTCATCTTGGAAGGTCTTTTGACCATAGTCGTTTCTATTCCGGCGTACTTTCTCGTGCCAAACTATCCAAACCTTTCGAAAAAGTTCAGCGTTCATGAAAAACAAATCATCGAAGCCAGATTGAGAACCGATTCTGACGCTTTGGATGAAGAGAAGTTTCAGTGGAGCGAAGTTTGGAGAGCATTAACAACCCTTCAAGTGTATGGTTATTGCTTCTTGTTCCATGGCTTCTCATTCGGATTGTATACACTGTCAAACTTCTTGCCTTCAATTATTCAAGGCCTGGGATACAAATCATGGCAAGCACAACTGCTGACCGTTCCGCCATACTTTTTCGCATTCTTCACTACGATGGCTGCTGCAATCGGAACGCAAAGGACTGGCAAACGAGCAGTATTTATCATCACTTCTGCTGGAATAGCGATTGTGGGTTACATTGCCCTTCTCACTTCACCTACCATCGGAGGAAAGTATGCTGCCATTTTCTTGTGTGCAGGTGGAATTTACAGTGGAAATGCAATCTTGCTTGCTTGGCCTTCTGAGAACTTGATGGGACAAACATTCCGTGCAACTGCATTAGCAATGGTCATCTCGATCGGAAACTGTGGCGCAATTATTGGCACACAATTGTACAGAATTCCATTAGGCAGTAATTCAAACAAGAATTATCATACTTCAATCGGAATCACGATCGCATGGATGTTTATCGGTATCAGTAGTGCAACTGCATTGTGGTATGGGCTAAACAAAGCCAACAAACGATTGATTGCTGAATACAAAGAAAGGGACGAACGTGCAGCAAAAGAAGATGGTATCCATAGCACCACTTCTTCTCAAGTTGCACTCAATTCTAACGGTCAATGGAAGAAAAACTTCTTATATCAAACTTGATCAGGGACACGTGATACCATCACAAGAATGGCAGCAGAGACAATCGAAGAGATGAACCTCCAAAGTCTTTCTTAACAATCAAACGTACTGGTGTCGCGACAAGATCACGCTTGGGAAAGCACTTTGGGGAGGGGTTTATTCATTTTGTTAGATTGTTTATTATACAAGAGGGGTGCAGGTTAATACTCGAATCGAATATACAAATGCGGATGTAACAATGAAGATAGAACAGATTAACACTTCTAAAACTTGAATCATGTACAAGACGAACAATGATATCTGGGGTGAGTCGTTTCATGGTTGCATGTACAACAATCAAAGGTAAATTAATCCAAAGACCTCTTCAACCTCACTTTCTTCGTCCGAAGTCATCGTGAGATCGATCACGTCAATTGAGCGCCCGGGATTAGCAGATCGGGAAGGTCCTGCATGTGCTTTGCTCTTTGATGAACCTTCGCCTTTGTCTTCACGAATTTGAGTGCCTGAATTTTCTTTGGGTGTTGCACTACGCTCCAACCATTGCCATGCAGTGCCAACTTTTCGAATCTTCATGTCAGGTTTCGTTGTTGTGTTTTCCTGTTTGGCTTGCGTGTTGTCCTTCTTTGCACCCAACATAGGTGCTTGAGCTTTATTTTGTCCAGCGTTCAATCTTTGTCGCAAAGCATAAGGATGATCTGCTCGTACAAAACCCGCGCGTGGCAAAGCCGGTATTGCTAGAGCATTGTGGGGTGCATCAACTGCACGATGAGCTCTCACAGCTCCTTGTCTTGCCTGACCTGCCGTGGGCACTTCAATGGGTTCAGTGCGTCGTCTTTCTCCCCACCTCTCACGATAGCGTCCAATCTCACCAGCTATATTGTCCACGGTCCTCCTAATGACTTCTAATCGTCTAGCAAACCCTTCCGCTTCAGCATTGATGGGTTCTTGCTGTGCACGCCCATGCCTTCTTTGATGTGCAAGAGCATCGTGGGGATCATCCCGAAAGAGGTCAAAGTGGCCCAGATTAGGGTTTGGGTAAAGCATCCCGATTCGCTCTCGTACAAATGGCTCGTCTTGACGGTCACGTTCTCGTTCACGTATTTCCCGATCACGCTCAAGTAGTTGTCGTTCCCTTTCTAGATGAATGGCTTCTGGGCCACCTCGTTCTGCTTCCCGGCGATCAGCTTCCTCTTGTAAGTCGCGATCCATAGCTCGGGCAAAGCCTTCACCGAATCGTTGTGGGGGATGACCACCATGACGGAACCTACCGAGTCGACGTCCACGATCTGCAAACAACTCAATGAAAGCGTCGGCCTCATTATCATCCATGAAACCCCATTCTCCCGGAACGTGGGCTGCATTTGCTCCATGTCTTCGCTCAAAGGCCTGTTGTCGCCTACGTTCGTCTTCAATTTCCGCTTCAGTGACCTTCGGTGCAAGCTTCCCGACTTCTTTTCTTGCATTGTTGATGTCTGTTTTGTGCCTCTCCTTTGTGTCATCCCAGAGTGGGCATTTCTTGGCAGATTTGCCAGCTTTGCTTCCCGATGGCTGTTGGGGCATTGGCGGTCCTGGATTTTGGTCAAAGTGTCCATATCCCGCTTTGGTAATATCGGCACGACAGATGTAGCACATGATCGTTCCGCATTTTACGCAACTCATCTTGTTACATGACCTTTGACCTTCATCTTTGACCATGACGGTGTTGCAACCAGACTTTGGACAACGGCGCATGAGGGCTTCTGCCAATTTTTCTTCTGCTTTGTGCTCTGAGGTCATCTTTGCTTGACGTGCTTCTTCACACGTCTTTCCCTCGTGAGAAAGCTTCTTGCAATCAAGGCAAGACCATTTCCCGCACTCATGATTCCCGCAGAAGAAGGGCTTGTCTCTATCTTCCGGGTAAATGATATGGGCGTAGAAGCAGAAGGGGCATGCCTCCAATCCGTCAATCTTGGCCGATTTGACTTCCTCATTGGTACGCATACGAGACCAAAGCTGAAAGGTCTTTTCATCCAAGAATCGTTTAATTTCCGACTCGGAGAAGGTGGCTTCGCATCCTTCCATGTGCATGCATTGAAACTTCGTTCGTTGTAGACCAATCTCTGTTTCGGCTAGTCTACGCGCACATGACTTGCAGAAACGATGACCAACAATGCATTTTGTCAAATCATCGGGCGGGATATCTTCGTTGCAGCAGATTGGGCAATCAGCACTAGAATCCTCATCTGCATTTACTGTGGAGTCTGAATCAACTTGCGCTTCGACGCTGACTGCACGCTGTTTACCTTTGCCCTTCGATTTGCTGGCCATGGAGGATTCAGCAGCTTTGCCAGCTTCAACAGCTGGCGCTTTTTTCAATTGCCTTTTGATGAGCTGGGTGGCTTGCGTCAACCAACGATAGTAGATTTCGTTGACCTCATTGTGACACTTCTCACAATTGTGGTCATTCGTGCGCTTACGCTTTCTACCATTTTCTTGCTTGACAACCAGTTGCTCTTCCGCTGTATGCTTACCGTGGACTGAGCCGCTAGAAAGTACATTGAAGTTCGCAGCTCGAGTGTCAAGGACAGCAGCTTCAATGTCATTCACTTCCATCTTTCCCTCGAAACCTTGACAGAGATAGATGAGAACATTGTCATGCATAGAGTCTATCTTCTCTTGAACCGAATCTAGCCCGATCCATTGTCGATCAGCTTGGTTGAATTCAACTCTTGCTCTCTCCTTTGACGAAGACATTTTGCGATGGTCAACACAACTTGCTTTGGAGATGGGTGATAGTGATGAACGGGGATCTGAATGGAATTGATCTGGGTAGATTACAGATCTAGCTGTAGGATGTGTGCAATGTAGAGAAAGGATCACTGCAGATCGTCCTTTGAGCTTAAGGACAAGATGCGGTGATCGGGAAAAGGTGGTGGCAAGGGAATGGAGTGAGAGGGAAGAAAAGATGGAAACTTTGATTGGGAAAGTGACACGAATATGTATTTCAGGGCAAACGCATTACAAGACTGGGCCTGTGCGCCCCGAAGTCAAAAGCTACTCTGCTGAGCAGGCCTGGGATCATTTTTGCCTTCAATGTGCTTACTCTATGCACTTTTCAATACAATATCACTAATGAAAAGCATTCAAATGAACAAAAAAGCAATCAAGAACAATTGTGTGCAAGTACAACACGCGTTTCGGACCGATCATAATGCAACACAACAAGATGACAATGGGAGACTTTACACAACCTTTAGGATGATTGACAAGGTGCAGCAAAAATCCGATTTTTGCGAATGACGTGTTTGGACGCGTTCAGACGCGTGCAATTTCTCAAACGCCATTTCCAACGCGACACGTATCATGTTTGTAAGGCTTGGCTGAGCCATTTCGATCTTCGTCATCATCGAGAAAGATGGCGGAGTGATTTCGAGAAGAAATAATGTGCCACATGTCAAAACGCATGCAGGTCCAATCGGATACATGCCTTGTCGATTGGGTTATCGTGCATAGATAGCCAGGCAATCAACATGCATGCAACTTTGGACAGAAGAATGTGGCTTGTGATTAGCGTGAGACACACGCGTTAAGCATGCAGGGGGGAATAGCGTGTAATTATCAAACATGTTGTCATTGTCAGTCTCTAGAAGTGATCGTAATGAATTCAATTGATTACATCTACAAGGTTACAGAGAGGGGATACCGTTTCTCTCACGATTTTATATGTACAATACATAGCCGAGGGGGAGTTGATGGATTAGAATCACAATGAGCTTATGAGACAAATTCACGCTCTTCTCCAAGTCCACCTTCACTCTGACGCCTTTTGATGGCCTCGATGTGTTTTCGTTCAAGCTCAGCCGCTTCATGATCCAGGCTGACTTTTTTCATACCTTCTGAGGCTCTTCTTTGTGGATTTGATGCTGATACACTTGCTTGAGTAGTCTGAGCCTGAGCTGCAGGAATTTCAATGGCGGTTTGCAATTGCGGTGGACTTTGGTCCACAGGTAATTCAGTTTGCACACCTTGCCCCGGCTGCGTTGGCTTTTTAGCTGGTTGTTGTAGCGCTTGAGCAGCTGTTGGTTGCATCATTGGTGGAGCTGAAGATTTCTCTTGCTGTTGCACCGGCATCGATGCATTCTGCTGGACTAAATCGCTTTGTAATAGCTCCTCGGCTTGTTGAAGCAAAAGCTTATTTTGCTGCATTTGATGTTGCTGCCGAGCTTGTTGTTGTTGTCGTTGCTGCATTTGTTGCAGTAGTTTTTCATGCTCTTGCTGTTGTTGCCGTTGCTGCATTTTTTGCAGTAGCTTTTCTTGCAGTAGCTTTTTTTGCTCTTGCTGTTGTTGATGTTTTTGCAGTTGCGAAAAGGAAGGTTGATGATTATTTGGCCGAGCAAGAAACATTTGCTGATTTGTTGGTTGTCCACCACGAGGGAGTGGTGAATTTTGAGCTAAAATAAGCTGTTGAGGTTGTTGAGTGAATGGTGCAGGCTGAGGAAAGGTGCCAGGCATGGATGAACTTGGCTGATCGTTCGAGGATGTCACATTTGAGCTTAATGGTGCGCTTGATCCTCTCTGCACAAATGACGGCACACGATCCATATTTGACGGTGTATCAGGAAAAACTGCCATTTGAGGTTGTGAAGGGACCTCAACAGCCACATTTGCCCGTCGAAGAAGCATTTGTGCAGCTTGTCTCACTTGCATGAACTCATTGTTCACCGCCTGCTGTTGCTGCTTGAGCACGATGTTTTGTTCTCTGAGCATTCGATTGTATTGTTCTAGCTCTTGAACTTGTTTTGCTGAGCTGGATTCTGCTTTTGTCATCTGCTCATGCAATCTACCAATTTCCTTGTAAATTTTGCCCATATCTTCGTCGTGACGTTCGCGGCTGACCAAATTGTTCATTTGTTTGACTTGTGCCTTGAGGATGATGTTCTGAATTTCGAGGGAAGCTGACTTTTCCAAACATTTTGGGCACTTGTCAAACCCATCGTGACATTTTTCTCGCTCTTGATTCTCACCGTTGTTGCGTGTTTGAACATCATCATCCAAACGCTTACGTTTAGTGCCAGCGATGTTACTGATGGCATTTACCTCTTCCTCTGCCTCTTGAATGACAGTTTGAACGGCAATTTCCGTTCCAGAACTTGGCTCAGGATCACGAAGCGGACGATCGACGACGTTAGCACCTTCCACGGTTGCAGAGCTTCGCTCAGCGGAGCTGTCTGTAGCGTCATCGATAGCCATTCGCTCAGCAGTATGCACATTTGCCTCTGCATCTGTTTGATTTTCAACAGACACCATCCATCTGGTAACGGAAGATTGTCTTGCGATGAGCTTTCTGGAATCTTTTACCCACCGGGCCAGGACTTGATCGGCCAAGCGATGACATCCTTTGCATTCATTCGACATTTCAACCGTCAATGATTGCTTTGAATGCGGTGATCCGTTTTCATCCACGTGCATTTCATGCAAAGTTTCAGCTGTGAAGTATTTCGGTTTTGTTTGTTGAAGGATGTGTCGAATATGATCGTTTGTATCGCGATTTGTCATGAGTGACAAACGAGTGCGAGCTTCTATCGGCATTCTGTCAATCTTGTCATTTACAGATTTGATGTTGTGCCATTCCATTTGGGGCTCAAGTGAAACGAGCTCATTCTTTACACGCTTCTTCACGTTTCTTCCACCCCCAGCAACAGACATCATTGTCATTTTGAAGAATGATGATGAAAGAAACTGGTTCACTGTTGAGTTGAATGTGTCTTCGCTTGATGAACGATGGGTGCAAGAGTATCTGTGAAAATGAATGATGGTGGCAAAGAGTAGAATCTATGAGTGGGCGTAAATAATGAAAATGAAATGGCTCAGCACAGTTTGTATACTCAATATCACCCTTATCCTGGAAATGCAATGCATTCAATTTATGCGAAATGCTTGGGCCTTTTAATCAAATGTTCGCGCTGATCCTGGCGCCGGTGGTCAAGCGTAGGCCAAGAGATAGACAAAGGTACCGCTCATCTTTGTTCAGGCGCGCATAAAAGACAAAAACTTGATTGGATTCGTGACATGATGATATTGTTATCTACGGCTTTCGATTCGATGATGGCGATGAAAATAGTAGGTGATCTATAGACGTAATATACAAATACAGGGTTGTCGTCAAACTATTGATTGTGCATTTATGCACCAACTCTTACTCCCCTCTTCGCCAACTTTGGCGTAGCTTTACCTTCCTTCTTGGCTTTGGGCTTTGATCGTGCGTTCAATCCCAACGATTTCCGAATATTCTTCAATTCAGTCTCGTGTCGCTTCAACGTGTTATCATACAAAGGACACGGCTTTGTTGCCGCCTTGTCAGTCTTGTCGCCTTGTGGCATTTTGCGTTCGAAATGTTCATACCGTTCCTTGGTGACATCCACTCGACAAATGTAACACATGGGACAGCTACACTTTGGGCAATACATCATATTGCAGCTCTGGGTGGTTTCATCCTTGATAATTGGTGCATTGCATCCCGGTCTAGGGCAGCGTCGAATAATCGCTTCTGCCATCTTCTCCTCGGCTTTCTGTTGATCAGTCATTCGACTTTCACGATCAAGATCCGCGCATGTTTGAGGACGGTGATCTTTTCTCTTGCACGTAGAGCAAGATACAATCCCACAATCCTTTCCAGCACATGTGAACAGAGGAAGAGGGTCCTCAGCGACGTATGCATAATCGCAAAAAGGACACATTTGCATACCAGGAATGTTTGCAGCTTGAATCTCCTCTGTGGTCTTCATGCGCATCCACAAATTGTATGTCTTCTCTGGCAAGAATCGTTTCACCTGTGATTCGTGAAACACTGCATCGCATCCATCCATTGACATACAACAAAGATTCGTCTTCTGTAAGCCAATCACATTCTCGGCCATTATTCGAGCGCAATCCACGCAGAACAGATGACCTTCCGTGCAAAATGTCAAACTTTCCAATTTGATGTTTTCACTGCAACAGATTTCGCATTCGATCCCGGTAAGATCTTCCTTGTATTTCTTGGCTTTCTTTTTGGGTGGTGTACTAGGAGGAGTTTCAGGTTGCAAGATCCTCACGTAATGTTTAACTTTACGCTTCTTTTTTGCCTTTTCTGAATCGTGATCGCGAACGATCTTTTCGCGTGCTTGCGTGATCCAAGAGAGGAACAAAGTACTGATCATTTCATGACAGCCAGGGCATGTTTCATCATGATCATCTTCTCTCTTGCGTTTCTTTCCTTTGCCAACATTCTTTGGCTCGATCTGATGCATATTGTGAAGATCTTCTTGTGTGATCACATCAAAATTTGCAGGGTCACACTCCTCCAATACCTTTTGCATATATGTTGAATTCAGAAGGACAGGACAGCTCTTTGTCAATCTTCTCTCAGCTTCTGCCTTCAAACCATTGATCTTGTCCAAGATGCTCGCCAAACTGGCCCATTCTGGTTTACTGATGCGTAATCTCGAATTCGCCTTCGATTGGATGCTTTTTGAAGGACCGGCAACTTTTGAAGAGCCTGCCATGGTGAGGACGTTGTACCCACAGTGGGTGTGGTAATGAAGAAAAGAACAAATTCAAAAGGGCTTATCATTGTAAGCAGGTCTCTTTCTCCTTGCTCAGCTTTTTTATGTCTGTGCGTTATTGGGCGTTCATTGGGTCAATGCGGTACTCTTCCTCTTGAATTTAACATACTCTCTCATTCAATCAATTAATCAGCGTTTACATTTCTTATCCATTGAGCCCAGCCTTATCTTACGCCTTCAAACAACGCGGCGCTATAGAAAGAGGGGGCGCGATTGCCATCAGAAAGGCTAATGTATGTGGTATACTATTTTATTCGATGATTTGCATGATAAATAGAAACTGTGATCCTTACAGAATAAGAGAGATAGAACGAGCAAGAAACGAAGAGAAAGATGGAAAATTGAAATGGTATACTAGTAAGGGTAGAAGAAATAGCTGCATCTCTCATACTTTGTTTGTAGCTGACTTGAATCGCCGATTAAGAAAGATTGTGTTTGTGGTAAAAATACACCGACTTGAAACTTTTCTTTGCAACAGCTCAAGATGCGGCTCGATAATACACGGTTGTAATGTACTTTTTACGATAACGAACTGTACAGCCAGTTGCAATCACTCCAGATTTGATCGCACTTGCTGTTAAATGATGTAAAACGGCATGATTGGGTGCGGGCAAGACACTATTATCATCCACAGTTCCCAAAACAGCAGCCGAAGTACTGTTCAAGATCACCTTCTCGAGTTGACGTGGAAGAGTTGGTGGAACGGGAACATCAACTGGAGGTGCAGGTGCATCTCGGCTATTGTGATGACGGGAAGACTTGCTTTCGGAACTGGCTTGGAACGCTTCTAGCTCATTTCTATAAGCCTCTTCAGATGCTTGTGCTTTGACAATGCTTGGTGGAATCTCTTGCGTCCATCTCTCTTCATGTCGAACTTTGTCTTCCCCAAATACGTCCAGCAGATTACCACGTTGCAATGCTTCTGCTCTTCTTGCTTCTTCCAGCAAGTCCACTGCAGCTTTATGCGCTGACAACCCTTGCTTCTTTCCCTTGTTTTCATCTTCTTCCATAGGCGCAAGAAGGTCTTCTCCTGGTGCACTTAGAGGTCCAGGATGGGCAGGTCCGGTATGTGCCACTTCAATATAATTTGTCAAATTACCTTCACCATCACTGGCAGTGGAAAGATCTCTGCTGACCCTCCATCGATCATCCACAATGAATTTCAATCGATGCGTTCCTGGAGCCAAATGCAAAACACAAGAATATTCTGGACGTTTGCCTGTTGATGTTGGACTCTTTCGTAACGAAATCTTCGATCGCCATTCATTGGCAAATGTACCAGTCACAAAAACTTCCTTACCGCCTCCACGCCATTTGACAACGATTGGAACAAGCGGCACAGAACTCTGCCTTTGATGAGAAGGTGATGTAACATGACCTTGTGAACGATGTTCCCCTTTTGGAGGTGTAGTAACAGGATGACCTCTTACTGGCTCCTTTGCAGTTGGTGTTGTTTCCGGTAATGTCAACTTAAGACTATTTGTCTCTTTCGTCAAAGGTGTTGTCGGGCTTGATTCATTGGTGTTGTCTGATCCATACGTCGGTATAGCTGGCGTCAAAGCACTTGAAGGTGCAGATGTCAAACCGATCGGTAGAGCAGGCGTTGCAGCACCACTTTCCGTTCCTGTGTACAACTGCAAGCTTGGCCTTCTCATTTGATCAGTATTCGATGCTGCCAAAGCTGCTTGTGCCAGTCGAGCTGCTTCAGTAGATTTAGAAGAAGACAAAGATGTCAAAGTACCCGATTTTGCTTCTGTTGGCGTCATTGCTCTGCCGCTTCCCATGCTGCCAGGAGTAGGTGTCGGTGTCCTTGAATTATTCTGTCTTTGATCGGTCGATTGATCTGACGCAGTGCTGGAGATAGTGGCTGCAATTGAGCGTTCAGAGGTGCTTGTGCTATCTGCAGTGTGTTCTTTGGTCAAACCTTCCTTTTCAAGCTCGATATCTCGACTTGAATCGGATTCATCCATCAATGGACTGGTAACCTTTCCAGCTTCTCCCGGTGCCAAGAGTACATCTTCCGTATTCAAAATTGCAACAGCCGCAGAGCCTCCCAACGCATGTCTATTTGTCTGTGTTGTGACTGCAGGTGTTAATTGTTGTGACGCTGATGGAGGCTGTCCTTCCATACTACTTCCGAAATCGTCTTCCATCGTCACTCGGTCAGCTGGATGGGGCGATGAGGGTTCAGAAGAGGTAGGCGATGCATATGCACTGGGAATCAAAGTTGGAATCTTGAGGTAAGATGGCAATGCAGTTGGTTGTTTCCTACCCAACGGATCTCTGATGGAAGGCGAATTTGACGACGTTGCACTGGAATCATTCTTTGCTGTTCCTCCGCGATACGGAAACATGGGATTGTATGAATCATATCCTGGACCTACTTGTGAGAACGAAGAACCTTCTGTTGAACCATCATCGACTGGACTGCTGACTGATCTCAATCTACTTGCTCCAGAACTTGATGTATGCGATGCATCTGTCCCACCAGGTGAGAGTAAAGAAGTCGAATCTTGCGAGGATTGTCTGTGAGGTGAACTGAGAGAAGCGATTCCACTGCTCAATTTGCAAGATGCCGTTATGGGTGATAAAGTAGCAGAAGAAAGGCCATCATCAATATCGACGGGCGGAGGAGAGAGAATGATGCGTAAAGGCATTTCGTAAAGGGGTGAATGGGATGCATGTGTTGTCAGTAAATCATGTCGTGAAAAGATAAAGGGACACCAGATCATCGTATCAAAGAGCAGCGTGGCAAATCGGATTCTAGACCGGATGAAATCGTTCAACAAACGACAGCGCAGCGCATATAACCACGGCACCGTCCGGATTCTGATCCGTATCGAAAAGCCGGACTTTTGAGCGTGGACAAATTCACACGATTCTTTGCAATTGCAATGAAGCAAAGAAACGCCTTCAAATGAACACATCCAGTTCCCACTTTGATATACAATGCGTCATGCGGTGTGAGAAGGGGCCCGAAGTGGAATGAAGGTCATCTTTGCAGCATCACACAGCTTGACGAAAGATGCATAGCATATCCATCAAGCGACGGCTGGTGAGCACGCAATTCCAAAATAGAACATTCATCCTTGTTGAAAGGGTAGTGTAATGAACCAATGACATCACTTTCCATTACCGCGGCTTAATTTGTCTACTTTACGCCAACGGCGCCGTTTATGGCGACAACATTCCAAAATTTCAATAAACTTTCTTTCCCAAAAGTACTTACCCAGTTTGTCCAGCGCCACTGAATGTTAATCCTGCATCCATATCGCTCAACTCGATACTCTTCTTTCGTCTGAATACCAATTCCGATCCACGTCCACCTGTTGGCGTAAACGTTCCAGTCGCTCCTTCTACTTGACCACCAGAAGGTGTTTGCGCTGAACTTCTACGAATTGATCCTCCGCTCAACAGATTTCCAATACTGCCCGAACGAGATCGATTTCGATTGGATGACGTAGACGGAGCCCCTTTCGCCCCTGATGAACCAGGTAAAGCGGATCGAATCCAAGCCTGTTCTCTATCCAACGTTCTGGGAGAACTACTGGCCGATGCAGATGCTCTACGATCGGAAGAGAAAGCTCTCAACAAACTCGCACTTCCACCGCCGCTTTCATCATTTGTAGATGCTGGAAACAAATTCGTACCGCCATGTGAAACGCCTCTTTTTCGATTTGAACGTTCATGATGTGCTGCACTTCCGGTTGCTGTTGTACTTAGCCTTCTCAGCTGAGGCGAAACGTTGGGCGCGAGAGATTGAAAGCCAGAAGATGAATCAGATGATAGACCTGTATTGAACCGGCTTAATCTCGAGATTGAATCTTGTCCTCCCCCACTTTGACCATCATTGGCTGCCGATTCTTCCTTGGTGCTTGATTGTGTATTACCCATTGTTGGAAGCGGAGACTATCGTGTGTGTACTCCCGAATTGGCCAATCGTGTGAATCAATTCATTCCGTCTGAGATTGTCGTTTATTCTATGCGTGGATTGAGCTCTATGAGGAGGTGATTAGGTGGATGTTGTTGAGATAGAATTGGAGGACGCGAGAGTGGTCGCTTAGTTGTATTTGTTCAACGTGAATGAATGAACGTTTAAGTGAGAAAGAGAAGATGATGGCGTTTATGATTGAAGAGTACCCCACCTAATCTATTAATCTATATCGTCTTAGACTGCAGCTGATAGCGTATGAGAGAATTGAATAAATGCCCAATTACGCGTAAACAGTCTGCTCCCACGCCTTGATTTCTCAAAGAAACGGTGGAGTTTTCGCTCATGCCTCGGTAAAATTATATTCACAGTGCTGCGCGCTACCAAGCAACAAAAGCTTGGCGGAGGATATTGGTCTAACAGTAAGACAAGCTGGTGAGAATGGCAGGGGATATGTTATAATTAAAGGAGACCAGAGATATCTTTCTGCAGGAGCCAATTGAATATACTGTACGGACTGACACACTAAACTTCTAATAAGGCTGAAACACTTATCTGAAGATACTATTAAGAGCTCGTCTCTCATCCCATCATCGCCTTCACACATATCATAGGAACTCTCACATGATGAGGCGAGCACCTTGCGGAGATGGAATAAGGACCTTTGCGGACACCAATAAGCAGCCAATAGTCATCATCAAGCTCTGTCCCTTCTTCCATGTGTGCCTTGATGATACATCATCTTCCTCTGCGGTCTTGTCAAAGCATGCGAAAAGCATGATTATCCACCACCTGTATTCCAACCTCTTCGCCGACAATACTATCTCAAGCACTCATGACAGCCGTTCTCTTCTTTAAGTACCGTATATTGATTCATGCAAGGAATATGATTGATTAGTGTAGACCATGCCAGAAGCATACCATACGATTCATTTAGTGTGCTATGGGAAGGAGAGAGATGCAGAGAAGATCGTCAGTACTGGTTGATGGCAGCAAGTCAATCCGATTGTACCCACCTGAAGGTGTTTTGGAGATGTAGTCGATAGCCTCTTGAACGGAAGTGATGTTGTCGGCTTCTGCATCAGGGATATCGATGGAGAATTCCTCTTCGATTGCCATAACAACTTCAACGGCGTCTAAGCTGTCCAATCCCAAATCGGTAGTGAAAGCAGCAGAAGCGGAGATCTAGAACATGAGAGAGAAGAATGAGGTAAGTATGCTGACGGAAGTCTATCCCATGCTGTCAATCTGTCTCTACACACCTTTGCAGGGTCAACCTTTTCGAAACTCTTGAGAACTTCAAAGATACGATTTTGGATCTCTTGGTTTGACAATCCTGAGCTGGCAGCGTATGCACGAGTTTGGAAAGCAGGTACCTTCAACATTCCGCTTGATCTGCTCAATTGCCGTCCAACGAAGCTTGGCTTAACAACCATGCTGGAAAGGTTACGTTGAGCGGACATTGTCATCGATCTGGCGGCATTTGCACGTGTGGCACGTAGAAGAGAAGTTGCACGCATTGCTGACATTTTCGGTTGTGTATTCTGTTATCCTTTTAGTCGAGGTGATGGATGTATGCAAATCAAGAAAAAGTATGCGATGGCGACGACACGAATTCCGTTTGATTCTTCTTAAAGCAGACAATCGCGCGTGTGTTTCTGTCTGTACGCCTGAAGCCCTTTCTTCTGCCCCCTCCTCCCCTGCCTCATTTGACCAATCGTTGCAACTTTTGCTCCACCGTTTAAGAGCCAGTGTACGTAAGCATGGGCGTGAAGTCAAATTATTTTATCATACACGTGACTCTTACACCCGCGCTAAACACTTTTTGCCTTTTGGTTAGAATAGAAGAAGATTGGTGATTGGGCTGATCATCGTTCACTCGATCACAACTTTCAACAGCATACACCAGTCACTATGAAAGGTCTCGCATTCCGAAAGCTGGGCAGATCAACTGGTCACAGAGATGCTTTACTGCGTAACTTGGTCACATCGCTAATCCAACATGAACGCATCAATACAACAGTAGCAAAAGCAAAAGAAGCACAAAGGGAAGCCGAAAAGATTATTACAAAAGCAAAAAGAGAATTTGTAGAAAAACGAATTGGAAGACAAGGAAATCAAGCGATGAGATATGTCTATCAGCCAGCAGAATCTATGCCTTTGCTTCAAAAACTTGCAGAAAGATATGCTGATCGACCGGGGGGATATACACGCATTCATTTGCATGGAAATCGACCGGGTGATAATGCACCTCGTGCTTTGTTGGAATTGGTCGATCAACCAAAAGGTGATTTGAAATTGCAAATGACTGCAATGGCAATGGGAAGACAGATGTATCTACGTGCCAACAACGATGGAGCTGGAGATGCTATTCAATCAGTAGCATCTGCTCTAGGAAGCACACCGATCGAACATGACGAACAATTCCATCTTCTTACCCGAAGGAATGCTGAAAAGCTGGTCAAGTTTGGAGGAGAAGAAAAGCGAGCGCTATTGATGAACAAAGCCAAAGAGCACTTCTACAGACTGATGGCAATGCGTCAATTGGAAGGTGATAGAAGAATCGATGTTGAACGAACAAAGTCACTCAAAAACAACAAGCCACGTGGAAATAGTAGCGCATTCACACCTCCTATGCAAGGTCAAAGAAGATTGGCTGGAATGGAAAAGAATGTGTTGCAAAGTGGTCCGGATGAACCTGCTCAACCTTTCAAACGAGGAGATTACAGAAAGAACAGTGTGATTCGAATCAGTAAAGGTGTATTTGCCAAACGTCAAACACGGAATGGCTTCATCCCAAAATTGGACAGACCAGCTTCTCAACCCGAGTCAACAGCATGATTTCGTTAGAATCATCTGCTTATTCCTTTCAACAACATGTATACTAGCCAAGCAATGATCATTTGTAACATCGCATCATGATTCCTCTCGAAGAATGGATTTGAGATCTGTGTGAATCATATTTTATTGCGACATAACTATTTTTTTCTTTTACATACACAGGTTCAATACCATCTTACAAATGCGGTCCAAATCACTTCAAGGCGACAAACTACTCTGTCATACTCTTACGGTAAGTGTATCCGAGCGTGCTGATGTACGCATTGGGGACTTCGTCATCACTGATGACGAAATCGGAAAGTTGGGAGGAGAGGCTACGATTCTCGTAATCATCATAGCTGAGCTGACTGCTTTCCTCATCAGATCCTTCCTCGTTTGCTTTCTCCGCTTCTTGTGTCATGCTTGCTCGTCTTAATCGTTTACGACGGACGGGTTGAGTGGATTGTGAAGATTCACTTTCAGGAGTCGAATTTGCACTTTGGATTGGCAAAAGCGGTTGCGTCAATACGCCGACATCGAATCGATCGCTTGGAATTGCAGCAACTTCAACATGGAGGGTATTGGTCGTTTTGTCAACCTTTTCTACCTTCTCTGCGGAAACAACAGTAGAAGTTTGAGAAGCTGTCAACACCACATCGTTCTGCTTTTCCAATTCCATTCTGGTACTTGCTGTTACGTCTTTGGTCAAAATCTCCATCATGTCGTGTTGCAAGTGCACTGCATCCACTTCAGTTTGACAAGCATGCGAATGGATAGTTTTGATCAGATCGTCCAAGCTTGACTCAAAGCAATTCTGGAAATCAAGACCACTTTGTTGCTGTACTGTCGTTACACCTTTTTCGATTTCCGTACGGTAAGCACCAAAAACAGTTTGTACCATGGATCGTGTAGCTTCATGATATGGTTCAGGTAAGTCTGTGGACTCGATGGCGACATCAGGAAAGATTTTGTAAGGCTTCTTATACTTTGCGATCTCTTCTTCCTCTTTCCCAAGCATTTGCATAATTCTTTCTTGAAACGATAACATTGAACGAATTGACAATGCGTTACCGATGAAATCTTCTACGGATTTTAAAATTGTTTCGGTGACGCTTTTTGGCTCGACGTCACTTTCTTCATCTTGAAGATTCAACTTTCGAACTGCCAGCTTGATCCCGTTTTCGATGGCAAGATCAATTTCCAGACTAAGGAGGTAAGCGACTGTAGATGTGACGATGATAGGAATTGAATTCACCGTTGTCTCCGAAGCTTGTCTTGACTCTTGATGTGATTTACTAGGAGTCGCGATGTCAAATGAAGAAGACATGTTGATCAAAAAGAAGATACTGTATTTAATTTTGGTATGATGATGGATGGAGTGAAAGTAGAAGAGAAGGGGGCGATTTCAATCTGCATTAAATGCTGAGTGGTGTTGTTCATTTTCTTGCATTAAATTCACAGAGTATTTAATCAATTGTGGCGAAATCTCACTGTCAACTCTCCGCCTCCGCTCGGACGATGCTGTAGCTTGAATCAATGCTGGGCCTAGATCTACCCATACATTCATTGATGACTTGAGTCAGGAATTCATCGTACAGGCATGAAAGTATGTAAGGAAACCGATCAAAGACGGAGGGTGCTAAAGTACATGGGAAAAAAGTTTCAATGCACAGCCTTGTCGTGTGAAAATTTGGACAAGATAACTTTTCTGCAATCGGAAAAGATGGTATTAGTACATGCAATCTTCAAACGTTGTCAGTGGTAATTGAAAAACTTTGTTGAATCTTGATTTATTTTCTTTCTACATGTACAAATTTTGTTTCTTTATAGTACATTGAGCTTCTACTACGGATATAATATACATTGCCACTTCAAATGCCTGCTTGACTTCGGATGATTTCGCGAATGGTTTCTACACCTTTGCTATGACTGCGCGTAAAATAGATTGGGTACAATTGTGGATCTTTGACGATTTCCAGTGATGCTCCTAATCCACTCCTATCTTTCGTATACCTCAAATTCTCACCTAGTCGCAGCCTGATGTTTACTTCTTCCCCACAGTTCAAATTTTCCTTATCATTCCACTGTTCGGAAATGGTAAAGGTAAAGGTATGTTCTGGGGATAGACAGATTGAACCTTGGAAGATGTCGGGAATCTCTGTAGGACGCAGAAGACACTGTAGAAAAGGCATGAGCATGGTCAAAATCAGATAGAGTGCACTCAGTATTTATCTCACCTTGTATCCTGTGCTCAGTAGAGCCTGAACTTTATCTTCATATGAAGTTCCTGGCTTGTTGGAACTTGCGTTGCTTTTCGACTTCGAGTTACTCAGGACGTATTCTCCATCACTTGATTCACTGAGCTGCCTGGCTGGGGGAACATTTGTAGTTCGTGTATGCGAAGAGGTCTTTTGTGGCATCTGATGCGATTTTACATTCGTACTTCCTGACGATGACGCTTGCTGTAAGATAGACAGATTTGTCAGTACATAAATTAGACTAGGTCATTTCTTCCGTATACACATACCTCATTCGTAATCTTACCATGATAGGACGAAGACAACGGCAGGCGATCATGCAGTCCTAACGGAGGTTGGCATCGAGGGAAAGCATGTCGTGAGGTTTGATTGAGCTTCTCGTCATTTTGCACGGTCCAACATGATACCATGAACAAACATCTCGCAAAATGCATAAATGCACGTTTGACTTCATGTGGTTTCCAAATCTTGCCCTTGGAGATCTTGTCCACCTCGAAAATTCCCAATGCTTCAACTGTTTCATTTAGTGACCATAAATTAAAACATAAATGCGTATTTCTCTCGTTCCCTAGACCATGACCTGAACCAAGCAATTCGTTAGCCAGGGGAGTGGTTTGCAGTATACCTTTCGCAGTTGCAATCAGTGAGCTCGTAGGCTTAGTAGAAGCAGCAACGAAAGAAGCATGAATGTCGGAAAGTGAGCTGGCGTGCTTTTCTAATTTGCCCTCTTGGAAGAACAAAATGATGCCGACCTTTGAAACTTTGTCCTGTTCTACTTGCCTCAAAACCATCTTTTGCAAAGCCTGCACTGTCATCTGATCGCCATTGACAAGACTTGTGATGAATTTCTGTGCATCACTTGTCATTCCAGCCTTGATGGCTTGGACGATGGTATCACGGCTATAGTGATTCATGATCATTTGCAGAGCGGGCGTTGCATTTTCTTTTAATCCTAACAAGATGACGAAGGATTTACCCAAGATTCTGATAGTGGAAGAAGTTTTACATCAGCAGCTGAACTTTTTTCATCATGTACCTCTTCAACTCACTCCTCAATGCTCAATAATGGAGCTTTGTCATCTGCTTTCCCAAGCTCGACTTTCTCCAAACACATTGGGGCTTTCTCCACGGAATCATCAAGTTTTCTTCTTTGATGATTGGCCTGTACATCCTCTTCTTCTTCGGTACCGTAGTACTTTCTGTAATCACCAGAGTAACGGGCTGCACGCGTCCGTTTTCGAATTTCATCAGAATAGAAGACTTTGGATGAATCTTTTGTGCTGTTTGACTTGGTCTCGCTGGCCTGGCTTTTTTGCTGATTTTGATCTTGAGTAACGGTGTTTTCATCTTCATCCTCGTCTAGAGTTAGATCGATGAAGGTACTGGGTTTTGACGAACCTGGTTGTGATTGACTCGTGCTCTTGACAGTTGCGCTCTTGAGTGGCTGAGAGGGATAAGCACGGAATGAGTCTGTTTTCAATAATGCATCAACGTCAACTCTAACAGCAATACAGTTCTTGCTGATATGATCGTATAATTCCTGAAATGGTGATTGAAAAATGGTATTGTCTATATTGATTTCCGTCAATGCATCAACCTTCCCTTTCTCAACAGCTTTTTGGTAGTGTGAGAACACCTCTGTGATGATCAAATTTGCAGTTGGATGATACTTTTCGTGCAAAAAAGTATGGTTCATCTTCAGATCAGGTGTGTAAATGTATTCTTTCGCGTACTTGCTTTGGACTTCAGGGCTTGGATCTTCCAGTACTTTCTGAGCTTCAGCAAGAAAATCGGATTTAGGGAAATTTTCTTGTGCTTCCTTAACAGCAGAGTCAACGCAGGCAAAGATTGCTCTTACGGCTTGAGTTTGATCGACGTCGTCTTTGGCTTGCAAATCAGAATGTCTTCTTGCTTTTCGCAAGCCTTCTTCGATGGCCAGATCATACTCAAAGCAGAATTTGTATGCAATAAAGTTCGCAAGAAGCTTCCATTTCTCCTTCATGTCAGATGAAAGAGGAGTGGCCATTTTCAGGCACAAAAAAAATGATGATGTTGATGAAGTGAGGAGAGGAAGAAGGAACGATCACAGCTCTAATCATTGATGAGCGCAGCGCAGCGCATTTGCCCACATTTCCCCTTCAAAGGGTTGTGGGTAAATGCTGAGTCGAACTTTCTTCTCGTTCTTCATATGAATATCGTATCCGAACAGTCTACGCGCGTGCACGCGTTGTATGCAGCCAAACGCATGCATTTACCCGATCCACTGAGAGCAGAAATATGCATGGCGCTAATTGTAGTCTAAATTATGCATGCATGTTGGATCGAAAGAAACGTAAGAACACCCAGAAGCATGATTGTTTGTATTGCCATCGAACCGAACGGATCAACTTCGATCGCATATGCGACAATGAAGCCAATTCCTCTGTTGCGAGGTGGAGAGATGAAGGGCATCCAGCAACACAGATTGGGTGATGTGGCCTAAGAATTATTATTTTAACAGTTGTGTAAAAAAAGGTCACTTGCATACATTCCGACGCCGCACAATTATCCTTTTTGGCCTATTTTACGCCCAAGAGAAATGCAGCCGTGGCAATCAACGATCTGTGTTTTAAGAGCATCGGAAAGAATCGTAGTATCATTCGGCTTGGATTGACTGACTGGGAGTCTATATGATACAAGATGACAGTGGTGGCTACAATACTATACACAACAAACACAGAAAACTGCCTTGATCAATTCACTGAAATCTTCCTTTCTCTCGATCCAAGAGGATATCTTTAATTACTTTGGCTGCAGCTGGGTCTACCAGGACGTGGTGCTCCTGGTTGCGAGAGTGCATCACTAACTTTGCTCCTGTTTGTGTTGGTTCAGTTGAATACTGATACTGCGAGCCAACAATCAGTTTGAATAAAACCAAATCGAACTCCTTCACATTTTTACCTTGAAGGCATTCGGAACCCAAATAGACTCGAAAGCTCGCTTGTCCCGACAAATGAAGATTCGTAGTAAGGGCAGTGCCCCTTTGCATTTGTTCATTGGCTATCAGTATGCGCTAGATGCCGATAAGGATTGTACAATATCAGAAATAGCGTTTCGCCCACCTTCCGATTGATGTGACTTACCTTAACTCCACTCCCGAGCAATAATTTGACATTCTCCTCGTAATCATCTTTTGAATCTTTAGAAGCTTTGGTTTGCACTTGCACTGAACCAGAAGGTTTGTCGATGGCGCTTTCTACCGTCGGTTCCCTTTGATCTTCTGCGAAGAAACATTTGAGCTTTCTGCATTTGTGGAGTATTATGGCAATCTAAGTATGCATGCACTCACCATTTGTGGATCCTTCTGCTCTTTCTGTACTGATTCCTCCAGGACTTGTGTAGAATATTCTAAGCGGAAAAACATCGTCTAATCCAGTGAAAGGCTTGCCTTGTTTATACATACTTCTCAGACGCAGATCTAAATCTTTATCTTGTATTGTCCAACAAATCACTATCAGTGCACAACGTAAAAGATGTGCTACCTCTCGAACCAAATGTTTATCATCGTTGAATAGTCGGCATCGAAGCGCTAGAGCTGTGGACGTGATAGATTGTTCGACAGCATCATTAAGCGTCCATACTGGGATGCACAGCTTTTCGCAATTTTGATTTTCGTCCATTTTAAGGAAGTCAGATACTGCTTTGGTATAAGCCACGCCCCTATACTTCAGCTTCCAGAAAGATTGGTATCGGGGTAGACTTGAAAGAGTCAAATAAGTCTTATATGTCTCTTGCGCTGAGATAGTCTTTGTAGTTTGTCCAGTATTGGAATGACTAGCAAAGAAAAACATTCTGGCAGAAAGCTTGTCTTTTGGTATGCCTTTATTGTGGATATCTTTGATGCTCTGAGCACTGATGTCCTCCCCATTTATCATCGCTACAATAAGCTGCGTAGCGTCTGAAGACATTCCTTGTTTCAACAACCGCACCAGACCTGCACATCCAAAGCATGCCAATATCACAACTATTCCTTCTCTTGCATCTTGGCTCATCTTCATCGTCAAATCGACACCTTTTTCAAGGATTTCGTCAATTCCGAATTTTGTTACGCTTGTTGATGCGGTAATTGGTGGAATGCTTGTCTTTGATGCAAGTTGCAATAGCTGAGATCCTGTCACGCTTGATGGTGAGGTACTTGCGGGAATGGTTTGTTTCGATGTAAGTTGCAATTGCTGAAATCCTGTCACGCTTGATGGTGAGGTACTTGCGGGAATGGTATGTTTCGATGCAGGTTGCACTTTCTGAGATTCCTTCACCGACGAGCTGCTCGAAGTCGCGGGATTCTGCAAAGAAGGTTGCGCTTTCTCTTTTGGATTGACGCTGCTTTGTGAAAGCAGCGATCTAAACAGCTCTAACGCTGGCTTTAAAGCAGTGGTGTCAGGTAGAGGTATTGCTTGTGCTGTGCTCGAACAACTTGGAGTAGCAGTACTGGCTTTTAGAAGTGGGTGAACAGCAGCGGACGTAGTATTGGCTGATTGACTAATTGAGCTTATAGCTTTATTGACCTCCAGTAATTCGAAACCATCATCTGAAGATTCATCATGGTCTTGATCATGCATCTCCTGATATCGAATTTTCTTTGAAATTTGTATGGCTGAGTCATCTAGCTGATTCCTTTTTTCAGGAATTATTCTGGAATTGCCATGTTGGAACAAAGAGTTCGATACGATAGGACGTCGTACATCTTGACTTTCTACGTCCTGTGGATCGAGTGGTCTTGTAGCTAAGAATCGTTCGACTTTGCCTTCTACTTCGAACAAGTGCAGGCGAAAGCTTTTACATCTATCATGGATCGTTGATGTCAGAAGCTTGACTGTGTTTTCAATTGACCGGTCCCGACCTGCATACATCGTTCTCAAGGCTTCTAATTTTGCGCCTTCAATGACCGCTTGATATTCATCGAAGACGCATTCAATGACCTTTCTCGCAACAATATGGTATCGGCGATCAAGGCAAGCGGATTCCAGGGTAAGCTCTGGACAGAACTTAAACGTCCGTACCTCGCCTTGTTGGAGAAAATGATTGGCTACGCGGACTTGCAATTGGTCGTTTTGAAACAAGTTGATCGCATTGCCAGTCTTGGACCGTACAGACTGGAGTATGATATCAATCTCTTCTTGATTGATAGCATCACCAGCTGGTACAGCGATGTTACGCCTTTTCAATTCTGTCTTTGCTAGTAGCAGTCCCTCTTCCAATGCATACGAATATTCACTACAGTACGTTGATGCGATGTAGCTTGCAGCATTTAAGCACTGAGTCTGGAATTTGTCAGGTGGAATGTCAAGCATTTTTGGAGAAGGTGATTGCGTGAAAGAAAGAAGGCCCTCGACATGGTTGTAGTCATGAAGTACGACCTCTATAGAACTCTCACGGATTGATTGGCTCAGCAGAGCCGAGTGCACGCATTTTGGAGCTGTCTAGAAATTACGCCCCGAGAAAAGACAATCGTGGCCATTCACTTGTGTGCTTTACCCGATGCTCCATATATGGCTACCCATTAAAGCCAAAAGATCCAATCATGCTCGAAATGAATCGAAGACAAGTGTATCAAAAGTTTACTCGAACGTACTTAGGCCTGTAGATGCAATGAAAGTCAAAGCAGCTCCTTGAACAAATACACGAGAAGAGTAATCTAAACGTCAAAAACTACACACACATTAACCTTGCAGATATATACGGCACTTGTCCTACTTCTTTTCACATTTTTTACTTCCTGTGAGTGCAACCAAACCTCTAGTACATTACCGCTGCAAATCGGAATGAATATGAGTTTGAAAGAAACGTGATGACATTGGTTTGTAGCGATAATCGGATCTCTAGATGTATAAACATGATACAAAGGCGGAAATGATTGACTATGATACACAATAGTAAGTGAAAGGGTGCTCTGATCGACTCATCGAAATTTTCCCTTCTCTAGATCCAACAGTATACCTCTAATGACCGTGGCCCCACCCGGGCTGACAAGTATGTGGTGCTCCTGTTCTTCTCCGTCTGAATTACGCTTGGACATCACTAACTTTGCTCCCGTCTGAATCGGATCAGTAGAGTAGTGATACTTGGAGCCAACAACGAGCTTGAATGACACTATATCGTCTTGCTTCATCTTTTTACCCTTGAGCCATTCGGGAGTCAAGTATACAGAAAACCTCGCATGACTTGACAGATAGATTGTAGCACCGAGTGCAATACCTCTTTGCGTTTGTTTGATGAATCTGAGTTCGCGCTATACATCGGTAGAAAATAATTGTGCTACATCAGAATCTGCTTTTTGTTCACTTCTTAATCTTGATTACTTACCTGTAAACCACTGCCGAGCAGTAATTTTACGCTGTCCTCGTATCTGGCGTAAGACGATTCGGTTGGCATTTGCGCTTTCTTTGAAAACTCATCCGTGGCACTATCTTTCATCACGTCATTTCCATTATCTGTATTCATGAAAAGCTTTAAGCGTTTTGTTTCTTTCAAGAGAGTGCGACCTTCCACCTCTACCTAGACTCACCATTCATCGAATCAGTTCCATCTTTCCAAACCCCTCCTCCGCCACCTACGCCACAACAATAATTTGTTTCGATTGGAAAAACATCGTTTAGGCCACCGCAGGGTTTTCCTCGTCTATACATCATCTTGATACGCGCATTCAGTTCTTCGTCTTGTGTTGTCCAGCAAATCACAATAAGTGCACAACGCACTAGATGTGCTACCTCTCGTAACAGATGCTCCTCGTCATTGAATGATCGGAGTAAGTTCGCTGTGACCTCGGATAGGATTGATCTTCTCAAAGTATCGTTGAGAATCCAGATTGGGATGCAGAGCTTTTCATACTTTTGAGGTTCTTCCGCACGTAGAAATCTGAACAAGGATTTGTTATAAGCTGTGAGCTTTCTCGGTAAAGTTGAAATACACAGTTTTTGTGACTGGATCGTAAGAGTCATAAAAGCTTTATATGTCTCTTGTGCTGAGAGTGTCTTTGTGTCTTGTCTATTTTTGGAATCACTAGCGACGAAAAGCATCATTGCAGAAATTAGTCCCTCTTGCGTACCTTTGTCGTGTATACGTCTGATGCACCTTGGCGTGATGTCTTCTCCGTTCATCATTGCTACAATGAGCTTTTGAGCATCTGAAGACAGCCCTGCTTTCACGATCTGAATAAAGCCTGCTCGTTTAAAATGATTCAAGATAGCAGTGAGTCTACTTCTTGCATTTTTTGTGAGCTCTTCAAAAAGAACGGCTCCTCTTTCAAGAATCTCGTCGATCCCATACTTCTCTACACTCGTTGATGAGCTACCCGACGGACCAGGGAATTGCAATGCAGACACCTTCTCTTTTGAAAGAGCAATGCTTTGTGTTGATCTTAGCGGGTCTAAAACTCGTTTTGATGACGTAGCAGAGGGTCTAGGAGCTGTCTGTGGCTTGGACAAAGAGCTTGCAGAAGCTGTGATGGGCTTCGGAGGTGGATGAGTACCAGATTTCGTGGTATGCACGGAATGAATGGCGCTACTTGCTTTTGGTAACAGCGGATGTGCTGCTTGCTTGATCCCCGTTAACTCGAAGCCATCATCTGACGAATCATCACGGTCGTACTCCTGCACATTCTGTTGCCGAGCTTTCTTTGAAGCTGATACGGGTGGATCTTCCACATGCTTTCTCTTTTCAGGGACTGCTTCAGGTTCGTCACGCAGAAACAATTTGTCCGCTACTTGCGAAAATTCTACTTTCGGACTCTTTACAGCATGTTGTTCGAGAGGTTTTGCGGACATGGGTGATTCAATTTCTCGCCTAATCTCGAACAAACTCAAGCGAAAAGTTCTGCAGCCTTCATGGATCGTAGAGACCAATGTCTTAGCGGCACTTTTGATTTCTCGATCTTGACTAGCATACAACGAACCCAAGGCCTCCATTTTTCCTTTTTCAATGATCGTTTGATGTTCTTTGAAAATGCTTTCAATGACCTTTTTCGCAAAATGATGATAACGACGATCCAAAGGAGTAGAAATCATTGTGATATTGGGCATATACGTATAATGTTTCTCCTCGCGGTAATGGAGAAAACGTTCTTCTGTGTGAAGTTGTAGCCGTTCTTCGTCGACAAAGCCAATCGCATTGGCAGCCGATGATCGTACAAATTCAAGAATGATGTCTTTTTCTTCTTGGTTGACATTTTCGCCTACGATGGCTTGCTTTTTGAAGTGCGTATTTGCTAATCGCAAACCTCCTTCTACTGCAAACGCATACTCGCTGCAGTATTCGTATGCAACGTGGCTTGCAGCATACAAGCATTGAGTCTGGAACTTGTCAGTTCCAGACATTTTTGGAAAATGTGTTGTGGTGTGGTTGGTGGTTGCAAAGAAGAATGATGAAGCACAAAGATTCTCCTGTACCGCTCCTACGGGGTTGACTTTCGCAGCGCATCAAACGAGTTAATTTGCGCCCTCTTATCGGATCCGTAGTCAAGCTTGTGCGCTTGCAATATTTCCACTTTCACCAAGGGAACGAACAATCACAACGACAAGATGAATGTTTCCTCTTATTTCAAGGATTCACTGATCATTGTAGAGTAGAAGAATGTCAAAGGTCATGAGAAAACGCTTGAGTACATGCTTGACACAGACGCACTTGATTGACCTGTATTGATTGTGATTGTATGCAATGTTAATTAATTGCTTCTTTGTATTCATTTGCACTTCAAGCGCCGACCCAAGCGCCGCCGCCTTTGCACTGCACACGAATCAATTCAAACCAGAACAAAGGGAAATTTGATACGCTATCGAATTCAGGCGTACGCACAGCCCCAATACACACATTGGCAACTCCAACGTTCTCGAGTTTAGGAAACAGGAGAATGGGAAGATTGGTGCGGATCGATTTAGAACGGATTCTTACGTGTTGCAGCCATGCTAACATATTCGAGGAAGAGATTGAAAGACGGCAATCGACCAATTTTGCAAAATTGTTTCACTCACCATCCCTTACCCATCCTGATCTCCTATTCGACTGCCATACTTTTCTCACCACCAAATGCAATCCAACTCTCCCGGTTCCATGCCAAAAGTGTACCATGACTATACAAATGCGTCAGCGAAGGTACAAATTTGAATTGAATTAGAGCGCTGCGCGTTTGAAAGCGAGAAGGATGTTAGCGTATTCGAATGTGAGCTTTTTATGCATCAGCACCTTAAACCCCAAGAAGAAGGATGGTCAAGGCGATTGCCAATCTTTACTCTTCCTACCAACCGAAATGGCACAAAATGGGAAAGACGACCAATCGAATGCGAATGGAAGAAGTGACAAGGGAAAAGGCAGATCAGAAGGTCAGAGGGAGGATGGAGTGGCAGCAGGGTCGGGTCTTCTTCGTTCTGTAGTCGAATCAGCAAGGTCCAGCGTTACTCCACAAGCATTGGCATCAGCAATGGCATCGGGAGGCAAGGGAATTTCTGGCGTACACAATGATGGCTCGATGCAAAGGATAAAAGATCTAGGAGGCGCCGATATTGGCGGATCCAGCTCGACATCAATAACGAGAACCGCATACCAGAACGGCAAATCAATACGATCGACGCCCGCCCAGACCGACGGAACAGATGCATACAACCAATTCTCCCAAGAGGCTACCCTTGCAGATCGCTTTGGCAGCTCGCTTCAGCTTGACAACAATCAGGACAGATCCCAGCCATCGTCATCTGCATATGTTGGTGCATATGCTACAGCATCACATCTGGACGGGCCATTGCATGAGCAAGTCCGATCAGCATCTAATGGCGATCTAGAAGAAGCATGGAATGATGTCAACCCTCAACAGTATCCCGAAACAGTCTATGATCCAGCTTATCATGATGCATGGGCAAGTTCTGTTCCAGCTCCCATGTTCCCTAGTCGTTGGGATGCAGGTCAGCGTGGAGAAGCCTTTCATGATTTGCAGCAAAGGTTGAATGCAGAGGGCGAGAATGCAGGTGTTTCAGCACAACAGCTTGACTTCATGGGCACGTTGGCAGTCGAGGAAGAGCAAGAACAGAGAGGAGCATCGAGTAGTATACCTACCTCGCTCCCACAAACATGGAGACCGCCAACGCCAAGTCAGCGACCGATTCTCACTCAGGAGCAATATGAAATGCATCGTCGCTTAGCAGAACAGCAAGACAGCGAAGAAGGACAACGAGCGGATGAGCGGATCAGACCGCCTGATGATGATCAACAAGCACGATCAGGAGTGTATGCAGCCACGCCAGAAGATGCTTTACGAGCAATTTGGGATGGAGGTGCAGAGGGAGAACGTGCTTCTCAGCATGTTCGAAATGTGAATGAGATTCGATCAACCGATGCTGCCAACGTTGTACGAAAGATCAGAAGGTTACTCAAACGTGGCTCATATGCAGATGATGTCTATGGTCTTCCTCCCGCTCTAGTCGAAACGCTCGCACAAGCTGAAGAGCCTGAAACGGATGCCAATCGTGATTCGAGGGCAAAGGCGATTGCCCGATTAGGTGCATTGTACAATCATTTGGAAGGGGCCGAGCCTCAAAATGTTGATAGGATAGTGCGAAATTGGTGAATGTATTAGTAGAATAGCATTAATTATGAATAAAATTACAATGAAGATTTGTCGTGGCGATCATCTCCTGCGGCCAGCGGGTGAATTGCTTGCGAATGGCCTGCGAACGTCTTCCATGGTAAATTCTGCCAACAGCTTACCGTCCAAATAGCACTCCTTCAAGATTCTCATCAACCGTTCACATTCATGTGTGAATGCATCTTCACAGTGACGCCAAACAACGGAAAGCACTTCCACGATCTCATCAGCACTAATTCCGCTTCCATCGAAAAGATTGCCTCCAGAACCAGTATCCTGCGAAGCAAGAATCGTAATTTCATCTTCATCAAAGTGCTTTTGAACACGTTTCGAAAGTGCTTCGATGGCCTTACGGATATCTTTTGCGCTGAATTCTTTAACAAGTCTTTTTGCCGCTTGCTTGCTGTATGCGCTGTGCAAAGATACTTCATTGGCCGGAGTTGATCGCAAAAGTGCATCAATGCCATCACCAAAGTCTACCATCTTGCCCAACGGACGACGTAAAGCACTTTGTACGTAAGAATTCAATGCTTCATCCAAGATGCCTTGCGCACGTTTCAATTGAGGATTCAAAGCTTGTGTGCTTCGTTGCGTTTGAATGCGTGTGATACCCTTTACCAAATGGAACATGTTTTCCACCAAGATCACATGATGGTTGAGAAGCCCTTTGTCTTCATCCTGATTGGATGTACTAAATGTTCCACCTTCAATCTTTGGAATCGCCATCGTCTGAAGGGCATCAAACATTCGTGAACACAGTTGATCATAATAGTTGTCAATCACTGCACGAATTTGCAGGGTCTCACCATTGACGATCTGTGCTTCGATACGATCAACGAATACTGGGAATGCTTTGATGAAATGAACCACACCTTTCCTCTTTTTGGCAGTGAGCTTTGTTTGCTCAATTCCACGTATTTGCTCGTTGACGTATTTCTCTAATTGTGAACTCAAGCGAGTTTGTAACTTACTCAAGCTGCGCAATAGGAACTCACTGTTCACCTCTTCTGCATCAAGCATACCACGATCCAAAGCGGCAAGAATACCAACAATTTGCGTCTTGTCTCGGGCTAAGATACCATCTGTTAACGCTTGCCACTCGGGTGCTAAGAAACCAAAGATGAGGTCCAACGCATCTTTCATATTCTTGATTGGACCAGAGAGTGACGCCCCTCCAAAGATTGCTGCTGCCCTTCTGCGGAAGTATGCTTCTAGATCCATATAATCGGCAAACGTGATGGCATTGTTGTTGATGTGGAGCAAGTCTGCAATGAATACCTGTTCTCTAGCAACAAGCGGTGTGACCGAAGCCAAGATCCGAGCGAATGCTTCTGACCCAGACATCTCACCTGAGCCACCTTTGTTGTTTCTATTGCCACGATCCCGATTTGGTCGTCGAATTGTGTTGCTGCGCATTGCTGTACCAGCTGGAATGAAGCTTGCCTCAGCAACTTCATCTTCGGGAACATTGGCGATGCTGTTCTTGCAAACGTTGATCAATGTTGTCATTTCAGATTTGTATCGTTCACTTGCGCTGGCGAAATAGGCTGCTGAGATGCGAGAGAAGTAGTTTGGGCTCACTTCTTTGGCATACAGCAAAAGACCACAGTATCGTCCCAAGACGATCTCCACCACAGAATGATCCGTAAGCATTGCGTTTGGCGGCTTCAATGCACGAATACGAGCGGGATCGTTTAAGATCGCATACGTCTGCTCATTGAATGTGGATGTGAGGAATTCAAGTAATCGTTTGGCGAATCGATCTGCCAATGTCGAGTATTCTTCCAAGCGTTCAGTAGCAGCGGCAAGACCGGCAGCAGATGGATCGCCGTTTTGTGAATCTTCTTGGGTTCTACGTGCTTGCAGCATGGCTTTGTACAAAGCTGCTCCCGCCATTTCGAGTTCACCAATACCTTCGTCACTTTGCATTTCGCTGCCCAATAAGACATCAACCGCACGCTCGTCAACATGAACGGTATCCAGCAATTTCTCAATCTCAGCAGAGAGTGCACGTTGGTTGCTTGTCTGTACCTGTAGACCTCTATTTTGACTTTCGATATGGCTGATATCTTCGTCTCGTGCATTGAGTTGCATCTTGTATCCGGCAATCATGCTGTCAATAATATCCAGCTCACGCAAGGCTTGTTCGATGTGTTGAACGACGAAGTTGACTCGATCATCTGATTCAATGATTGCATGGATGTTAGCAGCATCAAGAGCTGCCAATTCATCCAGCAATCTAGCTTCAATGATGTCTGCAGTACCTTTTCCAGTCCCAACTCCACGAACAAGGCCTTGTTGGAAATGTGTGCCAAATTTAGCCGAACCTGCACCTGTGCTTCTGAATTCGAATCCTTCCAACATCTCCTCAACATTCATCAACGTAGCGTCCTCATCATCTTCGGGTAATACTTCTGATCGTATCGTTTTTGCGTCTTGGACATCTTTTTCGTTTAATTTCGTCATCTTTTTCTTACTTGGTGTGCGTGGTAGAATGTCAGATACACCGCCAACATCACTGATATCTGCCCCACCATACGGATCTTCGTCCTCATCTTCATCTTCATCGCCTTCAGCCACTCCAGTCAATCCTGTGCCTGCCAAAAGCATCTTTTCATATGCTGCTCCACCACGTACTGGCTCGATCGAACTCAAACGAGCACGAGCATCTCCACCATTAGGTGCCGAAAGGGAAGATCGCACACTCTCGCTCGATCGAGTACGAGCTTGAGGAGGTCTCTTGGGTGGAGGTGGTTTCTCCATCGATGGTGTTTCTCTGTCTTTTGAAGGTGTGACAGTGACCGGACTTGAATTTTCAAGAGAATCTTTGCGAGTCGGTGTTGCAGAACGCTCCATGACCGCTGCCAGCTTAGCATGAACTCGACTGGGACTACGTGCCATTCTTATTGGCTTGTCCGTTCTGCCTGCACCACCTTCCATCGTGGGCAATTCATTGCTTGATAGATTGGGCGAGTTTCCTTGACTGAGACTCTGTTGCTCTCGCTCTTGTGCAATGGCCAGGGAAGAAGGATCGGACATCGAAGGAGTCAAGATGGCTGCAGCACTTGCTTGTCTATCCAACGTTGGTCTTCGTTGCATTGATCTTGGCAGGCTTGAAGCACCATTGTTGCGGTAAGATTCATTCGATGGCGAATCCGAGACGAAAGAAGTTGAGATAGTAGGAATCGTCTGTGAGGGTTGAGAAGTAGGTGATACCGTGCGATTTCGAGGATCGTAAAAGCCATCTTGTTGTGAGACGTTGCTGTTTCCTCTTGGCCTACTACTGGCTGAAAGTGGAGAGCTACGAGCGTTGGCGTGGCCGACGGAGGTGTTGATCTGATGCAATGCCTTTGGATCGTCAGAGTTCTTCCTCACTGGCGCAGTATTGGACTCAGACGTGGAAGTAGCGCCTTGTGATGAGGTAGATGACATATCAAAGCCAATGCATTTCGGTCCATCTTCACCTGTGTATTTGCGGAATACCTTTACCAGCGATTGCAAGAATAAGATTTGATCTCTTGGCTTTTCTGTACCCCAGCTGTATGATCTTGAAAGTGTTAGAGTGAAGGCATCTGGTTGGTCTACCGATATTTCGCGAAGTTGATTGAGGTCCCAATCCTTTCCTATGCTAAAGCTTCCGTTTGCATTTCGCTTGGCTTTGTTGATTGTGACTCTTCCTGTATCCCTTTGAACGGCAAGGATCAAGTAACGAGCTTTTCTTTGTGGTTGACTTGATCCTCCTTCCACAACAGATTCCCAAATTTTGAGATGGGCAATGTAGTTATTACTGGCAATTCGGGCTTGCAGAGCGGCAGCCAAAAGATCTTTTGTAGAACCTGCTGCCGCACCATTTGATGATCCTCCTCCACCATTTGCTCCCCTTGAGGCCTGTGGAGATGACATCTTGTGGGTTGATGTGCAATCCGAATCGATGGAAGTGGGGAATGGACAAATGGCACCAACACTTTATGTGTAACTCTCTCTCTCTCCTGGCGCGGGCGTATTTCGTGGCCAATCAGGCACGGACCGACGCGAAGGGGAAAAATATTGGAAGAGTGAAAATGGAGGAGGGGTGACAACTTTCTTTCATCCTCTCAACCAACAAGAACATACCCAGAATGACAGTGAGTACTACAGAAAGAAGGAGAAAAACATCAATACCAACTTACTAACACCTACCATCTTCCCAGTCTGACTCTCGGCATACAGCCAATTCACAATTAGAGCATTTACACGCTCGATACACAGGCACCATTCATCCCGATATCACAAAACAGTAAGTGGTAAAAGCTTAACGAGAAGATGAGCACACATTGACTCCCTTGCCATCTCTCTCCCATCCAGTGAGTGGATCACACATCAACACAGAGACACATCTGCATCGATAATAGGACATTCTCCTCTTCTTTCATATCTGGCAGTAGCAGACGGCGAATCTCGAGCTAGGGTCAAGTTTGAATTGTGTCAGGTGAGTTTGTGCTGATTGTTTAGAAGGTGCTCCTTTGCTAATACAGCCTCTATCCTGCCACCACAGAAAATGCTACAGCCCTTTGGACCGCCACCAGCAGGAGAAGAAGGACAATAGAATAGATTCAACAATCATCTACACATCAGACACAATCAATTGGCAGCGGCGAGGAGAAGGTCTCCGGATTCTATCGATTCACACAATGAATGTCTAAAGTACAGATGTCAAGGAAATAATGAAGGAAAGTGCAGAAAACAGAAGCACAAAGACGGAGACCGTCGCTCGCAAAGTAGTGGTTGCGGAAGAGGATTTGCCGCCAGTTGTTGGTTGGTTGGGTACCTTTTTCGTTGCTAAAAGAGCAGGCGGAACGGCACGAGATGTATTTTTCCAACCGGCTGGTCTCCATCCGGTAGGGAAAGAGGAGGAGTTTACGTCAAATAGAGCTGCTCGTCCTTCAGCACTTTCGAATACCAATTCGGCATCATGATCTGCATCTTCAACGACCAAGAGACGAATACCGAATGTGTTATTGTTGACAAGGTTAGACCAATCAGGAAGATTGTCAAAATTTCCAGGGAATCCGTCTAGATCTTCTCCTGTGTTGGCTAGGGTGTTGATGTATCTCCACCAGATCAAATTGCGATCTCTTCGCGCTGAACCACCTTGCATGACTGCCATACAATAATTGTCACCGCTTGCTTGGGTATCTTGGTATCCCACAATGCTAACAACATCTCTGGATATGTATTGTTGGAAATATTCTTGAGGCTTCTTGGTCGGGCCGGATGAAGCTGTGAAATTGTCAAAGCCGTATCGCCAAGTGTTGTAAGTTGGGCAACTGTCTTTCGTTGGCAATGTTTGGCCGTCGATGGTTGGTCGATCTGTGGTGAAGTAGTTGCAAGAGGAGGGATCACCATGGATGAAGCGAATGTGAACGCGGTCATTGCTGTCCACTGAGCCAACAGTAGCATATCGCTGAATCAATTGACCGCCTCCTCCATGCCCGATGATGGTCAATTTTTGCAATCGTGGATACTGTGTTACGTCCAAGAATTTATTGGCCAATGAATCAAGAGCATCGAATGAGCTAACACCAGAACCTGCTGGATGAATGGCTTTTTCACCTGCTTGCCATGCGTTTACGTCACCCCATGCAAGTGTGTTATTATCGTATTGACCTGAATTATCTCTGGCAGAAAAGAATTCCGGAGCAACGACGATGGCATCCGGATCCACACCCGTAACATTATTTTCAACGGCATTTTTAACGATATTATTCATGATTGTCCAATAATCTCCACCGTTACGTAATTTACCATGAATCATGATGAATGCTTGTGTTGCTTTATTTTGTTTTGGTTTTGCTGTCCAAAAAGTACCTAATTGTTCGTTATTTGGTCCGATTCGTATGATGTTATAAGAAGAATTTGCCGGTGCTACGATCGGATTGTGGTTCTGCAAGGAGGAGGAAAGAGAGGGTCAGGTCAGTAAATGTATTGGGAAAGCAATCTTCCATCTTCTCGCGCCATACTCACCACTCCTTCGTACACATTTCCACCTGACATGAGTGTTGATGCATCACGTTTGTTAGCCATCATAGCCTTTGGGTCAGCGGATGGCTGTTTTGATAATTCATTCTTTGGTCCTTTTTTGGATTGTGAATGTGATCCTCTTTCTTGCGGCAAATTTTTACTTGATAGTTGCGATTGCGGTAAGCCAGACTGCAATGTTGATAAAACGAGTGAGAAACAAATGAGCGTAAAGAGTAGGATGGATCGTTTGATCATCTTGTTTGTTGGAAGAATCGGTAAGCCTTGATGGTGATTGTTTGTGTAACACTTTCAATCAAGAGAGGGAAGCGTACTTGAATATGAATTGGACTATTTTTAGAAAAATTTAGCGGCAGCAGGACAGCGAAGCAAGAGTTTTCTTTGATGACAGTGCGGCGTTACCGTAAATTGATACTCTGGTAAATACAGACGGCCTCCGCTGTTCATCAAGGGGAGATGAATTAAAAGAGTATTCTACCGAAGCGGATTCCGAAAAGAGGGACTTTTTAGTTGTGTATTTGTTTTTACCACCACTCGGGATGATCGTATGTGATGGCCGGTAATGAATTACACATCATTCTATCATCATTCATTCATCGTATGTTATGATCAGTATTTACTCCGCTTATTCAAATTCACACAAGTACTTTCAAATTCGACAGAGAGAGTGTGAGAGCAGCAATCCACCGATCTTTTACCAAGTTATAATTAGATCCCCATATTTACAGACCCTATTTTTTTGTCTTGGGTAAGCTGTAGGCATTAAATGCAACGCCAAAAATGATTTGATTGTTTCTAGATCGAATAAAATTGAATAAAAATTGCAAATTGCCTATCCAAAGAATGAAGCTAAAGTAGGCACAATCTGAACAAATGCACATTGTGCGAATGAAGACCCAAACGCTGCACAGGGCGTGAGAGAATTTCAAATCATTTTCAGCGAATTTGGCTAGACGATCTAGGATTGTATGCACGCCAAAAAACGGTTGCTTGGTGCCCTTCTCTGGAATTTCATGCCAAGGCATTAAAATGAATTAAGCAGTGTCAGTAAAGATAAGGCTAAAGCGGCGATTACACCTTTTTGCTTGTACAAAATCTAGGGACTAGCAATTCACTCACGCTAAAAATCTTTTGACAAGGCGGCCTCCCTCTCCGTGTTTGTTTATTAAAGTTAAGATCAGCCAACAGCAGCACCAAAGGATGTGTGATTGGCCTTAAATGAATGCACTGTGCGTTTGCGGAAAATGTTTAGAGAACAGAGCTTTGCCAAAAGTGGGCTGGTTGTGATAATACTTATCTAATCAGGAGATCATGCTGAAGGTGGGCGGTTGTGAATATGTTGAATGGATTGTGGCTTTTGTGTCTATCGCCGCGGCAACTACATCTCCGAAGGTTGACAGGTTTTCATTTCTGCAATGATTGTAATGACGGCGTACTTAGGTAAGCTTTCTATAGCATAAAGGAGCCAAGATGAAACGAGCGCCAAAAACAATATTGATGCTATCCTGCTCTCTTTTCTACCACTTCCCACTTGGTCAAAGATGCGACACGCTGCCGCTCAATCTTACTGCTCGATCATCGTCTCGATTCAAGATTTCTGTCCGCTTTGACCCGGCCCAGAAGCATTCAACCCAAATCTGAAAGCAACTCATACGCGTATCTACTGTACTGCTTTTGAAGTCGGGTGGACGTGGGCGTGCGTAACGCGCCAACCACACCTAAACGCGAGTTGTGTTTGTGTGTTTGTGTGTTGAAATGGAGTTTTGCAGTTGTTTTTTTGGCAGGTCAAGTGACTAGGTCCACCCATTTTCAGATCAACTCGGCTCGATAGGAAGAAATGTTCCGAGTAAAGGGAATCAGAATCTTATCGGGAACAAGGCCTGACCTAGTATGAGTGGGGGAACATGCTGTTTGTTGGGATTGATCGGGATACTGCTTGAGTCTCTTTAAATCATCATCATCATTGTGTCACTGACTATTCGCAATGATCGGACAACAGATGGGATCGAGATGCTTTGTCTCGTTGCGGTCCACAAAACGGATACAGGACATACACGCATTGAGTACAAGACGCATACATGCTAGCAATACGGCACAATTTGCAACTCCTCTCGATCAACCAGTTTCAACCCAAGCAAAAAAGAGCAAAGAACGCTTAGTTATTCTAGGTTCAGGATGGGGTGCAATGTCTTTGCTAAAAGGATTGGATCAAACAAGATATGAAGTAATGGTCGTTTCTCCAAATACCTATTTCGCAATGACGCCATTATTAGCACAAGCGGCAACCGGTTCATTAGAATTACGAACGACAATGGAACCCGTACGTGGAAATCATAATATTCATTTTTATCATGCATGGACGGAAAAGATTGATTTGGAAAAAAAGACATTAACACTTATGCCAGCTTATCCACCCGTTTTTAGACAAAAAGATCCAACTTCAACAAATCATTATCCAAATGCACGAGGTGGTCATAATACTGCAATGGTGCGGGCACCGCATAGACGTGCGATCGAAGCACATGAAGAAGATGCGGAAAATCAAGCAAGTTCATCATCCGATTCGAGCGGAAAACACTTAAATCATAAAGAGGATGAGTCATGGAAAGGTATGGAAGAAGGAAGAGAGTATTCTTTATCTTTTGACAAATTGGTCATCAGTGTGGGCGCATACAATCGTACTTTTAGTACACCAGGTGTTCGTGAAAATGCTTGGTTTTTGAAAGACGTTCAGAATGCAAGAGCGATTCGATGGAGAATATTGGAATGTTTCGAACAGGCAGACCATCCAAATCTGACAGATGATCAACGAAAAGCACTCTTGAACTTTATTGTTGTAGGAGGTGGGCCGACAGGGAGTGAATTCGCTGCTGAATTGCATGACCTTCTCTCTTCTGATCTAAAGAGATTGTTCCCGGATATCGTCAAATTTGCCAGTATCAGCATCGTCGACGCTTCTGCTGGGATTTTGAACAACTTTGACGCTTCTTTGGCAACTTATGCTCGTGAAAAGTTTGCAAGAGATGGAATCAACGTCATGCTCAACCGCAAAGTCAAGGCAGTGGAAAGGGGGAATCTAGTAGTTGAACCTGATGGAGAGATTCCTTTCGGTTTGCTTGTTTGGTCAACGGGTATATGTGCATCGCCTCTAGTGAAAAGGACAAATTCCATCGCCAAGGATGATGGCAACTCTTTCTTCCTAACAGACGATCATTTGCGTGTTCTATCTGCACCCACAGGGCATCACTTAGCTCCCCAAAGCACTGATGCAATACTCAAAAAGAATGACAGTGACCCTAAATCAAGTACGGCTTTGCAGTTTGTTGAGGATGTGTATGCCATCGGAGATTGTGCACAGATACAAGGAAAGTTTCTGCCCGCCACCGCACAAGTTGCTTCGCAAAAAGGGAAACACCTAGCCCACGTCTTGAACGGAAAGATGGGAGAAGATCCAGAAGCAGACGAAAAAGTCTTCAAGCATCGTGATATGGGATCAATGGCAAGTTTGGGTAGTGGAAGTGCAATCGTTGATAGTCCAAACGCAAAAGCACAAGGAAGGATCGCTTGGGTGATTTGGCGATCGGCATATACGTACATGAGTTTGTCATGGCGTAATAGGCTACTTGTGCCTTTCTTTTGGACCATCAATCGCCTGTTCGGTAGAGATCTTACAAGATTTTAGTGCGAACGTGTTTTTATTCTAGATGAAATTTAATTTGTGCATACAATCACATGCTTCCATCTGAACAATGACTTTAATTAATGTTATTGCATTCACCAACAGCATCCTTGGCAAGGTGGCCTTACAGAACATTACGGATGATAAGTATCCGTTCTTGGCACAAAACAAGAACCACACTCTCTCCCCCATGCTTTTAATTTGGTGGAGTGTTGACTAAAGAGAGGTTAGAAGAATGCTTTTTCTTCGGGCAAAAGTCCGAATTATCCAAGTCAATCAATGCATTAACGCTTGGACGCAATTGCAGTAGCGCCAAATGCTTGTCAAGCAGCATACACACTTCAATCGAGTAATCAACTTTGGTTCATCACGCGACACAAAAAGCGATCCTATCTTTACTCTCTCAACTTCATCTTCCAAACAGACTGTGGCCCAATCTGTCTTCATCACTTTTTGGTCGATCGTTTTGCAGTCTAGCTGCCCTTCCACTTCGATTCGCTTCACGTCAAACATCTCTTACAACTTCTATTCCCGCCTTCCCGATCAGAATCATGACCGCCATTCATCCTGCCACACTTTCCACTTCTGCACCTTCATTGCAAGGTCATCATGTTCAAGAAGGACCAGATGCAGCTTTACGTTTCTTGCAATACAGCGACCAAAGTCCAACTCCATTCCATGCAGTCGCAACAAGTGTTTCCATGTTGGAAAAAGCTGGCTTCAAACGATTAAGTGAAGGGGATGTATGGGAAGGTGCGGTTGAAAAAGGAGGAAAGTACTTTTTCACTCGTAATGAATCTGCTCTCGTTGCTTTTGCAGTTGGTGGAGAATTTGTATCGGGAAAAGGAGGCGTTCATATCGTCGGAGGACATACAGACTCACCAAACTTCCACATCAAACCCGTCTCTAAACGTGAGAAAGAAGGTTATTTGCAAGTGCGGGTAGAGACTTACGGAGGCGGTATCTGGCACACTTGGTTCGATCGTGATCTGACTTTGGCAGGAAGAGTGATCGTAGCTCAATCTTCTAATAAATTCGTCACCAAATTGGTTCATATCAAACGACCACTTTTGAGAATTCCTACTTTGGCTATCCATCTTGATCGCTCAGTCAATGATGCTCTAAAGGTGAACAAGGAAGAAAACACTGTTCCAATCATTGGATTAGCAGAAAAAGCTGAAGAGGCATTAAATGCAAAGGCTACCTCTACCGTTTCAGAGATCACAGGAGCACCTACGATGACCTCAAAGCATCACTCTGTCTTGCTTGACGTTCTAGCGAAAGAGTTGGGCTGTGGTGTAGACGCAATCCAAGACTTCGAATTAAGCTTGGCCGACACACAACCGGCTTCTTTGGGTGGTATCAACAACGAGTTCATCTTTGCTCCTAGACTGGATAATCAGATGACATGCTTCTGCGCTACTACCGCTATCATCAATGCACATGGCGCCAATGTCTCCAGCCTGTCTTCTTCAAAATCGATCCGAGCTATTGCTTTGTTCGATAATGAAGAAGTTGGAAGTGTATCTACGCATGGAGCAGAATCAAACATTTTGGCATCCTTGATCAAGCGTTTGGCAAGCATTCGTGTGATTGCACCCTCAAGTGCAGAACAAGAGCATGGATCCGGATCGCATTATGAACGTGCGATCGCAAAGTCATTCTTGATCTCTTCTGATATGTCCCATGCTTTCCATCCCAATTACCCTTCCAGATATGAAGATGAACATCGTCCACGTATCAACGGAGGAACGATCATCAAGACCAACACGAATCAACGATATGCATCAACCGGTCCAACGATCTTCCTGTTGAGAAGGATTGCAAAACTTGCCAATTTGCCTTTGCAAGAATTTTGCGTTCGTAATGACATGCCTTGTGGATCAACGATTGGTCCTTTGATGAGCAAGAATGGTATCAGAACGGTGGACGTTGGTAACCCACAATTGAGTATGCACTCCATTCGTGAAACTTGTGGAAGTTTCGATGTGGAGAGAAAGATTAAACTCTTTGAAACGTTCTTTAATCACTTTGAACAGATCGACAGTGAGCTCACCACTGACTTATCGCACTGAAAGTTTGCTTCGATTACATGTATGAATTACAACATTTTTGCAATATATAGTACAATGAAGATAATGACTATCCACGACGTGCCCAGATCTGGATGTAAGACTCTCCCAAGAAGAGTAATTGCTTGTCAATCGATTCGACCAACAAATCCTGTATTGAGAACCACTTTTCCTCTTCCGTCAAATCGTCATCATCTACGTCGGCATTGGCATCCTCCTCCCTTCCCAACTCTCGCAATTCTGCGGCTCTAGCAGCACGTCTTTGATTGCGTAATCTCTCCTTCCTTTCTTCAGGCGTGCCGATCGGTTTGCCATCAATAAATGTATGAACCTGTGATCGCCAAATCGCATTTTCCCTTACGGTACCTGCAGTAGCTTCCAAGGTGACATTTGCAACCAGATCGTACGTTGTTGAGATGGAAGCTAATGATGGATCTTCAATGTACGGTGAAAGATCCAAACCTTTGACGGGATATTCAACAATCGTTCGATTACGCTCTTCGATGAAGTTGTTCTTTGTGAACCTTTTGAAGTGCAATATCAGAAAAGGAGGAAGTCGAAGCGTCTTGTACCGTCTAATCATTCCACGAGCTTCTTGGAAGGAAACGCCATCGTACTTTGACAGAACAGTCGCAATAGGTACTTGCGGGATAATGTTCTTCTCAATCACATCTTGGAACACAGGAATGGGTGGCAGATCAATCGCAAGCAAAAAGAAAGGCGACCGATCAACCTTGACTTCGCGATCGATGTTGAACTTTGCATTACCATATGCATCCTCCTGTCCGCCCTCTTTCCGTCCATCACTGTCTAACTTATCAAGTTGTTCTGTGGTCATCTTCACATCTTCTCCATCTTCTAGCTCAATCCCACTTCTGACAAACACCTTTTGCGATTCTACCCGGACGTGACCCATGAAGCAGTCGCTGATTATGCTTCTTTTATTCTTCTTTCCTCCACCGCCAAGATCGGTGTGCAATTTGTTCAAAAGCCATCCAAGAAACTCAATCGGGTCACCTTGTTTTGTGATAGAGAAACGTCCTTTACTGGCATTTGCAACTTCTTGTAGAAACTCATGTGGTGATACCTGTGCCTTGAAATTACGTGGGTTCCAAATCTTCCGCATCAAAGACGCAAACCTGCGGACCAGCTCAGTTGATTTGGCAAGGCTGTCTGAACCGACAGCCTGACCACCCAGCTTCTCGATCGTTTTTGTGGAGGTGCCTTTCTGTTGCAGTGACGGTGCAGGACCACCACGTAAGAAGAAATTTCGCAAAGGTTTCACATGTGCAAGTGCTTGAATGATGACGTTCATGTAGTCATTAGCACCCAAATTGTTCAACCCAACAAAGCCTGGCAAATATGAATTTGCCCTCAAATCGAGTGCTTCGCGTGCATCTGGTGCATCGATGGTTTTGATGTGTTTCTCGCTATATGTTGGATGAAGCAGGTATCGAATATCGGCCAGTGAAGCGTCCTTGACTTTGTAGTTATCAGGCAGGACATACACTTCGGCCGATTCTAGATTGATGAAAACACGATGCGATTCGTTGATTGAATGCAGGTATGCGTACGAATTTGGCCCTCTTCCCTGAAAGTACTTCCCGCAAACCAGACAAGCATACACATTGATGTTTGAAAGTGAAATGCTGCACAACTTCTCAAAATCGAAATCCAGCAACGAACGATTGATCGTGTCGAGATACAAATCACCTCCTGAAGACTGAGCTGCGCTTGCCTCTTCATTTGCAAGCTTTGCCCAGTAGTCTGCTCCTCCAATCGCCTCCTCATCTTGCTCTTGCTCAGCTGTCACATTTCCATTCAATCTTTCAGTATCTCCTTCATCTGGCGGTGGGGGTGGAGGTAAGATATCCGTTCCATCATCCAATGGCGGTGGAGGAGGTGATGCCGGAGGAGCTGGGGGTAGGGTCGTATCTTCACTTTCTAGTTCTGTCGGAGCTGGTGGCTGTGCTTCCTCTGTTGCATTTCCATCTACTTCTGATATTCTTGCTCTCTTTGCCGGTTGTGAAGTGGATGCTTGACCATTGAGATGTGACTCATTTGTCTCCTCTTCTGCTTCCACTGTTGCAGCTGAACGCTTTGTTCGTCTAGGTGGCATTTTCCTTCACCATCCGTTCCACCAGATGATGGACGGATGCAAGAAAGGTTGTGTAATGTTGCTTGAGAAGAAGCAACTTTCAATTGCTTCTTTGGTCAATGCGTGTTTTATTTGGCGTGTAATGTCAAGCGCAGCGCGTAAATGCTGAGTCTGCTCTTCGCCTCCTCGATTCGCACATCCAAAATTGCCATTCATGTGAAAACGACGAAATGACAGCAACATATTACTCTTTTCTGCAGAGCTTGACTGGCGAAGCAGAAATTGGTTTTCAAACATACTTAAGGGTCTGTTTGCGGCGTATTCTACATCTTCTGTTTTACCATCACACACCAGTTTCTTCTGAATCATCATGGTAAGCGATTTTCAAATTCTAGTTTTCTGCATACATTCTGACTTACACCTATTCATAACAGCTTGGCAAAAGAGCTGCCTCAGAATGTGCTGGAATCAAGGAGAAGAAGATCAAGCTAGAAGATGGTGGCTACGCGATCATTTCAAAAACATCAAATACTGGGCAAAGCAAGAAATCCCAATCAGAGCCACCTTCTTTCAAAAACATGGCTGCCATTGCACCAAAGTTTGAACAAAAAAAGGGTACAGGAGCAGGTTCAAGCATTCTTTGGTCTCCTTCTCGCGCTCAAAAGAAGAAAAGTCGACGTACGCCCTTCTCTCCATCAACGTCAACATCTTCACGTAGCAATCTCACGGCAACACCATCACATATGGCAAGTCCAACCCGTTCTGTTGTAAAACGTACAAACAGCTTGGGAAGATCACTACAGAACTTCAATGCATTGAGAGGTGCATCCGCGCCAGTTCTGTCCTCTACAGCAAGTCTTCAAGGCTCGACCCCGACCGTGAGGTACATGGGACCCCCCAAACAAGTTGTACAAGTTGCGCAACAGCAGCACCCTGCTCCACCATCAGCAAGCGGCAGTGGAACAAATACTGGCAATCGTACTTCGACCAACAGCAGCGGCGATCAAGCTGGTCAAAGGTAAGTGAGAATGCCGCCCCAAGATGATCATAAACTGACCTCTTTCTCATCCTCAACCTTGCCAGCATCTTGATGAAAATTGAATGGGCTTCGATCGACAACCCATTCCTTTGTGGTGGTCACCCGATCTTGTTGCAAGGCAAAGGAACAATTCCCGAAATGATGAATTCGATCAAAAGCCAGGTTACGAAGTTCGAAAACAGTTTGAAAAAGAAGTTAGCTAAAGGTGGTAAATGAATTTCATACAATTGAACAAAATGCAATATTATTACAAGCAAAATTGATTGAGTTGTGATAGATAGAAGTACATTAGTTGATTTGTCTTTCTTTGTAGTCTTCACTGAGCGCTGCTGTGAGAACAGGTTCAGCTACCTCCCAAACCGTACTTTGAGGTGCAACACTTTCTCGTCTTGTCGGTCTCTTCCATGCCACGCTGAATCGTTTCTGACTGGCAGTGGTGGAGCATGGACTGCATTGCTTCTCAATTTCCATAACTGCTCGTGCGTTGTAGTCCGGCAATTTACCATCCCCCATGCTCACTCTCCACCACCATTCGTTTACCGCAACTTGATCAAGAAGCGAGTATGTTTTTCCACCATAATTGAACTGAGTTGGAGCGGAGACCGATTTGGCCAGATCGAACAAAGCCTCTTTCTCCATAAATGTGTTTGGAGGACTGATTTGATTCAAGTATTGTTGCCATTCTTCCAAACCCTCCACTTCCTTTTGTTGAATCAATCTTGCTGATTCCACGGATAGGCGAACGTCCGTTGCAGCTTCTGGAACCAAAACGTCTGCCTGCGTGGAAAGACTTTGTTTCACACTTTGAAGCTTGAATCTGAACTTTTTGGGTTCATCCACGTGAATTTCTTTCCTTTTTTTCTGCCAAGGGTCGTCCGGAATGTTCTCATTGTCTACCAGAGTGCTCTCTGACACGCCATCCACAGACGCTGACTCGTCATCATCAATTTCTTGATCCTCTCGTAGTAGATTGTCATCTGTTTCCTCTTCGGTAACCAGATTTTCGTCCCTCTTCCCAAACAATTCATCCATGAGACTTCCTCTCTGTTGTGAAGCATTCTTTTCTTCTTTGGGAAGAATTTTGATCTCCAACAATTCATCACCTGCTGCATATCGTATCGCGAGATATTCATCAAACTTTTTCAAATCTTTGATCATATCGTTCAACTTTAGCTTGGGTTCGGTAAACCCAGTCATTGAATCGAGAATTTCTTGAACACCATCTCGCAGTCCCCATGGAGAAGTTCCGGAATCGTCATTTTGACCTGGTCTAAAGACGTCGAATGGTGCTTCGACACCGGAGGCGCTGGGTGGCACTGCAGCAACAAATCTTGGGCCGATGACTGGTGCTTTACCTGTTTGATGAGCAGCTTTCACGTCTTTTGACAACCAAGAAGAAGCTCGTTCCAATACTACCTGCTCATTGAATGGCGCTTCAGGTAGCATCTCTCCCTGTTCATCTGCACTTTTGAAGAGAAGATGGCCAAACTGTGCTTTGTATGTCAAGGATTCTAGATTACTCAAATCGTCTAGAGATCGATCACTTCGTTCCTTTAACTTTTCTTGTAGCTTCGAGAAGACTTGTGTCTCCATGTCATCCGCATCATTGGTGTTCTGCAGGACTTTTGGTCTTTCCTCTACGCTCAGACGTCTTCCATCATTGTCCTGTCGAGCGAGACGAAAGAAGTCTGGTTGACCATTATCTCCAGACAGGTACCTTTGCATGAATGGCTGAAGGGCATACATGGGTGGGAAAGAATGCAAATCGTCTGAGGAATAGGTCGATGCGTATGTGAGCAAAGCACGGTCCTTCATCTCTCGCAGATGATGTTGATACTTTGATAGCATCCTTTTCGCTTCCTTCAACCATGTTTCATTGGTCGAATAGATTGTCAGCTCCTGATTGGGCGCATCACCAATCGTGATGATAGAATTTGACGATCGCGCAATCTTGTCTAACTCTGCTACATCAGAAACATCGTACCATTGCGAAGAGATGATGGATGCAATCGCGTTCTTTTCGATGCAAATATCCGCTGTGAATGCTTGCAACCAGGAAACTGCCTTATCGACGTCTTTTTGCGTACCTGTGATACTGATCTGAACGCCTTTTGTCTGTTCTTCTGATGATGGTTCTGCTGCCGTAACGTTCACTCTGAGCTTTTGGAATTCATCGCTGGTCTTCTGAGCAGCAATATCGAATGCAAGATAGGCTGCATGCAAGGGAAGTTCGTGCACCACAGTGACCTTTTCTTTATTCGCATTAGCTGTGCTCTTCTTCTTTCTGGTATTGATTGTCGTTTTGGGATCCTCCATGTTGAATCGGTGAATCATAATCGCTCGAACAAGTGAATCTTTTCGAATATTGCAGATTTCACGTTGAAGATTGAGAAGTGAAACAGGTATTCCCATATCTCTTCTCAGAGCATTTAATTGAGTAAATGTGAAACTCTTTTTGATCGATTTCAAGATTGCATCCCATTCATTTTGCATTCTGACCGATGGATCTGCTGATCTATTTGACCTTTTGCGTCTTACAGGATTTTCTCTGTGTAGATGATCTAGGTATTCAAGCTTTTCTTTCGTTGACGTACTGCTTTGAAGCTGTGTTGAGTCGATCAAGCTTGGTTCAGGTGGGGTTTGTGACTCTGTATGCTGTAAACGAGTGCATACGATTTGAGCAGATTTAGGACGTGGTGGAGAACGAATAGAAGGCACGTATTGGCGAACAGGCCTTGATGCTGCTGTGAGCATCAAGCGTGATGTGCTTGCTATCGAGTTCATCCTTAGCTGTGACCCTACCAATTCATGCTAAGAGAGAATGATGATTTGATGGATGGCATAAGCAGAATGCTTTCTTCCGTATTGATTAGGGAATGAATTGACATGAAAACCAAAAAAATTAAATCTTCCTAATTTGCACGTGTGAAATGAGGCAGCGCGTATTCATATTCCTTAGGCTATAATGACTCAATCGTATAAATAGCACCCTGTTTGATTGATTGTACTTTACGTCCACCGTCTTTCAATCAAACCATTCAATCACAGAAAAGGGTGCAATCCTACTCAAGCTGATCTATCAACTCTACTCAGCGTGAAAGCAGGATTGGACTTTGCTCGTAGCCCATCGGCTGCTTGCTCTTTCCATCTGCTTCACCAACATCAACCCCCAAAAAGATGGATGACGACAATGGTGCGATTACCCAATTGGGAGATTTGGCATTGGGTAATTTGTTGACAGAATTAGGTGTAGAAGCAAATAATGCAGATGTTTCTCGTCTGGTTGGTGGCCCTAAATCACGTCCATCTCAATTATTGGAACAAGATCAAATTTATAACGAACGATATGAAGACGATGATAATGATTTGGGAGATCTACCTGCAGATTATGCAAGTAGGCAACAAGATGAAGAAGCGACAACCAACGATTCTGCTTCTTACAATCGAGATAAGTACATGCGGATGGGCTTAGATGCGATCAGCAAGAGCAAAAGTCGTATTCGTGGAGAGGATGATGATTTCGATGAAGATGCAGACGCAGAAGGGGAGGAGGATGAAAGTTATGATGTTCCGCTCAATCAAGCAATCAAAGTCAAACAGGAACCTCTTGATGTCGCTATGCAATCACCTCCTTCTTCGCCTTCCGAGCCTACTCCTCCACCCGTCTTGGCTCCACAACCTGTTGATGTCAAACAATTGTGGCCCGGATTTGAGGAAGGGGCCATTCTCAACTTTACGGATCTGTTCACCTCAGCACCGCGAAAGAGACGCAAGATGATTGGAAGGACACCAAAAATCAAAGAACTACGAGAAGAGGATATGCAACCATACAAGAGCACTCGAGACTTACTTGCAAATGAAGATTTGATGACCGGTAAACGCTCATTTTCAGAAGGACTTGTACACCAGCTAACAGCAACGGATGATATGGATGTTGAGCGAATCATGAAAGAGCAACATACCCTCCAAGCGCTCACCAGACCAAACCAAATGCTAGATGCGTCTGCTCTGGATGATTGGGAGGATAGAATTATATGGGGTGATCCGGTGGAAGAGGAAGATCAGCCGCAACAAATTGTCAATATCAATCGACCGTACAATCGTGAACTCGATCAAGGTGACTGGCTTGATGGGATCATCTGGGATGTCGATGCACCACACAAAGATTATACGCAATTGCTGCTAGATTTGAATGATCCTGAAATGTTGCTGGAGACCAAGAGTGGAGAGGAACAGGAAAAGAGTACTTCTTTGCTTCGTTCAGATGCGCCTGCTGTATCACTGAGAGCTGCTCGAGCTGCTATTGGCTTGGATCCTTTCAATTTGAGCAACGATCGATTCTATGAACTTTCCAAGGAATACCGCATGAAGAGCATTCGTCAAACGCTTGGACAACTAGAATTGCAACATGCACGACCTGCAGTCAAGCTTCAAATGCCATTCTACAAAACACGTATGAGCAAGCAAGAAGCAAGAGACTTCCACAGGCCTGTCATTCACTTCCCATCCAATGTTCCTCTACGTTTCTCTAAAGTACGTAAAGAGAAGCGCAAGAGTAAGGATGAAGCCAAGAGCAGGAGCAAGAAAGATTTCACGCAGCTACTCAAGACCACCCGTGATCTGACACTCAAGGACACCAGTTCGTTCATCTTGTATGAGTACACGGAAGAGTACCCTCCCGTGCTATCAAACTTGGGAATGGGAAGTCTGCTAGTGAATTATTACAGAAAGCGGGATGCTCGAGACGAACACATACCCAAGTCGGACTTGGGAGAAACGGTCGTTTTGGATGTTTCGGATGAATCACCATTTATGAAGTTCGGATCAGTTGAGCCAGGAAGAGTACAGCCGACATTGTACAACAGAATGATTCGTGCTCCTCTTTTCCGACACAAGCCGGCCCATAATGATTTCCTGTTGATTCGTAGCACCACAAAGTCTGAGGTACGCTACTACATTCGAGACATTCGAAACTTGTTCGTTGTCGGTCAAACATACCCATTGGTCCCTGTGCCGGGTCCACATGCCCGTCTTGTTACGAATGCGTTGAAGTACAGGATGCAATTGATCACATACAAGCTGTTGCAGAAGAGCATTGGTGAAAGGATCAAGATTCATCGTATCATGAAGTACTTCCCTGATCAGAACGAACTTCAAATGCGTCAAAGAATGAAAGAATTCATGGAGTACCATCGACGTGATAAAGATCAAGGATATTGGAAGCTCAAACCAGATCACGTCCCGCCAACGGAAGAGGATCTGCAATCCAGACTGACACCTGAGCATGTCTGTTTGATCGAAGCCATGCAAGCTGGACAACGACATTTGCTCGATGCAGGATACTCTAAAACTGCAGAAGGCTATGAAGAAGAGAATCAAGATGAAAGTCAAATGGATATCGAACAATTGCTTGCGCCTTGGATCACTACAAAAAATTTCATGCATGCTACGCAGGGCAAGGCAATGTTGAAGTTGTATGGAGATGGAGACCCAACTGGACGTGGTGAAGCGTTTAGCTTTTTGCGTGTTTCGATGAAAGATATTTTCATTCGTGCAGGCGAAACGGAAGAGGAAAGGATGGCAATGCAACAGATGGAAGAAGAGAAATCCGGACACAAGTACAACGTTGCCAGACAACAAGAAGTATACAAGAGTGAAGTCCAAAGGATTTGGAACACTCAACGTAGATCGTTGGAAAATCCTACACCACCTAGACTTACACAAGCGGAATTGGAAGCGGCTGAAGCTGCAGAAGCCGAAGCGGCAGCTGGACAACAAAAGGAGATTGCCAATAATATGCGTGCTCAAAACCGTGCTCATTCTATGCGTGCGGGAAGTCCATCTGGCAGTCAAGTTGGTACGCCAAGGCCGGATGATTTGGAGAGCAATGCTGACATTGGCAAAGTGTTACGTATTCGCAGATTCAAGAACGGTAGATGGAATACGGAAATTGTTCGTGAGACTGGCGTGATTCATGCTTATATCCGTCAACGTCAAAGGATTGAAGATGAACGTACGGCGACAGAAGCTTTATTGCCAACGGGTGATGCTGCATTGGATGCTTTGCGTAAGAAACGTTTGGAGGATGAGATCAAATCAAGTCTCAAGAACAGAGATCGACGTCTTCAACGAAAGAATGCAAAAGCCTTGGCAGAAGGTTTACCGATTGAAGGCGGTGCACAGGCTTTATTGAACAAGACGGATACTAAGCGTCGTTGTGGAAGATGTGGACAAGTTGGACATATGATGACAAATACATCCTGTCCGATGTTCAAAGCAGCACAAAAAGAAAAAGGAGCAGAAATGACAATGCAAGGCGTTCCCGTTCCCGGTGGAATTGGAGGACCAGGAGGACCGGGTCATCGACCAAACATGCTACAACAGTCATCTTGGTTTGCACCTTCGCCTGCTGCTTCCGTTCCTCAAAGTCCTCTTACACCAGGTCAAGGATTCATGTCACCTTCAACACCCGCTACGCCAGGTCCTCCTGCCGCAAGTCCTGCTGCCGGAGGTGCAGGCAGTCCACCAGCTGAAAATGCTGCTCCAAAATTGAAAATCAAACTTAATCGTGGGAAGTGAACAACGACAATGTACATTACCTCGGATCGTAGTTATCCCTTGTATATTATTTAAAACACATTCTCACTCAAGAAATACAGTCTGAAATGAGATTAATTGAAAAATGAGGCTATTCGCCGTGCTGATGAGAGGGATTTGGGGGGAAGTATTGTTCGATAGATGTCATGGGAAAGAGAAAGAGAGAGAGAGAGTTTATGAAAACAAGTATTAAGAAAATGTCCATCGATCCAATCAAATCAAACCTTCCATTCGTTCCGCAAATTTGCACGGAATTGACCAAATTTGGTCTGAGCTTTTCCTTTTTCACCGCCATTCAGGTTATCCTTGGAAGCATTCATCTTGCCATTCACAGTTGCGTATTTGTTCGCATCTGCTGGCAATGGAGGAAGAGTTTGTTGTTGATTATTTTCTAAATGCGTTTGACTTTTCGATGTGGGAATGGGAGGTTGTTGTTTACCATCACGAGAAGCGCCAAATTTGGAAATGAATTTTCCTACTTTGCTCTTTCCGCCTCCTGTGTTGGATTTGATCTTTGTTAGAGATGGTCGGACAGATTTGCTGGATTTAGCAGGAGATGAAGGTGGAATTGATGCCTCTTTACTGACTGCTTTTCCAGTTGATTGGGGTGTTAGCGATGCAGTGCTCATCTTCTTTGGGTTTGAATCCGTGCTGGTAGCTAAAGCCTCGTAGATTGGCGCAGATGCTTGAACAGGTGTGCTAGTCACACTGGTTTTCGCATGGCCGTTGGATAGATTCTGCGTTGAAGGCTTGGGAGTTGGTTGCTGATCACTTGATTGTCCCAAAGCGGCAACTAAAGGTGAACCTATGCCTTGAGTCTGCGATGAGGAGAAGACGTCTGCTTTGCTGATTGGCACCTCGGGTGTGGTGGCAGTTGAGGTGATGATGTTTCCATACGAATTGCTACCATCACTAGCGCTTCCCATCGCACTACGTTCGTGCGAAGATCCCGAACCCGATGTCATCGTCGGCGAAGGAACTTTCACCAAGCTCTGAGCGGAGAGGCTGGCCGAACGTGCGTCATTTCCGAGTCTGGACGTCGTGCTGTCGTTACTAGCCGAATGTCGATCAGAAGACCCGCCAAAGTTGGATGTTGACGAAGCACCATTGTTGTTTGGCGGCTTGAGCTGTTGGTTCTCCTTTCCGGCGAGAATTTTGTTAACTTCTGTTGATGACTTGTTCTTCTTTATTCCGAATATGCTCAATCGGGAGCTCTTTTGCGCAACGGGTTTGAGACTATCTTGACTATCCGAAGCTTCCGGCTTTTTGAGTTGTACTGTACTCTCAACCGTTTGACTGCTTGCTGCAAGGGCAGGAGGTGCAGAAGATTTACCCGCATCCTCTTTTGCAGCTTCCCGCAAATTCGTTTTGGATGATTTTGGCGTAGCCTGACGACTAGGAGCACGACTGCCGAAAGGTGTGTTCTTTCCGGATTTTGGCTTTTTTGTCAAACCTTGCATCTCTTGATCAGGATTGTGCATTGACATTTGCAATACGCTTCTACGTCCCGCTGAACCGGAAGACATTCCTCTGGTTCTGTATGGCGCCGCTGTGTTTGGTAAGCTGTTCCTGCCTCCAAGGTTGATCGAAGGGATGTCAAATTCACTCGGCATCATAGGAACGCCAAATGGATCAGACAGATCATACGTACGAGGCGGTAGATGAGGGTAAGGTCCATCATTCAAGCCAGTCAGCATATCAGAGGGTAACCCAGACAATTTAGCACTTTGTGTAAGCGAGGGCGAACCGGGCAGGGAAGACGTTGAATGTGTTGAACGGGCAAAAGCTGCACGAGGTTGCTCGTATCGTGAAATGTCAGTTGGTTGCGTACGTGGGCTTCCACTTATTGGTGAGCCATTATATGATGTCGTACGTGCTTCACTGGCAAAAGCAGGTTGTGGCATGGAAAATCCAGCAGCACTTGACGAGGATGCCGGAGGTAAAGATCCGTTACTTACATCGTATTGGTGGCCGCCATTCTGCGACAAAACACCAATCATGGAAGCATGACGGCTATGATCGGCGGAAGGAGGCAACAATGCTTCAGCAGCCAATTGAGAGGCAACCAAGTTGAGCTCACGTGTGTCGTTGAAACGTCTTCGTCTTCCTGCTGTTGCATTTGCGCTGTCTGGTGAATTTGATCCTTCCTGTTTGGGAGAAGTATCTGATCCACTTTCTGACTTGACCGATGCCAATGCGGCACCTTGCTCAGCCGCTGTCAAATTCGTTGTGCTGGAAGTCTTTTCGAGGCCCTTTTTGGATGTATTCGATTTGGCCTCCTTTGCCTTTTTGTCTTTGCCCATGCCGAAGCCCATGAACGACTTTCTCGCCTTCTTTTTGTTTGCTGCAACGTCTTCTTTGACTTGAGGGGAGTCCTCAGTTGGCTTTTCCGGAACAGGCGCACTTTCAACACTTTGACCGTTCTGTGTAGGAGGCGATCTCATAACAGCTGCATTCGACATGACAACTGCATCACGGGCTGACTGTAAGATTCTCTGTGCTTGTTCTGTGGTGTATTTTTGACCATCTGCTGAGATTCTAGAAGAGCTGCTGATTTCACCATGATTTGTAGAGTGTACGGGAGAGAGAGATTCTGGACTTCTGCTATCTTGTCCTCTTGGTGTTCTTGAACCAAATTGTCGCGGAGCTGAAGATTGCATTGCAGCAAGTTGAGTAGCTTGTGAGACTTGCTCGGCCGCTCTTTGTGCAGCGGGAAAGAATGCAGCACCTACACCTATTGCACTTGCTCTACTTTGTGCTAAAGCAGCTTTTGTACCTCCAGCTGATGCCAAGGCTTGTTGATCAGCATCTTCTGTTGGCTCAACGAAAAAGTCCATTTTTCTTTCTTCGAGGGGTGAAGAGGAAGCCTCGAATGGTTCTTCAGCGTTGACAAAGTCAGGATTGTCCCAATTGACGCCGCTTTTGTATTTGCTTTTTGAACGTGTCAAAGCTGCTTTATCAATCTTTGGTTTTGTGGATGATTCTGTTTCTGTTGTTGAACTTTGTCCGGCAGATTGATTGGATAAGATTCTATCCAAACCGATAAAGCTATTCCTACTCGTTAAACGTGCCAAAACACCTGCCCCTGACCCCGAACGTTTTCGAACAGAGGATTTTCCATCGCTCATTGTTGATGTTGCATTTGTTGTTTGCGAAGTATCGGCAAGGTCTGAAGAGGGTAAATGACCTAAATCGGTACTATCTTGTGGTGAATGAGAAATGGGCGTAGTGAATTGATCGACAGGAGAAGATGCAGTGGTCCTTTGTGCTGATTCTGCATCTTGTGTTGTTTGATGATGCAATGCACCTAATCTTAAACCGGATTCACTGCTATAGGTATTGAGTTCCCTTTCCATGCCTGAGCCTTCTAAATGATCCATTGCCGTGCTCAATTCTGATGCCAACATTGCCATAGAATCATTGTCTGGCGCTACAGCTGCTGCCATTGCGTTTCTTCAGCCAAGAAAAGGAGAAGGGAAATGATTAGGGGTAGTAATTGCGATATGAGATCCGTAATTGTCGTTATGATAGGTGTATTGGGGGGAACGAGAGAGAGAGAGAGATTTCGGAGCCGGGCGTGTTATTCGCAAAGCTTGTGTAGTATATGCTTACGAGAAAACAAGACACTTTATTTTTGGCTGCTGGATGAAAGATCGTAAGGCGAAGTCGTAAGAATGAAATCTGGATGTCGGTGTCCCTTCTTTGTTTGGATGACAGTTGTTAGAAAGGAAAAGTCTGCTAAAAGATAACCCGTACAATATCAAATGATGCATACATGAAGTGTTTGTTTAATTTTTTTTGAATCATTTCGCTCACATGCACACTCACACACACACACCACACGCAACAGAGAGAAAAAAGAAAGGCCAAGAATTTTATGATCAGTTAGAGAAAGGGCCTGGCTGGAATAAGGCAGGCAGTCAACAAGACACTAATAGCAGCAGCAGCTAAAAGGGGGGGGGCGGGCGTGTGAGCACAGAACAAAAATACATGTTGAGCATTTATGCACACGTTTGTGCTGTGCTATTAGAACGGCCGCGTAAAAGATGTACTGTACTGTACGTACCGTACAAAACCGCCGAACGAGAAAAAAAGAAATACTGAAGCTGTGCGCCGCGCAAGAGGAACGTACCCCTTCCCTTCCGCACGTAAAAAGAGAGCCTTGTCTTGAAGGTCTGATTTATGTCTGTCAGTCAAACCCGAAAATGAACACATTACCAAGGTGCTCCGAATCCCATTCAGAAAGGTTTGCATGAAAAAGACGCCGGAACTAAGCGTCTGAAGAGAACAAAGATGATGCGATACGCGCCAGCAAAGAAGTCCAAACTTCTCTCCTTCATCATTCTAACATCCATTATATCGGCAAACAATGAATGCATTCGCGTACAAGGGCGTGCGCCCATGATTAAACCCTGCATCAATAGCGTATAAACGGCGAAATTTTCATCAAATCAAACAGTGAGAGAGGTGCAGCAGACCGGCGTTAAGGGGGTGAAGCTGATTAAAATCCGCATCTTATGCTACAGTACTGTAGATGACGTAAGATACCTCCCAACCAGCATGAGTGCATGATCAAGCTAAACATGCCCCTAATGGTGGAATGAATGAATGCACAGAAGGTTTAATGCCGTTTAAAAAGTCTTGGCGTTTAGATCAGGCACGCGCTGCTTACTCTTTGGCAAGGCATGGCAGTTTACATGTGTCATTCTATGGACATTGTTTGATGCTAGATGGATCTGTGGGGAATTGATTGATATCCTTCTGATGGTTATCTTGTATCACGTGTTCAATGGGATGGCAAACAAACAACAAACACCGCATTGTGTGATGGCGGTTGGATCATTTGTGTATTGGCGTACGCAAAATGAAGTTTTTTTCGCTTTTATATACTTGGAGAAGTATCCTACTCTCCTTTCTGTCACAATCATTCTCTTTGTTAACCATTTTATATAGCAACAATGACTGTGAGACTGCTTATAATTGTTATAAATTTGCTCGTTGCACATACTCTAGCAATCCCGATGGATCGAACAACGGGAAATCCATCAACGAGCGGAAGATATGATAAGAAAGGGGATGGTAGAGCGATAAATAGACAAGCTTTTCATTACATAGACCATGCATACAAACAAGTACAAGAGCTTAACGGTCATAACCTTCAATTATGTTCTACAGAATTAGCCGAAGCTTCACAATTGTGTTCCAATTACTCAGGTCAACATTCTCCTAAAGGTTTTCATCGCAAGAGCTATGCACAAGCTTCTAATACTTTACTCCATTTCGCAAGAGAGAAAGAATCTTCTGAAAAGACAGATCACTCACATGTTTGTGAAAATTGCAAAAAGACAATGGCAAGAAATGTTCAACGTAGACAAGATTCTAAGCATGCCGTCACTGCCAGCTCACACAATAATCATCCTGGGACGGGAGCGGGATCTACTTCCCATAATAAGCCTTAGCAAACTGTCTAGTATTTGTTTTCATCAACGAAAATGAACTTCATGCCCCGAAAGGCTTACAAACAAGCTGACACAATAATAAGCTGTGTCTGCTTGTGTAAATGTTGAGTTTTTTTGTTTTGCATTCAATCCAGTACTTTCACCTTTACCGTATCAATAATGCATTTATTTGAGAAAAACTCTTTGATTTTCCTACTATGTATCTTTCATTGCGTCCAAGCAAGGCCAACGGATCGTACTACAGGTGAGTCAAATTATTCGCTTACGAAAGGCATTTTCTCAATTTTTCTTATTGTACACAGGCGAACCATCAACAAGTGGTAGAGAAAAAGCAGAAGACCTTGAAGCCATCACTGCACAAGGACAAATATTTGCAGACCATGCAACTAGAGAAATTCAAAGAAGGATGGGACATTCAAATCCATTAAATGTTTCCGAAAATATTGAAGCTTTGCAGTATTGTATCGAACAAGCAGGTTGTTATTCACCAAACGGGTTTTATCATTCAAGTCATTTAGCAGCAGGTAAAATCGTAACGGAAAAAGCCACAGAATTAGCGAGAGGAAATCGGCAAGGGAGTCCTACTTCGTCAGGCACAGCAAACAGCCCCAGCACACATGGTCGTGATCATTCCCCATCAAAATCGACTTCTGCGGCAACATCTTCATCACAAAGTAAGCCAAAAGGTCAAAGTCACCCCGGCTCCAGCTCCAAGAAAGGACGGAAGAAGCACAAAAGATGAAGAGCCATTATCATAGTGCATTCTCTTGTACACCTCACGGATACCAATCCAGTTCCTTCGTTTGTGCGATGCTGTCTTCTAGTGAGAGTGACTGATTACATAATTCTCTTCTTTCGGCGCAAACGGGGCGGGATAAGCGGATTTTCCTAAAAAGCGCGTGGTATACTGACATTTCGCCTTCCTTGCCTTAGTAGCCGGATCGGATCTGTTCTTCAGTATTTTTCACGCTCTGTTGCATGGAATAAATGATGTTTAAGCCCTACGTGTGGAGTGGAAGGAAGGGAAATAGCACATCATCAGTCTTTTTGTTCCCCGCGCATTGTTATTTACCCTTTGGGCTTATTTCCCCTTCCTTCCCTTCAATGCCTGCGAACCGGACAGGTAGCATGACCGGAATGACCGACCTCAATCTTGATCCCCTTAAAACAATGAGCGGGACAGATCATATGTCAATTCTTTTCTTCCATCATCACTGACTTTGTTATTAGACAACGTCAATTTCCTCACATCCCCTCATTATACAACACATCTAACTCGCAATCATGGGTTTATTCAACTCTGATGACGAAGAGAAAATCTTCCAACAAGAAGTAGAAGAAGTAAAGCAATGGTGGAAGAGCCCTCGTTTTGCACGTACAAAACGTCCTTACACCGCTGAACAAGTGGTCTCAAAACGTGGTACAATCAAACAAATTTACCCTTCCAACGAACAAGGCAAGAAATTGTACAAGCTCTTAGAAGAACACTACGCTAAAGGAACTCCTTCCCACACTTATGGTGCTTTGGACCCCGTTCAAGTCACTCAAATGGCCAAACATTTGGAATCAGTCTACGTTTCCGGTTGGCAATCATCTTCAACTGCCAGTTCAACCAACGAGCCTGGACCTGATTTGGCAGATTACCCTTACAACACCGTCCCAAACAAGGTTGAGCATTTGTTCATGGCTCAATTGTTCCATGACCGTAAACAACGTGAAGAACGTGTTGGCTTGAGTGCTGAACAACGCAAAAACACTCCTTACGTTGATTATTTGCGTCCAATCGTTGCTGATGCTGATACCGGACATGGTGGTTTGACTGCCGTTATGAAATTGACAAAGCTCTTTGTCGAAAAAGGTGCTGCAGGTATCCACATCGAAGATCAAGCTCCAGGCACAAAGAAGTGCGGTCACATGGCCGGTAAGGTCTTGGTCCCTATTGCTGAGCATATCAACCGTTTGATTGCTATTCGTTTGCAATACGATATCATGGGCGTTGAAAACTTGGTCGTTGCACGTACGGACTCAGAAGCTGCCACTCTGATCACCTCCAACGTTGATGAGCGTGATCATGCCTTTGTTTTGGGTACAACAAACAAGAACTTGGAACCTTTGGTTGATGTTATGACCAGAGCTGAACGTGAAGGCAAGAGCGGTGATGCTTTGCAACAAATCGAAGACAGCTGGACCAAACAAGCCAACTTGAAGCTATTCTCCGAAGCCGTTAGCGATCATTTGACTTCTCAAGGTGCTTCATCAAAGGCAGGTGACTTCTTGAAACAATCCGCTCATATGAGCAACAAGAAGGCTCGTGCTTTGGCCGACCAACTTGGCGTCAACGAAAAGAGTGGATTCTACTGGGATTGGGATGCACCAAGAACGAGAGAAGGTTACTACCAATACCGTGGTGGTACCCAATGTGCTGTCAACCGTGCTATCGCCTTCGCTCCCCATACGGATCTAGTCTGGATGGAGACGAAATCACCAATTTTGGCACAAGCCAAAGAATTCTCAGAAGGCGTTCGAGCTGCTGTTCCAGGGCAATGGCTGGCATACAATCTTTCACCATCTTTCAACTGGGATGCAGCTAAATTGAGCCCTGAACAAATGAAATCCTACGTTTGGGATTTGGGTAAATTGGGCTTCTGCTGGCAATTCATCACCCTTGCTGGTTTGCACTCCAATGCTTACATCTCAGACCACTTTGCCAAGGGTTTCGCAGCTGAAGGTATGAAGGCATACGTTGAAATTGTCCAACGTAAGGAACGAGAGATTGGTTGTGATGTTTTGACCCATCAAAAATGGTCAGGAGCAAACTACGTTGACAATTTGCTCAAGACCGTCACGGGAGGAGTGTCGAGTACTGCTGCAATGGGTGGCTACAATAGTGAAAGCCAATTCGCCAAAAAGTGAGATGTTTCTGCAATGTCATTTATGTTCCCTTTCTCTAAAGTTGAAAAGTTTCTGTAATGTCATTTATATGTTCTTTTTTTTGATATTGTGTGAAATGATTCCATAGGAAAAGAGTCAAATGATCCAGTTCAGAAATGAGAAAGATGGATAAATATTGCAAGGCAAGGAGAAAAAATTGATAAAAGACTAATTATACATGCTAAATTAGAAGGAAGTTATTTGGAGAAAAAAAAGTGCTATTAGGCTTTTGCAGCCTTTTCGGCGGCTTTTGCCTCTTCCAAAATACGGTCTCGATACAGTCTTCGGAGAATCTTTCCACTTGGGCTCTTTTGAATGATTGGTTCAACGCAAATGCCACCACGTAGTTTTTTGTGGTTGGCAACCTTGCTATCGAACCATTGTCGAACTTCATCACTGAAAGCTTGAACTTGTTCTTTGTTCTTTAGGTCAATTCCCGCATCTGCTCGTGGAACAATATAAGCTCTTGGTAATTCAGTTGCCTCTGAAGGTTTGTACACTCCAATCACTGCTGAATCAGCCACTTTTGGATGGGTGAGTAACATTGCTTCAATTTCTGCTGGAGCAACTTGGAATCCCTTATATTTGATTAATTCTTTCTTACGGTCAACGATGAAAAAGTGACCGTTCTTGTAGATTCCAACATCACCCGTCTTGAACCATCCTTCAGGTGTGATTGCATCTTTTGTGGCTTCGGGGTTGTTCAGATATCCTTTCATGATCGTTGGACCACGAAGCCAAATCTCTCCTGGTTCTCCGAATGGGCCTTGCTCATTACCTACATCGCGGCCTTCTTCATCCACGAGACGAGCTTCAACACATGGCATCAACTGACCACAACTTCCTTTATTGTTTGCATAATTTGAAACGCTAGTGTAATGAGAAGTGGGAGAAGTTTCGGTTAATCCATAACCTTGAGTAACTTTTGCGCTTGGAATACGAACTTGGACTTCGTCACCGAGCTGAGCCGATAGAGGTGCTGCTCCAGACATGATGACTCGCAAGGAGGAGAGATCGTATTTCGAGATTGAAGGGTCTTTTGCCAAAAGAACCAAGATTGGCGGAACAAGAATTCCAAGAGTGACTTTGTACTTTTGCACAGCTTCAAGGAACACTTTCAAGTCAAACTTGGGCATAACCACCACAGTCATTCCGCTATACAAAGCAAAATGAATGAATTTTGCCATTCCAAAGATGTGTTGGAAAGGCAAGACACCCAAAACGACATCCGTTGGTTGAAAGTCAGGCTTAAGTCCATCCACCATTGCAGCAGTGACGGCCGTCATATTTCTGTGTGTAAGTTCAACACCTTTTGGCTTTCCACTCGTTCCACTACTGTAGCAGATTAGTGCTGTTCGCTCTTTGCCATCCTTGACTGTGATTGGTTCAAGGGTAGAATCGGAAAGTAAGGTACGGATATCCTGTTCGTCACCATCTTGAGCGGTTGCCATGTTATCGCCATCGTCCAAGAGCCAGATTCTGTTCAAGCCATCCTTCTTTGGAGAAATGCCTGCAAGTTGAAGTGCTTTGCGTGCAACGGATAGATTGGCGGGATGACAGAGGATGAATTGACTTCCCGAATCGGTTAGAGGGTGAACGAGCTCTTCGGCATTGTAAGCAGGACTCATTGGAGTGAGAACTACACCCGATGCAAATCCGGCATAGACTGCGATAGGGTAGATTGTACTGTTTGGACTAAAGATTGCAATCCTGTCGCCTTCCTTCAAGCCAAACTTGTTTCGCAAAACGAAAGCCAATCGACGAGCATCTTGTTTTGCCTGTGCACGGGTGACTGCTTTACCATCTGCAACACGAACGAAAACAGGTTTGGAATCGGGAATTTTGTTTGGATTGGTTTCCAAGAACGTCAAAATGTTTCCACGATCGCAATCTTCTATTGGCTTGTGAGACGTTTTGATGATTTGTGGTTGAGCAGGCATATTGATAAATGGTCCTTCAGGATCGTCTTCAGCGCCTCCGATGGATGATAATCTGACACGAGGATAAGTGGGAGAATGAGGAGGTTTCTCCAAAACGTAAAATTGACTGAGCATGATTTGGAGGAAGATGGGAAAGATGGATGTGGTTAATGAAAAAGGTTGTAAAGAAGATGTATATATTGATCTGTTCTTGTTGCCGGACAATAACTTAACCGTTGTGCGGAAACAAATATTGACTTTTGCGTTGCACTAATGCAAGATTGAGATTTAATTGGTAGGTGGCTTTCAAACAGATGCCTTTTGCGATCGAGAAAGGAGGGGTTGTGATTACAAACAACCTGCATACGTACCTTTTGTGATGAGATGGGATGGCAGAAAGGGTGGATGTGAAATGTTTCACTTATTTGTGAACGATCAACACATTGAAGGCCATTGCGAGTGTATGCATGAAAAAAAGATTATTCCGATGCATCATTTCTTGTTTCATTAGAAACTTCTTCTACTTCAGTCACATTCGAGTACGCAAAAGGGAACTTGATCCCCGCGTATAGTAGCACAATATGCAAGCACATCGATTAATACACGCGCTATTTGCGTTGTGGGGAGAAAACGCTAAAAAAAACAAAAAAGCACACTCCAAATCCGTTCCATTTTAGGCGGCCGGCCGATAAGGAAAAAAATAAAAACTGAAACTACCCGCGCGCTTCCACACAAACAAAAGCCCCAAACAATGAGACTGGTTATACACATACACAATACACGCCGCAAAAGGAAACTCTAAAGAACAATCAAACGCCAAGTCAACCTGCCGAGCAAATAATGGGGGGGGGGCGCAATAAAAAAAGACCTTCGCATGCCATGCCGGCTATACTCTCACCGGCAAGTCGGTTTCAAGAACAATGAAGAGAGCTTTAAACAATGGTATGAATTAGTACAAAGACTACAATCTACAATATACATTTATTCGTACACAAAAAGAGAGTGGTGAGCATCCATAGCATCATTATCAATTCCCACTCTGTTGTCTAGTCGATTTCGTCTTTCCTCCATGAGTTCTGAGAGTATTTGTTTGTGAATCGTCCAACATCTCCAAATCTTCTGCAGGTTTACGTTTGCGTGAAGTAGAGGTGGTGGCAGGCGTTGATGTGCCTGTTCCAACAGCTTTTTGCGTTGGCGAATTCGTCAAACTTGTCTTTTCACTTTGTGTTCCTGCAGTATTTACCCCATTTTCATCTTTTGGTGATCCAGCCTCACCGCCAGGACTGAACGCAAAAGCAGGCGTTTGTCCTTCAAAAGTATCATTTTCACCTCCTGCACCATTCTCATTAAAAAATTCTTTCAATAATGAATCCATATCTACCTCTCCACTTGCGTCCACATTACCGGCAACACTAGAAGGTACCGCATTCGTGCTTGCCGTCGTATCAGCTGGTTGTCCATTTCCTTGTGATTCAATTCGTAACCCTTCCACTAAGGCATTGAGAGCATTTTGAACGGCTGTAGCATCTTGTGTGACATTGTGAAGCTGTTGCTGCTGTTGAGGAACCATCTTTGACAATTGACTTTGATCATTAGAGCTTTGAGCACGGGGCGATAATGCAGCTGAGTCATTTGCCCATCCTGGCACATTTGTTGATTGTGATGCTCCAGATCGTCCAGCTTGTGCATTGTCAAAGTAACCCCCTTGCTTAGATCCCTCATTCACACTTCCTGATCCAGCCTGAGCACCAGCACTCATGATGTTCTGCAATGCAGCTAGTGTTTGAGCATCCAATTTGAACGAACCTGATCCTGAAGCTGCAGAATTGAGATTATCGTTTCGCGTACCATTGGACTGGGTATTGGGTCCGGCTTGTTGTTGTCCGAACAGATTCGCCAACCAAGATTGAGCTTCACCACTGGCCAAAGCACTCAACAGCTGGGCACCAGCTTGTTGGGAAATACGCCTACCTCCACCAGGCGTTGATGCTGTTTCCGATGCTACAAAAGGCAAAGATGCTCGGTTGTCGTTATTAGCTCCGCCCTTCTTGGCAGAAGGTGTCTCCGGCAAATGAATAAAACGTGAAGGAGGCGAAGAAGATGTGTTTGGGGAATTTGTTCCCGATCTTGCTTCAGTGATACGTGCTTGCGGGGTTAGTTCTTCCACCTGATTATCATCCTCGCTTGGCACTTCCAACTCTTCAATTTGACCGCCTTGTGATGATCCGTCCCCAATCAACAATCTTCTGCGGTTCTTACCCACATTGGCACGAGGAGTACTATTATTGCTCGAAGCAGAAGAATCTTCCGATCTATGATTCGATTGACCGATGTTATTCACATCTTGTGCACCAAAAACACCTGCCAAGAATCGTAACATCTTATTGATAGTCTCTTCTTGCTTTTTGCTTCTTGCACGTTGTTCGGCAGCCTCTCTCCACAATTCAGAATTATTGGAATGCAGATGCCGTAGATTATCATTGATACCTTGTTGTGATTGTTGCAAAGCTGCAATGGCTGACCAAACCGATGCTAACTGCACTAATCCTGATTCTCCTTCACCTCTTTGAGCACGAGTCAAAGCACCATTAATCGCATCCAGCGCAACAGGAGCTCCATTTCCGTTCTCTTTTCCCTTTACAGCGCCGATCGTTGGACTGTCTTCCTTCCCTTCATCTTCGATACGAACACCTTTCTTTCTTTGCATTTGCAGGAGCAGCTCGGGTCTGTCACGTTTAAAGTTATCGTTACGAAACTCCCAAAGCTCGGTATCTTGACCAGGATCGGTCTTCAGTGCACCCTGTTGTAAATGAGGCACTTTGTGGAATCCATACATGTTCAATTGACGAACGAAAGAGGAGAACCTGTTATGCTTAAAGAATCGCGGCAGAACTTCATCTCCAAATCGAACATTGTTGGGCACCAAAAATGTCTCTCCATCATCTGACCAGCGAATCAAATCATCCGTCTTTGGATCATCTACCATACTGCGCAGTTTGTTCAAGAACGGATTATTCTTGGATACATGTGTCGGAATGAGAGAGCCTGTTGGTCTGCTCGTACTTAGCATGGCTGCTTGATTAGGATTGGGTGAAGATTGCTGGGGAGCTTGCTGACTGGATTGATTTTGATTGATTGCGTTTGTAAACATGGAAGATGGAGGTGCAGAAGCGACTGGATTCTGTCCTGCATCAAATGATGTTGGAAATTGTCCTCCGTTTAAGAAACCAAGTCCTGATTGATCACCACCTAATCCGTTTCCTGTGAAATCCCACAATCCAGGCTGCGTGCCATCCACTGATCCACCGATCCCATTCTCACCTAAACCCAGCTCTTGCAGAAATGCTGAAGCATTGCTATTGTTCATATAAGGTGCCATTGCCATTGACGGATCTGGAATGCCATTTGTGGGGGTGGCATCTGATGGTTGCAACGGTGTAGGTGGACTGGAATTGGATTGTTTGATGGCAGTTTTGGCATTTGTACGGGATGGTCCCGCTTCATTCCCTGTTGCTGTTGATGTCATCACTTACAATCGTATCGAATACAAACTTGTCAAGTGTGAATGAATGCTGTCAACCATCTAAGGAAAGATGATCGTTCTTATATATGTACACCGGCAAGTAAGCCGAAAGGTGGTTGGGGTGTCGTAAATGGGTGTGATCAGATCACTTGACTGGTTGTGTTCCACGTCGTCTCCCCTTGCTGAATGATGATGATGATTCGGTCCGTAAAAGTTGTTGCTGTTGTTGCTGCTATGAAAGGTCAAAGCTCTCTTTTTTTAATATTTTTGCAATATTCCACCTCATGCCGCACGCGGGCTGGCTAAGAATGCACGTTTAAAACATCGCGCTTTTTAAAAAAAATATTTTTTTATTGATATGAATAAAAATGATGAAATAAAAAAATAACAAACTGATCGAGTGCTGCGCCTCCGCCTGCGTCCACCTAACACTGCATAATGAATGTGCGTGCATCCACCGTCCGCTGCTGCATTTGTGTGAAATGACGCACATCTTTTTTTTCCCACAGCATCAAACGTGGAGAGATTATATAATCTGATAGAAGGGGCAAAAGAAATGACACCATGACAATTCAGGGTATTTCATAGCTATTCTTCTATATACTGGTATAATACATGGTGATGGTGAGCTGTTTAATTCCAACTCCAAAAACGTGTAGCCAATACACCAACGCCAAACAATGAAACAACAACAGTTGATGTCATGACGGCGTGTAAAAGTTTGATCTGGAACGCTTCTCGTTGACGAACGGTATGGTATCCTTTATTCGAAAATGTTACGTTCATGTATAAGCTAGACCACCATCCTTCGGGTAGATTGTGAAGCAAGAACGTATCCAGCTTCTTACGTAACAGGTATGATTTACGAACCACATTACTGCTCATCTCTTCAAAATTGGCCAATGCTAAATCATTGATAGCCATCAAATCAGCATGTCGGGATTGAGAATATTGTTGGAACGCCTTTTCTTGTGTTGAATGAGTAAGCTTATCCGACCTGCTCTGCTCATCAAGCATTTCCAAAAATATACGCACATCCTCTAAACCGCAATTCAATCCTTGTCCGTAAAAGGGTACCATGGCATGCGCTGAATCTCCCAAGATGATCGCTTGTCCGTGTGCATGGTATGATTGACAGCGAACCATACCCAAAGGACTTGGCTTACGGTCGCAAATCTGCTGTACCAAAGCCTCTTCTCCGATCAACTGAAGCGCATCCGGGAACTGATTGGCAAAAAAGTCAATTGTCGATTGTGGTTCACGTAGGTAATTGTCATAAATTCGTTGTGGAGCAAATATTGTTGATGTGAAAGAGCCATCTTTGTTTGCCAAGGCAATCAACATGAAATCGTGCCTTGGCCAAATGTGTAGGTGATTTGGATCGATTGCATATTTACCATTCACGAGCTTATGAGAAGTTCCTTCGACCGCATCTCGGTGTCGTAAAAGTGGCGGGAGTTCATCTTTGGCGGGAATGTGAAGCTCTGAATAGAGATTATCAATGGAAGTCTCGGTGACATTCATTTCCGTTTCGGTTTGAATGGCTTTCCTTATTCTGCTATGATGTCCATCACAGCCTACGATCATATCCACAACTTCCTCCACTTGACGTTCTTTATCCACTTCAAATCTCAGTAAGCTCTTTTCGGTTCCTTTATACGAGAATTGAACATCTTGCAGCCTATGTGCCCACCGGATCTCTATTCCCTGATTGACCGTTTCATCCAACAGTAATCGGCTAAGTAATAGTCGCGATACAGAATTGATAGCATCACCGCGTGTACTATATGCTTGACTCTCTTGCTTGACGTTGGTATCTCCAAAATTCTTCTCATGTGGTCGCGAATCTTGCGAGGGTTTATGATGAATCATCCTTCCATACATCGGAACCGAATTATCCAAAACCATTTGAGCGATCGAGGGATCAACGAATTCCAAAGCTGTCAAACCACGTACGCTTATGGCTAAATTGATACTTCTGCTAAGTGGATGTTTACTACTGCTTGCCACAGAAGATTGTCCGTTTGCTGTGCCGTTAGGCTGTGAGCCTTCTGGTGTAGCGATCATTTCGTTGAGTTGAGGCGCAAATGCTTTTGCTGTTCGGCTTTCGTACACCACCACTTCGTACCCTCTTTGTTGTAATCCCAAGGCAGTCAAACAGCCAACTGGCCCTGCTCCGATCACGGCTGCTTTTGGTGTCATCTTTACTACTATTAAGTTTATAGTCAGTGAAGCTGTGATTCAAGATGATGGAGAAGAAGGATGGTTGAGAATGTGTGACACATCATCTCTTGTGTGTTTCTCCACTCCCTCCAGAAATGCATCAGAGTCATTCTTTCCCTTGTTTGTCTTTTCTTTGCCTTTGATCTTTTTTCCGGAAGATTTTCATGCAGGTCAAAAGTTCGCGTTTACCTAAACCCGTCTAAAAAGGCAATCGAGCAGTGTGTATTTTAATTTCGGTCGTAAGGCCCACCCAGTCAAGACGCAAATTCGCAATTCTCTATTCATAGTACGCGTTGAAATCTTATCGGGTGAGCACATAAGCATAAGCTGCTTTCACTATTCCGATAAGCCGCGATAATCACCAGGAACGAAAATGGAATTGTTGGATGTAAATAAAATATATACAAATGTGTGTCGTTATATGAATACAATAAAAAAACCTTCTTCTCTCTTTCTACGAATATGATCCTTCTTCGTTCTCATCAACATCTGGAGGTCGGTAATCCAAACGTTCCAATAATTTAGGCAAAACCAATTCAATACCAGGAAGATTGTTTGAACGCTGAAAGATTGATTTGATCGCATTACTGCGTTTCACTTGTGACCAATGTTTCAACAAGAAATCAATTTCCATATCACAAATGTCTGGGAATTGCGTATTGTACCCTGAGAATGTCTCCCAAACGATATTATGAACCGTTAAGCTCATCGCGATATGTTCTTGTGCACGTTTCTTTAAATCGGGAATGTCCAGTTTATCTGCCAATCTGTACATCGCCTTTGCCGAACATGGGCTTGGCTTGCCGGGATTACGTTCACAGTATGTCTCAATCACTGCTTTTCGCCTTCGATGTGCTTTAGCCATTTCTTCTACCAGACTGCCAACGTCTCCTCGTCTTCTGCTACGGCCGCTGGAAGACAGCAAATTGTTCGAACCCGTATCAGCAGTCACATCAGCAGGTAAAAAGCTGGATGTCAGCGGTGCGAATTCGATCGTGTCGGTGTACAAAAAGTACAACAAAGCCTTAAAGGTTGGATATGCACTGTCGATCACATTCACTTTACGTCTCTTGCGACGATCATGCTCAGATTTACCTTCGTTTGCCTGGCTTTGCTTGGAAACGGTATCATTCATGCCGCTTCGGCTTCTCTTCTGCAGTAAGGTCTTTGTGGTAGCCGTTGTGCCGTCTGCCTTGCCATTCTTGGGAGAAGATTGAGCAAGGGCAGCCTTTGCGTTCGTGCTTGATGCTTCCTCATCATTGAAAGGGCTATCAGATCCTCTTTCTTCGTGGGAAATGTTTTCAATACTGCGTGAAAAATCTCCCGTACGAAGTCGGTTGGATGAGCGCAATGCCACTTTACCAGTCTCTCGATCATTAGCGACATTCTTGAATGCGTCATCTCGAATTCTCAGCTGTGAGGACCCAGCCTCGTCATCCTCGTTGGGACTATTGCAGCCGCTGCCAGCAAAATCACGCTGGCTTGATTCTGCTGGGGTATGAACCCGTGAATGGTATGGAGACAGGTTTGACAAACGATCTTCCTCGAAATCTTCATCAGAATCTTCACATATGGGTGATTGATCGTCATCTTCCTCTTCTTCGTCTTCATCATACTCTTCCTCTTCTTCTTCATCTTCTTCGTTGCCATAGTCTTCATCGTCTCCCACTTCGTATCCTCCGCGTGATCCTGCTTTGGCTGCTGAGTCTGTATGTGCTGCGCTGTTCCTGAGCGGACCGGCTGCTTCTTCTTCATCTGATGATTCCTCCGCCTCTGCTTCTTGGAAGCCTCCTTCGAACATCAAGCGGAAATAGTCTGATCGTGCTGCAAGAATCTTTCGAATGGCATACACCTTACGAATACCAGATCGACTGGATTTAGCTCTGCGGCGGGAAGGATGCAGATGAAACACAACATCGCTATGTTCTGGATCATCTAAAAGGGATCCCATTGCTTGTACCAAGATAGGTGGAACGGTATGGCTGATAGGCTCGGCCATCTTTGGTTTCTCTGGGCTTGAGGTGATGGTGACGGTGATCAGGAGACCATCTTCTCGAATCACTTCGGGGTTCTTATAGTACACTGCATCTCGTTTGGCGAACTGGGCCCATCCCCAATTGGACGTTTTGTGTGAGAAAGCATGATCGTAAGCTTCCTTGTTGCCCAATACCGTTCGATCTTCGATGACTTGAATGTTGAATGTGAACCTGAACAGCCCTTTACGTGCCCATCTCTCTTCCAATCCAGTCTCGCCCTTGCTCTTGCTACTACTGCCAATCGCTGATCCACGTACGTTGTCCACATTTGGCGAAGCGTTTCCCAATAATGGATGAATGCGTTCATGTGGCAATGGCTCAGCATTGAGATAAAGAGAACAGAATTGATCATGACCACTTTGAGCATAAAACAGCACCGTCCAACGACCACCACCAAAAGGTGTTGATTTGATGACTTTTGATTTCGCGTCACTTTTTGAAGAATCAAACATTTCCTTTAAGCCACGTAATGGCCATTCGAAAATGATTGAATTTGTTTCTTTTGGTTCATTTGGAACTGGCATTTCCACTTTACGTGGATTGCCTTTGCTACGATCAGAGGTAGACATGGTGATTGAGGTAATGGGAGAAGGACACACAAGAATGTTTGCTTGGAAGTTAGAAAGCGGTGCTTAGCAAACCGATCCGCTTGTTGCCAGCAAGCTAATCATCCGTTTGCCTACAGCAACTTGTTTGCGTCTTTCAATTTGGTGATTGTGGTGTTGTCAACATGAATATTGCTTGTTGTGATTCTTGTAGAGAGAAGGACAAAGGAAAGATCATCACAAGCCAAGGGGCCAGAGATTATGCTGCATCATTCATGCATGCATTCGCATTTGGAGTAGTGTTGCCTTTCTCCACCCTCTTTTGCCTGAATAGGGAAGATGAGCCTTATTGTTTGTTGGCTTGTGTTTGTTATACAGAAACGGAGCAAGCGCGTATGAATATTCCAGAGAGAGGAAATAAAGGCACGTGTGCTAAAGGGAGACGCCGGGTTAATGAATGTGGCAGGGCGTAAATCAGAAGAAATGAACGTCCGCCTGTAGCATAGGCTGTACGTGTTGAGTTCAAAGAGCAAATAAGAAAGCAGAGAAATCCAATTACAGCACCAGACAGTGTGACAGGGCATAACTTCCTTCCCTTCTCATCACCATCAATTCATCGTCATCACAAGCAATGGCTGCTCTTCGACCCACTGCAATTCGTGCTCTTCAAGCACAAAGAGGTGCTTTCCGTGCTTCAGCTCCCGTCAAAGCTGTTAAGCCAACATTCCAACCTCACTTTTACAGAATTACACCCGAAAACGTCACAAAGTATGTTCTTCGCACAACAACACGATCACATTCAATCCCGACAATAGCTGACAATCTATTCTCTCCTTTAACACAGATGGGTACCTAGTCTTGCACTTTGGGGCGGAGCTGCAGCTGGTGCAGTGACACTCTTTTTCAGCGCTGTTCCTATCTTCCAAACCGATGTTTTGAAACACATCCCAATCGTTGCCTCATACTTTGAAGGTACGCTCTCCGGCGGATACCGATACAGATAAGACATGGTACTGACTCTTCCTCCCATCCTTAACAGACAAAACCCCCGATTCCGACAAACCCTTCTAATCGAACAGAGGAAGAACACATGTGCATTATCGAATCAATTTTCATGTTGATATTATAGACTCTAATGCGATGTGGAAGAGCAGTGTGGCATTTTTGCAAAAGATTCTCTATGGCTATAAAATACAGATAAAAGTACAATCGGGGACGTTCAATCACATCGCCCATCCGGTGGACCATCCTTCCACCTATGCTGCAGTTTTTCTTCGCTACACGTCCAAGTCGGTTTGCCTAACCGAGCATTTGTTTCGTTATGAACACCACAAAGCCATTTTCGCAAACCCGGTCCTGTTCGAACGGCTTGTTGTAGTATCTCTCCGCCTTCCCAAGACCGTTTCTCTTTGATTTCCCTTTCCAATTCTTCACCCAACGCTCCGGCACATGAGTGACATGGATAGAGATGTGGTAGCGATTGAATGAGTGATAGCATAGACTTTTGTTGAATCTCACTTGGCGAATTCGGATAATAAGCTGCTGCACTATGTAAGAAAGTCCAAGTAGATTGTCCGATCATTTCTCCATCAGGCGGGCATTCAATCTGTTCTGATGCAGCCTTCTTTGTGCTTGATGCTGTGGCAGGCTTCTTGCCAACTTTTAGAGCAGCGGAAAAGGCTAATTTGCTATTACATGCTCGACATGGCTTACCATCTGGTCCAAGGATGACATTCTTACGATTTGAAGTTGAGGGCTTCTCATCTGCATCGTCAGATTCTTGCTGCATTGGTGGACCATCTGCAAACAGTTTTCGCGATCGCGGTGCTAGTGGCTCTTCTACACCATCCGGACGAGGGATTCGTTTTGGCTCCCAATCGTCTACTTCCGAATCTTTCGCTTGTAGTCTCTGTGTGAGATGAAAAAGATGTGAGCATGTCTGAAATTTCAACAACAGCATACACCACCAGATACCTACATAATATTCTTCCCGAATATCAATCTTTCTTCGATCTTTTCGCATTCCAAGTTCTTCCTCCTTCGACATACTCCTGACTTTGGATGCATTGTAGTCATATCTGGTTTGCGTCATATACGATAATCCAAATGAGCTGGCCACAATTGTTAATACGAATGGAAGTCCAAACATTAACACCGGATGACGTCTAACCTGTGGCGTAAGACGAGCAAGGATCGTCCCAAACGTCGATTGTGGCCGTCCGATCGGCTTATTGGAGAACGCCGGCATCTTGCTTGATAGCTAGCTAGCACTTTATCGGAAGTGCAATCTGATCCTGATTGGTGAAATGTACAAATGTCAAGGTTGTAGGAATGAGGAAGATTGTCATGATTACCCTTTTCCGATAAAATTAATTCAAGCAAGCACACGCGTAACCAAAAGTGTGTTAGAATAAACCCGAAGCGAAAGCTTAAATCCGCAACATTGGAGAACAACACTTTCAAGAAGAAATCACAAATCAGACAGAAGAGGTTTATAATGGATAATTGATTCGATTCATACACAAACTCATGTATAATGGATAACATTTGGGGATTATTAGGACAATTTGTTGTCATTTAGAACTCAAAAGGCAGCCAATCTTATATCGAGCCGATCAGTATTCAAAGTCGTATGCAATAATGTCTGTGCGGAAGGGTAGAAAGTCAGAATCATTTCATGAATCAAAGTTGAACAACGCATCTCACCTTCGACATTAGGTACGACTTTGCTTGAAATCCATTCTTTGTGGTATGGAAGATCGCGGTATTCTTCATACTTGGCCTATTGTTCATGAGAAAGAATCAACGAATGTCAGCATCCTCCCTCAATATGTTCACATCGCCTGATTGTCTTACCTTGTCTTTGAAGACAGAGTACAAGCCTGAGAGGGAGAGAGGATCTTTGTGAGTTCATGATGGTATACTAGCAACTACCGAACATCATCTTACCGTAATCGAAGCCTTTCTGTATACGGGAAGAATACACAACATCAGCAAACAAATTCTTACAAAAGCAAAGCAACACATCTTGCAATACGTACGGCACGATCAGTGTAGACTGGTGGTCCCCAAGTAACGTGTTCGGCAAGATTCTTGATCTCTTCCTTTTTCTCAAAAGTTTGAGCTTCAGCCTTTAAGCTTTCGAGGCTTTCGCTGTTCTTGATCTGTTCACATGACCGGCAGCACAAGAAGAGGATACGATTCCGGTCAGTAAGTCGAAGTAGGCGAGGGAGCTATGAGCAGCATTCTCTTACCTTAACCAATACGATGTGAACGAAAGGCATGATTGATTGCAATAAAGTTTGTTAAGAAGAGGGATCGAAGAATGATTAGCAGTGATGTTGGTGGTGCAGAAGAAAGATTGTTGCAAAACGAGCTTTATTTAAACCTTTTCAAACTCTTAAAGTGCAAACTATAAAGCGGGGTAAATGCTGTCAAACTTGCTTAGTCTGACTTTTAACTATCTAACAAGAATGGTCTGATCACACTCGGAATGACAAGTTGCGAGGAAGGCAATAAAGATTGATTGACATTTTTTGACAAATGACTTTTTACGGCCAAGAGAGTGACTTTTTATACGCCAGCCTGCATGCATTTACACACTGGCGCCATTTTAGCCGGATAAGAGAGTGCCGGTAATAATCATGGAGCCGTAATGTCGTGCTCAATAAACAATCATTCAATCGCCATTTCTACGACAAACGGCCAACACCCTTTTTCACTTTTCAACTTTTAGCCAATGTCTATTGAATTGCTAAATGTGTTACATCATTACGCGGTAAAAAGCTATTTTTCTGTCATCTTCGCCGCCTCTTGGCAAATCACACCGTTCCGCCACGATCAGGTGCGGAATTATTCTGCCGAATTTGCGGTGAATTGGATTGTCCAAGTCCCAAGCCAAACACTCCAGTCAAATTGCCAAGAACCATATTTCCTACTCCACTTAGCCCACTTTGATCGCCCGTGGCATTTTCAGCGAATCTTCTTCGATTTCCTCCTTCCGAAGGTGAACTTGGAGTGGAAGCTGCTCCTAATCGTGCCGCTGGTCCTTTATCCTGGATACGCAATTGGAACAATCTAGCACACGATCCATTGAAAAGCCCATATGGCATCGAACTTGTCACATAAATCAATCCCCACAAATAAGACAAAAGCCAAATGGAAACATGTGAAGTCCATTTGAAAGGTCTTGGTTGTGGAGTTTTGGTGAGATCGGTTCCGTCTTGAGCTTTGCCAACTGCTTTATTGGGTAAAACGTCATCCAAATTTTGTTCACGCAACAATGCCAAAACACGCTCATCTGCATTCGACTTACTTCCAATCCTACCACATAATTCTTCCACTTTTGGTACCAGTTCAACAATCGTGATTTGCAAAACATCCAACGGTAATCCTTTATGCCAGCTGCTCACCCAGGCTTGTGTAGGGACAAAGCCATTACGTCCCAGCATACTTGCTGCTAAGTGAAGCTCTTCATCGTTAAAGCCGTTGACCAATTCATCTTCTTCGTCTTCTTGCATTGCAGCTGCATAGGCAGTATTTTGATCCATAGAAGTTGATGTCTGACGCATTTTACCTCTTGCTTTTTCAGAAGAGGGTGCTTGCTCTGCTTCATTTCTCCCCTCTTCTCCTGATGTATCGTTCTGTTTCTCTGCTGAACTTCTTGGACTTGTGAATTCACCTGTTTGACGTGGAGAAGAAGGCGGAAACTCCGATCGTGGAGAAGTAATCACATTACCCAACAGGCCGCCTCTTCGTCTGCTTCTGCGTACTTCCGCAATACCTCGCCTCAAAGTGAAATTGGCCAGTCGTTCGATCGTTTGATGATTGCGCACAATGGCATATGCCACATTTGGATTTCTCTGAAAGCCATGTTGAACAACATTGTTCAAAGTTTCGATAAGGAAATACAAAACCCTGGGATTTCCTTCGTCGGCCAAGAGAAAAGTCGGATTGGCAAAGCTGCTGAACAAGGCCATCAATTTGTTGGAGGATAAGATTGACAGATTCTTGAAATACGGGCTGACATTAGTCAATGTGATGATCATAGGCGCATAAAGGGCCGATAGACTGGATTTTGTCGTTGCAATTAAAGCATAGATAGCTTGAATTAGGATATCTGCACCTGTGGATGATTGCGATGACTGATTTGCCGTTGTTCCACCTGCAGCCACAGTACTTCCACCTCCAACAGCAACACCCCACCTTTGACTTCCAGTAATCTTTGCTTTTGCTCCACTTCCTGCCTTGCAGATGTTCACTGCAAATGCTCGATCACAGCTGATATCGTGCAAGATGAAAACCACCAATCGAACGAGACCTTGACGAGCAGCGCTGTCCTTGTTGTTTAATGCATGGAAGAGCATATGTGCCATCAATTGAGGTGATCGGTCTTCCAACAAAAATGTACGGAATTTTGCATTATGCCATAAAAGTCGCCAAAGGACCAGAATCGTCTCAGGAATATGAGGACCTGCTGCACTGGTATCCATCACTTGTCCGGCCGCATTCCCGTTCAACAAAGCAGCAGGACTTGGTCTCTGAGCGAGAATGGCAAATATCCCATCAGCCAAAAGATGAAAGTCGGATTGCCGATGAAGCTTGCTCAAATACAGTCTGAAAGTGTTGGTCTGAACATCTTTGCTGCGGAATGAATTGACTGATAACTGTGATAGTTTCGGTGTTAGATTAGGTCTTGGTGTGCCAGGTAGGATTGGCGTACCGATTCCGCTTTGATCAGCTTGATCTGAATCATCTTTCGCTGGGGCCTCGTATCCCAGTACAATGTTGAGCAGCTGCAAAGCAATAGTCATTGTTACTGGTCTTCCATCCTCCCCACCAGCAAGTCGCTCTTTGACCAGGTCTGCAGGAAGACTTGTCAAATTGCCAAGCCAGTTTTCGTTCTTGCTCGAAGCAATAGAGACGTTCAATAATGTACACAGAAGTGGGAGAACGACGGATTTCTCCAGCTTCGTCACCAAGATCCGCAAAGCATAATTCTCCGTCGCTTTTTGTCGACTTGGTGTGACGTATATGTTCTTACTGAGCAACACCAGCAAAAGTCGCAAAACCTCTAATCGATGGTTAATGTGTGTCTTCGTTCTACCGGCAATGTCGACTGAGCTACCGATACCCTTTTCTGAGATGATGTACTGCACACGTGATGCCGACACCTTGTTGTCCGATGAAGCGTTTATCTGCTCTTCACTCCAAGGAATCGAGAATCCAGAATAGAAGAGGAAATCGACAGTCGCTTTCGTCAGTCGTTCTCCCAACGAAGGCCTTAAGTTCGTTTCAGATTGCGATGCTTTTCGCTCTTTCGTCTGAGAGCGTAGAGGATCGGAAGGCGCCCTGTCTCGCACACTACTACTGTTTTCCGCCTCTTCATCCTCTTCGTCGCTTTCTTCGATCACGAATTGATTCTCTTGACTTTCATCGGGTGATGCGGATGGCTCGGGAGATTTCTGCACAGCCTTTTGCGATGTGACCTTACCCCAAAGATCTGTAGTCCGGTTGGCATCTGCAGGCTGTTCTGTCCACAGAAGGTGTTGTTCAAACTCATCTGTCTCTAAAGCAGCACTAGGATCCAATCCACCATCTGCTTGTACGTTGCTGGTAGAGTCATGATCACCTTCCATGATGATCGGAAGCAGCCTTGTGAGAATACGACAGCAATTCAACGCTTCTTTTGTACGATCGCGTGTCTGTTCGGGAGTTTGTTCTGGATGTGTGGTGGAAGTACTTCCATCATTTCTACCACCCAAAAAAGACCCCAAAGCAGCAGCACTTCTGGCACCCGCATCTACGAGAGACAAAGCACTGCTGCTGGCTTGATCTGTCAATCGGACTGTACTTCTGGAAGCTGTAGCATAGATTGAGGATGACGCTGCTTGTGCTGATGGAATGGGCGAGAGTAAAGGATCCTCTTTAAGCGTTTCCAAATGGTTGATCAAGATTGTGACGAGTGTCTCAATGTTCTCCGGATGTCGAATCAGTGCTTTTCGAATGTCTGATATGGACATCAATGTGAATACATCATTTGCTGAATCGAAGCAAATCAAGAACTTTCGCCAATATCGTACATCGTTGCTAGAGATATTTCCTTCAGAGTACAACCTTGCGATCCCATCTGAAGTAGATGTTTTGAATTGCAATTTTGCCTCATTACCGAAAAGTAGTCGTTTGAACATTATTCACTGTTTAGATCATGCCTGTATTGATATCTCACTTATGGCAATGTCGTTGAGTTGGTGGAGAAGAGAGGTGAAGTAAAATACAAGCATGGCCGGTGCGTACAGAGCCTTAAAGCTGCCACGCGATTTAACAGGGCCAGAGAACATCAACCTTAATTGCCCGAGCCATAAGTAGGGTACATCTTGCTATTGGTGGAAATGTGTGGCTTTAATGTTCACATACACATGTACCATCTTCCCTTCTATCACCATGCCGAGGCCTTTCTAGAGTTTCAAAGCCGATACATAAAGCGGCGAGGCAGAGCACACTGATGGCGCTTATGTAGAAGCTGAGATTGAACCATGCTGTCTATCGTGTAACACGAGATATGTGATTATAAGCTGTGATCATGAGCAATCTTATTGTTGCCCGCTGTGACTGTAAGCTAGACATTCAGCCAATTACCCTACTTGTTGATTTGACATTATTCTTATAGGATCTAGTACTATAAGCTCTGATTGAGTTGTCATGTTTACCGCTTCTGCCGATAAATCCTAAGGGTATTTCTCACATGCTCTTGACAGGACCAAAGGATTGAGATATGTTCTCTCATCAACCTTTTCACGTGTTGATAATTGAACACATCACATCTTCTCTTCTTCAGCAATGTTAATCACATCCAGTTTCTTACTTTTTAAGCCACACATTGACGCGGGTCACCTAACGCGCGCTCAATACACTTTTTCACGCCGAGTAGCCGATCACCGAGAAGAGAAGATAGCAAAGGGTTATACAAAAAATGTCCATGGGAATAACTAAAATGCTAGATTGACAATCATACGGCAGTCAGATATAAGATGGCAATACAAGCAAGAATTTCGACTTCTTTAGATATGAGTTTATCTCATTACTTGTTGATATCGCTAAAACCTATATATATATATCTTGTATGCTACTTAACATCAACCTTTGCATATATATCCTATCACACCTCTTTATATCACATCAATGAATGCTTATCATTGTCACCCTGCAAGCATGCAACGTTTAATGTTATTCTACCAATCTTCCTTGTGGCTTTTGTGATCTTAGCAGTGTGTGTTTATTTTAAGTTTTAAAATCTCTTCCCGATAATAGTTTAAATGCAGGTACGCGTGCATACACTACTCACACTTTGGCCCTTCCTCTCTGCCCGAGCACAACCACAAACTTGGTCACCGATCGGGCAACAACAAAGATGGATGGTCAGTCCAGCCCGCCCTGTTCCCGATTGTTGTTGTTTGCATCCCGAGTCAAGTTGAATTCATGTCTTTTTGCTCGGCGTCCTCACCTTAAGAAGAAGAACATCAAGTCCGTGCGTCTGAATGTCTTCAAACACTTTTATCCCGAGAACAAAATCTTGCTATACAAAAAGAGAAGTTGAACGTGATCATCATTGGGAGCATCTACTATTTAGTCACATACTTGTCTCCTGTTTTTCATTTCATCCTTGCATCTTACTTCCGCGTAAGAGGAACGAGCTAAGAAGACACAATTCTACGCTAAACACAAATGTCCAGACCATAAAATGTTAGAATCTAAAGATTGATCTGGCTCTTTGGTGTAAACCTCCCTACATACGTGCAGATCCGTTGTTATGAATGTGTGATTGAGGATGTGTGATTTGAAATGAATGGCGTATGTACACCGATAACAATCATCAGTTGTATCGGGCCGAAGAAGGGGGCAGGAGCCGTGGTGTATGCATTGACAATCCTAGGGATATCTATAGCAAAGCATGCAGGGTGACTAGTCAGTCAGTCTTAAACTGTCAAAATTATACTCCGCTTCACTTTGTTACTTTCGGTAGCGAAAAATGACAAACAAAGGGAACACACGGCCAATCAAGCAGTTCAACGGTAGATTGCATCATATACAGCAAAGCCCAGCAGCTGAGTACGCGCCGCCCGCCTCCCATAAAAATTGGGTGGATTGTTTGATTAAAGTGCTCCCGTGCGTGCATGCACTGATTAAAGCACAAAGGGATTTTCTCACTTGGAGAGAATGCAAGGCAGATCAACTCCTTTGTTCTTGTTCTTTTGTTGACCATGACTACTCTTTTTTTAGCGGAGAACGATTGTTTGGTAATTGTTCATTAAAAATGCATATATATGCAACGAATCAATCAATTTCCTTTTGTTCTTCAGTGAAAACACTTGATGGATTTCCAACTAATCCCCCTCTCATTAAGATCACGATCATATCGTTGAGAGACAGCGTGTGTGTGTGTATATGTCATCATGGCAACATCTTCTTATTCTTCACAAAAGCAATGGTCACCGCCAAAGCCATCTTATAATTCACCAAAGCCAGCGATGAAATCTTCATCAACAACCCCAAAACCACAATCAACAATTGACGATCAAATGTTCATTCGTGATGCATTTTTGCTAAATATGGAACGAATGCATAATTGGACGTTCAAAGATTCCCATTCAATCAAAGATCGTGAAATTCAAGATAAGTACTCGATCACATGTTCACCCAAAAGTCAAAACATTTCACTTTTTGAAGATGAACATAGAGATAGTTTCGATGTTTCATCTTCAAATGCAAGCCTATCAACGGAGCAAAGTGTGTTTGAAGGATGGGATGAATCAGACATGAGAGAAGAACACGATCGCACTCAACTCTCCCCCAAACAACACCTTTTAGCCAGCAAGAAATGGGCAAGCTCAACGGCCAAAGCGCTCTCCTCAAAAAAGCTGTTCAGTATGTCAAATAGGGTGATGAACGATATCTCTTCTTCCCTTTCTCATCGAAATGATAGCTTCTTTGAAGAGATCATGGAAGGTGCTCTATCGCCCACAATGAACAGATCTGATCGCTTTCCTTCTTCAGCATCGAGGACTTCGTTGGAGACATCTTCACACTATCAAAGTGCATGGGGATCGCTCGAGGAAAGAAGTATGATCGGTTTGGGATTGGAAGATTTACATGGATCACCTGCAAAGACGGAGAAGCCATTCCGTCAGACTGGATCCCCTTTGTCTTTCGATCCTTTCCGTCGTCCTCGCGCTCCATTTCCACAAGGACAAGGGGAAGTGCAACGACCAATCCCAAAGAAGGCAGCAATGCTATTGGGCACATACACAGATCAAAGTGCTGTAAGCCCACTTTCAAAATCACTTCAATCACCTACTCGATCACCTTGTCCTGATCGAATGAATGGGATAAGCGAAATGACACGTCCAAAGCCTGAAGTTCCACTCAAATCTCCAACTCGTCCACCTGTTCGTCCAAAGAGACCGACAGAGAGTGACATTTTTGCTGATATGGTCGATAAACCATTACCGCAACAGCAACAATTGCTCCCACAAAGACCACCTCGTCCAAATCGTCGTCGATTGCCAAAGCCGTTGCCTATTCCAACAACACCTTTGCCAGACGTTCCCGTCTCGCCAAACGATGATGATGTGGCTACGCCTATTGGCTGGGTGAATGACAGTGGCGGCAAGAGAGCAAATAATTATTCAGCTTACAACAAGTTTGAAGCTGAGCTCACGCATGTGGAAGGATCATTTAACCGTGACACAACGAAAGTCATCCTCGAAGTTGGTGGAATGCAATTCAATTCTACTTTTTCTACACTTTGTCCACATGATATACCTGTGAGACAATTCGGATTGGCTTCTTGGTTACGCAAAATTGGAGATGGATTGGAAGAGGATTCAGAGGAAACACGATCACACTCTTTCACTTCTTCTGATGAGGATGATCTCGGAACTGATCGCGGTGGTCTTTCAACGGTAGAGAACAGTCCTTCCGTTCGTACGCCAGGCCTATTCGAACATCCATACAATCCTTTGGACAAGAATAATGTACTGAGAAACAATCTTGCAAATTTACCAAAAAGTGTTTCAAACGAATCTCAACTTAGCTTTGTTTCCGTCGATGCAAAAAAGAGCTCTTCCATCTTCGCTTACGATACGGATGCAAACGCACCAAGGAACAGCTTTGGCATGGACTTTGTGCCGAGAAGAACGAGCAGCTGCAGCGATTTGCAAAGAATCTCAAATGGCCATAAGCAGACCGCCTCTTTCAACGATCAAATGCCCGCTTTGGTATTTACGCCTAAATCCAACAAATTCAAGCAAAAGCCTGTCTCAAAGCAAAGTTCTTCTTCTGTCTTGCACATTGTACTGGCAAACGATCGTAACCCTCTATGTTATCCGATTATTTTGCATCTTTTACAATTTGGCAAACTTCCAGCTTATTTTTCCACACAAACCGCACAAAATCGTTCTCTCCTTCGTTGCATTCGTCAAGAATGCTTTTGGTTAGGTTATATGCATTTAAGTCACCTTTGTACATAACATCTTCGTATTGCCCCAGCCTTTTCTTCTTCTTTCTAGTTTTATACCCCCATCCCTTTTATTACCCGTCTCCGTTCTTTACGAGCTTTTTTACTCTGTGTACCTCATACCGAAAATTGTATCATACTTTCTCCCGTTTTCTCGCACACCAGCAATCAATGATCTTGTATCCTTTTAAACCTTTGATTAGTATGAATTGCATGGCTAAGACAGACGCACGCGCGCCCCAGTGTAGTTACAGCAATTTCTGGGTGATGATATTATTGAGTACAAGCATGAGTGTTACTATTCACGAAGAAAGAAATTTTGACAGCAAGATTAGCGAAAAAAAGAATAAAAGATTAAATGGTAATATTCTATATATGTATTTATGTTCATTGTGATTTTCATCAATCAATAACCATTCCTGGCTCTTTTGGCCATTCGAGGATCGGCCATTGGTGAATTGGGATGTGAAGTATAATGCATTCGTTCATCCATCGGATGGCCAGGATAATACCCGCGTGAACCTGGTGGTGGCGGCGGCGGTCTTGGATCACTCATATAGCCTCCTTGAGCAGGTGGCGGAGGAGGTCCATTACGCATAGGTTCATCGCCATAGTACGGTGCAGGACCACCTGCTGAACCTGGACCAGAAACAACTCTTGCCGATTCCGGATAGCCAGGATGCTTTAAGTGATTAGGCGCAGGTGGCGGTCCCCCATGTGGAATCACATCTGGATGACTTGGACTTGGTCCAATAGAACGATCATACACTTCATGTGGTGGCATTCTTTGTTGACCTGCTCTTGAAGCTGAACGATGTGTTGCACTCTTTGCCGGTGATGGTGATCTACGTGGCATAGGATAAACCCTCGTCTCAGGCGAAAGAATTGGTGGTCCATTTGCAGGGCCATAGCCAGGAGGATAGCCACGTCCAGCGGGCGGTCCATCAATACCATTGCTTGGTCCCATCCTTGGATCAGGATAAGGTCGATATTCACCTGGAGGTCCACCATGCATGCCATCTCGCATCATCTCTTCACGAGGCGGTCCCCTTCCTGGTCCAGGTGGCAAATGCGGTTGAGCAACTGCACCTGGAGGAACTGAAGGATGTGGCGGACCATGCATCATTCCCACTCGTAAAGCGTTTTCCGTTTCATCTTGAACAGATTTTAGGTGTTGCACCCATTCTGCTAGTCTATCTGAATGTTTTTCCAATTCGATGATTCGATTGTTTTGCTCCACGATTTCTGCTCTTAAATCAGCCGTTTCATCTCGAATCACTTGTCTTAATGATGATCCAATTTCAGTCCAAATCTCATCACGTATTTGACGATGTAAGCTGTCCACTACTGCTGCTGGCATGCCATTTCTCGCATAAGGGTCATCATAGCCTGCCGGCTGTAAAGGAGAAGCAGAACGTCCTTTCACGTTGCTGCCAATAGCAGGATTGGGAGCCCTACTGATACTGGCTGCAACGTCTCGCAATTTAACGGATCTATTAGCTCCTCTTTGTCGGCTAGCTTCATCATTTGCAGCATATGTGGAACTATTTGCATTTCGTCCTTCAACCGGATCAAAGCTTGCACCAAACATAGGCGTTCTGGAACCTTGAACGATTGTGATTGCACGCTTTTGACGTTGTGTTCCGTAATAGCCGCTATGAATTCGCTGAAATTCGCCTACCAATGCCTGTTTACTCTTTGTAGTCTGTACACTTCTTTTTGCACACCATTCCAGCCATTCTTGATACAGTTCTGTAACCGATCGAGCCATATCATCTTCACTGGAAGTGTCCAAATTGTGCTTCTCGATCAATTCCAAGAATTTATCCACTTCCAATGGTGTCAGATCTTCTCCATCAGAGCTAGCTTCATTCTTGCTTGAACCGGCTTGCAACTTGCTTCCAGTAGTAGGCTGTGATGTCTTTTTGAATGTGGCTGACCTAGGACTATTGGCTGATCGCGCATTCTGTGCGCCAGGTGTGTTGTAGTAATATGGCACAGGTCCTCCGGTAGCCGTCCTTCCTGACATCTCTCGTGAAGAAGATGAAGATTGTGGTGCTCGAGCATCTGACGACTGAGCTACTTGCTCACGATTGGCCATTGTGGGAGATTGCCTTTTTGGTGGTGTATTCGCAGGACTTGATTTTGATGGAACTCTTCGATGATTTCCATTTCCTACTGTTTCGCCACCTTCTGCTTTATCTGGCTGCGATTTAGAAGATGCACCGTTCTGTGTGTCTGCATGTGATGTCGATGGACTTGACTTTTTGGATGTGCTTGCTCCATTCTTTGCTCTTCCTCTCGTACCTTTTGTCTTTGGTGCAACATCCGTCTTCTCCGTATCAGAATCAACCAGCTCATCTACATCTGATTCGGCTCCCATGGTCTCTGAATGAATGCCGTTGTCCGATCTCTGTTCACCGCCGGCAGCAGTGGCACTTCCGTTGGCTGGATTCTGTTGATCGCTTTCTACTTTTGATCTGCTTGAAGATGGCATAGGTGAAGAAGTGGAGGAGCCAACCATCATTTCAGGCTACTGACAAAAGTATCCCGTTTGTATGGTCAAGAGCAAAAGGTAGATAATCAATGCTGAGCAAAAAAGTGGCGCCAAGAATGAAAAAAAGATTGGTAATGGATCGATTGGCGTTCTCCGTTTACAAATTTTGCTTGATGTGGTTTGGTTGTCTCACCGGTCAAAAACGCCTTTGCTAGGACAAAAATAGCCTTTGGGCAAAAGCGTCCTTTAGAGATCGAGACAATGTCGTACTTTGGGTTGCAACTGCAATCTCGAAACGCTCGCCCTTTGGACGGCTTCACAGGCAAAGTTCGGGAAAAGAAGCTGTGTTTTATGCTGATCTGAGGGCAAATTTATATATTCTCTTTGCTGTGCCCACCGAAAGAGATTGAATGCGATTTGCTCAATATCGCAACTGGAATAGCATATATGCACTCGAAATTGATTGAGGTTGGTACCTTGACTATCTCGCAAGTGCCAGTTCTTCGCCAAGATATCTGCCTGTAAATTTGCCAAGATTCAATTACGCCTTCAGTTTCGCTCAGTCAAGGAAATTGACCTCCTTTATGACAAGATCAAATTCCAATCCAACAATCAATCGGAGCTGCTTAGGAGTGTTAAATGATGTGGCGGATACCTTTTTTGTCAAGATAGCCCAGCAAGAAAAAAGAAGGGCCGATCGAGCGTACGTACGCCAAGTAGCGATGGATAAAGTGGAAAACTTGGCGGTGGCGGCGAAAAAGAAAGGCTTGGTAATGAAACGTCGGTACCTTTTTCTGTGTTAAAAGAGGACGAATCGATCGAGTAATGAGACAGAGAGGCGCAATAATTTGCCCGCTTTTTATGCTGGCTTTTTTGTAAATTTCCCAGCAATGAAATGAACAATATTTTTTGAACTTTTCGGCCAACCGCAAATTTGCCCAATGCTCCAAAACGATCGGGGAAAGTTATTAAGCCGACTTTTGTATTCGCGACCAACGCCCTCTTCTTTTGATTAATAATCTGGTACGTTCAATGAGCGTTTCGGTTCCGTTGAAATGAGAAGAAGATCAGCGATGTGAAGCGGCCAAAAGGGAAAGAAGGTGATGAATGCACCTTGACCAGTCAACTGCTGATGAAGAGAAGATGAAGTGAGAGACGGTGATGAAATTTAGGAAGTGATGGTAGTTATTCAGGTCCAGAACATATGCAGATCATATCCTTCCTAAGTTTAGAAGTGGAAAAAGTATGCATGAATGTGTGCGCTGCGCTGTGCTGCTACTGTTCTTCGTGTGGAATGATGCACATGCGTACTTTCTCATGCATGGCCTAAACTATTGCATTTGCAAACATACATAGTCCGGGAAAGGGATTTTCTGCAAATCAACTCCTTATGTGTATTTTTATCATCTCTCTTTAGAAAACAAGTCTTGTTCGCCCTTACGCCTCTTTTGATTCACCGGCGGGTTTGATTAACAACAAAAAGTGGCGCCAGGTTATCCCAAGAAGATCCTAACGCGCAGTGCATTGCTTGCTGTCTCTTTTTCCAAATGCGCTACGCCTCTCTTTCTTCTCGCGCCGCCGAATGCAGTGTTGCCATGTCGGGACACACAGAGAGAGGAGAGAAAACGACGAATGAGCCCTTTTCTGGCGGCTGATAACGAATATGTACTTTGCCCTTTCTTCATTTTCGCACGAGTCCATCTTTAGCTTAGGACCGGGCATTTGATTCAATTAATCAAGAATAATATCCGATTCAATCCCACACAAGCAATACGGTCATTGTCATTTAGCGTACAAATGGCTTGCCTTACATTAGTCTATGGATGTCATTCTACTTTTTGCTCAATTCGATCTGAATAGGTAACGGATCAAATTCACACTCCGCTAAAAAGTTCATCTTTAGCTAAACACAATCGGTGCATAGCATATTTTTTTGGGTTTAGCCCTTTTTGATCAAGCCGATTGCAATTCTTTAGCTTGCTTTTGTTTTCTTTTCCCTCGCTCATTAGCTATCTAAGGTAAAATGTGTGCAACCCTTTAGATCCTTTTAGCGTTTTCATCATTCGTTGCTGCAATGCGCTGCGCCCTTTTGTTGTTTAATTTGGTGCAAGCTAAAAATTATGATTGCATTAGCCGATTTTTGCATTTGTACGCTAACAAAAGCCAAAGCAGTTGAACTCTGAGACAAAAAAAGGCAAACACTAAACAAAGAAAGGCCCGAATCAATTGTACGTATCATTCATTCATTCTCAGCGACTCATTCGCTCGTCATCCTCTCAAATGCAACCAACGCGTCCGACCGGTTCGGCGTCATGAGAGCCGAGAATGACAATGATTGTTCCACTATATTGGAAATCCATTCACATATTTATAATCATGTATGACAATGTTATGAAGATCCAACATGATACCTATCCACTTCAATTTACTAAGCGAGGCTGATTTTAGCCTATTCTATATACACCAAGTAGAGCACGTTGGCATCCTTCCCTCGTGCCTGAGCAACCGGGCGCAATAGAAATGTATGTACTCGCGCGAAAAGATAAGCTAAAAAATCACTTATTCATAGAAACGGAATTCCATTCAAAAGCAAGCTCAAACCACATCACGCGCGCTTGGCCCAATAAAGGAACAAAAGAAAGGGAGAATCTTTTTCTCTCTTGCATGTGCAACTCTTTTTCATTCTTCTTTGTGGGACACACCAAATGCAAGAAGCGGTAATGGAATACCGATGCATAGCCTATCTTCTTTCAGTTTGCCGACCGGATAAATGGGAGGACGGGTCATATGATCTTCATTGCGCCGACAATTAAATAAACAAACAAAAGGTTTATTTTTTTCCCACTTTGCATCAAAGTGACTGTCATCTGCTTGCATATATTAGTTAATTTAATTATATGAGGAAACTCTCCTGGTGGTACATAAGCATTTTATGCGGTCCGCGGACACTTCTTTGATCTGCTGCTACTCAACTCCGCTCCCGGTTTTTCTTCTTCTTTTCTTTCTCGGGCTGTGGTGACCTTCTTGGTGAGAGAGTAGCGCCAGGAATGTAGAGTGTTTCGTGTTGAACTGCCTTAAAAGAACGGAAATGTACAATCCAAAAGCGCTGTCGGTACGCGCACATACGCACGTACATACGCGCGTTTGTGCAGCAAGCATTACGCGCTGCGTGTTTTCTGTCTTGTCAGTGTTAAAGTGTTGTTGTTAAAGGGAAAAAGAGAGCTTATTTCTCAATAGAAAGAACTTTTGAAAATGTTCGGCAAAACATCTGTTTAAAAGCAATTTAAAAGGTAGTTGTTGTACTTCAACACGCCAAGCCAACGGTTAGACGGGTCTGCGGAGGGAGAGCAACAAAAAACAAGCACTTTAACTGTATCCTTACACTTACAAGGACTTCTTTCACTTGAGTGTAATCGAATGTGTTGAATCAATTTGATCTTCTAATGACATCTTCCATCGATACCATCTCTCAACAATTCTCACACGCTTTAGGGTAACAGCGCTTGTTTGATATTAGTGGATGACAAGTTGAATTTGGTGGGGAGGAAGCACGCGAGATAGTTGACCTTACAACACTTTCCTCGATTCTCATCAACAATGCTGAGACGCAATAAGAAACGCGATGACAACAATGGTCAAGATATCATGCCAACCAGTCCAGGTTTGCCGCCTTACATGCGAACTGAAAGTCCCGCTTTGACTGATTCAAATTACGGCAGCAGTCCAAGCGGATCAAATTCACTTTACATGCAAGGTTCTGCGCCCAATTCATCTTCCTCTAATCTGACATCTGGAAGATCGCAACAACAACAACAACAACAAACACAGCCACAACAGTATGCACCTCATCATCACCACAATCCTCAACAGAGACCAATAGCACCAGAAGTAGCTTCATATCCGGCAATGAGAGGAAATCCAGCATATCATCCCAATATGAGCAATGCTCAGAATCGTTCCATACCAGCAAGTGCTAGTATTGATGCTATGGGACCGCCGCCTCAGCCAGGATATCATCATCAAACGAACAATAGTCAGTCATCTTCTGGTAATGCTGTTAGCACGCCAATGGGGAGAAGTCAGTCTGCATTTAATTTCATCATCTCAAAAGCAAAAGGCACCTTCTCTAGCGGATCAAATCAGCACCCTCAACATCAACAAGCCTCTCATCCTATGTCCAACCCGGCAATGAATGCATCTTCGTCGTTGAACTCGATATACTCGGCCGGTGGAAGTGCTCAGCCTCAAGTCGAAGAACAAAGTCGACTGGACACTTCTCGAACGCGAAATCGTGCTGCCTCAAGCTCTAGTAGCATGTATACTCCTATTCCTCCGCCAGTGGATCGTACTTCAGCTGATATCAACACTGGTGGAAGGTACGGCACTACTTCTCGACCTAGCTTTGGCGATGAGTATGCGATGCCGGCTTCCTCACCAACAAAGAAGTCCATCTTTGGTAGAGAACGCAAGGCGTCCAATAATTCCATCAATCGACCTGATCGTGGTAATTTGTTTGCAGCAGGTGCAAGACAGGCATTTACTCATTCACCTCTGAGCAGAAGACAGGATCCTCAACCCACCACTAATTCCTCCAATACGGTCTTTTCGCCTTTCAGTAAAAGTCAATCGGATTTGCACAGCAAACAGGATTTCCCTTCGCCTGCTTCTGGAACAGTGGAATTACCTACAGTTGTCTCGCATCCTGCTCAGAATAGAGCCAATGCTCAAAATCCTTATAATGCAGGCGATGTCAATCTACTACGATCACCCAGTCCAAACGTTGCATTCTCGCGAAGTGTGGACGATTTGAGCAGAGGTCATACACCACCACCACCGATCTCGCCAACGGCTTTTACCAGTCATGGCACGCCTGCAGTGGACAATGATCAGAATTACACTCAAGGTGAATCTACTTGGGGAGAACATGGAGTGGCTGCCAGCGCCTCCGATCGGGTAAGAGCTAGCGATGTAGGAACATTGAAGCAAGAGAAGCGAAGGGGAGGACAGAATGTAGGAATGGGTTTGTCCAATGTACCTTTGGCACCTTCAATTTCTGCTTCTAGCTCGATGAATCTGGCGGGATGGCCAAATGCAGGTCCTACACAAACAGGAACGAGATATGAATCATCTAGACATCAGCGGAAATCGTCCAAAACGATGGGAAACGTGCAAACTGCAAGACCTCAAGCGAATCTACAGCGACCGGCTTTTGCTCCTGGTACCCAATATGATGGCTTGCTCAACCGGAATACACAAATCTCCATGTCTGTCAATCAATTGAGTGAAGGTGGTGGAGGTCTGCGTGGAGGAGTTCGAGAGAAGGATATCAGCAAAGGCTGGAAACCATATAGGGTCACATTACAAGATGGCAAATTGTTCTTTTTCAAACCGCAAAGTTCAATTGCCGATGATGTAAAAGCTTTGTTTCCATCTTCAATCGTTGCAGAAACGTATGAATCTCAAGAGAACTCATCGAGAGGCGCTCTTCCAGAGACAAGTCGCGAAACACCGCTAAATGCAGATGGTTTACATGGCCTAAGTGTTGATGACATTCAACGGAATAAGTTGGGCACAAAGGATCTCTTGGTTGCTACTTCTGGAAGTGGTAATTCTAACGATCAGCCAGCAAGACCGATGCCACGCAGAAATGCAACGAACGAAAGCAGATTGAGCGCAATTTTGGATGCTGTCGAACCGGATCCCACCACACCTACCTCTGCGTCATGGGAGCGAAAAGGACGTCATGAGAATCTTGTTTTGACTTCGACACGCGAAATACCTGCAACTTGGGCTGAACGGATTTCAGGTGGATCAGTTGATGCTTTGAGTCATGAATACGTATTTGCAAGTCAGGCGAACGGCGTGACAACAGCACAAGAAAACGGAGTGTTTTTGTTTGCGATTTTAATCACCCTTCGAAGAACTTCTAGACCTCTTCAAGGATTCTTGGTGGCTGTACACAAATGGGCAACAGCTGTTACGAGAGGCACATCCGCTGAAGGTGATGATGCTCGTTCTGCAAAAGAAGAACTGGAGAAGAACATTCATTCGAGATTGTCATTCTTGGTGGATGCTGGTATTGCACAATTTGCCGACGAACAGGCTCGATCGTCCGTTTTACTCATGCTGGAAGATATCGTTCGGGATATAGTGATGTTTGGCGAGGGTGAAGATGCAATCAATTCTCGCATTACCAACCTCAGACAAGCAGTAGAGGCTGTTGAAGCACCACGAAGGTCTGTAGGAGACATTTCATCCAACGACATACCAGCATTAACAACCTCAACACTACTCAAAATGGACCCGAGCGAGCTTGGGCGTCAGATCCACGCTTTCTATATCGACCACTTATCCAAAGATCTACTCGCTGACAGATTGGTACTTCCAGTTGCAGGCGCTTCAGACAACCAATTCACTGTTTCGAATTTGCTTTCGTTCGATCCTACTCATCCTCACTTCCTCACATCGCTCGTGCTGGAACACGTATTAGGAAGTGAAAAGGAAGATCAACACGAGCGAAATCTTTTGCAAGAGGCGAAAGAGCGTGCAGCCTTGTTGCGACATTGGATTGCAGCTGCTTCATACTTGATCAAATTGCAGAATATGTCTGCTTGGGTTGCCATTTGTGCTGCTCTTTGTTCTAGAGCAGTTTCTCGATTGACTCTCACATGGAGATTTGTTGCAGCAACGGATCGAATGTTGGTAAGCAGCGCATGGGCTCCTGCTTTGGTCAATTTGGGTTGGTCAGAAATACTGGATTCTCAAATCGATTCAATGATCGAAGCAACTCCTTCTGTCAAATCCTCGATGAGTGGTCATCAGAATGCCAACCCATTGTATGGCTTTTTACCATACCTTGGAAACGCTTTATCTCGCTTTCAAACTTCCCCTCCAGCCGAAACAACATCTGGCGTGATGCCAATAAGCGATTTTAGAAAGATTGCAGCGCATTTGTGGAGTGTTCAAGAAGTATGGCAATCGTTCGGCACTTCCTCAAAAGATGTCAACTTGCGACCTGTTCAGGTAAAAGACGACAACATCCAAAAAGTCCTTTTGAGACTTTCTCAAAGTGCAAAATCTCACAAGACAGTGGACCATAATGCACCACTTCGTCTCTCACTAAAGCTTGAGCCGGCATGGTTGGGTGATGAGGCTACTCCAGGCTGGCATCCTGCTCTGTCCAAGACTACATCCGCTTGTGCACTTTCTCCTCTTTCGTTCAGAGAGCCTTTACCTAATCTATCCTTAGTGGACCCTACTTGGATCGTCAATACGATCAAGAGAGAATCAAAAGATCCTCTGTCAAGAACACTGCTCAATGCAAACGTGAATGACTCACCAGATCTGGACGGGGAAAGTACCATCACCATGCGAAGCAGACAGAGACCAACACTTTCTGCTTCACCATTGACCCGCTCGAAAGCATTTGGCGCAATGACTGGTGCTTCTATTCGACCTTTGCATGGTGTTCCGTTTGCCAATATCATCGAATGGACACCCGGTTATCAAGCTGGTTCTGGAACGGAAGAGCTAATCATGCGTGTAGGATCTGATCTAGTCTTCAACGTATTGAACGAGGTACCATCTAGCATCCCCTCATCTCCATTGACAAGCAAAAGATTTTCACAAGAATTCACACGAGGATCACGTCCCGTTTCTATTGCCTCAAAACGCTCCAGTCTTCCTCCATCAGAACGCAACTCATTGGTGGATCCAATCGCTGCGCCACTACAAGTTGTCGTCAAAGCAGCAACGTTGGAACGATTGGTGGACATTTTGGTGATGGATGTCCAGCATCTTTCGGCAAGTTTGGCATCTGATGAAGTTTTGGAAAAAGTCATCTTGGCAAACAAACGATCAAGAATTTCTATCGATATTGGTAATTACCGTAAAGTGTTTTTGGCCACTTTCCGTGTGCATTGCAAACCGATCGTCTTGTTTGACTATTTGCGAAAGAGACTCTTGGCAGCTGTCAACGCAGGTGCAGAAATGGCTTTGCCTTTACCTCATCGACCTAATTACCCAACCTGGTCTAGAGTTGAAGCAGTCAATTCACCTACCCAGCAAGTTGACTGGGATATGGTTTCACGAATCCGTCAAGGTGTCACATCTGTGCTATCACAATGGATCAATACCTACCCGCAAGACTTTGTTGAGGATCCTCAACTGTTTGAATCAGTCGATGCACTTTCGAAAGAGGTGGCATCTGCTCACGAAAAGCAAAGCACGCAAGATGAAGGCGATCATGTCAAGCTTCAAATTGCCCTGAAAGATATCATGCGTCAGATGCGCTTATCTTCGATGACTTCTCAAACGGAAAAGAAGACAGCAAAACGATCAAGCAAGCGTGTCTCAAACAAAGGAACTTCCAGCGCCACAAACACACCACGCCTTGATGAGAGCGCAAAAACGGAAAGATCAGCGGAGTTCGATATCGACCAATCAAGCGCTCATGATTTGGTGGAGTATCTTGAATCGGTCATCAAGGTATTTTTCGAAAAGATTGAAGAACGTGATTTGCTAGTCGTGTATGATTCATTCTATCGACAATCACACGATCCTCTGACCTGGCACGTATCCTCTTCGCAACAAGGAGCACAACATAATGCCGATGAACTCCCTCCCGTTAACAACATGTACAAATTGTTGGAATTGGCAAGATGGCCTCCACGCGATTCACAATCGGTGTATCATCGTTTGCCTGCTTCTATCCGAGATGCATGTGCTTCACAAAATCTGTTGCGGGGATGGTGTGCCGTACATGTAATCGAACCTAGAATCGGACTTTTCAAAAGACAAGAACGCATCACAAAATTGATTGACGCCGTTTGGATTTGCCGAGCACGTATGTGCAATAGTCGAATGGAAGAAATGTCTTCTTCTCCGCTCAGTCCTGCATTCGTTTATCAAGAACCGACGATTGCCTCTTTTGTAGAAAGTGTTTTGGTTGGTGCGCTCACTTCATCAGAAAGTCGATTGTTTATTCGTGCATGGCAACAAGTAGCTGTAGAACGTAGCGGTAATTGCGATTCGTTGGCAAGTCTGGTTCCTCCAAGAGAGATTGCAGACAAGTACCGCGAATCATCTCAATTGAGCAGTACTTTGGACATTGGATGGCTTCTCAAGTCAATGGCACAGGCTGTATTGCGCGTTTCTGATGTGAACCAGGAAGAGAGCACTCTAATCGATTTCGAGAAACAAAGGACGATTTGGACGTTAATCGAATCATCTGCTGGAAGGGTGAAATCTGGCATGATTGATCACAGCCTGGTTGACTTAGCAGGAGCAAGATTGAGCGTCATTCAGGCCACTTTGAGACGTGTCCAATGGGACAGACGTGCTTTCAAGGAAGATAATGCAGCAGAATCTGCCAGCATATCACCCGTTCCAGAAAGTCTTCGAATTATGCGTGGAACTCGACCTCTCACAGGATTGATGAACGTTCAACAAGATAAATTGAAACGTGATCGACTCGCCTTCGATATCTTGTCTATACAACTAGAACAGGCCAATCAGAGAAATGCAGCACACAGAGCTTTGCAATCTGGCAACTCTGGCTTTGGACGTCAACCTCTTCAATCTAACAATACCCACAATTCACCCAATTTTGGCCCAAGTTTGGTACCCAATCCAGCAAGCGCAAGTGAAAAGAAGACTCGAAGGATGACTGCTCTCTTCCGTGGTGCGGTCAGACCGATAGGTTTGATGTCCACAAGTGGCAATGAACGTTCAACCACGCAAGAGATGCCAACGAGGCCATTTGCTGAACTCCTACCCGCGATTCCTACTCAAAAGCCATCATCAACAGTATTTTGTGGTTCAGGTCGAATTAGTATTTGGCGTAACGGACAACGTAGCTTTGTGATGAACTTTTCGCCTCCGGAAGGTGGACATATTTTATTGCAAGCACACAATGCTGCGGAATTGCAAGGATGGTGCACGGCAATCGAGAGAGCAAGTAAAGAATTTGCGTCTTCTATGATGAACGCACCACAAAGGCAAAACACAGGTGGCTCAACACCGAAAAGTAGCAAGGGTCCCGCTTTCCCTCTGTATGGTACGGATCTGAAACTTCTGGCAGAAAGTGAAGGTCAATCTGTTCCTCTTGCATTGTCAAGAATGATGGAGCAAGTAGAAAAGAGAGGATTGCGCGAACAAGGTATCTATCGTATCTCTGGTGCTAAAAGTGCAATTGAAGCATTAAAGGTGGCTTTCAATACCCAGCCTGCTCAAAGTGTCAATCTTGTTCATGGCGAAACGAGCGATGTTCATACTATTGCAGGAGCGATCAAACAATGGTTCAGAGATCTTCCTGAACCGGTTATTCCGTTCAAATCATACCATGCTTTGATCAGTGCAGAAAGGTTGGAGAATGAAGAGGAACGACTCTATGCAATTCGTGATATCATTTGGGATTTCCCACGTGCCCATTTCGAATTGTTAAAAAGAGTCAGTGAGCATTTGAGTCTCGTTTGTCAAGAAGGTCAATACAATTTGATGGCACCTCATAACATCGGCTTGGTGTTTGGAACATCACTTCTCAATCCACCACCCGGTCCTGCCTCAGTTGCGGAAAGCTTTGGTAATATCGGAAAAGCCGCTCATATTGTCAAGATTTTGGTGACTATGCATGAATGGTTGTTCGAGCCAGAGCAGGAAGCTGAAGCGGAAGTGCCAGTCGAATCGCCATCTGAAGATCAACCTCCTTCAATAAAGCAAGAAGAGAAAGAGGTGGATACCGCAGATACCGATCTCGAGAAGAACTTCAAAGGAGACACGGGTCGTGTTGCAAATGAACATCTTGATTCTCAAACACACGAGTTAATTGTAGATTCACACCATGGTGCAGAAGAAGAGTTAGCAGTTACACAAGACCATGCCGACATGCAGGATACATCATTTGAAGCCGTTGATGAAGAAGTTGAAGAGTTGGGAGAAAGTGAAATTGCACGTTCACAATGGATACACAATCCACTCGTCACAGTGACTGATGGTACAGTTGATAGTCATACTTCTGATTCTTCTATCATGCGTGCTGTCTTGGGTGTCAATTCATCCACTTCTATGCCAAAAGTATCGACAGGAAGTGATTCAACAGATACGGTGATGCAAAAACAACCCAAAGAACAGTCCGCGTCGTTGGCTGCCATCCCAACGGTTGAGGTGGATGAACCCAAAAGCCAAGATATGTCAAGAACTAATTCATCAAACCAACAAGAATTCTTGGACGTTCAAGAAGATTTAACAAGTCAATCAACTGCACGACAACATACCCGATCTACCTCTAACAATGTTGGCAGGGATAGAGTTGTTGAATCTGTTTATCTAGATGCAACGGATGCGATTGCAGTCTTACAAAATCCATTTGAAGAAGAAGAGGAGGAAGGAGGAGAAGCTAAATTGAGCGATGATTGAATGATTATTTAATACTTATTATTTTGTGCTCTCAATGATACCACTATATGCTACTTCACTCTTATCCACATTGTACTGTATTCATTCACATTTGCTCCAATTTTATGACTTGCAATCATAAGCAGCTGCTTTGTTATGATCACCGCGTACACAGATACACGCGTTTAGATTATAGTTTTGCCGCGTAATTGCATGAATAGGGTTTGCAGATCGTTGAGTGACCAAACACTGATTGTGTTCCAGAATGAATTTGTTTCATTACACACTAAAAAATGAAAAGAGGCGGATCCATTATTCATATGATGCACATCCCGTTCAACTTAAGGCACAAAATGAGTGCATGCAACAATCCTATCACGTAAAGGTAATGATGATGTTGTTCATTCTTTACCATATCCTACCGATAATTGTTGGGCAAGAGTACCTCAAATAGCGACAAAGTATTACATTCTGGACTAACGAATCCGCTCATCCGAACATCAGATATGATCATCCCATATGAATGAACTTGGTCAGAGATAAAAACGTTTGCAGTAGCATTGGAAGCAAGCGGCATTCTCCAGAACATCAATCATTGCCTGGAAGATGAGTGCCCTCGATGATCCAGGAGGAAGTAGCAGCAACGTCCCTCAAAATAATCCAGTTCCCGCAGTTAATGGTCAAACCGAGGAACAAGCTCCCGAGATTGCCGTTGTTCAGAATAAGAACGACTTGGATGCTCGTACCGATGATGCAAAAGATGTTACTCCAGCCACTGGTCCCGAACAGCCACTGAATGGCGTAAAAGAGAAGAAGAAAAGAAGGCGGCTGGACGATCTAGGGTTTTCCAGTCCAGGTCCAGCTTTCTTGACGAGCGCATCGATAAGCAGTGATGGCGGTGGAACAGAGAGTGAAAGTGATACCAACCGAACTCGACCAAGGCGACAATCACGTTTATCCACTCACGTCATCAATGGAAGTGCGCTAAATGGCCATCAACAGAATTCTCGATCGATTTCGCCTGCGCCGAATGGATCACAGCAGCATCACACGACAGTCGAGCCTCCAAAGCAGAAGACTACGTCGAAGCCGTCAATCTTTCGTAACTTTACGCCGAAAGCATCTTCTGTCCAACAAAGTTCACCTTCGACGAGCAAAGTGAATGGAAAAGGAAAAGGTGTAGATCGATCTGTAGGCGAAGTAAGCCGACCAGTGAATGGAAAGAGAGAATCGACAATCACTTCAACTGTACATCACGACTCGCAGGCCGGATCATCTCGAAAGGATCGATTGTTGGATGAGAGACGTAAACAGATGGATAAGGTATACAAGGATCACGATATGCTCGTTCGAGAGCTATTCCACCTTCACAAATTCGTTACTTTGTTCGGTTTTGATCCAGAGGTGAGTAGTTTTGATGGAGAGAAGCGTTGGCATTGGACAGAGATGGGAGAAGAGAAGAACAGATGACAGTTTAGACAAACATTCGGAAAGCTTCTTGCGCGTGAGAATAACTTCCGAGCGGTCACGCACGGATCCTGCGCATAATGGGGGGGTACAGAGCATGTCAACTTGTTCATATTAATCAGGCGCTGCTTTTCTCGGCTGATTGAGGGGAAGGGAAAATACTGTCCGTGCAAGTGGTGTGCTGAGTAGGATATGAATCTGACTCAATTTTCGGCCCTTTCTTTTTCTCTCCCCTATCATCATTACATCCAACTACAATCGACTCAATGCGAATCTTTATCAGGTTGCCCTGCAAGATCGTAGTGACGTGTTTGAGCGTTTCCGAATGGATTACGATTTGGCAACTCAATTGAGTGGAACAAAAGGAGGTAGAACGACAAGACGAATCGTAAGTGCAAGAAGAGGTGACCTTTCTTTGCCTATCGAACAAAAACAAAAGAATACTTTACCTTCCACATCTGTACAACAACAATCTCAAAATGGTAAATATAGCAATGGACAAAAACGTGGCAGGCTACGGACATCATCCATTAATAGTAGCTCAGATGGGGCTGGTAGTGATGCAAATGGAAAAGCACGAGGAAAGGAAGATGTACCTTCCAAAAAGCGAGCAAAGAAGATCATTTTACGAAGATCAAAAGATCCAGCTGTGTCATCAGATGGAGAAAGCGACACTTTGCTCGAACCGGACACAGGAACAACAAAGAAGAGGAAGTCCAAATTCATCTACCTTCCGAGACCGCCTGTGGAAGTAGAGCGTATCGATGGAATCCCACGCATTCGTGTCCTACAACCTGCCAATCTTCCACCCAAAGCCCGATTCGATCAGTCTCTCTCATCGTATCTTTCCTCCTGGTACACTTCTGGCGACATAGTTGGCTCAACTGGAGAGTGGCAAGAACTCTCACAAGCAGAATTGATCCAACGTGATGAACGTGAAGCTGCACTGTATTCACGCATCGATGAATTGCGTAGTGAAGGCCTTTTGCAAAGTCGAGAAGAAGCTCTCAAGAGGAGTCATCAAAATCGAGCACGAGAGGCAATTCGCACGAACAATTATTGGGATTCTATCCTGTCACAGATAGGACAGCGACAACATCAGCAAAGGGTTGAACTACGGAACAAGATTCAAATGGCAAAACGAGTTGCACGTATGGTTCAAACGTATTGGGACGAAAAGCTTGGTCGAGGTGAAAAGCAAAGAAAGATTGAAGAGAGAAGGGTACGTGCTCTGGCCAAATGGACAGTACGAGAAGTGCGCAAACAATGGAAACTTGCAGTGAATGTGATTCGAGCTCAACGAAATGCAAAGGAAAAGCAAGAGAAAGATCGTGCTGGTCGAGAGCAACTTCGTACAATTCTTGAACAAAGCAGTCAAATGCTTGGCAAACAGCAGAAAGCGTTGCTTGAAATGGAAGCACAAATGAGCGAAAGTGAAGAAAGCAGTCTCGACATCAGCGAGGAAGAAAGTGATGAAGAAGACGAGGCAGAAGACTCTTCGGGTTCCGGTACTGAAAGTGGGCCAGAATCTGAAGAATCAGAGATCGAAAACAACACTGCCCGGGACGACACCTTGGCTGCGCTTTTGGCGCATGAAGAAGATGACGTATCTGATGAGTTGGAGGAAGAGTCAGACTTTGACATTACGGAGGCATCGAGTGGGCCCGAAAACGTCGAAGATGACGACGAAAGCGAAGAGCAGGAAGAGCAGGAAGAGTATGGCAGTCTTTCACAGCTTCTACAACCTGGCACACCGGATGATGATGAATCGATCGAAGAAGTGAATGGTGCTCATGCGAAGATCAAGGAGATTTCTGTAGAACCTGTTGATTTTGAAGCTGAAAATGAGCTGAAGCCAGTCAAGACAACTCGTATAAGCAAATCAGATGCAAGCCCATCATCTGACGTCAATGGCTCCCACACTTCCCCAGAGGTAATTGCTGCAGGTGATGCTTCTGACAATGCTGACACTTCCGATGAAGACGCCGAGCTTGAACGAAAAATGTGGGAGGAAGACGAATCTGAATCGGATGAAGCGAATTCGGATGCTGAAATGCCCGTTGAGGAGTTGATGAAGAAGTACGGATACGGCAAGGAGAACAAGACCGCTGAGATTGATACAAAGGCGGAATCAGAACTTCCCGATACGTCAGACGAAGACGCTGATCTCGAGCGGAAGATGTGGGAAGAGGATGAATCTGAGTCGGACGATGACCAGGCAAATTCAGATGCTGAAATGTCCATTGAGGATTTGAAAAAGAAATACGGATATGGAGCAGAAAGCAAGACAAAGCCCGACGATGCAAAGCCCGATGTTGATTTGGAGTCAGCCTCTCAACAAGAATCTGATGACAGCGATGTGTCAATGGGAGAGCAGTCCGATGCAGGAGAGAAAGAGCCGGCTTCCGAAATAGAGACAATCGGAAGTGCAACTCCAAACGAAGACCGCACCTCTGTCAAGATCAAACCGCCCTTCTTGCTACGTGGAAATCTGCGTCCTTATCAACAAATCGGCTTCGAATGGCTTGTCAACCTGTACAACAGTGGCAGCAATGGTATTCTGGCAGATGAGATGGGTCTTGGTAAAACCATTCAGACCATCTCGCTTCTCGGTCACTTGGCATGTGACAAAGGTATCTGGGGTCCTCATCTTGTCGTTGCTCCAACCAGTGTGATGTTGAATTGGGAAGTGGAGTTCAAGAAGTTTCTCCCAGGATTCAAGATCTTGAGTTATTATGGCTCTCAACGTGAGCGGAAAGAGAAGCGCAAAGGGTGGAATTCCGATAATAGCTTCAATGTCTGCATCACCAGCTATCAGCTTATTCTTGCAGATCAACACATCCTGCGCCGTAAAGCTTGGCAATACCTCGTCTTAGATGAGGCACATCATATCAAAAACTTCCGCTCCCAGAGATGGCAAACGTTGCTCGGCTTCAATTCACAGAGAAGGCTTCTATTAACGGGAACGCCTTTACAGAACAACTTGATGGATCTTTGGAGTTTGATGTACTTCCTTATGCCCAACGGCATCAATTCAGCTGATGGTATGGTAAACACAGGGTTTTCTAGCATGAAAGATTTCCAACAATGGTTCAGTAATCCGTTGAACAGAGCAGTAGAGAGTGCAGGCGTAGGAGCGGTAAGCGAAGAGATGGATGCCGAGACGAGAGGAATGGTGTCAAAATTGCACGTTCTTTTGCGTCCTTACCTTTTGCGAAGACTGAAAAGTGAAGTGGAACGTGAAATGCCAGCGAAGTACGAGCATGTGATCAAATGCCGTCTATCCAAACGTCAACAGTTCCTATACAACGATTTCATGAGTCGTGCCAAGACAAGGGAAAGCCTGGCTAGCGGAAATTATCTCAGCATTATCAATTGTTTGATGCAACTTCGTAAAGTTTGCAATCATCCAGACTTATTCGAACAAAGACCGATCGTGACAAGTTTTGCAATGAACCGTAGTGCTGTTGCCGACTACGAAATCAAAGAGTTGCTCGTTCGACGAAATCTTCTGAGTGATCCTGAACACGATCGCGAGTCTGTGAATCTGGATGTGATCAACATGCATTTCAACGATCCTTCTCGTTCTCATCTGACTCCCATCACCAGCAGGTCGCTGAAAAAGTTGGATGCCAGTGATCATCTGCTACATGCAAAGACCCAAATTCCTCCCTCTGAGCCGATCGACACATGGACGATAGAAGGATATACCAATTCGATGAAAAAGAGACAGCAAAATGAATTGGCATCCAAATGGCAACACATCGGATATCTGAATCGATTGCGATGTGAAGCATCACCACCACGCCATTTCGATGATGATACGATTCAATTGCTCAAACGCTTTGGCAATGAAGATCGCCTTGCGCCTTTCTCGCTTGTCAAAGATAGTCGTAGAGGTCACCTCACTCGATGCGATCCGGTACACAAAATGATCTACAGCAATGAAGATCGACGGGAAGCGGTGCAAGGATTCATCGATCGATTCGCATTTGTCACGCCTAAAGCCGTCTCGACTGATATGCCCAAATGGGCTTTGCCTGGATTCGATTATTCAACCATTCCTGCTCCAGCACAAGATGTATCGTTTGATACGTTGCATAAATCAGCAGTGAAACTACAAATAGCATTCCCGGATGCGTCACTGTTGCAATATGATTGCGGGAAGATGCAAGAATTGGCCAAATTGATGGACAAATGCAAGTATGGCTCACATCGAATCTTGATTTTCACTCAAATGACAAAAGTCTTGGATATCTTGGAGATATGGCTCAACTTTAACGGATTCAACTATCTTCGATTGGACGGACAGACAAAAGTGGAGGATCGTCAGTCTCTCACTGAAAAGTTCAATCGTGATGATCGCATCAAAGCATTCATCTTAAGCACTCGATCAGGTGGTTTGGGTATCAACTTGACTGGGGCCGACTACGTGTTATTCTTCGATATCGATTGGAACTTCCAAATCGAAGCACAATGCATGGACAGAGCTCATCGTATCGGACAAACGAGAGATGTTCATATCTATCGCTTTGTGAGCGAGCATACGATTGAAGAAAATATGCTGAAGAAGTCCCAAGAAAAGAGACTGCTTGATGCAATGGTCATTCAAGATGGTGAATTCAACACAGAAGGTTTGAGCAAGATGTCATGGGTGGAAAGTATGTTTGACGAAGGCGGACGATCGATTGCGGGAGTGCGCGTTGGTGGATATGACGCGGATGAACAAAAAGATCAACCAAATATGTCTGGTAAGCGCATTGAGCAAGCGATGGATGAAGCAGAAGATGAAGAAGATGCTCAAGCTGCTCGAGAAGCTCGTGCAGAGATTCATGTAATCGATGATGAATTCGCCGAAGAGATGGATGCCAACGATCGGGAAAACAACGCTAAGAATGACAGCGTTCCTGATTCACGAGAAGTATCAACGCCTTTGGATGCGGAAGGTCAAGTGTATGAAAACGGTCAACAAGAAGAGGAGGAAGGTGGAACAATTGATGACTATATGTTGCAATTCGTCGATAAAGATTGGGATTATTTCTCGACGATCTGATCTTCATTTCATCAAGATCATCTTCAACATTGTACTAGACACTTTATGTAAAAACTGTAAAAAGCCCAAAAGAGGATCATTCACACCTCATCATTTCATTTGTATTTCTCCGTTTGCAATCAATTATTTGAACATTCTATGTTATGCTGTTGAAATGATTGTGATGGTGAGAAGCGTTGCTTACGTGTCCCTGCTTAATACCGCATGCATCCACTTAGGCACACAGCCATTTACGCGCCTGTTGTGAATGAATGAGTGCACGCTAACAGCGCTACAGAAGAGAGAAGAAGAACTTTGATGCAAATTACCAATGCGCGAAGAAGCATCATCGTCAAGCTTTGTTAAAGACCGTCACCACACGATCTTGTCATTCAAACACTGCCACTTATAGAAACCTATAAAGATGGCTGCTGCAGGTATGGCCGGTGGTGCCAGCAACTTCATTGGATCATTAATCAGTCTGATTTCCAAGAGTGATATACGATATCAAGGATTCTTGGCACAAATCGATGCAGAAGAAGCAACGATTGCGTTGGAAAAAGTACGATCATGGGGAACAGAAGGAAGATTGGTTCAACAAGGAAGACCATCAAGCGAAGAACTACCTCCGAACGACAACGTATACGAATCGATCGTCTTTAGAGCGGCTGATGTGAAAGATCTCAAAATCGATGATCCCAATCCACAACGTAATGCACCCGCACCACCGCCTCAACTACCCCACGATCCGGCAATCATGAATGTGAGTATTTTTTCTCGATGAAAATCACTGTGATGATCAATTTTCGGATGTAAAATGAAAGACCCAATAGGGCTTTCAAACCATCCGAGAGCGCATAAAACCGTGTGGATGTTTCCGTTGCCTTCCTACTGAGATTTATACGTTGATGTCTTTAAGGAGTATGAACTGACATATTCTGCCCCTCTTTGATACAGAATGGACCTTCTGGCCCTTATGGAGCACCATACGGCCGACCACCTCCGCCTGGTCAAGGATATCCTGGCCCTCAATTTGGCGCTGCTCCACCACCAAATGTGCCTTATGGAGCGCCTGGATTCCCTCCATACGCTCGACCTCCTCCACCACAGAATCTACAGCCACCGCAGCCAGCCCTGCAATCAGGTCCCAAAGCACAACAACAGTCACCTGCTCCTCCAGCCAAAGCAGCAGAGAAGAAGGATGAAGGTTCAACGGATGCCGTAGCCGAACATTTGTCAAGGCTGAATGTTGCAGGATCAGCAAACTTACCAAAGAATGGTACAAATGGTAAAGCTGACTCGGCAAGCCCAGCAAACAAGGCACACCCAAACCTACCAGCCATTCCTCGAGCTGCTGCTGCTGCTGCCGCTGCGGCTGGAGCACAAGAACGTCATGGATCTGGCGGTAGAAATGTACCGGGCTCGGGAGGACGTCAACGTGGACCACAATCTTCTGTTTTCGACAACCCTGTTGGAAGGAGAGGAAATGGACCTGTGGAAGTTCCTGATACGGACTTCGATTTCGATGCCAGTAATGCTAAATTTGCCAAACAGCCCAAAGCAAATGGAGATGAGGCAGAAAAAGAAGAAGAAGGGGAAGGACAAACAGATGTTTTGAGCAGTATCCCGCCTCCTTCAGAAGGCAAGAGCTTTTATGATAAAAGTAGCTTCTTTGACAGTATCAGTAATGAAGTCACTGAAAGACAAGAAGGTCAACAAAACAGACAGGGAGCTGGAGAACAACAAGGTCACTTTGGCGGCAGAGGTGGAGGAAGAGGAGGTCGTGGTGGTGGCAGAGGAAGAGCAGACAGATTGGCCGAAGAAAGACGTAATATGGACACATTCGGTGAAGTTGGATCCTTTGGAGGCGGCCCACGCGGGCGTGGCCGTGGAAGAGGTCGCGGTGGTCGTGGTAGGGGAGGTCGTGGACGTGGTGATGGATTCCGTGGTGGCAGAGGTGGCCAAGCAGCTACTTTCTCGTGAAAAATTGTATCTCAGAAACCTGATTTGTACTTATTATTTCATATACGCAAAAAAATGTGATGAAATTTCTCGTCTTATACAGCCTATGTTTGAATACATAACAAGGTTATTCGCGATTTAAGATGTAAGAGTAGCATCTGTATCGACCGAACGTGATTCATGTTCGACGTCACCTTCCGTGGTGGACTTTGATTTGGTAGTGGCAGCACCTTTGTTGGCATACATGATCGAAAGATGGAAGATGGTGTAGACACTTGAGCAGAGCATCATCGAGCTCAAGACGCCCAAATAATTACCAACGAATTGAGTAATTTGCACCATTTCCACAAGTGAGGTCAACTGAGCGGCAAGGAAAGAATAGATGACCAAGAACATGATACAAAGCATGACGCTGAAGATGTGCTTGTACTTTTGTAAGAAGTAGCAATTGGGGTATTTAGCTTGCTTTTCGTTGTCTGCAGTAGAGTTGTCAAAGATGACTGATTCCACATCGCCTTCCAATTTTCTCAGGATGATCGTGTCAGTCTTTGTGACCTTGGGGGTCTTTCTGTATGCTACATAAAGCTTCACGGCTCCACCAAGGTAAAGAGCAAGCAAAAAGCCAAAGTAGCTTGCCCAAATGATCATGATTGGTTTTGCACTAGCATAAACGCCAGCAAGACTTTTCCATTGGATAATTGCATCTTCTTCGTACATTCTGAAAATGCTAATTGCGCCATCGGAAGTACCAGTAACTTCAAATCCTTCTTGTGATGAATCTGAGTCGGCAAAGAATTGCATTACTCCAGCCACGACTTGTTCATAATCTTGTTGATTGTTGTAACCGGTTGTAATAGAAGCCATGATGACGAAAGCCGGAATGATTACAGCGACAAAGCCAGCAAAAAGACGTAAAATGATTTCCAACACTTTTTTGTTTCCCTTGGAGCCAGATCTGGATTTGAGTAATGGGAAATCGCAAAATTCGATCGCTTGAACGTAAAGTGTGAACCAAAATGGTAAACACAAAACGCACATCCAAAACATTGATGCATTTAATTCGCTTGGGATCAATTGTTGATCCAAACGGAATTGATGAATGGCAAAAATGATGTACCAAGCTGCACTAACTGAAGCAGAGAAAACGGTAAAGCAAGTGGTATTGGGAAGTCCAATTCGAACATTAACTTTTGGAATCTTGTGAAGTGTCAAGAGGCTTGTACGTTTCTTGACTATGCAAGCGACTAACAAACACCAACCACAAATTGTACTCAAAGCAACCAATCCAACCACTGCTATCACGTACACCCAATAAAATCGATAATGATCAGCCACGAACAGGCCACGGATCAAGTTGTGCAATGATCCGAGTGCTGGAACTGCAGCTTGATCGTTTTGAACATTATCAATAAAAGCTGGAATTTGAAAAGGATGTTCGACTTGCATGATGAGAGGTATTGGATGGTTGAGATGGATGTGGTGGTGAATAAGAGGAATTGTGTTTGAATTTGAGATAAGACCTTTTATATGAATTTAACCTTCCTTCTCATTTCCTGCACTTTGTTGTATTTTTTTTTGTCAGCTGGTCTGTTCACCTTTCAATATCGGAGTGGAAATGCGGCATCAGACAAGTCATTTTGCATATTTAGCCAAACAGTCAAATTCTACGGCTCCGCATGAAATCACACGGAATCACTCCAAAGTAACAGGAAAAGAGACGTAATTCACTCCTTTATTCTTTTCTACTTGAAGTCGGTTCCTGCCTTCCTTCCCCGCTTCTTCCTCTCCTGACTTCCTCCTAGGAGAAGCCCCTTTCCCCAGATATCTTCTCAGCTTCCAGTGAGTGCCCCTTTCTCCAAAATCGTCATCGGTATTTGCGACAATGCTTTGCTGGCGTTTCAACTCCGATTAGCCCATATATGCGTATTTAATGGTGACTTCAACACCGAAACGGCGCGCATTGGCGCTTCATTCCAGCCAACGAGAAAAAGGGCCTTGGCTTGACTTACCTTCTCCGACAATCGCCAAAGTGATATCTGTTGTTTAGCTGACAACTCCCCATTTGCCAGATTCAATTTCTTCCAAACAACCTTTAGACCGTAGCAGGATTCCAATAAGAGTCGGACCGATAAATGTATTCAATGTGATTGCCCAAACCCCTACGTCAAAAGCCAATAAAGCTGTAGGCGAATCTGACGTACACGAAAGTATGCCGACTTGCCTGCCAATATTGATGATCAGAAATCCAATTTCCCCTCGTGCGACTAAGGAACATCCCAGAAAAATTGCAGGTAGCCAGATTCGGTTTTGTATTCGGTTCACATGATTTCCAGTGTGAATTCTATTCTGTTGATTAATAGTTTCCTTTTTGCCAAATAGGGATTTGAAGAATGATGCTACCCGATCTCCGTAAAAGCTTACGAGAAGAACGGGCAAGCAAGCCATGACTTTTGCACATGCCATCAAGCCGGAAAATAATATTCCTCTCCAAATTGTTCCTCCTTGAAAGAGCTCCTTTATCGGAATTGCAAATCCAATAGATGCAAAAAAGAAAGGAACAAGAATTCTATGCATAATAACCTTTACTTCATCAAAAGCGTGAAAGGGATCGAGCCTCTTGAATGATCTAGCGGGAAGAGCTTTGTATGCGTAAATCATAAATGCACCAGCACAAAATGCACCTATTAAATCCGTACTGTCGATCTTATCTGCTATTGAAACAAATGCACAGATGATTGCTAGCCAAAGTAGCATCCCAAGTCGTGGCCAAAAGGTGTGAAACTTTGCAAGGAAACTATGCACTCTTTGTGATTGATTGCAGATCCGAATCGAAAAGGGTGCGAGCGGCTTAATAACGAAGCGTACCAAAACAACAGTTCCCAGGATCAAGAGGAATGAACTCATAAATGGTCTTATTACAGGCCATACTCGTTATTGTTCTTTCCCACTTGCAATTGACCCTAATGACTGCACTACACTGCTTAGCACGAGTGCTACAATGTCATCCAATAATGCTGCTCCAATCAAAATAGTCCCTATCCTAGTATTCATAATTCCCGAAAGCCTTTGTTCGTTTTGAGTTGCTGAAATATCTGTGCTGGTCACAGCAGGGGTATCTAGTTGTCCGTCTCCTAGTATCGGCATTCCAATATCATTATTGTTGCCGGGGTTTTTCTTTTCCTTTTCGTCTTCCTTGGGAGAAGCGGTACCAATGACAGCCAATGTAGTCCCTAAGCTTGTTGAACTGAGAGATACACCAACGACAAAGCTTTCTAAGTATGTGAACGAATAAGCAAACGGCAATAAGATCATCGATAATGCAATCGGCATCAAGATCCCAATCGTGCCGGTAACGAAAGCCAAGATGAGCGTTTTTGGGGAGGAAAGAATATCTAGACGGGTCGTCATTCCACCTTCGAACACCAGCAGAAGCAAACCTAGATAACCCAATGCTTGAACTGCCTTTTGTACTTCACTTGGCAAGATGTTGGCCAAAGGAGCTCCAAATACAGCACCGAGGATTAGCTGTGCCAGAAGGCCGACGTGCAAAAGATCATCGATGACATCATGTAATACATTAATTCCGAACAGAAGTGCACTCAACGTCAAAATCACTTGCAACGATGGTGCCTCGTATGCAAGAGAGGGCGCTTGATTAAGACACTCCATATCGGAATGGCTGCGTACCGAGTCTGATTTGGCTGCGACCTCTTTTAGAACTGTTTTTCCTTCCAAATCTTTTCTATATCAGCTTGATCATCGCCATCATCCTCTGAATGCTCAGGTAGACAATCTTGAGTGACGATAGAAGATGCTTGATAGTGATCAGCAAGCAGCTCTTTACCACAGTTAAAACTCCACCTCCCGACGCTTTTTGTCCAAAAAGGCCCCGAAGACCGCCCGCACCACCCACTTCACACGTGAATTCTGAGGAGACGCCTTGACAAATGAGATCAGAAGAAGCCGCGCGTACGACGCGCCTGCAGTGCAGTGGAGCCTACAAAGCTGGAAATTACGCACTGTTCACAAACATATGTGTTCTGGTTGGTGGCAGTTTGATGGAATGACGATTAAGAAGAATGACTTTTGGCTCTTTGCAATCATCTCAGTACCATAAGAATCACAGGGTCAGGTTGACATTACACTCACAACCCACAATGCCGGCCACAACTGAGGAAACGTTGGCATTATCACAAACACTCGTACAGGTACATCCGCTTGTGTTACTTTCGGTGGCCGATCATGCTTCCAGAAGTGCAGGTGGATCACGAAAACGTGTACTTGGTGTTCTGTTAGGACAAGATAACGGAAAAACAATCAACGTTGCAAACAGTTTTGCCGTCCCTTTTGAAGAAGATGAAAGTTCAGGTGGTGCTTCAGGGAAGAGTAATTGGTTCTTGGATCATGATTATATCGAAGCAATGATGGCAATGTATAAAAAGATTAACGCTCGTGAAAAGTTGGTTGGTTGGTATCATACAGGACCAAGACTACGTGCATCTGATCAAGAAATTAATGATTTAATGAAACAACTCATACCCAGACCAGTAATGGTTATCGTTGATCCTCGTTCTCGCGACACAGGTATTCCAACAGATGCATATTTTGCCATTGAAGAAATCAAAGATGACGGAACGGCAACACAACGGACATTCTTACATGCTCCTTCCACAATCGTTGCAGAAGAATCAGAAGAGATTGGTGTTGAACATTTGTTGCGTGATATTCGGGATACAACTACAGTAGGATCACTTTCGAGTAGAGTTACACATCAATTGCAGTCACTACGTGGACTATCGTCTAGACTGAACGAGATCAAGGGATACTTGGAAGCGGTAGCTCGTGGAGATCTACCGGTCAATCATCAAATCATCTACAACCTACAAGATATCTTCAACCTGCTTCCTGATTTGGACAAGAGTGATTCATCAAAGAGTTTCAGTATCGCACAGAATGATCAACTACTGGTTGTGTATTTGAGCAGCTTGATTCGTTCAGTGATTGCTTTGCATGGATTGGTCAACAATCGTGCAGAGAACGCTCGCGGAGAAGAAGAGCAAGAGGAAGTACCAAAAGAAGAGAAGAAAGAGGGTGCAGAAGGGGATGCGAAAGAATCTGGCGAAAAAGGTGACGCCAAGAAGAAAGACGGGAAGTCATAGTGTGTTTTGTTACCCAATGTATAGAATCTCGACCAATTCAAACTATTCGCATTATTGAAATCTAGAGCATATATAGCATTTACGTAAAAGTATACAGGGGAGGTACATGTTAAGCTGGAGCTGGTCCACTGCCTGCCTGTCGCTGATTCTCTTCTCGATCAGGCACGGCATCTGCTGCTTCACGAGCACCTCTGCCCCTTCCTGAAGCTTGTTCGAAAAGGTTCTTGAATCCGGCTTTCTCGCCATCTTCCCATCTGTTAAACATCTTTGCCGTATCTTCTGCACTTGGCTGTCCGGCCAATGGATCAGCTCCATGTTCGATTAAGGTGCTAATTACTTCATCGTATCCCTTAAACACTGCTCCTGCGACGATTGATTGACCTCTTCCATTAAGTTGATTTGGATCAGCTTTATCATGTTTGATTCGCATTTCCGATTCAGGAATTGTGAGAATAGCTTTTACGAGTTCGTTATGACCATGATAAGCAGCCAACATTAGGAGTGTATCACCACGGTTGTTTGTTAGATTTGGTGGGACGCCAGCTTTGATATATGTGATCAACTCAAGTGATCCTTCTCGGGCGAAGTTGAATAACCTTGCGGCTAAATCCAGGGCTTCATTTGGAAGTCCTTGTACGCCACTTGCTTGGACATCTCCTTGTGCGCCAGGTTGAGGAGGCTGTGGGATTGGAGCTCCGTCTGCCGTTCTTTCGGGTTGGTGTACTGTTTCTGAAGGTACTGGTGACATTTTTGTGAGAGAGAGTATATGATGATGGCTGTTTAGAAAGAGGTTGATTGTGAATTCATGTAAGCTGTTCTATTGTCTGTGCGTTTTGCGAAGATTTGGACCAAGGCGGGGAAAGGTCATGTGAAATGATATAAGCAGAATTGTGGAGGAAAATCGTTGACTTTTGACGCGCCATTGTACGCTAGAAGAAGAAATTTAAAACAAAACTTAAAAAGAGAGTTATACTGTAATCAACATGACCACCAAACATGGCAGCAACGGTGAGGGATACTGGAAAAGATGCAGTGGCATCGACAAGTGGCTCAAGCAGCTCTCCAGCTCCAATCGAGAGAAACATCGCTTCCACATCAAGCCCTACTATAGCAGCTGAGAGCAGCAGCGGGGATGGCTCACTATTCTCCGGTCTGTTTGCCGGAAATCCATATTTCAGTGCCGGTTTCGGATTGATGATCTTTGGTGCAGCATTGGCAGCCTCAAGAAGAGGAATAACGACAGCAGCAACACAAGCACAAAGAAGGCTACTCGTTTCACTAGAAATTCCATCAAAGGATAAAGCTCATCCTTGGTTTTTGAGTTGGATGGGCGCTCAGGCTAAAGCACAGGCAATGCGGGAAGCTGGATTGCTACCACATCAGAAAGAGAGTATTGGCGAGTTCTTAGGGATACGATCGAAGAGACAGCAGCAACTAGAGGCAGAAGGAAGCTCGTCCAGCTCTAGCACTGTGGATGACCCACTAAGGACTGGAAATCACCGGGCAAGTCCGATCCGCATTTATAGTCATGAACTCAGTGTAGAAACGATGCAAGCCAACTTGAAGAAGCCCAACGCTTCATCAGCCATAATGCAACAGCAATCACTACAAATGGAAGCTGGTGGGCAGAGGGATACATCACGCGATGCTAGATTCGCATTTGTGCCAGGACCGGGAACGCATTGGTTTAGATATAAAGGATGTTGGATGCGATTCACACGTGAAAGGAATGGACGGATGATTGATCTGACAACGGGTGCACCTTGGGAAACGATTACACTTACAACCCTTCGATCGCATCAACACTTATTCACTGAGCTATTAGCTGAAGCACGACAATTGGCATTGACATCCAGCGAGGGGAAGACGACAATCTATACCGTTTGGGGAACAGAATGGAGGCCGTTCGGATTACCAAGGAGAGCAAGAGATTTGCAAAGTGTAGTCTTGGCACGTGGCAAGCGTGATCGAATCGAAAACGATGTCAGAAGGTTTATGCAGCGTGGGTGGTGGTATGCAGAACGTGGGATACCGTATCGAAGAGGATATCTGTTGCATGGAAGTCCAGGAAGCGGTAAATCAAGCTTCATCTTTGCTTTGGCTGGATCTTTGGATCTTTCAATTTGCTTACTCAATTTGTCGGAAAGAGGTCTGACAGATGATAAGCTCAACTTCTTGCTCTCCAACGCACCGGAACGCTCGATTCTTTTGCTAGAGGATGTTGACAGCGCCTTTTTGGGCAGACAAAGGGCGGCTGAATCAGATGGATACCAGGCAAACGTAACTTTCAGTGGCTTGCTCAACAGTCTTGATGGAGTTGCAAGTTCAGAAAGCAGAATCATCTTTATGACGACCAATCATGTTGAGCGTTTGGACCCAGCCTTGATTCGACCGGGAAGAGTAGACTACATCGAAGAACTAGGAGATGCAGAACCAGATCAAGTGGAAGATCTGTTTATGCGATTTTATGGTCCAAGACAATTACGCATACAGTCTTCTGTAAGCGAAGATCCTGCATCGGCTTTGGCGAATGATGAGAACCCTAAATTGAAGGAAGATCAATTACGACCACTTGCGCAAAGATTAGCACAGCTTGTTGAATCGGAGTCCATTCGAAGAAGAAGGGCTTTAGGCTTAGATGATGCAGGTCGATTTGCAAGCAATCCAGGGGAAGAAGGTTCAGCGTCTAGCACACTCGATCAAAAGGAGTCAGATCGTCGCTTGAAGGCAAGCAAGGCTATGCGTTTGCAGCCTGCGGCACGTGGTGGTGTCAGTATGGCTGAATTGCAAGGATTATTCATTCAGAATCTCGATGATGGACAAGCAGCGGTCAGTATGTTTGAGGAAATGATGCAGTTGTCGAATCCGTGATTTGATTTATGAGATCCTCATCAGTTCGCAGCTGTTCTTACTATTCAGCTTTCTATCAATCATATCACTATTTAGTATATTTATTCGGATAATAGAGCATTAATGAGATAAAAGGGAAAAAAGCGTAGGAGACAGTTCGAGAGCAGATTTTCAAACTTTCTTCAAACCGAGAATCTGGTTGACGAAGCACTGTTTGATGACGTTGCTCTGTTCGGAATACAGTGTAGGGTCCATCTGTTCGAAAGCGTTCATCAATAACGGATTTGCGTTCTTTGGAAGGCTATGCTGCAATTCTGCGATCATTTTGAACGAATGAGCAGGCGTGGTGGAATCATCATTCAGTCTCTGAGTAAGCAAGATGGCAGGATAAGTCTTTTTGACGTCAACATTGTGCAAGGGACTGTAGGCACGCAAGACATCGAAATAAGTTGGCTTTTGTGGAGATCCCCATTCGGCAATATACTGATCCGGATAAGGATACTTGTCGAACCGTAACATGTCTAAAAGTGCAACATTGGGAAGAAGAACACCAAAGAGTCCTTGAGGAGCTTGATTTCCCATCACCATTGCAACCGTGCCTCCTGCTTCTGATCCTTCGCCAATAATGTGTCCGCGAGCTGCCATTTTATTCTTTACTAGATATTCTGCAACTGCTTGATAGTCATCGAAAGAATGTTGTCTCTGACTCAACATTCCCGCTTCATGCCATCTATCACCTAGTTCGCCCCCACCTCGAATTTGCATGTATACACAAGCACCACCGTGATCTCTTACCCATGGTAACATGAACGCATCATAATATGGAATCGTCTTTTGTCCAAACGAGCCATAACCCAAAAGCCAAGCTGGATTGGTTCCATCTAAAGGATGCTTCTTCGAATAAAAGATATCAAAAGGTACTTTGGTTCCATCTTTGGATGTTGCAAAATGTTGTTCGATCTTGAATTCGGACATATCGATTCCTTTTGGATTGCCGATCAAGAAAGGGTCTACAGAAACTTTGCCGTTGTCTGAGCGAATACGATAAACACCAGAGCCCAAGGTGAAAGCACTCAATTCTACGAATGACTGTTTGCTGCCGTACGAATATGATGCACGATAAAACGCTCCGATGAAGTCCGTTAATAGTTGTTGGATACGTTTTCCGGTTGTAAGGTCATGTAAGTAGAAATTGTATTTTGCATTCTCCAAATAAATCAAAACGATCTTTGTCTTATCGATCACGGACCAATTTTCTATGTTTCCGTTCTTGTTCTCGGGAATGATGTCCTGCGTTTTGATTGTTTCGGTCAATTCGCTCAAGTCTTTCACGCTGCGTGCTTTACTTGTATCAATCTTTGCACGAACGATCTTGTGATTCTCAGCTCCATCACGTTTGGTGACCAGATAAAAATCAGAGTCAATATTGTACACGTACTGCAACGGAGGACCATACTGCGGCTGCAAAGAAATCCATTTCATATTTGCCGAGATTGGTTGATCAAGAGGTGCAGCATACACGCGAGAATGATCAACATCGGTGAATCCATAAAGCATCAAGTATTTATAACCAGTGGTGAATTCTGCGTACCAAAGATTTGTGACCTCTTTTGTATCTGCTTTCACGATAACGATGTCACTCTTTGGATCACTACCAATCTTGTGATAGAGAATTTGTGATTGTGTATTGAATGGATCGGGATCGCTCAACTGTTGGTATGCTTGATGGTCATAAATGACACCTTTACCATCTTGAGTGAAAGTGAATGCCATTCTGCCTGCATATGGAATCGTTTCTGGCAAATTCTTGAATGTAGTCAGATCCATAAATCGAAGTTCAACTCCTGTATCACCTCCAACCACAGTATATGCTGCCATCTTTTTATCATCGCTTACTTGCCATTTGTCAATGTATAGTGAACCATCCTTGCTCAATGTTGTTTCATCAACAAGAACTCGTCCAGGTGGTTGAGCAAAATTTGCTTTCTTGGCGTTGGCCATCTCGCTTTCTGATGCATAATACCATTTCATAGCCATATCTTTACCTTGACCGGAGAACAAATAACTTGGATTATTATCTTCCGGTCTTCCAACTTCGTCAAGTTTAGCATAAAACACATAATCGTTTGCTTGTCGAACAGATTGAGTGATAGCATCTTTGTCATTGCATTGCAAGAATGAATTGAACAAGGTTGATTGTTGCTTAATAAAGTTTTGTACATCAGATCCATTCGTTGGCTTTTCTAACCAATTGTATGGATCACGAACCGTCACCTTTCCCTTTGCCTTGGCAGATGTGTATGTGAATTGGGCATTTCCCCGCTGTACTGCTGGGTAGGCAATCTTTGCTGCATTCGAACCGGGTGGTGTCTTACCGGCTCGCTTGATGTATGGGTGAGCTTGGACGAATACAAGGAGCGTGAGGAAGATGAGGAAGAACGGTTTCAGCATGTTGGATTGCTGGAGGGGAAAAGGATGAAGTGATGGTGGACCGATGTAAAAGAAAGAGGTTAAGTATTGAGTATTTCAAGGGTCTATTTCATAAAAAAGGTCCTCATGACCAAATTGCGAGCTTGCAAGGGTTACATATTTGTTGATTAGCACTGCTATCACCCACGGAGGGCCGCACAGGAGTGTGGATCATTCTTTGGAAATCTTACAAGCTCAATTAACTTAAATTCAGCCACCCCTGAATAAAAGTATCTGTTTTCTTCATATCGTTCTGCTAATGTTATTGGACCTCAAGGAACAGTTCGCTCATTGGTTGTTTCGGTACCGTCAACGCATTCATCGGAGAATAAAGACATATTCATCTCTTTCCAAATATGACAAGAATGAAGCTGGGCGTAATTCTATATGATCAGCTTGAGTAGTTTCATTCGAAAGTGGGATGATCCATTCCATATTGATGGCCAAGAAGGTTGTAATGATCAACGCCATTGCCAAGTGCCTGTTGCAGGGACGACGCTATTTGTTGATGGTGCCTGGGTATGAACAGCAGAGAGTTAAACCAAGGCAGTCTGTATACTGTCATAGTGCCTGTTATTGCAAGAGTATTGCTTCAGGCACACAAGCAGCAAATCGCGCGTTTGTAACAGCACCCTCTAACACACACTCAAGGCACACACAATTCCCAATCCACGCTACGGCTGCTTGCCTTGCCCTGCGCGCGAACACACGCACACAAACGCAAAAGCAAGAGTGGTATGTTGACATGCATGCACGCACTTCCATCGATCTACAGGTCATCAGCTATCCTTTGTTTGTGACCATAACATTGTACAAGAAAAAGAGAAGTTCAAGCAATTTTGTTTGCTCTCCTTTTGTTTTCTTGCTCTGACGGTCAATCGGGTAAAAGTTGTAAAGTAGTGCATGCGAAACGAATCAAAAACGAATTGACGATCCAAAAATCCAAGATCTTTTTCAAGGAAACGCATCATACACGACCCCTATTACGAATCGTCAAGAACAAAATCACCAACCAAAAAAGGCATTCTCATTCATCGCTTTGCAATTCAATCGCTCAATCTCTTCTTCGTCAACTTTTCGATTTCAGCTTTCCTTCATCTCGCTACATCACATCTATTGGTGTTTTGATTAGCTCTTCCACGCATCTTTTAAGCATTTGCATATATCTTTTCGACGTATACTCCGCTGTATCCTCACTTACGAAACCCACTTTAAATCAGCAAACATGGCTGATAGCGTTCAAAGATCTTTTGAGGGCATGTCGCTCAATAGACCCGCGCAACAAAATCAAAATCAATCTCAACAGCATCTAGGCTTGCATAGTCCTCTCAATGGAACGCTATCCTCCAACGCATCTTCTTCGCTACGTTCTCCATCTGGGACTTATGGAAATGCACAATTGCCTGGTCAAGGTGTCAATGACGGACAAAGTGCTGCCGCTCGATTTGAACGCTTTTTCAACACATCCGGCAATCAATCTCCTCAAGCGTTAGATGCTCCATCTCATTCTCTTGGCGGCTTCCCGCCTTCGCCTCATCAACCCGCAAGCTTGGGTCCTGGAAGTGCATTTGGATCTTTTGGTCACAACTTCAACTCAGGCGTAGGATCTGCATTCATGGGAAACAACTCTACAGTTCCTGCCCTTCGGTCTAAGCCGAGTGCTACCAGACAAGGCTTGCCTTCTCAATGGAATTCGTTGACACCCGATGATATGGGCACTGGATCATCACCTCCAGGCCAATTCAACACAGGCGGTCCAGGTTCTTTCTTTACGGCAGGCAGCGGTAGTACAGCTTATCCTGGTATCAGCAACACTACATCAACGGCAGCGTTGGGCCTTGGAGACGATGATATTATACCAACAGCAATTGTGGTCAAGAATATTCCTTTCAGCGTCAAGCGTGAGCAATTGCTGCAAATAATTGAAGAGCTCAATATTCCAATGCCATACGCCTTCAACTATCACTTTGATCAAGGCGTTTTCCGTGGTCTTGCTTTTGCCAACTTTAGGTCTGGAGGAGAGGCTGATGCAGTCGTCGCTGCATTGAATGGTTTCGATGTTAGCGGCAGAAAGTTGCGGGTTGAATACAAGAAGGTTTTGCAAGCTGGCGAAAAGGAGAGGATTGAAAAGGAGAAAGCTATCAAAAGAATGCAGAGTATGCAGATGGAAAAGGAAAGAGTGCGAAGGCAAACAGTTTCCTCCGCAACAGGAGAGGAATGGAATCCACAATTCGGCCAGCAATCCACAGGCACAATGGGCAGAAGTTCCATGGCACCCGGTTCTGAGCTCGAGACTGGATACAGTGATGCTTATAATGAAGCAATCGCACCTATTTCGCCAGATACTCTTCGCTCCGCTTCAGATTCCCAAGGTGAATTGGCTGCAGGTGCCGCTTCTGAAGTTGCTGGTAAAAAGGATGAATTGGACTTGAACGATCCAGCAACGCTTGAGATCTACTCTCGGGTACTGTTGTTTAAAGATGATCGTATGCGGGACGAATTGAGCTTCTCCAAGAATTTAACGACAAACGAGCGCAGAATTGTGCACATGGTATCCAAGAAGCTCAATCTGTATCATTATAGCCTTGGTGACGGTGATGAAAGATATGTCATTGTAACGAAGAATGAAGTCAACCAACCTCAACGACCTTTACGTTCTCAAGCTTCAACTATTGGACGCAACCACAGAATTGGAGAAGGTGGTGGCAGTGGTGCCATGACTGGAGCCAATGGACTTTTGGCGCCTGGAAGCAGCTACTCAATAGGTAGAAATGCATTACGAACTAAGAAATCTGCGCCTGACATGAAACGTCAAAGGGAACGTAGCGACGATGGATCTTTTGGTGTTGGTGGTTCGTATGGATTTGTGTCCGGCAGTGCGTCGAATGGAGGAAGCATTCATGGTGCTTTTGGCCCTGCAGGATTAAGCAGGAAGAGTAACGGTAATTTACGAGAAGGATATTCTTCAACAGTTGGCAGACGATCTGTGCCTTCGAGCGGCACTGGAGGTGCTGCAAGTCTACAAAGTCTATTTTCGTCACAATTTGATATTCCTCCCGTGCCTTCGCTACCGGCTAATATCGGAGGAGAACCAATCTCTTATTCACCTTCTCCTTCGCCAATTGGAACATCTTCCACCAGCAATAACGGAAGCTTTTCTGCTGCCACTTCTCAAAACATTCTGCGTCAACCAGCCGGACCAGGGGCTGCTAACCGCAACTTTGCACAACGAAGTCGGGTGCCTATTGGTGGCTTGATGAACGGACATGGCGCAGGACAGGAGGGATCAGGTAATTCAATCTCCAATGGTTCTTCGGATCTCGATGCTCAATTCAGTTCTGGTGGCCCAGGTGAACTGCGCGAAGATGATGTACAAACCCATCAACCGTTGGAAGTATGAGCGGCAATTATGCATGTTTATATTGCTTTGGATGGTCAACCGTAGCACATATTTCTTGATACATATTTTTTCTCTCCTCTATCTCACTCATTCACATTCTTTCTTAAGAAAAAGCTCTATATATTATGATGAAATACGATGCTGCTAAGGGTAAAAAGTCAAAGATTTCTATGTGTGATGAATTGATGGTCTATGTTTAGTAAAATACATATCATGGTACATTTTGTGTAGCTGCTTTTTGAGCTTCCTTTGCTTCTCTGCGACCTCTTCCCAATGTTCTGAAGTACTGATCTCTAAACACACTGAGATCGTCAATAGCTCTGCCTTGTTTCTGTTGTTCATTTGTGTTGGCCAATTCTTGTCCATCTCGTGCAGATTGTACGTGGTTAATTGGAGCGGCTGGAAGTACTAGATGCTTTTCAACAAGATCCTCTTCTTTCGCATCGATCTTTTCAAGTGTGATCAATCTTCTACCCCAATTCGTGAAATCTTGTAGACTGTGAGCGATAAGCTTGAAGTGTTTTGTAGGTGGAAGTTGTAAATCAATTTGTGATGTTGTTACACCGCCTTTTGCACTTTCGTCATCACATTCCACATCTGTCATTGTTGGCATCCAAAATACTAAACGTCCTTTTGGGACAAGCATCTTTGCCGAAAATTCCATTAGATCGCACAAAAGCTCATCAAGAGCGTATGGCTTACTGGGAGGATGATAATCGGGTCGTTCATGCGAATATTGACCGTCTGGCATCATGAATGGTTCATCACGCATCTTTTCTCCTCTTCGTTTGCCTAGCTTCTTTGCACCCGCACGAATACCATAAGGTGGATCTGCAACGATTGCATCAAATAAGCCCCCCTTTCTGAGAGGATGTTGTGTTACGTCAAAACATAAGGAATCGATAAAGAGGTGTTCTGTGCCGTATTGTTTTGCCGATCGAAGTATCCCCAGTGAGCCTTTTGCGCTGTTTTTCCCTCTCATCATTCGTGCGTCAATATCACTGGCTAATACGTGAGCACCATATGCTGCAGCAGCAAGCAAAAGAGATCCTGTCCCTGCAAAAGGATCGTAGAACAACTTGCCTGGCCCTGCCAATGCCATGGATGCCTGTACTAAGCTCATACTGCTTTCCATCGTCGTGTTTCCAATGTATGCCCGCTTCTTCACATCCATTATTCCGATCAAGTCCCGTGCGATACCATCACAGATTTTCCTGCCTGTGTGTACTGCAATGAGTCTCTGATTCTGTCCCGAAGGTCCCTTTTCATATCCATCATAGCCTTCCCATTGATCGACATTGTTTGGCTCTGTCCATTCTTCCGAGTAACACCAATTCACCATTGGAGTTTGGAGATTGATTGGACCTTTGAATGCGAGAACGTCTGCAAATGCTTCTATCCTATTCAATCGTTCTTTGTGTGTCAATGTATGCATATAAGCCGCAACGGTTGCCTTCCAAGACACCTCTGGTTTTTGATACGGTTTCCATAGCTTCCGAACAGATTCGATCTCACTCAGATTCTTCAAAAGGCTCTCCAGCGTGTTTGCACTTGCCCAATGCTGCCAAACGGATCGAATGCAAATCGCTCTTTCGGCCATCTTACGTGCAACATCATCATTTGCTAAATGTACCGATGCAAAGACACGTTCCGTATCCAATGCATCATTTGTTACTTCGTCGGTGATGCTCAAATCATTCATCATTGCCGCAGTGCTTGACTCTCCCGCATCTTGTGATGTCTCTTTAGGTATATGTGGGTTTCTGTTCCTCCTCACATCTCCCGCAACTGGTACGAAGCAATACTTCACATCATGATATTCTGCTGCTGCTTGAAATTCGGCCCATCGAAAGTTGACGTGATGATTGGCAAACTGGATCAAATAAAGTGGGCCTATCGATTCTGGCGATTCGCCATCTTTCAGCCCTCTCGAGAGCATACTCACAGCTGATGAAAGTCAAGAATGGCAAACACACACTTTTTTCATTTCTTCTCAGCGTGGGGTTCTGTTGAAATTTTATGAAATTATACACTGCTCTCATGCCTCAAATTTGTCACGCGAGAAGCCATTAAAAAGTCTTCTTCCTCTACCTAAATTTCTCTCAGACGTTTGCAAAATGATGCCAAAGATATTGTATGAGAAAAGCGAGCTACGATATACAAAAGAGACGAGAACTAAACGAAACAAGAAAGAGCACATATAGAGAGAGCACATTCATCTCAACCATTATTTATGTCTTTGGTAAACGGATGTAACGATGCAGTGATCTCTTTCATATGGTTCCAAGGTAACTTGTTCTTTTGGACGTAGGCTTGCTTCTTGCATCTTTTTGATTTCTCCTGCGAAAACGGCTTCTGGCACGGCTGTACTGTCGATACAGCTTGCCTTGATACTAATGACTGCTGCACCACCATCTTTCAAAAAGTGAGAAGCGTTCAAAGCAACGATACGGGCTTGATCAGGTTGAGCAACATCAGCAAAAATTGTGTCAACCATTCCCACAAGCATACGGTACTTTTGAGGATGTCTTGCATCTTCAATGATTGGGATCACATTTGTACGTTTCTTGGCCATGTTGATCAAATCACGTCCAGATCTATGAGAGAATTCGACAGCATAAACTGTTCCTTCGGGTCCAACAACATCAGCAACGTGACTGACACTGGTACCACTTGCAGCACCCAAGTACAAGACTTTCTTTCCAGGGTTTACGTGAATGTGGTCCAAACCACCCAAAACACCAGCAGCCAATTTGGATCGGAAAGGGTTCCAAACACGGTATTCTGTCTTTTGACTCAAAGCATCATCACCTTGAGCTGGAGTCTCGACGCTGATACGCTTTTCACCGTAAACACTTTCTCCGGGAACCAAGTTCTTTGTGACCAAAAGGTGTTCTTTACCTTCAGCGACAAAGATACCTTCGTGACGATGTGGTTTGACGATAACGTTTGAGCCACCTTTGGCACCAGCTTTGCCGCCACGAGCACCACCAGCGCCACCACGACCTCCTCTGGCACCACCACGGGGAGCACCTCTGCCACGACCACCTGGTGCACCACGTCCGCCAAAGCCACCGCCACGAGGTGCTCCTCTTCCACCTGCACCACCACCACGTCCACCGAAGCCGCCTCCACGACCGCCTCCTCCGAATCCACCACGACCGCCTGCAGCACCACCACGACCGCCGAAACCGCCTCCACGACCACCGCCACGGCCTGCACCGCGACCGCCACGTTCACCTGTAGGAGCAGAAAGAAAAATAAGAATCAGTAAATTGAATAGCTGAGTTTGTTCGAATAGTATCAAATACTAACCGAAAGCCATTATATGTATATGTTGTTAGAGCTCAGAAGAGTGAATGTGAAACTGAGCTTGTGTGCTGATTTGGATTGCACACCTTGTCTGAGATGAGATGATGGAAAGATTGATGTAGGATGAATGATGTCTTATTCCTTGCTTTGCATGCGTTCAGTTAAATTCTTGTTCAGTGGATGGCTAGGCTTGAAATTTTTTAGAAGAAAGATTAAGCAGCCAAAAAAGTACGAGCGCGCAAGAAAAAGAAACAAAAATTCCATTTAATAATACTCACGTGCTGACCGAATATTTGTTCAATCTTTTGTGCTTATTTAAGCTGAACGCGCTGCTTTCCAATAAGGCCAACTTTTAGACGCGTTTCGAGTTAAACAACACTTTGATATGCATACACCCAGACAAAGTACATCATCACTTTCTCTCATCAAACGAATGATAACGACGACCTAATCACAATAACCACAACATAAGCCACAATGCCACGTGAGCTGATCACCGTTCAGGCTGGTCAATGTGGTAACCAGGTAGGAAGTCAATTCTGGGAACACCTTTGCAAAGATCATGGAATTGCAAGGGATGGTACATTGGAGGATTATGCAACAGAAGGCTTGGCAAATGATAGAAAAGATGTATTCTTCTACCAGGCTGATGATGATCATTATTGCCCTAGAACAATTCTAGTCGACACAGAACCACGAGTAATTCAAAATATCATGTCTGGACCATACAAGAATTTGTACAATCCCGAAAATGTTTACTCGAGCAAAACGGGAGGAGGAGCTGGTAATAATTGGGCACAAGGCTACGCAGAGGGTGAACGGAGGTGTGATGAAATATTGGATATGATCGAACGAGAAGCAGATGGAAGTGACAGTCTAGAGGTGAGTGAACAAGGAGTTTGATGGATGATAATTCTTGCATTCTAACAAATTGCTTCCTATCTTAGGGCTTCTTTTTGCTGCATTCGATTGCTGGTGGTACAGGTTCTGGGTTGGGTTCTTTTCTGCTTGAACGGCTTTCCGATGCATACCCTAAGAAGCTGATTCAGACATACAGTGTATTCCCAAATTCAGAAGAAACGTCAGATGTCGTCGTACAACCGTATAACTCCGTTTTGGCAATGAAGAGATTGGTCGACAATGCTGATAGTGTAGTCGTTTTGGATAACGCAGCATTGGCAAGGATTGCATCAGACAGACTTCATATCCAAGATCCAAGCTACAGTCAAACCAATCAATTGGTCAGCACCGTAATGGGCGCTTCCACACAGACATTACGATACCCAGGCTATATGAATAACGATCTTGTCGGAATGATTGCTTCGCTGATACCCACGCCTCGGGCTCATTTCCTCATGACATCGTACACACCCTTCACATCCGATACAATTGATCGTGGAAAAGGAACAACAAAGACGTCTGTGTTGGACGTGATGCGCCGTTTGCTACAGCCGAAGAACAGAATGGTCTCTACACAAGGGGCTTCTAAATCGTCATGCTACATTTCCATTCTGGACATCATTCAAGGTGACTCAATCGATCCGCGTGATGTGCACAAATCGCTATTGCGTATTCGTGAACGACATTTGGCAAACTTTATTCCTTGGGGTCCAGCAAGCATTCAAGTCGCTTTAACAAAGAGAAGTCCATACATGCCTGCCAGTCACAGGGTGAATGGGTTGATGTTGGCAAACCACACAGGTATCGGTGCAATCTTCAAGAGAACCGTTGATCAGTACGACAAACTGCGAAAGAGAAATGCATTCTTGGAAGCATATCGCAAGGAGAGTGTGATTGGGAATGATTTGATGGAATTCGATGAAGCTCGGGAAACTGTTGCTGAACTCATGGCAGAATACAAAGCTGCAGAGGGTCCGGACTACATCTCGGGAAAGTCTATCGACGATGCTGATTGAGTCTCGTCAAATTTGTACATAAGTTGTGATCTTGTATATTAATACATGCTTGCGAGCAATGATGAGAATAGCTCGCAATGGTGTGTGATGGATGTGAGAAACATATCAAGAGAAATGAAGTATGATGAGAACATCAAGGATGCTTTCTTCTCTATCATACTCTTGCAAGAGATGATAGAAAAACATGAGATCGGATGAGTGGAATAAGGCCGACGTTTTCTTATTCATAAAGGTGTGCAACGCCAGAGGATTGCCCTTGTCTTGACAGCATGATGTAGAATTCTCCTTGCATCCACAACCCTTTTTATTAAAGTCAATTTTGCATGGACCTTCGCAATACTTTTCAATGATGCGTGCGCGGTTGGCTTTGACCCAGCACATTTCTACGTGATAGATGTTCACCTGGAATTCATTATAATAGGATTATCTTAGACGAGGTGCACCGATCAATCAGCAACTTTATTGTACAACAATAGAGTCATGCAAAGCTCGTCAAGATCATGCAGTCAATCGCATACACTTTCCAGCGTCATGAGAGGACATATACTGGTTCTGATAGCGTAACAGTATGGTATGAAAGCATTTATGTTACAGTGATGTACAGAAATTATGAAAAGGTAAGCATTCATTCTACAAAGGAGAGCACTACTCTAGTGGCAGCGTTATTAGACTCCATTTTGAATTGAGGCGAGAGGAACTCGAACAAGGCCTTTTCAGCATCTCCGCCATTATGAAGATATGTTTTCAGTGCGTTGGTGAAAAGCAAAAGTTCCAACGCAGAAAAGTATTCCGTGGAACTTTGCTTTGGAAAGAACATATCGACCGACAATTTGCTCGATTTATCATCGAAGGTTCGATTTTGATGACAAAACATGCTAACGCATGCGCAATTTCGACATGAACAAGCGCATTTACCGAAAAATTTTGCACCACATTTTAGTACATATTGATGCCAATGGCGAAGGATTGTACTTTTGAGTGTATTGAAAGCCAATTGTGATGCGAGCACTTGCTTGTGGTTGATCTTGCGACAGAGACTCAATAGTTTCAGAATTACAGCATTGCTGTACCTGGAGGTAAGAGGCTTCTGTTCTTCAACGTATACGCGAAGGATTTCGCAAAGCTGGAAGATCATTCGGTCTACAACGAAGGTGGCGCAGAACTTGTCACCCAATTCCAAAACCATGAAGAGATGGCTAAGAGGCAGGTGACATTAGGGTAAGGCTAATCAGGAATTGTACAGACGGTTGATCATCTATTCAAGCATACTTACTGGAATGAATCACAGACAGCAAGGTCAGGTTTGCCGTAAACGACATTGAGGAAAGTCTTGATTGTGTTTGCGTCTTAATCCAAAGGAATTTTGTGTTTGCCACCTTCTTTCTCGTTTTTGCAGTCGGTGAGCAAGCTTGCGAATGGCGAAGAGACACACGCCAATACTGCACTTTCTACATGAAAATGGATAAAGCAGTCCTCTTTGTCTCCTTTGCAGATCAAGACAACATCGTTGAAGTCAATACGTGTCGAAAGAATGATGATGTGTTCAATTTTGTCCTCCTCTTTCTTTTCATCCTTTGGCTCAATGGCCGTTGTCTCGGCTTCCTTTGGAGAAGTTGTGTCAGTCATCTGGGATCGAAAAACTTGTAGATTTTCACTAGATCTTGGGTACGGTCTGACTTGTGAAGGTAAGATGAAGAAACAGAACACAAATTTGTGCAATTTCGATAGCATTTATTCACGGTATTTGAAGTTTTATTGAAGCGCCGTGGATGCACACAGCTCAAGTGCCCGTTACAATTTTGGCCCAATCGACTCAGCGCCGCATACACGCATTTAATAGACCCATTCACCTACCTAAAAGGAAGAAGCATACATAACATCAAACGATCGATTCATTCATAACTTTGTTACGGTAATAAACACTTTAAATAATCAGGGCGATCGACAGATTCTATTTGAGAAAGTGGCGTTCCACAACTTCGATAATGTCATACTTGTGCGGAATATCCTCAATGACTTTTTGAAATGCTACGATATCGCGAACGTCAAAGTAGCCAGCGGCTTCATCAGGTAGGAGTGTCTCGAGTGAGCAAAGACTTTGCTTGATGCCACAGCATATAGCATAGTTATGTTGGCAGCCGCAGGGTCTCTTGTCAAAGTTGATGCCACATTGGGTGCAAAAATCGCGCCAGTGATGCTTTATGGTAAAGATGAGCTCGTTCTCTGACAAATGCGATGCACCGAGCCGACCGTTTGCAACCAGAGAGAAGATAACAATCAGCTTCAAGAATGCCGCTTTGCCGTATCTGGTCTGCGAAAATGTCTCGACATTCGCTTCTTTGACTGCCAGTGAACGAAATGCGCTGCAAAGGTTAAAGATGCTCCTCTCGACCACAACATTTGCCAAGTACTTGTCTCCCATTTCAATAACATCAACCCAGTGACTGAAGGGTAGAACATAATGTATTCTTATACTCAGTACCTCTGTTAAGAATAGAGTTCCTTGCTTATACTCACTCAAAGCTTCCTTTTCCATCGCCAGCCTCATTTCGCTCCTGGAAGGTTGCATAAATGATGTGTAAGAACGATGATACGACTTTTGCGGGCTCAGGAATTGAAATTTCAGCCACATTCTCCTTATCTTGTGTAGAACAATCAGTAAACATATTAAGGAAAGTGGATGAGTGACAAGCTAAAACTGCTTTCTCAACTTGAAACTTTATTGTCTTTTTCTCGTTCTTTACTTTATCAATCGTTGAGCTGCATAAGATCAAGTCGGTGTGTGCGCCTCTTAGCTTATTCAGATAGACGATTTCCGCTTCTCCTTCTTCGACTTCTTCAGCTTCTTTCTCTGAAGCCTCCTTTCTTTTTTTGGTGGCTGACATTTTACTGGTTTGTCTGAGAGCTGGATATCTTAGCTAGAAAGAGCGTGCAATTCTGTAGTGATAAGTCTATAGAGAACAAACATATGCTTTAAAAAAAAAGAGAAAATTGATGCGATACTCATTTGTTCATTTCGGAAGCGCGGTCCCAATATTTCTTCCTTTTCGCGGTTTGAATTTTCGATTTTCAGGTCAGATCGCAGACTTAGCACCATCTAATAATGTTTAAACCATCAAACTTGGAGAAATGCTGACTTCATCTATTCACACTATCTATCAGAAAGGGTACAATATTGCCTATTTGATTATCATATGTTCATTGGTCTTTCGCTGTGTACATATATTGCTTCATTATTCATTCTTACAACTGAATCAGAACATGACTATATACAAGATCGAGAGGCATCTAGCTCAAGTACGTCAAATAAATCTTTGAGAGAATTGGTTTCTCTTTTGCTTTCATGTAGTCATCCAAAGCTTGTTGGAAGAAGAAAACTTCTTGAGTGGAGAAGTGTTGAATGGTTTCTCCTGTGAAGAAATGTTCCAGCTTATACAAGACTGTATCTTTGCTTCCTGCCAATGCTTTGTGATGACAACATGGTCCTTCACAGCCCCCACAAGCACATTCAGGGCTCCGTGGAAATTCGATTCCACACCTTTTCGAGTATGCTGGCCAGACTTGGTAAAAAACATCATGAATTTCTTGATAAACATATTTTGAAATGTTCAATGAGGATTTTTGCATTTCACCCAAGATGGTCAAAAGCTTGACTGCGGTGGCTCTACCGTACTTGACCGAAAAATTTGCCTTACCGGTGGCGATCAATCGAAAGACCACACATGCGTACCAGATTGCACGGTCAACAACCAAGCTGCATTCATATTTCATACCCATTTCGATGACCAACACCCAATGACTGTCGAAGTTGGCAAAGAAGGAAAAAGAGAGAGAACAATCAGCTCAGTGTTCTACTTCAGAAAAAACATGTACTTACTCAAAAGGCGTGATTTCATCTTCTGGCATGGAATAAAGAATGTTGAGAAACGAGACAACGGTGTAAGGTGATTCATCCATTCCAACTTCTGGCAGCTTGCCTTGATCGTTCTTTCCCGGTACATCAGCCAAACGATTCATAAATTTGTTCGAGTGACATTTCAGGAATGACTTTTCCACCTCAATTCGAGTAAAGCTTAGAACTCCTCTATTGTTTACTGATGAGCAGCATAAGACCAAATCACTGAAGTCCTGACGCTCTGCATTGATGTACCACAGCCTATCGCCCTCTTCGCCAGCTGTTAATCTTGCTTTTTTCTTTGGTGGCATTCTTTGAAGATATTTCACAGAAGATGATGGAGGGAGAGGGGGTAAAAAGGATGAAATTTTCGCACCTTTTATAAGGTGAACAAATCGATCAAAACCCTAATCATTCACATTCTCAGAATTTAAAGATAATTGTCATCGACGCATTCTTCCCACACCTTACTTATTCACGGCCATTGTGGCACCGCGATATTAACGGAGCCGCTTTTGATGCGGTGTCGTGCAGGCAGTTGACAGTCGATTCTAGGGAGATCAAGAACCATGCTCAGCATTCGTCGGAGAAGGAAATAATCCATCCTTTCCATACTCCCTTACAGTGTGGGTCTTACACAGGTAGAGTACCTTCTTGAGACTTTTCGCTATCAACCTTGACGCAAAATTATACACCTTTTGTAAGGCGAATAAATCGATCAAAAACCTAATCAACCACATTTTCAGAATTTAAATATAACATTAATTGTCATCGATGCATTCTTCCCATACCTTACTTATTCACGGCCATTATGGCACCGCGATAATAACGGAGCCGCTTTTGATGCGGTGTCGTGCAGGCAGTTGATAGTAGATTCTAGGGTGGTCAAGGACCATGCTCAATATTCGTCGGAGAAGGAAATAATTCATCCTTTCCATACACCCTTGCGGTGTGGGTCCTACACAGGTAGAGTACCTTCTTGACATTTTTCGCTTTTACACCTTTTGTAAAGCGAATAAATCGATCAAAACCTAATCAACCACATTTCTAGAGTTCGAACATAATTATCACCGACGCATTCTTCCCACATTTTTTTATTCACGGCCATTATCACACCGCTTTCGTCTACGGAGCCGCTTTTGATGCGGTGTTGTGCAGGCAGTTGACGGTCTATTTCAGCTGATCAAAAATCGTGCTCAGCGTTCGTCGGAGAGGGAAATAGTTCATCCTTTCCATACTCCCTTGCAGTGTGGGTCCTACACAGGTAGAGTACCTTCTCGAGACTTTTCGCTATCAACTTTGACCCGCCCATAAAGGACCATTATTGAACAGATCGTTCGCAACAAAAAGAATTGATAAACGGGAGCTGGACAGCACGAGCACCATAAACTCTTTGCCCCTTTTCCTCTTCAATAAAGTTACCGATCAAGAAATGTATCTACAGTTGAATCTTGATTGTTAGGATGATTTAATATTTTTTTGGTACGGAATTATTACAACTGACTGATTAGTCTTTGTAGAATTTATCTTTCTTGAAATACTTGAGCTCAAGATGGCCTTCGTAAGAACTTATGGATAAGATGAGGAACAGCTTGAATTCGAGAAGCTCGCTAATACTAAAAAGTGATCGTTCGCTTTCGTTAGCAATTCCCTCGAGATTAAAACTTGGCTGATCAAATATGCCATTATTGAAATACGTGCCAAAATCCGTTCGACACTTACGACACTCTACCTTAGATCTGGTGTAGCTTGGACTATAGATTTCTAGGCCTAAATATTGAAGTATCAACGTCTTTTTCTCCTTAAATGAAGTCTCGAGCATTGAAGCCTCGGCTATATTATCATTTATGGCCGAATGCCAGACCAAGATGAACTGCAGGAGAAACAGTCGTCCATATCGAGTTCTTTTCGACCATATTTGACGACCGTTTGACATAAGATCGGTAAAAGCAAAGTTGATTTGTGTATAGGCATGTCTTTCGACAGATCGTGCTTGATATTTCTTGGCCATTTCGATCACGTCTACACATAAACTGTTAGTAGTGTATAGAACGTTAGCTGCCTACCAAATCCTCTTTAGAGTCTAGTCACACCACTTACTCGAATGGCCATACTCCAGGTTCTTGACCGAAGACGATTTTGAGGAATGCTAGAACAAGTTCGTCTTTCTCTGGGAGATCAATTTGCCTATCTTTATCAACTCGATCACATGCTGTAAACATATCAGCAAAAATGACCGAATGATTAGCCAAAACAGCAACCTCAACGCCATAACGCTTGGTTTCCGCGACCTTTGTTTCAGGATTTATGCCTTGACAAATGATGATCAGGTCATTTTCTCCTTCTCTATCCTTGTTGATAGGAACTACTGCTGTTGAAGGATAGGATTTGTTTAAACACGATGCTTCTACTGTATATCTTGATGAGAAGAAACTCACCCTCCATTTTAACTTAAACACTCTTACACGAACGTTGAATCGAGTTAGATCGTAGGAGGAAAGATTGGGAAAGAGATGTCTCTTATAGCTTATGAATCTTGTTGATACGATGCTGAGCAGCTGACAAGTTTGATGCTGAGCAGCTTCATTTTATCAGATGAGTGTTCTTTCATCATAACACGGAACCGTAAAAAGAAAGCGGTACTATTAAGCAAGCTGCTACCCACCGGGATACTTCAGGCTGATCAAAAAAAGCGCTTTATTTATTATATTTTAAGAGTTTTGGTTATTTATGAAATTCTATAAAACAACGTAACATATAAGCACTTTTGAATATGATATAAGTGCTTTAGAAGCTCTCTTTTCTGAAGGAATCATATATATTAGTAGTAGGCAGGGATGTAGCGTATAAGATTAAGCAAAGTTTAAATTCTAAGAGCTCATTAATACTGAAGTTAGAGCGTTCATCCGCGGTGAACAGTTTATTGAGTTCAAAACTAGAGCCCGAAATCGTATCCGGATTAACATGTGGCTCGGATCTACTACAATAGTTACCATTGCTATTCCTCCTATTCATTTTGATATCTATAGCGACTTTCATCCCGCAAGAAGCGAGTATTAATGATGACTTCTCCTTAAAGGCCTTTTCAAGGTAAGATGCTTCAACAAATTTCTCCTTTGATGCTTGATGTAAGTTTAGCATAAATTTTAAAATATATAGTCGGCCGTATCTAGTATGTGTTAAGATTTTTTCTTCGATTTTTGAGAGAGCTTCGAAGGCAGCACATAAGCGAAGATAAGCTTGCCTTTCCACAATTCTTGCTTCATAATTTCTAGCCATCTCGATGACATCAATACAACGACTGTAAAGAAAATAGCTTATAAGTTCAGCTGATTACTAAATAATATAGTATCTAACTTACTCGAATGACCAAACTTCGGTGTCTATACCATAAACACAATTTAAGAATGTTTCAACTACATCAGCTTGTTCTGGTAGTTGAATTTGACCTTCTTCGCTAGATTTATCGTAATCGTCAAACGTATTTTCAAAAAATATAGAATGACAAGCTAAAACTGCTTTCTCAACCCCGAAACGTTTCACAACGATCTCTTCTTCTTCGGAAATATTCTTGTTAGAGCAATAGATGATCAGGTCATTCTTTGCTGCTCGAGATTCTTTGATCGGAATCACTGCTTCGACAGAGGAATGTTCGCCTCCTTTATCCGATTTATCTTCGCTCCAACCGTTTTCCATTTCGAAGAATTCACTAGCGGACAAGATGTGAACAGCAAGAAGGTAGTAGTGAATGGAAGCAGAACGAAGAGCCAGACATCCTGTTTTGTATAACTTAATATTATAAATGCTCAACAGCTTTGTTCGACTCGAAAATGATTTCATAAACGAGGGCTGAGGTTTCGACGGAAGCTGACATTGAATGTGCGGTGACGAAAACACCGCTGGGGCAGCAATAACACAGCCCACGACGTTTGGTCCTTTATCAATATATTACAGAATGTGTGCTGACGAGATGCTACTATGGTTACAAATTGGTACGATCCGGACCGGATAGACGGGTCCGCCATCAAATTTTGATATTGTCATCCTTGAAACAATAATTGCATTGCGTGCAAACGAAGAAGTAAATCATTCGATTGAATGTCCGCTTACTTTGATCCTGGAAGAATACCGATTCATTATTACCGCACTTTGGACAAGAATGTTCTCGCGATCGGGGCAAGGTCGGATCCTTCATCAATTGATCAATCACACCGGCCTGTTCCTTTGAAACGCTCATCAAATCGTTTCGGTATACCATCACATTGCGAGCCGGTTCCGCATATGGACATGTTCTGCATGAATTCATCAGCGTCATTGTTGATTGCTGTACTTTTGGGTACAGCAAATTGTTGCTGAGCAGTGCGAGAAGAATGGAAGTGGGATGTGTCAGTATTGATATGCCGATTCACACCAAGCGCATATCGAAGCTGCCAAGCCTTCAACCGATACTCACCATTCCGCACAGAAGTTGAGAGAAGCCATCCTGATCGATCCTTCCAATCTGCTTCAGAGATTGTGTGTTTGTAGATGAAAGGATGATGGATGGATGAATCAAGAAGATGCGATTTGATGTTGCATCAATTTTGCCGCTTAACATGCGTGCTTATAACAATTGTTTAAAAGCCTATTTTTGCCCTGGCGTGGCAGTTGAAAAATACGCGCTGCACAACGCTTACGCCTGCAGTTTCAAAGTGAAAGGGCTTCAGGGCGTGAAGGCCTTTCTTTATGTCCGAAGTGGGTGGGCGGGCGTGCGTGAGTGCGTTCATTCAGCAGCAAGCGGAAAATTGTCATTTCGCCTCCACGCAACAGACCACCATCAACCTAACCAAATCAAACATTCGTGCAAGATGGCTTCGATGAGATCATCTTTACCGTCTTTGAGACTCAACAGCATATCATCATGCGGTCATACAAGATCGATACCGAGATCAGTCGGTCGAATTGCCGCCAGAAACATATCTTCCAGTAGTGTGGCAACCACTTCACAAGTAACTTTGGCACATGCTCCCTTCCCTAAACGATTCTCAAGCCCGTTCACCTCGTCTCAAAGACCGATGAGAATGCCGCAATCACCACTTAAAGTACGTTCTATGACAACAATCACCCGTCAACCCGAACAGCCAGAAGAGCCAGAAGTGTTTGCGGGGGATACAGAACCAACAATCATCATCACAGATCGAGCGGCAGATCATTTAGCAAAAGTGTCTGAACGAGAAAGTAATCCAGATTTGGCATTACGGGTAACAGTCGAACCTGGAGGTTGTCATGGCTATCAATACAAGATGGACTTAACAAGTGAAGTGGAAGAAGATGATTTTCGATTTTCTATAGAAGGTAGAAATGTTCACCTTTTGGTCGATTCAATGTCTCTTCGACTCATCAAAGGAAGTAGGATCGATTATGTTACAGAATTAATCGGAAGTCAATTTGCCATCTTTGACAATCCACAAGCAAAAGGATCTGGTTGTGGATGTGGGGTAAGCTGGGAACCAAATTTGTAGAATAATCTTCTTTTAAGCGAGGCGCAAATATTGTGACTATATAAATTGAAACACTTCGTCAAATGAATAATTACAGAGAATGGGTATGATGTTCATGATGAAAGAAATATCGTATGCTGAATAAAGGGATGAAGTGAATAATGTACATTGCTTGTGTTATAACGTATCAAGTGGGGAGTATGCCCCTTTTTTGTGTTTCTCTCAATCTCTCCAACTTGCCCCACCAAATGATCGTGCTCCCGCATGTCCATGTGCTCCAATCCATTGAATTTCCAATTTGGGCGTTTCTGGAGGTTGCTCATCGATCAATGTCCTTTGACGTAATCGGGAAGACAACATCACTTTGACGGCAAGGTATCTACCCGAGATACCTTGAACAGAACCGAGCTCTTTATTTGCGCCCGAAACAAATTGTGTAAAATCAAACATTGTCTGACTGAATTGCAAATGTTGCATTCCAACCGGTAACAAAGCTGGCTTTGTGCTTTGTCCAGATGATTGTCCTTCTTTTTGTTTTCCTTTTTCATCTGCTTTTTCAATCGCAAACGGATCACCAAGCGTTTCATCATTTTCAAACGGAACAGAAACCGCCTTTGAAGATCGCCAATTGTACTCATTGCCAGGTGACAAGCCCGGTCCACGCACTCCGTATCGACGTGCGAGCCTGCGTACGTCCTCTTCCGAATACCCGTCGTACTCGTTCAGATCCGTTGTAGAGATTGGTGTCCAGCTGACAAAGATCAACGCAATCCATCGTGGACGCTCAGCAAGACTTGAAAACGAATTTGGCCATCCTTGTGTGGCATTCATGCTGGCAAACAGAGTGTGTCGATGTGGAATCTTGATGATCAGGCGAGACAAACAGAAGGTTGGTGTTGGGATAGATGCTGTCAGGTTGGTGCTCTTGGTAGCTTTGGGCGATCCAAGCAAAGCCGATCTGTAAAGGGTGATCTTTCTCTTTTCCAATAGTTCTTTTACAGTTTCGCCACCGTTGATAAATAGCTCTTCAGGAGTCATAAAATCTACATTGAGGTCTTTCTTTGCCTCCTTCAAGCATCTGTATACCAACTCCTGCTCTTCTCGTCCCAGCGAGTGTGATTGATTGCCCCTTGAAACGATCGCACGTGCAAATGATTCATGATCAACTTCATCTGCTTCCTGGCGTGCGTCCTTGCTTTGTTCAGCCATACGCAATTGATGCGCCATTCCGTTTGTGGCTGCTAAGAACTTGAGATTGATGTGCAATCCAGAAGCTTCAACCGAGCAAGTGCTCTCGTCATTGGACATGACGTTGGATAATCTGTTACTGTTGCTGCTGCTGCTCGGTTCATTGCCAGCCTCCTTTGATGATTCATCTTTGTTGTGATGAGAGCCAATCAAAGCAAATCGTAATGGGAAACTCGTATCTTCAAAAGTGGAAGGTAGAGTGCGTTGTGTGATGATGTTCTCTGCCATGCCTGCAAATCTTGCTGCCCGTCCAATACTGAAAGGTGTAGCAAGGGCATCGACAAGAGCGATCAGGGCTAGACCTGCTGTCCCGATCGTATCAGCATCATCCAATGATACAGAAGGTGTTGTGGCCAATACAGTCTCCAGACTTCTGGATTGCACAATCACATTGTCATCAAATGAAAGTCGATCTTGGTTTGGTAAAGGAGCCCTCAAGAGTGACGAATGGGATCTTGTCCTTCTGCGGCGGTAGTTGAATCCAGATTGATTCTGTACCTGTTGTAACGATCTGATTACTTGTAGCGTGTTGAGGGTCAGTTGTCGATTTACAGACTCGTTGAAGACATTGCTTGAGCTCAATCGTCTATTCTCAGATCGCCTAAACGTACGGAGATTTGGTGCAGCATCACGTACAGTTCGTCTTCGCACGAGTGATGAGCCAGACGTTGCTTGTGGCATAGGTGTTGCAATGACGGTTTGCGTATCAGAAGTGTCTTGCTGTGAAGGAGAAGACAACCCTGCAGCACCTGGCTGGTCATTGTCTCTATCTCTTCTGCTTCTTTCAACAACTCTGCCAATCCTTCCTTGTTGTTGACGTAATTGATCCAATTCCATTCGTCTTCGCGCCACTTCCGTCCGTAGTCGTTGTTCACGCTCTCGCAATTCACTCTGTCTAGATCTGAATTCTTCCCCCAAGCGTGCACCAATGGAGGATAGTCTCTGATTGCGGGCAAGTCCATTAGAACGAATGTCTTCGGCAGATTGCCTTTGCGGTTCAGGAGATGGTGTACTTTCACGATATGCTGTTCTGCGTTGAGGCTCCTCAGATCTGCCGGAAGCAAATTCTGCTCGTCGAACGGGCGCAGAAGGCGTACTACTCGCTTGACGATTATCTTGTCCTTCTGTTTCAACTTCAACTGATGGTCTTCGACGTTGACCGTTCGCACCTCGAACCTCCTCTAACATACGAGCAAGATCGTCTGAGCTCAAACTTACATCTCGCGTAAGCGGACGTGTGATGCGCGGATCAAAAGGATTAGGTCGACTTTGCGTCGTTTCGGCATTCTGAGTAGCATGATCGATAAGACCAGGACTGGCAGAAAATGATGGGCCACGGAACCATGTTGTCACGTTCTCACTTCCTTCATCGCGAGTACGGCGAACTGGACTAGTAGGACGTGGATCGATGACGGTCCAGCCATCAACGACATTCCAAAGCTCGCCACCTGCTTCAACATTTTGACTATTTTGCAATGTATCGCTTGAAGCAGTGAAATTACTTTCTTCATCTGCAATCACACGGGCAGATCGATTCCTTTGACGTTGAGTGACACCAGCATTAGCACCGGTCACAACTCTTCTTCGGACACGCAAAGGTGCTTCTCCAACATCTTCCACCATTTCCCCATTAGGATCGTCATATGGATTAGAACCAGAGGGTGTAGCGTTCATTGCTGCCATTCGTGCTCTTGCCATTTGATACCAGTCACTGGAAGTGCCATTTGGATCATGTTCATCTTCATCCATATTGGATGCAATTTGTAAGGAAGACATTTGCTGTGCTAAGTCATCATCTACCGTTGGCGAATACCATGGAAACACTTGTGATGGTCGAACAGGACTTGGAGGATCTTCAAAGCGTCTTGGTGGAGTGTTTGCATTGTTCACACCATCTTCTGTCTCCAAGCCATCCAATGCCCGAAGTCTTCTAATGTACTCCATTCCACCACGAACTGCTCTTGAAGATCGATCATTTGCGCTTGAAGCAGGTTCTGATTGGTTTTGTGCGTTCCTCTCGCGCATCCTCTGTGCCATACGTGCAACCCTTTCGGCAGCTTCGCTACGAGGAGTAGGAGCCTGATTGACGTTTGCTGTACTGTCAGCATTCCCACCTTCCCTCGCAAGACCGGGCGGAGGCGTTGGGGCTAAAGCAGCTGCATTTGAGGGCACAGTCAGAGCACCTTCATTCTGTTCATTTTGTGGTGCGCCTGTGCCTATAGCCGCCGATCCTGTTGAAAGATTCGATCGTACGCTAGCTCGATTGCTTGGATCAAGAGACGGGATTTGCAAAGCATTCCATGGTGACGTACTAGAAGCAGGAGGTGGTGCTATAGGTAATCGAGTGGATGCACGATCACGCGTACGTGGATTGGAGAAGATGTCATCAAACGCATCTGTCGTTTGATTCTCAGAAGGCGCATCAAAATCAGGCGGAGGAGGTCGACGACTGACTGAGGGAGAAGTTCTTCTGGTTGTACTGGGAGAATCACGACGACTCGAAGTACCTCCAGTACGAAGTGCAGTGTTACGAGCACGACGAGTTTCTTCGCTTGTCGGTACAGCTGTCGTATTTGTTCCATTTTGATTCGTGCTTGTACGAGAATTTGCACGTCTGGCCAATTCACCACGAAGCCATTCCCCAGCGGCACCAGGATACCTTCTCGCCCAGATTGGGTGGGGTAATAATCTTGCTGAATTTGACGCTGTTCCGGCTGGTCCCATAACATCGGGACGAGGAATGGCGGCAGAGAGTGCGAGCATTGAAGCGGCGATGCCTCCAGAGATACCGCGATTGTGAGCGTTTGTACCTAGTCCCCCAGCAGTATTTCGACCACGACCTCCAACACCGGCACCTATCGCCAGATCTTCCACCATTCGATCCCAAACTTGACTCTCAGCTGCATATTCGTTTGTCAGGTGAGACACAGATTGTGAAAATCGGCGACGTTCCGGGCTTAATCCATCAGTCCTTCGGTCGTTACTTTGCCTTCTACGCTCTTGCGTTGGACGCAGTGTTGAAGCCAGAACCTCATCCTCTGTCGCATCGCTATCGTAATCTTCTGACAAGTATGCATCGAAAAGGTCTGCTACGTCTGCCGGTTGCTCGTTCGGTTGTGATAGATCTCGAGCTGCTGAAAGATATGCATCTAGTGACGAGGAAAAGATTCGTTCTGAAGGTGCACGTTGAGGTGTCTGTTCTGTCCTCGCATTAATGAGACTTTGCGGTAAGAGATGATAAGATCGTGCTGCTGCAATCGCTACTCCTTCTTCATTTAAGCGATGTAGTCTTGCAACTGCTGTTGCCGCTTCTTCTTCTACATTTAAATTTCGTAGTCTTGCTCCTATTACTACTAGCTCAGTGATCGTTGTTTGTTGTGAAGATCTCCATTCAAATCTTGCAACTTCTGCTGCACGATGTAAGCTGGCAATTTGAGCGGCAATGGGTGGCGCTGATAATGTTTGAAGGTGCAATGATGTTGAAGGTAAAGATTGACCTAGATAATATGATGGAAATTGACTTGGAATACGCAAATCTTGATGAGGATTAGAAGGATCATCGCCAGGCCTTTGAGATGAACTCATGATGACCTTTGTAGATGGATGAAGGATTTGTATGTATGAAAGCGGCTGAAAGGAATCCTTTGCCGCCAATCAATATAAAATCCTGAATTATATTTCTTCTTTTTGCACCCTCGGCTCCTACGATGCACCGCACATTGATGCAATTTGACGCCTTTTAATGTGATTTTTGAAAGAGAATAATGAGATCAGATGATGGTTTGAGAAATAAAAGAAAAGGGGCTTATGAAAGGGAATTCATGACGCCGTTCAAAGAATGATGGTTTTTATAAGGAGTTGTGAATGAGAATTGAGTTGTAAACAAAAATAATTGCAATGTCTGGCACAGGGCCACTCATAATCCAAACTAATCAAAAGCGTGTAATGTATGCAATAAAACACCTTTGCTGAGTGGAGTTTGATCATTTGGGCGCCTGAACCCAGTGTACGCGATATTAATGCGTTTTTAAGGTACGTACAAAAGAGTTATTCATAGCAGGCGACCCTTTCCGTGGCGCTGCTTTTGACATGAAGAACAAAATGAATCGCGGTCGCCGCTTTTTATGCATTTCGCCTTTCGATCTGAATAGCATTCATGCAGAAAGGTTAATTGCCAGTGATGTCAAATGTTGGGAAGATCTGATTGGATCAGTACCTTTCTCTCACGATCGCATGAAATTCAATTTTCCCAAACTAGTCGACATGGTCAAAACATTCAAAAGCCGATTGTAAAATAGCATTGACTCAAAATGCAAAGAAACAAGATGTGTAAAGAAGGGCACCCTAGTCGAGCTCAAAAGAAACAAAGGGACATATCATCAGAATGGTATCCAACCAATTAGCCGCGGCTAAAATTTCAAGACGGCTTCCAGCCATTGCTATCTACTCCAATAATAGGACTTGATCATTTTCATGACGAAATGCTGTTGATCTATCACAGTGAGAGATATCAATCATTGTTCGTGTTCTTCTAAATATAGAGCAGCGAAGCAACGTAAGTGATCTTGTCTCACATATAAAAGTACTTTTTGCTTGTTTTAATCACTTCCTTTCTCACCTTCACCTCATTTCCACACAAAAGACGTTGATCGTCTTATCACTCATTTGCTTTCACTATTGGCCGGGTGCCTTTCATTCTGCTAGAATAAATCATACTCACTATTCATAATAATCATTTACCCCTATCGACATGTCTCATTATAATCCACAAGATCCTCATCAAAGCATATACGTTACCAACAGTGAACTTGAAAGCATGGTCGGAATGGACAGACCTTTAGTGGTCGTTTCCTCACCACCGCTTCTTGGTATTCCACAAGATCGTCAAAGTGTATACCATCAAAGTGGAATAAACGGAAGACCTGTTGCCGATGTTCCCGCAAGTCCCAACCCCGGTGGTTCAGAAGTCAGTCAATGTTTTCCCGCTTCTGCACCAGCTGCGGTTCAAATGAATGCGCGCAATCACTTCACCACAGTGACAAATGAAATGGAAGAAGATCAAAACTACTTCTCATACCGTCCACCTCCTCACCCTAATGTGGGACCAAGACCATCACAAAGTGGTCCTATGATCAGACGTGCTTCTGTTGCTAGCTCACATCCTAACAACACGCCTCAACAGCCAGGAATGGCAGCTTTCCCCTCTCAGAATGGTCCGATCAAACCATCGCCACTCGGTGGAGGCAGAAGAGGTCCAACTTCAAGACCTGGCAGTGTTTTCAGTATCGATAGCCGTTTCAGTTCTGCTCCCATTCCTGTTGCACCTCCAAGAGCAGCAGACAATTTTGCCCGTCAGTCAAGATTGAATGGATCAAACGGTATCTTACCCGTTCATCAAAATTCAACACCTGTCTTGCGCTCTGTCAGTACGTCTACTCCGCAATTGGTGCAGAGAGTGAACGATCCACAAACATTTCATGCTTTTGGCATTCACAATACTAGTACCCCGAGAATCAATTCAAATATCGGCTTCCAACCAGCGTTGCAGCCAATCATGCAAACGCCAACGGATATGCAAGCTGATACAACTTTGGAGATGGATTCGGAGAAGCAACAAGATCACAATCCAGATGCCCAACGTCCTCCTCCCCCACAGTATGCCTCTTTTACCAATTCATTGAGTAATCTGTACGGTAGGATGTGGGCAACACAAGACGGTCGGAAGCAAACAAATGTTTCTATGGTGAATCGCAACGGCTCTATGGATTCTGTGAATTCAGATGCAACCCTTTACACTCACACGCATCACGGCCGTGAAAATGGCATGGCTACCATTTTGGGCTTTCACGATGAGCCAATGGAACCTGATGACCCAAGATTGACTGGTTTCAGACGCAAGAGTGTCGAAGAAAAGAGACCATTCATCGCAAGAAGAACAATGTCTACTCGTGATGACAGCTTTATCTCACAAAACGGTCAATCCAACGGACGAGGACGATCAAGAAGCTTTGGTTCTCTTGTCAACCCAATTAAGAACCACAAAGTGTTCAACGGTGGCTTGATGGCAAAGAAAGAGCATGGATACCACAGCAGTATGGAATCACACATTGATCGTCGACGTAAATTCATCCTGAAGATGGCAAGAGCTTTGATGCTCTTTGGTGCACCTTCTCACCGTGTCGAAAGTCAGTTGAATGCACTTGCAGGTGTTTTGCACGTTGACGCACAATTTATTCACTTCCCAGGAATTGTGATTGCAAGCTTTGGGGAGAGCGAGACCAACCTCTCTCAAACCCACTTTGTCAAGTCCAAAACAGAGATTGCACTCGGTCGATTGAACGAGCTGCATGCTTTGTACAAAGAAGTCATGAGTGACAAGATTCCAATCTCTGATGCATCTGTGCTCTTGGATGAAATGTTTTCCAAGCCTCCTGAATGGTCAAATCTCTCACGAATTCTGTTCAGCATCATCAAGTGCGGTATGATGGCGCCCATCAATTTTGGTGGATCATTTGTGGACATTTGGATTTCAGCGTTGTTTGGTGGCTTGTTGACATTCAGTCAACTTTGCTTGGCAGGAAACAATCAAATGTTCTCCAACGTGTTTGATATTGCTGTTGCAATCCTTTTCAGCTTTGTTTCTCGTGCTTTGAGCGTCAAGAGCGTGTTCTGTTATGAAGCAATAGCAAGTAGTGGATTGATTGGACTTTTGCCAGGATATGCTGTTTTGTGTGCTTCACTCGAGCTTGCATCCAAGAACATGATGACAGGTTCAGTTCGTATGGTGTATGCCGTGATCTACTCGCTTTTCTTAGGGTTCGCAATCTCGATCGGATCTGATCTGTATTACTGGATCGATCCGAAAGCAAGAAAGGATATTTTCCCTACTCTCGCTGATCAAATGCAAGTCGTGGGCTCATTCATCCTCTCAAACGAAACAATGCCTCATTGGACAGGTTCATTCACATTCTCAAATGCAACTGCCGTCTCTTTGCATCACAGTGCCAGTTCGATCGGATGTTATCGTGAACCTGAATGGCCATGGTGGCGTCAATCTGTGCCACCTGTGTCCAAAGCAGCCACTGTGCCAATTTTCTCATTCTTGTCGTGCTTGGGTCACCTTTTACCATTGAAGACAAAAGAGGTCCCCGTAAGTGTTTTCATTGCATGCGTCGGATATGCTGCCAACATGCTTGCAAACCGTTACATCTTTGATCGCAGTGATGTAGTTTCGGCTATCGGAAGTTTCGTGATTGGTATTTTGGGAAATGCCTACTCACGTATTTACAACGCAACCGCTTTTACTGCCATCACAGTTGCCGTCAATTTCTTGGTGCCAAGTGGAATGGCAATGGCTGGTGGTCTAGCGATGACTTATCAAGGCTCGGACGGTGATCTTTACACGAACGGGTTAAGTTTGGGTTTCCGTATGGTGCAAGTTTCCATTGGTATTACAACTGGATTGTTTGTCAGTGCGATCTTGGTCCATATGCTGGGTAATAAACGTTCGAATGCGGTCTTGTTTGCGTTTTAGATGGGATCTGATGGATTAATGTACTCTTACCTTTTTATTTTTAATAGAATGCTCCTTTAATGCAAACATTCGCATGGCTGATGGTTTCCACTAAGGGAGCGATGTACTAAATGATTGTCATTCAATAATTTAGCTGTAGTGTATTGCACATTTGTAGATTTCTAGATTTCGATTCCGAGCTGATGTTTATTGTTTCTTTTCTTCGGCGGCCAAGTTGACCTGCGGTGGGGAAAAGGGTGGATACAAGGTCAGCTACTACTTCTTACCTGTCAGATTGCTACTCCTGCACTCACGTTCTCACCGGCTTTACCATCCTTCCATTCTTGGTAACGCAAAGCCATGAATCCACGTTTGTCAGCCTTGACACGCTCTTCCTCTTTGAGTGCTTGACGTGTAGCACGAGCACAGATGGAAGTGTACTTGTTGTACCTGTAAAGAGAGAGAAGTGACGAAGCGAGCAGGCCATGTGTCAGTTTAGATTGTTCTGTTTCCATATCAAAAGCCGAAAAGTCGAGCAGCCGAGTCGGTGATGATTAGAGTGCTGAAGATACATACGTGAAGTATTGGCGCCAAGCAGCTGCAGAAGACATTATGATCTAGTTTCTGAAGGTGAAGTTGATGGTGATGAGTCCAAGTGTGAATGATCACTTTCAATTCAAGCAAGCAACCTTCTTGAGAACATGCATCTTGATTAATGTGTGCTAAAAGGGCAGACAGGGCAGGCGTACGCCTTCAAGACAGCGCGCGCACAAACACTGGCTATGCGTATGTTCACTCACTGCTGGGCTGCCGACAAGCCCGAAGAAGAATGACACGTGCTGAGAAGTTATTGGGGATCTTCTTGACCGGGAAGAAAGGAGACGCGTGAGGAAGAAGCGCTACTCAAAGTTGGTTTCTGTTGTTGTTCCTATTTTTAGGGTTCAAAGCTCCACAACCACTTTAGAAGATGATCATCAAGGAGGCAACTATTTCATAAAAGAAGCATACATAGGAGATCAAAGTTGTATCCCTTTATAGCATGCCATGTCGGCAATGCAAGTATCGCAAGCATTGCCAGCTGCAGGTACAGCAGGCGATCATAAAAAATCCTCTACAGTAACAAAAAGACCTACCCGCAAACGAAGAAAGTCGGAAAGTGATGAGGGAAATGAAGCATCTCGAAAGGAGTCTTTGACCGGAGCACTCGCTCGTGCATTGGTGGGCACACTTGCATTCGTTTTCCGTGCTCCAGTCCGTCTATTTAGACCGGTAAAGTTGTCGTCTTGGAGCTTGTTAGAGGCAATGGCACAGAGGGAAGGCAGGAAGCTCTCTTTTCGATATATGAGAACACTGATACAACGTGAAAGCAAGTCTTTCTTACCACATTTACTCATACCGCCTCTTTTGGTCAATACAACGATCGGCTTCTGCCTATTTGAAGCATACTCTCTTACAGAAGCACATCTTGTCAACAAATATTATCCACGCCTTCCAATCGTTGGTGTGTACGATCTCAATACCGATGAGAAAAAGAATTCAAATGAAACTTCAAAGGCACGATCTATAGACACATTTACGCCACTTTGGATTGTAGCTTTGGCTGGAGGAGCAGCAGGAGCAGCACAATGCATCGTCTCGGCACCATTGGATAACGTTCGAATCGTTCTAACATCACAAGTCAACAAGCCAAAGCGATTTCAACATGGTGCAAGAACAGTACAACGTCCACCTCAAATCTCGTGGCTTGCAGTTGCCCGTGCTGCTATCTTGCCTTTTGCTCCTGAAATCACGCATAGCAAAATGGTGAAAAAGGTAGCTGAGGGAAGGAAGGTGAGAGCAAGTACAAGTGATGCAAACCAAACAGAATCACAGCGAAAGCTATGGGAGAAACGCATCAAACGATGGAGAGGAGGAGTACATGGTGCAGGGTTGGTGATGTCGCTGGCAAGAGATTCAGTCGGCTTTTCGGCCTTCTTTTTGGTTTTTGAAATGTCAAGACGATTGGCTTTTCATGTTTCTTTGGGTGTGGATCGGACGATTGCTTTCTTCAATACGTCTGCCACACTTCCAAAAGGCTTGCCAGCTGATGCTAATCTAGACGAGGTTACAATCGAGAACGAGTCAGGGCAATTAGTTCGTACAGGTGATATTTCTTATTCCCGATCTCGAACAAAGACTGGTCGTATTATCGCAGCATTGGTTTTAGTGATTGGTGGTGCATTTGGTGCGGCAATCTATGAGCTTGTTGGAAGACCTGCAGAATTGATGAGATTGGTCGTATGGGAAGGAAGAAAGAATTGGGAACGTGGCGAAAAGCCATCATCTCCAAAAACAGGCACAGAGAAACCACCAATCGGAAGACAGCATACTGTTGGAGCACGGTCTAGGTATAGCAAGATTATTCGCCAAACAGGTTCTCAGCTAAGAGCTGGAGGATTTTTGGCACTCAGAAGCGGCAATTCTACAGGATCGAATGTGAGCAGGATAGAAGGTCAACGCTTGCAGCATTTCAACAGACCACCACACCCTCTCAAATTGCGACACAAGAATGTCGAGAAAGAAGCGACTGAACAGATCGTTCGACAAACTCCCGCTTCAACTCACCTGACCGGCAACAGAAGGAAGCGTCACGGCCAGTTGAAGATCAAAAGGCATCTAAAAACATCAAATACCCGGCCTGAACCTCGTGTCATGCCACCACTCAGCACTCGTCCTTCAGCATACTCACTTCTCTTAGAACATGCACAACGTACTTCCTCTTTGCGATACCCTTCCATCAAAGAGGCAAGCTTGCGTATCCACCCTACTCCTGTGCCCAAACCAATTCTTCTCTTTCACACATACTTTATTGCCCCTTTCAATTCGCAAGACAAGCAAAGAGCAATCGTGACAAAGACTCCGACATCAAATGTGAAGCCTGAAGGGTTTGGAGCGAAAGCATCTGCCCAGGCGACTTCTTCGGCGACGAGCAAATTGTTGCCGATCTATAGAAGGCTGTTAAACGTTTTCAATTATCGATACCCTGAAAGCAGTGCACCTGGAAGTGTACGATCCGTTTCACAAGCACAAGCATGGGGAACGGGTAGGGTTGCTTGGGCATTCCGTCGACTTGCATCACCGTATGGTGTTGGATTCATGGTTTTCGCATGGATGTCAGGAGATTTATCTGCATAAGAGAGAGAAATTATAGAATCGTGTATTACTAGTATTACTCATGCCAATCATGTACAATATGCAATCAAAGGTATCTTATTTCCGTTATATTCCTGATGGCCATCTCTGTCGCCATCCTTCTGTTTGTGGTCGTTCGTCTGCTACATCACTTCGAACGCCTCCTTCACCTTCGGGTCCAGGTCCTAGACGTGTGAGGATCATGGCATCATCCGATACGAATGCAGCTTTTGCACTACCCCAACCACCACTTTTTTGAATTTTTGACCAAACGTATTCACGTAAAAAGATGATGAATTGAGCAATCATGAATGAAATCACCGTTCCAACACCAATTGCGACAATGTATCCCGATACTGTTCCTGTTCCATGTTCACCTTGATTAAGGAAGTCATACGGATAAAAGCCTTGGGCTGCATAAGTGATATAAGCAACGCCAACGTACATTGCCAAAAGTAGCACAGTAAAAAAGCAATGACTCCAAGGTAACATTGGATTACGTGAAAAGATTATAATATCCGACATTGTGAACATGAGATTAAAAGCATGAACGCTTAGGTTCTCCCATGTTGATCTTGTATCGTAAAATGCACCTCCCGATAAAATTGTCCAAAATACAATCGTTACCAAAAGTGGATATGTACTTATCGTGCTTACCAACAATGCATGGAAGAATTGTAGTGGTCGTGGAAACGATTTGCTTAACCAGCTTTGTGCTTTGGCGATTTGATTGCTTTGATCAGCACTGATTTGTCCGGCTTCGGCTTGTTTGGCTGATGAGGTTTGATCATTCTGGGTTGCCCTTTCCCATCTTTTGTACGACAGAATGTACGATGCCGTATGAATTGATGATATGGTAAAATAACCCCAAATACCCCAATAACTCAGGATCGTTCTGTTTTTTCGATGAGCATGTTAACAAAAAGTATCGTATGTAGCACCTTTCCCTGACTAATACTCACAAGAAGCTGAATTCTTCAGGTCCTCCAAAAACATATGCAAGTATAATCGTCACCAAAGTATAGACTGATATCAAACTTCTCCAAGCCAGCAGTAGTGTTGGTGATAGAATGTATGAGGTCACATACCTGGCCTGTGGATCAAAAGGTGTATTGACACCTAACCAAGTATAGAGGCCTTGTACGAAGCCCATCTTGTGGGAAGAGGGGTGGATGATGGCAGACAGTATAAAGTGGAACTTCACTTATTCAACATCTTTTGAAAAGCAGCCACAATCGAAAGCCACGGGGAGTATTCATGCTATTGTACCCTTGCATGAAAAAGAGGCCGAATGCAAATCACCGCTTGACAACTTTTATTCCCATTACAATGTCCATGGAATTGACAAGATTATGCAGAATTCCAAACTAAGAATCCAATTTAATCAATCAAATATATGTTTTACCTTTGATTCTCTCCACTCTTTAGTAGCCAGATGCGTGCATTCAACCGTTAGCTCATAAATCAACTCTACCATACATTCAATCCAAAGCGGGAATACGATTCGATTAAATCCGTATTAACGCGGTTCCGATACCCGAGATAGGATTCTTCTTTTTCGAAAAAAGGATATGAAATATGCAGTGCTTACATCGAAAACAACACTTACGGTTAATCTAGGACATCTTCTTACGATCAAAAGCTTGATAATAGGATAGTGCTCGCTTGTAAGGAAGACTTTGCTATCATCCTGAAAAAGCCAACAAGAATTAGCGCGAATCGAGGAGAGAAGTTCGGGAGGTAGGTCTCTGGCATCTTTCAGTGCATGGGTACGTGCGCGTATTGAATAAAAGGAGTAATTCGCGCAAAGCAAAGCAACTTCAGTTTAAGCCTTGACCTCAAATCTCCACCATACCGAGCTAACCATCATCTGTACTCAGTCGATATGGCTAACGAGACCAATGGAACATCCTCTGCTGCTACTAGCAGTAAGGGAAAGGCAGCAGATAATGCAGATAAGAATGAGGGCGGCAATCGTGTTGCAACACCTGCTCTTGTTCCAATCAGAAATCAATACTTGACTGAACTTGGTCATCGAATTCGATCTCGTCCAATTCCATGGGAAGGTTATGCTCGTGCAGATTTGGTCACTCAAGATGAGCTTAAAATGATCAGATCAATCGATGGAAAAGATGAAGAAGAATCACAAAAGTTATTAGATCAAGATGGAGAGAAGTATGCTTCTTTATACATTCGACTACTCAACAAATTAACAAGAACAGACACTTTACAACAAATCTTGGTTCTCATGGGTGATATGCTAGAAGATCATGATGATCGTGCTGCTTTATTTCTCAAAGTCAAACAAGCCGATCAAGGAAATACATGGCCTTGGCATCCTTTACTCAAGATGCTCGAGGTGCAAGATGATTTCAGCCAGCTCAAAGCAGCCCAACTTCTCACAATATTACTCGTCTATCCTACAGACCTAGAGAGCAAGAAAATCCCTTCTCACGTCCTGGATCGTCTGCTCACATTCTTATCTGCTTTGATCAATTCCGGTGCAGCAAGCGGGGATACAGCTCGTTCCAGTGCACCAGGATCAGGCACATTGCGTCCTCCATTGGCACAAGGCGGATATGCAGAAGGAAATGGATCAGATGTAGGCATTCAATTACTCGAAGCACTCCTTCGCTCAAAGAGATATCGTAACCTCGTCTGGCAAGATGAGGTACGGAAGATTGGAATGACAGATGGCAAAGATATGAACGAAGACGATGGCGGGAACAAGGATCATGTGGCTGCTAGCGAATATGAAAGCATCATTGCTGGATTACGTGCAATTCTAGCTTACAGTCTCGTCCCAAAATCAGGCGGTCAACAGAGTCATTCGCAATCGGGAACATCGACGCCTAACACCCAAACTACCAGCAGCCAAGCAACTCGTGTACCAGACAATAAATCATCTTCGGGATCACGAACACCAACTGGGAATGTGGGCGTTCAGATGGTGTATCAAGCAGTGTTCTGCATTTGGTTATTCAGCTTTGATGAAGATGCAGCTTCGGAACTTAATATCAAATTTGGCTTTATCCCGATCCTTGCTGATGTAGCACGTAGTGCTGTCAAAGAGAAGGTGGTTCGTATCGTCGTTGCAACTTTGCGAAATCTGGTCGAGAATGCACCATCACCAAATACAGCAGCACTGTTGGGAAGCAAAGGTTTGCCCTTGATGGAATCACTAGCATCTAGAAAGTGGAGCGATGATGAAATCACTGAAGATATCAACTTTGTCAAAGAGGCTCTAAGCGAAAAGCTCAAGGTGATGAGCACGTACGATCAATTCATTTCAGAACTGGCATCAGGTAGACTTTCATGGGATAATCCTGCACATTCTTTAGATGATTTCTGGAAAGAAAACACATCAAAATTGTTGGATACATCAACAACAAACGAAGAATCAGGAGAAAAAGGAAGTGGATTAGAAATGTTATTAAAGTTAATCAAAGATGCTGATAATATCGATTCTACTACTTTGGCAATCGCTTGTAACGATATCGGAAAGATGATTCAATTCTCACCCGAAGGAGGAGCACGTAAACGAGTGGAAAAGGCGGGTGGAAAGACGTACATCATGGCACTCATCAATCATTCGGACGGTCAAGTGAAATTTTATGCACTACATACAGTCTCAAGACTTGTTTCTGCCAGTTGGCGGACGTAAATACGGAAGTTCTCCCTCATCTTCTCATTATACAGCAACCTTTATATTCCAGAATACAATTCATTTTTATCTGCACTCATTCGCTCGCGATTATCAAGTTCATAGATCTTTTCTAGTATATCGAGAGAGAGCATCTACATTGAGAATGCATTTTTGGGACATAGCATCTTCTCTGTTGGGGGAAGAATGGTCCAACAAGGTTAAACATATAAAATGTATGAAAAGAGAATAAGATAGTGAATATAGAGTAAATGACCGCTCAATAAACTCTACATTCGTATATCAATACATGATTGACACCAAAATAAAACAGAATACCGTGCAAAAAAGACATAGTAAACAAAATCGGAAAGCCACACTTCTCTGGCTTCCCGTTAAATCTGAAAAGATCCTTAAATCAAATCAGCAACATCGTGAGGCATTTCTTGAACTTCAGTAGAGTAGAATTGTTCAATGTCACGAAGCATACGGGTGTCTTCTTGGGTGACAAAGTTGATTGCGACACCCTTACGACCGAAACGACCACCACGACCGATACGATGGATGTAGTTTTCGCGGTTACTTGGCAAATCGTAGTTGATAACCAAAGAAACTTGTTGAACATCAATACCACGAGCCAAAAGATCAGTTGTGATCAAAACACGAGAAGAACCTGAACGGAATTCTTTCATAATAACTTCACGTTGTGCTTGGTCCATTTCAGAGTGCATTGCTGAAACTGTGAATTCACGAGCGTGCATCTTTTCGGTCAACCAATCAACCTTTCTGCGTGTGTTGCAGAAGATAACTGCTTGTGTGATAGTAACTGTTTCGTATAAATCGCAAAGGGTGTCCAATTTCCATTCTTCCTTGTCAACGTTGATGTAGAATTGTTTGATACCTTCCAAGGTCAATTCGTCACGTTTGACCAAAATACGGATTGGGTCACGCATGAATTTCTTGGTAACTTCCAAAACATCAGTTGGCATTGTAGCGGACAACAAGTTGACTTGTGTGTCTTGGGGCAACAATTGGAAAATTTCGTACATTTGATCCTTGAAACCACGGGACAACATTTCATCAGCTTCGTCAAGGCAGAACATCTTCAAATCATCAGTGCGGAATGCACGACGGTTGATCATGTCGTAAACACGTCCAGGTGTACCGACGACGACTTGAGCGCCACCAGCTTGGAATTTGGACATATCTTCACGAACGTTTGTTCCTCCAATGCAAGCATGGCAAGAGATGTTCATGTAATCACCCAAAGCCATGACGACCTTTTGAATTTGTTGAGCCAATTCACGAGTAGGTGCCAAGATCAAAGCTTGAACGTTCTTGTTGGCAGCGTCAATTCTTTGCAAAATGGCGATAGAGTAAGTGGCGGTCTTACCGGTACCGGATTGAGCTTGAGCAATGACATCGTGTCCCTTGATAACGGGAAGGATGGCACGAGATTGAATGGCGGATGGGCGTTCGAAACCGTAAGCGTAGATACCGCGCAACAATTCAGGCTTCAATTCCATGTTATCGAAGTTGTCAGTGACCGTGTCCCAGTTGGACTCAATCTCGCCATCGGCGATTTGAAGGTCATTGGGGGCTTCTTCCCTGGAAGGATAAGAAAGAGAGGAGGGAGAAATGTCAGAAAGAGCTGCACAGAGATGGTCTACAGATGAGAAGAGATGCGGATTCGCGCCTTTCTAGCAAAGAGGCGCTGCTCGCCACCCCAATCTTCAAGGTCTACAAGGCATTCGACTTTCCCATTGCGTGTCTACCGCCATACGCCACTTCATGCCCTACTTTTCCTCCCTGCAATATCTTACATCTCCCATTCCTACGATATCTTCCCTCTCTCGGTCATTGACACTCACTTAGACATGATTGAAAGTGTTTTTTTTGTGTAACCTCAAGAAGACGACTTTGGCCGAGCTTACTTGAGATCGATGAGTTTTTTGTTTTAAGAAGTTGTTTTGAAATGAACAAATAGGGGCCTGCTGATAGAGAGGACCCAGAAGTTCAAATTCGTGTAGTTGTTTTGTTTTTGTTAAGAGTGGTGGTAGTCAATGACGGCGATCAATACTTTTTTCCTGACTACAAAAAAATGGAAAAATTCAAATTTCTTCTGGCCTTCACGCCTTTTTTTTGCGCCTTCTTGCCAAAAAATAACGCGCCCTGCTTTGCTGCTTTTCATGCTAAGGTCCTTCTTCTCTATAATGGCCTGCGTGTGCATCTTATGCCGTGCTCTGTCTTAAGACCTTCCTCCTCCTGGCCTGCTCAGCATCTTTCCTTTCCCCTTACACACAGTACGCTATCTCCAGAAGTTTGAAATTTTTTAGCTAAATCTTCTCAAGGCACAAGCACAGTGCTGTAAAGAAAAGAAGGGGAATTTTTTTTCTTGGATACGCGTTCCAACAAGAAAAATTTTGACTGCTTCGCCTTGAGAGAGACGGCCAATTCTGAAATGATGCACACGTGCCGCTGTCAATGTTCTCAAGAAGATCAGATGCAGACCGCGGAGAAGATTGAGCGTCAGGCACTAAGAGAAAACAGGTGTACCGTGTACCGTACGCTATCGCCTATCTTTTACATGCAAGCACAGTGTGGAGTTGAGTAAGCATGGAAAGCAAGAAGAAGAACAATAAGGAGATCAACACTCGTTCATTCTTTCTTGATCACCATAGAGTCGTACGACATCACTTCTAGCATATATCTCAATCCAGCTAAATGGCTGATAATACAAGTAGAGGAGGAGGTAGAGGGAGAGGGAATGCATCAAATCGCGGTGGAAGAGGAAGAGGCGGAAGAGGTGGTTCATTTGGAGGTTCGCTGAGTAAATCACAAAATGCAAACTCAGCAGCAAGCTCATCCCAAGACAAAGGGAAAGGCAAAGGAGGCAACAGAAAGCAGAAAGAGAATGAACAAAACGCAGATCAGACAAGTCAACCATCTTCATCATCCGTACAGGAAAGTGGAATGGCCATGCTCAATTCAACACCTGCATTGGAAGGAGAAACATGTTTCATCTGCGCTGAGCCGGTCAAGCTATACTCCGTTCCGCCATGCAATCACAATACTTGTCACATCTGTGCAATCCGTTTGAAAGTCCTGTACAAGAAGCAAGAGTGCACGTTTTGTAAAGCACCTAGCGATACGCTCATCTTTACATCAAAATCCGACAAGGAGTACTTATCATTCAACGCAGAAGAAATCCCTTTCAAAGATGAACGCTTGAATATCTATTTTGAAACCGAACAAAATCGTGATGAGACGTTGGTGCTTTTGCATTTCAATTGTCCAGATATATCATGCGAATATGCAGGAGCAAGTTGGTCGGATCTCAAGACGCACGTTCGATCGGATCATGGTAAACTGTTTTGCGATCTCTGTGTGAGGAACAAGAAGATCTTTGTGCACGAACATTCACTTCTTTCGTCAGGCGAACTTACACAACATATTCGAGATGAGCACAAACATTGCGAATTTTGCAAGAGAAACTTTTATTCAGATGATGAACTTTACGTTCATATGCGCGATCATCACGAACAGTGTTTCATCTGTAAACGTAATGAAGACACGCGAGATGAATATCATCGGGATTATACTGCACTAGAGAAGCACTTCCGACAAAGGCACTTCTTATGTGATTCTAAGCAATGTTTGGAGCAGAAGTTTGTCGTATTTGAAAGCGAATTGGACTTCAAGGCACATCAAGTAGCGGAACATGGAGCAGAACTCTCTAGCAGGGAGAAGAGAGATGCACTGCGGGTCACAGCAAACTTTCAATCTTCAAACAACTCGCAATCTAGATCGTCAGCTTCGACAGGCCAAAGCTCTAGAGGGAGAGGGAGGGAAGAAGCAGCAGCCAGTGAAGCAAATAATGCGAACAGAGATCCGTTGGGTGTTTCAGTCCTAGCATCAAGAACTCATGTGCCTGGAATTGGAGGTCCTGCCAATCATCAAAGTAGAAGGGCATTTGGTAGTGTTTTGACCAGCTCGAGCAAGATTCAAGAAGACGAACAAGCAGCGGCAGCAAGAGCAGCAGCTGAAGAACGTACTCGACAAATGCAGGCTTACTTTGGTAAAGTGGCAGAATTGGTAAATCATTCTGATGTCAAGATGCATTCGATTCGAACAAACATCAAAACCTTTCAAGCAGGAGAGATGTCAGCCAAAGATCTGATTGATTCGATTCGCAGCATCATTACTGATCGTGATAATCTTTCTACAACAGTAAGAGGATTGGTGGATATCCTGGAGCAAAGTGATCAGAAGCAAGATGTTTTGGATGCATGGGCTGCAGTACAGGTAGAGCAGACTCACTTTCCTTCATTGGGAGGTGGTCACCCACAAGCAGGTACATCTCAAGGAATGAACGCCAATCTTTCTACAATCACACGAGGACAAGTACGAACGATCAAAAACAATTCCACTGCAGCCAATCGAGGAGTTTGGGCAAATGTCGAACGTGCGGCTGCATCTGGAGGTTCTGTTTATCGTAATGCTGCTCGATCAACACCTGTTGCTTCTCGTTCCAGCCACTTCCCATCCTTGGGTCCAAGTAAGACTCCTGTTGTTGGATCAGCAGTCTATGCTGCAAGAGCGAATGCACGTGGGCCTAGTGCAACACCATGGTCTGGATCATCTGCTTCTTCAGGTCCAAAGCCTGCTCCAGTAAGCTTTGCATCTACAGGAGCTGCACCATCGCCATCCCGAAAACCTTATTCGATCGATGCATCAAGAAATGCACAGCAATCCAATCAAACTTCTATTCGTGCAAATTCATCTGCTTTTCCTTCTTTGCCACACAATGCTGAAGCTGCACAACTAGCCGCTCAAAAACGACAACTGTTTGCAAACAAACGTTCGGCCGGCAATAGTGGTGCTGCTACACCGGGAAGTGAACCTTGGCTTCGATCTAATGTGGGCAGAATCGATGCAAGTGGGGCTGCAACGCCTGAATTGGACACAGACTTCTTACACGAACGTTTGAGCAATGCAGCTCAAATTGGTAATGGGTATGGAAGTGCGGCTGCCAACGGAAGCGGTAGTGCTGGTGGTGGTAGCGGCGGAGGCAAGAAAGGCAAACAACAAAAGAAAGTTCTAGTTAGCATGGGCGGCGTACATCGCGGTTAAAGAGCGTTTTAGCTTGTCATTATGTCATTAACATCATTTGTATACTCTATGCAATCATTACAATACTCCTTCTTGGGAGATTTTAAAATCTACTTTGAATGTTTCAAGCGTTGGCGTATGATAGACCAAAATGAACAATAACCATACTGATAATGATCCCAAGCGAGAGGACAAGGATTGCACCCCATTGTTCGAACGAAAGATCGATTAATTTCTCCCTTCTCTTCTTGACGATTGCTCTGTGATGTACTAAAGCCCTTTGAGAATCACTCAACTTCTCTTCGGACAATGGTCCATTGACGCTTATTCTGATCTTGTGTGTGAAACCTGGCGTGTTGTTGGCATGCTTGACGCTCAACGTCTGACGGTCCAGATCAAGGTGATGCTCACCGTCACTGACTTGTACACGAATATCAAGGCCATCAAAGTGATAGCGAGGCACAAATACCTTCGTTGTCATTGCTTCCTCTGATCGAGCAGGTGCAGACTTTCCTGCTGCATGTAAAGCCGCTTCTCGAATCTCAACGGGCGGGTTGACATAGTGGAAATCAAACAGGAGTTTATTTCGATCCCATTTTGTGTGAATTGGATAGCCGGCTACTTTGGTTGCATAAGGCCGAATGATCGCTGACAATGCACGACCGCCTCGATGCAGTTTGACGAAATCTTCATCCAAGTCTTTCTCACTCGAAGTGGGGTTGTCGATATCCTGTGCATGTGCATCATTACACATCACTGAGAAATCTTCTTGATTCCAACCATCTCCTTTCTGTGTTGTATTATCAGGATTGTAATTCCATAATGTGAACCCTGCTTGTGCTTGTTCCATTGCTTCGATCAAAGCATCCAAAAGTTCTTCTTGTTTGCTATAATCACCAGTGCGTAATGCATGGCCGCCATTGATGTCCCAAGGTATTCCAACTTCTCCAATCACAGTTGGCATAGATCCAAATGAAACTTGACCATTGTCTACCAATTTGGAAATTTGTCGTTGATAATTCTTCTTTAATCCTTCTTTACCGAAGAAAAGTGATCGAAGTATGAAGCCTCCTCTGCTAAGCGATTGTACGTCTACACTCATACTGCTGTGTATCTTGCCGAACAAAACGTTGAGATCGTAGAAGTGAGGGGAGTAGATGAAGCGAGGTGGTCTAGGTGTATCAATATACGTCTTTACAGCGTAATCCTGTACCAAAGTTGCCTCTGCCAGCTCATCACGATCTGCTCGATCCAGTTTCGCCAGGACGTCAGGGTTAGACCAAGGAGGGAAGAATTCGTTCGGTATCGGCTCTACGAAACAATGCAGATGCTTGTGCGTTCTTCCTATTCTTTCGCTTAGTCGATGTATGAACGGAGCATAGCAGTCTTTGTACCATTCAATTTCCTTCTTTCCCTTTCCAGGTCGTGGATCATGCGTGAAGAAGTCTTCGCATAGGACCACGGGCTGCTCCCTTTGCTTATCCCATTGCCACGCTCCGTGTGCACGCCAGACACATTCTCCTGATCCTTTGTCCGATAGCCAGACTGATTTGCCCATCGGGTCAACTACACTCTTGTGTGATTTACGGGTAGGGAACGGCCAGGATTTGACATAGAATGGGATCTCTTGCTTGTAACCACTTGCCAAAGCTAAACTTTGAAGCAAGCTAGGATAGTGGCCGATATGCAAATCTGTCTCGTAACACCAATTATTCCAGTCTTTAGTTCCAACATATCCACGATGAGGCTCGTTCATCAGATCAAACCCTATCACGGCTTCGTATTTACCTAGTCTGTCCATCAATTTACCAAAAGTCTCGATGTATGACGCTTGCAAGTACTCTTGAATGTTTAGTTCATCAGCTTGTGTGATATTAGCATTGAAGCTTGGGAGCTTCAATGTCCATGCAACACGCTCTCCATTCCAGAACAAGGTTGCCATCGTAGCTGCTGCTGCTTTTTGATACCCAGAAGGCCAAACGAAGGCTCCAACAGGTTCTTTTTTCTTGGACGTAGAAGGATGAGCGCCTGAGTATTGCGCTTCATCGTCACCCGAAAGAGGCGGGATGTATGCTGCTCCCGTTGGCTTGAAAGCTTCAATATCCAATCCAGCTTTCTCAAACGTCCATGCGGGTGCTCCACTACCGCCGCTGAATCTACTCCATACATCTTGATGGGCACAAATGAATATCTTGAGTCCAAACTGGGGTAGTAGGTCGATTAGCTTTTCCAAATATTCGACATATTCCAAGTCCATATCTCTATCGGGATCGGGTCCGCTATGTGATATTGATTCCCAAGTTACCAAAAATCGAATGCATGTATAGCCCCAAGCCTTGATCCTTGCAAAATGAAGAGGTGCATCTGCGAGTGAAAATGGCCTTCCTACAAAGCTTACCGATTGATGTGCAAAGAATTGATCGGCTGTTAGAGCAAATAATCCATCAGGCTTGCTAGGTCTGAATGAAAGAATTGTGAGCTCAATCCACTTTCATATGCAATCACAAAATACATACAATTTATTAGCACCACTTACATTCATACCACGAAGTTGAATAATCCGACCATATCCATCAACAAAATGCCGACCGTATGCATACATTTGACTTGAGCCGATTGCTTTGCTGCTTAAATCTGTTGCATCGTATGATTGCCATGTTGACTTTTTCGTCATGATCACCTCAACTTGTCGATCAATTGATGTGGTCAGCACTCCAATATCTTCTCGTAATGGAAACAAACGCCTAAATTCTAAATTGTGCCCTGTGCGTGTTTCTCTATGACTTCGGAAGAATCTGACCATAAGGTGAGCCTGGCTGGGCTTCTTAGCGCCTTTATAAATGACAGCAAAAGGCGTACGCGTGTAACCGACGGTAATCAGCACACATACACACAATAGCAGCCATTCAAGAAGGAATGTTTAAAACAAGAAATCGGGTATCAAAATACAAATCATGCCATTCTTTAACTTCCCGTCATCATTGCATTTCTGAAGGAATCGTCTAAAAGCTTGCAACATGACGAGCTTCAAACGCCCTCCTGATCTCAACGAGAAAGGGAGAGGGAATACGGCTTCAGGAACAACGGCAATGCATTTGGTGTATTCCGAAATCAATGCAGTCACTTCAGCAATTCGCAAGCATGCTAGAAATACAGCTTCTTCTTCGTTTCTTGGATCAGCATCAGGTGCAAATGCTGGTATCGGCGGACCTGTCGCTGGAGGAAGTAGCACAGCCAGCTTCTTGAAAAGTGCTGTCTCGGCAACAAGTGCAAGTCTTGTGCCTGTTCTCTCTTCAAAAGAATCTTCCTCTAAATCAGTACAGCAGAAACAATCACAACCAGATCCTATCGCAGAACAGGCAAATCGATCAGCACATGCTCGCAATAAATCTTTGGACTACGCAATCAGCCCAACACCAACAGAGTCCTCTACTTTCAACAAGGCAGCAAGGCTACGGTATGTGTATGCCGACAACCGAAGAGACGACAGTTTGGTTGGATTATTGAATGCATTCACACTCTTACGAGCACAATTGAAAGATATTCGATCGCTTGAAGCAATACCTCAACCGCTGCTACTACAGCCATTCTTGCGTGTCATCCTCTCTGCACGTACAACAGGTCCGGTCACATCTATCGCATTACAGGCAGTTCATCGATTAATCATTTACGGAATCATACAAGTTGATCTTGATCACCCAACTGATGGTGGAATATTGGCAAGCAGACAAGATGGAAGAGATCATTCCTCCTATCTACATCGATCAAGCTCACAATTGGCTGTGGCCGAGATCGCACATGCTGTCAGTCATTGTCGCTTTGAGGCAAGTGATGCAGTAGCCGACGAATTGGTGCTCTTGCGCATCTTGGCGGTCATGCGAGAACTGATTTGCAATGATGGCCGAGTAGAGATTCAGTCTGACTCAAATGCCACAAGATCTCCAAACACCGCTTTGGCAGATTGTCTCAGCGACGAAAGTATATGCGAAATGATGGAAACAGGTCTAAGCATGTGCTGTCAAATGAGATTATCAGATCTTCTTCGACGAACGGCTGAACAATCTATGACAACAATGGTTCGATCGTTATTTTCTCGTCTTGGCTCGATTCCACTGACGGCAGATGAATCGTATTCGTCCGGCTCGCAAGCACCTGAAATCGAGCCTGAGCATGCAACCCTTGCTGCCGACCCAGTTGGAAAGGATCTCTTGGATGCTGAAAAGGAAAAGAAATTGAGAAGGATGACAATGCCCGACCCAAAAAGCTTCGATGTTCCGGCTGCTGGCTTGATGAGTCCTCCAGCAGTGCAGGAGATGAAAACGATTGGGGAGCAAGAAGAGCTAGAGCCTAGTCAGGAGAAAGACAAAGTATCGACAGACGAATCAGACGTTGCAAAGGTAGAAGGAGGAGAGAAATCAAATGAGACAATTTCAACCGAAGCACCCTCAACAGAAGCAACCGCCGAAAAGCCAGCCGAGGAAAATAGTACCCCACAAACTCTCTCAGTAGATGATGCATTGAACGAAAAGACCGCTTCAAATGCTTCAGAGACAAACGAACAGCCGGAAGAAGACATCACAGAAGTCGATTCTCAGCCATATGGTTTACCGGCGATCAAGGAAGTCTTGAAAGTCATTGTGTCACTTTTAGATCCCAACAATCAACAACACACGGATTCGATGCGTTTGTTGGGTCTATCGATGTTATGTGCGGTTTTTGAAGTGGCTGGAAAGTCGATCGGCTTATATCCGTCATTACGAGCTGTCGTACAAGATTCGGCTTGCAAGCATCTCTTCCATCTTACACGTTCAGAGAATCCTACATTGGTTGCATACAGCTTGCGAACAACGTCTACATTATTTGAAACGATGCGAGAGCATTTGAAGTTGCAATATGAATCCTTCATTGCCTATATCTTCGATCGACTAGCGCCAACTTTTCCCATTTCAGCGGAACCTTGGAAGGATGATGCTTCAAACGTGCTTGCGATGCGAAGAGCAAACTTGAATGACATCAAGAGGACAGGAACGCCGGATGTCGGTACACCAAATGCTCCACCGCCGCCTCCGCCACCTCCATTGCCAAAGACGTCCGATCGCTCACCAGCGCATGGGGAATCGCGTGAGCTTGTCATTGAGACCCTCAGTCTTCTGCTAGGATCACATCTGCCTTTCGAAAGCGATCATGATGCATTTGTGGAGTTGTGGATCAACTACGATTGTGATGTGGATTGCGATAATATGTTCGAAAAGATGGTCAACTTTTTGTGTAGGAGTGTTTATGCTGCAAACCCGCTTCATCCACACGTACAAGAAAGCACGCAATTGTTCGCAATTGATGCTCTTCTCAATCTGGTATCGAACATGGCCGCCAGACAAGAATCTGAAGCGGCAGGGGTACACATAGATGGTCAATGGCCAGAAGAGCTACCTGCGCCAGAGCAATTGGCTGGACAAAAAGGAACAAAGGCATCCATTTTGGCAGGTGCAGCCAAGTTCAACGAAAAGCCGAAGCTTGGATTGAAATATTTCGAAGAAAGAGGATTCATTGACTCTACTGGTAAAGGTGGTGTGACGAAAGATGTCAGTATTGCACGCTTCTTGAAAGATTGTCCAGGACTTGATAAAAGGCTTTTGGGTGATTACCTTTCCAGACCAGAAAATGAAGGCGTTTTGGATGCGTTCTTGCGCTTGTTCGATTTCAGTCAAACGCCAATCGCTGAAGCCATGCGAGAGATGTTGGAGGCATTCCGTTTGCCAGGTGAATCGCAACAGATCAATCGGATCACCGAAACGTTTGCAAAGATCTTCTTTGCATCAAAGCCTGCTGAAATTCATAGCGAAGATGCAGTATACGTGTTGAGTTATTCCATCATCATGCTCAACACTGATTTACACAATCCTCAAAACAAACGGCGCATGACAATCGAAGATTACCGACGCAATTTACGTGGTGTGAATGACGGAAAAGATTTCGATCAGGAATTCTTGGGTGCTATTTATGATAGCATTCGAAGAAGAGAAATTGTCATGCCAGAAGAACACAAAGGTCAACTCGGTTTTGATTATGCATGGAAGGAATTGTTGAGGCGATCGCGCAAATCTGGTAAATTGCTTCATGCTCATACCACACGATTCGATCGTGATATGTTTGCTGCATGTTGGAGACCAATCGTAGCCAGTATTGCGTATGCATTCTCAACGTATAGAGATGAGCATTTGTTGGAACGTGCAATCAGCGGATTCCGTCAATGTGCTGTGCTCGCAAGTCGCTTTGACATGCACGAACTGTTTGATTTCACCATTCAAGGTCTTGCAAGCGCAACAGGCCTACTCGATGCAAATGGTGTAGGTCAAGTAACAAATAATGCTGTGGTCGAGTTTGAAGGACAAAAAGTGACAATCAGTCCACTTTCTATTCAATTTGGTCGAAACTTCAAGGGACAATTGGCTGCTGTTGTCCTCTTCACCATCGCAAATGGGAATGGTCATGCTGTCCGCAAAGGATGGCTACCTATATTCGAGATCTACAAGAACCTGTTCATCAACTCTTTACTTTCTTCCTCGTTAGGCTCGATGTTCGAATTCGGAACAGAGAAGCCCAGACCACTCCCTATTCGAGCAAAGCGAGCACCAGGCCCTCCTCCCCAAGATCCTAGATCTCAAAGTGGAGCAGGTATTTTCAGTACAATCTCGTCTTATCTGTTGTCACCTTACTCAACCGAGAAGGAGATCACCCGACCAGATGTGACGGTAACAGAGGAAGCCGTAGAGTCAAGTCTATGCACTGCGGACTGTGTGGCAAGCTGTCGAATTGAGGATTTATTCACAGAGCTGATGCAACTCAATCTGGAAGCCCGAATCGAAGCACTACAGGCTTTACGACAATTGGCAGACCGCTATACGGTCGAACGTAGAGCCATGCTGATCGCTGAAGGAACAGGCAATGGTGAATCATCATCTGGTCGCTCAACTCCAACACAAGGTGTGAGTGCCAGCAACGGACCACCTTTGCGTAGCAATCAAGCTTTGCCGTATGATCCATGTGGTGCATTTGTGTTGGAATTGGCAGTGACGTTAGCATGCTCTGCAAATCCACAAGATGCAAACAAATTATGGCCAATTGTTGCCGAACATTCCATGTCGATCATTGGTTCACCAGGCCATTACCACTCACTTCAAGTAGAACGTGCAGTTGTGGCAATCCTGCGATTGGTACAGTATGCATCACCACAATCTGAATTGCGTCAACAAATTTTCCAAATCATGGACTCGATCAACGGTCTGCCTGTAGAGTATAGAGCGACAATGGCAGATCAGGTCACAGCAGGATTATACTCTATCTTGAACACCAATCCCAAAACAGCCGTGTCCAAGACAGAATGGAGTATCATTTTGACAATGTTGGCTATCTACGGCAATGCCAGATCAGCAAAAGCTGCTCATTACTCTTTGGCTTGTCTCGAATCTATCATTCGAATGGACGCTGCATCAGACGCCATTACTGTCGAAAACTTTTCTGGAATCGTATATCTCTTACGTGACTTTGCAAGATCGGCAGATACCATTCGCTTGGATAGTGGTCAACAGAATGGAGGTGATCAGCAATCCCGCAAAACTCTGACAGAGAAGAAGGCCTTGCGCGAGTACGAAGAAGCATGTCAACAGCGTGGTCCAAAAGCTGTAGAATATTTGGAGATGTTGAAAGCGCGAATTCCACGATTGTCTTCCCAACTTCCTGCAACCTCGATCACAGAGACTTGGACGTCTTTCTGGTCGCCCTTGATGCTTGCGATTGCACAACAGTATACCAACGGTCATCGAGCGACAAGACAAGCTGCATTGACACATTTGCAACGAATTCTACTAGCACCTGAAATTGTTGGTTCTGGAGAAGACAATGTGCCCGAGACGCGATCGATCTTGCATTCCATGTTTGGAACTGTACTCTTCCCAACTTTGAACGAATTGCTCAAGCCAGAGGTGTACCAGCTAGATGCCAGTAATGAGGCTGGTAGCATGCAAGAGACCAGGATACGCTCGTGCAATTTGTTATGCAAGGTGTATCTGCACTACCTGGGTCGACTTTCAAATGCTACAGTTGGCGGCAAGAGCGTAGCAGATGTGACGGGAAGTGATGGACAACCGATCGATGAAGATTTCCTACAATTGTGGCTTACTATCTTGGATTTCTTTGATCGATTCATGCACTCAGGAAAACGTGATCAATTGACAGAATCAACGCCTGAAAATCTAAAGAATGTCTTGTTGGTGATGAACGCTTCTGGTATATTGTTACCACCTCCATCTCAAGGAGAAGCCGAGACTCGTTCGACTGGACAAGCACAATTATTCGACAAGACGTTTGAGCGTATTCAGCGATTCTTACCCAAATTGAAAGATGAGATCTTTGTCGCTGCTCCTATCAGCAATGTACAGACGCCGAAGCCGTCACCACAACCTGCACCGGAAAACAATGGATCACAAGAAGTGGAAGGGGAAAAGCAGATTGACGAAAAGAAGGATGCTGAGGCAGCAAAGGTGTAGGAATAGATACTTCATATGTTTATAAACTCAATTCAAAATTGCACACATTGATGGATGTTTTGTGGTAAAGTATGAATACACAAATGGGTAAAATTACATTAAATCGCTATCATCGTCCCCATCGCCTACATTTTCTCCGTTTACTGGAGCTTGAGCGGCACTACCAGTCTGCTTTGCAGCAACAAACATTGGTGCTGTTGAAGTGAATGTACGAGCGTTTGCAGCTTCTTGTTCTGCTTGTGCCATTGGATCTTGTGAAATTGGTGGTTGCGTTGCATTCGCTTCATTCGCACGTTGTTGTGCAGTTGCATAAGCAGCAATGTACGACGTGTCTGTATTGAATTGAGCTTGAACAGATCTTCTGATTCGTAACATCTCTCTGAACGTATCTTCGGATCCATGTTCGATTTCGAAAGCGTTCCATTGCGCCCAAAACTCTTTTTGCGTTCGAGGATCACAGAACTGGCTTGCATGTGCATACAATGCACGAGCTCGATCGATTTCGCCGAGCTTGCGTTCCAATTGTGCGAAACGAACGCACATATCTGCAGTTTGACGATCTGGTAGAGTCTCAATTGCTCGTTCGTATACCGGTCTAGTGGCAGCAAGACCGAAGTTGGCGGCCACTTTAGCAATATAGAAGACGTACATGTTGAACTTGTCTTGAGGTAAAACACGTTCTGTTGCACGTTCGTAGATGGACATTGCCCTTTTTGCCAATCCATAATCCTCTTCTAGCTTTCCGTACATCAAGAATAGTGGACGACAGTACTTGTCGGGACACTTTTCCAACGCTTGTTCAAACATATCGCGGGCACGTTCAAGCTTACTTGCACCAAATCGATTGATGAACTTCGACAGATAGATGTTCCAAATCTCAAAAACGACCGGATAGGTAAATGCCTCTACACCTCGTTCGTAAACACGGAATGCTTCTTCGAAGTACTTGCGGTCTTCCAAGAATACGGCATAGTTGACAATCACTTGAGGTGTGGCAATCTTGAGCTCGATCATACGATCGTATGTTTGTCTTGCACTCTCGACAGAGCCAATACTCTCTTCTAAATCGATATAAAATGTCCACAGCTTGCTACTCTTGAACAAACGCTTTTGCGCTGACAAACTGTCATCCAGGAAGCTGACTGCTTTGATCGCAGCTCCCGTCTTTGGAGCAGCTGTTGCCCGAGACATGATCCGTAGGGATCCATCAAAGTTGCCATTACGTACTTCCAGTTCCGCCCATTCGCACCATACCTCAGCTAGATCGTCCACTTTCGTGAACGGAACAGTAGTTGCCTTCTCCATGATCTTACGAGCAGAATCGATATTTCCTCGTTCTTCATAGAATCTAGCAAAGTTGACAAAGAGTTGATGTAGGTTTGCTGTGGCTTTGCGTGGGTTGATCGTCGCAATTGCTTCATCGTACGTTTCGACGACCTTTGCGTCATCTTCGCCGAACAGTGATGCACGTTTTTCCCATTCTTGGACATCATTCGGGTTTCGACGAATCATGACGTCATTCACAAGGAAAGGCCTTCGCTCCATCAGCTCTTCAAAGTCTTTCATTCTTTTGTCCAGATCGGCTTCTTTCTCTTCCTGATCATTATCTTCGTCTCCTTCCTCTTCTTCTTGCCCTAGCTCATCCATCATAAAGCCAATGATATTCTCACTTGTTTCAGCGTATGCATCAAATATTTGTGTAAAATCACGAACGGTCATGACCTTTCTCATTCCTTCTTCAAACGTCGATTTGGCAGCATCCAAATCACCTCTTCTAATCCAGTATGTAGCCAAGCCTGTCCAAAGCCGCCCTGCTTGATCAGGGAATCTATCTAGTCCCAATGTTCGCACAATGTGAGCGACAGGCAATTTTGCCGTTGACAGAGGCTCAAATAGATCTGCGGAGTCTGCCAATTTCTTGGTGCCCGCTTGCTGATCTTCGTTTGGGTCAAGTCCAACTTCATCGGCGTACTTTTCGCAAAGGCTTAGCCATTCTATCAGAAGTTGGTAGGAGCTCTTACCCTCTGGAGAAATGTATTTCCCCTCCAGTGCATCCCTTGCCAGTCCAAGCAGTAACTTGACAGCCTCTCTTGCACGTTGCTCTTTGATGATCACCCGCTTTTCATCTGCTTCCTCTTCTTCGTCTTCATTGTCGTCCTCCTCTTCCCTCAATCTTTCTAATATCTGCACATACCTCTCGGTCAAACTTGGATCGACTCGCAAATACCGTCTCCACACCCGAATGCATGTTTCCGATCCTCTTGTTTCTGCCCATCGAAGATAGTACTTCCATACTCGTAGATGTAGAGAAGGTGGCAGAGTCCTAAGTGCTCGATCGAATGTCCTCCTTGTGTGCGTGAAAGAAAGCGTAGGCGGACACGATGGATGCATAAGCACGGTGAAGTATAATTGCCATATCCTGGGCAACGTCGGTAAATGCATCAGTGCACGTTCAAAGACGGCGGCAAGGTCATGCCATTCTTTGTACCCTATCCGACCGTCCAAAGGCTCCAGTGCACCAGTTGCTAAGCCCCACTGCCATTCTTCTTGTCCTTGATCTTTTCCATCCAGCAATGTAGGACCAGCATCTAATTTCTCTTTTCCCAATCGAATTTGCTTTTTCCAGAATCCGTCCATGCCGCCATGTGGATCGCCCAAAACATATCGCATCCGTAGCAACAAATAGTCTTTCCAAAGATTATAGTTTGTTGGAAATGCATTGATCGCCCTTTCGTACGCAAATGTGATTCGTCGTAGGCCTAATCGATTTGAACCTGAGGCGAGTGGTCCTAACAGCTTGACTTGTGCTTCTGATAAATGCGTATCTGCATCTCTGAAAAAGACTTCTCGCTCTGATGGTCGATTGGATGTGACTATGTGTTCGAGATATGCATTCCATGATCTCGGATTGGTGAGATTGAGTAGAAGATCTTGCTCCAATCCCACATCTTCAGCCGGGATTAGCTCTTCATCCTTTAGTGGATCAGGAAATGGGTGAGCAACAGCAAAGAGCTCCGTCAAACAAGTTACGGCATCTTTTGCTTCAGCATCACCTCCCTTTGCACTTTGATCACCCTGAGCACCTTTTGCTCTTCTTCCTCTTTTGGGCGCCATGTTCGTGATCTTCGAAGTGATGGTACTGCGAAGGTGGAGAGCGTGAGGCACATCTTCTTGGCTTGACTTTTGTGTTATTCTCATTTTGGCGCGTTAATTTTTGCACGTGAGAATTTTTTCCCTTTCCAAAGCGCTTAAACTTGACATTCTTCATTTCTACTCATTTTCATTTCTTCCCGACACACCATTCACCTTTATCGTCGTTTGCAGAATTCTCACTGAATCTCAAAATGGCTGCTTCTCGATCAATCATTGGAGAATCGTCATCGATCCTACGATCTTGTCTAAGGCAGGCAGGAGGAAAGCCGTCTAGACAATTCTCACGATCCCTAGCGACAGAGGCATCGGAACCTTCCACCGAATCTACCCCGAGCCAACGAACTGGTTCAAGAAGCAATAGCACTGTCGGTACTTACTTTCTCCTTTCAAGACTACCTACTGTTCTGCCATCACTTACGCCATTCGAATCATCTGTATATGCTTACAATGCAAAGTTAGAACGAGCAATTTCTCAATCCTTTCCACGCGATCTTTACTTCAAGAAAGGTAGTGCTGCTGAAACGCAATTTTTGGAGGATGAAAAGGAAAGGCAAGCATTCATGAAGGGCGAATTGAAGATAACTGACGATGCTACTCTATCGCCGAGTGTTCCTCTTACGAGTGCACAAAATCAAACATCAACCTCGCGAAAAACACAAGCAGATGAGACCAATGATGTTCGTAGCTTACAGAGAAGTTTGGAAAGCACTCTGTTCCTGGTCGTCAAAGGAGGAAAAGCGGGTGAACAATGGACTTTGCCTCACTCTGTGTTAAAGACAGAAGGTTCAGAATCCCTTCATGCAGCAGCCCATTCATCCGTTACCGACTTATTGGGTGAGGATATGGATATTTGGATGGTGACAAATTATCCAGTTGGAATCGTTGAAAAGCATCTCAATGCACAAGGAAAAGGATATGTTATGCGTGGACATGTCTTAGCAGGGAATGCAGCACCAACGACTAAAGGAGTGGACTATGCATGGCTAACGAAGGATGAGCTTCAAGGTCGATTGCACGAATCGGTCTGGAAAGATGTCGAGGGTCTTCTCAGTGCTTAAAATTGCTGTTAAATCTGTCAAAGTTGTGTAATTATCACTCTACAGCATCGTCTGTTGTATTCTAAATCAATGAAATAGTAGAAGGCGCATTGCTTACCTAAAATGTGCGTACATTAGAGGTAAGCCGACTATCCGACATTCATTCTCAGAAAGGATTCACGCCCTCCTTCTCGGGAGATTTTCTGCTTGGAAGACACGCATAGATAGTAATATGTGCTTGCTGACTTTGAATTACTGTCAGTACCCTTGCATTTCCGTTCATTCTCGTACGATGTGTTGATGAGCAATCTTTCAAGCCTTCTTCATGCAAAATACATCTTCACCTCATATCGAACAGTCATATTTGGTAAGACGTATTGAATGTATATGACGGCTTAGAAAAACTTTGGAGATTAGGTGGTTCATCTTATCCGCTCATATGAAACTATTCATACCCGCACCATATTTAAAGCCTGGATGTTTGAATATCACGCAATGCCTGCGTACGCCGCTCGACCTAGGCTTTATTTAGGTTTTAAAATAGCAAAAGTCAAGCCACGAAAAAAGTAGAGAGAAAAGATAGAATCAAAAGAACCGAAAAGTATAAGGCGCTGAGAATCAAAAAGAAATAAGTGTGGGCTGGCTTGTGTAAAGCGGAGTGATTAGGGAACAAGAACAAAGAAAAAGCACAGACAATCTGCATACGGATATATATATATTATAATGAAGCGTGCATATACACTCAATTACCACCAACGCCGGCACATCACCGAAGGGCGACTTCTTCCCTTACGGGTTCATTTACGCCTCCCAATCAAGGTGACTTGTATTGACACGTATCTTTCTTCTTCTCTATTGCATTCATCACAATTCAAGCATAGGATAGAAGATACAAAAGATTGCATTCAACCTCACACATGGATACCTATTGACCATAAAGCTTTTCGTATCTGGACTGGAGCGCATACACGCATCGCAATCGAGACAGTTCTACTCCAGATTCAAAAGAGGATTGAACGGTATAATCAATTCACGACTCTTCATATCCCCCTTCTGCCACGATGGCACAAGCAGAGACTGATCAATCAAATGGCGATTCACAAAGAACGGTAGCCCGGGCTGCTTGCTTAAATTGTCGTACTGCAAAAAGACGATGTGACGGCGTTCAACCTATTTGCGGACCATGCGTTAATCGTGGTGTAGAACCGGGAGGATGTAATTTTGTTACTTCAAAAAGAGGTGGACCTCGTTACAAAGGTGTAAAAGGTGCAGACGCAATCAAAGTCAAAGCTGAACGTGACAGACGATTACGTGAGGATCAAAAGATGAGAAAGAAAACGGATAAAGGAGAATCGTCAAAATCTGTTCGTTCCAATCAAAATCCAGCTGCTTCAAGTACTGGAGGTAGCGGAAGCACAGGCAGTGATAGCCCATACCAAAATGAGATTCCACAGAATCAATGGGGATCGCCACATTATGCCACACCTTCAAATGCATCCTTTCCATACTCGCCTGCCGTCTTTGCAGCTGTCCCTTCACCACATCAGGGCTCGGCATACGGCACACCATCTTCTGCTCAACCATTCATGCCAACATCAGAAGGAATCGGGAGAGAGCAGCATTACTACCACAGCCAAGCACAGCAAATGCCCGGCCAGCAATTCATCGCACCTGAACAACCAGCAGCATTCCCTCCACCACCAGCTCAGCCAATCAACAATCTGCCTTCAGCTATACCAACTGCAGCGGATCCTTTCGGTCAACCTACACACAGCTTGCCTCTTTCTGATGCATTCCCTGGATTTGGATCGGGTGAACTGTCGTTTGCAAATCTGGAGCTATGGCAGCGACTTCAAGAACGTGATGCGGGACAAAGCGAGAATGGTCAGTTCTCGGACTTCTTCTCTCGACTGGAAGTTTTGCCAAAAGCAGGTATAATCGGTGGTGGTGACTGTGGAGATCCTTTGGATGTTTTAATGGATTGGGAAGGCGGGCAAACGGGTGGGAACGTACAGGATAATGAACAAGGCGTTCGAACGCTACTGTCAGACTTCTACGAGCTAGTCTATCCTGCTTGTCCTGTCTTGCCATCACCTGGCAGTCTACCATCTTTGGCATTCTACTTCTCCGGTAAAGGACCTTGTGGATTGTTTGCAGCGCTGAGTGCTGTGGTGGCATTGCATTTACCGGACGAAGAAACCTACAAAACCCTCAAAGCAAGCCAGCATCCTTTGCAGCGGTATGAAGGAAGTCCAGTAGGAGGATCAGTGGTGTCGTCACAATCAAACAAGCCGGCAGAAGATGTGGCGGCGTATCATGCCAAGACATCTGAATTCATTCTACACCAATATGAAGAACATCAAAGGACATGCTTTATGGACGCAAATGCAACCAATCCATTTGACGGTATGGACGAAGAGCTGATAACGATCGAAGCAGGTGCCGCTCATACATTATTGTGTCTATACTACTACGGAAGCGGAAAGCCATTAGGACATCAACGAGCATACAAACATGCCGTTGATGGATGGAATCTGATGCAAAAGCTTGATATTCAAAAGAAAACACATGAGTGGGGTATAGATGAAGGCAAGGAAGAGCCTGCCAATTCAAGAAAACCATTTGCTGCTGAAATCAAATTGGAATGGGCAAAACGTGTCTATTGGTGCTCGTATGCTGCTGCTACAGTGATGAGTTGTACCGGAGGTTTTACGCCTTTTGGCAATCCAAAGGATGGCATCATGGATCTGCAATTGCGTCCAAGCTTGGAAGATGTTTCGGCATGGGGTGTAATGGTACGTGGAGCACAACAAGTTTCAAGAAGTTATAGGCTCTTATATGAATTGGACATGCTGAGAACACGTGTGATCGAACGTGGAACGAATATGACGGGAGACGAGATTCAACAAACCATGAACGAACGACAAAACATCTTTAATGCAATGTTGAAATTGGATACCGAAGTAGGCAACTACACTCGATTCGATGCAGGATGGAGAGATCCACCTCCAGAACCCGGAGATCAAGGATTCATTTCGGCTGACAAAGAATTGGCAAGAAGCTTGAAAGCATCCGGACGATTGATGACGTCCGGCTCAATGATCATCTTGCATCGTGCTCAAGCATTTTCCAATGCTAGAGTGTTTATGCAACCACAATGCGGTATCCCTCAAGCAGGCAGGTTGCAGAACACACAAGGCCACGATATTGGTGGGAACACGATCATGCATCGAGCGGAAATGGTAGATCTTCCAGCGCCTAGATTGAATTACACACCAGTGCAATCGCAGGCTGGCTCTGATGTCGGCATACCTCCTTCGAATTCAAATGGTGCTCATTCAAGAGATCAAGGGCAGTACAGTCAAGATCATACAGAGTCATCCCATCCATTCTTGACCGATCGTTTTGCCGGTGGACCGTTTGAGCCGCCTCATTCGCTGGATCGTTGTCGCTTTGCAGCAAGTACAATGGTTGGCACTTTACCTCGTATTTTGCGTGACAAAGGCCGGGTTCCCAAGCTACCGCCTTACAGTGCATGTTCTTATGTGCTGGGAGCTTATTCAATTCTAATGTTAACACTTTTAATTCAAGTTCGCGGAGAGATGGCAGTACAAAATCAAGATGGAAGTAATCAAAATGTTACAATCCAAGGACAAGAACTTAAACGACAAGTTGAACTTCATCGTGCACCCGTTCGTGATATAATTTTGGCTTTGCGTAAATTTGCAAACGTTTGGGCGAAAGCGGCAGATTATGAAGTTGAAGTTTCAACATTGTTGACTGCGAATGAAATCTTGGGGTGATGAGTTGCTCATTTTTTGCTTTTCTTTGGGACATTTGTTGTATTCTCTCTCTCATTTTAATGTATTTGTTTTCGCTGTCATTCGTCATCATTGTTCGGCTCCTTGTCGTTTCATTTCCGCAAATTGTAAGACGGAGTTGTAAAATGACACGCTAGAGGTGCATTCATGCATTGTTTATCACCTCCGCCCCCCCCCCTTTGTTACTTGGCGCATGATTATGCAAGTCCGCACAGACTTGAAACGTGCCCGTCAAAAAAAATCATTATTCAGCCTTTGTTCCTAGTCATACACTTTCACTTGTCACTCTCACCTTTATAGACATCTCCCCACTCATAGAAAAATGGCTCCAAATTCTCGCATCATCCTTTGCAGACATTCACAAGCAGAACACAATGTCGATCTCGATTACAGCAGTACGTATTGAACATGGCAAGATATGACCAACGCAAACAACTTGTGTTTCTTCTCTCCGACATAACTTACAAACACAGCACCTTTCACAATCTTGTTCCTTTTCCTCCAGTTCCTGATGCACCTCTAACACCGCTAGGGAAGAAACAGTCAGCTGCATTGTCACCACAAATCACACAACTTCAAAGTGAAGTTGATGTATTGATCACATCACCATTACAACGCACTCTTCAATCAACAAAGTTGGGATGGGGACCTGTGGTGGAAAGATTGGGAATCAAAAACGTCATTTGCTTACCTCAAGCTCAAGAGTGTAACGCTTTCCCATGTGATACGGGAAGTGCTCGTGAAGTGTTGGAGAGCAAAGACGAGTTCAAGGATTTCAATTTTGAGTTACTAACCCCCGATTGGACAAGTAAGAAAGGATTCTATGGTATGTAAGATCTCGAAAGAAAATCATGTGCATCAGAATTGGTCCCCGTTAACACAGCCACTGTTTTCTCTTCAACTTGCAGCGGCCGATGAAAAAACTCTCAACGCCCGCGCCCAATGGGTACGCCAATACCTTCGCGGCCGTCCAGAAAAGAACATTGTGCTGGTAGCACATGGTGACATCCTCCGCCGCATCACAGCATCTGAGAAAGGAAACAGTACTTACCAATGGAAAAATGCCGAAGTTCGCTTGTACAACTTCGACCCTGAATTTGTAGAAAAAGACGCATGTTACCTCAAGCAAATCTCTGACGTTGCAGCTGCCGGTGGCTACGAGCAAACGTCCACCGATATGGAATTCAACCCACAAGCAAAGCATTAAAGACGACCAAAGATGGTCTAAAAAGAAAAGCCGCCATTGCGATAATCGCAGCGATCGCAATGGCGGCCGCCGTCCACAATGAGCACGCCGGCTCGACAATTCATCCATCCATCGCCCGAAAGAGGGTGGTAGTTGTGACAAGAACGTATATAGCACATTATATAGACCGCAAAAAATCACAAATTCATGCAATACAAACAAATTAAAAAATGCAATCACGCAACAACAACAACAACATCATTACCATCAAGAGTGCTCGTGTTCCTTTGAATGCCTAATGTAACGGTTTCCCTTTGTGTTTATACGGCGCCGATTTATGCAGGAATCGTAGCAGATGTGATTTGAAGAAAACAGTAGGCGCAAAGACGAATTTCAATATTCAATATACGCAAAGCTAGCTTTTAAAAATATCACCAGACAAACAAATTAGACCGTGCACACAGCTAAAGTGCCTAAATTGACACTCCGTAACGAAGCGTCGTCCATCAAGATGCTAATCATAAAGAATACAGTTTCATCTTCCCTTTGTAGGGTATATAATAGGCTTAAAGTATTTTCTTTCCCTATTTTCCCCCTCCCATCATGAGGCCTAATTCGAAAGCGGTTCACAACGTACCGCGATCGTTACGATGGGCTCAACAACACCTTCCGTGCATGAATCTGGCACAGCAATGGCATCATCATCAGCATTAGATAGCCTAAATTGCAATCAATCCCCTCCCATCCCATCGACAAAACCTGTGTCGTATACCTCCCATCCTAAAATGCGTGCACTGATTGATGTAAATAACAAGACCATACAATTTACTAGGTCAGATGCACATGAATGTTACATACCCACAGCAAATGGTCGAGATCCTGCAATGTACAAGTACATATACACGGACGTAACAGCAGAAAAAAGCATCACTCAAAGATGGAGGAAGAAGGTTGGATCATGGCTGGCAAGTTCGTTCGAACTTCCGGGTCGATCTGAAGACTGGATCATCGAATCCTTCCCCGCGAATTATTCCTTTGTCAAGATGGAGGCAACAATGTACAAAGGACACAACAATCTTCTTTGGAGACTGTACGGAGGGAAGGCGAAAATATGCTTTCAGTCTCCGACTGAATTCAATACCCACGCCGAATGGTTACTGACAAAAGACAGCGAACATGAACACTGCCTGTGTAAGCGCTGTCACGGTCCATTCATTCTACCCTCAACAACTTCCCTGCCAATTCCTCAAAGCTGGACCATACTCATCCAAAGACAGCTGGCTCCACAATCCCAATTACTGCCTGGCGTACCAATAGAATCAAAGTCTGTTCTTCGTTCCCGCGATCTGGGAAGATTGGTGTATCCTCCCCTTTCAAACAATCATGAGGGCTTCCGGTTGCACGAGATAGCTTTCGTCAAATTGTCAACGCCAGTTAATTTTCTTGACGGGCTACAACACAAAGCAATTGATGAGTGGCCGGTTCAAGTCACTGAAGTGAAGTGCAAGGATATATCTGGTGAAGAAAGGAGTGCCGAGGAAAACGGAAATGTGAAAAATTGTGTTCAATACATAGTCACACTACTCGGCTCGGATGAGAAACTTCAAGTTGAGGGTAGTCGCTTGCGTCCAGCCATTGGAAGCCCTCTCTTGAACCTTTCGATCAAGAATATCGTTTGCATGACGGATGTACAGAGACGGATAAACGAAACTGATCCTCAGTCGCTCAATTTGGAGAATGATCAGCCAAGAGCAAGTATTCGTGACATACTTTGCTCTTTTTTGAGTCAGATTCTTGTCCTTGCACATGTACGGAATAAAGTTGTTACGACTGATTCATTCAACAATCAGTCGGATTGGGACAAAATCGACAAAACAAAGGTGCAGGACGTCACCCTTCCTGCCTTTGTTGACCAAGAGAAAAAACGCCGAAAAAGCGTCAATTTTGCCATCTCCGAGAAAGACAAAGTCAGCATGGCGCCTCCCAGTGTTTTAACTGAGAATGGTAATTATGCGGGACTAGCTGACGACGACGATAGCAGCTCAAGACGTCGAAGGGAACCACAAAAAACAGCGATCGTTCCATTGGCCGAGAGCAAGATGATCGAGCAAGAAGACAACAACACATATTGGGCTGGAATGTTTGTTGGCTTCGAACGGGTTTGGGTAGGGGATGTGGTGAGATTGAATTTGGAAGGGACGGACATCCGTCGCATCATCGATTTGCTCGTTGAGAAGAATAAGAATGACTTGAGCAATCGAATGGATAAATCCGTACCCGACCTCCAATCCCCTATTGTGATGCAAATCAAAGCTATTTTCCAAAAGTCCAAAGACACAACATTGTGTATTGCCGGAGATTTGTACCGGATAGTGAACAAAAAGGATGCAAACCGGTCATTCAAAGAGTTCATTGAAAGGAGTGCCGCACATTCAGAACAAGGGTACATACTAGAGGGTTCCCGTTTCCCCTCAGGTAGCACAAATGGCGGCAGACACAACTACAGCTCAAGCAGCAGCTGTTCTGGTAACCCTGGTCCAGCTTACCTCCCACTTTGTGAAACACTTTGTAAAACCCAACTACCAGGAACGAAGAATGGTCAATTGCCGCCATCTCCAAAGCTTCCCGAGGATTTTGGTTACCAAAAAGTGAACCAACCCAATGTCGAAATTGTCGTTGGAGCTCCACATATCGCTGGTCGTCTTTACTGCTCCATGGTGACAGCCGAAACAAAAATCGATCCAATTACGAGATTGGCAAGCCGGGTTCGAGAATTGCAATTTTCGACACACAGCGCAAACAATGGCAGTGTGGATGGCGAACAAATTCGGATTCGGTTGGCAGGCCTTCTTCCTGGCTCTGGTCTTACAATGGGTGTTCAATCTGTTGAGCCGTTCAATGGCACCAGATTGGAAGCTTGGCAGGATGCAGCTGCCACCGCCGCTGCGAGCTTGGAAGCACATTTGCAGAACGCACGAAAGAAATCATTGACCGATGACACGAATTCCAAACATACCATCACTGATCCTACGACTGAAACTCGCAAACGTAAATTGCTCGATGCAGATCCATCAGAGAATGATGGATTTGTGAAACGAAGTAAGGGTGAGGAAATCAAAATAACCCTAAGCCCTGCTGAGCACAAAATTAACGTGAAGCCAAAAACTGATTATTCGCCTGCGTCCACTTCACAGGCTGACACCAAGATGGAACCTTTGGACAATCAACCCAAAGCGGAGCCATACAATCAACCTAAAGCCGACCCCGAACCAAAGCAAGAGGATTCGATGATAGAAATAAAACCAGTAGCTGTTCAGACAAAAGTGGAAACAGCAGAAGGACAACACACAAAAATTCACGATTTTGCTCCGCCTGGATTCCTTACAAGGATCGATGAGAAACGACGGCGAATATACTACATCAATCCCAACACACGAGAATCGGTATGGGGCAGAAAGGTCAAGAAAGAAGAGGCAAAATAAACCGCATAAGGCAAAAGCTAATCGATCGTACAGTCACTAATTCCACAAACCATTAACAATGTATCATACCTACTCTCATACATGTTCATACTCTGTACATTACATAGCTACCATCAAACACCGCATTCATCAAGACACTCAAAACGCAAAAAATATCAGATTCAATATTCAAAAGAGAGTACGGACTGGCCGTAATAACGAAGCAAAACATAGGAAGATATAGCGACGATCTAAATCTGTGGACTCGGCCCAGCGAGAAGCGGACAGAGAAGAGTAGATGGCAAAAGATTAAAGGTGATTGGCGTTCCATTAGTTTGATTCTAACGCAGCATAACACACTAAGACCCGATTCAATAGCCAGTAAATGCGCGAGCGCGTTCACAAAGTTGGTAGATCCTGAGTCCAGCCTTCGATCCTTTGAGAAAGACGCTGTTCTTGCGTACGGTCTTGATGATACGCTCGCGTTGTTCAATGGTGGATGAGGTCAGAAGTTGTGTTACGATTTGATCACCATGTGTACAGGTTGCAACGTCCACCAAGACCGAACGACGACTTGATGCATTATGCGTAGAAGAAACATTTTCCTCTGGGCATGGGCAGGCCACTTCATTTTCACACAAGATGTCGATGTATGCCGCAAGGAAAGAAGGGTTCCTTGCTCTGATGGCAGTCATTATTGCCTTTTGTCCGTGTTGCGACATTGACAATCGTGTTGCTTCAGAGAGCATCTGGTCGAGTGCTTTCTTCTTCACTTCACCGCCTGCATGCTCAATGATATATTGCACCACCCAAACGCCCCATTGACCCATCGCGCATTCACAAACGCGATCGACCACTTCCAACATGCACTCTTCTGTCTCAGCGTCAGAACCGCTTTCGAACAGGTTCTGACAAATGAGACTTCCAGTTTCGGACAAGGCAATATCTGCCCACTTGCCACGCAGGACTTCATTGAGTGTATTGACAATCTTTGAGCGCATTCCAGCCTCTTGCCACTGAGTATCCAACACCTTTTGCCAGATATGAATCGCATGGCGGCTTGCAATCGTTTCTTCCAATTTCTCGTTCAAGAGCTCGTTCGCGATCAGCTCACGAACGTCTTCACTGCCAAGATCCAAGAGCTTTTGTACAACATGACAGCCATATTGAGATAACGAAAGCTTCACAAAAGTATCTGCGAACGTCCAGCCCAACGAACGATTCAAACTGATTGCACGTTGAGCCAGGAAGTTGCCGTGTCTGCAGTATGCCAATTGATGCAAATGTGGTGTGATTGCATCCATTGCCGCCTCTCTTTGTGCAGCGTCTTGGCTCTTGAGCTTTTGTTGCAATTTGATGCTGGCCTCTTGGCCATCTTGTGTCAATGCAAGCTTGACCAGCAAATCAAGAGGGGTGTTGTTGTCAAGTGGCTTCTTTTTGAATCGTTCGACTTGCGGGGGAACCATACTGCTATATGGATTGTCATAGTATGTGGGGAAAAATGCAGGTGGAAACATGGACGGAGAGAAAAGTGGAGTCTTGGGTTGATGATGGGCAAGAGGCATGCCAACAAAGTGACCCATTCCTCCATCCGGTGTCCATGCGAGTCGTTGAAAATTGTCATTCACTTTGACACCACCTGTGAAATCCATCTTGAGGCCTTGCAAGTAGGAGGTTGGCGTTGCAGCAGCGTGGTCATGCCATTGTTGTAAGCTGGCCGAATTGCGTCGAGCCTGAACAGTAACATTCTTGTCTTGCTCGGAACGGTTGTTCTTCACAGATTGTGGTGACAAAAGATGTTGCGGGATAGGAGAAGGTTGCTGTTCGTAGGGGCTGAAGGGATCTGGTGATGCAGAAAGGTTCTTCGGAGTTGCTGTGATACCGCAATCAGGGGAAAGCTCAGGCATCGTTTGCCAAACTTGTGGATTTCCTGGCCACGGCGCTTGAAATGCATTGGCGGAAGAAGGTGGGGTGGGCACACTTCCATTGCTAGACACACCGTTATCCGAAAGTTTTTTGACAAGCTCTTTGTTGCGATCAAGCAAATGGAGAGAGAGGGCTTTGTAGTAGTCTAACTCTGTCTTTAGTGATTTTGGATCTTCATGGTCTTGGTTCAATGAATCAAGGAGATGGTCTACATCGTCTTGGTCTTGCACACCCAGGAACATTTTAATCTTTTCATTGGTTTTTTGAATTGGGATGCCTTGACTTGTGTGGGAGCGGACAGATCGGCGAGAAACAAATGGAGAATTCTCTTCGTCGTCGTCGAGTGTAAATTGTCCCTCTTGAATTGCATTCACAGCTGAGGGAGTGACAACGTCTACTTTTTCAACGGCTGCACAAGCACTCAATTCGTGCTCAGCTGCATCCTCTAGATCTTTGTAGTTGAATTGATTGAATTGCGTTCTCTTGGTATTTGGTGAAGAAAAGTTGAAACGTAAATTGGCCTTGTTGTGTACGTGGTCATCCTCTTGGGGTGTCAATTGCATCGAAGGTGTCGTTTTTGTTCGAGCGTGTTGCGACAGATTCTTCCACGCTTCATCATGTTTGCTTTTGAGATTGTCAAAGGGAACATCCTCGAGGCTTCCTTCATCGAGAGGACCACTTGAGCTCAGATTGGTGATCAAAGCATCTGTATCGTCCTCGTCCGGATAATGAATGCCACTTTTGGCAATAAGAATAGAATGAGCTTTTGCAAAGGTCATGCTTACATTGTCGGGAGAATGTTGAGGTTCAGCACCCTTTTGAGAATTGATTCGTGCAGACAAATCATTTTCTTTGTTTGAATTGCTGAAAATAGCTTTCGCATATTCTGACAAGGGAGCAGGAAAGGTACTCATAGTGTTTTCAAAGAAGGTGAGAGGCTTGTTGCTTGCGTTGAAAGTTTTGAATGCAATGTTTTGGAGAGAGGTAGAATGCACAAAGATGTGGAGTGTTCCGATGGGGGAATGGTGATGGAAGGAAAGATGAAAGCATGCGGGGAGCTTTGAATGCCCTGATCAGCTTTTGATGAACGGTGAAATGTGTATTGCGTGATTTTCATCAAAATCAAATCCCACCACGGCTTCATATCACTTTTTCACTGAAGCATTGCCTACTCGATCTTCGGCCAAGTAGGATTCTGCTTTCTTCCAGACATGAAACATGAATCGTGTCACTGTCCGAATGTAATTAAATTTCCCTTCATGCGAGAAAGAAGGGCGGAAAGAAAGGCAATGTCCGTCCGCCTGCTTTACTGAAGAAGAGGTCCCTCTTTTGCTCATCCAAAAGACGCATTGCGATCAAGCCAGCGGACAAACAATTCGCGACTGAGTGACTTGTTCCATCATGCGGCGCAAAGAGAACTTGGAACGCATACGAGTTTGGCTTACGCAGTAGGCTAAAGGTACTTATTGCAATGAAATGAATCGGATTGAAAGTCAAACAAAGCGCAAAATACAACATGTATGTATGAGAGAGAGAGAGAATGTTTGTTTCAAAGTGACCCATAATCTATAAACCCTTCTTCATCGGAATCCCGTATGATACTTGCCTCAACAATCATACGTACGCACTTCCTTGCAGGTGTTTTGGTTGCTGTATCTTTCTGATTGAATGTTTCAACGGATGGCAGTGGTGCCAGACCCTCTTTTGCAATGCTGACACAGTCAACAATGACCTCGTTTGTTGCGCCTGCATCCACTTTTGATCTAATGTTGGTCTTGTGAGCCAATGCACTTTTCACATTGTACCGGCAAGGTCTTCGAGGTGCATTAGACTTACGCTGAAATCCCAGTCCCGCTCTTGTGGCTTTCTCATCCAGTGAAAGAGAGAAAGTCAAGCCTTGACCATCTTCCATGAAGAATTCTTGGCCTACTTCGTCCACCGCACTTTCATTGTCAGACGAGATATCATCTTGCTCATACGTGAGGAGTTCAGAAGCATCTTCTTCAATTGCAATCACAACTTCACCCGGTACGGGATCATTGTACTTGTTCGCTTCCGTTTTGACAGTGACAGGATATCCTCCAAACAAGGGAAGATAACTGACAATCTCTTGCGTGGAACCCAGCTCCACTCCACAATCACAATGATCCTCTTCCCTTTGCACCTTCAACAGGTCAAACACCTGTTCATTGGACATCTGCTTCAGTTCTCCACCTTCCGTCTGTGAAGATCCGTCCAAAGTAATCATTTCAAAAGCCTTCCGTATTCTGACAGAAGCACAAAGTTCTTTGGCCATCGACGATAACACTGATATACTGGCCTGCATCTCCAACGAGCATATTCCAATACACAATCCATCATCCAGCACACCAATTTCATATGTGCACTCTCCGCCTCCCTGTAGCACTCTCCATTGCATCTGCGTCAACAGCTTATCGAATCGATTGCGGGTGGGTGGCAGTATACGTAATTTGTATTCGAGGTTTCCTAGCACATCCGGTTCAGGTGCAAGCCTGGCCACTCGCTTCTGCCGTCGGCTGTTCTTCTGTATTATCCTTCCACTTGTTCGGTTCTGCGTGCCATCCAAGTTTGCGGCTGATGTCGATAACAATTCGACGCCATCGATCGGGGTCAGAATGTCTGGCGTCAAGCTATGCTGGCTGGAACTCAGCCGCTGAACATCTGAGTCTGAGTCCAGAGCAAAGAAGCTATCCAGACCCTCATCATCGTCATCGTCTTCTTGCGAGGGCGGTGTAGAGGTAGGGCTGCTACCTTGATCGTCTTCGTATCCTTTTTGTTTGTCACGATATGCTTCTGCATTTCGTATCTGTACGGCACGCGACAGAGGGCTGAAATTGGGCGAAGCTGTTGAGCTTGTTTTCCGCAGAATGCTATGGCCAATGATGTCTGGTGGTGTACCTACTTTGCTGCTATTACTGCTGTTTCTCGATCCGCTGCTACGACGTGCATTTGACCAAGGTGAAGGAACGCGAGGGCTCTCCGATTCACGCTCCTTGAACAACATCTTGACGATTCAATTGTCGTGAGGAAAATTTACCTTCTAGAATAGGATTTGCTTATGTGTATCTGTATTGTAAAGTTTGCTAACCGATCGATCATTGTTGTATGTGAAGGTGAGAAGAGGAGATTTGTGGTTGGTATGAATGCCGTTTGAAGACTATCAATTCCACCTGCTTTGATGAATGGTCAATGTAGTGATATCCTCTGAGCGCTCTTCCGTTCGACTTGCAACCTTTTGACTAATCAAATCGTGGTGATGTTAATGAGATAGCGGCCACCGCTCAAGGTTGTGGGGATATGTAGGTGGACGTATGTATGACAGTGTGCAGTGCATGCAGTCTTTGTAACGCGATCCACTACAGATGACTCCTACCGCCCTGGCTGCCGCCGCCCTTAGGTGATCTTCACACGCGGCTTGAATTTAGGGATTTTCATTTTAATAGCCCAAACGCGTTCACCCTTTTGCTTATTAAGGCAGAAGAAGAAACGGAAGCCGGCCCAGAGCGAAAGGAGCCAATGGTTGTGACATACGCTTAGCGCTGCGTGTCAAGCGTGCGTGTGCACACACTTTCTTTCTGCCTAGCAGTAAGGATTCGAGAATTTTTTGGTTAAAAGTTAAAAAAGTTCTTGATTTGGTGTTTGATACACAAGACACATTCATTCATCGTGTATACAACATCATCCCTACATCATTACAGCTTCCCTACCAGCCTTCCTCACATCCAGCAATTACACTTATGTCGAGATAGCAAATCAACTAAATTATCATCACTCTCGCCGACACCTTTCTGTGATCGATGTCTTCAGCCGCTGGCGAACAAGGTACAGGCAATGGGGCCGGAGCAGGAGTAGCGGCAAGCGAGACATCGATCAGTCATAGCAGAGAAAAGATTAGTCTATGCTGTGAGATTATCTTGGATCATTTTGGTCCAATTGCCGCTCAAGTTGCTTCTACTTTATTACAAAGAGGTCGTTTAACTTTACGTGAATTAAGTAGATTTCTTGCAACGCCAACGATTCATGCTCCTACGGGATATATACCAGAACAAGATGACGTCTCTCACGCTGAAGCAAGTATGTTTGATGCTTGGCAAAGTGCAGCAAATGGAGCTTCTGCCGGTGGATCGTCTTCTTCGGCCACTTCTTGGAGTACACCTCTTAAATCACAAAGGCTCATTCAGCAAACATTGCTCACCCTAATTCAACACAACATTTGCTGGCATGCAAGAGCGCTTCCCAACGGATCGCTCGTACAAGCTTCGATGGACGATTCTACCTCTCTCGAAGATGCTTTTCGTGGTGTGGAGTACTTTCAGATCAATGTAGAAGAAGTTTTACCAAGATTACGTTTTGGCGCTTATTTGAACATTGCTGAAGAACGGTTTGGAGAGACAGGATTATCGTCAGTCAATACAATCTTACGCAACGGAAAGATCAGAGCTGCAGATGTGATCGAAAGGGTATCTCAGCAAGGCCACGATCGCGAACATGTTGAAGATATTATGAGAGACCTACTCTATTACGGCTATATTCAACCTTCTTGGCCAAAAGTGCATACATCAGCGCGTGATCGCAGAATCTCTTATGAAGCAGAGCTTGTCTCTCGAACACGAAAGATTTTGGGACCAAAGGAGAAGATGGAAATCGCAGAAACAGCCAGAAATTCATTGACGAATGATGATTATGAAGTTTGGTTCTCATCCAAACGTGAAGAGAAACCGGTCAGGCGAGGTTTGGGACCGAGAAAGGTAACGAAGAAGAGAAAACCAAACGGAAGGGCACAAAAGGATGCTAAAGGGTCAAAAAAGGCCAAGGCAACAAATGGTAAACCTGCAAAAAGGACATTCATGGGAATTGAGCTGAGTGAAGAAGAAGATGGCGGAGAGGAAGGGACAGGGCCGAAATCATTTTCGATCGACGATACTATTTATATCCGTATCAATCATGACCGATTTGATGTTCATTTGCGAGATGAATTCATTCTGCGAACGGTGGAAGCACGCTACAATTCTCAATTGGCACGAATTGTTCAAGTGATGCTTCATCTATGCACAGGAGCATATGACACCATTCCAAGTGCACGCGACATCTATTCCAATTCACTTCATGTCAATACATTACGACAAAAGATGCCGCTCAAGATGGGATTAAAGGATGCATTCGATCATAAAACGATGAAGGAAAAGCTTGGATCAGATGCTAGTCATGATTCGGCTTTGTTGGGTGAAGCGATTGCCATCTTGGTTGGTGGAGGAGATGAATCACGTACAGGTCAAGCAAGAAGAATGATCGGACCAAGTGAATTTGCTCGACCGAATAAGCATATGGGTGGTTATTCTCAAATCCAGATCGAATACAGAAATGCGGCACGATTGATGAGACACGCAATTCTGCGCACAGTGATCGAAGCACAATTTGGTGCGAATGGGTTGAGAGTGATCACACTGCTACAAGATCTTGGCAAATTGGACGAGAAGCAGATCTCGAAAGTATGCTTGATTTCCATGAGCGAGACACGGGATGTTTGTGCACGATTGTTCGCTGCAGGACTTTTGTCATTGCAGGAAATCCCAAAAGCATCCGAGCGTGTGGCTGCAAGATCATTCTTCTTTTGGTACGTTGATGAAAAGAAGTGTATCTCTTGGCTATCCGATCACCTGTGCAAATCATTGGCACGTTTGACACAACGACGCAGACATGAACAAGCACGCGAAGCTGATCTGGTCGTCAAATCACAACGTATCGATGTCAAAATGGACGAAACATTGTTGAGGGACGTTGAGAGAATTCGATTGCATCGATTACAAGAAACGGTCAATATTATCTCTTTAGCAGAATTGCGAGCCTGGCAGGATTTGTTCATCGTTTCAAGCTTACCGGAATAAGTGCCGGAAGCATCAAAATGGCCGCATCCCGTGAGCGGCGCATATATCCACTGTACACACACACACACATTCTGTACGATAAACATCTTATTCGAATTGTCACAATTTTATTCTGATTGATCATTGGCTTTCGGGTCTAGGCAGCCGAATTTTTTGTTAAAATCACAAAAGGTCGGACAGATCGAACCATCTTTGCCCGGCAGTGATCGATCGAGTGAGGCATGAAGAGACTGTGGTCAATGCTCTTCCTTCGGCACCGAAACCTTTTATTCAGCCAATAATGACGTAAATCGTTTGTGCAAATATGAAGGAGCATTTTTTCGGACTCAGCAGAACGAATAGATCCCTTTATCTCGATGCCATCTCATTCATTCTAGTCACTATTTCTCATCTTGATCCACCCTTCTTCGTAACCAGACCTTTTGATGCAAAAGAGCAATGGTTGGTTCAAATACCATTCCTCCTGGCAATCCTGCTGCAACCTCTTCAAACGAGCCGGCTGAAGAAGTCGGTTCGTCCACCGTACCACAACTTCCAATCGAGTTGATCGTCAAAATTTGGCAACATTTGAACGTGCAAGAACGTGTAAAGGTTCAACAAGTCTCAAAGGGTTGGCTTTTCAATAGCAAAACAAATAAAAGTGTATGGAAAGATGCATTACATTTGAGAGAAGATCAGTCTGTCAGGCCGGATGCATGCAAGGATCTTGAAATGTTACTGCGAATTGGAAAATGGACAAAGTTCAAATTTTCAAGACTTGCTTTTACACTTCAAGTATCGACGGTCGAACAAGTAAGAGCTTGCAAGAGATTTTTTGAATTACTGCCAAGATCGGACGTAGAAGACTTGGTGATTAGTTCAGAAGCTAGTGCAAAGCTTGGTGAGATGCTAGATGTCTTGCAAACGAGAGAACAAGCTCGGGCTCAACACTCTGAAACGCAGGACGACTTTTTATTTGATTTAGATCGGAGACTTGTAGGCTGGAAGATTAGGTGCACCTCGCAATTCGATGCTCTTCTCAACTCTATCTTAGATTGTTCAAAGCTACGTTCTCTAATCTTAGAGATCGACCGCAAGATATTGTATACCTTTGAGCAAAATACGCCGATCAGTCAATGCAAGCTGGACATTCTAAGCATTCAGAGCGCGCCAGAAATCAGGTCTTCTGTGCCAGATGGACACGATGTTGCAATCTGTGATATGGTGGAAAAAGCTCGTGTGATCGACTTGATCGATTATACTGCAATAGAGTGCGGCAGAATGTTGCTGCGAATCCTTTTTGCAGCATCTACGACTCTCAAATTTCTTACCATCAACATTTTCACTCGAGCTTCTTTCCAAGCATGTGAGAGAGCCGGTTGCGGTTGTCCAGAAGAGCTCGAAACAACTTTCATTAATTTGCCAAACCTCAAACATCTATGGTTGTCCAACAAAGGTGGAAAAGAATCTGCCATGAAGCTCGTTTGTCCCAATCTCGATTCTTTGAGGCTGAAGAGCCTGGATGATTTTGAGCACTTTGCACTCATTCCTTCTGTCAAGATGCTCTTTATTGAGAGCGAAGCCTTGAGTTGGAACCTTGCTTGGATTTTACTTACTCGACTTGCAGCTGATCGATTGGATACTCTGTATTTGTACAGCGATTGCATGTTCGAATGGGACTTCTTCAAGCTATTCCAAGCCGAAACGTTTCCGTTTTTGAAAAAGATTGTTGTTCTGGTTTCACCTGATTCACTTCATAGACTCAAGCTCGATATTTTCTTCAATTGCTCGGTAGAACAACTCCTCAAGATTCGTACGATCGATACGTTGATTTGGCAATGTGCTGTCGATGATGAACTTCCTAATCCTTCAACTCATGAATATATGCATGAGCACTTTACAAAAAACTTTCAATGTTTCAAAAAGCAAATCTCAAATGACCCAATCGAATGCTCGGCTGAGATCATGGGGAATTTTATTTCATTGAAAACAGGAATTGAGAAGATGGAATACTTTCAACAATTTCTCCAATGAAGCAAAGACCTAGCCAAAACTACATTTTCAAGCATTCATAGTTTTCAATATTGTATATTTACCATGTAAAGTAGAAACACCAACCGTTTAATGAAAAATGAATTGATCGAACTAATTCTGAGCATTACACCTGGTTTTTTCGCACTGAACATTGTACCCATATTGTGAAGATGATGAAGTGATTTGATGGATTTGAAATGAAGGGGACGAATGAGGCAGGTCAATGCGGTGCTGAGCAGCTTTCTCCGCCGGCTCCGGAAAATTTCATTCAGCCAAAAGGTTTCGCATAATGAGCAAACGCGAAACGAAAAGGAAGTTGAGAAAAATAGGCATCCGTATTAGAAACCTATCTCAATTTCCCTTTTCGCACTTTTTTCCGTTTCTTCTCTCATCCCTATATCACCAGTTATACACAATGGAAGAATCTAATTCTAATCTGCAAGACGATCGCGGTGTTTCTGTTTCAAGTTCCAACCCTTCTGCTAGAGTACAATTACCAATCGAGCTGATTAGCAACATCTGGCGCCATTTAAGCTTGCAAGATCGTGTCAAGATTCAACAAGTTTCAAAGCTATGGCGTGAATATAGTTGTGATACTATAGATCTCTGGAAAGATGCATTGTATCTGAGAGATGATCTCACCAAGGCAGATATTTGCAAAGATATTCGAGCCTTATCACATGTAGGGAGATGGACGGGAATGAAATTTTGCAGTCTGACCATTTCTCTTCAGTATTCAACATTTGGACAAATTAAAGCTTCAAGAACATTTTTTAACTTGCTACCTGCTATGGATGTCAAAAATTTGATAATCACTTCAAAAGCTACGCAAATCTTTGCTACAAGAGGATCGGGGAAAAAAGGTTCATTAGAGTTATCTGTTCTTGTACACCATTTGAGGTCGTTGCAAGGTCCAACTGTCATTGATGACACTTTCAAAGCTTGGGGATCTGCTATGAAAGATCTCGAGCTTACAAACAAGACGATATGGAATCTGGCGTATTTCAATGCTATCTCAAATTGCTCAAAATTACGCTGTTTGATATTGCAATTCGACTGCAAGATTTTATTTCACTTTTCGAAAGACATGCCTATCAGTCAATGCAAGTTAGACATCCTGAGCATCCGCAACAACGAAGATGATTCTTTTCCTATCTCAAGGCATGAGCAGTCTGAAGCAGTGTGTGATATGGTTAGAGAAGCTCGCGTGATCGATTTGATCGATTATCCTTCCTTACGTTGCGACAGTATGCTACAAAAGCTTCTATCTGCAGCATCCAAAACTATTGAGTATCTCACCATCAGCATCTCTGCACTAGCTTCAACAACACCAAGTGTACCCACCATCAACTTCTCTTATCAATCTTCAGCTACAACAAGCGTACCGGAAACGCTTGTCATCGATCTACCGAAGCTCAAGCATCTGTGGCTTTCCAGCAAATGTGTAGAACCTACCATAGAGCTCAATTGCCCAAATCTCGAATCTTTAAGGGTGAGCCGTATGGAGGTTTTCAAATACTTTACAAGGATCCCTTCGATTAGGATGCTCTTTATCGGACGTACACAAAGTTCATTGAACGACTTTGATTGGAATGTTCTCAGTCAAATCGGAGGTGATCGACTGCATACTCTATATTTGTATAGCGACTGTATGCCTGCATTAGACTTCTTCAAACTTTTTCAAGCCGAGATGTTTCCGCATTTACGGAAAATTGTCGTTTTGGCCTCAAGTGAAAAAAGTTCAAGGATCAAGATCGAATCATTCTATGATTTAACACCAAAGCAGCTTCTTCGATCTCGTAGGGTTGATTCACTCATCTGGCAATTCGCAAGCGATGACGTTTTTCCTGGCTTTTCAACTCAAGATTTTGTGAGAGAGCACTTTGCAGAATACTTTAATTGTCTTAGATCAGATGATTCAATCAAGTATTCGGCTAGAATTATGGGAGATTTTGTACAGATGAGAACAGAATTCGACAAGATGAAACACTTTCAAGAATTTCTCCAAAGAAGCTAAGGTAGCCATTCGAATAGTCTTCCACTCATAGTTCATTGACTGTAAATCTCACTAAGCGTCTGTGATTCTTCATTCACTTTGTCACAAGCCTATGTAAACTAATTTGATTGTACGTGACGAGAAAAAGATTGTTGAGAATACTGTTTAGCAGGATGGTCAATTCTTTCCGCAAGAAAAGGTGACGAATTCGTGATGAAAGTGGTAACTGCCGCATCGAATACGCTTCAGTACCTCTCTATTGAAATATGGATTGAGGATTTGACGGTTGAGCGTGGGATCCTTGGCATCAATCTCGGAAAGCTGAAGCACCTTCACTTTTCCGTCATCGGTGGAAAACGGACGCCGTGCAAACTCAAATGCACCAATCTAGAATCTCTAAGATTGAAAAGCATAGACGATTTACGGTTCTTTTCAGCTCTTCCATCACTGAAGACATTCTTTTTCGAGGAGGCAGGCACATTTTACAACGATTCGGTTTGCGAGCGTTTGACAAATCTTGCGGCCGACAAATTGCATACACTCTACGTTTACAGTTCTCAAATATCTGAAACAACATTTTTCGGTCTCTTCTCGAAAACCGGTCAGCTCCAACATTTGCAAAAGATCGTAGTTCTAGCCAATAATGGTTGGTCAAGGATGTTGAATCACGATGCATTCTACAAATTCTCCTTGAGTCAAGGTGTTCGAAAAATTGCCTCTTTGACATGGCAAGGTACAGGAAGCCAAGATTTCCCTCATCCAACTACTCAAGATCTCATCCGTGAGCACTTTGCAACCGAATTCAATTGCATCCAGCAACAGCAAAAAGGCAAATTATCCAAATTTTCGTATGACATCATGGGGGATTTTGTCGAACATAGATCAGTGATTGACAAGATGGAATTCTTCAAAAACTTCCTCAAGGAGAAGTTTGAAAGTCAAAGCGCCTAGCAGCATTGGAGCGAGTCAGATCTTTTCCAATTAGATTCCGAGAAGTGTTTGGTTGATTCATCAAGCTCAAACTAGCATCCCAGTATTACCCCATGTACAAGTACTAAGAATGAATGAATTGTAATCAATGAACTGTTTGAAGTAACGCTGAGGTTGATCAGATTGCACACAATGTATGCGGACGTCAAGACGACGCGCTGCGCTGCACAAAATTGAGCATTTATTCTTGCGACTCAGCGCAGCGCAACAATCTTCCCTTTACACTCCATCAATTACTGCTACTCCTTGCAAAGGCACATTTATCACTCCTAACATGGATGCGTCAAGCGTTTCCATGGAGCCTTCTTCAACAGAACAGATTGAAGAAAACAATCCGTCTCCTTCAAGCTCACTGCAGCTTCCAATGAAAGTGGTAGAGCAAATCTGGGGATATTTGAGCATCAGAGATCGTGTCAATGTTCAGGGTGTTTCAAAAGCATGGCGTGATCATAGCCGGACAAACGCATACATTTGGAAAAATATGCTTCATTTAGAAAATGACGATCAGCATGACAGACCAGATATTTGCAGAGATATGCGAATCTTATTGCACGCTGGAAAATGGACAAAGATGAATTTCTCCAGCCTTGCCATTTCACTTCAAACATCAACAAAAGAACAGATTCAAGCGTCTAAGCACCTTCTTGATCTTTTGCCTCAAATGAAAGTACAAAATTTGGTAATCACTTCAAAGACCAGCGCAATTTTTGATTGTTTGTCTAATATGCGTCAACAAAATACACTTCACGAATTTGAAAGTATTTCGGGTCTCTATTGCTTGCCCGAAACGGAAAGAGAGGAATGTATCGACTTTCTTTACGCCAGGATGGAAGCGCTCGATCTTGAAGATTATCCCATAGTTTGGACGCTGCTCGAATCTCGTTTGAAGAAAGCAAAAGCAAGTCAGGATCGAGCCCTTTTCAAAGCTGTTTCAAAGTGCTCAAGATTACGTTCATTGATCTTAGATGTAGACTGCGACGTATTGTCTGATCTTTCGCAAGATATGCCAATCAGCCAATGCAAGTTAGACATTCTCAGCGTTCAGAATACGACTGGTGAGCCGGCTTCTTTCTTGATTACTAAACATTACCAATCAAAGTATGCTATGGTCAAGAAAGCTCGTGTTATTGATTTGGTAGACTACGAGAAGATAAAGTGCAAGAAAATGCTATCCAAGATCTTATCTGAAGCATCTCAAACGCTTGAATATTTCTCTGTCAACTTGGACACTCCATCTTTAGGAGATGAGTGTGATCGACCAAACTGCGACTGTATCACAGATAGTGTCGCAAGGATTGCTAAGCTTCCAAATTTATTCTTTCTTTGGATGAATGTCGAAAGCTCAAAGAAACCTGCAGCCAAGCTCAGATGTCCCAAGCTCAAATTTCTGAGGACGAATACCATGCAAAGTATGCACTTCTTTACCGAGATTCCATCAATTGAGACACTGTTTATTACTGGCACACAAAGTATGGATGGTGACTCATGGACTTTACTTTCAAACATTGCAGCAGACCGATTACATACGTTGTACATTTACAGCGATTGTCTATTGGAAGCACAATTTTTCGACTTTTTCCTTCAAGCCGAAAAGTATCCGCATTTGCGAAAAATCGTCGTGTTGGCTTCATTGGATCCTTTGTTCAGATTGAGGATCAATAATTTTTACAATTTGAGTGCAACACAGCTCTACAGCGTTCGCAAAATTGATACATTAATCTGGCAATGCGCAAAAGAGGATGAATACCCTGGCATTGACACTCGAGACTATATGCGAGAGCATTTCTCACCTAATTTCAGGTGTGTCAAGCAGGTATCAGATGATCCGATCAACGAGATGGAGTATTCGACTGAGTTAATGGGAGAATTTGTTCGATGCAAATTGATTGACAAGATGAATCACTTTCAGCAATTCCTCCAAAGGGAACATCAAGCTTGGCCATTCATCAATCCAGATAGCGCTATCAGTAGTGATACTCTAGCAGATCTTTTTGCGGACGCACAGATCGCGGGAGATAGCTTGGCTCGTGCTAGTTCACCTTGTGAGAGCTTCTATTTCTACGAAGAAGATGAGCAAGACAGCAACGATTTTTCTTTGGATTCAAATTCTGACGAGGCAATTTAAATGCAGTCACCCATGAAAGGTAAGTTCGTACATACTGTTCATATACCTACTTTTCGATACATATACCCCTTCCTTCGAGTCACATCACTGTATTCCTAAAAGATCAGTATCCCACTTGTAAACTTCTGTATAACAATGTCACTCTTATTCCCATATGCACCCCGGAACTGAGACGTCGAGGCTGTGCTGTTGAACAATAGATCGGGATAAAATTGGTGGCGCTAGCACAACGCTAATATGAAACCGCTATCTTGGGTCAATTCTAGAAGCATGTGTCATTTAAGCTAAGGTTCTCTCTGGCAGGTGGCCTTGTCTTTTACCATCATCATCACAATACATAGCAATGAATCAATCACTATCAGAGAAAGACGACCGATACAGGCTTACGAAGGATCGTCGTTCTATTCATGACAGAATATACATGACATTATCCACAAAAGTGGTTCACGCGCAATCATTCATCGTTCGTTTAATCCTTGTCGTTATCGGGGTCATTGTCACATATGCATTTTTGCAAGAGATTTTGCGAATACGTGATTCTCTAAGGCTGTACAGTTCATACGACTCATATGAGAGAGGGCTGAATGAGCTCAAGCTGAACGATCCTGCACCTCTGAATGCACAAGGATCAGAAGTCTTGCCTAGCCGAATAGCATCAGCTTGTCGAATCGGTGAAAGGAACATCGAGCCAATCAAAGTATTCAAAGCACCTCAACACCATCCAACTCCCGCAGTAGGCTCAGGTGACCTCTTCAATCTGGACAAGTGTACTACTTATGCCGAACGATACCGTCCTTACGATGATGACGCACTTCAAATGACCTACTTGCAAGGATATCGTTCTCTTGCAGAGCAACCTGGTCGGAATTCCTGGGAAAGAGAGGGGAGAATGATTGCGAAATTGATTGAAACAAATACCAAAGCTGAAGTCAATGGAGGATACCACGATTGGGCAAAGACTGTCGAGCAGTGCCGAGGCCAAGGTGCGATAGCTAAACGTGCTCTCATCCTTCGCGCTTATGAGAATTACATATGGGGCTTGGATGATATTCGCAACGTTCGTGCATTGATAGTTGAGTTGACTATGAATCCTGAGCCAAAAGATCGATATGATGTTCATCTATTGCTCGAAGTTCATACGAGAAATTCATCTTATGCAATGTCGGAAAAGGAACGAACGGCCATTTTACAAAGAAGCATTCCAAGAGAATTTTGGTCATTGACCACACTTTGGAGTGAGGAAGAATTGACTTGGTTGTACCCGAATTTGCCCGGTCAGTTCTTGAATCACATGATACCGACAAACTCGTATCGATCTTGCTTCATGCCTGTGCAAGTCTTCTCCAAGAATCATCCCCAATACGACTTCATTTGGAACTGGGAGATGGACACCCGAAGTACGCAAGAATACTCAGAAACGCTTGAGAGGATTGGCTCTTACGCCAAGCGAGCTCCAATCGATCAGCTACTGGAACATCAAAGCCGCTGGAATATCCCAGCATCATCAACAAATGCTAATCGATTTGACATTAATGGAGAAGAAGCTGATTTGATCACTTTGAATCCTTTCTTCAATACAAATAATAGCGGGTACTATTGGGCGTACGATTTCCAAAGTGAGTAAGATCATACCAACCTGATGATGATCATAAGAAGTAGAGACACTCACCATTTTTGCCCTTGCTCCTCTAATAGAATTCCCAAAAGACACTTTGCAAAGATCCTCAATCGGAAAGAACGTTCGATTCTCCAAACGATTATTGAAAGCAATGAGTGATGCAAATGCAGAAGAAAGAATGTCCGCTCATTGTGAGAATTATGCTGCAACGATGCTGGTGCACAAAGCTCGATCCGAAATGCAAGAGAAGTGGAAAGGCGTTTATGTTCCTCATCCGATCTATACCCGTCGTGTTTGGCCAGAAGACAAGCTGTCAAAAGCTGTCAATCGAGATGACGTTTATCGAAAGGTGAACGAAAGAGTTTTGAGAGAGTTCAGCTTTTACTATGACGGTGCACATGCGAAAGACATTTATGTTGCCTGGAGAAATAATAGCAATGCATGCAGAGCGCCAAGTCTTTTGCATCCGATCAAACGGCAGCCATGAGAAGCAAATGCCGAATTCACAGCCAGTCGCATCGATAGAAATGGTGAATGTTCCAACCTTGAAAGGCAAAGACGAATCATTAATTCCAAAGCAGGCTTTGACAATATTCGCAGCCCACCCATGAGGGTGATACAGATCAACTGATCTTTGACGAAATGAATTTTGGCTCGCGATTCCGTTGCCGTCATTGACAAAGAACAGGCGCCGAAGCATTTCGATGGTCCGCAAAGGCAATTCCAATAAGACGGATCGGAAGAAGAAATTTTACCAAGGCGTTTTATTCATTGACCGACACATTCTCATTCTCTTCGCCGTATATTCTTGTGTGCTCAGTATTTGCTCAGCAGATTTGTACTTCTATCTCGCCTATTCTATTCTGCTCAATTCGCTTCAAGCTTGCAAGCGAGCAGTTTCATTCTCCGTCGAACATCAGCCCCCGGCTCGTTCATCTTGAGCAACTTGCCTGTTCAGGATGTGCATACACAAGGAACAAAGGAAGAATGGAAATACTTAGCACATTGACAGTCTTGCAGAAAATCATTTCCTTGTCACTCTCCTTCCTCCCAAACACCCACACCTTTTTCCTTCAATCCACTCTAGACCATCTCCTCCATTCGTTCAAGATGTCATCAAAATTGCCGATGGAGCTTTGGGAAAAGATTTGGGAGTCTTTGAATGTTCCGGATCGGGTCATGGTTCAACGTGTGTGCAAAGATTGGCATGGCTACAGCATTGCATCCAAAAGGCTGTGGAAAGATATGCTGCACATTCGTGATGATCAGTCGGTAAATGCAGATACCAAGCTAGATTATTCCATCTTGAAACAAATCACCGGTTGGACAGATGATATGCATTTTGATCAATTATCCATCACACTTCGTTGTGATACTGCTCAACAGTCTAATGCAAGCTTCAACTTTCTGGAAATGTTGCCTTCTACGGAAGTACGTGATCTCGTGCTTGGCTCTGGTGAAATTGGAAACGACTCACAACTGAGCAATTGGACTAGATTGTATGGCGTGCGGATGGAAAAGATCCAGCAATGCATGAATATGCGTTCCTTGATCATGAATTTGCCGGCAGGAAGCATGCCACGCTTAGCAACAAAGGTCAATGTAACGCCAACACCATTGGAGATCTTAAGTATTTCCATGAAGAGGGAGCATTATCATGGCCCATTTGTACAGGAACTGCAAGGCATCAGAATCGCTTCTAGCTTCCAAGAAAGCGATGCTATCCGTCAAGTTGTAAAAGGAGCTCGAGCAATTGACTTGATAGAGTCCCAAGATCAAATTTGCGATCGGTTCACTATCAGTTTTCTTGGCCTTGCTGCTAGTACTTTGGAATACCTGACGATTAATATTGTGTCAGCAACTGCTTTCGAACCCAGCTTACTACCTTCTGAGACAACGATCATTCATTTCCCCAATCTTCGTTTCTTCGCTTTGGAGGCAGACGATTTACGTAAAGATGCTGTGAAATTCAATTGCCCGAATTTGCAATCCTTGCAGGTAAGTCATGTGCCAAATTTGGAGATTTTCAAGCCATGTCCTCCTTTGCAATCGTTGTACATTAAAGGCAAACCGAACGACGAAAGTGAGTATTGGAAATTTCTGGAACTCATTCCAAATGAGAATCTCCGAAATATGTTCGTTAGGACAAGCCCTTACTTGTTTTGCACAATTGTCAATCAAGTACACAACAAGTCTGCTTTGCCTAATCTCCAAAAGCTAGTCGTGATCGGACCGATTCCATCGTTGAGCGAGCAAGCCATTTTGGCGTTATATGGTCCTTCTTCTTCCATCAAGCACAAGCTCCGTAAGCTGATTTGGCAGTGCGTGGGTATGTCAAGAGAGGATGAGAACAAGGAAAAGAACGGATTAGAATTCATTTTGAAGTACGTTGCCGAGAAGTTCATCCGATACAATGTCAACCCCGACTTTCCAGATCTGGCAACTTATCAATTCTCGCCCACAATTTTGGAAGAATTTGCAGAGTACCGCAATGTGATGGAGAAGAGAAAGTTGTTCTTTGACGGAAATGTGATCAGAAAGGATTTCCTTTTCAGCCGCTCAACGACTAGCCAAACTTGACAATTTTGAAGCAAGTCGATCTGACAGGGCAAAATCGTTGATTAGTCATAGATGATATGTATTGTAGAGCCGCAGGCGTTGAATTCAATGACAGAAAGTTACCACAATAAAGAGCTTGTGCGTGACTGCTTGAGTCTTTGCAATATTTGAGGAGGAATGAGGAATGAAAGACCGCGCGCGCGCCCCGATACAATGAATGCGTACAACAAAATCAATTTCCTCTTCAGCCGAAATTGCAAATATTCGAGGGAGTTGCGTCTTGACATCATACTTCATAGCAAAATGAGCCGCTCATCAAAGCGGTTCAAGCTTCCCAAGCCACCATCGCGAGGCGATGCAAAACCTCTTGAGCCCAAATCGGTGAAGAATTCTGCAAGTATGAACAAAACTTTACCATTGGAAATTTGCGCAATCATTTGGGAATATTTGGATGTATGCGATCGCGTCAAAGTGTAAAGAGTGTGCAAAAGCTGGATGTATTATAGTCGAGCTACGCCAAAGCTTTGGAGGAACATGCTGTATATCCGTAGAGATGATTCGATTCGACCGGATATATCCCAAGACCTACAAATACTATCACGGATCAAGACATGGTCCAAGAATGTTGAATTCAATCAGCTTGCTGTTGTTCTACAGTTAAACCGGAGTGCAGAGCTACGAGCTAGTGAGCTCTTCCTGAAAAGTCTAGAAAATTCAGGTGTATGTGATCTTGTTCTTGGTCACGATGGATCAAGTCTATACGCTACCTCCGACTTAAATCGCCGGCTCAGTACGCGCTTGTGCTCAACCTTGAGATCATTAGTGCTCAGCGCGTACTACTTTGATCGAACTACTGCCTTTCTGCTTCAAAAACTCATGGAAGGATCTCCAGTCTTAGAGATTTTAAGTTTCTCGCCACTATCTGAAATATACCTTAAGGCAAGAAACCCTTCATACCGGACTTCAGCTCGACTACAATGGCATCCAGATGACATCATTGAAGCCCAGAAAGCAATGCGAATTTCAACAAAACTCAGAGCACTTGATTTGCTAGATTTTTGGTCTTTCGAATGCGATCTTCACACAAAAGAATTTCTTCTAGCTGCAGTAAACAAGCTAGAATACCTGACCATAACATTTAAAACGTAAAAAAACGTTAGTTTGACTATAGACTCCAGGCAGATACGTTTTCCTAACCTTCGTTTCTTATCTCTTGATACAGGCGACTTTTCGACCAAGGGATTCGATTTCACTTGTCCAAAGCTACGGTCTTTGCAAATTACTCACCTAAGAGACCTACATTTCTTCAATGATTGCCATTCGCTTCGTTCATTACACATTTTCGACCTTTCAATCCCACTCAATAAGTGCAAGATTCTACGAAGTCAAAAATTGTTACAGCAGCTCCGCAAATTTTACTTCGGCACAAGCGATAAGATGGTATTTTATCACACCGTGCGACATCTCTACTTGAAGTCTCTTTTCCCTTATCTGCAGGAGGTAGTGGTCTATACAAGATCCGAACTGAGCGATAAATGGAGACTGCTGAAAAATGAAAGTGAAAAGGTGGAAAACAAGCACCAAATCGAATCTATGGTTTGGTATCAAATTAATGGGTCAATCACTACGAAACAGCTGGCAGATCCAACAAATACTGACGCAACCCAAGAGGAAGCTGCTCATTCTGTCCTACAAGGCTTCGCTACAAAGTTTATTAAACATACAGTCAAAAACAATTCATTTCTCCGCTCGTTTCAGGTTATGGAAGAATTCACCGTATGCAAAAATGTGATGGAAAAGAGAAAGTTGTTCTTTGATGATAATGGACTCCCACGAAAGAATTTTCTGTGAAAGCATGGCTCTACTGAAGAAGTCTGAAGAGTTTTATTGCTTCACAAACTTGACAAAGCTCGAAACGTAAGCCTGCTTTCGTTGTAAGAAGACTTGACATCCTAGTGCAGCTATCTGTATATCGTCAACAAGTCCACTGAATTACCCATCTCTAGTAATGGTTTCTCGAATGACCTCCTGTATCATATTCACTTAGCCATATTAATGTTGTATCATAAATGTTTCATTGTCGAATAAATTCAGCTTGTGAGCGTGCGCGTCCTTTTCTGCAAACGAAATGAATTTTCCCACATGGCGGTCCGAGTTGAGGAAGCTTCAGCCCACAAACTGCATATTAAACACTTCAATTGCCATAGATTTTTCTCTACGTCCATCTCATCCCCAGCTTATTAGCAACATGATTTCATCTCTACCGTTGGACCTTATTGAGGAGATCTGGATGTATCTTGACATACCAGAACGTGTGAAGGTACAAAGGGTTTGTAAGGCTTGGAGAGATGACAGTCGCCAATCAAAAAAGCTTTGGAAGAATTTGATGTATCTTCGCAAGAATGACGCAACTCGACCAGATCCAATACAAGATCTGGCAATCCTCAGACAAATTCAATCTTGGCAACATGCCAAAATCGATCAATCGGCTACGACTTCAGAAACACGCATTGAAGAAGATGAACTCGAGATCAAATTTAACAAATTGGCTATAGTCTTAACGATAGGGTTACGAGAAGAATTCGATGCAAGTATCGAGCTTTTGAATATAATGTCTAAATCAGGTGCTGAAGACCTTACTGTCGGCTTTGGTGAAAGATTTCCTTCCTTAAGTGGCTGTAAAGATAATAAACGAAAATCCCAATTTAACGCATTGAGAAGGAAACACATTTTCGAATGCAGCAACTTACGTTCGCTTGTTGTGAATGTCTTCAACGATGGCGGCCTCTCTAACTTTCTGCCCAACAAAAACATAGCAATATCTTCTTTGGAGATCTTGAGCGTATCCGGGAGGAAAGAAACCTACTCAGATCTATATGAAACATTTGAATATTCCTGGTGTCTTGACAAGCATATCGAAACACTTCATGGTGTAGTGCAAAAAGCTCGTGCAATTGACTTAAGGGAAAGTGGTATCACTTTTTCCTCTCTTTTCGCAATTAAACTATTAGAACAGGCATCAAGCAAATTGGAATTTCTGACTATCCAATTTAATACACCTCTGGATTTCGTTGGAAAGCAAAGTGATTCAATCACAATCATACATTTTCCCAAACTTCGCTTTTTAAATTTAGAGATACGTGATGCCGGATGGACTGATCTCACTCCAATCAAATTCAAAACTCCTAGTCTGCTTTATTTGCAAATAGATGAAGATTGTGACCTGTCAATGTTTCAAGATTGTTCTCATCTCCATTCATTCTACCTCGAGCAATTTACGGACGCCAAAACGGATATTTTGGACTCTCTAAAGGATAGTATTGCCAGGGAAAGCTTGCACACCCTATACCTTCCTTCATACCAGCTAACGCAAAGTCTGATTCATTCAATTTTCTTCAAAAAAGTTTTCCCCAACTTACAAAAATTGGTTATACTTCAAAAATACCCAAAGAAAAAAAGATTACAAGAATTTTATCACGCATTCGACGATGGCTTTGTCAACAAACCGCTGAAATTGAATACTTTGATCTGGTGCGAGATGCATCTCATGATTGAGAAAGGGCAAATCACATCTTTCATCAAAGAGAATCTAGCTGAAAATTTCATTACAGCACAGATATCGAGTAAACATCCAACATCGTACCAGTACTCGCCCGAACTCATGGGTAATTTTACATCGTACAAGAACGTCATGGAGAAGAGAAGATTATTCTTTGATGAAAATGGGCAACCTCGACGAGATTTTTCCTATGAAGGGCCCTTCATTGAAGATATGGAAGATGTGAAACAGTCCAAATTCGATTTCACAAAATGGTAAATGTTTTCATATCATCTTGTAACATAAATGTAGAATAGTAAGACTGAAGAAATGAAACATCCTTGTACATTTATCTTACTGTCATGTGCATCTGCATCGCCATGAACTGTTTTGCGCTGATCGCCGATGTTAAGCATGATCGTTGTTTGGCTAAGCATGTAATCCAAGTCCCAGCCTAAAGCCGCGGCTTACTGTTTTCCGCGGTTGTTTTAGTAGCCTCATGTAAACGCGCCGGTGTTTGAGTTTTGTGTTGAGTGCAATACACGCGTGTGAGCAGCCACTTTGATGTAAGAATAGGGTCCCGATTAAAGATATCCTTTAAGTCCTTGAATGCCTTGCAGCATAAATGATCAAGTAAGCAATGCAGATTGTTGCATAAATTGTGCATATGTAAGCCTACTGTGCACATAAATCGGAAGAAGGCTAGTGTATGTAGCAAAAATGATCAGATGATGTATTGTTTTCCTTCATTCTTCTCCTCTTCTCCACTCTCAGCCGTTGCAACGAAGCTCAAGCAAAATGCGAATTTATGCACAGTTGCACAGACGGATTACCTACCTAAAATAATCAGGAAGAATGTCAAATTTTATGACCATTTGGTGAATGATAAACATCCGACTGCGAGTGAGCCGTTTAAAGAGAAAAAAAAGATTGATCAGCAATGTTGTACGTTTTGCTTAACGCCGAAGAAGGGCTGCATCTAAAAGGTAAGATCTATTGATATGGAAGCTTAATTATCCTCAAACAAAAAGTACATAAGAGCCCATCATCATCACCTGGATTCCTTCTTGCTTTCTCTCATCAAAGTATTGATTACCATATACCATCAATACTTATAAAGGATACCCATTCACCTCTATCAATCACAATGGTTTCCGCTACCACACAAGCGAATAATGGATTAACAAATCCAACATCCTCTTATACTGCAATCGCATCCAACACATTAGCAAAGATTTTATCGCCAGCTTATCAACCTGCCGTTTATCTTGCCAGACAAGCATGTATTTCTTTATTGTCAAGGTTGGATTTACCAGGTGCACAGGGTGTGATGGAAATCATTGAACAAGACGGTAAACAAAGAACTTTATTTGGAGATCCAGTAAGCAAACGTGCAATCACCAAAAAGGATAAATCTATCAATCATGAATTCACTCATGCTGTCCTTAACGTCAAAAATGATATCTTTTGGATTCGTTTAGCTCTTGGAAGTGATTTGGGTTTCGCCGAATCATACATGTTGGCCGAAGTGGAGACGAATGATTTGGGAGATTGCTTCAAGGTGGGTATCAGGGTTTCTGAAGGAAGACACAATCAGTATACTAATCTTTATCTTCTTCTCTCATAATAGCTCTTTATTCAAAATCGTGAAGTGCTCTCCAATTTATCCATCGGACTTATCTCAAAAGCATCTTCTTATCTACAAAGCGTTTTGAACAAAAGATATGCAAACACAAAGAGTGGCTCTTTACGCAATATTGGAGCACATTATGATATCTCGAATCGAATGTATGAAGCTTTCCTTAGCAAGGATATGATGTACAGTTGTGCAGTGTTCCCTACTTTGGACGCAGACGTTAGCGGACCATTGTTGGAATCCGTTCGCAATCTAAAAGCTGCTGAAGAACAAGCAACTACAAATGGACACGCACATATTAACGGACATTCTCATCCACGATCCGGTATTGTTTCTGAACGTGGAATTGCTGCACCTGTTAGATATGATTTAGGACAACAAAACACGACAAATGAAGCAAATGCACCTGATGGACAACTTACACCGCCAGACAGTATTACAGGCGGAGCACCAAGATCACCTCTTTTACTCGCAAAGGATGAATTGGAAGATGGACAATTACGCAAAGTTCGTCTTCATTTAGACCGTGCAAGTTTACAATCCAATCATACGCTGCTCGAAATTGGAACTGGATGGGGTACATTAGCAATCGAAGCCGTTCGTTCTTCTGGATGCAAAGTTGATAGTTTAACTTTGAGCGTTGAACAAAAAGCACTTGCTGAACAAAGAATTGCAAAAGCTGGATTGCAAGATAAAATTAAAGTTCACTTGATGGATTATCGTGATATGCCAATCGAATGGAACGAAAGATTTGATCGAATAATTTCGATCGAAATGTTGGAAGCTGTGGGGATTGAATATCTACCAACGTACTTCGAAAACGTCAATCGCGTTCTCAAACGGGATACAGGTGTTTGTGTCGTTCAAGTAATCACAATGCCAGAAGAACGTTTTGATTCGTATATCAATGAAGTTGACTTTATCCGTAAATGGATCTTCCCAGGTGGTGTACTTCCGAGTGTAACTGCTTTGATCGATGCAGCAACAAAAGGTGCAAAAGGAAGTTTGATTTTGGATACCGTTCATTCTATCGGTCCTCATTACGCTCGCACCTTACGTGAATGGCGTCAAAGATTCGAACAACACTTTGACGAAAGAATTCGTCCTGCTCTGCTTGATGACCATGCAGAGATTCGCCATCTTTCTCCTTCCGAGAAACAGAAACAAGTTCAAATCTTTAGACGAAAATGGTTGTACTACTTCATCTATTGTGAAATTGGTTTCACCGAAAGAGTAATCGGCGACCATATTCTCAGCTTTACCCGTTCGGGTAACAAATCTTTGCCTGTTTGCTGCATGTAATTATATTCTGCTTCTCTGCATCGCTAATTTAATTTTGCTTCACTGATCGATTGCAGAAAATTGATAGATTACTATGATTATACTGTTACATTCTTTCTACAATCAATGGCATTTATCGAGATTCTTGGCTTGCAGCATCTGCTGATGAGCTGCTCGAATCGCTAGATGAAGCACTGCTATCTGTACTACTTGCATCATCCTCGCATCCTGCACTTGATGAATCATCCTGTCCGTTGACATTCAGCTGGGACATCTTTGCTTTTTGCACAAATTCACGTCCAAGTACGATCCTTTGCATTTGATGGCCGTCAGCGCTGGCAGGAGTAGTTGGTGCTGGGATGCTTGCAGTGGAGGCAGCTGCTGGGGCACTTGATGAAGAAGATGCACCTTCCTGAGCTTCAGCCGTGGGTGCATCTGGAGTAGTGGCCATGACGAAATGCATTCTCATCTCTTGTTGCTTTGAAGCAGAAGAGGTGGCATTGACGGTAGCATTTCCAGCACCTGCATCAGCCGTAACACCTTGACCAACTCCCATACCATCGTCTTTTGCATTGGCAAACATGGGGGTCAATGCACCAGTAGATGGCTTGTAGGTAAACAATTGCGAGCCTTCGGTTGTGTTGGCATCGGAAGGTGTCTCGCCACTACATTCGTTGACGCCCAAATCTGTGGGTGGCGATGAGCCGTATGAAGCACACATGACAATGGGAGCACCTTGTGCATTCAGCATATGCATCATCATCTTGACTGTCATGGTATCGTTCTTGCCTGTGCTTGTTGTGTTGCTGCCATCGCTGGAGGAGTCTGGTTCAGCATTGGCTTGATGGACAGGCACCAAAAATACTTGTGTTTGCTGCTTCTTGCTGGCAGATAGCGCATACCTCATGGATGCTTGTGCTGCTTGATTGACTGCAGTAGCATTCTTGTTGCCGTCTGAAGATGCGCCTGCATCCGTCGAATTGTTATTTTGAGGTTCAACAGTCAACAATAATCCTCCCAATTTGCCAAACAGACCAGTGTCTTGCTTGCCGTCACCAAAGAGGATATCAGACACTTGAACGAATCCTGGAATGATACTGAGCGGACCCATCAATCCTTTGAGTGAATCTCCGACCAAGCCACGCTCTTCAAACGTTTCGACAACCACCGACTCTTGCTTCAATGTCTTGATTGAGCGAAGGTTGAGATTTGCACCAATGTCTACTGATAAGAGACTTGTGTTTCTTGGCGTGTCTTGATCCGAGTCAGAAGGATCACCACGGAGAGACATGGCGATGGAACGGGTAAATGGAGGCGCATCTCCATACTGCTCGACAGGTCTTGCGTCAACAACCACTTGTCCGATGACAAGACTTGATACAGCGATGGCCAAGGCCAATCGACGCAAAGATGATTGAGGCAACATTGTTGAGAGGGTTTGATTGAGTGAGTTGATGATCGTAGAAAAGATGGTAAAAATGACTGTATCAAACAGTTTGATAAGGATTAAGAACTATAGTATGGCAAATAAGCAATGAAAACGAAATAGAGGATTGGTCACCAGGACCCGTGAACGGAAGATTAAAGAAAGAGGTGTTGGTGGTGGGAGGGAGAAAAGGATGCGCATTGCAGAAAGTGGCCTTTAAGTACTTCATGTCTGCTGAAGCTTTCTTCAAACTTTTCTCGGCAATTCTTTTCTGCTTTGTAGATCTCTGCAGAATGGTTTCGAATCGATCAAAGAGAAAGGGAGTTAGCACGCACAATGGTGGCATACATGCGGCTTTTCACCAAAGATTCTTGCAGGGTACCAATTGCTTCACTAGGTATCCTTATGGCTGTCGGGTCCCTACTTCAAGTCAGCCGATGTAGATGCTTATGATCTCGCCCGCCCATTGGAAGAAGTCGAGCTCGCTACCTGTCGGAAAGTGATATGGCCAAAGATATGCTCAAGATCGTGCTAAACGTGTTGAAGCATTAGCGCCAAAACGCCAAACCAACACATCAACACGCACACGCATGCACGAAGTCAATGGACGGACCTTTAAGGTTAAATTTTATTCGAACGTGCTTGAATGCAAATCTTCTTATTCGATTTGAACCTTTGGCACATGTCTCGGTACAACGATCACATGGGACTAGATAAAAATGTCCACCGATACATACTAACTGAAACAACTATCCTACCCCTCTGGTCGGCAAGGTTCGCTTGAATAACGCCCACCATCCAAGTGGAGTATCGGCATCAATGTCACCAATCACTCGTTTCATTTTGGTGTCTTTAGTGTTCCATCTTTTGTACACCGCCTCAATCTTTGATATCTACTTCACTTCGCCAGTCGTTCATCCCTCTAGAAGATTTTCACCAGAAGACTCCTTCATTGAAGCGGACAAGTTTCGGAGAACAGTAGAAGCACCAGCGGAACGATTAGTGCTCATTGTTGGGGATGGCTTACGTGCAGATACACTTTTCAAGCATCATGATATGTCATATATGCCTTCTTGGGCTGCAGAAGATGTAGCGACAAAAGGAAGAATTTCGGTGGACACCGCATTGGCACCAATCAAATCTTGGACCGGCAAGCCAAACGCGCAAATTAAGGCAGAAACATTTGATGCAGCACCATATCTTCGCAATGTGATCGAGAAAAGAGGTGCATGGGGCATCAGTCATACTCGTGTACCAACAGAGAGTCGACCGGGACATGTCGCATTGATCGCTGGGATGTATGAAGATGTCAGTGCGGTAACGAAAGGGTGGAAATTGAACCCGGTCTCATTCGATTCACTCCTCAATCAATCCTCGCATGCGTTTTCATTTGGATCGCCAGACATTCTGCCTATGTTTGCGACTGGTGCAACACCGGGAAAAGTTGATATGCAGTCTTATGCGGAAGAAGAGGAGGACTTTACATCTGATGCAACAAATCTCGATATTTGGGTCTTGGACAGATTGCGAGATCTTTTGACATCGGCAAAGACCAATAGCACTTTGGCAGACCAGCTACGTGCTCCTAAAACGGTGTTTTTCTTGCATCTGCTTGGATTGGATACCACCGGACATACGTATAGACCAAGATCGGCTGAATATGTCGGCAATCTGATGATCGTGGACACGATTGTGGCAGAAACAGAAAGAATGCTAACTGAATTCTATGGAAGTGAAGAAGCCAAAAAGACAGCTTATGTTTTCAGTGCAGATCATGGAATGAGTCACAAAGGAAATCATGGTGATGGGGAGCCAGACAATACACGTACGCCTTTGGTAGCATGGGGATCTGGAATACGAAAGCCGCGTGAACAGGGAAGAAAACAGCATTGGCGAGTACCAGAAATGGAAAAAGATGATTATTATCAAGGTTGGGGCTCTTTAGATCGCTTTTGGAGAACGGATGTAGAACAAGCAGATATCACGCCGCTGATGTCTGCTCTGATAGGCGCAAATATGCCAGCAAACTCAGAGGGTAGATTACCACTTGATTACCTTGATATCACCAAAGAACAAGCAGCTAGAGCCATGCTGGCGAATGCATTAGAGGTGCTTGAAGTCTACCGAGTCAAACATGAACAACGAAGTGAGCGAATGTTAAGGTACGTTCCCTTCTCTCAGCTTCCCAGCGAAGATGGAGCAGCACCTGGCTCAAGTAACGTAGAGACCATCAAGGCGGCCTTGTCCAAAGGAGAATACGAAAAAGTGATCGGCCACAGTGAGAAGCTGATCAAGGATGCTTTGGAAGGTGCAGCATACCTGCAAACATACGATTGGCTGATGCTCGTTGCCGTCATCACGATCGGGTATGCGGGCTCGATGCTTTACGGAACGCTATTTTTACTACGTCATTACGTCTTGGACGTATCACAATCTCAAATTCTGAAAGAGCGGTCGCCAGGGCTACCCTTTGGCAGAATTGCTGTTGGCACAATACTTTCATCGCTTTGGGCCAAATTTGCCTATGAGCAATCTCCTGTTACCTACTACCTTTACGCCGGATTTGCAGCATTCTTTTGGATTCGATTGATGGATGAGAGAAGAGTGTTTGCACTGGTGTGGAACAAGGCAGTCTCGTACCACTCCGAACAAGGTCAAAGCAATCCCAAATCAACAGTATTACTCTCAATCTCGATTCGTGTGGTTTTGGGTCTTGCCGCTCTGGAATTGATGGTGGTCGGATATCTTAATCGTTTGGCATGGACAGCAGGTTTTATCTACTTGGGATTGATTTGGCCAGCAGCGGGAATGATTGCAGATGTCAAATCAAGACACGAACTTCTGCTCATATTATGGTTCTTTTGCTGTGGATTCTGCAGTTTGTTCACTGCTGGAAGTGTGGAAAAGGAAGAGAGTATTCCGTACCTCATTGCTTCAGGGCTTTTGTTCCTTTTGGCCGGTGCTGTAATCATTCGCTGGAGTGGAACGTTTATGGAAGTTTCAAAAGATGGCAATGATCAAGAAGCAGAGGCGCAAGCTCGAACACATGTTACACGAACGAAAAGAGTGCTAACGGTCCAGCTTGTCGTCTTGATCGTTTCGGCTTTGGTCACTGCAAGCTCTTCAGCCAGTCTTCAGGCAAAGAAGGGATTACCACGTTTGAACCAAATCGTTGCTTGGGCTGTATTGTTCCTTTGCTTGACATTCCCATTCGTAACGGGCCTGAAGGGAAAAGGTGTTGCTCAACCACCTTCTCAACGATTGATGATCGTCATCTTTGCCTTTGCGCCAGTCTTTGTTTTGCTCTCTTTACGTGATGAGACGTTATTCTTTGGTTGTTATACAATGACACTGATCATATGGGCAAAGTTGGAAGCAGGGCTTTATGAGGAAAGGCTTTATCAACGCAATGTCGCCCTACATGCGGCAGGAGCCACAAACGGCACCATAAAAGCATCTGACAAGGCGGTCGCGAATGAGTCCGGACGGGCTCTAGAGAAAGAAGATGTACGGATTGCAATCTGTTTCCTGTTCTTCTTGCATGTTGGCTTCTTTGGAACTGGAAACATTGCTTCCATCTCATCATTCTACCTTTCTCCCGTCTATCGACTGATTCCGATCTTCAGCCCATTCTTGATGGCTGCATTGCTAATCCTCAAGATTATGGTGCCTTTCATTGTTTTGGCTTCAGTGTTCCAGATGCTATGTTTGACTCCACCACACACGAAACGCACATCCGGCAAGCATATCAGAAAGACTGGATACGATTTAGCAGGACCACCTCTATTCGGATCGGAAAGTGTAGGAGGATTAGGATTACGTGATGCATACTCATTGGTCCTATTGGCATGCATATTTACGGATGTGCTAGCATTAAATTTCTTGCTTACCGTTCAAACAAAAGGAAGTTGGCTGGAAATTGGTCAATCGATCACGCATTTTGCTATGAGTAATTTATTGCAAGTTTTCATTCTTGCATTAAGTGCTTTAGCAGATGTTGTCGTTGGAAGAGGCGGGAAAGTGGTTTTGGGAACAAAAAGAGAATGATGCAGTAGAATAATAAGATATTATGTACTTTTACTAGACCTTTAAACATCATAGAAATGATACTGAGTAATGATTGCATTAACCTGTTACAGTCCCCCACGCGTATAAAAAGGTACACGCACTAAAAGTGTTGTCGAATGCAAAAGTATAACAAATCCTTCCTGCAACCATCTCCGTACGATAACACAAGGGAGATCATCCCGTTATTTATTACACTATGTCAGACGAAGATGGAGATCTCGACAAGATGGCTGGTCCATCTTCAGCACCGGCGGTAGAAGCTTTGAGCGCTGGACGATCTCGACGTGCAACTGCTGGAAATCGGATGCGAGAATTGTTAGAGCAAGAACGTGAACGGATAGCAGCAGAAGGTGAAGATCCATCTCTTTCAACATCACGAAAAGGTGTTGATGAAGATAACAGCTCAAAGAAGAAAAAGAAGAAATCCGGTAAATCAGGAGAAGAAGATGAAGATGCAATCTTTCAAAACGAAGACGATGATGTTGATTTTCAGGAACTTGAAGGTGGAGAAGACATTATTGATTCCGATTTCGATCTGAGCAGTGATCAAGGTGAAGATGATGAAGAAGCAGGTGAACGAGCACTTGAAGCGGAAGAAAGAGCAGCAAGGAGAGCATCCAAGGCCAAATCTAAGGCCAAATCTAAGGCCATACCGACGCAAGTCAAACGTACCGCCCTTCCGCCAAAGAGTGCATTGGCAAACGATGGAGACGAGGCAGAAGGCTCAGCACGGCCAGCGAAACAGAAGAAACGCATTTCTTTTGCTCCAACAGTGAATGGCGAAGACTCAGCTGATAAGCGAAATCAACGATCCAGTAAACGTAAATCTGCCATTGAATTCTCCGAATCAGTACAAGCTCGACTAAAGGAAGATGAAGAACGTAGAGCACGTCAAATGGAACATGCACAGCCCAAACGTAAAAAAGTACGATTATCGCAAGCGGATTTGATTGCAGAAGCATTAGAGATGGAAGAACAAAATCGTCAAAGTTTAAAGGTATTTCTGCAAGGCGAAGAAGATCGACGTGAACGTGAAAGAAAGCGTGGAAAGAAAAAGATGGAAGGTCCTTTCATGCGTTGGCGCAGCGTGACTATTCAGTACGGAGATGAAGCCAATGTAAAACATCGACCTCATTCAAGGATTGAAGTGATTGATGCAAATTCGGCAGCGAACGTTACGCAAGATCCAGTCTTTGCAGCTAGACAGGCTGCCATCAAAGAAAGGGAAGCCCGTCTTGCAGCAGAAGGACGTGAACGTAGTACTTCAGGGCCGGTCGCAGAAAACAAAGATGTCGATAATGCACAAGGACAGGAGGCCGAGCCTGTCTCACTTGGTGAAAAGGCAGATACAGCCGATGCGCAAGACACGATGGATGTAGATTCAACGAATCGGGTTGAGGCAAGTGAAATATCACTCCAAATTGGTCAGGAAGAGTCCTCCACGCAAAGTACTGCTGGAGAAGGGGCAAAAGAGACAGAGACTACTAATGATACGTCCGCTCCAAGCACCAGTGCCGTCGCAGATTCAGAAGCAGTCGCTTTGCCTTTAGATAAGAAGGATGCTACTTCTCAAGAGAACAAAGAGACGACAGGAGCAGACTCTGAACAAGTTGACGGTAAGGGCGAAGAAGCAGAAGTGGTTGTACTCAAGACGGAGAAAGAGGCAAGAGCTTTCCTTTCTTTGCATGAGCTACCCTCATCCACGCATTGGACTACGATGTTTTCCTACATCTTGGGAGATCATGTGGATTGGTCACGATATCCTTACGTCAATCCACGTAACCGTCCTCTTCGACCGCGAATCAGTGTTTGTCCTATCACGGGCCTCCCAGCAAAGTATCGTGATCCACGTTCAGGAATTCCATTTGCGAATCGTGAAGCGTATGCAAACTTGACAGCTATCATCAAAGGCGAATTTAGATGGAGTGGAAGCGGAACCAACACGGGTAATGCAGTGGATGATGTCAGTACCTCCAAAAGTCTATCAAAGAAGGCTGATCAACCGAAAAAGCTTCCACGTTATGATCCGATGGAGATGGGATGTTTCTTGGATAGAATTTCTGAGCCTGGTGCAAACAATGTTCGATTAAGAGCAGAAGAAAGGTTGACAACCGTCAATGTGATAAAGACGATTGGCGCGACAGCTTCATCGTCTGGGTATGTTCCCGTCAATACATTAGCACCTGGTGATGAACAAGCTCTAATGGAAGCTGCATTGGCTTTGCCAGCAGGAACTACACGATCAGGAGGAAGACGATCAGCTGCCAAGTAGTGGTATCATATAACATATTTATATTGCTTTTGTTATTGTACAGTATTATTGTAAAAATAGGGTATAGAAAGAGCATTTTGCTTCGTTTACTTGTTTTCGCTAACCATCTTTGCCTTTCGTTGAAGATGAGCCATAGTACGATAGCCAATCACGAATTGCATTCCTGTCACTGAATTCAGCAAGTCCACCCCACTCTTCTCTCACTCGGCTGGCCATTCCACCACTTGCTTCCACATACGGCTGATCGTTTGTTGGCTTTGTCGAATCTGACTGCTCTCCCGGATCATCGTTGTAGAGTCGCATGATGTGGCTGCAAACGATCCGCACTTCTTCTCTTGACACATCGAATAATTCCCACCAAGGTTTAGGTTGTTGTGGTAAAGGAGGCGAAACTTTAACAAGAGTTGAAGTTAAATAGATAGCCGAAACAGCGACAACGTGAGGCGGAAATAAGCAATAGATTGTCGTCTGTAAAGAGTCATTCAAGATTGCCCATGCAAGTTGAGCAAATGTTTGACCATCGTGAGCGACAGGAGAATCTTGCGTTTGTGATCCGGTTAGCCCTAGAAGTTGTAAGTAGTTCACCATCGTTGCATAGGGGAGGTTGACTTGCACTTGGAACCCTAGTCGCTTTAGGATCTGCATTTCTGCAATCACTAATGCATCCTTTGTATCATAGAATTCATTGGCAAAGTATGTCATTGGCTTGTACTCGAAAGGCGGGATCTGAGCATGATGGTTAGCTGTTCCATTTGATGTCGAGGCAGTGTTCGCTTTCCGTCTAGCTTTGCCCAGCTGGTGTGATCGTGGTCCCGGGCGATACTTAGCCTGATGTTGATCCCTTTTAACCAAATAGTCAAACACATTAATCAAATCCCGTATCCGCTTTGGCGTTTCTTCCAATTTACTTGATAAGAACAAACACCCCATCGCGATATCCAACATACGGAATTGTCGCAAAGAAGAAACGAACCAAAATCGCTGAAACAAGACTTGTGCACATGCCATAGTCACTTGAGGTAATCCCAAAAGCATACCTGCTTCTTGTATAAGTCGACAGCCATACACTCGTATCTCATCCTCCAAATCGCAAGGGATTCCATCTTGTCGGGAAGGCGTACATGTCACTTGCTCTTTCGTAGCCAGTGTATTGAGCAATTGTGGCATTTTGCATTCCTTTGAATAGTAATGTTGTTGTATGCTATATCGCAAACATCTTTGTTATGACAAACAGAAGAAGAAATGAAACCAGACAAAAATCCAAAATTACCGTAAGGTGGAGCGTACGCGTTACGCGAAAAGGGGTGTAAGTGCATTCATTCCAGATGTTCTTCTCATTGATTCTCACTTGATGGATCTCTCTCAATTACACCATTATTCAAGGCAATCACCAAAAGTGTAGTAAATTGATAGGTTTCAAAGATTATTGCTATTGCAAATGATATGACTTCTTGGATGCGATGCGATCGTTCATCAACAAGGAAATGGGTAAGAAGAAGGGGGTTGAGGTAACGGAAATACAAATCGTATCCCATCATTAAAGTAGGGTGATACGAATAGGAGATTTTCAAAATGAAAACGAAAAATTAAGGGTGACGTGAGGGGGAAAGAAGGCAAGAAAGTATTGTCCATTTGTAGAAGTTTTTGCCTAGAAATAGTCCTTTTTTGGTTTTTTCTCTGCTCATCCTGATAGATGTTCAGTGTGTTCACCGTTCTTAAAACCTTCTGCTGCTGCTTCAACGTGTTGTTGAATACCGTCAAAAAATGATTTGATTCCATTGTCATTATCGTTCAAAGGCTTGACAACGTTACCTTGAACAGGTTGACCTTGCAATAATTCTGCAATATGATCAGCACGTTCTTTATCTGCTCCTACAAGAGATGAGCGTTGAGCAGAGGCGGCAACGGTCGCATTGGTGGAAGAAGTGGCTGTGTTTGCAATTCGTTTGCTAGAGTGATGAACACGTTTCAATTTTTGATGGTGTTCCATTACTTCAGTGAACAAATCACGCTTTCGCAATTGTGTTTCTGCTCCAACAGGTTGATTGCCGATCTTACCGTTCCCGACAACGATGAATTTACCTGTACTTGCAACACCATTCACAACAACGAACATCAATGCAGGACCAGGAGCGAACAAAGCGGGGTTGGCAGGCATGGCGGCCACGTTTAATGTATTGCCACTTCTTTGCGAACGTAATTCCAAAGAACGTTGACCCATGTTAAAGCCGTGAGTTGAGAATCCAGTACGAATAACAACAACCTTTGCATTTGCTGCTTCAGTGGAAGAACCAAACGTGAGTGAGAAGCCAGATCCACCGTATCCGATTGAATTTGGCAAACCTGCATTTGAAGGACGTTGTTGATCGTACCATTCAGGGTACCAACGTTCAACCGTGTATTCAGTCTTCCACTTTTGCTTTGTGTTGACATCGGGTGATGGGTTGCTACCTGCGATCAAGATAGAAGAATCAGGTAAAAGCGTTGCTGAGCTGTGATACAAACGGCCGACATTTGCTTGTCCTACTCTCTTCCATTTTTGACCAGCCGGCTTGGCTGGATCATAGACCAAAGGCTTGTAAGAAGGATTATCTCCGAAACTGGTACCGACTGGTCTTCCAACTTGGTTGGGGTCGGTCGTGTATCCTGCAACACCGGTCGTCACACCACTACCGAACCACAAGCGACCGTCTGGAAGAATGATGAATTGACCCATTGAGCGACCTTCTGGCAATGGATCTTGATCGTGCCATTGTGCATCGACGAGGGGTGAGATTTGTGTGCAAGAGGTAGATGCTGGACGTTCGGTAACCATGACGTTTGGACCTCCTTCGTTACCCCAGTTCTTTGAATTGCCGAGAGACATACCACCACAGAAAAGAATTGTTTCTCTGTAGTTGTTGGCAGGCGTGAGAGGTAACATTGCATTACCACCACTGGCAGGATAAACACGAGGAGCGACTGGAATGTTTGGCAGTGCTGTCTCTTGCAATGTATCTGTGTTCCACAAAATTGCTTGACGGTTTGCTTGCATGAAGACACGGTTATCGGAAAGGAGGTATGTGAAAGGGTACAAGCTCAATGGAACTGTTCGGCTAAGGAAGTCCATCTTGTATGTTGTTCCTGTGGTTGGATAGAATTCGTAAGAGGGTTCATTGCTTCCTTGACTTGGAACAAATCCACCATCTCTCATTCCACCGGCGATCATCACATGACCGTCACGCATTGGTTCCATGGTAGCATACCAACGTTCTTTCATCAAACCTTTACGATCGTTGTCATCCCAAACGCAATCACTACCACTGCAAGGGCTCAAGAAACGCATTGCTTGACCACCGTTTCGGTCATAGTATGGAGACTTGTTTTGTGAAGCGGTCACACCACCTGGACCGACGGCTTTATTTCCACCGACGACTAACCAACGACCGTCGCCTAAAGTCATTCCGCCAGCACAGAACGGATTTGTTTTCATATTATCAGCTTTAACAGAATTATCTCTGTAATTATAAAAAACTGCTGCAGCAGGACCTTGACCGTTTGGTTTATGGATTGGATTATTTTCAACTTTATCCAAAATTGCAACTTGTCCGTTTGATTGTAAAAACATCATTTGTCCTGAAACTCCAGAATTTCCAACAATTTCTACCGTTCCACCTTTTTGTCCATTTACGCTTGCTATCGTGATGGCCAAAGCCACAATTGATGATTTCAAAAATGAAACCATGATCGGCGAAGGGTTGTAAAGAGTTGGGGAGGAAAGAATGTATGCTCGTGTTCTTGTGTATCCTTAAAAAGAGAATGTCGAATCAAAAGAATGAAGGTGATGTCGATGGACTGAAAATTGAGATCGTATTTGGGACAAATGAAAGAATGTCGTCAACAAAGCTGAGAAGGGGGGTCGAAATCCGCAATTATCGTGTAGGGCGTAAATGAGTGTAGGAGTTTAAACGAATCTAGAGGGGTGGAAATCAGGCCTACCAAACACGTAATTACGGGGGAACCGAGGGGATGATGATGATGGTAAAGGGATATGTAATTGCTTTTAGCGGTGGGTACTTCATTTGGACATTTTCTCTCCTTCCGTCTGTGTGTAATTTGATTGACAGGGATAATCTCCCCCGATTTAATGGCACATCCGCAAGTCCGTTTCCGCATCATACAGAATAATACATTATTATTATTAAGGGAGGACTTCCGTCTTGAACAGCAAGAAGCGAAAAAAGGGCGCAACCGCAATAGGTTCAGGGACCGATATTATAATCAAAAATAGAATACGGGGGCCCTCTTTCTCTTTAAAAAATCACTCAAGAGGCAATTTAAGAGTGAGTTAAATTGTTGTAGTAGTAGCACAATTAGTGCAATGCGTACAATCTCTTTGCAGTTTGGTGTGCAGTGCATTGCAGATCTTTCTCTCTTTTTTTCTCCCATTGTCTTTTGCTTGAACAAACAAATCCCTCAAAGTGCTATTCTGCAATTTTAATGCACAATGATCCAATGGAAGACAAACAAATAAAAATCCAAGGCAATTGAACTGTTGAAATAAGACGCGTGAACCGTGTTCTTCAGAGAAAAAACTCCGCTCTTGCTTTACGCTGGCCCGTCCCTTATTTTTTTGCTTGGCGTTGGCAATTTAAAGAGGCGTGCATGCATTTATATACATCAATAGATGGAATAGCCACTCAAAGCCTTCAACTTTGGCAACAAAACGAGCCTGAGTAATTTCTATTCCTTTGTTCCTAGATGTTGTATATTGTTTTGGCGGAGACTGAATCTGGCAGCTATGACAACGAGGGAGTGGTCATCATCAAGTATACTTTATGATATCTTAGTTATTTTGAATATTCAACTAATTTCATTTGCTTTTTGAAGAAAGATGAAAAGAAGGTACGGTAAAAAATGATTTATCCGCTGTACTAGCTCGATTTGGACGTGCCAAGTGAAGCTAAGGCCAATCGGCGGAAGAAATAGCTCAATTCACCGTTAATTGGTTGGTTCGCTAGCGTTAAAATGATTTACCGCAACATAGCCCCATTATGCAAAATCGGATCACCTAAGAAGAACATTTCGTTCTATAATTATTTTCTAGCATATGATCATGGCATGCATATGTGAAAGGGTAAATTATATAATTGAAAAGAAGAAAGGGGATCAGGATTACATAATGAACATGGCAACGTCTGTCTGTGCTTCTTGTGCACGCGCTACCGTTGACTCATAAGATGCCGGGTAGTGCACGGCCATTGGAGCATCAAGCCGCCACTTGTGCCGAGAGGCGTGAACCATAAATCCGCTTTGAATGCTTAAGTCCTTCTTTCTCCACAAAATGAGAGATGATAACCAAAGAATGGTCATATGTCCGCTCAAACTTAACTCCATTGCTTTTGAATATATAAATAGAAGATGTAGAACTGTGCTGACTTATTTTCTTCCCACATTCATCACAATCGCACAATTATACAACAAAATGACGCACATTCCTAAAAAGACTTTTGGCAGTACTTCTGTCCCGGTTGGACAAATGGGCTTCGGCGCAATGAGTTTGGCCGGGTTGACAAAAGCACCAGTTGAACAAGATAAAGTGAATGCAATCTTACAAGAATGTTTGGATAACGGTGTTAATGTGATTGACACCAGTGATTTTTACACACAAACTGCCACTCAACAACTTGGTTATGGTGAAAAACAAATTGGTCAATTCTTGGCCGCAAACAAAGAACGACGCAAAGAGGTCTTCTTGTGCACTAAGTTTGCTATGCGATTCATCGATGGTGCAAGTGTAAAGGACAACACTGCTAAATGGTGTTTGGAAGCATGCAAGGATTCCTTACAACGCCTGCAAGTTGATTATATCGATTTGTATTATTGCCACAGATATGATGGTAAAACAGATCCAAAGGAGACGGCAAAGGCAATGAAGCAACTCAAAGAAGAAGGAAAGATTAAATACGTCGGCGTTTCAGAATTCCCAATTGAGAAATTGAAGCAATTCAACGAAGTTTGCCACGTTGATGCTGTCCAAAACGAGTTCAGTCCATTCACACCTGAGGTGTTGCGATTGGGTATCATTGAATGGTGCGAACAAAGTGAGTGTTGCAGCTTGTAAAGAGCGAAAGACTAGAAGCTGACCTTTATACTTTCCCACCAGATGGAACTGCATACGTTGCATACTCTCCACTCGGTAGAGGTGTATTCACTGGAGCAGTCAAACGTGCAGAAGACGTTGATCCGATCTATCAACAGCTCAACTTACCTCGATTGACAGGTGAAAATTTTGACAAAAATGTCAAATTAGTCGAAAAAGTCGAATCGATCGCCAACAAAAAAGGTGTAAAACCAGGTCATGTGACGTTAGCCTGGGTAATCGCAAAATCTCCAATGATCATTCCTATTCCGGGAACGTCTAAATTGGAAAATTTGAAGGATAACATTGCTGCTTCGAAGACACAATTGACAAAAGAGGAAATCAAATCGATCGATGATATCGTTTATTCGTTTGACGTTTCGGGTCGAAGATACTTTGGTGCAGGCAACGATAATCTGTCCCACTAAACAGGTTTTTGTAGGAAAATAACCATCTCATAGCTCGAGAATGAAATACAAATTCTTGTGACCGGTAGAAACCGCATGAATAGAGGAAGGACTAATGAAGTATATTATCTGCTTAATGACAACGTCTGATCACGCAGAATTTATATGTCTTGACACAATCTCACATTCCTGATCATTGCAGTCTCTGTCAAGTTCTACATCATATTTAAAGCTGTTGAATGGAATATCTAGTGTCAGTGTGGGTTCATTCATGACCGCTCCACCACAATCACTCACCTTTGATCCCATGATCAACTCTTTCAATCCTTGAGGGTCCAATTGAGAGTCCGGGTACGGCAACCAAGGACCAGGGAAATGTTGAGCAGCACCATCGACTACAAATTTCGCACCGGAACAATAAGCAGCCGCATCAGAGAATAAGAAAACGCCCATATTCGCAATATCATCAATCACACCAATCCTTTGTTGTGGAATACGTGATTCTACCATTTGTTCTGCTCCTTTCGGGGTTAAACGATCTGCTCCTTCTGTTCCGCTGATCATACCTGGAGCGATCACGTTACTACGAACGCCGAAAGGACCATATTCAACTGCGATACTTTGACTCAAAGCGTCAATACCTGCTTTTGCAGATGATGCAGCTGCTTGCCAGGGGATGGCGGTATAGTGCAATGTGGCAGATATGTGAATGTATACTCCATGTGTACGTTTGATTTCATCAATTGTGGCTTTGAAGGTGTGGAAGGTGCCCAACATATCGATCTCTTGAACAGTCTTGAATCCGTTTGGCGATACACCATCCAAAGGAGCAAGGAAGTTACCAGCAGCTCCAGCAATGACAAAGTCAATCCTTCCAAATTGTTCAATTGTCTTTTGAACAGCTGCTTTCAAATCATCGTATTTACGTACGTCACCCGGGGTAGCGATACAGCGTGTGCCATTATTTGCATCTTTTGCCAATTGAGTTGCTGCACCATTCAAGCGATCTGCTTTACGTCCCATGATTGCAGCATTTGCACCATGACGCATGATTTGTTGTACCATTCCATAACAAATTCCACTTCCTCCTCCTGTGCAAAATAACACCTTGCCTTTGAAGATGTCTGGCTGGAACACCTTTTGCGAGGCGAGTGTTTTTGTTTGAAAGGTACGTGGATCACGATCGTCGTCTGTCATGTTGTCAAGTTGTGGGACTGTGGTAGTAGTGTGATGGCAAGAAGAAAGGTTAACTTGTTATGGAAGATGTGATTTAAATTTTTTTGAATGCGTGGAGAATGCGTCCGGGGAAGAGCATCAACCGGAAACCCGAAGAACCGAATAGCAGCAAAAATATTAATAATGCTTTAGGCTGAGTAATCCTAACGCGTTTGGCTTTTCAAATCGGAATCCGGACAAAGAACAACACCTTCATCCTCCTCACCTCCTTCACATGTTGATACGAGAAGAAATCTGCAATTGTTATTTTATTGGAATGACTTAACCCTTAGATTACAGTAAATCTATGAATGGTAACCTAGAGATCAAACAACTGGGGAATTCGAGTGAGGATAACATCGAACAAGTCGTTTCTATGATCCTCCAATGGGCAGGAAACGCTGATTCTGTTTGTTATTCAAAACTGTATTACCATGTATTTTGAACTCAGTAGGCTTATAGATCTCATTTGACAATAAGGCCCCTGTTCCTGATGATAAGCGAGGATTGTACGCGAATACCAGCATCCCTTGAAGGGAGCCCCTTGAGAATGTATGCGTTCCTATCATTGACCGCTTGAATTAATCGCTTTCACATGTTGCATTTTCAGGCCAGGCCTTGTGAAGAACGTGTAAAGCGTGTGTGTGTGTGTTTGCTGAATGCGTTGCCCTGTAAATCACTACGCACGCACGCACGCACGCTCAGCACAACCAATAATCGGGCGTCAGTGAGCGGCGTAAGATCCCTTTTATTCGATCAATAAATCCCCTCGTATACATTTCTGTGTTGGTTACGAGTGGGGTGGAGCTCTCGCGTGTTTGAATAAAGTTAAGCAGCACACACACACACAATACGAAAGCGGTGGTTAATTGGGCGGGGCTCCCTTTATGACCGCCCTTTTAACTCCATACTTTTTCTGTTGAATTTGGTTTACGTACGAATGCCAAAAAGGGTTTGTCGATCTGGAGAAATAGAAATTGAAAATCATCATTCTTTACAATACACTCTCAACATCAAAAGATAAGTCGCAAGAACATCGAAGAAACAGGACGTGATCAATTGCTGGAAGAAGTGCAGCTACCAACCTGATCAAGCACACAACAACAAACACACCTTTCACATTCTTGTACTGTGCTATGCAGTCCGCATCAATCAAATCTCCTGATCGCATTCGCGAAGAAAAAGAAGCACTGCCACAACCTCCAATTTCACCTAAAACGCCAACAACCGCATTAAGAACACTTTCTCCGCCAAACGTTCCTCTAAACAGCAGTGACGAAGATTCAGAACATAGTGGATCTCTTCATTTACTTCATAAACCTTCTCATCTACTTCACAAACGTCAACATAGTAGTGAAAGCAGGATACGAAAGCGCGATAGAGTCAGAATGGTAGGTCATCATCTGCATACAGCCTTCAAAACTTGGTTCAAAGATACCGAATCAGATGGAACTCCAGTCTTGCCATATCCTCTTTCTAAGAAGTATACTATCACAGACAAGGTGCTCGGTCAAGGGTCGTTTGCTCTAGTCAAATTGGTACAAGTCAAAGCCACTGGAGAAGATCGTGCTCTCAAGATTATCGCAAAGAAGCCACTGAAAGAAGGAAACGAGAAGATGCTCAAAGATGAAATCGCTATTCTTGGAAGGGTGGAACATCCACATATCATCAAAATGTGGGACCTTTACGAGACAAAAGAAGCCGTCTTTATCGTGACAGATCTATGCAGAGGTGGAGAATTGTTTGATCGATTAGTGGAAAAGGTGCATTACAACGAATTGGATGCACGTCATATCACCCGTCAAATGTTTGAAGGAATTGATTACTTGCACGATCACGAAATCATTCATCGAGATTTGAAACCGGAGAACATCTTACTCAGAGAGAAAAGCGAACCAAGTCAAATCGTCATTTCGGATTTTGGACTTTCTCGCTTTATTCCAGAAGATGGACATATGCTCATGACTGCTTGTGGAAGCCCGCAGTATGTTGCACCGGAAGTATTGCTCGGAAAAGGATACGATGCCGCTGTGGACATTTGGAGTGGTGGTGTGATCGCATATTGCTTGTTGGCCGGATATACGCCATTTTATGGAGAAGATCAACCTACTTTATTCCAGCAGATTTTGGCCATGAAAGTAGAATTCGAGCCAGAATACTGGGGTGATGTTTCGGATACAGCCAGAGATTTCATTTTGCGCTGTCTATGCCCTCGTGAGAAGCGAATGACGGCAAAAGAAGCTCTTGCACATCCTTATTTGGCAGATCTACCGCCAATCGACGGCAAAGATTCTCCCAAAGGTGCATCACTCAAAGAATCGGCCAAACGACATCAATCATCCAAAGGCAAATTCAACCGTGTTGTTACAACTGTGGAAGCAGCCAATTACCTTCAACATTTGCACGAATTACGTAAAACCCATTCACGCGATATTCATCCAGAACGATTACATTCTTTGCTAAGGCTTGCAACCCATCTCAGCAATCACAGTACGTGGTCTGAAGGTGCTGAACAAGAGGCAAAGAAGGAAGCGGAAAATGCAAGCACGTCGACCATCACTGGACATGAAAACAATGGCAAGAAAGAGGAAGACTCAAAAGACAACAGGGAGTCAAAACGGTTCGGTGATTCAGGCATGTCACTCGATTTGGTTGTCATGTCTGCTTTTGTTCCTGATGCAAGTGAACAGCTCAAAAACCTACCCAGAGGCGGAACGGCGGCCGTCTCTGCAGCAGCAGATGCAACACAGCATGGAGAGAACTCTGCCAAGATTGATGATAGTGTGGACAACGTGAACAAAGGATCGACGGATAGCCCAACGCCTCCTGGTTCGGAATACTCTGATGCAACCGCAACGCCCAGTCGAACTCGTAGTCCCGAGAGTCAAGCCAGAAGATCTTCAAGACCATCGCAAAAGTCGAGAAGGCATCGTAGCGGCAGTACCAAATCGAGCAAGACACTTGATGCTTTATTGGATCAATACAAAGGATCCGCTCTGCCCACAACGGCAAGATCTGATCCAACAGCTCAGCCTGTGAAGCCTGAAGGAATGACATTGTCCAAGGTGTGGAGATACGTTCCGTTCTTGGTCAATACGACTTATTCGATCGGAAGTGCACTTGCTTCTCATGCAATTTATGGGCCTCCCAAAAAGTCATGGGGAATTGAGATGTCCATCTTTACACGTATAATGCGTGATACAGCCAAATATTCTGAATTTGCAACGATTTCTGGAATGCAACAGTTCTTTGATTTGAGTTCTTTCCTGCCTGTGCCTAAGGATGGATTGATCACACCCGTTACCTACCGTGTCAAAAAACGCAACCTACGCGGACTACTCAAAGAAGCTGATGCAGCCGAAGATGGAACCCGTGAATTGACGGGAGAATGGGTTGTAGGAAAGCAAACTTGGAGAAGGCTACAAAGTGAATGGAGAAATGGGAAATCAACAAACAAAGAACGTGTGATCCTCTACATTCATGGAGGTGCATATTTCGTCATGTCAGCCGTTACCCATCGACCTTTGACGATTGCACTTTCGAAATACACCGAATGTCGGTTGTTTGCCGTCAATTATCGTTTGGCTCCCGATTGTCAATTCCCCGGACCTTTGCATGACGTTGTTAGCAGTTGGTTCAGATTGGTTGATGATTTGGGTATTCCACCTTCGAATATCGTTCTTGGAGGTGATAGTGCCGGTGGAGGTTTAACGTTGGCACTTTTGTACTATTTACGGGACAACAAATACGAATTGCCATCAGGTGCAATCTTGTTCAGTCCTTGGGTGGATTTGACGATGTCTTGTGATTCTTGGGAAACCAATGCTGCTTATGATTATTTGCCTTTGACGCCTGCAACGGATCATATGAACCCTGTTCGAGCTTATTTGGGTGACAAGATTGAACAATACATCACTCATCCATATGCAAGTCCACTGTTTGGCGATTTACGTGGCTTGCCTCCGTTGTTGATCCAATGCGGAGATGCAGAAGCGTTGCGGGATGAAGTCACTTTATTGGCACACAAGGCTTCCATTGCTGGCGTTGCAGTTCGTCATGAATTGTATGAAGATTGCGTTCATGTCTTCCAAGCGTTCTTGTTTTTGGACGCAAGTCGAAAAGCATTACAAAGTGCACGTCATTTCGTTCGAACTGCATTGGAAAAACGCGGTCAACGTAAAGCAGATCTGGAAAGGAAGAGCAGAAGTACGATGGACGATGAAATGCGAAAAGGAATGGAGAACGAAGATGGAGAGATTGTAGATGCAAAAACGGGCGAAAAGCCTGGAAGTTCACAAGATCTTCGTGGTGGAGTTGAAAGTGATTCGGAAAATTTGCGAAGCGTACATGATCGAAGTGATGATGAATGGAACGATTTCGATGATGATGTCGTTCGGAAATCGTCTTCGTCTAAATCTTCATCGCAACAGAGTAAATCATCTTCTGCTGATTTGGCACGGTCAAAGAGTCAGCCACACGCACCAGCAAGAGATCATGGAAAGCAACCTGAAGTCCAAAGCTCAAAGCAGGACCCAAGATATCGTCAAGAGTCTGCTCCTACAACTCCACACGGTCAGCACGGTGAACGATCACGACCGAACAGAACGTCATCTTCTGCTTCTTTGAATTCCTATTCGATGTCATTAGAACAAGCACGTTCACGGGCACAAGCAGGAATGCGAATGCAAGAAAGTCGAGATGCACCGCAATTGGCACGATTCCATGCGCTTAACAAACCTTTGCAACCTAAAATGCGAAGGACAGCCTCTAATGCAACGATTAATAATCTCATTCAAAGTTGGGAAACTGAACATGGTTCTAGTGGTTTGAATACTCGTGTATATAGTTCCCAAGAATGAGCGTTGTTGTCTTTCCTTCAATGCTATTTTTTATAGATTGTTTCTCTTGTCATTTGTATATCGTATCATCTATTTATCTATCCATCAGCCATCTGTGGCACAGATCAAACTCTTCGACTGAGAAGCTGTTCACACCATTCAACGAGATGAAAGCAATGTAAGATGACTATTAGACAGAAACAATAGATGTGAAAAGAAAGGAAAAAAGAGTGAGAAAGTACAAGATTGTCAAAGGTCCAGAAAAAGCATTTGAAGATCGGGCAATGCCACATTTGCTGACAGGCATGCGAAGCGGAAAGAGCATTTTGGATGCAAAGATGCATTAGAAAGCGAATTGAAAAAGGAAAGGAAAGAAGTGCGTTGAAGAATCCGCCTCCTCGTATTGGGCTACGCACCCACAACCCTCCTGCTTACAAAATCCATAGAGCGCCCAAAATACCTGCGATTGCCATTGAACCGATTGCGAAGAAAGGAATATCTAGTGAACCCGGAGCAGCGTCAACGATTTGCAAATCTTTTGTTGGAGCTTGGAAAGCATTTGTATAAACGACAGGTAAACCGTTTGCCAAAAGGGAACTTGAAAGAGCAGGATTTGCCAAACCGGTTACAGAAGAAATTGGTGCATTATACGAGAAAGAATAAGATCCAGTTGCGGGAGATGGACCTGCAGAACCAGAGATAACCGTTGCCGTTGTTGGACCTGCGCTTGGGAATGTAGTTGTGATTGTGTATGTGACTGGAGGTGTATAAAATGGCGTACTGAATGATGTTCCGTTTAGAGGATCAATTGAACTGGCAGGATAAACTTGTGCAAATGCTGCACTTGCGGCTACCAAAACGATAGCCAACGCTAGCCTTGCAGAGATCATCTTTTTTTTGTGAATTTTATCGAAACAAGAGAACTAGATTGATTGCAATTTGCCTCTTTCTCACTGGCGCGCGCGAGCGGATGAAATTGTCGGAAAGGTGGATGATTGGTGGTGATCGCTTTTTTGTGCTCTTCGCTTGAAGACGGATGAGCGCGGCCAAAGAGTCGAATAGGAGGTGAGGATGGATGGGTATCAGGGTAGAGGTGGCGATGACGATGAATGCAAATTGTCTATAATTGGACCTGATCAGCTACAAAAGATTTGAGGGGATAGATTCTCGGCAGCGTAAACTAAGCGTTTCAGATCCAGACAGACAGGTAAATGAAAAATAAAATAAAAAAGTCCCGCTTGGTACCTACTGTTTGCGCCCTCTTCTAGACGCATGCATTTCACCCACACAAACTTATGAGTGAGTATATGAACCGCTTCAGGGAACTAGAGCGGGGATCCAAGATGATGCTTGCTTGTGTGTGTGTGTGTGTGTGTGTGTGCAGCAGCCGAGCAAGAGTGGGGTTAATTCTAGATCTTGACGCGTTAAATGCCCTTGCTCGAAAGCGTAAACACCGTAAACTTCTTTAAGCGGTTGCTTTTATTGTTTGTTTGCCTAGCTAGCACTTGAATTGTGTTCAGTGCATACATTCACACCCTCTGTGGGGTCAAATCTCTAAAGCACGGCATGCAATCCATCCGGTCAAAGTCATTTGCTTATATAATCTGAAGTGCTCCTTGAATCTTTACTCCGCTTGACGGTTGTTAGGATGCCCGAAAGCCGTAATCATCACCCTCCAATACTCAATCTTATACCAAAGACATCACCATCTCCCCTATGCTCACAAGATGAGCACATCAAAGCCCATCCCGAAAGCATGCATCTTTGATATAGGAGGAGTGGTGGTTGGCTCTCCTTTAGTAGGAATAAACAAGTATGAAAAGCAACATGGATTACCATTTAATTATCTCAATGTTGCAATCACGCAAACGGGCAAAGAAGGAGCCTTTCAACGTTTAGAACGATCAGAGATTGATATGTATACATTTTATAGACAATTCGGTGAAGAATTAAGCAAGACTGAATTGATGAACGAATGGTACAAAGGGTTTTGTAAGATGCGTGGTATGCAACCGCCTACTTCGCTGCCCTCTTCCCTCAAAGTGGACGGAAGGGAATTGTTTGGAATCATGATGCGAGAATCAACGAGGATAGATCCTCTGGTTGCAGAAGCCATCAAGAGGCTAAAAGCGAGCAAGAAGTTCACAATCGCAGCTCTCACCAACAACTTCTCGCCTCCAACAACGACATCCTCATCGTCTCATGAAAAGGTGCCATCATTGGAAGAAGAGCTAAAGCATTTAGGGTTGGACAAAGACACTGCGCTGATCAAGTCATTCTTTGATCACTATATCGAAAGTGCAGTGACAGGAATGCGTAAACCCGAGCTAGGATTTTATAAACATGCATTAGAAATCGTTCAAGCTAAACCGGAAGAAGTTGTTTTCTTGGACGATATTGGAATAAATCTAAAAGCTGCTCAATCACTTGGCATTCAGACTATTCGTGTCACTCCAAAATCTTCCTTGCCCGCTATTCGAGAATTGGAAAAAGTGGTTCAAATGTCACTCATTTCGGAAGAAGATGCAAAGAAAGAGGAACAAAGGTTGGCTAAGCTGCAGCAGAAGAAAGACTCCAAGCTATAGTGATGGGTTAGAACAGGTTTTTATAGAAGCTTCAAATAGCACATGTATCATTAAACGAAGTTCACTTGAGAATCATGTTGGAAAACGGAAGCAAAGTAAGAAAAGTAACACTTAAAACACGCGAAAATAGAAAAAGACAGGCGCAGTACCTGAATTGTTTAAAAAGCGGCTATAATTTCACATGTCTTTCTCTCCACTTTGAATACTCCTACTTCTTCCTCCTCTTCCTCACACATCCTCACCAAGAACCAAATTGCTTCCGATATGCTACTCTTTATGGAATGATTGTTATTACATCAGCACATAGAACCACATAAATCTCTTCTCAAACAGGCGAAAAGGACCTTTAAGGCGCTTCAATACCAATCAATCATTCCGGCCTGTTAAGGTCGTCAACAAAGATATAAGGTACTTTCCGCTAGCAAAGTTTGCTCTTTAGATCCTTCACTTTTATCGTCGCTACACCTTATACCACCGCTATGCCGAAGTCGTTTGACAATCAGTACGACTTGCCCTATCCTTGGGCCCGCTCTGCTTTAGCAGTATGGCACAAATATCCCAATCCTTTCGCTACTCATGTAGTATCAATGGACGTAATTGAGCAAAGTTATGATCCGGAAACAGATCTACTGCGAGTAGAGAGAGTCCTTGGCGTTCAACAGGGAGCCCCAGGCTGGGCAGTCAAGGTGAGTTTGAATAGGAGGAGGCGTAAAAACGCTGCTGGCGCTGCTGCTATTTTCGGCGCCTTAAACTTCGAACTTCGAAAAAGGGCCGTGCTGATCGTAATGATTTACCGTTGATCCCTTTTCAATCAACAGCTTTTAGGGGGTACAAAAGATACGTACGTCAGGGAAGTAACGATGATCGACCCGTCTAATCAGTCTTTTGAGATGACAAGTACAAAGTGAGTTATTCCGATCCCCAATCAATCCGCGGCGTCGGTTTTATTGACATTTTTATTCCGATGGTCCCCCTTTCTTTCTTTCTTGCTAGTTTGAGTTTAAGTCGTTACCTTTTGGTGAAGGAATACATTACTTATTTGCCAAGTAAAGCAATCGGCGCAAGTCTACATCAACCGGCGGGCATGACAACTTTCACACAAAAGGCGTTGATCGAATGTACAGGACTTTCGGGAGGAATGTTGGATAAAGCGGCAAAAAAAGTAGAAGAGATGAGTCAAAGAAGATTTGGCGAAAATGCAGATAAAGGTAAAGAAGGTATATTAAATGTTTGTCAATCTTTATGGGGAAAAGGACATGCTTAAATTGCTCTGTGCTCCATGGAGATACATCATCACCGCTTTTGCTCGCTGTCATGCTCGATTGCAATGTGTATCATTAGAATTGCTAATTATCACGCATACATACCCATCTTTCCGTTTGCTTCTTTTTTGGAAATCTTTTCTCGTTCATATGAGCGCGGAAGGCGTCAATTTCCGGATTGTACGGAGGAACAAACGATCATGTCTTGTAGGAGGATGAAATGATTTTGCTTGGCATGCCCGTTTTGAATTTCCGACATGAAATTTGCGGATACAAAGGAAATGAATCTTCCATTATCATTGCTTATTGATAGCGGAGCTGGGCGAAATGTAGCCAATGAAAGCGGTTTATCACTGGTTCAACTTCCATAATGGAACGGAGTGCCGTATCTTTCGCTTTTGAGAATTGCAATTGTTACAAATTGTATAAAGGCATCTTTCACAAACACATTCTCACCCTAATGAAATCCCAACATCGCTCTCACAGTCTCAATCAGTCATGCAGCTACGACTCATCCTCCTCGTCACCATCTTCCTACTGTCTTTATGTGAAACAGACGCCAAAAAGCATCCTAAAAGGCGTCCTCGACCTCATCCAAAGCCAAAGCACAAAAAGCATCCACATATGGCAAAGGCCTCTTCTAATCTTCTCACAGATCATGCAGGAACGGCAACTTGGTTCAGGCAAGATAGTGAAGGTTCCTGTGGTCATTGGAGTAAAGACCATGATATGATCGTTGCACTTCCTACATCGTGAGTACAAAAACATGATCATTTTTTCGTACAATTCATAGCAGGATGCTTATCTTCCCGATCGTAACACAGAATCAACGGAGATAAATATTGCGGCCAAACGGTTGTGGTAAAATACAAGAACAAAACCATTAGAGCCAAAGTTGTCGATACATGTCCGCCATGTGATTCAAGACATCTCGATCTTTCAACAGGAGCATTTGCTGCTTTGACGGGCGGGAATTTGGACCTCGGTCTTGTGGACGTCCAATGGCATATCCAAGGATGACAAAAAGAAAGTACGAGATGAAAGCTCCTTTCTCGCTCATTGCGCCAACGATAGAGCATCTCCTATTTGCAATCAGGACAATTGAACACCAACTATTTTCATCTTTGCATTCCGATATTCCTTTTTGGGGATGATTTATTTCGAGTTTTTGACGATCTCCTAAACAATTAAAGTGGAGGAAAAGAAGAAGTATAAAATGATCAAACTCTTTTATCTTGAAAACTTCATCTCAACAATCCCCATCCCAAACCCCATTCCCCAAAGCCCACACGCTCTCTCGTCTAAACAATCAACACCTTCTTTGTATCCTACATTCATTCTTACAACACGACAAAATGCGTTCTTCACAATTGCTTTTCGTCATTGGTACAATGTTTGCTTTTGCTGCAACCATGACATTCTCGCTTCCTGGACTTGGTCAACAAATCAAAGGTTTAGTAAAAGGTGTACCTATCAAAGTGCCAATTTTAGGAACGGCGACTTGGTATGGTCAACAAAGTAGGGGATCTTGTGGTTGGTGGAGCAAAGATTCGGATTATGTTGTTGCTCTTAGTCATGAGTAAGTAAGGCTTTTTGATTATCAGTCATCCTACCAGCTGAGTCCGCTAACTTTGATCTTTACCACACTTACAGTCTTCCATATAACAAACATTGCGGAAAATACGTCGTTGTCAACTACCTAGGCAAACATATCAGAGCAAAGGTTTCGGATACATGTATGGGTTGCGACCCACCACATATAGATCTTTCCCGTGGTGCGTTTGCAAAATTGTCTAACGGCAATTACAATCTGGGCAAATTGGATGTACTTTGGAAGTTTGATGATTGATCGCTCATAGATCATGGTAATCCGAATTCATCATCAATAATACACTAAAGCATGTCTATAGTACAAGATGTATGCAATGTATGGAAATGTACGATTTGTCGTTTTATATTCATCACCCCATCGTTATTTACCTTTTTACGCCTGATAAGCAGCATAAGCATAACTTCCATTCTCACGACCAAGCATTCCTAATCCGAGTAAAACTTCCATCTTTTTGCTATGCCATCCCGTCGTTCCTGATACATGACCATTGGCACGTGAAAGATCTTCCAATACTTTTCTTCGGGGATGTTCTTTGGGTAAATTTCGAATCACTTGTGCTTTACGTTCGACCGGTTTCTCGGGTTCCGTTAATGCACTTTCACCAACCGAAACGGTGGGATTTCCCTGAGGCATTTCTGCATGAGCAGGTAATCCTGCTACACTCAACGAATTGGTAGGACCAGCGGGTCTTGAGCGAGAGTGGGAGGATGAAGTCGCCCTTCTCAACAAGGAAGTATTTCTGCCTGTCCTCGAAAGCGAACGATGCACAGACGGACTGCGAGATAATCTTCTAGGTGGTGTCTCTGGTTCAAAGCCGGAGATGTTTCTCTTTGAGTCCCTTCCACGTCGTTCCGTAAAAGTTTCCAAGCCTTTGCCACGGCTTGCGCTTGGATTACCAAAGATAGAGGATGTCACCCCACTTTCTCCTCCTTCTTCCGTCTCTTCGCCTTCCAAATCGTCATCAACCGCATCTGGATCAGGTCCAGAGCTCGTGTCTACCAACCATCCACGTCGTCCCTTACCCATGATCACTCTCCATGACCCCAATGCGCCTGCTTGTCTCAGTACAGGTGGAGAAAGTCCCAAGACTCGCAAGTTCGTACGGGCCGATGGTCGAGGCCTGTCAGAATTGTCCAAAGATTCTTTCGAGGATGGATATCCCAATGCTGCCAATTGTTCTGAAATCGACAAAGGAGGCACAGTTGCGCATGGCTCTAGCAGGGCGGCGTTGAGCTTCACGATTGTTGGATGTGTACCCTGTCGAGGATCAACACAGCTATCAACCATTTCCAGTACTTGCACATTTGGCGCTTTCTTGAGAAGGAAATCGGCAAGGCTCTCAAGAGATACTTGAGGTGTTGCACTGATACCAAAATCGATCAATGAAGGTTGACGTTGGAAGGATTCTGCCAAGAGGGCGTTCGTCAAACCACATCCACTCAAGTCCAAGTATCGCAACGCTCCTGATCGCATGCAAGGTGCCATCGTCAAGATCGTTTTGAGATCTTCCTGTGTGACTGGAGTAGGGAACAATAGCGTACCTTCCAAAGACAATTCGATCAGATTCGCACATACAGTTGAATCCACCAGCAATTCAGTCATACATTCCGAAGTGATCCTTGTGCAGCGTGCAAGCGAGAGACTTTCCAATTCCAGGTCGGGATTCGCCATCATTCCTTGTAAGAGAGCATCATCGATCCGCGTTCCAGTCAAGTCCAAGTGGGTGAGGCGAGGGAATGCCAAGATGAAGGGTGATAGCAGCTCTGACGAAAAGTGAACGCCATGCAAACACAGACGCTCCACAGATGGGAACTTTGTCGCACGAGCAGGGTGAATAGAAGGTGCATGTCTTCTGGTTGAAAGTGATCTTGAAAGTGTAACAGGTCTTGAGCCACTCTCGCTACCGCCATTTCTTCCTCGTGATCGCCCACGTCCCCTTCGATCTTCCTCCTCGTCATCGTCTTCCGTGCTGCCTTCTTCTGGCACTGTCGATGTCGTCCTCCCACTAAACTTCTTCAAATACTTATCAACAAATCGTGTCAGTGCAACCTCAAAATGTCGGCTTACGCAATCGCACAAGTCCAGCGATTCAAGCCTTCTTCTTTCTTGGCCTTTACGTTCGCGTGATCGTTCCATTGAGACACCTCGCAACGTTCTATGCGGTGACGCAGTGCCAGTCGATGTAGCAGCGGCAAGATGTTCACCATCGCGGAACAAAAGTGTTTCTAGTACTTCCAACGTTAGAGCACTGTCCATCGTTGGGCTTGCACCGAATGCCATTAATCCATGACTGACAGAGGTAATTAGCGCTAACAACTTTGCTGGAGTAACAAATCTTGCTTGTTCTCCTTGTCCTACCGTTCTACGCATTCCTTGTGTTGTGAATGTGGAAAAGTCCAAGACACGAGGATAACGATGTACATCGCTAATTTCGCTTTCGTCTTGTCGCAAAGTAACTTGGTAGCGAGATGCATGCTCACTTCCTTGCAAGAGTGGCTCTTCCGTCCATATCAGCTCAAGGTTTTCATCATCTGTCACACCTTGCAAAGATCCTGGCTTTCGATCTGTGTATACTGCGCTACCAGTCACTCGAGCTAAACCAATCGCTGCCAACATCGCATTAAAGCTCATACGCTCATTCAATTCCACCTCCTTTGCCCCATCTTGTCCTTCTGCATCTTCTGCTTGAGGTTCTTCAAGAATCTTTTCTGGTCCTCCTAGATGCTCATACGCCTCTGCCAATCTACTCGCTCCTAAACTTCTCAGAAGTAATAAGAACGAGTAGGGAAGTGTGATTTGTAATCTACGCCAAAGTAATGGTTTTGCTGCTTCATACAAGGCAACATTTGTGAGGCACAAAGAATGCAAAGTAGATTTTGTGAGTGTTTGAGTTGCTGAAATTAGTCTTCCGTCAGGGTATGTTGAAGGTAATCCGTGTGGATCGATACAACGAAATAAGGAGCGCGGTAAATGATCCAAATAAATCAATTGAGTGATTATTCGTAAAATCTCCGGAGGAAGGTCATCGAACCTTGCCATGGTGTGTTTGAGCCCTACAAGCTCCTATAGCCTTACCACGAAGGTAAAGGGGGTTGGGAATCAGAAGAACAGGGGAAGCTGTACTGATTTGTTGATGAGGGTCAGGAACAGACCTTGCTTATGTTACTCTGCTGCGTATCTCATGTAACAGTGGAAGATAAACACAAAAATTAAAGTATACACTGCTTAGGTGCAATGAATTTTGACATACGCATCATGCAAGCATAAACGCGGTGGAGTAAACCAGAGAGAAAAGGAAGTTCGGATGTTTTTTAGCGTGACTCGGTTTCCTTTCTCATTCCCATCATCACAATGGCAGCAAATAAACCTGACCCAAGAAGGCTCATCAGTGTTCAAAGTCATGTTGTCACAGGATATGTTGGCAATAGATCTGCTACTTTTCCACTACAATTGTTGGGATATGAGACCGACACAGTCAACACCACACAACTAAGCAATCATACTGGATATGGTCGATTTGGTGGAATGCGATTAGATGCCGCACATTTGCAAAGTGTATTTGAAGGAATGGAAAAGAATGGCTTATTGCGGTATGGTAGAATGTTGTCGGGATATACACCATCGCCTACGGCCTTATCGGTGGTTTCAGACTTCGTCAAAAAGATGCGTTCATACAATCCAGAGCTAGTGTACCTATTGGACCCGGTAATGGGAGATATGGGAAGAGGATACTATGTGGATAAAGAGTGTCTACCGCTTTATCAAGAATTGATGTCATCTGCAACGATCATTTGTCCAAATCAATTCGAAGCCCAACAACTTGCAGGTCAAGAAATCACTTCATTACAAACCCTAAAAGAGGTAATCGAAAAACTTCATGCTCTCGGAACGCCAAACGTGATCATCACTTCTGTTGTTTCACTTCCGCCAAGTGATATCGAAAAGATTGGTGCAAAAGTAGACGGAGGTATGATCTTGGTCGGAAGTTCAGCCGATCCTTCCAATCCAACACATAATCAACCTTGGTGTATTCAATTCCCGGAATTGGAAGACTACTTTGTCGGAGTGGGAGATCTGTTTTCAGCTTTGATGTTGGGATTCTTCCGTAATGAGCATATGGAACCGAGCTTGAAATCTGCATCAGGAAGCGCAATCAACACACCTCTAGCGGTCGCTGCCGAGCTTGCTGTTGCAGGCGTTCAAGGCGTTCTCCATCGTACCTTGGGCTTTATCGAAAAAGAGCAGATACCGGACAATTATGATCAACTTGACGAAGTTGAGAAACGAGTAGCAAAAGCACGTAGAGTTGAATTGAGGCTAGTAGCAAGTCGTAATGAGATTGAGCAACCGCAAATCAAGTTTCACGCAAAACCTTTACCATAACACAAAAAAGCTGTAACATATTTTCATCTATAGATTGCTCTTTTTAATACATTATCTAAATAGAATGCACCTCTCACTGTACCAATCCCTTGTCTCCTTCGTACAAAATGTTGAGAAGCACGGTATTGGAACAAAAGTGTGCTTCGCATTCTGGTTCAACGACGATGGTTTGTGTTTCATCGACCAAGATCGCAGGACCTTTGATTCCTTGACCTTTCTTTGTATCTTGCAAACGAACGATAGGAATTTCAATTCTACCCGGTCCTTCGAAATACACTTTTCTCTTTGTTGCTTTTTCGATTGCTTCTTTTGCTGATGGGAATGCGTCTTTTTGTTCCTTGCGTAGACGATCATGCTCGCTATGTGCAGTTTCCTTGAGGGTATCAAACGATTTACCGATTCCTCTCACTCTAATATCATCAACGATGATCTCTTTATCCGTCAAGACAAATCCAAATTCTTGCTTGTACGTTTCCACGAATACCTTTTGTACATCCCAATTATCCTTTGGCTTCAATGTCATCAAAGATGTATCCGTTCCATCGTATCGCAAATTGAGTAAGATTTCAATCTGAAGACGATCTCCCTCGAAACCTTGTCCGGTGAGTTCCTTGCGAACTTTGTCTTCCAGAGCTTGAGCGCGAGCTTCGATGCGTTTGAGTGTTGCACTGTTGGAGTCAGAAGACCAAATTTCGCTGCAAGGTTCTTGTTGCTCATATACACGATCAGCCAAAGCCATTCCGTAGGCAGACAGGATACTGGAATATTGATGAATCATCACAGTCTTGATGCCCAAGCTTCTTGCCAGCGAACAAGCATGTTGTCCACCTGCTCCACCAAAACAACATAGGATGTGTTTTGAAGTCGAGTACCCTCTTGCTTCTGTCAAAGCACGAATCGGTCTGCACATGGTTTCGTTGGCCACACGAATGAAACCTTGAGCAACTTCATCGATTGACATATCTTTTCCTGTCTCCTTGTTAATTTGCGAACGGACCTTCTCCAATTCGCGCCTGCTTGCTTCTTCGTCCAAGCCTTGATCTTCATTGGGACCAAAGATCTTTGGGAACATCTCGATCGCCAGGCGACCGGTCACAAGATTGGCATCAGTGATGGCCAACGGTCCTCCTTTTCGATAACAAACAGGTCCAGGATGAGCAGATGCTGATTCAGGTCCAACGACAAATAATCCATTGCGGAAGAAAAGTCTTGATGATCCACCAGAAGCGACTGTGTTGACATCTAATTGTGGACTTTGAATCGTAACACCCGCAAGTGTTGTTTCAAACACTTGCTCAAATCTTCCTGCATATCGTGCAACGTCACTCGATGTACCTCCCATATCGATCGAAACAACCGGTCTACCATCCGCTTCGTCGTATGCTGTTCTGGCCATTGCAACAACGCCACCAGCTGGACCTGAAATGATAGATTTGAGTCCAGAGAAGCGTTCGACACTCGTCAAACCACCATCAGACATCATGAACTCCACTCGAGTTCCTGAAGATCCATCTCGTAAGCTTTCATCGAATCCGGAAAAGAAGCCGTCAATGTATGCTTGTAGAACGGGTGTAAGGTATGCATCTGCAGTTGAAGAAGTACCTCGAGGTACCATCTTGATCATCGGCATCAATGAAGAGCTGACACTAATGTGTGTGAATCCAATCTCCCTTGCCAAAGCCTCGACAATACGCTCGTGTTCGGGGAATGTATAGCTGTGCATAAGCACAATGGCCAAGGCTCGATATCCATCATCGTACAACTTTTGCAAATCAGCTTTGACTAGCTTTTTGTCAGGTCGCTTCAGGATCGCGACTGCTTCCCCGCTCACTCCTCTGACAATCTCTGCATCTTTACCATCTTCAAAGCTGGGAGGTGGACCATCTTCTCCTTTGTATGCGCTTTCTAGCTTGCCTTCATTGTCGAATTTCACCTTGTTCTCTTCTGCCTTTGGATCCGAGGTGTAGCCGACAAGCGTAACACGTTCATCGATTTCGATCACATCTGAATACAAAACATCTGGCTTTCGAATCGCCAGATCGAAGATTCGTGGTCTAGATTGATTTCCTATTCTTACAATATCCTTGAATCCTTTTGTGGTGACCAAAGCATGCTTTTCACCTTTTCGTTCTAGTAATGCATTCGTTGCAACAGTTGTGGATAATCGAATATGTTCCACATCATGCGTTTCGATCTTCTCTCCTCTTGGTATTTTTGTGCCTCTATAGATCTCAATGATCCTTCTCACCGCTTCTCTAGGAGCATCTTTGTAATTTTGAGGATCATGAGATAAAAGTTTCACTAGAATATCCTCTCGATCACTTCCTGGAATTCGACCTAATGCATCTGTGAAAGTTCCTCCACGATCGATGGAGATCTGCAATTTAGGCTGTTTCCCTCCTGCCATGGCTTTGGTGTAGTGATGGTGGTGAAGAACGGACCTTCACATAGGGTCTTTCTAATTTGAATGGAATAATTGTGGCCCAAGCGTGAAGAAGGGTGGAAGTGTCTGTGTGTCATATTCACTCTAGGCACAGACAGTGCTTGGGCTTTGGCTTTAAGTGTTGGGCCTTAATTTTAGCCGCCCAGTGAAGGAGCGAGCGCGTTTCTCCTTCCGATTCTCAGCGAACAAAGAAAGTCTTTTACGCCAAACAGAAAGGATTTTATCATTCTTGTCTTTATCCTCCACCATATCGCAAAAGGTGCAAATGTCTATCACAAGGGTACTCGCCGGTCCCGTCTTAGGAACAGCAGCTGCTGGTCTTGTGCTGTATGGTGCAGGGAGCAGCTTGGCTATACGAACCCATCAGGTCACCGATACTCTTCACAGTTCCAGTCGTAACCTCAGAAGGCTAGCAGAAGTTGACGATACACAAGATCTTCTCAAAACATTAGATGTTGCACCCGAAAATGAAGTTCTAGCCTCTAAATTGGATCAATCGAAACAAAATATCGAAAATGCCTTACCCTCAGCTTATCAAAGACCATCAGAACAAAGTTTAACCGAACAAATCAAAGCAAGATGGAACGAGAAATTGATTGCGCTGACAAATGTGATCTCTGAAACAGATTTGGACAAAATTGTATCTTCCATCTCAAATGCAGGCTCATTCGTCTATTCAAAGGTGAGCGGACAAACGATCACCACACCTGACATAAATCCAACAGGACCGGCATCAACTTTTGCATCCAATCTTCGGGCTTTGGCACCAACAGCTCCTCAAGCAGCCACCTTGCGTGACCCTGTTGTGCCTCTTCCTGATGCCAGACTGTACGCACCAAACACACATTACGTTGGACAAGGTGCAAGTCTACGGTAGCGGTCAATTTGTCAAAAGATCATATTGAAATGTATAGAGTTTATCACTAAAAAAGGGTTTACGCAATTTGCATTCGAGTCTAAGAGGTGAAGTATATGAACAGATCTACTACAAACGGCTATCAGATTTCATCTTTTCCATTCGGGTTCCCAAATCAGTTAAGATTTCATCACTACCACCGCCAACGACCATGACACGAAGATCGCGACTGATTTGTTCAATCCTTGCACCGGCATGATTTCCACCCTTTTGGTACGAAAGACCGCCTAAAATCTGTTGTGCTTCACGATTGCACAATTCCAAACATCTACCACTTTCAACTTTCAACAAAGCCACTCTTCCGGCCAATTCCATATCTCCAGTCTTTTTGTTAGCACTTCTTGCTTGATGGGCTAATTCTTCCGTCCATGCTTGTAAGCGTTCAACAGCTCTTCCCATATCGGCAATCTTTGCACGAATGACAGGTTGAGCAATTAATGCTTTACCGAACACTTGTCTTTTGCATGCATATGCATAGGAATCTTGAATGCAGATTCTGCTCATTCTTGTTGCTTGGATGGCAAGTGCAAGTCTTTCTCCGTTGAAATTGCTCATCACGATTCGGAAACCTTGATCTTGTTTACCGAGAAGGTAGTGAGATGGTACTTTGACATCATCAAAGAGGATTAAAGTTGACCCGGAAGCATTCACACCACTATTGTACAGCTTCTTACGTTCAACACCTGGCAGAGTGAGTGGGATGACCAAAACACTTATTCCTCCAGCACCTGAATCATCTTCACCAGTTCTTACGACAGCAGTAACGTAATCGGCATAGATTCCATTTGTGATCCATTTCTTTTGACCGTTTACGATGAAATGCGAGCCGTCTTGTGAGAGCTTTGCGGTGGTCTTGAGTTGAGCAACATCTGATCCTGCTTGAGGTTCAGTGACACCCAAACAGACACGTTTCTTTCCGCGTAAGAGATCTGGCAAGATTTCATCTTTCAGTTTCTTTGAACCGAAACGAACGATTGGCGGTCCACCGATACTATTTCCACCTCCTAATCCCCAAATTGTACCCAAATAACCAACACGCATCAATTCATCGGCAACGATCATGCTATGGAAAGGATCCCATTCATCGGGTGAAATTCCGGCTGGCAAAGTGATACCTGCTTTTTGAAGGTATTCCGGATCGAGAGGTTGAATGAAACAAGCCGAGAATCCTAAACGAGAATGTTCCTGCCATTGCTCTTGTGGAACTTCACCTTTTTCTTCCCATTCGGGTGCTTTATCGATCCAAGTATCAACGTATTTTCGTGTAAATGCTCTTAATTTTCTATGAGAATCATTGTAGTATGGGTTGGTATGACCTAAGCTACCTGCCCAACTTGGTTCTGCGAATGGTAAAACGCTACCAAAAGGTTCTTGAGCATCAACACCACTTTGTTCTTGTTTGATTGACATCTTTGCTGGGAGATGATGATGATGAAGAAGAAAGGAAGAAGTGTTTGAGAATTGTTACAAGAATGATTTCCCCGCATTAAAGTATAAATCGCGGTTTTAGCTCGCTCTTTCGCTCTATGAATCCTCGCATTGAATATCCGTGGGAATTGAAAGACTTACAGTGTAATGTCCGAAAGCCGATTCAATTCTTAGCGTATTCTCAATTCAGGCTGGCAGTGTTAATCGGGAACTTTCTTACCTTCACTCTTCCAACCGGTAATCGTCTCAATGGGCAGTCACCTAACTCAACACTTTCGAAACCTTCAAAAGAAAGTGCTCGTACCCATCAGAGAAGCGGCATTTTATCGAGGAGGAACTAGTAAAGGATTATTAGTAACCTCAAAAGAATTGTTTCGCTTCTCTCAAAATGCTCGTGATAAGATACTATGTAAAGCAATGGGAAGTCCAGATCCCGATGGAAGACAGATTGATGGTCTTGGAGGAGGTACTTCATCAACATCAAAAGTAGCAATCGTATCCAGAATCGATAGCAAGTACGATGAAATTGCACACAAGATGTGGCATCCGTTTCCTATTGGTCCTGGAGCGAGAAAACTTTTTGATTCTTCTGAACATTTTGAAAAGATATCAGATGCTGCCGATATCATGTACAGGTTCGGACAAGTGTCAATCAAAGGAAACAATGAAATCGACTGGGGAAGTACGTGTGGAAACATGGTCTCCGCTGCTGCTCATTTTGCTATAAGGCAATCCTTATTCGTACCAAAGCTTGCGATGCACTTATTAAGTCAAGAAGAGCTGTCTTCCACCGTCCTGGAAGAAATACGAAATCCATTTGATGTCACTGTTCGCGTTTTAGCACACGACTCTGGCAAGATCATCAAAGTACACACAAAAGCTGAATTCGTGCGATTTGGAAGTGGAATTCATATGCAGCCGATCGAACATGGTGATGTCAGTATTGCAGGTGTTCCAGGGACAGCCTCAGGAATTGTTGTTGAAACGCCTCTAGAAGGAGGATCAGTTTTGAGTACAGGCAATGAGAGGGACACAATCGAAGTAGACGGTAAACAGGTTGAAGTTTCAATCGTGAATACAGGACTGCCGGTTGTCTTTGTACACGCAAGCTCACTTGGAATCTCACTGTCTGATTTGACGCAGCATCCTGCAAGTATCGATGCAAACAAACCCTTGATCGAGCTGTTAGAAAGGGTTCGCCATGCCGCCTGTCAATTAACACCTCAACTTCAATCAACCTATTCGAAACCATCTCCAAAATTGTGCGTGATACATGAACCAATTCCATACACGAATACTGGTGGGACAGAAGTGGAAGCAAAAGATATGGATATCTTTATTCGTGTTTTGTCTTCAGGTCAATTGCATCGTACGGTACCGGCGACGACACTTTCTGCTACTGCTGCTGCCAAATGCCATGGAAATACGATTGTAGCAGAATTGATAAAGAAAGAATATCAAGGAGATCGAACGATTCCTGAAAACACTCAAAGTTTGTCAGAACAAATATCTCGAATCGTTCCAATTAGTAAAAATCACAATATGGTCACTGTCGGTCAACCTGCAGGATTAACATCAACGTGTGTAGAGGTGAACGAAGAAACGAAAGAGCCAAAAGCTGTATTTGATGTTCGAAGTGCACGTCAAATCATGTATGGTGGCATTACAGTGCCTCACGATGTAGAGTCTAATGAAAGTCTTTCATGGATCTTTTCAGAACTTTCAAGATCCAAAGAATCGGCAGGAAATTTGTTGCATGTATTGCAAGGAGAAGATTTTCGGAATACTATACGTCGATCTAGCATCCGAGACCCTGGGTTACTTAGATATTCATATCCTTCCCCCTTTGGAGGAAGATCCGCTATGACGGAATATAAAGAGGAGGCTAAACAGGCCGCTAAACAGGCCGCGATAAGGCTTTTTGGCCCAGGACCAAGGTTTTCATCTGCCTCTTCATCCCATAAAAGGAGGAAAAAAGAAAAATCGAAGAAGACTCCATTCACGGAAAATGAACCTGAAGAGAGACCTGTAGGTGAATAACAAAAACTTATATTCCTCTTCCGTATAAAGATACAAAAAGAGCGTTACGTAGCTAATAATCAAATAGACAAAATTCGATCAAGATCTATTGGCTCTTGAAAGTTACGTCGAGCATAAAGGAACCAATTGATGAGCGCCAATAAAACGCAAAAGGCCAAAACGACAACGGCGTAATTCATCATCGATCCTGATTTTACCGGAATGACTGGCGGCAATAAAAAGAAAACGGTCGTTAAGCAAATATAACAAATTGCACAAATGTTCACAATAGGACCGTATCTTGATCCAAGTTTTAATCTTTGCGCAATTTCTCCGCCTCTTTGACGTAGAGCTTTTCGTCCTGAAAGCAAATGTAAGACGATTGAAGGTAAATAACTCAATTGCAACATCACCACTGACGCACTTTGTAATGCTTGAACGGCGATAGTGCTACCAAAAAGCAAAGCTCCAAAGATTGTCAAAAAGACTAAATTAGCCAAAGCTGCATAAATTGGCGTTTCAGTATGAAGGGAGATATGACCAAGGTACTTGTTGAAAGGAAGACAACCATCCTTGGCAAAAGCTTGTAGCATTCTTGAAGATGTGATGACCAATGCAGGTCCAGTAAAAATTTGATTAATCAAAAAGATTGAGTTGAGAGCGACCGCTCCTCCTTTGCTGCCCATAGCGTCCATCATGATGAGAAGTACTCCTCCACCTTGTGCCATTATAACTGCAAGAGGATCTTTGACGCATGCCAAGAATGCAATCAAAACGACAAAAGCCGAAGCACCACCGATTACACAAGATAAAATCATTGCAAGCGGAACATTTTTGCGAGGATTTGAAATTTCTCCGATAACATGCGTTACTGCATCTGTTCCTACTAAAGCATACTGTGTTTGCAATAATCCGATCAACCAAGCCACTCCGTTTGGCCAACCTGTAAAGTTGAGAAAGGTGGTAAAGATAAATTTGCCATCGTTTAGAGTGCCCCTTGCACCTGCGCTTGCTAGCAGGGTGATGAAAGTGACCAAGCAACCAATCAAAGACCAAAACAAGGCAGCAGAATTCATTTTGTCAAGTAATTTGATTCCAAAGATGTTGATTATCACGGCGTATAACGTGAAACCCATATAAATCGAAAACACAGACCACATACCGGTTTGAATAGGATGATAAAGTGTAATGTTTGTCAAAATGTTTTGCGCAGAAAGGAGAGGAGCAGTTGAGGTTAAGCAAATCCATCCTGCCGTACCTAACCAACCAGAAAGGTAACTCAAAAAGCGATATTTATCATTTGATCGATCTGGTGCGAGCAAGAAAGTCCAATGATATTGTGCTCCTTTTGTTGGCATGAGATGACATAGTTCTGCCAAACTGATCGCAATCGTCAAAGCAGCACAAGTACCAACGATTGTACCCCACAGAACGGAAGTAGGACCACCTGCGGCTAAACCGATAAAGATTGTACCGGAAGAAGCTGCCCAAGTGTTTAAAGCGGCAAAGCTTAATCCGATCAAAGCCAACTTTGAAAAGTGTTGAAGATTTGCATTTGCTCCTGTTGAATCTTCAATTGCTTCTTTTTGTGCAGATAAAGTAGAATCATTCAATTCAGTCACATTGACATTGTCTGTTGTACTATCCTTCTCTGTGATTATTGCATTTTCTTGATCTATCTTGGAAGACATGGTTGTGGTTGATTAATGTTGGATTTTGGTGGATGCTTGCCTCCTTTAGTATTTATACGATATGCATCTGAGGAATTGATTAACCATGTGGTCTTCGTATGATCATGGTCAAGAAGGGAAGACGGGTATGGTTATCCGGCCGTAAAGTGTTAGCAAGCCGTCTATTCCGTTTGCCTTTTATTCTAAAGGGAAAAGATAAAGGAATTTTAATCTTTATTTAATAACTTTCTACTTCTTTTTGAGGGGAAGCGGGGTAAGATGAGGTCCTGTAGAGTGTCAATAAAAATGACATGGTCACTTGACACAACGGAATAAGAATGCAAAACTGGGATTTTACCCGCTGGAGCCGCGAAGATGCTGGGCTAGTGCAGCGCGATTTGAGTAAACACAAAAAGCTTAATTTCTTTACCCCAGGCACACGCAGCTTTAAAGTGGCTTGGCTTTGCAGCAGTCTTTCGTACGGCAAATGCATGCATATAAGATTCAATGACGATACGCGCGGTACGCTCTTCTCCGTAAAATAGATTCTTATCCCATAACGACCGCCGTCTTCCGAATAAAAATGTTATAAAAAGATGATGAACCCGCAAAAGGGTGTCTTCCTCTACTTTCACACAACAACAACATGACAAAAACATTATATACAAACGGTCGTTTCTTTGATGGTCATTCGGGGTTCGGCCATAGTATGCTGGTTGATGAGAATGGCAGAATTGAATCCGTATTACACAATGATCAAGCAGTGGACAATACCTCTCTCGCAACGAGGGATCTGAGAGGCAAGCTGGTCTTGCCCGCATTCGTTGATGCACACTGTCATTTGATGATGCTAGGAGAATCATTGGAAAAGGTAGACGTATTCCAATGCAAAAGTATGAATGAGGTAATCACATGCTTACAGCGATATCAAGAAGACAATCCTACAAAACAGCGTATCCTTGCTCGAAATTGGATGCAAAACATGGATGAAAGCGAAATGTTTGACAGGAAGTACATCGATGAAAGGATAACAAAACCAGTCTATATAATGTCGTTCGATTTGCATTCTTGTTTATGCAATTCAGCTGCTTTGAAGGAAATTGGAATCGACGAATCTACTCCCGATCCAAGCGGAGGTGAATTGGTACGTACGGTGGAGAACGGAAAGCAACGATTAACAGGATGGCTGAAAGAGATGGCTTGTATAAACTTTGTCGCTCCTACAATACGAGATCTAACGTCACAAGCTGAAAAGGAGGCCCATCTGGACAAAGCATTTGATACTTTACTCGCTGCAGGCTATACGGCCGTAGGAGATTTATTGATGGAAGAAGAAGTCTTTGCAATGTTGGCTTCTCGTGTGAAAAGAGATGGTCGTTTACCCATTCACGTCTCAGCTTACTGGCATTGTTCGCCCGAAGATGATATTGAAAAATCAATCAAACACATCATTCGTGCAAAAGAATTACAGCAAGAATGGCAAAATAATGAATGGTTACAAGTCAAAGGTATTAAGCTCGTGGTGGACGGAGTGATTGATTCGTGTACTGCAACTCTCTCGCTACCTTATCAAAATGGAAGCAATGCTGAACCACTTTGGCCATTCGAAAAGCTACAGAGAGCGATTAAAGAAGCCGATAAACGAGACTTGCAGTGTGCCATTCATGCGATAGGTGATGAAGCTGTTCATATTACCGTAAAAGCACTATCAAGCTTAGGTCGTGAAAGGATCATGAAGAATAGGCATAGAATCGAACATTTGGAGCTGACACATGAAGCAGACGTTGAACAGATAGGTGTATTGAACATCACAGCCTCCATTCAACCCGTTCATTCTGATCCAGAAATTACGCAAAATTGGTTCAAGCAATTAGGTGGCAATCAATCAGCCACCGAGGATCAAAGCCCAGATCGTCGTTGCTGTCGTGCGTTTGCGTATAATGATTTCTTACAAAAAGGTGCTCCAATCGCAATAGGAACAGATGCACCAACTGCACCTTTTTGGCCTTTACCAAATTTGTACAACGCTCATTCACGTTGTTCAGCTTTAAATCCTTCTTTGGATTTACGTACGACTCCGCAATATGCTTTACCTTTGTTGGATTCAGTTTTGGCCGCTTCGAATGGTGCTGCAAAAGCTTGTCATCTTGATCACATTTTGGGTGATTTCGCAAAAGGAAAATTGGCGGATTTTAACATTTTGGATATCGACTTTTTCGCAGAAGTGGATAAAGAAAGCAACAACAAAAAAGCAATCTTACGTGCTAAAGTTGTCAATACTTTCCAAGCCGGGATTGAGGTTGCAAAGGATGGAAAATTGTTGCATAAATAGCATTCGTTTCGCATTTCTCTAGCAAAAAAATGATTGTACAGTGTAAAGATTGGATAAAGTGTATGTTACAGTAGGGTATATGAATGATAGTAGTTGCGGTGGTATATGCCTGTGTTACTCGTCTTTCCTTAGACGGCTAGATCTGGTGCACTGAAGGCAGCATCACGAGGTGCAGAAGGAGTGATAATTGGCTCAGACGTTTGGGTAGATGCATTTTCAACCGAAGGGGTATTATCGGCACTCGATCGTCCGACACCAATCCATGAAGCAAAAGTGCCTCCCCATCCGCGTAAGGGGTCATTTGTTGCAGGTGTCAAAGTATCATTGGATGTGGTATCTTCAGCATTTGTGTTGCTTGTATTGCCATTGCTATTCAATCTCCTTAATGCCTCTAAAGCACCTTTTCTGCCGCCATTCCTGTCTGTGACTGCAACGCCTTGGATATCATCAGCAACGGACGATCCTGTACCTCGAGCATGTCCGCTACCCATTCTCATAGCACTTGGCGATCGGATATTGCTGATACTTTGACGTTTGAGTAAAGCTGGCGTACTTGTTGATGCATTGCCTTCATCTGGAGGTGCCAATTCTCGATTTGGCATTGGAGGTGTGAGGAATTGCGATGTAGTTGTTGCATTAGGAGCAACAGCTTGCAAATATGCAGATTCTTCTTGCTCTGCAGCATTTGTTCCCATCGAAAGTCTCGAGCTCGGCCTGGAATTAACGAATGTGCTCAACAGCTTTGCGGCACCGCTTGCACCCTCTTCTGTGCCGGCTCTTCCAGTCGGATTCTCGGCAACATTGCTCGTGATTGCAGAAACATCGCTGATGGATCTACCAGAGAAGCTCTGACGGCCTGAAGAAGCGGATGATCCATCGAGTTGTCGAAGGTTTTTCTCTGATACTGGCGTCCCATCAGAGCTAGAGATTGCAGATGGAGAAGAGGTTGTTGCAGTAGCTGTAATAGGATTTGCCAGCCTGCTTGAAGATAGGCGTAATTGCAGTGCATTTACTGAACTGCCCGTATTTCGGAGAATACTTGGTCGTGCGTTAGTGGTATTCTTTGTGCCTCCATTGGCATCATCGCTACGAACAGACTCTGTGGCTGAGATAGAGGTTGCACTACTCGAAGTACGTGAGTGTGATTGTGCAAAAGCAGCGTTGGCCAAGCGAGGAGGCACTGCAGAACCGGTCTCTGCAATAGGACCTGACAAAGGTGTCGATTTGTGTAGCATTCTCTCAAGTCGCTTTGCTGCTGATTTGCCAATTGTTGCATTGTCATCCTTTGCTTCAACAATACCAAATGTTGCAGCAAGCTGTCTGGAGTCGATTGCAGCAGTTGAAGGTGCTCGATCGTGCTTAGCCATAAATTTGCTTCCAGGTGTAGAAGAGGGTACATTGGACGATCCTTGAAGTTTTGCATTCAGCTCATCTAGTTCATCAATGCTCTCTATTCCGCTCAAAGGCTCCCGACCTTGGATCACATCATCAAGCTTTTTGCAAGCACGCTCCATCCACCTTGTTGTCTTTCTGTTGAACTCAATCTGTCGCTTAATCTCTTCCTCCTTCTTCGTAAGGTCATGATCCAATTCAGCCTCCAATGCCCTGAGTCGCGCTAGCTCTCTTCTAGAGGACATTGTGCTCAGCAACAGTGAGTTGGCGGTCGTCAATGCCAACATCGTAGAAGAAAGAGCGGCGTCCAAGGCTGCTTCTGATGTAGGCGAAGGTGGAGTAGAAGCTCGTGATGTGGGAGGGGAATGCGATGGCCCTGCGATCTGATCACGTTCATAACTTTGAAAGTCTAGCGGACTAGAAGATCTTCTGCCAAGATTATGACCTTTTGAAAAGGATGTATGCGCTTCTGGGTCCATATTTTCATCCATATTTCCTTCGTCGCTCAGTAAAAGTGTTGAATCTGCCGTCCAAGTTGACCATCTAGGATTTCGATTGCTAGTATCATCCCATCTGTTCGATTCGTAAGACATAATTGTAGAGGGTGAAGAATCACGCCTTACATCCAAAAAAGGAGAATTTGAGGCTTGATAAGGGGGAGGAGGGGGCACTTGATGGCGATTTATAGGGCCGATGTGTGAATTATCATATCGTCTCCTTTCATCAGTATCCTTTGTTGGAGTTGGCTGAACGACATTTTGCAAAGATGATCTGGTAGAGTTTCCTGATCGATTTGATCGAATTGTTGCATCACGATCAAAGCTTGCCTGTCTTGATCTTTGAAGGCTTTTTGTCGGTGTACTCTGCCGTACATTCCGTTGTGGTGTTTGTCGTGCTGTGTTCATTGTTGCTTGAATGAGATGACGGCAGACAGCAGCAATAAAGCTTTGTGAGTCAGATTTCTGATCGGATGACGAGCATGTTGTATCGTTATATGATGATCAAAAGTGTTGTTTTGTGATGATGATGTTTCGAAGTGTTTCTTTCTTTGTTTACGTCGGATTATATGCGCCAATCTCTTCTTATATGCATACCGTGATAGATCAACGGCGCAGCGCAGCGTAACGCGTAGACTCCCGCACACTGAAATGATGCCCTGTCACACTCAACGGGTTCACACTAAAATCGGCGAAATAAAAAATCACAAGGATAGGAACCCGTTTACGCCTTACGATTACTGCCTTCATAGGAGATTTGAACTCAAAAGGAAGAGCCCCTAACTCAGCAAAAGGTTCATGCGTGCAGTTTACACGCTATGATCGTCATCGTACGACTCAAAAAAGGGTCGGAGGTGATGGTCTTTTATTGCAATACGGACCCATACATTCGATGGCATAGCGCTTTCACACGCTTGATAGCTTTTCTTCATTTTGACGAGATTTCTGTTAAGGATGCTTTTTGTCCCTTAAAGCAGTTTCTCTACCGAAAGATATAAAATATTGAGATATAAACATTCTTCGCTTTATACTCGATTTACCATATATATTAGTATATATATATATATACTTGGATTATCTCTTATATTGACCTTTATCTTCTATAAATATGATCTGATATATATATATATATATATTTATACCTATATCTATCGAATCCGAATCGTATCAGTACTATGAAGCTTATATTTGAGCGTGAAACGTTGAACGCTTGACCTAGTTCTTAATCTTGACATGTAGCACTCTATTATACCGTAAATAAGGTCTTGAGGATAATTCTTCTATTAGGTGTATTCTCGAATCAATTCTTCTATTAGGTGTATTCTCGAATCAATTCTTCTATTAGGTGTATTCAATTCTTCTATTAGGTGTATTCTCGAATCAATTCTTCTATTAGGTGTATTCTCGAATCAATTCTTCTATTAGGTGTATTCTCGAATCAAACGTTTAAAAGGACTTTAAATGACAGGCTGGATAAGTAGAAAGAAGAAACAGAAGATCGGAAAACGGTCAAACTAGATACCTCGTGACAGGTTTAGATGAAGAGGTACCGTAATACGACTTCAAAAATGCTTAATAATAACGTCAGAACGGTACAACGCTTCTTTCTAGAATATAAAGCAGTACTCTCTTGAATTAGCAGATTGACATGTTCTACCATAATAGTGCGCACATCATCTGAGGAAACGGCGCCGAAGTCTATCCCGTCTTTACCTCATTAACGTTCATCAGATTACCACGAGGCAACGTGCAAGCTCGCTCAAGTCATCGCTGAACTCACGATGGCTTCCCATCTTCCATCATAACCATGTCAAAAATGTCTTCCCTTTCTTCTTCAGAAGGAATTGCTCGAATCGATGAGGATGTTGCAGTCAAAATCGCAACAGCCGTTGGAAATCAAGTTATCCAAGATGCTAAAGAAGCTACCGAAAGTGAAATCTCGATGGGTTTCATGGAAGCGATTCGAACATATCCGTTAGCAGTTCTTTATTCGGTTGGTATTTCAATGGCAATCGTTATGGAAAGTTACGATACGATGTTGCTTGGCAACTTTTTTGCACAACCCGCCTTTCAAAAAAAGTTTGGTATTTGTGCATCGAATGGAAAATGTCAAGTAGCTGCATCATGGCAGAGTGGACTATCCGATGGTGCCCAAGTAGGTTCGATAATTGGTTTACTCTCTGTAGGATGGCTAACGGATAAATGGGGTTACCGAAAGACCATGATCTACAGTCTTATTTGCATGGCAGCATTCAACTTTATTGTTTTTTTCGCTGACAATCTCGTTACACTTCTTATTGGAAATATCTTGATGGGCCTACCCTGGGGAGTGTATCAAAGTTTGGCGGTTTCTTATGCAGCCGATGTATGCCCAGTAGCATTACGTCCAATATTGACGAGTTACGTAAACTTTTGTTGGGGCGCTGGTCATCTTATTGCTGCTGGCGTGCTCAGATCAACGGTAGAACGTAAAGATGAATGGGCATGGCGTATTCCTTATGCTATCCAATGGATTTGGCCTCCTTTGGTTCTGGTGATAGCACTTCTCTGTCCAGAATCACCTTGGTTCTTGGTAAGAAAAGGTCGTATTGCTGAAGCAGAAGTGGCTGTGTATCGTTTACAAGGTGTCAACGGTACAAAAGAGCAAGCCAAAAAAACCGTTGCAATGCTGATGCATACAAATGAATTGGAAATTGCTGCTACAGAAGGGGCAACGTACCTGGATTGCTTCAAAAATACTGCGGCAAGGAGAACTGAAATCGCAGTAATGGTTTGGCTTGCTCAGCAGTTTACTGGTTGGGTTCTAGCTCGTTATGCTACATACTATCTAGTCACCGCTGGTGTACCTGCAACGCACGCTTTCGATCTTAATATCGGTAATCAAGCAATTCAAATTATTGGAACGATGTCTGCTTGGTTCACAATGATGTGGTTTGGCAGGAGAGCACTTTATTTGGTGGGCGAAATCTTAATGTGGTTCAATCTTTTAGCCGTTGGGATCGTTTATTGCCTTGGTGTAACACCCTACGCAACCGGCGGTTTATTGTTATTGTTGGTCTTAATATACAGCTGTACGATTGGACCTTGCTGTTACACTCTCGTAGCGGAAATTGGATCAACTCGACTGCGTGCGAAAACTGTTGGAATTGCTAGAATCGGGTACAATGTTGCGGGAATCGTTATTGCTTCAGTATCGCCATATATGCTCAATCCGAAAGCCTGGAATTTAGGCGGCAAAAGCGCATTTATCTGGATGTTCACTGGACTGATTGTGATTATCTGGACCTTCTTTAGGCTACCAGAAACGAAGAATCGATCCTATTCCGAATTGGATGTTCTATTCAACAATAAAGTACCCGCGCGCAAATTCAAGACTACCAAAGTGAATCAATTCGGTCAGGAGAATAGCTCAGAAGATACTGAAGAGAAATTAAAGCATGCTGTGATTGATGGAGAGGCAGTGATTCCCACATTGATGGCATAGCTTCAACGAGTCCTGTATATAAACACGATTTAATCTGATGATACGACTCTTTCTTCTTTCCATTGTTTTATTGCTACTTCGGCTATCCTGCAACCTTCCATTCCTGCCGGTGCTCCGGCATAAACACAAACTGCCAACATAACTTCTGCGATTTGCTCTTCCGTTACTCCGTTATTTAAAGCTCCTTTGACGTGGGTATTTAATTCGGTTGAACGATTTAAACAAGCTAACATGCTTAAATTCATTAGACTGCGTTCTTTCCTTGTTAAGATGCCGTTATTTCGAGCCCAAACGCCTCCCCAACATGCAGCAGTGATGTATTCTTGTGTAGGCTTAGAAACAGTTCCTTCATTAGAGGATTGTAAGGATCGATCAACATATTTATCGCCTACCACTTCCCGACGTACTTTCATTCCATGATTATATAAATTATCAATCGCTGCTTGTCTGTCTTTTTCCTCCATCTTGTTTTTGAGAGTGTGAGCTGTCAAGATAATAATGATAGCATGATAAACTGTGGGAAATCAGCGCAATACCCCGTCTTAACAAATCAAAATGTTTACGGCATTGAGGCAGTGTATATTATCACACGTTCTCACACTCTCTCGTTGTAATGATATGTACTTATCTAATCGTCTTTTTAGGGTTGGCTTAGCTGATCGATTGAACTAATGTGATGCATGTTCCTTGCACAGTGATGTCGCGCACTTGATCTGCACAATGAAAATAAGATTTGACTAAGCAACTCTATCAATGTGCATATTCAAAAGACCCTGATTCATAGGTTGATCTGCATCCTTAGGTTAGCGGGATGTATGTTTATATTAGCACGCCATGTTCTTACTAAGCCCAATCCTTCCAGATATGGAGAATTGATCGTTGTCATATTGGCACTTTACCACAGCTAATGCAAAAGTGCACGGACGATGATGCAGTGCCTCCATTGCTACTTGTGTTCTCATACAACATCTTCTCAATCCTTGAATTTGATTGTATTGAGCAAACAGGTGCACAATGCCAGTCAATTTCATCAAACAATGATACTTCATTGAACCCTTGCCTTGTTTTACGTAACTTTGAATCGATTCAATCGAGATATAAATCTGTTATTGTTCAATTTGCGTCCCTTTCCTTCAATACTACAACTTTCTTTTTACACATTATTTCTTCTTTTTTTCCCAAAATGGCTCCTTCAAATCCAGTCGAACCACCATCTTCAGATATGAGCGCTCGCGTTCGTGAGATTGCTGCAACGAAGAATTGCACCGGTCCAGGTTACAGCGTTGAAGGAAGTGAAGAATTACGTTACACTTACAGTTTTACAGACGATGTCTTCAATTCTCAAAAGGAAAATTTGGCTTCTTTTTACAAGAAATGGGGACGTGTTCTCGTTTTGTTGGACGAAAATGTTCATGAAATTTATGGTGACAAGATTAGAGCATACTTTAAAGCCTTTGGTATTCCACCAACTTTGCACGTTTTCAAAGGTGGAGAACTTCACAAGACAATGGATACCATGTTGGAATTCGTTGATGCAATGGATTCTTTCGGTTTGATTCGTAAGGAACCCGTTTTGGTTGTCGGAGGAGGCTTGGCTTCTGATGTTGCCGGTTATGCATGTGCAAGTTATCGTCGTTCGACCAACTACATTCGTGTGGGTACAACTTTGATTGCTTTGATTGACGCAGCTATTTCTATCAAAGTGGGAATCAACCATAAGAAACTCAAGAATCGTTTGGGAGCTTACCATGCACCTATGCACACCTTTTTGGACTTTGACTTCCTCAAAACACTACCAGAAGGTCAAACAAGAAACGGATTCGCAGAAATCATGAAGATCTCTCATTGCGCCGAAAAGCCAACTTGGGATCTTTTGGTGAAATACGGACCTCAACTCATCAAAACAGGTTTCGGTCGTAAAATTGAAGCAGGCGGAAATGCTGAATTAAAGAACGCAGCAGACGAAATTTGCAGAAGGGCAATTTTGAAAATGTTACAATTGGAATCGGGAAATCTACACGAGATTGGATTAGATCGTGTGATCGCAAGTGGTCACGGAATCAGTCCAACTTTGGAACTTGCACCTTTCCCTCCTCTTCGTCACGGTCACGCAATCACTGTGGATATGTCTTACACAATCACAATGTCACACGCTCGTGGATTATTGACTGACGCAGAACGTGATGAATGGTTTACATTGGCAAACGCCGTTGGTTTGACTATGGATCATCCAAGTTTGGACGAAGAATTATTACACAGAAGTGTAGAAGCAATCATGAAAACACGTGATGGTCTACAGAGATTCGTTTTGGCAGGTCCATATGGCAAATGCATGTTTGCCAATGATATCAGCAAGGAAGAATTCAATTCTGTTCTTAAAACACACAAGGCATACGTCAAATCCCGTTTCCCTTCTTATCCTGGCGAAGGACAAGATGCATACGCAGATGCAGGAGATTTGGGTGCCGATCCTGAAGTGCTAAAACAAAACGGACATGCAAAGATGGAACAACCTCCATCAACAAAGATTGCACACAGCAATGGTGTGCATCCTCCTCAACCCGTCAAGGTAGCTGTAGCATAAGTATATTTTACGCTATAGTAGATACAATGTCCCGTAACAGAATTTAACCAATGAGATAGAAATTACCATTCGAAAGCCTCTTCCACATACTCAAAAGTTCCCCTAGCAGCGCGGATGTCATCACATAAACTTGCCGGTCCACATGAAACGACCATTTCTGCTTTACTCTCTGAAACAATTTTGCCGATATTTGGACCTCCGTCTTCACCTTGCACTCCCACTTGCACATCCAAACCTTGACAAACTTTTTCCAGTGAGATTTGATTGGCATCTTTACTGAATTCTTCTACTTGATGGCGTACCGTTGGCGCTAAATGAAAGGTGACATTATCAGATTTAGGGTCATCAAACACTTGCAATAATCCTACTCCCCCCTCTTTTCTGGCTAGAATCAGTATCGAACCGTGACTTAATCGCACAAAAACAAAAAAAAGATGGGGGAATATAATGAAATGTCAATAAAGACTATAAAGTGTAAAATGTCCATACAAATGATGTGTCTGTATTAAAAAGAAAGAAGGCGAAACAAGAAAGGGAATGAAAAGCGCGCTTTCATTTGATTCGACTTCTGTTGAACGGCGGCGTTAATGAAACGCTTAGTTGATTGGCAATGGTGTGCAATCAAGTTGGACCAAACCGTTGTGGCTGTCACCTTGGCAACAAACTGGGGTGGACTTGCATTGGTTGTCAACGTTTGCGGCAACACCGATGACGTTAACTGGGATCTTTTGGCATCTGTTGAAAAGGAAGAAAAAGGGTTAGAAACTTGTATGTTGATTAAGAACATTATCACTAAGTTACTCACCCCAAACCGACGGCACCGACCAAGTCTTGCAAACCGAGCAAGTCAGCAGCGCGGGTGGCTTCTTGACCATCCTTAACACTGGAGCAGCATTGTGCTGTACCGGTGGAGCATGATCCTGCGGCAGGTGCGTTACCTTGAGGAGCTGCTGATGCAACAGCGGCGACGGAGAGGATTGCGATAACAGTTGAGAACTTCATTTTGAATGAGGGTTAGTTATTGAGTTTTTTTGAAAAAAAAAAGGTTGAGAAGAGAGAAGGTTGAGAGAGAAGAGAGGAGAGAATTGATTGATGAGGAAAAAGGGATGAGAATGTGTCAAAAACATCGGCATCTTATACCTTTTCGAAAAGGTGGTTTTGGATTGATTGTTTATTTATTCTCCTATAGGAATAGGTATGTGTTTCAAGTGAAACGTACAATTACCGAGACACGAGTATGATGCCGTTAGCTACAGAATAAACCACTTCCGGTTATTGATGCTAAACTCTATGTTTGGATGGCCAATCGCATTCCTAGTTCTATCGTAGAAGCATTCGGAAAGTACACTAAACACATATGATCGATCCTAAAGTTCAAGAAGTAGAACTTTCTTATTAAATTCAATGTGACGTTCATGCCGATTCTGTGCATAAAATGCCTACCTGATGCGTCTGATTATGAACGAGGGTTGTAGTTGAAGAGTTGGGATAGATTCCAAGCGTGGATCTGGGAATACATACTTAGACGAATTGATCTTTGGATGATTGGATGTCATGTATAGGAGGAATTCAATTTTAGCGTACAAGGTACGGAACGAATGCGGCGTCTCCTCCAAATCACCGATATTGGTATAACATCAACATATTCTATGCAAATACCTATGCGATAATTACATGCAACAATGAATGGTACGTTATACTATCTCTTTCGCATTAGGAAATTTTACCAGGGTTTTTTCATTTCTCACCTGACCCCAGATTCTCCTATTCTATGCACGTTTTCTATTCTTCCATCCGTCTTTTCATTCGCTTATACTACTAGCTTTGAATGAGGTATGCATTTTATAGTGTGGTACCGATCGTTTTATAATCTTATCTTTCTCTCTCCTTAAGCAGGGAGATGCAATTCGCGCGCCACAACTTACGCTAATCATACCTTTTCCGTTGACTAGCGTACTTTCTTATTTGATGGCCATCAAGAGTACCTTAACGGACTACGGCTTCTTTGTCAATGTGAACAACATACCGATCTATATAAAATACATGTTGATGTTTGTGGAATGATACAAACACTTTGCTGGCTCAATCATTAGCCTGTACTTTGCATCTCATGTATATGTACACCGCAGCAAATGTTACAATCAATGGTGTAGATCATTTTCGATTGAACTTGGCATGCTATTTGTTTTAAACCTTGTTTGCCGTGTTAAAAATTACTTCTATTTGCGGATATAATTTATGCAGAGACTATTAATAAATCACCTTCTCTTCATTCCATTTTGCAGAGTACATGACATCAGATGGAATTTCTTGGGGCATAATACGAAAATCAAAACAGCAATGTGTCTAGGTAAAGCTGAGTTGCCATTCGCTTATTGTAAACGTAGAGTCTATGCTCTGATTTTATATAAAGGTCTTGTCTAAAAAGCCAAACTATAGTACTCTTCCCATAATCAAGATTTACGACCCCCATTCCCAATACAATCACTCAACGTACTCCCCACACTCGTTCTTTAACGTTCGCTATTATTAACTCGCAATCATGCAAGTGAGTTTGATGATGATGATGAGAAATTCGTATCGCCAGGGCTTCCATACTGACCAAATTTCCCCATACTCTTTCCAGTTCTCATCTTTAGCCGCCATCTTTGTCTTTGCTGCAGCAGCAAGTGCAGCATCTTCCCCTCAAACTTCAGCAGTTGCTCTTCCTCAATCGGCTGTCGCTTATATTCAAGAAAAAACTGGTATTGATTTGAACAATGTCAGTGACAAACGTAACTTGAAAACTGCACCACTTAGAATGGACACCGTACAAAAACGTCAACAAGGTGCATCAGGTGATGTGGTAAACGTAAACGGAAATTGCAGTCAAGGAAAAGTGCAATGCTGTGACACAATCATGAGCGGACAACAAGCAAAGACCATCTCCAGTCTTTTGGATTTAGACTCTTTGGCCAGTAACATTGGCATTAACTGTGTTCAATTGCCTGTCAACGTTATCGGTGTCTCAGGAGCCATCTCCAACCAATGCAAGAGCACTCCCGTTTGTTGCCAAAATGTTACACAAAACGGATTGATCAACTTGGGTTGCAACGCTTTGCCGATCAACTAAAAAAAAGTTATTTCATCCTTTTATGTTTTGTCTATGTATCTACTCTTTCCTCTTTAATTGAATCGCGCTCTTCAGCGGACGATCTTCTCTTTTATTATTGATGATTGATTTTTGGCTGAAATTTATTTTACGACTTGTGATCTATGAATACATCTTTTGAGATAGTCCTTGGTTGTTCTTGCAGACACCCTTTTATGTATAATCTTGATCAGATTAGCTATATAAAGAAAGTATCGCTCCTGAAGACAGAATATTCATAGATGAATATGAATAACACGCTTAAGTTCACGCGTACATCACGTGTAGTCGTAGGGTTAACCCTTTCCATCATCAATATCCGTGGAAGCTATATCTATAAAAAAAAGGGTAGGTATCAGATAAAAGGTTATACTTATGCTTCTAACCTCACTATAAAGATGCTGTTAGAGAGTATAGCAGCTAGGTAATCTTTAAAGATTCTTTAGGCCGCTAAAGCGAGCTGTTGATATAATAATATCTACTCTTAAAAACATCAAACGTTTCTTAATTTCTATAAATATTTTTATATTTCTCGAATATCGTTGTTATATACCGATAGGTTCGAGTGTCTTTCATCTAGACCTAAAGACTAGAATATCATGAGTTTATTCTTATAATACAAAAGTTGCTGGACTTATTAAAATAGAACATTCGATATTTGAAATACTACCCTTTAAAAGTTAGCTAATCCTAAATTCTTCATAGTGATAAACATCCATACAAGTATCTTTCATAGCTTATGAGCACTTTATAGGTCCATCGTTACAGCATTATACTAAGATGAAACATAGAAGGCTTTTGTAGATTATATCATCAAGTCCTAATCGCCGTACAAAAACACTATTATAGCTATTCAGATCTCACAGAACTACTGTATTCTCGGACAAGGGCCGTTTCGGTCCTTGCTCGGTATGGATAAACATCAAAAGGGCGCTACCCATTCCCCACAGATGAACATGTATTTTGGGGAGAACCATGCAAGACGACTCATTTGACAGATGTATGATCAGACTGTACATTAAGTCAGGCCTGTTACATGCATGCCGTACAATGACAATCATCTCCTTTGCTGTGCTTATGTATCCAGATAAAACGGCACTTTTCAGGGTATCTTATGTTTAAGCGATTCACCGTGTGGCGGGAGGGGGCTGAGTGATTGTAAACCTGCTTTCCACACCGCGCGCCTGACCTATTCACCTAAATTCTAGGCCTTTAGAACGAAAAGGCAAAGCGGAATTGCATGGCGGATTTGTTAATACCCCAAAAGACTGATCTCCATACTTTCGGTTGAAGCGAAAACATACAATTCAACCGAAAGTGGCGGCACACTAGCTTCGGCCAAGCAAGAAAGCTTAAAGGTGAACTTTCGTTCGTTACGTAAGATTTTGATCAATTTATGCACAAAGACTTGCTATTCCAAAATGAAAAGCCGACTGGGGAAAAATAAGAAAGTACTGGGACGGGTCGGGTGACAGTTTTCGATTTTAGGTACTTTACACTAAAACGGCCAAGGAACTAAAGTATACTAAACACATGCCGTAAAAGCGGGACCCCCTGGTAGAGAAAGGATGCTAATGCATGTGCAAGGCATTTGTCTATGGTACGCTAGTAGCAAGCCACAAAATATTCAGACTCAAATTCTACCGTTGGGAGAAAGTAAGAAAAGTGAAACACAGTTATAGTGCCGAATCGGGTTATAGAATCGTATAGTAGTAAAGGATCTAGATCGTATAGAACATCATTTATAGAATTCTCACTGTGCATACCTGCATATTAGTCCTCAAATGGCATAATGTCATCTTCGGTTACCATTCGGTTACCATCGGATTGTTGTCGGCATACAATTGCGTTCATTTGACCTCTATGAATTCCTCCGAAAGCAAGAATTTGCTTCTATTCGGTTTTTGTCTGTCATGATGCTTGTCAATCGAAGGCAGGTACGTCAACCAAAACAAAGGATGTTCCTGCACTTGCCTTCACCTCCGCAATGTTTCTAAAACGGAAACTTTACTGACTGACTGTTCTTTTGCAATGAGGAAAGATTGGGGCTAGATGTAGCGGGGTGCATATCCCCCATACAAGCAGGTAAACCTTGACTCTTTACAGCCACACACAGTACCATCAGCCGACCATTGACCGTGTCTGTATAGTATTGACCGTGTAAAGTGATCTTATGCCTTTTGATAATCTCACCGAGAAGCCCTTCTCCATCATTGCGGGGAAGAAAGAAAAAGATTTATAAGGAGGCCACTTCCTCCTCCTCTCCAACATTTCATTCGTCACACATCCTCCTTCTCCTACATCATCATCATCATGGCTCATCTCGACAACGCAGAAGAAGTCGCTCGTATCGATTCAAAGGCAGCCGCCAAGATTGCCTCCAACGTTCAAGATTATAATGAACTCGTTCATGATGCTGCTGAAGCAGCACACGAAGAAAAGGCAATGGGAGTTATGGAATCTATTCGTGCATACCCAAAAGCCGTTTTATTCTCAGTCGGTATCTCATTAGCCATTGTTATGGAAGGTTACGATACCATTCTTTTGGGTAACTTTTACGCCCAACCAGCATTCCAAAAGAAATTCGGTGTTTGCGATGCTGAAGGCAAATGTCAAGTCACTGCACCATGGCAAGCAGGATTGAGTAACGGAAGTCAAATTGGTTCACTTCTTGGATTGCAATTGGTCGGTTGGCTAAGTGACAGATTTGGTTACCGTAAAACAATGATGGGTAGTTTAGCACTCATGACAGCTTTCACTTTCTTACCCGTCTTTGCCGAAAATCTCGTAACACTACTCATGGGTCAAATCTTGCAAGGTGTACCATGGGGTATCTATCAAAGTTTGGCCGTCGCTTATGCTGCTGATGTCTGCCCAGTCTCTCTTCGTCCAATTCTTACAACCTATGTTAACTTATGTTGGGTCATGGGACAATTGATCGCCGCTGGTGTTTTACGTGCAACTGTTGAAAGAACCGACAAATGGGCCTACAAGATCCCTTACACTCTTCAATTTATGTGGATCCCTCTTGTTTTGACTGTCGTTTTACTCGCTCCTGAATCACCATGGTATTTGGTTCGTGCCGGTCGTTTGGATGACGCTGAAAAGTCTATTATGAAATTGCAAGGCAAGAACGCATCATCCGAAAGTGCACGCAAAACAGTTGCAATGTTGAAGCACACTGACGAATTGGAAAAGACTGTTTCTGCTGGTGCTTCTTACTGGGATTTATTCAAAGGTACAAATCTACGTCGTACTGAAATCGGTGCAATGGCATGGTTGGTTCAACAATTCTGTGGTTCTCCTTTAATGGGAATGAGTTCTTATTTCCTCATTCAAGCAGGTTTGCCAACAACTCAAGCATTCAACCTAACAATCGGACAATTCTCAATCGGTGCAGTTGGTACAATCTCTTCTTGGTTCATTATGAGATGGATGGGCCGTCGTACAATCTACCTTGTCGGTCAAGTTATCATGATCTTGATCTTACTCGCTGTTGGTGTGATCAACGTTGCAGGCGGTACACCTTGGGCGATCGGTGCGTTACTTCTTTGCTTCACATTCACATACGACTTGACTGTTGGTCCAGCTTGTTACTCTCTCGTTGCCGAAATTCCAAGTACAAGACTTCGTGCAAAGTCCGTCGTCTTCTCGAGAGGAGCCTACAACCTTGCCGGAATTTTGATTAATGTTATCAACCCAAGAATGTTGAACCCCGATGCATGGAATTTGAGCGCAAAGAGTGCATTCGTTTGGATGGGAACTGGCTTGTTCTTCCTTGTTTGGTCTTACTTCAGACTTCCAGAACCAAAAGGACGCACTTACGGAGAACTCGACATCTTATTCGAAGCAAAAGTTTCCGCTCGCAAGTTCAAGAGCACACAAATCGACGAATTCGGTCACTTCAACGTTGCACACCAGTCTGGTGCAGCAGTTGTCTCTGATGACTCTTCTGAAAAGAAGAGCGAAAAGGGTGATGTCGTTAACACTCTCAGCTACACTCATGCTTAAATGATATCATCATTGTATATAATGATTCTAACGAACTGTTTCATAATCACACTTCTTGTCATGTTTTCTTTGTTTCTCTTTTCTATATCAATGTCATGGGCTTTATGAAAATCATTCTATCTAAACCAGCGTGAGTAAAGTGTAAGCAATACTAATCACCGCGCGTTGGCAGTTAAGATCCTTGTTAGCGCGTTCACAGGGCGAAAAGCCGTCGGCTGTACTGATCGAGTGAACTTAAGCGCGGCGCAGTGGCGTTGGCGTAAATGGCGTCCAAAGTGCGTTGTTATGTGTCGGTAGCTGTTCGTATTGAAGAATGCGCGATGCAACCATAAAGATCAACGTTGGACTTTACTGATATAAAAGTGTGGCACAAAATGGAGATCTGATGCTATTTATTCCCCACAAAATGGTCACTTCTTCTTTTCACAAAATCTTACTCTTTGCCTTGATGGCACTCGTAACGATATATCACACAACAAATGCAGCTCCCACAATTGCACTCCGTGACACAATCAGCGGAGGTTTAAATGGAAACGGATGCAGTATGGATAATTACGTTAATGGGAAATTGGTTCCTGCCAGTGGATGTGGTTCGGATGATCAAAATACGTCAATTGATTCATCTATCATTTCAAGTGCTTCGAGTACAACAACTTCTACGATTCCTTCATCTACTTCCATCTATTCTGATAGTAATGATAGCACCACAAGCACAACCAGCGTCAATGGCGCTCACATCAACTCGCCTGGACCAGCTTATATAATCTCTTCTGTCTTTGGTGTTGTTGCAGCTTTTGCAATCTTGGGCTGATATAAATTACCAAACAAATCACACAGAATATAATAGACAAAATGATATTATTGATAGAACTCTATTTTAGTAATGTTAATTGCGTTTGTCTATGAAATCGAAATGCAGTCTATTAATAATACAAAACGAGTAATACTCGTTTAGGAACAGAAGATGATGATCATCATTTTGGATCATCATAGACTGGCTTGGTTTGCGACGCTGGATGGCTTGGCTTCAGAATGAACATCGATGTACATTTGTTCGCCTTCCCAATGGGCGTGAACTTTTGTCAAATCTTTAACGACGTAATCAGCATTGGCTTCCCACAATCTTTCGGATTCGTTGTGAGTGGTACGAAGGCCAATAACTTGAGCACCTGCGCGTTTACCGGCGATGGCACCTGCTGGTGCATCTTCAACGACCAAGCAACGTTTAGCATGTGTTCCGGCCAATTCTGCACCCAAAAGATAAGGTTGAGGGTCTGGCTTGCCTGCTGAGACGTGATCGGCAGCAACGAAAGTTTTTGGTGGGCTTGAAACGGAAGCGTTGTCAAAGACTTCTGCTGCGTAATCAGCTGTTGCACTTGTGACGATTGCCCATGGTTGAGTTTTAACAGAATCAGGTTTGCCTGCTTTGATTTCTTCGATCAAGTTTGATGCACCTGGAATAGCAGTGATTTGTTTATGTTTTTCACCGCTTTGTTTTGCTTCTCTTGCCAATTCGATAATTCGGTTTTCAAAGTTTACTGCTTCTGCTTCGCATTCTTCTTCGGTCAAAGAAGGAACGAATCTACGGAAGTTTTCAACTGCACGATGACCATGGCAATGGTTCACTACGTAATCGTAATCCAAATCGTACTTTTTGCAGAATTCCGACCAAGCTGCCACCAGGGCTGGGGTGGAATCGATCAAAGTACCGTCCATATCAAAAAGGACGGCGTCAACGGGAACGGATGTAACAGACATTTTGTTAAAAGGTGTTGAGGATAATAATTTGCGCCTGGCAAAAAGTTTTGGTTGTTCGAAAATGGGTAAAAGAAGCCTCTAGTGTATGACTTCGCAGGATTTGATGATAGGTGGGAGGAAAGAAATGGATTGGATGCAAAGCAGGATTTATATACCATTTCGCCCTCTCCTCTTCAGAAAGGAGTTTTCCCCCTTTGAACCTCATTCGCCCAAGAAAACGCTGAGCAAGTGAGGATGGCGAAGAGTTGATCCGGGAATGACTGCAGGCAGATTGACAGTGTAATAGCTTATTCCGTATGACACGCAATATGAGAAACGTACCACCCCTATACGATCGCCCTATTCAAGTTTGCAAAACAAGAAACATTGTCGCAGAATCGAAAAATCATCGACCGAGGATACCCGTAGCGTTAATTTGCCCAAAAAGGAGAATTTTAACCTTTAAACGTTTTTAAAGTGGGCCGAGGATGATTAGGAATCAGAGCAAAACAAGAACGCCGTATGTGCATGATCGGCTGCGAAATGACAGCATGAATGATATGAAATGCTTTATGATTTGATTCTATACAGTTTGCAAATGATGGAAGAAAACTTTCCTTGCATATAACGACGAAATAACCTTTTGCGGATGGTAAGCTTAGGGGAGAGGAAGGCGTTACAACGGCCGGGCGCTAGGGAAGTGTATTTTGTTTATAGCGTGTAGCCGAGAATAAAGTTTTTAACTTTAATCAGGCACTTTAACAGTCATCCTCCACAACGCCGGAATAATGATTAATTCGTAAAATTCTGAAAGCCATCCGAATGAAAAAAAAAAAAACTTCCGAGATAGATGATTAGCCACAAAAGAGAAAACGCTAACATAATTGTCCGGCTTCATTCAAACGATCTTGATTGGTGATAAAGAATGAGAACACCCATTGCACGTGCCGTAATGTTCCGTACAATGCATCATTACTCCTCCTTTAGCGTCACAAACTCACGCCATCATTTAAGCTAGATGGACGAAATGAATGTGGTCTGCATTGCAATGAGTGGATAGCGATCAAAGATTGCATGCATGCATTCAGAGCTTAGTAAGGAAAGAAATAGCCTTATGTAAGCTGATAGCCAAGGTGGTTATATAAGCGAATAAAAAAACTCACTTTGGATCGGATGTACCGAGAAGTTTTGACATGGTAAAATTCATGACAAGTGATGGCAACTCGGAATACTGATAGCACATCTCTCTTTTCCCCATCATCACTCACTTTAAAACTGAATATGGGAAAATTGCACAGTGTCATCGAATTCCTTCGGGATACTTTTATTTACGATTCTCCTGGTCGTACTAATGGTGGTTTGCATAAAGTCATTTCTGATCCCAATTCAGGTTTCGGAAGGCCAATTGCTATCACACTTTCACGACAACAAAGAAAATCAACCGTCAAACCAAGATTTTACTTTATGAATGGAGCAGCAAGAATGGGTGGCGTTCACCCTAAATAACATTCAAACACATATAGCTTACACTTGAACATGATGATCCCCTTCACCGTTACCGTTCTTGTCAGGTATCCGCAACCAAAAAGAATCGTCAAGAATTTCAGATGCAGACATTTGCGTCCAGCCTCCAAGACCATTGTTTCCCATGAATCCTAAACTCTGTAAAGTTGATTCCACATCAGGGCCAAAAGAAGGTAACAGGTTCATCAAGTCCGCTTCATTTGTTGGCCAATTTTGCATGCCGCCATTCATCATTCCATTGTTCGCGTTTGCTTGGTTGGTCAAATGCTGAGAGCTTTGTTCGAGTAGATGACCAGTATTCATGCTATTCGGATGTGCTTGCGAAGCATAAAATCCACCCCTTTCAGGCGTCACAGCCCGTGAGGATCTTTGTGGTAATTTGTGCACATCCAAGCCTGGTGCAAAATTTGATGACGCTCCAGCATCTTCTCCGTCGTCCTCCTCGATATCGCCTCTTTCATCTTCCACAGTCTTTCTCTGTCCGGCATATCCTTCACTTGAATTCTGCTGATGATCAAATTTGGCATCAACTCTGTTTGACCCACGTATCTGTCGACTGGCTTTCAAGGTCTTTCTCTCTTCGCGCCTTCGTAACATCGCTCGCAACAAAGAAGCCAATCGAGCAGCAATATGATCAGAAGCGATTGCAACGGATTCCAAAAATGAAATACAAGATTGAACTTCTTTCAATAATCTTTCTGCCACTGTCTCTTCCACAAGTGAAGTCAATTTGATCAAAGAAATCACGCCAAAGCTAAGAATTGTATATTGTGTTTGAGGTGCGAATGCCATCGTATTACCCATTCCATCACGAGCTGCTTTCAATAATCCTTGAGCTGCACGAAGTGCGTGTGTTAAACAAAAGTTCCTTGCGTGCTTCAAATCAGAACGCATTGCACAATACTGTAATCCGAAAGAATTTAAAACCAAAACGGCAAAATTGTACCGTAATGATGCTTGCTTGGTGATGTAGTACAACGTCCTCAAATGAACATCCAATGCATCCGTGTTGACGCTGATACAAGAAGATGGACTGGATTGGTTATTGTGAGTGTTCTCGTTGCTGGCACTTGAACTACCAGCTCTTCGAGTGACGGCTCTTTCAGCTGCATCTTTATCCAATTCGGCCGTCATTGCATAGAAATCACGAGAAAGCCATCTTGAACGCCAATGTTCCAATTCATCGTTCATGATTCGCATCATCGTATCACAATCGAAAAAAGATGATTGTTCTCCTTCAGATGCCATTGCTGTATGCAAAACGTCTGCTTGTCTTGAAGTTGTTTTCAAAAGATCGGCAAAAGCGGAAATTCCTTGATCCCATGCACGCGAAGCAGGCTGTTTTGACCATTGTTCTGAATCTCGTACAAGTTCTGCTTTTTCACTTATACTCCAAGATCGTCCAACAGCAATAGAAAGACTACGATCAACCAAAAATGTCATCAACCAACACCTTTCTCGATTGATTCGCTCGCGATCAGTTTCGATCGAACCTTTCTCCCCTTTCTCCTTTATTTGTGAACGATTTTGAGTTTTGTGCAATTGAAGTTCAGTTGCAATGCGAATTCCTATACCTGCCAATAGCCAAGCACGATCATCTGCAGGATCTGCTGAAGGTGTATTCCATTGATAAAGCAATAAGAATCCTTGAACGATTTCCACAGATTTTGGTCCTGTTGTGATCACTTGACCGATCAACAAATTCATTTCAATTTGCAATTCTGCCCTTAATGATCTACGTTCTTGATGATACGTTGAACCAATTAAGACGACTACAGCGAACAGAAATGGAGAAGCATCTCCAACTCTTGGTATTGTGTGCCATTCAGGATCCAAAATGACCGTATGAAGAACGCAAGAGTTCATACAAAGATGAAACAACTCAACAGCCTCGCTTGCACTAATCTTGCCAGTAGAAACGAATGGTAGTTGTTCTCGATGTGCATCCACGTATGCCAAGTCCAATTCGTGCGCCGCAGAAGGTGTGGTAGGAGCATTGGTCAAAGTGAGCCAATTGGTGATTGCTCCAGGCGAAGGGCCTGCTGTCTTGTTGTTTCCTGCAGGATGGAGATGCCCATTGGGCTGTTCTGAAGGAGGTGCACGATGCTGAGGTGGCAGAAATGAAGGTAATGGTTGAGCAGGTGGATATGCTTGCAAGCCAGCAGTGAATCTTTCGGGTGCCAATTGACCGTCTTCTCCATTGGATACAGTAGCTGCAGCAGCTGCCATTGCAGCAGCAGCATCGATAGGATTTGCATCTTTATCAAATGCATTCCTTAGCAAACCTTCCATTTCTTCTAATCGATCTGTCAATTGTTGTATTTGCATATCCTTCTTTTTCGTCCAAGGTCTTCTGGGTGCACGTTCTTGTACCATACATTCACGACCTGTCCTTCTACATCGTTCACAAGGTCCATCAACAGTAGGTCCGGAACATTTCATTTTTAGACGTTGACAGTATGTGCATGCTCTGCTATTCCTTTTGAACTTTTCTGTGTTGGACTTCTTCTTTGCAGCTGAGCCATTTGTGGAAGATGTTACTGAAGAAGTTTCTTCAACAGGTTGTCGAAAAGCTGACATTGGTGTCATCTTTCGTTTTGCTGATGGGTTTGGAGTGGAAGTGTCGTTTGAGAGTGTTTTCCCTTTCCGCGAAGAGGTGGTGAGGTTCTTTTTGGGTTTAGTAGGTATTGATGGACCACCTTTGCGTTTCTTTGTTGAATCTGAAGTACCATTTGTAGTTATTTGAGAATGGCTACTACTGCTAGCAACGCTTGTATTGAATGGCGAAAACATATTTGCTGCTGAATGAGGTGGGAAGCCATTGACTAAATGAGCATTCATTTTGTTGTTGTGTGATGGTGTTGAAATGATTCCGATCTTGATGGGCCATGCATACATGCAGGTTCATCAACCAAACCCACTTAAAATTAACAGTGGAGTTTTGTGTTGCCGGGCACACACTGTAAAAAGAAGTTTAATTTAAGGGATGCAACCGACAATCAAATCGGAAAGAAAAGCAGCGAATGACCACTTCTGTTCCCATAGCGGGGCTGCTGTTGTGGGGAAAGAGAAAGAAAAAAGTCAATTAGTGTTATTTTCTTTTGTCTCGACGTGTCAATGCTGATAGGCTGCCGTTGAGAACGATTATTGAATTTAGCGTGTGACCGTTTTCATTCAATTAAATGTCCGCTTCGTGGGTATAACCGGTTAACAAGGCATAAGAGCAGCTGAAGAGGAGAAGATATGAATATAATATGATCGATCTCATCAAAAGCAAGAGAATACAACAACCATCACGTGGCAATCTATTCTATTCTACTTCACACGCGTTCATGGTTGATTATGTAATTGCTCATCTTCATCACTTTCGTCGAAGATGTCATGATTATTGATGTGCAACATTTTACTGTAGCTTCCCGTGGGTAGGGTAGATATTAGCATTGGATTTATACTAATCTGCATCTGTACATCTTGATTTAAGTATTTCTTTGAAACGGAATTATTTTTCTGCATAAAATAATTATTTAATGTTCTACATTGTCCTCTTATATCTACTTTCATTTTTATAAGAGCAGATTCGACCTGGTATTCAGGCTTACGGGTCTCCCCGTGTTCTTTCATTGCATACTCACCATACTTCGACACCGCAAATAACAGCCAGAATGATGATTTGATGAAAATGATAAATATTTAAATGAATGAATCCGTGAATTGTATGATCGAGTGACTAAACGTACAGTGAAGCGTATGAATCACAGATTCCCGCCTCACCATAGCTCAAAGCAGCACCATATACACTCTTTTGCAGGTACAAGTCTATCGGAGGTTGAATTGATGCCGTATTTGTAGAAATCGTTTATTCCCACGTGAAGATGAGATGATGTTCGGGTTTGGCATTTGGATTACTAAGCAAATCATACAACGCGTCTGGCTGAATTTGCTGCATTAGGCATTACAACTGTACAAATCTGAGTATGCAAGTGAAACAACGCGTTTAAGCGTGTCAGGCGTGTCAATTGACATATGTAAGTTGCCTAATGCGGGTAAAATAAGGCAATTAAAGCTGTCATTTTCGGTTTCAGATTTGCTTGTACTTTATAGCCACACATATATGTCAAGACAAGACGGAAGAAGATACGGTCATGTAACCCAAAACAAGAACAGAAAAGGGAAGCAAATGTTTCAGCCTCAACAATCACAAAAAGGAAAACATGCAACATGTGACACCAATACATCTTGATGCCAAGACATTTCGATGTATATCCATCAACAGTTTAAATATCAGGCAATTGCTACCATCATGCTCTTAGATGCCCACTTTTTGATCATTCCAAATGTCACCTAATAGACGTCCCTCTCGTTCAATCTCTGACGTGACAAAATTCGATTGTCAATGTGGACATGATGATTGCGAAATCATTCTAAGCAGAAAGGTAAAAGCATTAGCCAGAAGAAAGGAGAGCTTATTACCATCTCTACAAGAAGATGGTTTAACACGAAAAAGCATCTCCAAATCTCCTTTACCAGCTTTGTTTCGCAAATTGTCTCTAGTTCCGGACAATGAGGTCAATCAAGCTAAACAATACGGTAAAGTGAAAAAGATCTTCTTCTCTCCACATCCCGACGACGTAGCATATAGCTGCTTTGGACTGGCCAGTGGAAAAGAGCTCAAGTCAACTTTTTCAGGAAGCAGTCGTCAAAGCAGTAATTCCTCAAACACGTACAGCAGCGCAGGAAGCTTTGCAACTGATTCAACTCTCGACAGTAACGACATTGAACAAAGCACTCTATTCTCTGCATTAGATGAAAAGACTGCACCCATTCAAGCTTCACCGCCGTTCAATCCAGATACGTGGATCGTAACAATCTTTAGCAAAAGTCGTTGTGCAAATGGATCCATCGGACAATCTTTGGGTCACTGCGTTAATGCAACCACGATTCGTCGTCAAAGAGAAGATGAAGAATTCGCTCAATCAATAGGTGCAAAATTGATCTCATTGGGTTTACGTGACACGAGCGCAAGGGATGAAGGTAGCCGACATCCAGAGCTACTAGCAAACACCAGGAATTCATTATCCAGCCTTACCGTCAATCATCCTAAATTTGAAATGATGAGAGAGCGTGTTAGACCGTTTGTGGAATGGGCAATCGAATGTAAAGCAGATATTCACATTCCCGTCGCAGTAGGATGTCATATCGATCATTGGATGGTACGTGTTGCCATTTTATCCATTCTTTATCAAATCGAACAACAGAAGAGATGGGTGGAATGGTCAGGAACACATTTTGAACGTACGATCGATCGAAATGAAGCGGATGCTGAAGTACAAAAGCAAGATCTCCTAAGAAGATTTTCTATATCTCACCGACCCCAACCTGCCCAACTTACCCGGTTTGGCTCTCAATTAATCTTTTATGAAGATTTACCGTATGCATTCCTTGGCACGGATGATCTAGTCCAAAGGACGGTAACACAATTCTTACCTAGTCAAGTTCGAACTGCGCTCATTCCGATGACTGAAGCGGATTGGAAACGTAAAAAGGCTGCAGTTGAAGGATATGCCTCGCAAATGAAACCGACATTATTGAGCATGTTGCACGATCATGCTATGCTTTTAGCTAAACGGGCATCAGCATTAGATCCATCATGGGAGAACGAAAGGTCGTCTGAATGGACAAAAGCTGAACGATGTTGGATCTTAGACGATGTATGCGGTCTTACAGGCACACTTTTGACCTCTGTCGCTTCCAAAACGGTTGAAGAGGAAACGCATAGTAAACCTATTCACAATGATTATCAATCGGCAAACAAAGTGGTTGATCAATCACCTATTGCAAAGATTAAATTTTTATCACCATTTGATACCACCGCCGCCGCTCATAGTACAAAATCCAGAAGGAACGATTTACACATCTTATCGCCATCTTCTAGAACGATTGGATTGGATCAAATCTCCGATGATTCTGGCTCTTTTTCACTTTCACCAACGCAAAATATCATTAGACCTATTAAAGCTCTTCAACGGGTAGCCACTTGTCCTGCCCCGGAATCGTTCCCGATCTCTAATTACAGACGTTAAGGGGTATATATATATAGATGATGTATTATAAATAGCAATTTGAACCCTAATTCACACCCAGAATCGCATGTGGCGGCATGAGAATGATTTCCTCTTTAAAAGCTTATCTTGCCCTCTCTCAGTCAGTCGCCTTACCGTGTATTGATAAAAACGCCACAACGTCTGGCGCGGGATTGTCTTTACGTGTGCGGGGCCTTTTTCCTTTAGTGAGCCGAATAGGAAAAGTCCTGATTTCAATGGCAAAGTTTGATTCTGGGTATATTTCCAACGTGTGAATGAATGCATTTGAACTGTAGATGAGGTGAAAAGGGCGGATAGGTAGTTAGAGAGGGCATGTGGGTTTTGCTGAACTTTGCTCTGATTATGAAATGTCCGCCTCACTTCTCGGGAAGGAGGGGGGATGCGGTCCAGCATTGATCCGATCTGAACAGCCTCAAGGACTATCGGCTGCGAGACTTTTTCCGCAAATAATTAGCGTAGGCAATGATTGTTTGTAGATTCAAAAAAGTCGATGTCAAATCCCAGCCACAATTCGGTGGTCAGATCACGAGCGGGACAAATGAGAGGTAAATTCTCTTTGATTACTAAATGATGTGGATATTAATGACAAAATTCATCGTTTTGATCACCATCATCATATGATTAGCATCTTTCTCTTCCTTTTGATTCTCATGGCCAAGAATAAATGATTGGAATTGGGCTCAGTATGCAGGGTGGACGGGAATTATTCCATGGCCAAAGAAGTTTACCACAATATGATGAAGATCAATTGACAAGCTCAATTTCATCTTATCAGCAACAATCACTCTCAAACTTGCAACAACACATTCCCACACAAGATTTTCAACTTCTTCCTCCGCTATCCAATCATTCTTACGAACAACAATTTCAAGATGTACAACGACAACAAACGGCTGTTTCGGATGATTTTCAATCTTACAGACAAGCATATCAAGCTCATGAAACAATTTCTTCCGCTTCTTCCTCTTCGGCTTCTTCTTCGATGGATTTTCGTCAAGTTTCGCAATTTCCACGATCAAGAGTGATTTCAACAACTTCAAGTGATGGACCTATGTGGAGACAAGGATGGAAAGATACAGATTGGCCAAATTCACCAACGACTAGTACAATCAATTCAATCCCATCCAATCAATTCTCCAATAATCCCCAATCACGATCCAATACGATGCCAATGCAAAGCGCATCTTTATCTTTCTTGTATCCAGGTCATCCAATCGCTGCTGAAACATCGATCAATCAAATGAGACACGATCATCGAAGAACGGTTTCCGACCTTTCACGCGGAACACATACGACTGCCGTTCCAGGTGCATCTGCTGGAAGGCCAAATTTGACCAGATCACGTTCACATAGAAGTGAATTAGATAGAGAAGAAGCAAATCGACAAAAGAGTAAACGACATTATGATCGTAAAAAAGATCAAAGGTCTGCTTTGGCAAACCTTTCAACGCAACTCGTTCATGTTTCCGAAAGAATGAAAGAGATTGATCCTTCAGCAAGTCAATCTCGCGTATTTCAAGAAATTTTACAAGCTTTAGGACTTCGATTACCTTTACCTGAAGGATTATCAGAAAATAAATCCGGCGGCGGCGGCGGAAAAGAAGAGAAAGGAATCAAAAGAGCAAACGAACGTAAACGGCTGAACAAATTAATGCAAAGACATTTAGAAATGCAAAGGATGCAACAATTATCCAATGTCGCACGAGTGATAATGAAAGATCGAGAATCAGGAGATGAACCGGACAAAAGGGCAATCGAAGCCATTATTGGAGCATGGCAAATGTGTAGATCGGATTGGAGTCATTTAGTGTTGGCAGAAGAGAGGTTATCGATTGAAGTTGGAAGATGGGTAGGAAGAGTAGTGAGAGCGTTACAATGATAGACTGCATGTATTCGCACAGAAAAACGCGTTTTAAGCGTATACGCGTTATCTTTTTCAACTTTGGCCTCAAACTAACACCATCTTCCAGGTTATAAAAATGATGAGGGAATTATGTTGAGTGTTGAGTGAGTTTGCACAATCAACATGATCAAAATGACAAGCAAGAATAGTGGAAGGTATGCTGTGTCAATGTCTGGCAATCGAAGTTCATCGCCAGAAAATATCATTTGGTGTGAATCAGCCGTATCATATGGGAGCATTCTAGCAGCTGTTACTTCGGAAGGCGCACCATGTGCTATCCTCCTTCATCCTTCCGATACCAAAAGTGAGAATGCACTCTTGACGGATCTTAAGAGACGCTTTTCAGGCATTGCAATAAACAAAGAGGAGACAACAACGTCACCAGCAGCAAAGGTGATGTTGACAAGATTGGTTGATTTCGTCAAATCTCACAACTCCGTTACTGATGCATCACAATTTGAAAAAGAAGCCAAAGATCTTCAAAATCAATCAATCCTTTTTGGCACAACTTTTCAACATTCAGTTTGGAAAGGAATGACTCAAGTTCCAATCGGAAGTGTATGTACATATTCACAATTGGCACAAAAAGCAGGTCAGAGCAGTAAAGCAACCCGAGCTGTTGCTCAAGCCTGTGGAGCGAATCCATTAACGTTTCTTTTCCCTTGTCATCGCATTGTTGCCCAAGGTGGTGGTCTAGGTGGATATCATTGGGGCACAACGACCAAAAAAGCAATCCTGGAAGATGAAAGAAAGATTACAAGTGAAAAATCATCCATTCGTCCAGGCAAGAGGATGAAATTGTTACATACATGAAGACACTCAATCATTCAAGCATACGATGTTCTCAAATAAACATTATTATTATATATGCAGTTACAAAAACATGATTACAATCACAACAACCAATCCCATGCTCGTCCAATGAATCCTTTTGGACCAGGCGAATTAGCATCAGCTTCTTCATCAAGCAAATCCAACGCTCGCCTTCCCGTAACAAAGTCCATATCCTGGAAACTGATGAATGAACTCTTTGTCCAGAATTTATAGCCAAAGTAGACGATAAAGAATAAAGGAATACTGATGTACGTTGTAACGAATGTTGATGCGCTCCATTGACCTTTGATGAAAACGGTAAAAGCGGCAAATAAGGTAATAATGCAAAACATAATAAACGTAAAGTGAGATAGATAAGGTTGAAGAGGTGCTTTGTAAGGCAGTGTATCCCGAGAGATACCTTGAGCACGTAATCCGTAATGGAATCGAATATAAGTCAACATGATAACAGCCCAAACGATCAAGATACTGACTGCAGAAATTGCATACAAATATCCGAATGCCTTGTTTGCACCTACGGCTCCGCACACCATGTATGCCAAAGGAGCATATAGGGCGGTAACAGCAGTTGCATAAATTGGAACACCTGATTTCGTGCACTTTCTGAGAATGCGAGGTGCTTGTCCTTCTAATGCTAGTCCAAATAGAGTTCTTGAAGATGCGTACAAGTCCGATTGGCCAGCACTCCATGTGACTGTCAAAAGAACAGCGTTGATGAAATCAGGCAAAACTTTGATACCAGCATTTTGAATTGCAATAACATAAGGAGAAGCGCTTGCATTACTGGTACTTGCATTGAGTAATTGATCATTATTGTAAGGAACGACCAAGCCAACCATCAAAACGGCCAAAACGTAAAAGATGATGATTCGTAATGCAATACGTTTGATAGCTTTTGGAACATTTTTACGTGGATTTTCAACTTCTCCGACGGTCACACCAACGATTTCCGTTCCTGCGAATGCGAAAGAAGCGTTGACCAAGACGTTCCAGAAAGCCAAGAAACGACCCCAACTTCCTGAAATTCCTCCAATTGGTTCTCCTGTTGGACCTGGTTCCCAGAACAATTGTGCCATCGGTCCAGGATTACGCCAGTATTTTCCACCAATATATTCACCAGAAGGAGTTCCTCCAACATCAATGATGAGCATAACGATGATCAACATAATGATCACAATCACCTTTAGACTTGCAAGCCAAAATTCAAATTCACCATAAACGCGAACGGGAGCGAAATTGACAGCTACACAAATGACCAAAAAGATTGAAACCCAAGCGGCGGGATTGATTGTTTGATTTGGATCCCAAAAGCTAATCACCAAAGCAGCAGCAGAAATTTCAGTTGGGATGGTGATTCCATAAGAAAACCAATAACTCCAAGCTAAAGCAGAACCCATTGCAGGTTCAACGAAACGAGAAGCATGATGCACGAAACCACCTGGAACGGGTAAAAATGCTGCCATTTCACCCAAAGCGATCATTAATGACCAAACGAAGAAACCGATGATACTATAGCCCAAAAGAGTGCTCAAAGGACCTGATCCACGCAAAGATTGACCTAAACCGATGAATAAACCTGTTCCGATTGTTCCGCCCAATGCGATCATGGCAATATGGCGTTGTTTCAGATCACGTTTAACTGCACCATCTCGTCCTGTTTCAGAACCCAAACCCATACGTTGTAAGATGGCTTCATTATCTTCATCATTGCCTGAAGCACTACCACCTTTTTCACCTTTTTCGGCCGATGATACTTCTTCTGGATCTTCTTGGTATTTTGAAACATCTTTGTGTTCTACCATCGTAGAGAATAAACGAGCATGTTGTAGGTCTTCAGCCATCTTGGCGATGATGATGATGGAGGGAGGGAGGCAATGAGAAAGTGGGACGTATTTGATTAACCTTTCTTATCTCTTATGACCCGCTTTTAATTCCGTCGCCGCAAGAAAGTGCAGTTTAATGTGTATTGGCTTGCATTGCCCTTCACCCCGAACATGTGGTGCAAATTTTTCCACCGCCCTTCTTGCAGCAGCAGCCCCACTCTGAGAACAAAAGATAAGAGACTAAACAGGAACAAGATCCTAAGTGAGAGTTCGAAACAACTTGCATTTGGCCTAGATCTTCTAGGTATTTGGTTTATGCCACTGCCGCATGACTTCATCAACCAAAAGAAAAAAGGAGGCAAAGTGCTGCAATTCTTCTTCCGTTCTCTTTGCTTATGCACGCTAAAATCAAACTTTGATTCGGATTGACTCGGCTAATTTGACTGCAGCAAAATTGTGTGGCGCGAATTGAACAGCAAAAGATCTAGAATACAACCAGTCATACGCCTGCCGACGCGGCTATAAGCAGTTATAACCCGAGAATTAACCGCCGGCGTGATCGCGCGACAAGTTGTATCTTTAAAAAGGTGCGGGAAGTTCACCGAAAAGACACGTCTTTTTGTGCCTGCATATTCTGACAAATTTTTATGGAAAATGAAAAAGCTTAACTCCGTCCGACAACCATATTGACATCCAACATCGATCATATCAGCCCTGCATTCATGTGTGGGTAAAGCAAGATGGGCTCCTACAAACAGGGTAGTCAACATGCTGGCCCTTCACATACGACAAATAATGGTGGACATGGGCATATCGCAAGTGGGTCCAGCACATCTTCTAAAAATAAAATGAGTCTGGATATCACACTTTCAGATGTCGATATCATGCTTCATCCAACTTCAAATGATGCAGAAGAAGCAACTTTCGGTCAAACTGCTGGAACGAATAAAACAGTCGTAGTTCATATCAAACTCAATATTCCACCAAATGTAGATCCACCAGATCGAATTGATAATATGATCGTCGAATTACGATCTGACGAAGTTTTAGGATTTTCAAATGGCGTATATGAACGAAATTCACCAGATCAGCTTATCGTCAATGTTGATTCAGCAAAACATCTCTCCGTTCAAAAAGGCAATATATACCAATGGGACATTCCACTTCACATCAATCACAATGTGGCACCGTATGAGCGTAGCGTTTATGGAAAATTATTTCACAAAGTTGTCGTCACCCTTACTTGGGCAGGATGGAGTGCATTTTGGAAAGGCGGAAGAACTTTATGCTCAGAACAAATGGTCTTTATCGCCGTTGCACCTCGCGATCATCACGCTCTCAATTATGCAAGAACACTTAATGGCCATATACGTGATTTTGGTCCTGTTCTCTTTCATGTTCGTACAAGACAGGTTTCTGTGGGTGGATACCTTCGAGTGGCTCTGTCCCTGCCTAGAGCAGCCAAAGGTGCAAAGTTACACGCTTTACATGCTACAATGATTCAACATACCACCTTGCACAGCAGACAACAATCTACACTTGTAGAAGCTTGCACACCGGAAAGATTTGCATTTTGGAAATGTTCAGAGGATGAATTGAACGAATCGATTCAACGAACCGAAGCAGAAGATCACACGAGCATGGAAGGATATTGGATCATTCGTATTCCACACGATAGTCAAATTCGACCTTCAACTGTTGCAGGAAGTTTGGCAGCTATTAAGCATTCTCACAGTTTAGAATTGAAATTAGTCTTTTATCGTGATGGCGAATTGATGGCTTATACAACACGTTGGCCAATCAAAATTGTAGGATGTTGTATTTTACGACAATCTGTCAAATTACCGTCTTATAGTGAAAGTGATCCATCACCTGTACCCGAATGGTCAAGAGATGCTTGGGATTCGGAAAAGTATCCAAACATTCACACTTCTCAAACCGTTTGTGCTTGTGGTCAAGATTTGGATAAATTGTTAGCATGGGAACGTGAAGGTGATGCAGAACAAAATGCAAGTTCAATTGAGCTATTACGAGAAGCAATCAGGAATGCATCTTTGGATGCTATAAATCAGGGCAGCAATGGTAGTCATCCTGGCACGCCAACTTCAAACGGAAGATCATTCAGTGCATCCCGTTCACGTTCACGTAATCGAAGTGCAGCAACAAGTCGTAGTGTGAGTAGAAGAGCAAGTTTTGATGTTACATATATAGAAGAAGAGTTTAATGAAGGGGATGAAGAGCGTTTGGGAGATGAAAGAACATCTTCGGATTTGGAATGGGATGAAGTGGAAGAGGTTGTTCGAAGGGCAGAGGAAGAAGAACAACAAAAAGTGGCTCAATTGTATTGCCCGCCGCCGATTAAGTCGAAATCATGAGAGGATGGAATGTTATGTAGAGTAGTGTATTGTAATCAGATCTTGTACTATGTGATAGTCCTTGTACATTACGGCGTTCAATCTTACGCTAAATGGAAAGCTGTGTGGTTTAGTGCGTGAAAGTGATGATCTGTGCGGTGTTTGGTGGGCGTTGATACGCTAAGTTAGCGTATACCATCAACAACACTCTTGACATACTCAAACCTATTGTCACAGACGTATTCATATTTGATTGGAAACGATGATCAATCTACCTTTCTCTCCTTTCCACCATAACAATCGACAAAATGTTTCATGAAAAAAGCTCTCACGACGCACCACCTCCATCTTACAATCAAATCAATCACGATAACTCCCTTCGATTCCTTTATCTGGATAAAGGAATTTTTCAACCTTTTCAACCTTGGTCCGATTTAGCACATTTATATTGGACAACGAACGATCATGATATAGCTTATGACGTTTCCACCGATCCATTGCAAAGTATGTTTCAATCCAAATTTGCAATTTATCGTGGAAATGCTGGCAGCAGTGTGAGTGCATACATTCTTACATTTGTCGATGATCGAGTGCTAATAGCTATTATGACAGGCACCGGCTTTTACTTACAATCAAAGCAGGGCCACATTGCGAGATGAAAATGCCGGTAATGTGAGTTTATGAAATAAGGATATGCGAGCGAGACTTTCCACTAATCGAATTGTGCCCATTGCAGAAAATGAAATGTGACTACAAACGTGTCAAGGACAACAAAAGCACAACATTGGAGTTCAAGTACAATAAACACAACTTAAAGTGGACGTCTAGTCAACCGCTGGTATGTTTTACTCCGATTGAATAAATTTGCAAAGACCTTACCTTTTCCTTTTTCTGTCAGAGCTCAATGTATGGTAATACGTTCGATACAGCAACATACGTCTGCTATGATCCATGTGGAACGCAGTAAGTGCAAGTATTGGTTGGTTTGATGAAGGCTCCTCTGACCTTCTTTGCAATACACAGACTTGCTACATTCGCCTTCCTTTCTCCCGACGGCCAATTGGATACCCGAATGCGCATCACGCAAGCAGGCTCCCAAGTGCTTCCGATGGAGATCGCTTTAGCGACCTTTTCGATGTAGGTACCAATCTGAATAAGGGAAAGATGCTCGATAATCTGACCTCATCCTCCCCTTTTACCAGATTATTCATCGAGCAATGGGGTGACTTAAGAAGAGAAGTAGACGAAAATCCAATCGCTGCACGAATTGAAAGTTTGAGAAACGTCCAATCGAATTTTTCGGAAGGACGTTTGACAACTGTGAGTACAATATGCGCTGCTATCACTCAAGGAAGTATTTCTAATCCTTTTTACCTGAAACAGTATGCTCTAACCAGTTTTGAGTATATCGAGGAACTGATTGGTGATATACAAATAGAAGCTGATCGTCGTGATGCGGAAGAAGCTGAAAGACTAGCAAACCGAAAGAGTAGCCGTCCGAATGACAGTTCTGGCGTTATGTCGATGAATGCAGCTATGGGAGCATCCATATGTTAATGATGTATTTACCTTGTGGAAAAGGTTGCCGATGAGTGTCATTGATTGTTCTTATCTTTCCCACATGCAATCATCATTTGCAATTGCTTTTGTTTGTTTGCTTTTTACACATGTGTTCCTATGTTTTAAAAAGCGCACGCTAAAATCTAAGACTTACTAATTAAGTTTAGGCGTTTAAATTGGATTTTGACAGGCGGGAAGCCTTGTTTGGAAGAATTGCGGGAATAGTGTGCGGCACACATGCATGCAGATTGTCGTTCAACGAACTGGCCGTTGTCTTTCGAAGAATAGCCGGTTGCCTTTGTTTGCACAAAAACGCATGGTTGTGCAGCTGATCAACGCTAAAGTACACATGTTCATGCATCGGTCTGAACTTAATGGTACTTTCATTAGAGGAAAAAGCGGCTTTTTACCCGCAAGACTGCATTTGTACTTGATTGTACCGACGGAAAAGCCAAGAAGATATTCCTTTAGTTGCAATCCATTTCGAAATACGACAGGAAAAGAAGTTTCCCCACTTTATATGACATGACAATCGACAATATGCACTTATCTTATCGTGTGAGGATGCGAACTATATAAAATGAGGCCTTTCTAGTAATTTATTGATCATTCCCCATCCCCTCCTCATCCTATATTCTCCCTTTCAAAATGGTGAAAATCCAATCATGGTCAAGGCTCACTGCCATGCTAATGATTAGCCTAAGTGCTACTTTGCTTTTAACCAGTCTACCTTCTTTTGGTATGCCATTATCTACTTATACCCATGAAGTCCATGAAAAGCGCTCTGTCATTCCTTCAGGATGGAAGCAAGGTAATCGTTTATCGGAACATATTATTCTTCCCGTGAGAATTGCTTTAACGCAAAGCAATATGGATAAAATGAACGAATACGTCATGCAAGTCTCTGATCCTGATTCAAAATTATACGGTCAACATTGGACTCCCGAACAAGTTCGTTCTACCTTTTCTCCTTCTGAAGAAACACGTAATTCAGTATCCGAATGGCTTGTTGCTTCTGGAATTTCATCTCATCGATTACATCATGATGTCGGATCAGGAGGTTGGATTGCCTTTGATGCAACAGTTGCAGAAGCAGAAAAGTTGTTCAACACTGAATACTTTAGCTGGTCTCATGATCGTGCTTTGAGTAAAGATCCAATCGCTGCCGTTGCTCAATCATATTCTCTGCCTGCCCATATTCGTCAACATATTGACTTTGTAACACCAACTTTACATTTCGACGCACGTTTACATCGTCGTGACAATGACGTCGAAGATGATGATGCAGATGAATTATTGGAGGCAAAGAAGAAGCGTGATACAATTGCACGCACAAGGATTGACCTTGGTTCGCCTAACGGTCCTTCCGTTCCTAAAAAGTTGGACGTTTATAATCCTGCCAACATTCTCAACGAATTGGAACAATGTGATCAATATATCACTTTGATCTGTTTGCGTGCTTTATACGGCGTTCCTGCTTTACCAAGCTTCACACCTACAAACCCAAAGAATAGCTTCGGAATCGTTGAATACACTCCACAAGCCTATCTCGGCAGCGATTTGGATCTCTTCTTTGCCAATTACTCAAAAGACCAAAAGCAAAAAAGACCTAATTTGATCTCTATCGATGGAGGTGCATTGAATAATTCAAATAGAGGTTTCTCATACAACGGTGAATCTAACTTGGATTTGGAATACGGAATGTCCCTCGTTAATCCGATCCCGGTGACTCTTTACCAAGTAGGTGATGCAATCGAATCCGCTTCTTTCAATGACTTTTTGGATGCTTTAGATGCAAGTTATTGCGGCGGTGACGATTCAAGTCAAGACTCTCCCTACCCTGATCCTCACCCAGGAGGTTACAAAGGGCCAAAAGCATGCGGAACTGCTCCAACGAGTAAGGTCATTTCTACTAGTTACGGATACAACGAAGCCGACTTAACACCAGCTTATGAAATCAGACAATGCAACGAATATGCAAAACTTGGCCTCCTCGGAACTACATGGGTCTACAGCAGTGGAGATTACGGCGTAGCAGGCAATTCAGGACAATGTATCGATCCAGCAACTAATCAATATAACAATGGAACGTCTGGAAAGTTCAACCCTTCATTCCCTGGCACGTGTCCTTACATTTTAAGCGTTGGAGCAACTGAAGTCTTACCGGGAAAGACTGTACTACAACCTGAATCTGCTTGTGAGAAAGTTATTTACTCTGGAGGTGGTTTCTCAAACGTTTTCCAACAACCAGATTATCAAAAGAATGCCGTTCAAACTTATTTCAAGAATTATAAGCCCACATATACAGCAATGCAGTACAACAACTCCGAAACAACAAGAGGATACCCGGATGTCTCGGCAAATGGTGCCAATTACATCGTTACTGTAGCCGGCAATGTGTCCCGTGTATATGGAACATCTGCTTCTGCACCCGTGACGGCCTCTATCTTGACATTGATCAACGAAGCACGTTTGGATGCCGGAAAAGGATCATTAGGATTCGTTAATCCGACATTTTATGCTAACCCTTATCTCTTTAATGATATCACCAATGGAACCAATCCTGGTTGTGGCACACAAGGATTCTCAGCCGTCAAAGGCTGGGATCCAGTAACAGGCTTGGGTACTCCAAACTACCCTAAATTGCTGGCCTACTTTTTGGCCCACTGAACAATCTCAAAATGGAATCGCATAAATAGCTTTTATGAATGGAATGCAATGACACTGTCATGAGGACTGAGTTTGAACAGATAATAGCATGAGGTTATAAATTGTAAGAAATGTCTGAGATGATCGTGATGGCCACTGAAAAGTATAGTCGAATCTCTGACAATATATGACAAAGTTGCATTTCATTAAAACAGTCTAGGCAACATCATTGACTTTGAGGAATGAAACCGATTTGTGGCTAAATGAAAAGAGAAAAAGGTCAGGACAGAGTCTCTCAAGAAGTGCTCTTCGGTTAAACACACTCACCTTTTCACCACGTGAGAATACAATAGTAACGTTTCGCAAGAAGGAATCTCCGAAAATTACAGAGTTGATTCCAACATCCGATCCAATGATGCTTAAAACTGGTTTACCATCATTTGTTTGACCGAAAGACAAAGTTTCAGGCGATAAATCTTGAGTGAATGTACCAAATTGTAAAGCAATCTTTGGTGGATTAGATGCATCATAAGTAGCATACGTACTACCATCTTGTTGAAATGTTTGCAAATTCAATGATGTAAATAACGTTTGTGCAAAAGAAGTTGGAGCGACAATCAAAGTTGTACCTGTATCTTGAATACTGTTTGTTTGGTTTCCATTCACTGAACCTTGCGTTCCCCAGAAACCTTGAGAGCTATCTACATCCACATATACTGGCTCAGCTAAACCGGAAGGAATGCCGCCCAAGAACAAAGAGGGTTGATTCTGACGCAAAGTGAACGTGAAGACGGGTTGCTGTAAAACGTTTGCTTTCATTAAAACGTCAAAGAATGGATCTTGTTTCAATTGTGCCAATGCAGGGAAAGCTTAAGAAAAGGGATGGTTAGCGTCTGCTTCTTTTATGGAATTATAATAGATATACGCACCCATTCCAGCAATTCCGCTATCTTGTTCTTGAGAATTCAAGAATTTATTGTTCGCCAAACCGATTGCAGCGCCATTGGCTTTCAAACCTCCGATCTCAAGTGAATCGAGGTAGATCTTTTAGGTAGAATTAGAGGAAATGTCAAAATCTAAACTCTTGCAACATAGTCCGGCTTACTCACCTGTCCTTTTGCCGTTGTACCATCACCGTAGCCTGTTTGGAAAGTTTTTCCCGTCTTTGTGGCTTGAGCACTTGGTGTGTATGATCCTTGGTTCAAGATGATCTGTTTGAATAAAAGTTATAAGATAAATTCACGGCGTGCTCTTCCCGCGTTACTCACATCACTGCTACCGGTATCAAAGTCAACTTGAATCGTTTGACCGCCCAAAGTGATCGGACCATGCCATAATTCTTCCGATTCGTCAACCAAGGGAACATTTCCTGTTCCACCATTGGCTGAGCTGCCTGTACCGGATGGCTTGCTAGTTGTAGTACCTTTCTTTCCGCCGCGCAGAGAGCTCAAGATTCGATTCAAAAATGATTGTTTTGCGTTAGGTGTATTTTTATACCAAGGATGTTGTTGACCAGACACTTCTTTAAAAGTGGCTAGATTGCCCTGGTATTTAGTACGCAAACGACCTAAATGTGCATTCACACGACCAAAATCGATCTCTTGTGAATTTGGCTTAAGGAGTAAGTTGTGCTTACGGGATAAAGAAATGCTAGTCATCGTGTAAAAGGTGGGGTATCGTGAAGAGATTTTAGACAGATTAAGTCGTTCTCCCGACTTTTATAGACATCCATTTTACTCTCTATCCTCCACGACGGACTGGAAAAGGTTCTCTACTTCCCTTGTGCATCGTTGACGGGATGCGTGCATTCATTGCAGCTCAGATATGTTCCTCTTAGCGTAAACTTTATATTCAGGGGCTGTGTAAGCTCATCGTTGATGAGAACAATGTGCCTTCCCGTACGTTGAAGAGTGAAAGCTTATCGGTAGAAGTACGCTAACGGTTTCTATAGAATCAAAATGAGTATGCAAGTCAGCACAGACGTTTCCCCGCCGCCGGTTGCAGGTGAAACCCCTAAACAAACGTACGGGTGTTTTAGTAGAATGGTGCAGTATAATTGCCCTGTGATGGCTGGCTTAACGTTAGATATCGGGTTGGCGTTGTCAACGAAGGTGCCTATTTCTGTTGATAGCTGGGAATTGATTAATCTGACTTCAATTGATTAATCTGACTTTCCCAAGCCTATTTCATTATCCGGCACTCAATGAGTCAGCTGCTAACAGCTGAAGCCAAGCTTTGCATTGGCTTGCCTATACTACGTTTATACGGACAGGCTTGGCTTCACTTGTTAGCAGCTGACTCATTGAGTGCCGGATACAGCTATTCTGATCGATATCAGAACTTATGAGCATAGAATCAAGAGAGTAGAACAAAAATCACTGAAGGGGTAAGAACAACATCTTAAAATTGCGCAGACCTTTCGTCAGTCAATCCTTATCCTCTCACAACGTCAATCAGTCATCATAATAATTCAAACCAGGTCAATCTGTACCTTGAACATGTGTAACAGGGGTATAAATCGGTACTATCATCAGCTCTTGCTCGATTTTCAAGCTGTCAATGTATGAACTTCAACATTGGCTCCATTTTCGACTTTTTTCTTCTCATCATCTTCTTCGGTACTATCGATTTGCTTTTTATTTTCGATATCGTCACCATCCACTAAACCGAATTGATCCACTTTGGTACGTTTGAATTTACGAGTTGGAACTTTGTTTTCGAATAACACATCCAACTCTGAAAGAGATCTGTCTTTTGTTTCTGGTAATCTGAACCAAGCCCACAAGATCATGACTGCATCTGTGCCCATCCATACAAAAGCAGCTTTACCTCCCATATTCCAATCACCAGGATTGAGCATCTTTGGTCCCAAAGAATTCAAAGCGATAGCCGAAAGATTGTATGTTAAACGACTAAAAGCGTTTGACTTCGCACGAAGACGAGTACTAGGCACCTCACCTACTAGACAGTAACAGACTGGGCCTACTGAAGCATCGTAGAGACAGGCTATTTGATTTTATAGCGAAGATAAAAGATTCAGGGTTAGTACTGCATCAAGAAGGTGATTCCACGGTAATGTATGATCTCGACTCACTTAAGCATAACAATAAGCCACCAATGATATAACCACTTCCGCCTGCACAAGCGACGATTGCGATTGCCAATAAATCCAAAAACATCAGAGTTTCACCAATAATGTAAAGTTGACGTCTACCAAGATATTGCATCGTAAACCATGAAGAAATTGTTCCGATCGCTCCTATACCAGAATTACCGATATTCAAATCGAAAGCTTTTTCAGTTGGAACGCCTGCTTGGATCAAGAAATAGGTACTCCAGCCCATCAAATTTGAGCCACACCACTATTTTTTGGGGAGAAATGAAGAAGTTAAGTCAGTTTAGTCATTTCTAGATGCATAAAATGGTTTTAAAGCACTTACTTGCTGAGCGCTCCAGGCCATGACACTAATCTCAGTTCTGCGAAGCGCAGTACCACGGAAGAGATCCAGATATGAAGCTCCCTCTGTTGCTGCTATCTCAAGTTCATTGGTATGTTTCATCATGGCAACGGTCCTTCGCGCATCTTCGGCTGTGCCGTCTTTAGACTGAAGACGCGCAACAACTTCTTCCGCCTCCTTGATCTGACCTTTGCGAACAAGATAGTACGGTGATTCAGGTGCAAAATAAACGACAAGGAAAATCGGAAGGATCCACATCCATTGTAGAGCATAGGGTAGTCGCCAAGCCCAGTGGTCTGTCTTATTTACGCAAGCTCGCAACACGCCTGCCGCGATCAATTGACCGAATACCCAGCATAAGTTGACATAAGTAGTTAGAAGGTATCGTAAAGTGACTGGACACACATCTGCTGCATATGCGATTGCCAGGGATTGATAGATGCCCCACGGAATACCTTGCAACAGTTGTCCAAACAACAAGGTAACTTTGTTCTGGGCAAAGAAAGGAAGGAAGATGAATGATGCCATGAAAAACAAGCTACCCATCATCGTTTTACGATAACCAATATTGTCCGATAACCAACCGACACAAAGCAAACCTGTGATTGATCCAATCTGTGTGCCGTTTGCAAGGCCGGTTTGCCAAGCAGAAGTTAATTGACAAGAGCCATCTTCCTTGCATGTTCCAAACTTCTTTTGGAAAGCTGGTTGCGCGTAGAAGTTACCGAGTAACATAGTATCGTAACCTTCCATAACAATGGCTAACGAAATCCCGACGGAAAAAAATACTGCCATTGGATAAGTGCGAATCGCTTCAATAACTCCCATCCTTTTTTCACGTTTGGTGGCATGTGAAGCATCCTGCACCAAACCTTTGTAGTCACCTACAGCCGATGCGATTTTGGCCGCAGCCTTTTCGTCGATACGAACGAAATTTTCAGAAGAGGAATCAGACATGATGTGTGATAAGAGGGATTGAATGGTTGGGGGGGGGGGTTTGATTGAGAAAGGAAAATAAAGTTGCGCATTTTAAGTATTTTGAAATTGTATTGCTGGCTTCGATTCTCTTCAGCCCTTCTCATTTCTTAAAATCACCCCACACTTTTACGGCCTCCGTGATTGTCACAAGAATGCCGATGAAATGAAGACAAGGCACAAAAGAAGATTTCGTGTGTATGTGCCTGTGATCATATCACTTCATTTATGGTTACGGCTCCGTTCACATTCCGCGGAAAGGGGGCTAGACGGAAGAGTTTATAATTCATGCTTTCAGAGCACCTTTGATGCTTTTGAAGCGGGCCGTCAACGATGGAACGAAGTGAACCGAAATGAGACCGGTGACATTCAACTATTCGATTCTTTACTAGACCGGTCATTAAAAAGTCATGCTGGCTGACTCTTTGCAAAAGCTGAGGAAAAAAATGAAATTGAAAAATGAAATGAATGCTAAAAGTGTGATATTATGAAATGGAAAAAAGACGTTGAAATTAAGCGCTGAGCAAGCCCAATTCTGTAGCATGACGACGCAAGAATGCGGCACCGTGTTCTGCTTCTTCAGCCGACAAGTCACGTTCGACCATACGGCGGTAAACTGCACCAAGGTCTTTGATGGCAAGTTGAGTAGAACGACGGCAGTAGTTTTGAGCTTGGTTACCGTTACCGCCAATTCCACCTGTAATGATATCTTGACGACGGCATTGCAATACTGCACCACCGTTTCCATGAGTGACTGATTGAGAGTTATCATGGTTTGAGTTATCAACGTTTGTGTTATGATCGTTACTGCGACGGGTTAAAGCGTCAAATGCTTCAAATCCTGCATCCAAATCACGAGCTTCCAAGTGTTCTTCCATAATTTCTGATCTACGGCAAGAGTTTTGAGCTTGGTTACCGCTGCCACCAATTCCGCCAGTGATAATACTGCGAGAGTGCATACCACAAGACATGAATGCGCCTTGGTTGATATCTGTTTCAGAGTGAGAGTTATCCCAGTTTGAGTTGTTGACGTTTGAGTTGTGATCGTTACTTGCGGCAACAAAGCCAACGACGAAAGGAGCCAAGAAGACCAAGGATTTGATTGGAACCATTTTGAATAAAAAAGATTGAGTTTTGTAAAAAAGAGAAAAGATTAAAGTTTGAGTTTTGAAAGCAAATCTAGAGCGGCCGGCGCTGAAGAGTTATTGATAGAAGTAGTAAAAAGAGAGAAGAGTTGATGAGGAAAAGTGGATGGATAGGTGGTTGAGAGAGGGGGTTTATATATGTTTCAGAGAGACAAATTGAGATATTAACAAAGACAGCAAACAATGCTAATGATTCCCGCAAGAAGATGTTCTATACAGAGTCGGTGCAACGAGAACGCCATCAATCGGCGTACAAGAGTGACTAAAGCATAGTGAACTGTATGCACGCCCAGACTAAACCTCAAAGCAGGCGTTATGATTGTGTGCCTTGCGAATGAATCGACTTTAGCTTCACTCAATCTTGCGCCAAAGCAATGGATCATTCTGCATTGCACTGCAGGTAAACGCCATAACGCCGCGTAGGAAAAGGCGCAATTTCCTATCGGGTGGCGTAGAGCCGCTAATGATGCTCTTGTCTTCTGATGGCGTGGGCGTGGAGTAAAGAAGTTTGTGTTATGTGTTGGGCTGCCCAGCAAGTGTGTATTCTTACTAATCAAAGTGCTAAGCTGAACAGCTCATGACAACGATTTCTGTTCTCTGTAGGATCAAACACACTCAATGCAGGTACAGGTGGCTACACTGAAAAAAAAATCTCTTCTTTCACCGCAAAGCAATGGTGCGACTCGGGCATGATGGAATTGAGTGTTTACTCCTTTTTCAGATGGTTACTAGGGAGTTAGAAGGGCAGAATGGAAGCTTGTATCTTCTCTTAAAAGCAATCGATCTGATGAGTTTGCATGTTTTCAATCACTCTTAGCTAACGAAGAAGAATTAAGGAACGACAGTGTATTACGCGCATAAGAAATCAATACAAAGAGACAAAGTACGAAAAAAGAACATTCACTGACCGTGCTCCTTCTTGTAATCAGCTTTAGAAATGTATGAAACAGTTGGTGCTTGTGGTGCAATAGGAGTGTTGATGCAACGCTTTTCTGGCTTAGTGGCAGAAGGTGTGTTGATAGAACGTGCTGCATTGTAAGAACCAGTTGGAGAGCGTTTTTGTGCGAAACCTGGAGTTGGCTCGGTAGGTAAGCCACGGGTGACATAAGTAACTTGAGCGCCAACAGGTCCAACAGGCACACCAGAGCAAACTTCTTCACGAGCAGCGAATGGGCTTGCATGTGGCAAGAATGAACGGGCAACATGATAATCCACCACATCATCAACATCGCCAAAAGAAAAGCTTCTAGCTCCAATAATAGTCACTGAGCCACCATTTGGACCGTAAATTGGAGATTGAGTTTGTGTGCAAGACATTTGAGCGGATGGGTTGCCATCACGTTTACTTTTACCGTTGTTGCCGTACAAACAGTGATTTTGTACATTATTACCATCACCGCTAACATTACCTTGAATTGAATCACGACGACCCATTCCAAAGTTCACAACTCTTCCAACGTTGTTACCTTGACCGGTATTGGTGTTTGCACCTGTGTTTGTTTCATATGTTTTTACACCAGGAGCAGCACTTACGTCAAGGTCACCATTGCTACGGCGATCGTTCAAGTTTGCAGCTCCGATCACTTTTGGTGTGGGATGAGGGCCGTACAAAGGGGTACCTTCTTGATCGCATTTGAATTGAGCATTGTTCGCACGTCCAACGTTACCATTTCCAAAGTTGCAATAATTACCGATGTTATTGCCTTGACCGGTCACATCTGCTCTTTCTTGTAACTGACTGTCTTCATCCATACCACGTGTCAAGGCTTCAATTGCATCAGATCGACGTAAAAATTGTTCAACGTGACTACGCTTTGTCATATCGTAAGTCACTTCAACGTCACGAGCATAATGTTCTGCGTCAATGCAGCTCAAATGAACTTTGTCACTTTCATAAGAACATTTTGTTGAAGAAGGTGCTGCGAGAGTACTTGCTGCTGCCAAGGTAAGGGCGATTGAAACAGTGTTGATAAGACGCATTTCGAAAAGGGGACAAAAGAGTGTTGAGTGTAAAAAAGCGTACTGTATTCCTACCAGAGGAAATTAGAGAAATAGAAGAAGAAGAGAAAAATGAATCCTACCAGAGGATAGTAGATGCTGACCACAAAATATAATGATGAGGAGAAAAGGAAGCTCATAAAATCATTGCCCAGTAAATATACTCTATTTATACGCTCAACGTCAGGCACGAAAAATCTTTTAGATCGCTAATGTCTTTTCCTCTAGAGAGACCGATCACGATTTCTCCACAACGTATGTGCCTGATCATCTTTGCAAAGACATTCGCAGGAACAACGGTTACTTTCCTTTCGGCGTCAACGCCAACTTTTTCGGCTGGGGATGGGCGTTTGAATCTTGCAGATCTTTTACGCCCGTGTTTATGCTGCAGTGCTTTGCATGCACTTTTAGCGTCTTGCTAGCGCGGCGCGGGCGGCAATGTTCCCGCGTATAACACCGAAGCGGGCGGGACTACTTGTCCTTGATGTGAATGGAATGATACAGCAATATTACGTTGCTGTAGAATGGGAGTGTGATTCTGGACTAATCGGTTCAGGGTCGCATGCACACGATCAGTTGGGAAAAGAATCAGTTCATTGTTGTAAAGGGGAATTGCTGGCATCAGCACATTGTACTTTACATGTTCTACATAATGCAAGAGTGCGGCAAGGTACCCGCACTGTGGCACGTGGATGGCGCGTTTTTATTCAACAGTCCTAACGGCTCTCTCTCTTGTCATCTTGCATATCATAAGGCGTTCACCAAACGCCAAAGTGAAGCTGCGCCAATCTCCGTCAACGCCCTCGTTCCGTTGTTGATGTGAATTTGTATTTTTCCTCTCCGTTATATCGGTTCCGTGAATGTGTTCCAAATCATATAAAGAGGTAATGACTGTCATCCAACCTTGAACAATTTTCTCTTTATCTCTTTTTGGATCACCAATTTCTGTTCCTTTTCTTAAACTTCTTTTCGACAGCTGGTCTGTCTTCTAATTCTTTTTTTCTTCAGAATCAATCTCTCATACAACAACTCCTCAACATGAAGCTTCAAACAACTCTCGTCGCTTTGGCCATCACAGCCGCAACCATCAACGCTGCTCCAGTTGAATTGGAAGAACGTGGTAGATTCAGCGGAATTACCAAAATTTTCAACGGTGGTGGCAGCAAGCCAGCAACTGGAGCAGATGCCCCAGCTCCGGCATACAACAAAGATTCAGCTGGAACCTTGAACGCTGGAATGGGTTTAGCAACCCAAGCAGGTTTATTGGGCGTAAATGGAATGAATACCCAAGCAACCGAGAATAAGAATAACGATCCTGCCGCTCAAAAACGTGTCGTAAGACCTGCAGCACCTGGAAGATCAAATTCTTCTCCAGCTGCCATTACGAATGACAAGAATCCTCCTACTGCTCAACCCGGAAAGACTGGAAGCGCTGGTGGCACTACTAAACCCGCTGATCCAGCAAAGAAACCCGATTCAGCCACTTCATCTGATTATATGAACACAGCTGCCAATTCTTTGGGAATGGCCAATTTGGGTATGGGTCTTTATAATGCCGATCAAGCTTTGCAAGCAACTCAAAAACGTGCTTTACCTGCTGCAGCGGATTTGGGCTTGATGATGATGGGAGGAGGTCCATCAGTTGGCGTTACAAAGTCCAATTATCAAGAAGCAGGTAATGGTAACGTGAAAGCATCAGGAGCAAGTTCAGGTCGTCGTAGTTTGGTGGCCGATGAACTTTTGGGTTCGGATGGTTTTGAAAAGCGTGCTTTGCCTGCCGCTGCCGGTTGGGGTTTAGCTTTGATGGGCGGAGGTCCTTCGGTTGGTGTTACAAAGTCTAACAGTCAATCTGCCGGAAATGGAAACGTTCACTTGTCAGGATCCAAATCTAGACGTCAATTGCAAGATGAAAGCTCAGAATTGCAAAGACGCTTGATCAGCTTCAGTCATACTGATTCTAACCAACAAAGTGCAGGTAATGGAAATGTTGTCGCTTCAGGTGCTTCTTCAGGAGGTGTTCCAAGTAATGCTGACAATCTAATGGCATCCTTGCAAGCAGGAGCTGCGCAAAAACAAAAGCAAAAGCGTGACGAAGAGATGGTAAGGCGATTGTTCAGCGTCAGCAAACAAGATTACAACCATCAATATGCAGGTAATGGAAATGTTGTTGCTTCAGGTGCTTCTTCTGGAGGTGTTCCAAGTAATGCTGACATATTGACTGCAAGCATGCAAGCTGGTGGTCAAAAAGGCGGCAAGCGTGCGCTTTTGCGTCGTCTTGTTAGTGTGAACACTTCTGATCGAAACCAACAAGTTGCTGGTAACGGTAATATGCACATGTCAGGTGCTAAATCAGGAGCCAGTCCACAATTTTTGGCTTCTTTGAACCCTGGTACTGCTGGTGCCGCTTAGTTGGGTTGATTAGTTGTATAGTCATAGTCGCTGGTCGGCTTTGGCGAGATTTGATTCTTTTTTTTTTCTTCACTTTTTTCAATTCATTCTTTTTTACTTTTCATCAAAAGATGATTGTCCTGTTTCAGTATCGGGTATCGGGATTGAATCATTCTGTTCCTGAGGCCAACGCTTTTTGCCGGTAAATCTCGTTAGCGGAACACGTCTAGGGATTAATGCAGATTTACTCCACAACCGACAATTTCATTTCCGAGTGCCTTTTTTTTTGTCAGCAACACTTTGATTAAAAGTGTGCAACCGATCAACTTATACTGATGTAAAGCCTGTCTCTCCCTCACTCCCGATAACCGATTTGATCGTCATTTGAATCATTGTTCCTTTTATAAACATCATCATTGCCTTGCAAACCTAGCGAGCAGGACTAAGCGATGTCTCAACTAAATCTGAACGAAAGATATTGTCAATAAAGTATAAATAGCAAGCCATACTCACATAACGAAACCTCGAACGACAACAATGATGAACGACACTGCATTTTCAACTCTAGGCCATTGGGTCAACGACTTCATTGCAAAATACCCATACGTGGCAATCATTTTAACATCTCCAATCATCTTTGCAATCACCTATAGCCTTCTTCATCCACACCTTGTTCCTGGAAAGCCAAATGCGATCTTATTCTTATTCTCCGATTCTCCATATCCGCAACCTCGAGCTTCAACACTTTCATTCACAAGTCATATTCGTGCTCGAATAGATTGGACCATCCATGCATTCAAACGTGGAACGACACCTTGGGGATTGAGCAAACAAATTCGATATGATCATCAAATCGATTGGGCAAATGGCGAAAGACCAAAAAATGGTGATTTGATTTATGCTTGGGATCGTGTATTTGAATGGAATGAAGATTGTATTGATATGGCAGCTTTGGAAGCTATGCGAAATTTAGGCGATCCAATCTCCGAAAACGTTTTGGACACTTTATCAAATCAACCAAAAGAGCAAGCCAAATCGCACGATACCATGGAACGAGTTGCCACGCACATCTTACACAATCAAACGGAAGAGGAGGATAACGTTTCACAATTCTGGAAAGCTGTCTCGCGTCGTCCGCCAGTAGGATGTGGAGCTTTGAGCTTGCAATGGTACCTTAAGAATGATTTGCTGACTCAAGAAGAGGTCAATCGAATGGGCTATGGCAAAGCAGACATCAGGCTCACCGACGAGCCAAGCTGGACGCCTAAAACGGATGAAATGATTGAATCACGATGGTCAAAAGAGCAAATCCAGACGATCCGGCAAGAAGAAGCAAACGTTCTACAACGTGCACGAACTGCATTTCACAGATACGGTCCCAATATGAGTGTTGGTCTTTTGCTTGTTGGATTAGCAGGCGGTTTTGCAAGTCCACGAATCGTTGATGTGCTGAAATCGACGGGGTATCTAGTCGCCCCTCGTAAGAAGCGTAAAGTGGAAGACAAAGAAGAAGATGCTCTACTTCAACGTCTGCACGAATACGTTGAAAAGGGAAGGAACGACATCCAGGATCGATTGGCAAAAACCCAAAAGACAAACATCACCTCACAGGTCCTGGGCAAATTAGACGTACCAAGTCCTGCCACTTCGGATAGAACCTACAGACGTTTGCTGGAAACGATGACGTTCTTGCTTGATTTGAATGAAACGCCCGAGTCACTCGTTCCGCCGTCGCCACACATTAGTAGCAAGGACAAAGAGATTATGTCCGCTCAAGATTTGCTCAACACGGGCGGAAAGGGTTGGCTGGCTTGTTGTCGAGTTCGTTTTCTACACACAAGTGTTCGTAAGAGATTGCATGGCAGTACGGGTGAAGATGGTACATACTCCTCAGCCAAATCCGGATTGGCGATCAATCAAGAAGACTTGTTGGCAACCCTTTGTGCTTTCAGTGTTGCACCTCTATGGGCATTACAACGTCTTGGTTTGACACCCACGCAACAAGAAAGACAGGATATATGCGCTTTTTGGCGACATGTTGGTTTCTATATGGGCATCGAGCCACGACTTTTGCGACGTCATTTCCGTGATGTACATTCGGCAGAACGTACATTCTCCTGCATCTCCTCACATCACTTTCTCCCATTTGCAGGATTGACAGACAGTTCCTCTACTCCACCGCCAAGCATCCCAAGCGCTTTTGGACCTTCATTGATGCATGACGCCAACAAAGAAGTTCAAATGAGTTCAGAATTACTGCAAAGTATGGCAGATCTTGCCTCGCGGTTCGATTTCGATCAAGGTCCTGCATTACCACTTTTATGGTCAGTTGCTAATCGACCTCCCGGTAAGATGACTTTTGCAACATTGTGTGCGATTGCACGTTTCTTGCTGGGTCCCGGTCTAGCAAATGCAACTTCTTTGCCTAGAACAACCACGATGCAATATCTCACCATGCGATTCAGATTGTTTGTCCTTGCATATCCTGTTGTCTTTGGTACATATTATGCACGCCGATCGTGGAGCGTTGAATTACGCACAATGTGGGTTGAATTGATTCGAAGGGTAGTTGTTTGGTGCAGCCAAGGCAAACGTACTTCCTTTGCAACGTCTCGTGATGGTACACATGATGATACCTACTCCCCTTATGTCCTGGACCCAAATGCGGGAAAGCGAATCATGAAGAATTACTGGAGAATCATGAGTGAAATGATTTTTGTTTCTATGGTAGCAGGTTTGATTGTTGTAGGCGTTTTTGCATATGCCCTTCATCTTTCCATCTTTCTCGTTCGATCACATGGACAGGAAGCACTTCATCTTCTTACCTCCCATTCTCACCAATTTGTACAACACTACGCACCTGCGCTTTTTGCGCATCTTAGCTGATGAACAGAAATGGATATGTATCTGCTCATGCCTGTCTGCCATCCTCCTCTTCCTTGTACTGACTCGTGGTAAGCTCCTCCATCGGCTCTGAGATCCAGTCAATGAAACTCTTGTGCTGTGGGTCTTTGAGGGGTTCAGGATCGGAATCAATATCCCTTTGCTTCCCATCATTGAGGATCGATCTTGTATCGTGAATCGTGCTCCATTCAATTGCCAACACTGCAAAGAAGTCTACAGGGGAAGAAAGAGTGGTGTCAGTGGTCGGGCCCCTTCAGAGAGGCCACAAAGTACGCTTACACTCGATGAATGCTTGGGTTAATCCCAGGTAAAGCACGATGAAATAAACTTGCCCAAATCTGATACACATAACCACTGTACAGAGAGCGAGAGATATTGACACCAACGTTGATGGCAAGAACGTCATTGTCATTGCTTGAATGACAAATTTCATCCGAGCATTCTTAGTGCCGGCTCCGGTCAACCCTTTTGTTCTTTTGTACAAAGTGAATGCTTTCCACAGCATGATGACTGTGCAGTAGAAATTTGAAATAGCATGCAAACACTGTGAAGAGGATGAAGGATTGTCAAAAATAAGGCCCACATTGTATGCCGATATGCTCACCTGCTCTATAGCGTATGCAACAAAGATTCCGAGGTTGTATTGAGTTTCTCGTTCGGCATACCATGCTATCATGATGCAAGCGTCTACGAAACGAGCAATAGAAAGGAGCAGCAGCGGCGATAAAATCAAAAGGGTGAATCGTCTTGAGTATAAGCTCAAAGGGAAGAAACTTCTCATTTTTGCTGCCAAACAAAGATCGAGTGTAAGGCAAGAGAGATAGGAAAAAAATTGCGAACCAATGACGTATGACCGAAGCGAATTGCTTGAGAAAACATTTCGACCGTACAGGATCATAACACACATGATCATCACAAAGATGAACAAGAGCGTTCCGAGTACAAAAGCCACGATGAGAAAGCGAAAAATAGTTGACTGACGCTGCTGCTGAGAGGCGGCAAGCATCATGCCTATGAACAGCGGAACAAGAATACCGTACATGGCAACAGAGAAGGCGGCAGTATTGAAGATGATGTAGAGTTGGTCCAACACCAGCTCCCTTACAGCTTGAGCATATGGACTATTTGCTCCAGATAGTTGGATTGGAATGCTTTCAAACATGATTGCTATAGTCGTGGTCGGAGTGGAAAAGAGAAATGGAGGTGACTTTGTCTGAAGTCCTTTACATTTCATGCGGCGCCGGCCTCGGTAGTCCGCGTGTGCGACCCTCAAATGCATGTACACTCTCTTCTATCATCCAAACATCACATGTATCTCATTCAGATCTCCATCTTACATCTTTTGTTCTCCTGTCAAAGTGAACAAATTCTGCCTCTCATCTTCTTCTGTATTTTGAAATACACGACCTTTACGACCAACGATTTCACCATTTGACATATCAGCAAGTATTCTCAATGTATGATCATCCGCATGATTTGCAATAAATCGATGTCCATTTCCCGTCAATCTTGCGATCACATGACCACGTTTTGGCGTTCCTTTTCTGGAATAGTCAATCGTATATGCTTCAATCGTTGCTTCTCCTGCTGGTGCGATATTGTCAAAGTCACTCTTTTTGAGCTCTTCACAATGCTCCGGTAAGGCATGTCGAGAAGGGTATTGCTCTTTGCGTGGTTCGTGGGATAGAATGACAACATGTTGGTACGACAGCACTCCTCCATTTGCCAGCACCAGTCCATTCTTTTTGTTGGAATCTTTGTTGCGTAGTTGTCTTGACATCTCGGTGATTGCATGCATTGAGTAGTTGTTACCTGCTCCCCCGAAAGAAGTTAGGCCGCCCAGCAATGTGATCGGTTTCGGTGGATTGGAAGTGGGTATGCTCAAATGATGAGCTGCCAATTTGGGCACGATGGGGAAACACGAGTAAAAATCGTACAGATCAATCTCATCTTTGCTCAATTTGGCCACTTTTAATGCTGCATCGATCGATTGCTTGATCGCTGGACTATGATCGTATGAGGATCTCAAGTAAAATTCTTCGCTCTCTGCAATGCCTGCACCCCCCTTGACATAGATCCATTTCGATTGTGGAATTCCGAGTTGTTTGGCATAAGATGTTGAAGTGATGAAACATGCTCCTGCAATATTGACCTGGTTGAATGCACACATGAGTTTAGTGTATGGCAAGCAAATCGGCCTGTTACTCTTTGTTATTGTTCCGATTGTTTCCTTGGAATCCGCATGTCCATAATGCCACGAATTAGGATTCTTTGCTGAGACCTGTGAGAATTCTGCATACATTTGTGCTGATTCCTCATGATTATCAGCGAATGACTGGCCTAGCTTTGCACGGAATGCGTTCTCATATAATGCATATACTTGGATCGGCGCTCCTAGACCATGTATTCCCTCCACTGTATCGCCAGAAGGAGGTCGTAATCCTTCTGCTGCAAATGCTTCAAAGTCAACCGGTGTCCAACCTGGAGGTGGTAATTGACCTGCTTTCATGTATCCAGCCAAAGAATCCAATGCTTCTCCTCCGGTCAGTAAAGCAACTTTTGTTTTTCCATGTGCGATCCTTTGACAAGCTTCATCGAGTAATTTAGCAGGTTGATTACCTCCATGTGGACTGACGTATTTGTAACATCCTTTTTGTTCAATTTCAAGCTTTTCTGCTAGAGTTGTGGCTAAGTCAGGATAAGGCCATGACCATGGTTTAACGACAGAGATGCTATCGATATTCTTTTGGAATTCTTTTGTTTTTTCTGATTGTGATAATCCTGTATCCTCTAAAGCAGATTGAATGACTTGTAATATCAACGATAAAGGTTCATCAGCTCCATCTTCTCGTACTTCCTTTTTCGTATTTTTCAAATCTGCCACACCTACGATGATAGGGTGATCTATTGAATCAGTCATTTTGTAGGAATGACGGTGAGTGTGAATAGTGAAAGACAAGACAAAAAAGCTCGGAATTCAAACTCGGGTTGAATTTCTTTACTTGCATTTCCCCCGCATTTTTAGCTCGCAAAGAGAAAAGAAGCAGACACTTTCAAATAAACGGAATTCGGACAAGGAACGCGAGTTGCTTAGTAAGCACGTTCACCACCACCACCACCGCCGCACTACCGGATGACCATGCCACTATTTTAAGGTCCCCAACGCTAATTACGGCAGCTCAATAATCTAGACACCTCTCTCGGAGTTCCCTTACACTTCACGGCACTGAGTCATTTCATCATAATCATAAAGTATATACATGAATAAAAGTATGTCTTTGTCGTCATTCAAGCATTAAGATCTCCCTTCTCTTCAAGATCTTCTTTGGTGATATCGACGAGTAACTTTTCATCTTTTTCATCTTTGGGTTCATCCTCTGTATCCATTTGATGATCAATCTTGGTTTGGAAATAATCTGCACCCCATTTCTCTTCGTACGTCCAAATAGCACGTACACCAGATCCAAACGTTTGACCATTCTTTTTGGCATGATAACCTGCAGAAAAGAGCATAACAGGAATAATGGTAAAGAATGAAAGTAAAATACCAAAATTCAAAGTTATCGGGAAAGGGAAGACTTCTGCACCTTCTTGAGAACGAACAAAGAACGGAATATTGAACCATGAAGGCAAGAAGCCCCAAATGATAAACAAAGTTACACTTTGCGTCACAATCATGGTTTTCATCGTTGCAGTAAACGTTGGCAGATCACTTTCTTTGATTTTTTGTGGTAAACGCAATGCAATGGCATCCATCAAAATTGGCGTACGACCAACATCGTCATAATGATGATCGGGATGCTTGGATGCTTTGCAATGTTTTGCTACTTCCCTTGATTCTAGAATGGCTTCCTTCTTTTGTTCATCAGTAACTTGTGTAAGACCAGCCTTTGAAACATCGAATCGATATGCCAAATTCATCAAAAAAGCAGGATATGCCATGAATACAGGCCAAACGGCGGTGTAAAGCAGACACGCTGTTTGTGACATGACCATATCGACGTTGATGTCTTTCTCGCTACCTTTTGAATTGGAGAAAGAGTCGGAAGACACATAAGTCAAGTACAAATATGTTCCACAAAATGCGATGGCAAAAACAGCCAAGAAAAGTGCAATTGCGGCCATGAGACCCAGAACAATGAATTTGACGTGAGATCGTAAAGAAACAGTCGGTTGGACTGCCATTGGTGTCATGAGTGCTGGCATGGTCAACGTTGTGCTTGCGATAGCCATCACCACGACGATCAAGATGGAACCGGAAGAATTTGCAAAATAACAAGCAACGAAGATAGGCACAAAAAAGCTAAAGAGAATGATAAACAATGCGAAAGTTTGTGACGGTTTTGTAGTATTGCGAGTGATAGAAACGAATGTAGCCTTCATTTTTTTCTCTTTCGTCTCTTTATCGGCTATTGGTTCCAATGCCCGTTCTACACGTTGAACGGGAAGCAGTAAAGGGCCAAAGATTTTGAAAGAAGAAAGGGAAAGAATGATAGCCACAACAGCGAATGGACTGCAACGACGAATTGCTGAAAAGATTGGCCAACTGGCTTCATTTTTGATGGGAATGAAAGCGATCAATTGTAGTACGCTCGGTGAGAAACAATAAAAGCTTGCCATGATAATTTCCCATACTTTTCTTTTTCTTTGTCCTGTGAATCCTTTCTTGGGAGGTTCTTGAGAATCATAAACTTGCAAAGCACGCCAAGCTGATAAACTTTTACGAGCAGCGATTGGCATGTACACTGTCAAAGCAAAGCTGAATATAAAAGGCAAAGCTTGAAGGAACCTTTGTTCTTCCTCGCTAACAAAGGATTCCCTTAAAAGATGTGTTTCTGTCATTTTGTCATTAATCTGATGGTGGTGAGTATGGCTAACACAATCAATGATTCAATGCGCGCAATACCATCTGTATTTTCTCCGAACTGTTCCTCGCACCATTGATTTGGTTGAACAATAGGATGAAGAGTGGATGATGAGGCACTTTGGCTGTATAGCACAGCATCCCTTATAGAGTGTGAATTGCGGATAACGGTTCTTAGCGCGAGACCAAAGCACAACGATCAGGAATACCGACGGCAATAGGTCTGTTTGGTGTTTTAAATGAAGTCATTTCCTCAATTCCACATGGTAAATTACAATCCTTAGCGCCACAGAATCCCCCGGCTTGGAACTTAATAAAAGGCTTACACTACTCTTCCTCTTCTAGTGTGCAGGTCATGATTTATCTTGCTTTCCTCTGGCTAACCAAATTCCTGGATCAAAGGAGCCGTTGTCGTTCAATCACATGGAATCCGGTCCTCTTAGCAAATCGTAAAGCACGTGAAATACAAAAGTAAAATTTGAAAGATGATATAGAATTGAATAAATGCTGATCGACTTCAACAACTCGACTTCTCGTTGTTGAAAGTCCACGTCGCGGCTTCAATCAAATGTAATATGGTACGATAGCATTCAGCAATACAAGCATGCAAACGATCCCGATAGGTATAGTCTTGGCTGAGATTTTAAATTACGCCGGATTCTTTGATCACAACAGCTTCCAAAGGTCTATCCTCACCACCTTTCGGTACATTTTCGATGTACTGCACCACATTCATACCTTCGATCACCTTTCCAAAAACTGTGTAGAGACAGGAAGAAGGGAAGGGTCAACATTCTGATGCGTCATCTCTGCCTTGCTCGTACTACTTACCGACATGCTTGCCGTCTAGCCAATCTGTGGTAGTGGTGCACTTTTTAGAAAAGGTGAAATGATTAGTCTCCCTACGCTCGCATGCATGATACGGCCCAACTCACAATGAAGAATTGACTTCCATTCGTGTTCGGTCCTGCATTTGCCATTGATAAGATACCCGCACCGGTATGACGAAGTGTAAAGTTTTCATCGGGAAATGTTTCACCATAAATGCTCTTTCCGCCTGTTCCATCTCCGTTTGTGAAATCACCTCCTTGAATCATGAAATCGTCAATAACACGATGGAACGTGCTTTGTTTATATCCGAAACCTTTTTCTCCCGTTGCTAATTCTTTGAAATTTTGTGTTGTCTTTGGTACAATTTCTCCATACAATCCTACCACGATTCTACCTATGTCTTTATTGCCATGTTGCATATCAAAGTATACTTTATCAGTGATTTGTGCAGTTTCATTGGCCGATGGCTGAAACTTGAATGGTGCTGCGACCGAGTGTAAAAGCTTTTTGAATGGCATCTTTGACTGTGATGATGATGAGATGAAGGACCTTGTTTTCCTGGGGAAGCTATTGTTGGTTCATTGACTTTCCCTTAGCGTCGCGGACGGGCCGTCCGTCAGATCAAAAGTTGACAGGCAAAAGAACACTAAAGGGAAAAGGTGCGGGCGAACTAAAGATTAGACGATTACTTAATCCAATTTGCATTCATGCTCCGCTCCCACCTTCATGAATGACAAAGGCGGAATTGGTAATAGTCTTCTCCCTCTCCTCTTCCGATCCGACATTCACTCAAGCTCAACCCGGAATGCAAACCTTGATACCCCACAATTGATCTAATACACCAATAAAAAGGCCCAAGCTCAGAAACGGTTAGCGTATTAAATGACTTTTCGGATATAAAGGCGTTAAGAATGAAAGTGATCATTCATTCCACTTCAACATGTTGCCTCTCTCATCAATACCAACAACCACCTTCAAACCACTCTCATCATGGCGGCAACTGCAATCCCTTGTGTGATTCACAACAAACACTTCCCTACTCCAACCACATTCGATGTTGTAGATCCTGCTGATCGGAAAACAGTGTTACATGCAGTCTCTGCATTCACTGCAAATTCAGTCGATGAATTGGTAAAATCATCTCGTCAAGGTTTTGCAGTTTGGCGTGATACGCCTTTTGCTGAACGTAGAAAGATTTTCTTTCGTGTTCAACAATTATTCAACGAACGTATGGGAGAATTGATTCAATGTGAAGCAAAAGAAACAACTGCAGGAGCAGGATTTGCCGGTTACGAAGTTGGCGTTTTGACTGCTGCTTCTTTGGAAGAAAGTTTAGCATCAATGAGCACTGCTTTACGTGGTGATATGGCACCTTTGGATCCAAGCGGTAAACGAATGTGTGTTGTTCGTGAACCTATCGGACCAACACTTTCAATGGTGCCTTGGAACGCTCCTTCAACACTTTGTATGCGTGCAATCATTAACCCTTTGGCTGCCGGTTGTTCTGTCATTCTTAAAACGTCAGAATTCAGTCCAAAAACACAATCATTCATTGCACAAATGTTCCTCGATGCAGGATTACCTGAAGGTGTTCTCAATGTCATTCATGTTTCCACTCAAGATTCTCCACATGTCATCAAAGCCATCATCGAACATGAAGGCGTACGCAAAGTCAATTTTACAGGATCAACCCGTGTTGGTCGTATTATTGCACAAATCTGTGCAGCCAATCTTAAACCTGTTGTGCTGGAATTGGGCGGAAAGGCACCTGTTATTGTGACGGAAGATGCAGATATTCAATTGGCTGCGAATAATATCATCTTTGGCGGTTTGATGAATCAAGGTCAAATTTGTATGTCAAGTGCCAGTGTTTTGGTTCACAAGAATGTTAAACAAGAACTTGCAAAAGCATTGTCTGCAATTTTACAACAAAATCAAGCTCTTCTTCAAGCAGGTGCTCAACCTAATTCTCCAATGTCACCAGATGTGAAAGATCATCGTTTGCGTGGATTATTTACTACTGCATCTGCCAATCGTGCAAAAGAGGTATACGATGATGCAATCAAAGCAGGTGCTAAACCAGTCGCAGGTCAAGCAGGATTTGACGCATCTCTTGGTTTAGTTCAACCTGTATTTTTGGAGGCTACCACATCTATGCGTTTATACAGCGAAGAAATCTTTGCACCAATTTTAGGAATGTATGAATTCAGCACTGATGAAGAAGCGATCAAGATGGCAAACGAACCTGGAGCAGGTTTATCGGCAAGTATTTTCAGTAAAAATGAAACGAAAGCATGGCAAATTGCACGTGGAATTGAAAGTGGAGCGGTTCATATTAATGGAATGACTGTTCATGATGATCAAAGTGTTCCGCATGGAGGTGTTAAAACGTCAGGAATTGGTCGTTTTAATGGTGTTGAAGGTATTCGTGAATATACATATCAAAAGACTATCACAATCACTCCAGGTATTCAATACCCTTTCTTTGCCTTGTAAATACATAGGCCTTTTTTCTTATTTTATTCCGGTTGAATGAGTCCCGTTGTTTCCGATATGAATCGGAAAGTGTTTTATATAAACAAAGACGGCACCGTCAGCCTTCTATTGATGGCAAGTTCTAAAAGCAAAGCGGACCTTATTAAAACGGGGGATTGTAAGACTGACCGATTGACTGTGTATGTGCGGGGTAGGTAACGCGCTAAAAGAAATCAAGGCAAAAGCCGAGTCAAATTAATCCGCCAACAATGGAAGTTTAAGAAGCAACACTTTAATTGTGTTACTTTTTAAAGTTGCTCTTCTATTGTGCTCAATCCTTGATTTCCGATATAAATTGAATGAATGCATATATTGAAGACATATCCTGTCTATCACTAAACACAATTGTAAAAGACAACATACCCTCTGCAAAACTCTCTTTTCTCACTATCATCTCCCTCCCACCTAGAAACATGACCGAAAACAACCCTCAACGTCACGCCACAAACGCAACTGTGGATACATTCACAGAATTTGATTATGTAGTCGTAGGAGGAGGTCCAGGCGGAATGGCATGTGCTGCTGCTTTATCCGAAAATGAAAAAGTGACAGTTGGTGTATTAGAAGCAGGTCCATGGCTTCCAAACGATCCACTTATCGAATATCCTTCCATGATGGGACAATCAATCATGAATCCAAAATATGATTGGTGCTTAAAAACAACTCCACAAAAGTATGCCAACGATCGTGAATGGATTTTACCACGCGGAAAGATGTTAGGCGGTAGTAGCGCAATGAACTTTATGTGTTGGCAAAGAGGTTATAGAACAGATTTTGACGATATTGCCAAGCTTGGTAACCCAGGTTGGGATTGGGACAGTCTCACTCCCGCATACACCGAATTAACACAAACAGCAACTTCAAACTTGACTCAAGTGCAAAAAGACAACGGCGGAGCAATTGAAGAAGGCTGTCATGGAACAAATGGTCCAGTAGGCGTCTCCCACTCGGTATGGTATTGTGAAGCACAAAAAGAATGGTGGAACATGTTTTTGACAAATGGCTCTAAGCATGTCCAAGACGGCTCAGGATCAGGTGAAATGTATGGCTTGTGGAATACACTCTTTTCCGTTGACTCACAAACACGTAAAAGAACACATGCAGGTACAGCCTTTTACGAACAAGGCAACTATTCTACTCGACCGAACTTCAAGGTTTTGTGTGATGCGACTGCTGTCAAGGTGGAATTGAGTCGTGATCGCGCAACAGGAGTTTCATACTTGCATGACGGTAAAGAGTACATCGTCAAGGCAAAACGTGAAGTTATCCTTGCCGGGGGTACTTTCTTAACTCCCAAATTGTTGGAGTTATCCGGTATCGGAGATGAGTCAATCTTGCAAAAGCACAAAATTCCCGTCAAAATCAAGAATGACAATGTAGGCAAAAATCTCCAAGAGCATTTCTATCTCGGTTCCGTATTTGAGGTGAACAAAGATGTAATCACATACGATAAATTGAAAAATTCGGAATTTGCACAAAAAGCCATGGCTTACTACGGCGATTCACCCGATACAGATCTCACGGGCGGAATTATTGCTGCGCCTTGCTGTTCAGCGTTTGGTTATTTGTCCCTCAAAGATCTCTTGTCGCCTGCTGAATTTGCCGAATTAAAGGCGATTGCAGACTTTGGAGACAATCAAGAAGGATGGTCAGATGGCATGAAACGTGTACAAGAATTGCAATTGGCCAAATTGTTCTTCGATCGTGCTCCTGCGATGGAATACACTTTATTGCCCGCATTTGCAACAACGGACGGCGCTCCAAAGGATGAAACGGGTTATGTGACAAATTTGAGTCTATTACAATATCCACTCTCTCGTGGCACGGTGCATATCAAATCGAATGATCCAAACGAGCCACCTGCCATCGATCCCAACTACTTTTCCAATCCTGCCGATCTCCGTTTGATGGCGTATGCGATGAGAAAAGGTGTTGAAGATATCGAAAAGGATCCAGGAATGGCAAAGCATATCGTCGAACGTCATGCGCCCAAAAAGGATGAATCAAAAACGATTGAAGAATATGAAGAATTCATTCGTAATCATGCAAGTACCACATATCATCCCGTTGGAACCTGTTCAATGATGCCTCGTGAAATGGGTGGTGTTGTTGATGCGCAATTACGTGTCTATGGAACACAAAACTTGCGTATTGCTGATGCGAGTATTCTTCCAGTCATGCCTTCTGGTCATATCCAAAGTGCATGTTATGTTATTGGACACAAGGCAGCCAATATGATGCTCAAACAAATCGTTTGATGCAAGCCCCGTTTTCTCTATTGTTAATCTTACCTTGTTATACTACTACATCGGTCTATTGTCAATGTGTATCCTTTCGTCCTATCAGTTTGAAGGTGATGACCGAAGTATCAGACTCTTTCTTCTACGACTTGACCCTATCTGACCCTTCGCACGAGAGGTCCGTCTTATTTTAATCTTCCAGCACTTGTCTCCGGCGGTAAGCAACCGTTGTGTAGAAGTTCCCGTAATCAAAGAAAGGCTAAAAGTTGTTTAAACCATCAACAGTTTATGTGCCCATGGAGAGAAGTTGCCGATACTAGCGCTGAAATTATAAGCTAAAGAACCTAATTTACGCTTCTTCCCCTCATCGTTAAAAAGTACTTAAAGATGGGTAAGGGTTCCATCTTGTGAGTAACACACAACTTCCACCCTTTTCATCAAATACAAAATGACGATCACAGATGAACGACCATTCATCAGCATCAATGAGATGCTTGATTATCGTTTCAAGGAGAATGCAAATGACGATCTAGTGACTTTTGCCATTCCTGCTCTGGAAGGTGAGAAAGGTGCAATGGAATATGAAACGACAACATTTTCACAATTCAACACATACGTCAATTGGGCTACATACACATTATCAAAACAATTTCCACCTCGTAAGATCGGAAAGCCATTGCGAGTTGTAGGATTAATTGCTAGGACAGACTTGGATTCGTACGTCAACTTATTCGCACTTTTTCGTTTAGGTCATGGCGCTTTGATTCTTTCACCCAATAATTCGGTAGAAGGAATAATTCATTTGATCAAAAAGATGTCTTGTCGGGACATCATATATCAACAAGATAGCAAAGAGACAGTAAAACAATTGCAAGAAGAAATGAACTTGACCACAACTTTATGGATAATGATTAATGATATGAAAGGTCAAACAGCGCCAGAAATTGTTCGATCGGAATTGACATACGAAGAAGAAAGTGATGATTTTTGCACAATTTTACATTCTAGCGGATCCAGCAATCTACCCAAACCATTACCCATGACTCACAAAGCATGGTGTAGGAATATGTACGGAGTGGAAATGGGTGGCGCTTCAGTTTTTCCTTTTAGTCATTTCTCTGGCGTTCAAAGCTTTTTCCTTTCTTTCCAAACCAGGCGTACATCAATGATGATGTCATCCAGAGTGCCTTATACATCGCCAAATCTAGTGCATCTTATCGAAACTTCCCTTAAAGCTGGCTCACCCGAACTTCTTTGCGTTCCATTGACGTTAAAATTACTCTCTGAAGCTCCAAATGGTTCAAATTTACTCGCACAATATCAATATGTCGGATTTGCCGGATCCGTTTGTCCTAAACCTTTGGGAGACAAATTAGTAAAAGCAGGTGTGAATCTTATCACCTTTTATGGAGCAAAAGAGACTGGCTTTTGTATGAGCTCGTTGCGTGATTTTGAAAGGGATAAAGGCTGGGATATAATGCGACCTAGAGGAAATTTTGCCGACTTTGCACGATGGGAAAAGCAAGATGACGATGAAGATGTATTCGAATTGGTTGTGGAAAAGGGTTGGCCTCCACTCTCAGCTGCAAATCGACCGGATGGAGCATTTGCAACCAGTGATTTGTATACCAAACATCCAACTATTCCAAACGGTTTTCATTATATTTCAAGAAAGGATGATTCACTCGTTCACGTTCATGGTAAAAAGACGAATCCCATACTGATTGAAATGGATCTTCGTTCTTCTCCTTTGATAAAAGATGCAATGGTGTTTGGCGCGAACAAAATGCAAACAGGATGTTTGATCATACCAAAAAATGATGATCTGACAATCGAAGGTTTATGGGATGCAATCAGTCTTGCCAATAAACGTGCTCCTACTTGGTCTCGGTTAGAGAAAGAGATGGTTGTTGTTTTGCCGTCCAGTGAAACATTCGTAATGACGGATAAAAAGTCTTTGATTCGTGTAAAGACGACCAAAAAATTTGAGAGCTTGATCGAAGAAAAATACAGCAATATTGAACACAGTTCTCAGAAGCATGCAGTAGATCAAGTCAAGCTTAGCACTTCTTCCCAAGCACTTTCCGTTGTACAGACAATCGTTTCCGAGGTCATGAAAGATCAGATTACTCATCTTGGCTCGATCAAAGAGGACGACGTTTTATTCGATAAAGGCTTAGATTCTTTAGCCGTGATGAAGATTGGTAGCTTGATTCGTAGTCGTATCCAATTTCCTACCGGAGTAGAGGCAGATGAAACGGCAGCATTTCATCATCCAACTATTCGTACCTTGGCAGAATATCTGTACGGCTTATCTTCCGGTGGAAGTATGGGAAATGGACATGATGAAAGTCTACAATCATTAGACACAATGCGTCAATTGCTCAATAAATATACCCAACAGATCGAGACACGATCAAGCTCTACTGAAAACCAAGGCAGGAAAGGAACCGACACAATCCTTTTGACTGGCGCAACGGGTTCTCTTGGAGCACATTTGCTTTCCATAGCCGCACAAAGGCAGAATGTTGAAACAGTCATCTGTTTATGTCGAGCAAAAACAAATGAAGAAGCTCAAGCGCGGGTCAATGAATCCTTGACTGAAAGAAGATTGCCTTCCGTGCAAAGTCTTGCTAGCAGGTGCAACATTATTTGTTTAAGTTCCGACCTGGCGAAGAATCACCTGGGTCTCACTTTGGAGATGTACAAGACAGTATTGCAAAGTGTCACCTCGATCATACATGCAGCCTGGCCAGTGAATTTTAGCATGGGAGTGACTGCTTTCGAGTCTTCCTTGCAAGGTTGCGTGAGCTTGATCAACGTGTCTTCAAGGTCATCACTTGCACAGCCGCCACGACTACTCTTTTGTTCGTCTATCGCTGCTGCTGCTCTTCATCATTCAAGCAAAACGCAAGATGCTGTTATGGAAGAGCTATCAATTGAACCAGAAGATGCAGTTCCAAACGGTTATGGGCGTTCGAAATGGATTGCAGAAGCTTTACATGATGCTGCAACAGCAAAGATTCCAAATTTGAATTCAAAGATTGTTCGAATCGGACAGCTTTCTGGTGACATAGTCCATGGCATTTGGAACGAAAAAGAAGCTTATCCTCTCTTGATCAAAACAGCTCAAACGATTGGATGCCTACCAAATTTGTCAAATCACCAACTTTATTGGCTACCCGTAGATGTTGCAGCAGAAATGATTGTTGAAGTTGCAATGCAAGGTGAAAAAGGAACTCGTGTTGTTCATGTTGCAAGTAAGGATATCACAGACTGGAGTAAAATTCTTCTTGCCGTTCGTAATGCTTATCCCCAAGTACGAGAAGTACCCCTTGAGAAATGGCTAGAAGAGTTACGTACCGCTAAAGATCAAGATCCCACATCAAATCCAGCGATTAAGCTGTTGGATTATTATTCTTCTTCTTGGTCAAGTGGAAGTGAAGGGGGAATTCCCAAGTTTGATACATCCTACACAAATAAACTTCTTGCTTCTAAACCACAAATCTTGAAGCATACGGGAGCACTTTCACAAGATAATTTGATAAAGATGGTTTCCGCATGGCAACAAAATGGATTCTTGGTTCACGCTTTGTGAACTACAATTCAATCTCTACGATAATAAGCAGCATGGTTAACAGCCATGAATTTTCCAAGAAGATCTTTTGCTGCTTTAAGTAAAGTCTTATGGTGCAAATGATGAAAACCAAGATCTCTTGCTTTTTGTTCAAGTACAGCTGCTTCTTGATGCATATTTCGTGAAATCAAACTTTGATCGCTATACGTACTACTCATATCTCGAGTTGAACGAAGCATGGCATGGTGAAGCATTCGGTCGTATAATGCTTTTCGTTCAGCTTCAGCACGACGTTTGGGAGGATTCTCTGTCCACACCAATGAAAAGTCATACTGCAAATCAGATGCACGGGAACTATTTGCCAAATAGAAGGTGAGATAAAGGCCAAACACAATGAATGCTGTTTTAATACGACACATCTTGAGCTGCAAGCACGGGTATTCCAGACATGATCCATTTCGATAAAATCGATACAGAAGACACAGCCACGAGATTCTGCCCATCCTTTTCACCCAGACGCAAATCCTTGTGAATCCCAAGCTCACAACGATTTCATGTAATGTACATAATCGGATTTGTTTGCCACTTTTGTGTAGAGTAGTTGAGCTCGATGGTTGAAGTGTTGTGTAAGCCAATAAACATGATGGGCTGGAATAGTTTTTGCATGATCTGCAACATGTTCGATCAAAGCACGACCTGCACCTTTATTGCGTATCGTTGGATCAACAAATAAGTCATTCAAATAAACAACTTCTTCAATACTTGATGTATTTGCATGTGGATACCAAGTCACGAATCCAACAATTTGTTGTTGAGATGAATTATCCACAGCGACAGCACCGTACATGCGAACATTTTCATCACACAATCGTTCAAATGTCTTTTTTGTCACTTCGATTGGAATTGTGCGTTTATAGAATACGTTGTATTGTTCCCATAAATTTGTCCATGCTTCTTCATCTTCCTTTTTGACTCTTCGAATGGTTACAGACATGTTTGAGGGGTGTGATTGTTGAAATGACTGATAAGCAATGATGAATGCGGGGAAGAGAGCAGTCATTGTCAGGCACACGCATGAGCTTAATCAATTTAAAGTTTACAATGGAAGCGCGTCAGCCGACCGGTAATTGGTTACATAATCAAACTCCAGAAGGTGGAGGAATTGTGTAATCATCAGGAAGAAGATCAACAATCACTTCCACAAGATGACTTCCTACCACATAGATCAATCGTCAACATGTCTACCAGAAGATCAACTCGCTTAGCTAACGGACAAAAAAAGACAGAGGAGGATTCCACCACACAAAAAGCCCCTACTCGCTCAAAGGCCCAAAAGACATCTAACAAGAAAGAAGCTGGTCCATCATCACGTAAAGAAGAGGATGCATTCAAGTATTTGCTATCCGATAATGCATATAATCTAGCATATCCCAAAATTGAAGCAGGATATGGCGAAAAGGATTGGTCATCAGAAGAAAGACGTAAACCGCTACCGAAAGAAGAATCGGGTCAAATGAAAAAGAATGCTTCCAACGAAAGGGGATATTCAAGCAAAGACTTGACACCTTTTGAAGTATTGCTGTGTGCAGTTTTGATGTCAAAGCCGCTTTCACATCGTTTAGGTTTGCGTACAATCTCTACCCTCTTCAGCCCACCGTTTGGTCTCAATACGCCAAAGGCCCTGGAAGAAGCAGGCAAGGAAGGAAGACGGGAGGCAATGTACGAAGCAAGGACGCAACATAAGGATAAAACTGCATCTCAATTGGGAGATTTGGTGGAAGGTTTGAGAGGGATCTGCAAAAGTGAAGAAGATGTAATCTCTCTCAAAGCTGTTTGCGATGTATGTAAAAAAGCAAACACTCAAGAAGAAGCAATAGAAGAAGTCAAATCATTCTTGACTGCAAACGTAAAGGGACTCGGACCAACCGGGGTTGAAATCTTTCTACGTAGAATTCAATCCCATGATGAATGGCAAGCAGTCTATCCTTTCATCGATGAACGCGCAGCAAACACAGCACATCAGCTTGGATTAACATCAACGGCCGATGCGAAATCAGCGGCTAAAGAATTACAAAAAAGCCTAGGCAAAGATGCATCACCAACAACTTTTGTCCGTTTGATTGACGTTCTTGTCGGCTTAGGCTTAGAGAAAAAAGTTGAAGAGGTAAAAAGCATTTTGTCATAAAGATGGCGCCGAGATACGGCTTCACGCGCAGAAGATGGCGGCGGTGTTTGGCTGATGACGCATTTCGGGCTGACTTGTTTGTCTTTTGTTTTTCCTGTGTCAAGATATGATCTGCCTTTCTAAACACTTCAAATCTGGCGCAGCTTTGCACTCGTTCACAGCCATGTGGGGCGATCACAAAAAAACAAAAAGTCAGAAGCGGTTATTTTTCAACATCGGCGTATTGCATAGAGGCTGATAAGCATATGAGATAGGACAAAAAGGCATAAATATGGCCATTTTTTTCTTGGAAAGTATACACCATGCTTCCTGTGTACGATCTTGCTCATTCACAATGAATCAATCAAACGAAAAAAAGTCCAATTCGTATGAGTGTCATACTGTTCTCGTCAATCTTGATGAAGAAGAACAACAAAAACGACAAGATGGCGTTGGAGAGACGACCGTTTTGCCCATTTTGATAAGAGATTTGGAATGGTATCAAGCAGCAGTCATAGTGGCAAAGTTACAATTCGGTTTAGCAGTTCTAGGTATCCCTTCTACCTTTCATGCTTTAGGAATCATACCTGGAACAGTAATCTTGATCAGTTTTACACTCATCACAACGTATGCAGGCGTACTCGTGACACAAATTCGTGAAATTCATCCGGAAATTCTAAACGTACAAGATGTGGGTGAATTGTTATTTGGAAGATGGGGGGCAAGGGCGCTTGGAATGATTTACTTCTTGTTTGCCGTTTTGGTCGTCAGTGCTGGCCTTTTAACAACTTCGATCGCTTTAAATGCTTTGACAAATCATGCAACATGTACAATGGTCTTTGTCGGTTTAGCAGCACTTTTGGCCTGTTTGATTGGAGCGCCTCTTCGTGATCTTCATCGAGTTTCTTGGCTTGGTTGGTTGGGTATGACTTGTATCCTGTCCAGCGTTTGGGTTTTAGTCATCACTTTGGCAATCCGTGGTCATCCGTATGTAGAGCATGATCGATACGATTTCCTTGCCCCGATCGAACGTCCACTTTGGGCAACTGGTGATTTTTCCGCTTGCATGGTTAGCATCAATATGCAAATCATTTCTGTAATGGGAAACGTTTCATTTTATTCTGTAAGTGCAGAAATGCGTCAACCTGCAAAATTCACAAAAGCAGTCATTGTTGGTCAAGCATTCAATTTGATCATGTATTTGTGCATCGGTTTAGTGGTCGTTTATATTGCAGGTCAATATATCACTTCTCCCGCTTTAGGTCTTTCAGGTCCGGTTATGGAAAAGATTTGTTTTGGGATCGCATTACCTGGTTTACTCGTTTCTACAATCTTGTGGGCAAATGTTGCAGCGAAATATGCATACAATCGATTGGCTCATGTCAGTTTCAAAATTCGTGAAGCAACTTATGCCATTCAATGGTGTATTTGGACAGCAACTTTTGGCGGAGTTGTAATTCTAGGTTTCTTGTTTGCAGGATCGATTCCAATGTTTGATCAATTGATGGGCTTAACCGGAGCTTCCGCTGGACCACTTTTCGTTCTGATTCTCACCGGTCTTACGCAAATTTATATCTTACGATGCCAAAAAGGAGTCAATATGAGTCGAAAGGATCAAGTGAACTTTTGGGCAACATATGCCGTGAGCGTGTTGTTCATTATCCTTGGTGTCTTCTTGACCGTTGCTGGAATATATGGAAGCGTAGACTCAATCAATCATGCCTATACTTCTGATCATATCGGAGGACCATTTTCATGTGTGGATAATGCAGTTTTATCATCACCTGCAGCAAATTTATCAAGAGATGCAGCACGCTAATTGTATTTTATACATGTCATTGTATAATTCCTCATGTATGTATCTTGGATTGTTTAATGAGTATGTACATTGGATAATTGCCTTTAACGACAGGTGGTTCCACCGTCAACAGCCATGATTGTTCCTGTGCTCCAAGGAGCGTCCCTGGCGAAATATCTGTGTTAGTATTCCTGTCAGCATTCCTATTCATGATTGTCTCCCTTTCTATTCTACTCACAAGACTGCCTTTGCGATATCTCTTGGAGATCCACGGTGAGGCCAATAAGTTGGACGTATAGCATTCAACTCTGGTGAGACATTGGCTGTCATCGCGGTACTACAATAGCCCGGGCAAATGCAGTTTACATTAATACGTTCAGGTGCATACTCGTAAGCCACTTGTCTTACCATATTGATTGTTGCACCTTTTGCTGAACAATATGCTGGCTCATTTGGACCACCAATCATGCCATGAATTGAGCCAATCTGAATAATTGATCCACGTGAACCTCTGCTTGGTTTAGGAATGATTGTTGGATCGCCTCCCGTTCCAGATTCAGGTGGACTATACGCAACCCTTGCCGGTTCTGCATCAATATCTGAACGTGAAATATCATCCAATTCTTCTTCACAATCAGCAGGAAACGGTTTTGGTTCTTGTTTTTGCATTTGTTTAATGGCATACTTCATTCCAAGGAATGAACCTTTGACATTAATGTCGAACACCTTTTGAAATATTTCCATAGATTCTCCTACGATTCCTTCGGGTGAGAAAACAGTAAGACCTGCGTTGTTAAGAAGGATGTCCAATCTACCTTCATCACTTAATTTGACAGCTTGTTCGATGGAAGATTCCCAATCACTTTCGTTACGAACATCTGCCTCTTGAAAAGTGGCTTTTCCGCCTAACCTGTTGATGACTATAGAGCATGTACATATATCAGTAACTAACCGATGTGGCTGGCTTTGTAGCCATACTTACGTTCATGTGTTGGTTCTTGTCTGGCAGTTGTTGTACCTTGGTGAAGGTGTATATCGTTAGGAGTTGGACGCTGAGGGAAGAAAGTCAGCTAACATGCATTTTTATCAGCATCCTAATGCAACTCACCAAATCACTACAAAGTATAGAAGCACCTGCTCGAGCGAGATGTAGCGCCTGTAATAGGACTACAAGTCAGCATCAATCATAATAACCCGCTACACTTACTCTACTTACACTTTGTCTTCCAATACCACTTGAAGCGCCAGTCACGATCGCCGTTTGACCAGCAAGGCTGAGCGAGGGAGGGAGAGCTTTAGCAAATCTAGCAAAAGCCATCTTTCTTTTACTGGAGGATGGAAGCAATTAAGTTAGCTATCATCTGATGTGCTTTCCGTTATAGAAACCGTTGAACCCTTCTTGTTCGTATGCATGCACCCCGCCTACCCTTTTCCGAATCGCTTTTCCGATACACGCCCTGCAGTGCTATTCGCTTTTCCGTTATGCGCATAGATTGTGGCAAAGATACCACCCAAGACCAAAGATAAACGACGGCTTTGACCGAGAGAGTCACTGAAGAGCACGGTAGAGTAGTAAATTGCAGCATTGCATCCAGTGAATTGTTGGAAGAATTGAGTGGAAGCACCGATCAACATACGGCCACGGTGGTTGGTCTTTCCACCTGTAAGCAATTCAAAGAATCCACCTTGGTTAGAGTTTTGACGAACGCTTTCTTGCATAACTTTCATTTCTGCTTTGATTTCTTCTTCATTTTCTCCATCTCCGCCAACTTCTCGCAAAACGTGAGTTGCTTCTTCGATACGACCTTGAACGATTAGCCAACGTGGAGATTCAAGCATCACTCTTTCAAAAAACTGTTAACTTCTTTTTTATTAAAGAAACGTACTTGTGATACAAATCATGATGGACGATGAGGTGTGAATGAAAAGGGGAATTAGGTTGAGAGGGAGAGGTATGACAGTAATAACTGTATGTGTAGTACGTACAAAAAAATGCGTGATAAAAGAGAAATAAAAATGCAAATCAATCTGAATCTAGTCCTTTTATTTAAAGGTTTTCATGACTCGATGGAGTTGATGGACCTTCTGAGTTTGGCTCAGTGCCTTCAGCTGCACCGGCAGTATGCTGTTCAACATCCGAATCAGGGTTCTTTGAGGTAGTTGTAGTAAGACCAGTCTTTGCAAGCTCGGAACCAATTTCTCCTGCTGAAAGTTTGGGCATATCGTTGGCCACACGGAAAGCAAACTTGTTTTCCTCGTAAGCCTTGGCGAAGATAAGGTCGATTTCTTCCAACGTACGTTGCTTTGTTTCAGGGTAGAAGAAGTAGATGATTGGTACCCAAACGAAGTTCATAACGGCGAAGAAAAGGTATGCTCCCCATTGACTAGATTGAATGAAAACGGGTGTAAACATGACGACGGCAAAGTTACTAAGCCAGTTTGTGCAAGTTGAAACGGATGTTGCAGCTGTACGAGTACGCATTGGGTTAACCTCGGGAGGGTAAACCCATGGCAATTGCAAAATGGTGAATGCAAAGAATACGATGAAGAGGTACAAACCTACAGCAGCACCCTTTGCATTTTGTTCGTGATTTCCACCTGCAGCCAAACATGCGAATGTGATGATGAAAGATGTACCTTGACCTATAGCACCAATCAAGAACAAAGGACGTCTTCCTAAACGTTCGATCAAGAAGAATGCAGGAATAGTTGAGATTGCATAGATTGTGGCAAAGATACCACCCAAGACCAAAGATAAACGACGGCTTTGACCGAGAGAGTCACTGAAGAGCACGGTAGAGTAGTAAATTGC